CCAGCCCACACAGCATGAACATTCATACGTTCAGCAATATCAACAATCAACTCCACGTTGGCGTAGTTATTGTTGTTAGTACCACCAGGTACTTCTACGTATTGGTCAGCCATACGAATGTAGTCGGCGTTGGCTTGCAAATCTTCGGGCGTCGCCATGACAGTGAACTGGATAGCGCGCTCATTTCCAAAAACTTCATATGCCCATTTTCGTACTGATCGGATCTCTTTCACGGCAGCAATACCGTTGTTAGCGATAAGGACCTAGTAGAATTAGTACTCGGCGGGTCAGAGGTGCATTGTTAGACTGTGCATACCGATGTGATGACGGAGTGACCATCGTGAGCAGCAACAAAGTCCTTGACCTTGCTTGGGGGAGCAAGATCTAGCCTGTTACCGCCAATGAAATGTTCAGCCAGGTTATGTTTGGCAGCGTACGAGCTGCCATGGCTGTTTGTGTTTGTAGTTGCGGCAGCCATGTTGAATTTGGTCCAAAAGACCCTCCCAAGCACCGGGAAAGAGAGAGCGAATGACCGCTAGGATGTGGTGTTGAGAAATATTAAATATAAGGTAGCGGGTGAGGAGGAAACTAGCTTCTCATATATTACCCAAGTAGATCGAGCTGAGAAGTTTGGGGGCGGAACGGAGCAGGATCGAGGCTTGATGGAGTGCCTGTATGGAGAGATCTGGTTAGAGCCCGTTTCCAATTCATTATCCCACAGCGGATCACCTCGATCTTGTGGTGTTGAATATTTCAATCGCAGTCACCATGAAGATATGATGGACGTGTTGCTAGGGTACGTACCTCCCGTAAAAATGATTATAATTATTTGTATCTGTACATGAAAGCAGACAACACTGTTCAGAGGAGAGATGAAGAGGAGGAAGGAAGAGTAAAGGTTCCGATGGAGAAGCTCAACTCTTTCTCAAGCTCCTGGGGTAAGAGGCAAAAAATGTCAACCAAGAGGAGAAACGAGGAAAGAGAATCGAAGAGAAGAGTGGACAAGGGTTAAAAGCCGAATACACTGCTTCAAACCTTATCCGTAAGCGTGATAGTAAGATGAAACTAATCAATTGAAACAATTGAGAGCGCAGTCACAGAGGGGTGGAAGAAAAAGAGAGAAGGTTGAGCTGTGATGGTATCGCCGCGCCCATGTAGGACTAGCGGCAGACCAGCAGATCCCGCCGATTGGATTGACTAGGGCACTCTGTACTAAGCAGGTGCAGGTGGGGGGGGTTCCTTCCCGGGCAGCGATTGTTTGCAGCCCGTCGAAAGAGGCAGGTAGCGGCCCGCTGTCTCCGGGGCCAAGCAAGAAGGACCAACCCCAACTGTTGTTTCCTCTCCTGCTCTGACTGGTCCCAACTCCGGCGCTGTTGGGCAACCCGCCCGGTGGACCTCGCGATTCAACAAAAACACGCTCAATCTTTTTTTTTTCCCTTGAACTCTACATCACATCCAGCACTAACAGCAGCTTGCGAGCTTGCGAGTTGGTTCCGAGCAGTATTTACTATGGTTACTGTTGACATGTTGAGCGATGTGATCTGCAATACCAAGAGTCTCGACTCAATTTCTATCTGTTATCGCGTGATACCAAGTCAATCAACGCACAGTGTAACACAGCGTTCCAACTTTTCAGTCTCGCAATGAACCACACAGAAATACACTGCCATTTCGAATCAAATAGGTCGAAAATGGTGGAGTGGATCATGATGGGTCATKGCAATTGTTCCTCCAAGCTATGCCGTTTCCGCTCTCGTCGAATCGACCGACTCCAACGGAGTAAGGGTTGACCCGCAAACGAAGCCGCCCTTGCATCCCAACCGGCCCTATGGAAGCAGACACTCGAAGACCGAGCGCGACCTTGAAATGATGCTAAAACTCCGACGCTATGTTCCGATTTTATTGTTTATCGGGCGACTTCTTGGCTTCTGTCATCGAGTATCACACCGCGACGCTAAGAGTAATACTCGGCAACGGGTCTCCATTTCCGGCGATCGAAATACCGCTGTCAACACAGGCACCAGGTACGTCGTATGCCTCGAAAACATTCACATGCTTCTATACGTGATCGTCGTCTAGACATGTCAATCATGCTTAACGTGGCAGGGTTCGGCGATAATGTTGTCTAGGCCTGTGCCGATTTACTATAATCGCAAAGATACCGGTCGGTGGTAACAGTGTGTTACATTACATACGTCAATCAATCAGAGCGATCGGACAGATAACAATCATAGGTGAAGATCTGCAGCCTGGACTAAGTAGGTAGCAGTTTGTCCGAAAGAAAGATAGCTATCGGATCGACTCAGACGCCACTTCAGACTCATCTTCAAGGGTGTGAGTTTGTATGTTTCTAATTGGGCAATGTCAGCTATTCCCGGTTCCGATCCCTCCCTCTCATCCCGGGGCTGACTATATAAGACTTCACATCCGGAACTGGAATCCTCTTACTACTCCAAGATACTGTCGCGACAAGTATGAGGTAATCCTACCTCCCCTTTCGATTCTGCTTACTCTGAAAGCGAGAGGGCCAAAACCATGCCCTATCTTGACCCACGGGATACGTATCTCAATTTGAAGATCTACCGCTCGTCGGCGCCATTCGCCATCTATCAAGGTTCAGTACGCCTTGAGGAGATTGCACTATTCCTCTTTCGAGATCTTCTAGAAGATTTGACAAGGGTCAGCGATACGGGCTACGGACTAATAGGCACAGCGCGCGGCTCTAGTGGTTCAGATTGGGGCCGTTCTGTCGCGAATGCCCGAGAGTCGAGACTAGCTAGATAACTCCGCACGGAGTACGGAGTGCTACTGCGACACACCTTGTTACTGTAAGTACGTACGTGCTCCGGACTAATTCTCAAATTCAGTCCAAGAGCTTCCATCGCATTCCTCGCTGCTCAGATCCGGCATATGGATTGGTCGATCTATCTGCAACCAACAATAACTGAGTTCGGTGACAGCGGCCGAATAGGCCGATAACTCAACGATAGTAATCTTATCGGCTGTACCCGTGTAAAGCCCGTAACTGCCAATAACATCACACCGATCAAGTTGATGAAGTGCTCCAATCACGACCACCACCATGAAACGAAGTAGAACATACAATCTTGGTTCAGTATGATCAGCTTCCCAGATTAGACACGTTTGCAGGACTGTTGGGGGCCATTGCTTACTACGTCTGCTTATCGCTTGCTTATCGGACATGATAAGTTTGCTTACTGTTGCTTACTCTTCCTCGCGCATGCAGCTAGCTTCGGTGACCGATAAGATTATAATCTGGACTGCCCCAGTGTCGGCTTGGACTCTAGATCTAATGCACTAACTCGTATATACATACGTACTATACACATACTATACACTCTGTATATGATCTCGAAATTGATTGTTCCATTCTACTTCTGTTCTGGGCCATGTAAACACTTCCAAGTCTAGAAGGTATGGATTCAATTCGTACGTTCATCTCCGTAACTCTAAAAACCCGGTACGTAGCCTTAAAATTCGGCCCCTACATACATATAGTAAGCCTCATGCTGCTCGTAGACATGTATAGTACGACGAACCATGTATACTTTGCGAATGCGTAAGCATAAGCGTTGATGGAGAACTATCAATCAGTTACATCGTCCAAAACTTAAAAAAAAGTTCACGGTCATCAATTCTACATGTGGTGTAATTTCTTAAGCACGGTATATGTGAATAGCACGCCTATACAACCCTATTCTCAGCTGCGTACAAGCCAATTGACGAATGTGAGCCAGACTCAACTATTGAGTCTGTCAAAAGTAAGCAAATAGACGCACCTTTGCATGAATCATGTTTATATAAGTAGATAAAAGGTTGTAAACTAGCTTATCCGTAAGCTACGTACGTGCCCCTGGCCCCCTATCTATAGATGCTGAGCTTGGGCATGTTTATGTATATACATGTAAGTTGATGAGCGACGTCGGCGAGGATGCATAGGTCGATATCTACATATATAGCTAGTGTCAAAGATCATGCACGTTCCGACTGACGAGAACGAGTTACTGGAGAAAGGGTGCATGTCAACTATGTACCCCTTTACATAATCATGTCCAGGTTATATGTGAGGTAGGTGATGAGTATTGATGTCTAGCTTGTGGATCTGCTACCCGCATGCAGGTATGTAACGAGCGTTCGTATACAAGGAATCTAGCCGATGGGGTATGTGTATGCATATGTATATGCCCCCAGATATCCATACCAAGCCCACGGGGCGTATCGGCTGCCACATCCAGTTAAGAGAAATTAGATCGAGCTTATGCATGACCCAGTGCATACTGTATATGTGCCCCATTTTTAGATCTGTGCTAAGCTTGTGTATGACATCTGGAGGTACTTGGCTTGGAAGTAAGCACAACATAATTGCTCCTCCGATGTAAATCTATACAGATATAGAGCTTGAATATAGTCAGCAAGCAAAAGCGCCAGTTCACGAACTCACACTAGATCGATTTGATCATTCGGGTGTCAGATCCGGTGTCTTGAATGACACTTGATGCTTGATGAACTTTCTTCTAAGTGGCTAGAGATACGTCAACTGGTACGCATGCTTGCCTGACTGGATAGATTGTCAGCTCTGCGCATTGCTTATGCTTAGCTAACCTACCCTATTTGATCATCACCAGGCTAATGACAGCGTAAGGGATTTCCTTTTCATTTGTATATATGTTTCGTAACGAACGATCATTCAGGCTGCTTTACTCCGTGTAGGCACCGGGGATGGCCAACCACCGTTGAGGACATGTGGAGTAGACTCGACACTAAGGGCAGGCCTTGACTTCCAAGGTTGTTTTGATATGCTGTAGAAGACCGATTGGACAATGATTATACACTAAAATTAAAATGCCTAGGTATGGACTACATACAACATTATTACATCGAACGATACCACGTGAGCATCACAGCCCTACCCGTCCAACCCCAAAACAAAAAAAAGACAAAGACAAGTACTCAATCATACACACCGACCTTTACTGTCTTCAATAACAAACAGTGGCCGTGACGGTAGGCGGCTCAGAAGTAACAGTGACCAACGGCGTGGTCACCGGCGTCGCCGACGCAGCACAAACACACGCCGTCACCGAGGTGACAGGAGGCGCCGTACAATGCGGGTTTGCAGTCCAAGCCAAGCAAGTAGTCGCAACAGTCTCGTCAAGGGTCTCAGCCTTAACGAGCACAGGGATGACAGCACCAGTACTCAAACTAAAACTGCGATGACCGAGCACACTCAACAACGACCCGATTTCGCCAGAGTGGCTGGTCACAGAGACGAAAAGACTGTCGCTCGCGGGCTCGCAGTCGCTTTCTTCGGCGTTGTTGAGTTCGTTGAAGATTTGGTCGAGCACTTTCTTTGAGCGCACGGCTTGGGAGGCGCTAGTTTCCTCGGTGATGCCGTTCCAATAGTGGTCGTCCTCGGCAAAGCCTTCCTCGATAGTCCATTCGGGGAAGAGGTTGTGGATGTATTTCTTGCTCTGTCGGTTGTCACAGGTGTGGATGCTGATTCCCTCGCGAAGTAGTTCCATAACGGTAGGCTTGAACTCAGCGCTGTTGTGGGGAAGGTTGAGACCTTCGAATGTGATGTTGGCGGTTTGCAAGCAGCGCGTGAGCGGTGAGACGTAGTAGGCGTCGGGGGTGTGAATCTTTTCGTTGTTGATTAGGGTTTGCCAGTAGTTGTGCGCGATTTGGGCTTGGGAGATGCCATTGGGAGTCAAGGCTGCGTCGTGCCAGGTGTTGGTGCTGTTGCCATCCAATTCGGCCCAGTAGCACTGTGTCATGTCAATGTTATGTTCAACCTTGTGCAACAACCTCTCGACTTACGTTCCAAGCAGGCGTTCCGTAGTAGGTCTCAGCCGCATTGTGGTAACCCTCGCCGTGTCTTCCGAAGAAAAAGACCTTGTACTGCACATTATCAGGGGACTCGCGATTCAGACGCTTGACTTCTTGGTAGAACCGCTGCCACTGGGTTTTTCCGAGTGCTTTGCCCTCGCCAGGGTAAGTCTGATTGATCAGGCCAAAATCGTTTTGGTACTATATGTGATTTAGTCAATGACTTCATTCTGTTAATACGGCGCAAATTATTGAGAGTGCATACGTAGACGAAAGTTGAAGCATCGGTAGAAGCCTCATCTTGTAGGAAGTATCCAGTCACAGTGGTGTAGTTGATGTATTTAGCACTGGCGGTTGAAGCAGCGGCCGCAGCCAAGCCGACGAGTGTAGAGAACTTCATCTTGCGCTCGAAGAAAAAAATGTTTGCGTATACAGCAAAATAAAGGAAACAATTCAAGAGGCAGCTCGTTTACATATTTATTTTGTTTACTCGAGGTCACTTGAATACTACGTAACTAAGCATTCACGTGGTTGATTAGGGCTTCTCATAGGTCCGTCCGCGCACCCATGCGACCCACTATTTAATTTATGCTTAATATACGGAAAGTATCGAATTCACGTGGCGCCAAATTTAGAAGTCAAGTTATGTACTTGAATGTAAAAAATAAAAGACACAAAGGGGGAAATATCTCGACTCGAGGTGCTACTTAGAAGACTTAGGCCGAGTGTGCGTAACGGGAGTCTAAGGAAACGACTGGAGGTCATGGGTCTAAGATTTTGTGGCTTCGTCATCGGATTCACAGATTCCCTGAGATATAAACACAGAGACTTAATATGTGTCGTTCCTGGATTGTCCAAAAATAGTCTCAAGATATTTAAGCACATAGTCTCGTCAAGCTGCCTTTTGTTAGATGAACCAAGCCATTTACATCAATAAATCGCTTGATGTGTAGGCGAGCAGTTCCAGTCTATATAATTGTCCAGTCTACCCAGATACTACATGGGTAAATCTGTTCCCAACCGTGTTGGCGTATATTAGATGAAAACATTGAGTCGTGAAAGGGCTAATGGTGTTCTCTAACATCCAATGTTGATAATACTGCGAAGCCTCTCTCAACTTTCTTATCCATCAGAATACTGGCCATTTTCCAAACTTGCTGGACACTGAAGAAATTGATACTTCTATCAATACACCTTCAATGTGAAGCCCCGATTCTCCATGGCCTCAACTATTGCAGCTGAATTCGGTCATTTCATAGATTCAAGTAGCGATCATCGCTTAGCGTGTCAATCAAGTGGGTAAGAATTGATGCATGACAGCAGCTGAAATGAGGGAGGGGATCAATGTGCAAATCAACCTCTTTTGATCTACCTCCAGTCGCCTGGACGCAGCAGTTTTGTCATATTTTGATAACAAATATTCCTGAAACTCGAGACTCATGCTAAAGCAACGAAAACAGGTCCCGTCGTAAATAGATTTGTGAAGTGCTTTAAGGCGCTGACCGTATGGGACAGAGAGCCATTGATAATATCACGAGACTGATTCGAGGGAGTAGCACGAATCAGGAGGAGAATGTTGGCTGAGAATGGCAGTAATCGATTTCTTTTACGAGGATACCACCAAAGCCATTGACCTGGTGGATTGAGATTCGCATCGACTGCGAGGACGAGTTGAAGGAGATAGTACGAAATCGATTTTTCTTCGACAAGAACAGCTTTCACATCTATCTCGAGGGTGGAACTGTTATTTATGTCTTTGAGAGTGACATTTAGAAATAATGATAGACTCATAGGAAAATTCTTGGAACCCCACAAAGACTGTCCATCAGTAAGTTGGAAACGCACATTTTATGAGACTAGAGATGATGTAAGAAAGGTTCTTGATGTTCGTCCGTCTGTGTCCGCAAAGAAATGGTGGTTGCTACTGGAATTTACTCGTAGCTGTGATTTATGGAGGGAACAGGTGCTGCTTGGGGCGCCTGTTTTTGCCATAGATTGATCGATCAGGGGAATGACGATGACACAACAATTCACTTTTATAGTCTTATGTAGAAATTATGTAGCAAGCTTCTTCTCATTTGTGAGTGGTATCAACTTGATTTAAAAGTATTCAATGTATGTTTCATTCGCGCTGGGTATTATCTAAATCAAACCAAGCAATATAACCAAAAGTAATCACAGTGAATCGAAATGTGTTTGTCCTTTGCTCAAAAAACCCAGAGAATCAAAAAAGGTAATCATAATCAAACAGAAAGAAAGGTCATGCTGTGCACAGCGATAGGACTCCGTCGAATGACGAGAGAATATGTAGGTAGGTTTTCTTCCTCATGAGACTGCATTTCCAAGAAGCTCATGAAAAAAAGCTACGATGTGCGCCATGTAGCAGTACTGTACTAATAAGCACGTGCAGCGTAATATGTACTGTACGGTAACGTCAAGTATCCAAGGGGAACCAAAAACTCAGAAACGTTCCTCTTCCTGACCCAATTAGGCAAGCTGTCGAAACGAGTCAATGCACCAATACGCCTGTAATGTACGCCTGTGGTACGATCAAAATCAAAAAGCCGGACCCAAGCCGAAGAGATCAACGTGTGCCGTACTAAGCTTCAGTAAGTCTCGCCGAGATCTTCCAACTTCAGAGGAGCCTCATCGCTGGATTTCGGTGCATGTTTCTGTACATCAATCTTGGATGTTACTCGTCGTGGTGTAGGCAAGGTTGTCGTCTTCTGTCCGATGCTGCCATTTGGTCGCTTTTTCAAACCCCCGGGTGCAGGAATAGACGAACGGAAAGATCCCTGGTCTAGCGTGTCTCGACGCGGAGTAGGAGTTGAAATATCAACGTCTTCTTCGATAAAAGTCATGCCCTTTGCCGGTCCATGATGAGAGTATGAGCTCATCGAAGATCGTGGACGTCGACTCTCTGTCGTTGGGTTGGTCGAATAGTGGCCGAGTGGTGTCCGAGCCCGGTTGACACTTTGCCTGCTATCCGGCCGTGATGGCGCGACAGAGCTAGTGTAATTGCCCGGCCCAATTGAGCTGCGGCTTGAAAAGCTTGTTCGACTGCTTGGTCTACTATCATTTGAACGCCCATATGACTGACGACTTTGCGGAAGGTATGATGAAGGATAACCAGTGGTCTCTCCATCCCGTACAGACGAGCTTGCGCTGCCCGTACTTGTTCGCTTTCGAGAACTCTTGCGCAGGGTGACGGATGACGGTATCGAACTCTGGCCAGCAGCGGATGGTGTTCGAGGCGACATACCGGTCGGTGTCTCCGAAGGAGCAGGCAATCGAGAACGAGCTGAGTGCACTCGTTCCTCGAGTTTTTGCATCTTTCCGATCAAGCCACGAATCTGATACAGCGAACCTGAGCGAGGAATGCCCGACGAACTGAGTCTTGAAGTACTCTGGCGGAAAGACATTGATGGTGTAAAGCCATTAGCCTGGGGAATGGAAGGCGTACGAGTGTGTCTGGCATAGGCTGAGCGAGGAGCTGTCTTTCCAAGTGAGACTCGTGTGCCAGTGAAGCCCCCTTCGGCTCCTTGCTTGCGCACACTGACCGAAGATTCGGAAGCAGTTGGCGAAGGAGGAGTGATAGCATCGGATGTCGCGGACGACACGGACTTTGCGGGAGGAGTGGTCATGGTCGGAGACGATGCGGTGGTTACAGGCGAGTGTTGACCAGGTTCAACATCCCGAGAACTAGGCGCAGTAGGCGTTTCGAACAAAGCGGGTTTGCGACGTCGGTTGAGTTCGTTCTCGGCTTTGCGCAGTTTGTCGTTGATAATATCAGCCTCAATTTTCAAGTCTGAAAGCTCGTCGCGCAGACGCTGAGACTCTATGCGTAACGATTCTCGCTCTTGTTCCCCGTTCTTGATTTCGTCGTCCAAAAGCACCGCTCGCTCGATCGCAATGTTGTATTTAGATTCCAGATCCTCCAGGGACGAGGTTGTATTGCGAGCCTGGCGCTCAAAGTCATCGTTTGCGACTTCAATATCTCGTAGCTTCAGTTGCAGCGCTCTGTTTCCCTCCCGCAGGCTAGTGATTTCCTTCTGCAGGGTGTTCTGAACCGAGCTGGACTCAGCTTTGGCTTGCTTGTACTTGGTCTATGAAACGTAATCAGTTAGCACATAGCCTGATAGTACAAAGGACGTCATATTTACCTTCCATTCCTCCACTTCATATGACAATGTCTCAACCTTTCCCTTCAGATGTCGCTCTCGTTTCTCAGAAGCCTCAATGTCCTTTTCCAACTCAGCCTCCAGTTCCCGACTGGATGCTTGGAATTCGGCGAGTTCAACTTCTAGTTGCTCATATTGTGACTTGTAGTAGGAGAGCTCCTCCGCGTCGCTACTGGCTTTGGTGGCCGCAGGCGTGTTGAAATCAGCGACCGGCATTGTGATGCCGCGGGGAAGTGTAGCAGCCTGATCAAGTCTCGCACATGCAGATGCAATTGTCGGACAGAAATATTTTTCAGCAGTTGTGATCGCAAGACGTGCTTCGGTATGTAGCTTGATTGTAGAGACCTTACTCGGGGTGGTGATGGTGGCTGGGTCTATCTCTGGTTGTCCCCCCTACTAACAGCGGAGGGTGGTTGTTGTTGCCGTTGTGTTGTTGTTTCGAAGTTAGAGAGTCGTAGTCGGGGCAGTCAACCCGTGCCGTGGCGAGGCGAGAGCATTAACTTACCTACTGCTCTGACTGCGGTTGCCCGACTCCGAAGTCGAGGGCGTCGAAGGGGGCTGGCGATGCTGGGTGTGGTTGTTGTGTTGGGTTGTGTTTATGTTGATTGCTCTTGTTGATGCACGGGGGAAGATGATGCGGGAGACCCTCACCGCCAAGGTTGCCGTCCCGTGATTGATTGGCGCTAGTCCTGATCGGTCAACATCTATTAGTTCGTCTCCGTTTACTTTGTACTACTATTATACATATACCGATGTGAAGACATTGGGGCAGAGTTGAGAGACTTGCTCAGTAAGCTTTAAATTTGAGTCAGATCGGACAGAGAATGCAGACGATCGTCCAGTCTATCGAGCCTTGATCTGAATCATGAACACGGTAGTACTAGCATAGAACGCATGGCGAATAGATGAACTGCTCACTACATCGTATTCTCTATGACATTTATAACGGTAAAAATAATCTCATATTATGGCGGGATTCGTTGACTATCTCTATATAGAAGCGATTCGATGGTCACAGCCCGGGAAGGCTTGGTGAAATAAATCGAAACCTTACTTGTAGACTGTTGAATAAGCCAAATGGGTGCGTAGGGCGTTCAATTGAAGAGCAACTCAAGTCATCACTTCCATGTGAAAGTGCTAGTTGTTGCTGTGGTTGTCGTCGATGTTGTGGTTGAGGTTGTCCGTTTAATGTAGTCAGCCCCGATAAGCCTATCCCCAAACAGACTAGCGCGGGTCCTCTCACATGCCAATCTATCTGAGAGCTCCGCCGTGAGTCGTGACCGTAAGGCGATATTCGCTCCATGCCAACGCGCATTGCCAGCGCTTCTGACCCGGTGTTGGCGATCAATACACGTTTCTATCACTTTATAGGGTGAGTTGCTCTGCTCTGTATCTAAACTGTCGCGTACACGCCAGCCCCTTCAGTGCTGCTGGCCCTTACTCGTCGTCCGTGACTGGTCCACTGCTACATCCACGCACGGGCTTTTATCACCTCTAGCATCAAGCTATTATTACCATTGCTGCCACGCACTTGTTTCGACATTCATGTACTTTGTCTATGTAATATATCTGTCATGAAATGCAAAGTCCCGCGAAAGACTCCGTACAGAGTCGGTGCTGACATGATGCTGAACTGGCAATAGACTCGCCGCACAAGTCAGCCTGCAATGGCTACCGACACATCAGATTTGAATCTGGATGCCCCAAGTGACCTCCAAGATATTCCAGATGGCGACATGCAATTGATTCCGCCCCCTGAAGCAACCTATCCAGACAAGTGAGACCCAGCCACCTCAGCTTCATGACATGAATTGAGCTGATTGTCCCCAAGGACAACCCTTTTAGCAGCAGTGCATGCTCACGGCAAGGCACATGGCTATAGAGTCGTTGTCAAGTCTTCCAGTACACCCAACGACAAGAAACCTGGCAGGACGTCAAAGGTCTGGCTTCGCTGTGACCGCGGCGGCCAGTATCGCCCGCGCAATGGACTCACAGAAGAAACGCGGAAGCGAAGACGCACCTCCCGACTGACAGATTGCCCATTCTCCCTTCTCGCGGCTGGTACGCCGGGTTTCTGGACGTTGACTGTCACTGATCCAACGCACAATCATGGTCCGGTGATTGAAAGGCCGCGGCCGGTTATACAAAAGTTTAAGAAAGGCCAGATTGCGGCTCAGCCGTATGATTGGCCTCATGATGCTACTTTTACGCCTTTTACGACTGCACTTGTCATTATTGATATGCAAAAGGATTGTAAGTACTAGTAGGTTGTCGTTTTGCTACGATATACTGACAGGGTTAGTCTGCGCTCCCGGAGGATACCTAGAGTATCAAGGATATGATATTTCTCCCTCACGGGCGATCATCCCAAGATTACAAAACCTATTACAAAGTTTTCGAGCTGCTGGATTCCCCATATACCATACTCGAGAAGGCCACCGCCCAGACCTTTCCACCCTTTCCAGCAGAGAAAATCATCGATCCCGTAACAACCCATCTGCGCTGGGCATCGGCTCCCAAGGACCACTAGGCCGACTCCTAATCCGCGGAGAAGTGGGCCACGACACCATCGACGAACTCTACCCACTACCCGACGAACCAGTCATCGATAAACCGGGTCGCGGCGCATTTGCTCATACAGATTTTGAGTTATTACTCCGCAACAAGGGCGTCCGAAATCTGCTTCTCACAGGCGTAACTACAGATGTCTGCATTTCCACGACGATGCGCGAAGCGAATGATCGAGGCTTTGATTGCGTCGTTGTTGAGGATGCGTGTGCCGCTACCGAGCCATCGCTGCATGCCAGCACCTTGGATTCCATCAAAATGGAAGGTGGCATTTTTGGAGCCGTGACTTCGTCGGAGGATGTGATGCAAGCTCTGGATACGTTCAAGAGTGTCACTGTGAAGAAACTGGCGCCTCAAATTGCGGCTCAGATGGCGACTTAGTTTCAGGAGTTTTCAGTTCATAGGGCGTTTGAAGCAAGCGGGATATTGGTTGGATGTTATGATATGAAACTTATACTATTTTGATTTCGGCTATTTGAGTCACTAAAAGTATGTTTAGCATATCAATCAAGATGTTGATCATGATAATGGGGTATCACATTGTTATCAGAACTATCTACACAAGAATCCAAAAACGCCACGCTTTCTTTTGAATATAAGAAAATAGACAGAACTATAACCACTTCCTCCCCGCCGCCGTAACCTTCCCCCTGAAAACAGGACTCGTAATCGGCATCCCTTGCCTATAGAACGGACTCATCACCGTTTTGACCCAATTTTCATACACCTCCGTCATGAACTGCCGAATCGCTTCCTCGGTCTGAGGGGATGTGGGATTTGCGGCGATGGAGCTAGAGGTTGCGCGTGAAGTAGCTGCTGCGCCGAGGGTGCTGGCGAGGGAGGATGTGGAGGATGCTATTCCGCCTACACCGGCGCTACCGGCTGATGAGGGGAGTTGGGGCGGTTGGTGGAGGAGGATGAAGCGTGTGCCGGAGGGGGTGAGGAAGGCGGATATATAGGATGCGGTTGGGGGGTAGGTGTCGATGTGTTTGAGGTATCTGTTACCATATTAGTTTGAGCATTTGGCTTGAAAGGGGTGGAGTGGGCTTACAGAGCTCCATTAGTCCATTGCGTCTCCTCGATAATATCCAGACTAGCATGCACGATAAATTGATTCATGTATTGCGCGGAATCGGGGGTGCGGAAACGTGCAACTCCATCGCCGCCTGATTTGGAGGTGCCGAATGTCAGGCTGAAGAGGGGGACGTCTGTGGCGGAAAGGATTGTGAAGTAATATGACATGGTGACCTTGAAATTTGGAATTGAGTAGCTGAACGAAATATCGAATTGGAGAAGCGAAGATGTTAGTAGAGCTATCAATGGCGGTTTAAGCTTCATGCCGCGTGGATTTACTGTTTGTATTGTGCCTATCAGCACGTGACTTATCGCGGTGGAGATAAGGATAAGGATGGACCTCCGCGGCTTTTGGCGCAGTCCGACATACTGCATCAGGTTGCGGAATAGAGGACAAGTCATATTTTTGACTTTACAGGCCACCAACCTATTTCTACTTTTGAGTTTCGTGCAGACAGCTCTTACAAGACCGTCTTACAATGCCACCCAAAATTTCTCTGGGCATCAACCTCTCCAAACCGAACAAACTAGCCAAATCATCGCCTTTCGGAGTCCAAAGTAAACCACTAGCAGCTGGTCAAAAGCGCAAAAAAACAGTCTTCGGCGACTCGGATTCTGAGAGCGACCGAGTCGAGCTACAAGCAAATAACAAGCAGAATGGTGCAATCGAAATAACAACATTGGGAGGATTGGGCGACGAGGAAGAGAATAACAAACATGAAGACTTTACGCCACGGAAAGTGGCGCGGACTACTCCTCAACTTGGAGGCGCAAAGCCGGCTTTGAAAGTCAAGTCGTTGAAGAGTAGTATATTCGACGACGAGAATGACGAAGGACAACAACAAGGAGTGAAAGAAACAAAGACCTACGGCCTTCAAAAGCCGGCGGCAGCAGCAGGCCCAACAGAACCGGAATACAAAAATCTCGCAGCCCTACATACAAGCCGAAAACATGCTCAACAAGCCGAAGAAATCGACCCCTCTATATATTCCTACGACGCCGTATACGACACCATCAAAGCGAAACGTGAAAACAAGAAAAAGTCCACCAACGAAGAAGGTGACGAAGGCGAAGGATCCAGTAAATACATGTCCGCTCTGATGCGAACCGCCGAAATCCGGAAACGAGATCAATTGCGCGCGCGGGATAGACTGTTAGCGAAGGAGCGGGAAGCGGAAGGGGATGAGTTTGCAGATAAAGAGAAATTTGTGACGGCCGCGTATAGGGCGCAGCAGGAGGAAGTGAAGCGCATGGAAGAGGAGGAGGCGAGGCGGGAGAAAGAGGAGGAAGAGCGAAGGAGAAGGAATGGGGATTCGGGTATGATGGGATTTTATAGGCAGATGCTGGCGAGGGATGAGGAGTCGCATGGTGAAGTCATGAAGGCGACGGAGGAGGCGGCGAGGAAAGTTGCTGCTGGAGAAGTGGTGGAGAGTGAAGAGCAGCAAGATGCCAAGGAGAAATCGGAGGCGCAGATTGCTGCTGAATTGAATGCAAGAGGGTCTAATATTGTTGTCAACGACGAGGGCCAGATAGTCGATAAACGTCAATTGCTCAGCGCGGGCCTGAATGTTGCGCCTAAACCAAAGGCGAAACTATCAGATGCGGCTCGTGCGGCATCGGTAGTTCGTCCTGGAGCTCGACCCGGTGGACCATCAAGAGAAGTATTCGCTTCTCGAGAGGCCCAACGTGCTCGTCAGACTGAGATGATAGCTGCGCAGCTAGAAGAAAAAGCTAGACAAGAGGAAGAAGCTGACCAGGCGCGGCAGAAAGAATTGGCGGAGAAGACCAAGAGTCGTAAGACAGAGACGGATGTTTCAAGTGCTCGTGAGCGATATCTGGCGAGAAAGAGGGAGAGGGAGGCGGCTCAGAATAAGGGATGATATGTCAGATACGGTCCTAATACAGGGGAAGCTTATAATATACTGCAGTGTACGAGACATGTTTGAATAGTGATAACAATAAATACAGCTCATAATCATAATAATATCATAAATCCATATAAATATAAGACATACCAGGAAAACGCCTCCGTATACCGCCCAGTCTTGATTTGAACGCCTCTCATATCTATATATTTTCTCTTCTTTTCATTTTTCATGTTTGCTCGATTTTGTATCATGCAGTTAATGCAAAGCTGATTCCTAACAGCCCCATGCCTGCAATAGCCGAAAATATGCAAATGTTGGGGTTATGTGTCAAACTTAGACCCTCGCTGAATAGATGAAAGCCTACATAGGTCATGATACCCGCTGTGGCAGCGAACATGCCTCCGTATACACCCCAGGAAGTTCCTTCGGTGACTTCTTTGCCTCGATTGCTGTACCAAATCCAAAGGGCTGCGAGACCGGCGCCGGCTGGTTGGCTGATTCCTCCTAGCAGACTTGCCCAGATGATAGCTTTTGTTCTTGACCGAATGGCCAAGAAGAGAGGAAGAGCAAGAGCAAATCCGTCGGTGATATTGTGAATAAAAAGTGCAATGAAGACAGTCATTCCTAGTGTTGGACTAGCGTGGTTGGTGGCATAGGTAATGAATCCCTCGGGAAGCTTGTGTAGAGCAATAGCCAATGACGTCTGCAGGCCGATAGAAAGAAATGCATTCTGAGGAACGTGATGATGGTGCGGTGAAGAATGGCTCGCATGGTCGTCGAATAGTTTGCCTGCTGACTCCTGGCTTCCAGTGGCAGTCCGTTCTTCGTCTGCCTGTTGAGATGAATGTCGAGATGAGGTAGAACGTTGAACGTCTTGCGAAAAGTAATCGCTCCGTTGCGGCTCGCCGTCTGGTCGATGAATCTCAGTTTCGTCTTGAGCGACAAGCGGCGCGTGTCGAACAGTCAAGGGCGTGTCGGGTTCATCTGCCCGCATCCTTGGCTCTGGCTCACTGACTGCCGGAGATGCCGGCTGTGTCTGATTAATTGAGCCTGTTCCGTCCATCCAAAAGAACGTTTTCCGAGGACCTAGCACTTTTCTACAATCTGTCCCGCAGGTCTGAGAGAAGCCATAGCATGGTCCATTCTCGTCGCAAACATCTTTTGTGATCCTAAGAAATTGCGAGACCCGGCGGCCGAATATTCTCCCGGCGGAACCGCGAGAGAATGTCCGAAATGGAAGTCCGCTCGTGCTTTTCGTACGGAGAGTCTGTATTGGTCGTATGTTGTGGCCAGTGCTAGGAAGGAGAGGTGTCTGCTCGTTTATTTCCGTGATCGGATTATTTTCTTCAGTCGGATGTTTGTGATGGTGATGATAGTGGTGGTATTGCTGATGTTGATGTTGATGTTGATGTTGATGTTCCTCCTCAATACCCTGCTCTATATCACGGTCATGCGATTCATGCGTGTGTGTACAGTCAACGACGTGCGAGGGTATATAACTATGGGCGATGTGCGAGAAGATGCTGATACCGATCACACCCGCTATGAAGAGTCCGATCAAGGTAAACGCAGCGACAGAGTCTGACAGTCCCGATCGAGAGAGATATCTCTTCGCTGTAGGTAGCATACTATATAATGATGAAAATACCTGGAAATCTTAGCGGTCCGACATCAGCAGAGGATAAATTCCATGATTGAAAACCTACCATGACTCCAGCACTCAGGCCCATTGACGATGAAAGAAAGGTGGTATTGGTAGTTATATCGAAGCTTCGAATTCGAAAACATGATCGCAATATAATGTCCACGCAGATGATGCTGGCACCGATAACACAAGCTTATGATGTCGTCAGTACGTTCCAACAGTAACAAGAGCATGTTCCACAGAGCACAGAAAGACGCACCAATACCGGCGACACCACTCATCACCCAGCCCCGGTTGTCATTTGCATCAAGCCCCATGTTGGCCGATGATGTGCGTAGAGGTTTAGCGTAGGGATGTAGGAGGAGAAAGGAAAGAGATCCGGGGAATGTTGCAGCAGATTTAGTATGTACGGCGAATGATGTAAGAGGGTTGCTCTTTCCGCAACGACGCGCCACACACACACACTCACACTCACTCTCTCTCTCACTCTCTGTACCTCTCTTTCTGTTGAAGAGTATTTCAGGTCATGGTGAAAAGCTATGCTTTATAGACATTCGGTGTTGGTTCATGTTATTCAACAGAGGAGAGATGCTCCATACATTTACTCCATTACCAACCCTCACTAGCGGTCGAGCTATCGTCCCCCAAGGTACGCATTCTGATCACAAGGTCGAGACTCGACCGCGCCTTTGTCCAATAAAGGCGTACTGACCGAGCAGGCATTGCCAGGCAACAATGACCGTACGATTTCTATTGTGAAAGTATCCAGACATCTACTCGAAAGCAATATATCTCTAAGATCTGATCAMAAAAGACAAGCCGAGATAAGATGGAGCAAATCCGACAGGTGCAAAATAAGCAGGCGGTGATTGGCTGCGGCAGAGGGCAGCGCGCTTTCCTTTCCCACGCGGTCTGGCCATCTGACTTACACCACCACAACAACTTCAACATCGCTGTTGCACGATCGACAAGGCTGCCACTTGGTCATCTGCCGGGCTAGCTTGAGGAAGCCCTATTTATTTCGACTGCCTCTGCCTGAAGCTCTGGGTTTCTCCACAGCCAAACTTTTCGCGCCATTTTTTCTTTTTTTTTTCCCGGTAGACAAAATCGACCATGTCCAAAACAACCTTTGCCATCTTTGCTGCTGCCGGCGCAGCTACCGGCGCAGGCGTCACAGCTCTCCTATATTCATCAAAATCCCGTCAACCTACTCCTCCTCCCGCAGCTGCGCTGGCAGTCCCAGCTACCACCTCCACGTCGACCGCCGTCCCGCCCATCCATGCTCCCACGCCTTCTCTAGCCGCCAAAGCTTCTACTGCAGCTCCCGTCGACCCTTCAGGCTTACTGCAATATGGCTTCCCAGGCCCTGTCAGCGACCCTCTCAACACACTCCCCTTGACAGGCGCCTATGACCGACGAATGCGCAACCCGTCTTGGGTCGCCGAACACATCACCCCATTCTCCCTCTCCCTCAAGAACGCAGACCGCAAACACAGCGTCTTCGTCGAAGATACCACAATCCCAACCATGTTTCGCGGTAAACTGTCCGACTACTTCCGCTCTGGCTATGATCGAGGCCACCAAGTGCCCGCCGCAGACGCCAAATGGAGTCAAGACGCAATGGACGCCACATTTGCGCTTAGCAACATGTGCCCTCAAGTCGGCGAGGGGTTCAACCGGGATTACTGGGCTCATTTCGAGGATTTCTGTCGCAATCTCACCAAGAAGTACCCATCCGTTCGCATTGTGACGGGACCCTTGTACTTACCCCGCAAGGAAGCCGATGGCAAGTACAGAGTTACTTACGAAGTAATCGGTGAACCGCCCTCCATCGCCGTACCCACACATTTCTATAAGGTCATCTTTGCGGAACACGGCACAAACCCCGCGGACAAGGTTGCTCTAGGAGCTTTTGTGCTTCCTAACGCTAAAATCCCAAATACTACGCCCCTGACGGACTTTGAGGTCCCCGTTGAGGCTATTGAGCGCGCTAGTGGGTTGGAGTTTGCTACGAAGTTGGACGCTTCTCGTCGTCGACGGCTGTGTCAGGAAGTCAGCTGCGGTATTGTTGTAAGAGAGTTTAATAACTCCCAGAAATCACTGCCGGCACCTAGGCGATAATTGTCCAATGCTGCTCTTAGTTCGGAAGAGAACTTGTGTCTATATTGTACTTATTATGCATTTCAAGGCGTTCATAGAGCCCACATACAATTAGGTCTATAATCCATTGATTCCAACTTTTAAATAATTTTGTCCTCGATCAACATTGGAAAGCAACACCCTGCTTCTTAGCCATGTTACTCCCCCCCTTCGCGAATCCGGTTCCCTCGGACTTGATCTCCACCAAACCCGGTCTGATTTTATTATTCTTCTCCTCTTTGCGTTTAGTTTTTGACGACTTTGCGGGCGTAATATCCGTTTCGCAAACGTAGCATAGCATTCGTCCTAATTCTGATTCCCCTTCTGCTGGTATTGTTCGATGCGGATCGATGGTGGTCTCTGGAGTCATGAATTTGGTCACGCAGGGTTGACAGATTACATGTCCGCAGGGTTTCGTAACTATTTCATACAGTTAGCTCCAGTAACTTTAGGCGAAAATTGAAGAAAAGGGAAAAGAGGACGCACGCATAGCCTTCAACCCATTCGTCAAACCCTTCTTACAACTCGGACATATCCGTGATATCGTTCCAGAATCAGTCTTCTCCTCTGTGAAATGAACATCGACTAGTGTCTTGAGCGAGTATTCATGTCTTGTCTCTTTCGTTGATGCGGGACATATAGGCGACAACTTTAGATTCTTTCTCGAGGCTGCTTCGTTCTCTGTCCCCGGCGTTTCGGACGGGATCCAGAATGATGGTAGTGCCGATTTCGCTTCTGCCTATACTACTTATCAGCACCATAAACATAGTCGATAGAAGGGGACAAGGTGTATACCTTCTCCATCTCAATCTTCCTCTTCAACCTCTCCAGCTCGGAATTCGCATAGCGCGCGATCTCCGCCTCACTCAACTCAAACACCTTCCTCCTCTTACCATTAACCTCAATTTCTTTCTGCCGAAATGCTTCCGTCGCCGCATCAATCCTCGCCTCCGTCGTCAATTCCTCTTTCCCATTTCCCTTCTCGGACTCCTTCTCCATAGTCGGCGCTTTTCTTTTCTTGTTGTTTTCTGATTTACTCCCCTCGAGCCCCATACTAACCAGCTCAAACTCCTTCAATTCCCTCTCGCGCGCTTCCTGCATCATCCTTGCCTCATCCTCCGCACTTCTGCGCACAGATTCCTCCCTCTCTTTCTCTAGGCGTTGAATTTCCTTCCTTTGCGCTAGAAGATCGTTAATCGCGCATTCACGACAAAACAAATCCCCGTTAGTGGCGCAGGCGACTACCGGTGCGCGCGCCGGTTGCAGGCATAGTTGACATGATCCAAAAGGCAAGAAGGATTCGCGCGAGAGGCGGGTGCTTTGAGTGCCCCAGTTGGAGCGTAAGAGGGAGCGTTCGTAGGATGTGAAGTGGGGCAGGGAGGTGTTGCGTTTGGAGTGTGCCATTGTTCTTCTTTTATTATGTCTCTATATGAGTTCAATTGTTGAGGTAGATATAAAGTCGGAAATTCGACGGAATTCATGCGGAGTAGAAATTGAAATATGGGTCCGTCAATAGCTCAAATGACGTTCATCAAGTGGGTCTACGTTTACCCCAATCATAACCCTAATCGTAGTTGATTGAAAAAAGTAAACAAATCATTTCCTACACTCTAAAGCTCATGCTCATGCTCATGCTCCGCTCGTTTTGCCCGAAAGGAAAAGAAAAAGAACCCGTAAAAAAAGACATATCGTCTAACAAAAAGGTAGACCAGAACTAGTTAATCGCTATGTTGAGGAGTCATATAAAGTAGATCCAATCCATTGCACACCGAAAGTCAGGAAGACGGGAGAACTCCTAGTGTATTCCTTGACCGAGAGAAGAAGAAAAAAAAGGTCCTTGATGTGCGTGGTTGTATGTATGGTGAGGAATGAGATGGGGTATCAAGAGCAACGAAAGGAAATGAAAGAAAATGTAAAGGCATCGAACTCGACATGAACTTTTAGTAATTTGGTATAATCATGCGCCAACAGCTTGCTCATGAGAGTTCAGTCTTGGTTGTTCTTGGCCGGAGATTGGTTCCACCAACTCTCCATTATCGTGGCTGGCAAGGTTTTCGCTGGGGATTTCGTCTGTGGTAGCTGAGGTCGTCGACGTTGGAGCATTTGCCGGTTCAGCAAATTCAGCGTCTTTGCCGTTATTAGAAGGAATAGCCTCCTGTTGATTTTGCTTTTCTTCTTCTTCTTCCTCCTCTTTCAATAGCACGTCCATTGACGGAACCTCCGGAATGCCGTTGTTGACTGATATGCTATCGACAAAACGAGAACTCCGCGCAGTCGCCGTGCTGGCACTGCGCATTGACTGTGGTCGACCGCTATGCACCGATGCAGAACTGATCGATCCACGTGGGTCACGAATGAGGTTGGTGTCAGACGCCCTGGCTTCTTCGGATGCCGCAGGTTTGCGCAACTTCAGCCTCTCCTCTGCAGAAATGTTCTGCCACTCAGAACCAAATGTGATAACAGAAGCCTTCTTTCCGTGCAAAGTAAAGTTGGCGTCTTTCCTGGACAATCCCTCGCCTTCACCGCCAGCAGGACTATCCACAAGAGGGATACTGGAGGCAGAGTCTCTACCTTTCTTGCTGCGTTGGTGATTTGGTTTGTGGTGTGAGTCTCTCAGAGTTCGCTGCAAGCTACGGCGGTGGCTGCTGAGACGATGGTCTGTATTAGAGTCAGACTTTTCATCAACATGTTTCTCAGAGATTTCGGCGTCATTTCCAAGCTTGGGAGACGGATTAGGCGAATCTGCTGGTCCGTCAACTCCGAGAAGGCCAGCTTCACGGAGGACTCGCTCTTCGCTGTCGTCAACATTCGTCGTATTCATTGGCGTTGTCGAGCTAAGGATGCTTGAAGCGGGTCCTTCGCTTCTACCCCCTGAGCTCAGAATTGATGGTTCTCTATTCAATGACCCGGAGCCACCACCGGGGGGAGCTTCAGACATGGGCGAGACAGGTGCATGCTTCTCATCAAACGGCTCAGAAGTGATAGAGGGTGAGTTTAGACGGTAACCATCCGGTATAATAGGTGACAGGAACTCGTTCGATATGACTGTGCTCTCCGGTAGCATTGGAGAAGCAGGCCCGACAGAAGTCGTTTCACTTATCGAAGGGGCTGTAAGTAGAGAATGAGTAGAATTGAGCCGAGCCAGTGATGTATTCAGTCCAGGGGATACCGGCTTGACAGTGGTGAGTGACGATCGTTTTTGTGCATCAGACGACTTTTGATCTATACCCAAATCCATTGAAAGAAAATGATTGTAGCATCTGGTTCGCCACATATCTAATCGAACCCAGCGAAGTTTGGCAGCTATGCGACCAGCGGCCAGGATGACATTTTCTCGTGCTCTGGTATTGACAGGAGTTAGCAGCTGAAGGTGTCTAGCATTTCTAAGAAGGTCGTCGAGTTGGTTCTGGTAGCCCGTCAATTTTTCATCCTGCTCAGCAATTCTTCGAGACATTAACTGCTCGCGTGCGGCAGACATCTCCTCGGCAAGGCGCACGTCAACGTAGTCTTTGGTCTCAGGAGCAGTTCCATCGCTTTGCAACTGTGATGACACCGAACGAGTGGAATCCATASGAGCCATATTCTGATGCTTCTGACCTTCGTACCGTGCCCCGACGGTCGATTTCAAAGGTACACCCGTTGTCCTGAATGTTGCCGCATAATTCAATTTGGCCAACCAGTCGTTCATGTCGGCATCAGAATTGGCAAGAAATACCTCTTCTAAGCCGTTGTGACGGACTAAAAGAAAGGCGTGTTTGTGCTTCTTATAGCTTGAATCAATCAGGCCGACTGCATCTGACGTTGACATTATCGTATCCGGCTTGAAATCGGTAACAGGGGGTGTAAACACCACCGGCAGCCGAGATCCGCGTTTGCGTTGGTTCTCATACTGCGACATGAGAGATTTTGTCCAATACAGATCACGGAAGAAGTACAGCTGAGATGAAGTCAAAAGGGCACCCCATTCTTGCCACGGGGAGCGAGCCCTCTTCTTTCTCGGATCTTTACGCCATAGTAGACCCACTTTCACGACTTTTATGTCGACCAAGCCAGGATGCGAATCAGCCATGTCTTCCATATTGGTTGAAGTCATGAACGCATCCGGTCGAGATCGTGCCGAAACAATCTGCAGAACAGCGGACCTGAAGAAAGCTTGATGTAAGGGCTCAATATCTTTGAATCCTTCTGAATCCGGGAAACTATAAGGGTCATCGATATTCATCACCTCTTTTAAGCCGGGGCGTAGTGTGTCTAGTTTTCCATCCAGTATAACCGCATACGGATCAACAGGCTGGCTTGACGTTCTTGCTAGGTGATCGGAGCTCGCCACTTTGAGAAGGCCTTTTCTTTTTGGAATCTGGCGAGTACTGAGATTTAACTCATCTTCGACATGAATGAAAGGTGTATAGGCGATGTTTTCGTAGAAGCACTCGAGAATTTCTTCAGAGACCCCATCGATGCGTGAGTTCCTTACATAATCCTGTTTCTGCATCTTTCGTTTGTTGTTTTTGTTGAACACGTCCGTGTGTAGGATCAGAATGGAAAACGCTATGAAGTATGTTTGATCTATGACAATTAGCCTCCCTTTGTGTTTCGATCTGTACGTAGGGTAAGAGGTTAAGTACCTGTGGTAGCAAAAACGCCAGGGTTGCACTCATAGTAACGATCCGCAAACCCTTGCAAAAATCTATCAATCTGTTGAGTTTCCTTTGGCAGTTCCGCTTCCATCAGCAGTTTGCGAATCGCCATATCAATCGGTTCACCGAAGAAAGCAAAAGTTCGCATAAACTTCCGTAACGCAACTTTATAGAAATCGTCGTCGGATTTGGACAATATTATGCCAATTGATCCTTTCGGGACGGACTCTTGAAGTTTGGTAAGATACGTTGCAGGAGTATCATCTTCTTCTCGGTCTGGAGCTATGACTGCGGTCCGTGAGGCCGATGCAGAGCCGTTTTTGGTTACCGAAGTAGGGGTTCCAGGAGCGCGAGGGCTGCTACGACCGTCCCGCTGGCTTGAAAACTCTGAGTTCTGCCGTAATCTGTTGCCCAAACCAAACAAATCCCCGAAGCTCTTTCGTCCGTTTGTAGAAATTGAGTTTCGACCTGATGGTAGATTAGATGAAGAATTATTGAGATCCTCTCCATTGCGAGAGGCCTCAATAAACGAGTTCAAGGTCGACGACCGTCCACGCCTTCCCAAGCGAGCCTTGGCCGATGACGCCGAATGTCCAGAGCGGGCAGACGTTGTCGAGTCCTTGCGTAGGAGAGGATTTTGGTTGGAAGGCTTCGGTGAGGCTAGTTTAACAGAGGATTGTGTAGGAGAGGGTAGCGGTGATATTTGGTCGCCGTCTGCTCCGTCAGGGGTAGTTGGGTCCATCGAAGTCCTTTCACTGTGGCCGCCATTCGAAATAGGGGAGGTTCGACCGCTGTGTGAATTGCCAGCGCCCGGTGGAGGAAGTTTGACCGGAAGAGGGAAGAGGTTTGCTCGACTTTTCATTAGGCGTGGCATATGGAGTTTTTTGATAGGATGTGGAGCATCGCCCTTCACCGGATTCCTGTCAATTGAGCCCTGATCAGACCGAGATGATTCAGAAAAGCGCATGTCTTGCTCTGACGGATTGTTTGTAGTTCCGCTTTGGTATGTGGAAGTAGAAAGACGACCGGGTTCTTCGTGGCTAAGGCGGGTGTGGCCCAGGGTTTGTGAAAGCGGCGTCTTTGCAAGACCAGGCCCGCTGGCGTTGCCCATCTTTACGACTTCTCGGGATGATTTCCTGGAGAGCGGATTTCGAAGCCGGCTTTTGCGTGCGGATTTTTCCAGATTGGAATTAGTTGGCGCCGTTGTTATTATTGTCGGCGCTATTACACCTCCATGTTAGCACGGCGCAACTTCTAGACTCTGGGCAGAAACTTACGTGGAGGAATCTGAGGCATTGGCGGCACATCTTTCTCGCTCTGAGAGTATGTGACAGAAAGCTGAGGATCAGAGGCATGGCGGAAGCGTAACATGCTGAATCTGTTTCTTTTCATGGATGCACTAGTCTCCGAGGTACTAGCCACCGAGAAGCCGGTTATACCACTCCCATGGTTGGAGTTATCACGATCGTATATACTTGGTCTTTCTACCTTCTCGCCATCCACTACTGTGTCATCTTCCACATTGGGGCGAGGACCGGAGTCGGATACACGTCGGTCTAGTTGAGAAGACGACGGCGAGGGACGGGGAACGTGTTCGCTGCGACGCGCATGAGGAGCAAATATCAAGCTATACCGTTTGTTATCATTTCCATCCGATGAGGCGAGCCTGGCTCGAATGCGATGCATGACGACGGGTGGTGGATCTCTTTAAGGGCTGGCTCCGGATAGCTCATGCTCTGACGACGCACAATCGGTTGAGCAGCAGACTTATGACTCTTGCATGGCTGTTATTGTGATGAGGAGGAAAGCGGGACGAGATCGCCTCGAAGTAAATATGTTGTTGGAGAGAGATATGTTCCTGGATGTGACGTGGTAAGACGGAAGAGTGCGGGTTTCTGGTTATCCCCTGAAAGTGGCCGATGCCGATGTCAGCAACGGGAGGGGCACGGTTCTGGATGGATGGAGCGAATTAGCAAGGCTGAAGCATCAGGTAGGTAATATCATGCCATCGAAACAAGCATTTAATTAAGCCAGCTCGATCGATCAACAGGTCTGGGGAAGATCGAGACTGGGCATTGGCAGAGGGAAGCAGCGGATAATTAGGTCATCTCACCAGGTCGGCGGTGTTTGGGTCCGGAACTGTTTACTGTTTTCCTATACGGGTGCCGAGAACTGGTGTCCGGAGAGTGGTTGCTGTGATATCTTTTCAAGTATCGATCAGAATTCATGAAAAAGCCGTTCGCCTGGATGGAAGTAGCGGGCGTGAACATGGAGAATCTTGATCGAAGGCGTTCAAGGTCAAGCAATCCACCCAAGTGGTAAAGTAGTAACGCTGGCTCTTAGTGTGCTGTACGGTACGGTTACGGTAACGCACGCCGTAAATACCTTCCCGAGAGTCTGGTTTGGTCGAGACTCTGTCCATTCGCTGTCTGTCAACTAATTACACGAATTATGATTCGCAGTCCTACCACTCGGATTTCTCCTCATACGACTACATTAGTACATATGATGTGACTGCAGGCCTAGATACAATCGGATTGTGGGACGCCGCGACTCGCAGTGGAAACAACAGACAGCCTAGAACCAGCACTTGCCACTGTATGCACCCTGGTTTCAGGGCTGATACAGTTGCGTACTGGATGAAGAATCTTCCTGATAAACATTTTCCAGCAGTCTAGACCTACAAATTGTACGCCATTTCGCTGCTTGCAGTCAGCCATCGAACTATTTTGATACTTTAGCAACTTCTAATGCGAGGATCTAAAACAATTGTAATGAACAAGCGTAAAAGACTATTAACTATGTAGTTACCTAGTATCGAAATATGAATTTGTGGTGGGGAAGCCTGAGCAATGGAATGCTTCAGCCTGGGGCGTTTCTTTGGTCAAAATCCACCCGTAGATAAGCCGAGAGAGGCAACCACCGACGTACATCAACTACAAGAAATTCGCCCCCTCCACGCTTCACACGAATACGACCCTCTATGCTGCTCCATTGAATATCTGGGGGCTGCCTCCTTGGCGTCGCTTCTTGGAATACCGATTCTCAACCACAGTATGTATAGGCATGTCTTCGTCGTCCTGTGCGCCGTGCTCTTCGCCGGACAGACAACCGCCGTTCCTGCTGGGACTGGCATCACCCATCCACACTCGCAACCATTAGGGCCTTTCGAGCCTGTACGCTTCGCTTCGCAATCACAAACACAGATCGCATCCTCTCGAGGTCCCTTCACATGGCTTCGAGATTCAGTCATCGAACGGATATGGGGCATTGACAAAGAGAAACAGTCGCTCAATAAACCCGGACCCCGACCCCGGCCGGAAAAGTCATGGAGTCGATACGGAAGCGATATCGTTTTGCGCATTGAAGTCCACAACGCAGAGGAAATCGAGGCTTTGGCAGATGCCGTCAACATTCTCTTTTTGGATGTTTGGGACTCAAATGAGAATCATGTAGACATACGCCTTGCGAAGGAAGTGGTGAGTAGTGGACAGCTGCCGCACTATCGCTGTACAAGTTCTTACTTCAACAGGTTCCCTCATTGCTTGGACTGCTTCCGCGATCTCTCCAAAAATCATACACCTTACTCATTGAAGACCTATCGAAAATGATCTACGAATCGCAATACCCAACCTCCGGTTTCAAGCATCACAAGAACGGCCAAAGCACTAGCCACACGGATCTACGATCAGCCGATGTAACTGATATGTTCTTCGAGAGATACCAGAAGTTCCCCGTGATCCTGCAATGGATGCGCTTACTTGTGTCCATGTTCCCAGAGCAAGCAAAACTTGTCAACGTCGGAGTTACTCATGAGGGCCGCGATATTCCGGCCCTCCGACTTGGTGTACGTGATGACGAAAACGAAGAACCAAACAAAGAAACAAAGGAAGAACCACGGAAGACAGTCATGATCGTAGGAGGATCGCACGCACGAGAATGGATCAGTACGTCGACAGTTGCCTACGTTGCCTTTCAACTACTCACCGAGTATAACAAATCACTTCCCGTCACCAAACTGCTGAAGGAATTTGACTGGGTTCTTGTTCCTACGATTAATCCTGACGGGTATGTTTACTCGTTCGAAATGGATCGCCTATGGCGCAAAAGCAGACAGCAGACAGCACTCCCTTTCTGCCCCGGAATAGATTTGGATCGTGCTTGGGGCTACGAGTGGGATGGTGAGGGGACACGTGCAAACCCTTGTTCCGAAAGCTATGCGGGTAACGCCCCTTTTGACAGCATAGAGATCAGGACTATCGCCGAGTGGGCATATAACGAAACACAAAGCAAAAAAACAGAGTTTATCGGCTTTTTGGATCTTCACTCTTATTCTCAGCAAATTCTCTATCCTTACTCATATTCCTGTGAAAGCGTGCCACCGTCGCTAGAAAATTTGGAAGAGCTGGCATACGGCATTGCCAAAGCAATCAGAATGACCAATCAAGAATCGTACAGTGTCGAATCAGCATGTGGAGGAATCGTAACGACCGACAAGGGAACTGGTCAACGGGTTTCAACCAAAGTCGAAAGCACAGGTGGCAGTGCACTCGACTGGTTCTATCATCAGCTCCATGCGAAATACTCGTACCAAATCAAGTTACGCGACAAGGGAACGTGGGGATTCCTCCTTCCTCCAGAGCACATTGTGCCCACGGGCCGAGAGATCTTCAACTCAGTTCTGGTACTTGGTCACTTTTTACTGGGCAACAGAGCAAATGATTTTGAATGGTCATTCATTTCAGGATCTGGATCAGCAGAGAAAGAAAACAGCTCGCCTCGCATATTTGATCATTCGTTCTTCGAGACAAACACGGAAGAGCTAGATAAGCCGCATGATGATGATGATAATGGCGACTATTTTTCGGCGGTAGAAGACAATGTATATCAAGACGAGGGCTGGGGATTGTGGTAAGATTATGAAATTGTATTTACATGTAACCTGATATATTGCTTGTGTATTCTCAAGGAGTTGCTTGATACCATGGACAAAAATTGCTATTTTGATTAAGTGATGACTATGGATTGTGTCTATATGTGACCTGACACACTGCTTGGTATTATCGGGGTGTTTTTTGATACCATTGACAAAAATTACTACATATTCTGATTAGTTTTTCCATGTGTCAATACTCAGGACAGTAGATGATATGAAGTTGTGGTGGTGTTAGGGTTATGGCAGGCGTCCGTTTCCGGCGATGACGAATAACCTCATACATCATCACTCTCGGCCATGGACCGGTAGCTTAGATTTATGAAGTCTAAATAAATAACTCGTGCGATATTCCGGAGATTCCGTGTGTGGAAGTCTCCTTAATTGCATCGAATCTCATCCCCTAGGGCTGTAATGTATGGGACACTGGACGAATCTATACAATCCGACAAAGAGAAACATTTGAATACTAGACAAGGATATAGACCATGTCCATCGAATACACTTCACAAAATCATCACCACCATGATCCCGCATTCCGGCAGCACCGACATACTACCAACGACGGCTCCTCCTATTTTCGCACTCTGATCTGGGGCCTATACAAATACAACCAATACACCGACTTCACAATTCGCATTAGCGGCTCTGTGCAGGAGTTTCATGTTCACCGCGCTGTCATTTGTCCTCAGTCGAAGATTCTTGAGGCTGCTTGTCGGGGGGGTTTTATCGTATGTCCCATTCTCTCAAAGAAAGAAGGGTTTGGAGACTAATGAGGGATAGGAAGCATCGACGAATTCTATAACGCTTACAGATGATCCAGAGATTGTGGAGAGGATGATACGGTATTTTTATACGCATCGGTATTATGATCAAGAGGATTGGAAGTTTGAATGTTGCGATAATGGGATTAAGAGGATTCGGCAGCATTATTCGGAGATGGGCGTTGTGTTTGTGTTAGATGATAAGAACGACGACAAGGGCAATGATGAGGATAATGAAGGCGATGAGGAGGAAATGCACATGTCTCATTTAAGCAAGCATGGGCTTGATAACAGCCGGAGAAACTCATCGCCTACCTCCCCACCCAAATCGTTACATGTCTACGCAATTGCGGACAAATACCTCATCAACCCGCTGAAAGATCTGGCACGAACACGATTCACAAACTGGGTGAGTAGTCACTGGTGGACAAAGGGTTTTGTAGCCGCCGCCCGCGAGATCTTTGACAATGAAACGGGGAATTATGAAGATCTCAAGGAGGTGGTTTTATCAGCTATTACATTACACGCAGATACTTTACTCTGCGGTAGGATCAACAGCAGCAGCAGCAACAACAAATACAATGACAGAGATGAAGAAAATGAAATCAACAAATTCATGCAGGACTACAACGAAGTCAGCCTCGAAGTCCTCCGCCGCACTCTCGACAGAACCCGGATACGGCAACGCGGACTAGAAGTCGAATGTGCAGACCTAGAATCGAAGGTGAAAGCGCTGAAGATCGAGAATAAGAAGATTGCCACGTTGCAGAGTCGGAATAACAGTCTCAACAAAGAGTTGTTGGAAATTAAGACGGTGGTGCTGGCGTGGAAGAAGGATTTGAAGGATTTTGGTGGTGGTAATTCAAAGGGCAGCAGTGGTGGGCAGAATAGTAGCAGAGTGCAATGACAAAGGGGCAGTGGTAATAATAATAGTAGCTGAATGCATTGTTGAATCTACTACGTAACATCTATTCCAACTTTTACGATTCTGCAACATATTTATCCTCATCTCACCCAACGATCAGAACCGCTTCAGTATGCTTCAGGAACTTCTACTCATCCGGAACGACAATAGCGTTGTATTCAGGATCGGTGAAGATCCAATGATTCCCGCAATTGGCAGATCGAGAGCATGACTCGTATATGAAGCGAACCTTCAGCATGAGGATCTTCAAGACTCCTAGCCCACATTGTTACAGCACTATCGAAAGGAGCTACCAAGGATAGCCCCAATGCAGACAAATCGATCTTTTCGTCGACATGGAGTTGGGAGTATTTGTCGAGTTTCTGTGCGATGAATGAGACCGACAGCCAGATTTTGGGCCAACTATACATGGCATGCTTATTAGCTACAAAAGCGGCTTTTCAAATGGGTTGATGAGTGAGCACTGCGGTATGATAACTCGCTATTTGTGAAACTCTTCGTGGGTCTTGTCGTCCCTTTTGCTCAGCAGGAATGTAATGCGTACGATTTTAGTCATGGTATTGGTTTTAAAAGGCGGTTGATAGTGGTGGTAATGGCGGGGRTGATAATAGAGCTCGTACTAATCTTCCTTTTGTTAAATTTAGGAACAAGTGTCTATCAACAAGGTACTTGAGCATCCTTTTATAGCTAGCATGCTCAGAGAACCATATGGAGCAGTCGGGCTGTCTCATCTCCCGAAAAGAACATTTCTCAGGACCCAGGTCGAAGACCCTGCTAATCCACCTTCCTCAGATGGCTATACAGAACACTCGTCAGCAGCCACCTCTGTGAACCAAGCATGGGCAGTAGCAGGCCGGCTGCATGAAAGAACACGACAAGGGACGGAAATGTTATATCGACGCCATAGTAAAGATTGTAAGTCCTCAGTTCTTCTTCAATGCACTAGTGCATCCCCGAGGATCAATTGTTTAACAGGTTCGTCGATTTCGCAGACGGTTTTGATCCAGAAGACCACTTGGAAGAGAACGTGATATCAACAAGTATCTCCTCCCAGTAGCGCATCCGGAGTACAGCGAACGGCATGCACTCAATCAGGCTTTAGGTGCATGGCACAAGAAAACTGAGCATGATGCGTGCGATGGTCTGTATGGCTGGGCTCACTGAATGTTGCTGATTGGGAGGGAAATAGGTAGTGGAGGTATTGGATTTCATATTACTCGTCATTTATCGACACGTTTAGTGTTATCTTTGCTTACAGAAGAATCCCTTTTTTTTTTTGCTTTTTACTCGTATCGTGCTTGCTTGGTGACAGATCTTTCAAGGTTGGATCGCATAGAATGAGTTCATTCCACTTATGTCTTTAGTATCTAGGTGGCATTGGAATTACTGAGCACTCAAGCTTGACACTTAAATTCATACTGATGTGTCATAGTTGTAGCCCAAACTCTTTCCGTAACGAAAGGATTCATCTCATTCGGACCTCCCATTAGCGAAGGTCATATCGTATTTGTAAGTCTATACGTAGTTGAGATTATACTTTTTCTGAGTCATGTCCTTCCCTCCAGACTGAAAAACGGGCGAAATAGTCAGAGTGCTACACAGACATTCGACCGAGTCAAGGCACGGTGGGAGATTCGAAAGAAATTAAATGCATACCTAAGAAGCGGATATACTGGTCAATCGAACAATCAGTGTTGGTCGTGTGTTTATGAATGCGTGTCATATGCATTGTCGTTGTTGTAATCTCGTCCTATCTGTTGTCATTCAGCAGGATAACTAGAGTGGCTTTCTAGGATTGAGCAACATGACACCGATTCATGTCAAGAAGCACCCAGGAAATGAATACATATATTATCGTCAGCCATACCAGGCCTAGAATCTAGCGGCGTTGAACCCTGAACGAGGATTAGCCCAAGAGTGCCACTCATTAATATCAAAAGCAAGCTGGCGTCGAAGCGTTGGTTCTCCATCCTCTAAGCTAGTGGAGCTGACTACATTTGAATCATCTATCTACCGAAGACTTGTTCTAGCGTAATTCTACGTATCTGACCAGTCAGGAGCCACTTCGGCCCAAGCCTACCCAAAATGTGCATGGCATGACTAGAATCTACTGGGTAGCCCATCTGGTTGATCGGATAGCCGCCATTTACCACGCACTAGTATGCACCGTACCCTACCCCGCTCGCGATACCAAGCCAGTTTGCCTAGTCCATAGAACAAAAAGCTCTACTACGTAGTAGTAATAGGTTAAGCATTCAATCAGATCTAGAAGCTTGACGAGTGCGGCGTTGACTATCGATTTTTCCCCCACCGCATTTGGACGATTTGGCCCGAGTACGTTTTGCGATTGAGTCAGCCTTATCTTTCCTCAGAAGCTACCAAGCTGAAATTCGCTCATAGAGCCTTAACTCGTTCGCATTCGTTCGCTCTCGTTCATTCCTGAACGATCAATTTTAATAAGCCACGCGACTTTTGTTTTGATGTTATTGGAGAGTGCCTTGGATGACTTGTCGGTGTAGTGCCAACAAGACCGTGATGTTGAGTGTTATTTCCTATTTCGAGTCATGGATATAAGCAAAATTTAGCATAACGAACATAATTTGGGTCATTGGAAGGCCTGGGAGTGATGATATCTTGATGGGCGATGGGCGGCGAGAAAGAGACTTGACGAGGGAGGAAGCCCTAATATATGCTGGAACCGTCAAGGCGAGCTAATTACTAGTGATTAGCCATTAATCATACTCAGTTCTATTTTGAGAGCACAACTAATCTTTTTTAAATCTATTTCTGTCTGCACTCGAGACAAAAATAGTATCTGCCATACTACCTTGGGCCAGAATTGCCGTTAATTATTGCATCTTCTTATGAGCTATCAGCCAATAAGCGACTATGCTCCATCTCAAAATAGACAAATCCTATTTTTATCTGTTTTGGGCTGCAGAGTCCAGCATAATTATCACCAGCACATGCAGCCATGTTCACTGGCACAGTGTGATTTGCAACGGGATTGGCCAGTCACATGCATTAGTAGAAATTAACTCGATGCAGAATGGGCCAATGGTAGCGCAGATTGTGCCCAAATTTGCTATCTTTATTTGAAGCTATTGAGAGCTAAGTTGTGATGCTTTAACCTGATTGAGCAGAAAGTGCTTTTGTATAGCGAATGATTGGCCGATCACAGCTCTGTGACATTCTACGCTAATTTATAGCTGCCTTTAGTAACTTTTTTAGTTGCTTTAGTGACGCGGGAAAAGAGGAGACTCTATGGAGCGACTGAGTCGTGGTCAACAATGAGGTCGTGCGGAGAGGGACGAGGCACATCCAGAGCGAGATCTATATCAAGCTCGATTTCCTCATCCCAATTGTGCCGGTCTGTCTGCAGAAAACCAACATATCAGAATAATACAACAGACAGACAAAATGGTTGTCAGTCTACGACTTCCTCTCTCCTCTCCCCGGACTATCACGTCCAGCATGATCTCCCCTCCCCTGAGTCCCGACTTCAACTTCGACTCCGACGCCCTCACACCTTCCACCCTCCCAGCATTGGAATACATCTCCGAAAAACTCTCCCAGAAATCACTACATGTCACATTACTAGTCGGTCGAGGCCAGCCCATGCCCACCGGCGAATCATCCGACCTCAACATTATCCCAGTCACACAGCTAGACGCACAATCATGGAAAATCTTCCACAAGATAGTCGAAAAGGGAGCTAAGAAGTACTCACTTGGTCAGGGCTGGACCGATGCTCTTGATCAACATGCTCGCCAACAACTCAAGAACGAATACCTCATTGAACAATCCCTCCGACAAAACGAGATCCTCTTCAGCCAAGAGGGTTTGACTCTACTCAATGTCGACCGCATCTACACCTTGAAGCGACGACTGTGTGTACTCGCTCAGAACCAGAAGAGCATCAAGAACGAAGAAAAATACCTTTCTTCTTGTGTGCAACTTCTCAACAAGACCATCACCAGCTGCCAGGGCCGACCCTTTAGCTTCGGCTTCTTCCACCGTGCCTACGAGCACCTTCACGTCACCGACGACCTCCTCAAGAGGGTTGCCGAAGCATACAAGGCCCGATACGGCCAAGAAGGCATGGTCATCATCACCCCGAAATCATCACCCGGGCTTCCCGCAGTTGCTCCTACCACCTCCACAACCATCAAGAAAGAGAGTACTCGCAAGTCGCCAGTCATGCGCACCGCTGCTGCTAACGCACGAGTCCGCCGACCAACAGTCATGGCTGCCGCTTCCTCTTCGCCAGTATCCCGCCACTACCGTGTTCCCTCTCGCGTCCCTTCGCGAGCTGGTACACCAAGGCGCGGACCAAAGACTCCCGTCTCGGCCTCTGATGTCACCCCCATCACTCGAAATGAGTGGAACATTCTCATCGGTCCTGAGTTCTGGCAGAACAAGCCTACCGTGACCATGTGGGTTCCTACACCTGCCGTGTCAGTTGTTGGTTGAGTGATCATTCAAAAAGAGATATCCTTACCCTTCATGAGCAATGAGCAATCCTCAACCCAAACCTTAGTGGTGTCCAACACAGAACGCCGAGAGGATAATCTATCTATTGAATAGAACCCTCTGATGTCAGTCGAAATACGACATCATCGAGACATCCCCGGCTTCAGTAATCGGCCAACACCGGTCTTGACAGACTGTGCCACAGCGCGGATAGCAGGCGAAGTGCCAATGCAGCTACGAAGTTACAAGATAATTATGATAGCATAGCATGGGAAATCTGCATGTATACCTGTCTCTGCGACAGTTTTTTATGTATATAGAGGCTTGAGCATGGTTGCCTTGCTCGCCTTTGTTAAATTCAAAATCATTTTAATTCTGAGACAATTATCATTTCTTTCCATAAAGTAGAACATTCTCGCTTTATACCTAGCCTAGCAGACTTACATATTACCCGGGTGCATTGAGGGATATAGAGGTAGTACAACAATGGCAGCCCAGTGCATAGCATAGCCACTCTCGCATAGCGTGTACAAAAGGTTACCCGGGTTCACAAAACGAGGCTGAATTGAAACTCCACACTGCAATACGATTGGCTCAACGTTGGTATCGTTCAGGTGCATTAGGCCATTAGCTAACTAGCTGCTAGCCTTGAGGCCCCGGCTCCTAGCCTTGACCTTTTAGTTGCGGTAGTTAACTTACTTAAAAAGTTGGTTATTTCATCTTTAGTTCTTCTTGGGATTTTATTAAACTCTTTTACACTCTTTATTTTACGTATATACCCGATTATGGGGTTTCTGATATTAGATTGAAGCTATCGTGACTATTGTCAATGTAAAGGGCAATTGGATTAGGGTTACTGGAGTCTGACTCGCGCGATGGCGAATCCACACCGTTCACAGGCTATGCCAGCTTGGATTGTGTATTATTGTGAGTACTCACTACATCGATTCGATGTTTTATATGCTAAATAAAATCAGCCTCAAATAATTGGGGTTTGAAATATGTGAGGGACCTCAAAGTAAGTAGAAGCGCTCGCCGACTGGGTCCCAGATCCCTGACAGACTCGCAATAGTTCGGTGATTTACCGAAAAGATGTTATATGTATGTAGTCATCATCCTTAATGTGCATTCTGCGTATTCGCTAATAACGGGCGAGACAGATTTCTATCAGTCAAGAGTTATCCCGAAAAAGAGGCAGATCGCGTACTAATACTGGCCCATTTCAATGCACCGCCGGTTCTCGCTTCGAAAATGTGTACAGAAATCAATGGCTACTTCGGATCGAGGAGTAGTTACAACGAGAATGACAAATTGAAGAGCTACAGTAAGCCCATATTTTCCCTTTAACTATAAGAGAATGAAACTAATGAACAGGCACATGGATGCGCTGCCTCGTAAAAATGATCCTCAAAGAACCCGCCGAGAACGGCAAGGACTACAAATGGTATGAAATGACTCTACTAAGTCACTGGGACGAGCTTGCAGGGACGCATCAGATTCTGTGTATTGATACACCAGAGGACTTTCCCGAGAAGCTTATGAAGGCGTTATCGCAGCCCTCTTCGAGTCAAGAGACTCAAAAACATTTCATGGATCCGTTCTCGATGCATGCGCAGTTGTTGGATCAAGTTGTAAAGTTGAACGATGAGTCGGTGTGGGCAGTTCGGGATCCTATTCGGGAGATTGAGAAGGTACCTCTTTAATTCTTCCTTCTTGTCCTAGGGTCAATTTCATATCTGTCTGACTTGCGATAATAGAGACGACCAACAGCCGGTCCTGACTTTGAGTCCATGCACGAAATATCTCGACATACCATTCATATCTCCGAAGTATTGCTCGTCACGATCCAAAACTTTGAGAGTCTGAGAGAACAGCAACGATACGTGCACAACGAAAGCTTATATTCCGAAAAAGGCAAAATGTTGCTGGGTAAAGAATACCGTGAGCAAGCGCTTGAGTACCTGAATTTCCAGATTCAGATGCTTAAGAGTTTGAGGGAGCGATCTGTCTCGAATCATTCGAGGTTGAGCAGTGAGGTTGTCGTTGTACGTCCTCATCAACTGTCTCGGACGTATAAGAGTGTTGCTGACTGATACAGGCATACAACCGCATCGCTCAGCAAGACAATCGAGCCGTGAGCTCGATTGCATTCCTGACCATGACCTTCCTTCCTGCTGCCTTTATATCGGTGAGTCACCCGCTGCAGCCGCTCTAACTTGGCTGATGATATCTAGTCATTCTTCAGCACAACATTCTTCAGCTTCGGCCAGGATGGCCTACAAGTCTCCAACCAAATGTGGCTCTACTGGGCTGTGACCATCCCGTCAACACTGATCATCATGATCGTCTGGCGTTTGTGTCTGCATACAAAGGCGCCGTTAACATATCGCAACATCAAGGATTTCGCCAAGTCCAGGCTGAAACAAAAACAGAATCAGAAGCAAGAGCAGCTGACTGAGAAGGCAGTCGTTTAATATGCGAAAGTAGGGCTAGGGTTAGGGCAATGTAATAGCATACGAAACAGTTATGTAATGGCCAATAGAAGCCCCGCGATAACTCCTTAGTACAGAGTCGATGGCGTACGAACTACGGCTGCGGCGTTGCGTGGAACTTTCCCTAATCTCTCCATCCATCGCTTGGCTTTTCGTTCTTTGCTGTTCGGAGCCTGCCGATAATCGCAATGGTGCTTTTCACTATCTTGTCATGTATCTTTTGCATTAGAAATCTCTTTTGTATGAGATTTATCACGAGGAAGAGGCCAATTGTCGATTGAACAGTCTGGCATCGGACCCTGTCGGCAGCTTGGCTACCCCCGCTCTTTCACACACTGGACTTTTTTACTTGCCATTGGGGAGAGAAAGGAGAGAAAATAATGGTTTATCAGTAGTGAAAAATAATTGTGCGATTCTCATTCTATTCGTATCAAGCTGAGCAAACAAAGCACCATGGCAGGCTCGACGCCTTCCTATGACGAGGTCAATGACTCCGATCGTACCAACACTAACAATGTTATCAAAGCATCACACCTCGGCATGCGTATATCATTATTCAGACGAAACTTCATCCGTCGAGCTGAGCGGATTCATGCCCGGATTCCAGCTATTAAGAAAATACCACTGTCAGCGATTGGGATTATATCGTTGATAGCGCTGATCAACATGTTTATTTGGGCTGTTTGTGGTGTTGTACTAGTATGTCTTCTTTCTTTACCGAGTATGAGATGAGTGCTAATAAATATGTGTAGCATTTTTATCCGTAAGTCATTCTAGACTATGCTCTATGAATCCCAAGGCTGAGTCTAACATGATGTCAGATCATTGATATCCTCAGCCGCAATATCATATTCTTTAGGGTTGCGTCATGCCCTCGATGCAGACCATATCTCTGTATGAACCTCTACCTTAGTCCCACAGGAGCATCTGACTTACACGTCCGATACAGGCCATCGATCTGATGACTCGCCGACTTCTTGCAAGCGGCCAGAAACCAGTCACCGTAGGAACATTCTTCTCTCTCGGCCATTCCACGTAAGTCTCCAACAAGACATGCCAACTTGTAAGACTTCAACTTACGAACCAGAATCGTCATCATAACCTCCATAGTAGTCGCAGCCACAGCAGCAGCAGTATCAACCCGCTTCGGAAGTTTCAGCACCGTCGGCGGCATTATAGGTACCTCCGTCAGCGCCGCGTTTCTGATACTTTTGGGGATCATGAATGCATATATATTGTACAAACTGGTGCAGCAGATGCGCAAAGTGCTTAGATTCTATCGTCGACAACAGCATGCAAACGAGCATCCAGATGATGTGCAAGTGAATGAGGAAGAGATCGATATATGGAAGATTGAGGGAGGCGGATTCTTGTTTGCGGTTCTGAAGAAGATGTTTGTTCTTATTGACAGGTAATCTTTTTTCCTTTCGGTCGCGGGCAATGCGCTGACCGTTAAATTTTGAAGGCCGTGGAAGATGTATCCTCTTGGAATTCTGTTTGGATTAGGATTCGATACATCATCCGAAATCGCTTTGTTGGGCATTTCGTCAATTGAAGCTACTCGACAGAACAATTTTTGGGTCATGCTGATTTTCCCCATTTTGTTTACTGGTAATACCCCTCTCATGTATGCTTATAATTGGGTCATGCTGACAAGTCATACAGCCGGAATGTGTCTCATCGATACAACAGATGGCGCATTGATGCTATCTTTATACATTCAACCAGCCACTAACTTCCTCCCTCCAACAAAAGAGCGGGAAACAGACCCAGAAGCCAATACAGAGACAACCCGACTCTCAACACTCGAAGACGGCATCGACACCCAACCGGCAACAACAACAGTCCTCGACGGAACGGACTCCAACAAACGCGACCCAATTGCATTCCTCTACTATTCCATCGTCCTCACAACGCTAACCGTCATGGTAGCCCTGGTCATTGGCATCATCCAAGTACTCAGTCTTGTGCTGAATGTTACAGATGCAACGGGCCGCTTCTGGGATGGAGTGCAGACTGCGAGTGATTACTATGATGCCATCGGCGGTGGAATTTGTGGCTGCTTTGTGGTTGTTGGATTGTCGAGTGTGGCTTGCTACAAGCCGTGGAGGAGATGGGCTGGGGTTGATGTTGATGCTGGCTGTGCACTGGATAGCCATATCAATCCAAGGCAGGAGGAACATGGCAATACGAAGGAATTGAGAGCTGAGCCTGGTCAAAGTACTTCTACGGCCCAGGCTTTGGTTCAAGAAGATATGAAAACAGGGCCTCGTGTCTTGACCGACTAGATATTCATACATAGCTTACAATATGTACAATACATTTCCTTTTCTTCATATATACAATAAATCATCTCGTACATCTCTCACTAGCAGGCCTCCATCCAACACCCAGCCCTTCCATAACCAATCTCTCCCTCTCCTCCCACGTCCTCCCACCCTTCTCCAAATCAATCACATTTCCTCCCGACGTCCTTTCTCGTACACCACTGGAATCAAATTTCCATCCATGCGCCTTTTTGGCATATCGTCTCAAATCCCGCTCGAATGTGGTATCGCCTGACCAGCCCAGTACAGCGCAACCGACTGTGCGCCAGGGGGAGATAATAATATCTACTCGTCGATGGGGGTTGGGATTCTTCACCGGCTCAGTTTCAGGATCAGCGCCATTGTTTGTCTCGATCTCAAAATTCGGATCCTGCCAAACAACAAGCGCTTTATCCAAACTGTCGAAATGATGCGAACCAGTATCGCCGCGAAATGGTAACGTCTGCTGCTCTCTATTCGACGTCGTCATGTGCAGGGCCAGGGTATGAGTAATCCAGCCTTCATTTTCCAGACTGCCGACTACATCAATGACGAGATCCTTCGTAATGCGCTCGTCGCGGTGGCTCAAAATCAAATCTAGATCCCCTGATATCTCCTTTCCGCGCCTGTMCCCGCCGACAATGATACACTCGATTCCCTGCCCATCGTATTCACAGCCCGGTCTGACTAGATTTGCATGTCGATGAATCGTCTTGGCGATCTCAGCCACTTCTGCTCGCGGAATACCGGCGGAAAACTCATCGTAATATTTCAAACCAATCTGCTGAACGCGAGATAAATTATTCCATCCATGCTCAATCACATCATCCAAATCGCGCCATTGGCGCTGATAATAGAATTCACGAGCGGTCTTCGCGCCCACACCCCAGATATTATAGAATTGGCAGATTGTGCTAATCGCTGGATCGGAATCGAGTACGTCAGCAGCTTCCAATTTCCCATCGACGCTGTTCCGGAACTCAACGAAAAGATTCGCAATCTTTGTATCACACCCCGGTAGCGAGAGGACTTCAACCGGTGTTCGAAGCTCATATGGATAAGCCGCCAGTGCCGCAATCGAAGTGCTATATGCGCGGACCCCGATTTCGTCGAGGGTCAGCTCACGCACTTTGCGGATTTTGACGAGTTGAGTTATAAATGCTTCGTTTGGTGGGTGTAAAGGTGCCGAACGCATGCAGGCATATATTACGCGGTCTCTGACCCAGTCCGGCGCTGGAGGGATCAGGATTGTGGTATCGTGCTCGGATGTTGATTGTCTGTACAATGTTGGTGGGTGATATTGCTGCTGCTGTGAGCTGTCTCCTCCTCTGTGCCTTGATGACGAGGCGAATCTTGTAGTGAATGAGGATTGAGAGGACGGAGCAGGTCTGGATGCAGCATCGTCTATAGCACGGGCCAGGATGCCTTCGCTGTCCTTCTTCACGCTTGATATAGGGATATGCTGCTTCTTGGCCAAGTCTTGTGGGCGCGCAATCACTTTTCCATGATATACGACATATCGATCGATATCCAGCGCCCTCCTGGCTTTGATAGACTGCGTTATCCATTCGAGATTCACGACCTTGACGTGGTTTTCCGGCACAATAGCGTCCTGCTTCTGCGTTTCGATCGTACCAGTCGATGATTGAGAGGGCGTTTTATGCTGCCGTGGCGGTGACGGAGCCTCACTCTCGGCATCTGCGCCTACGCCTTCAGACTCAGTTGAGTCAGTACTACTCAGATCCACAGGATCAAGTTGACTCCACCCTTTCCCCTTTGAGGATGCCAATCGCCGCCTTTTGGCCGACGGCATCAACGACTCCGACTCCGATCCCAACGTCCCCCTTTTCTTTCCAGCAGCACCAGCAGCACTAGAACCAACCACAGGTAAAGCCACAACCTCAACATCCTCCGTCCAAACCCCTCTCACCCTCAACTCCAGCGCCGCCCGTTTCCGTTGGGAAATCGTGCCCAGGAATATTCTCGCTTCAGAAACATCATACGTCAGTGTCGCCTCGAATCTGCCTAATTCATCTTCTAGCCTGTGTAGATCCTCCAATGAGAGTCGAGTTGGCAGGACGAAGATGGGCGGATACTCCGCGAAGAGGGCTTGTGGGAACGCTTCGTCGTCATGAACGGAAGGTGACGAGGTTGGTGCTCGAGGGTTGGAACAAGTCATTGATGGTAAGAATAAGTAATACTGTTATATTATATATATATATATATATATCGCGACAGGAAATGGCGTATGTTCATGTCATTTGGTCGAGGTAATAATAAGTCGGCATTCGCGAGTAATAATATGTGCAATCGGACTGTCGCATCGTGTCGCGTGAGGACTCGAGCATCGTACTCAAATATTACGAATTACCATGAGAAAATTGGAAAAGATGATTCCGTTCGTCCAAGAAGAGCTGTCTAGAAATGCGCGTCGCCTTGATAGATGCGTGCGGGAAGTGTGAAGAGATAAGTTCATCTCCTCAAATCTTGGGAAGATTTAAGCATACTTTGGCGCGCGTCATTGCGTCATTCATCCATAACTTCGTACGTACTTAAGCTACCTAACTACATAAAACATTTCTGAGTCCCGGAACTAAGAGAAGAAGAATATATATATATATATATATATTGTGCAGATAATACAATTTTACAAATCATAAATAAGAAGAGCAGACAAACTTGCTCAAGACAAAAGCCAAACACTGCAGGAGCATACGAGTTTCAAAATGATATCGCTAACCCCAAGCGCCGTTGAATCGTAACAAGAACACACATGGATAATTAGTAGACAGAGACTGAGAGGTGAGGCGAAGAGAAGTATATGTGTTTTACTTTATAAAAAATAGTCGTCGTTTTGGTTTCATTGCAATGGCCGTGAACTGCCCATCTCGCCATACCGACCACGACTCTTTGTCGTATCGTAAGCATTGACAATCCTCATTTGCTGGCCACCTTCATCAGCCTGACTAAATGCATAACCACGCTGTTTGCGCATGCGTTGCACCTGGCGGACTTTGCGGATGGCCTTTTGGAATTGTTCCATGCGAGGTCGGTAATCTTGCACGTTGTATTTTTGTATTTCTTGCACGTGGTGGTATGGTTGTGGCCTGTACATTCGTTTGACGTATTTCCAAACGAAGTCGCGGCTGAGGCAGACGACAGGCAGCAAAGCGGCCATGAGGTAGAATTGTGGGATAGAGAAGACAACGGGGATGATGCCATGGTATTCGGTGGAGAAGCCAATGGCGGGCGCGGCGTAACCGTAAGCAGGTAGAAATACAATCCACAGCAGTAAAGACCCCGGGATTGCCATCAGATGGTACTTGGTCCAAGTGTTGGTGATTAGAGATGCTTTTCCGAGCACCGTCACGAGCACGGCTGTATACATGGCTGTGCCCCAGACCCAGTGGCCGGTGGCCATACCGTTCTTCTCCTTGAGGTCGTTGTAGAAGATACATTCGCCGATGATGTAGGCAATCAGTGAGTGGTAGAAACCATTGGCGATCCAAGCCCAAAAATTTCTGATCTTAAAGAATACACCCTTCTGGCCGAGTTGATAGAGCTGAGGATATCGATCTAATAGTCTTGCGGAAACGAACTGATCCACGATACCGAGCGCAAACGGTGGGAGGACGGTGAAGATGACGTTGAAGAAGGTCAATGTCCATGATTCGTAAATAACCTCGCCAGAAAAGGCATTTTGGAACGAATACTGCATTATGTATTAGTATCGTTCTATAACAGATTTGGAAGAGTGATGCTCACCCAAAATTGAGTCATGTTCAAGGCAATGTTCTTGTAGAACGAGAATAAAATGACTTGACTGATACGATGATATGACCATGAACCATGAACAAGAAGAAGTTTACGCAAGAATCGGAATTGTGCAATTGAAATGTCAGCAGCACGAGCAGCCTGAAGACCTTCAAGACCACTGATACCGACACCGACATGGGCAGCTTGAATCATGGAAACATCGTTGGCGCCGTCACCAATGGCTAAGAGGAGCGCCTTCTTGTGACGCTTGACAAGCTTGACGACAAGAGCTTTTTGAAGGGGCGAGACTCGACTGAAACGTACAATTAGTCATGTATCCTATCAAACTGTCAAAACTACTTACCAGCAAATGACGGCCTTGCAAATAACAGCCAAATCCAAAAAGAGTTTTTCCATATCCTTTTCCAGAGCAAAGGTCAACGATTTACCGTCGATAATCAACGCAAGAGGCTCCATCTCGCCTCCAGAGCTGAGTTGGCTTTGAGCAGCGGACAGTTTTTTCGTCAAATTCTCATTCGTTGCAGCGGCGTTCTCTTCATTGACGATCAAAAGAGACATGTCTTCTGAGATCAGCTTGCAGGACATGCCAATATTGATGGCAGTCTCCTGTCTATCACCCGTCAAGACCCAGACCTTGATACCGGCTTGCTGAAGAGTGTGAATCGTATCTGGCACACCGTCTTGGAGCTTGTCCTCGATAGCCGTGGCGCCAAGAAGGTAAAAGTCCCTTTCAATGAGTTCGGATGCCTTGTCTAGCTCGTCCTGACGATTGCCGCTGACGGTAGTTGCAGCCTTGTCGTAAATCTGAAGCCACTGCTGGAACTCATCTTCTGGAACCTCACGCATTGCCAGACACAATGTCCGCAAACCTTCAGTGGCATATTCTTCCAGATGCTGCAGTGTGGCCTCAACGATCGGATTATCCGGGTGAAGGCGTTCCAAGATAACGGTATCGGCACCCTTGCAGAAAACTCTGACCTTTCCGTCCGGGCATCGATAAATGGTGGACATTCTCTTTCTCGTCGAATTGAATTCGCACACCGCCAACAATTCGTACTCGTACTCTTGACCATTCACAGTGATTTGCACGGCTCGTGGCTTACGATTCGTGAATCGGTATCCAAGCATGACAGCACCTTCGACCAGCGCACCCTCATCGGGAGAGGCGGCCTGATACCTTATCTCACCGGGTCTGTCATCTCTCCTTTCGGGAATCACAGTGTGGCAGATTGCCAACAAAGCCAAGAATTGATGAATGATCTCTGCTGTTGGGTGCGACTTGAGATTTTCCTGCAGCTGTTTGAAATCGTGAATACCAAGTTCGTTACCCGGGCCTGCTTTTCTGTCTTCTGGAACATCGCCGCCATACTGAATTCCACCGATCGTGCACTGCTTGAATTCCATCATATTGCAGGTCAAGGTTCCTGTTTTGTCTGAGAAAATATACTCAATCTGACCGAGTTCTTCAACCAACGATGACGTCCGACATGTTGCCGGAGTATCATTCTTGTCGTAGTAGATATCCAAATCCGAATTAATAAGAAGAGCCTGAAAATACTTGACAATTTCAATGGTGACGAAGAGGGAGATCGGAACCAAATTCGAGAAGAGGACCCAATTTGTCGCAATGTCCAGGAAGAACTGCTTGACGACATTATAGTTACCGTAATCCAAATATGACAGCTTATCACCCGATGTTTTACGAGTAATCAAATCGCCGACTGACGTAATGACACTCAAGGTGATGAGGATTGCGACTAGAATCAAAATCTGCAAATTGACGGTGTGTTCGACAGCAGTTCTCTTAATAGGAGTAGCCGTCGCATTCCGCAGCAGCTTCGTCTCGTGACCGGTGAACACGACGATACCGTGAATCCAGGGTGTGTTACGGAGGGTAGCGCCACGGAGAAGGAGCTGTTCTGGTGTCAATGGGAGCTCCTTTTCGCCGCCACCAGCGTGCATTGTCATTGTAGCTTCGTATGTGTAGAGGCTACTGTTAGGCTGTTCAGATCGTAGCCGTCCACTCAGTCTGCTGAGATCGCTGGGGTTCACAAGATGCGCCGTTTCAGGGATGGCTTGTTTGATTTTGAGGTTGGTCTCACCATCGAGATTGGCGGTTTCGATATAGCATAGACCCTCAGGCTCGGAACTTGCCAGTAAGACGAGATCTGCAGGGAACGGCTGTTCAGATTCCACGCGGATGATATCGCCTACAGCGACATCCAGCCACTTGGTCTCTTGAAACTGGGAGCCTTTGAGGACCAGAGCTTTGGACGTGTTCAACAAAGTGTCAGAAGATCTTCGTTTATAATCTTCGACCAGTTCTTTAATAGCCGACACCAACAGCACAAGACATAACGGTACGATCGTGGTATATCGATTCGTGGGCGTAACATTCGGGATCTGTTGCAGACAAGCGGTAAACAAGAAGAACAAGTTGGCGTATTTGGAGAATTGCTCATATAGAAACTTGGGTATAAAAGTGATGATGTTGTATTTGGCTGTCGAGATATGGTTGTCGACGTATTTTTGCGAGGAATTGGCAGGCGCATTGTTGAGCATGATAATTCTTGGTCCGAGAGTGGATGGATCAACTTTTCGTCTACCAAATCTGAAGCCCGAACTTTTCCTCTTTGCCTGTTTGACGCTACTGTCATCTTGTATTCTTGATCCCCGGGCTCCAGCTTCCGTCAAAGGGAGGTCCATCTCCGAGTATTCATTACCCATGCCGAGCATGTTTTTCGCTCGACCCATCAGTCCACCACCCAGGCCCAAAATACTATTCCGTTCATGTTGTTGCCGTACTCGACCGCTTGATATATTCTCGTCCACATCATTGTAGTAATCGTGCATGTGCTCATCATCGTAATCATCAATATCCGAGTATCTCTGGAAATTACTCAGACCGGACGTCTGAGAATAAGTGCGATGTGCGGGTGCACCGAGATATGGATCACTTCCGGCCGGATGCTCAACATGCAATCCTGTGTTGGGATGCGCCCCAGCACCGGCCGGGTGTCTACCTCCCACGAAATCATCGTACGAAACTGACGGTCGCGGCTGGTCGGAATCGTCGATGTTATATTGCTCTAAAAGTCGGTCATCGCCTACCGGCGGATGCTGGCCGGKGTTGTAAACGGACGCGTTGCTGCTCTCGTCCAGCTGCAGTAAGTCGCCTCCATTCCGGCCAGCGGATGAATGACTTCCAGGGGGCCGACCGCTGGCCATCGTACAATGGTCGAGCTGATAGCCGTTGAATTATCGCAGGCGAGGGGAAGGGAATGGGATCAGGAAAAGTGCCCCTGAAGCATTGGCGCCGAGATGCAGATCGAGATCGAAAGTTGTTGTTTCAGTTGGAGTATGAGTCGCAAAAGGGCAGTCGAAAGGATAGCGAAGTCTATCGACCTTGGGCAGCGACACTGACGATCCCAGAACTTTTAACAGAAAACGATTGGTGAAATTTTGCTTCGATATTGCAAGAAATGCGATGTCGTTCAAGAAATGTCTCAGCTCTTACGGGGTGTTCAGCAGCTAAAGTTACGTCTCCGTACAAATAAAGCTGTGGTTCGGAGAGTCCTCGGGAAAGCCAATCAGCGACTGCCTCTGGGGCATCCAACGTCTAAGCCACTTCTGGAATCTCTCGACTGTACGGGACGCGTAATATTACAAAACATGCCGTTTTCTGCTGCCATTCAGGGGTATGTTCGGCGTATGATGATCGTCATGTCAGCAAGTCATCTAAAGTACGTACGTACGTGGTGTTCTTTGGCTGAGTTTCATATTTTTATCCTTCTGTGTTTGCTTGTTTCAAAATTCGCTTGATGTCTTTTGTCATGTTTGGATCTCTATCTTTGAAAGTTGTGCATCTATTAATACACTGACCGGTCGCATCGCCGTTGCGGCGAAGATGAGCATGCCGCCACGAATTTCGTAGGGTGGGCCAATGTCAGGATCGCCGCGCAGGCAGCTATGAAACTGCTTCAGACCAGGGGCAACTGCCTCCACGAGCAATCTTGGAGGGGTTCTCCATCCGGAACCCGGCGGCTGATCTGTGACGGCTGCTGACACAGAAATTTACACAACTGTCTATCATAATATCTTGTATAAAACTGTTCGTTGTGCTGCGTCCTTCCTTACCCTTCACGATCATTCTCTGCATTGGCCTCTGACGCGCGGTTCAATTTTGCGCGCCGGGCTAGGTCAGCTTCAAGTGCTTTGCTTATTATACCGTTTAGTTCCAGCACTTTCTGTTGCGCAAGATTGGTTTTGTTGATGACTTCGAGTGCGCTCACTGGGCTGCCCGCAGACTTATAAACAGCACATGTCTCGCCGGTGTTGTTAAGTGCAATGATCAGGTCGCCTTCAGATGCTTGTTCCTCTTTGCGGGTGGCATCTAAAATGAGAACCTTTCCTTCGTGAAAAGACTGGAATGTGATTGCTAAAGGTTTGTGGGTGATGTTCAATGGTACTGGTACTCGTTCGTTAATGCCAAATACTGTAACCTGGCCGTCTTTGACCTCGATGTCGGGACGTCGAAAATGTTGTAGACCAGCCATAATGCCGATACAGGCGGAGTCGATAAGATTGCCATCAAAGTCGGTGACATGGACATCGGCTCSTATATTCCAGCAGCTTTTGCCTTTCAATACGCATAAAGATTCCGTATCGAGGGCATTGGAGTGACGGATAACCCGGTCAAGTACTCGCGACACATAAGTCTCAAGCTCACTTTGTCTTGGAGTATGTCAGCATATGTACGGTGTGTGAGTCAAATTCCAGGCGTACCGAAGATTTTCCCATGCAGGAGATCCCATAGCTGTGAGCTCCATCGCAATTAAAAACGTCCCATCGCTTTGGCGGTCATCGCGGGGTTTGGATACTTCGGCGGATATGCGCACGACCAGACTGGAAAGGTGCAATGAGTATATAATCGATGCAGTAGGCGTAGTCTAGTACGCACCTTGTCTGTCCGAGTTGGACTTCGACATGTCCATATTCCTCACCAAATGTCACTGAGAGAGGGCGAAAAGCGTCGGCATCACGCCCATCGAGACGGATGTTCTCAAGCAAAGCTTCGAGGATGAACTCCCGCTCCGCCACTGACAGTGGGGTTTCTTTCGACATGTTGGTATTATATGAGTAGTCTTGTCAATGCCGTTTAATCGAAATCTCGGGTGATCAGTTGCAGTGTACAAACAACATATCAAGACGATAAAATGAACAAACAAGCTTCAAGAACTTTTTGGCGGCAGATTCAATCGCATCTGCGGGCTGGGATGTTTTCAGCCAATCAGTCCAGGGCGGTGAATAATGCTTTCGATACTTCCGCCTATCAATCGCATCTTCACTTGACTCGTAACAACCTACATTCACTAACCTTCCCTCGATACTCTCACTCATAATTCAACATGACTACAGGTAATACTAGAGCAAGTGTATATTTAACTACCCCTGCTAACTTCACAGCACATCGCCCCACATTCGACCCGGCCCAAGGCAAAGAGGCCCTTCGGGGTCCAGCCTACCATCAACGACTCTTGCCTGCTTATATGCACCTCAAAACTCGGTGCGCAACCTGTCCGATAATTTGAAAAACCTGCTGCTAATATTTCACAGTCAACCAGGCCAGGGCGGCGAAGCAGATGGACCACGCGATCTCCGTGCAGAACTATTAGCTGCTGAAGCTGCACATTTCGCAAAGACCAAGGGCGTCACAGATGAAGCGCGTACCGAACCAGTTCCGAAAACCAAACGTGATCTCGAGGATGATGCGGAAGCCAACCTTGATGCGGAGGATATAGAGGCCAAAAGGCGAAGGATACTGGAAGAAACAAGAGATATAGATGCCGACTCGATAGGGTCGGAGTCGGATAGTAGTGAAGAGGAAAGGTACATCCATATCTTCACAAGCACGCTTGAACAAGGTGACATGCTAATTATGTACCAGCGACGACGAAGAAGACGAAGCCGCAGAACTCATGCGCGAACTTGAAAAGATCAAACGAGAGCGACAGGAACAAAAAGAGAAAGAGGTCAGCCTCATCAGCAGCCCCAAGTCGCGAAAATGTCTAACATCATGGCATAGGAACGCGAAAGAGAAGCACAGGAGCAAGAGCAGCGAGAATACGACATTGCGCGCGGCAATCCGCTGTTGAATCCGCAGGATTTCAACATGAAGCGTCGCTGGGATGATGACGTTGTCTTCAAGAATCAAGCGCGCGGTAGTGAAGTCAAGAGAGGTCCGGAATTTGTCAATGTAAGTCAGACTTTCTAGCTATGGAAGAATGTGTGCTTACATTCATAAGGATCTCTTGCGTTCGGACTTTCATAAACGCTTTATGGTGAGTCGTCTCCTATCTGGTATCTAGTAATTCATTATCTAATATGGGAATAGTCAAAATACGTGCGATGATTACGATGTGCCTCGCAGGCATTGGGATTGGCGTTTACTAGACTTGATGGACCAGCTCTGTATATTGATACTTCTTTAGCATCGACTTCTGAATGAAGCATGACCATTTTACTTCTGTATAGTGGCTCGCTGTATGTGAATGTAGCCTGGGGATCGTCTTATGGACCAGCAAAAAGAGGATAAGATAGCCAGGAGGGAAAGATTTAGAGTAGTCCCAAAAAAAAAAAAAACAGAATAGATTTGTGACAAGTCACTGGATAGGAATCAGCGAACGTTAAAGGTTGTAAGTACTACGGGGAGAGGGTTGAACTAACCACACTTTCGGACTAGCGGATGTGCAATTGTGGTGATTGGTACCTAAGAAAGACTCTTTTGATGATAGCTATCCTCGTTCATGCCACAAGGGAGAATAAGCAATGGACTCCCAGGCTACCAGCAAAACTCTACACAGTATGTTTTCTATTTTTCTTGCGACCAGCTCACAAGCAACAATTCTGACCATCGATCTCCCCGCGCGACTGTGCGGGGAAGTTGTCAAATATAGACCGCATCAACACCGATGTCACACAGCTATTGCAACGATTTGAGAACATTCTCGCGCCTTCAAGGGTTTGACTTCCTTCAGATGCAGCAAGATTAAAGCATCAATGAGCTAAATATCGCCGAAATATAGGTCGAAAACCCAGATAATGCCTACACAGCAGTCGGAGCATACAATCTCAATGTCGAAGCGACAGCTCTGGTCAGTTCTCTTTGCTACCAAGTCGAGCCCCGGCATGATCAAGCTCTAATATGTCTTGTCTGTGAATAGGTCCGCGCCGCAGAAGATCTCCTTTCCCTCACGCGCTTCATGAAGGAAGCATGGCTCTTTGAGAAACTCAACACCGTCGGCGAAGATGAGCATGATACACGACGAAATCAGAAGTTGGAGGAAGATGTGGCTGCTGTCAAGGAGGCGGTTCAGAAGGGGCTTTTAGGGGATAATGACGTTAATGGGGAGAAGAAGTGATGCTCTGATTCTCGGTGCTTATTGTGGATTGCTGGTTTTCATGGCGTAGTTTTGGCTTGTCATTGGCGTTGGGAGGCACGGGATATGAGGCGTTTCTGCATTGATTCCACTTACGGCGGAAAGTGGTTTACAAAATAGTAGTATGCGGGTTTCTCCATTCGTTTTCAAAATTGAATGAACATCGTATTTAGTATTGTAAGGTTGATTTGTACTTACGCCGACACTGGACCTTGATCATGGAGATATATACATTTATCTACATCCCGGCGTTTAGGTGTACGATGTATTAAGGGGTTATATTCGCCCAATCCATTAATCGAATCAGAAATGGCTGACTTTACAGTAGAGCAAGTATATATCAAAGAAAATATTTCCCCAAGAAAATGATCAATATCATTCCAGGTTGTCACTGTAATCGAGAGCTTAAATCAGGAACATAGGGCTAAACGATAGGGCTTATCGGTGCCCATAAATTGATAAAATGTTCCCCGCGCCGCGCGCAGACGCGTTCTTATCAAGTTTATTTTTCCAAATTCCATTCATCTCTCAATTCAATACTCAGTTAACCAAACACCCACAAAAAGCCAGGAGATAAACCAGATCGCATCGTCAATTCCTCATCTGGACCGATTTAGCAGTTGGAAAAAGAAAAAGAATAAATGTCTCCCCCATCCTCCACAGACCCAGTCTCAGAGACAGTAGAATCAATGAAACCAACCACAAAAACAATCACACTAACCCTCGTCGTCGCCACAACCCCCATCACTCGCTCAACAACAAAACCCCTCCTCGGCATAGGGCTAAATGGAACCCTACCATGGCCACGGATAAAATCCGACATGAACTTTTTCGCTCGCGTCACATCACGTCCTCCCCTGCTAGAACAAACCAGCTCGGAAGTTGAAACAACGAAGGAGGGGGATAGAAGGTTAAATGCGATAATCATGGGCCGAAAGACGTATTACTCCCTGCCCAAGAGTCTTCGACCCCTCAAAGACCGACTAAACGTAATCATATCGCGGGACGAATCCGGGTCCGTGGCGGCGGAAGTCGAGAATGATCTGGCAAGACAGCAAGAGAAAGCGCGCAATGATGGCAGGGATGATAAAAGAGATGCGTTGGTAGCGCATGGTCTAGAGGTTGCGCTGAAACAGCTTTTGGGGCAAAGGCAGGATTTGGGGCATGTTTATGTTATTGGTGGTGGGGAAATATATGAGTCTTCCTTGAAGTTGTCGTCGTCGGCTTTGACGGAGTCGAAGATTGTGCAGAGGATCTTGATGACTAGGGTCAAAAGAAGGGATGGAGAGGAGTATGAGTGCGATACGTTCTTCCCACTTACAGATGAGGATTTGTCGAGCGCGGATAAGAAGGGTTGGCGACAGGCTGGAGCCGAGGAGGTGACTGGTTGGGTTGGGGAGAGGGTTGGCGAGGAGTGGAGTGAGGAGGGTGAGGTTGCGATTAAGATCGAGGGTTACGAGAGGGCTTGATTTTCATCAACTCTTTTCAGTAGCCTAAATAATATGATCTGATTTGAACTGGAAATGCCATGCAATGCAATGCATATATGGACAAATGCAAACATCTATATACGATTTAATGCGTCGATATCAAGAACAAAACGCCATGCGCTTGTATGCGTAGACAGTATCTAATAAGCAAAAATGTGGAAATTTAAGACTTCTCGAGCTCCCTCATGTGTTTCACAAATTGTTTCTTGTGAACCAGTCCCTGAAACTTGCCGTCATGCAAAACGCACACGTATCGAAGACCAAGCTTGACGAAACATTGATAGACCAGATCCAATGGCGAATGTACGTCAAGAGCAACGGGGGACTGTATATACTATTAGCTTTTACGAATTAAGGACAGATATTAAATGAAAACATACCGGATCAATATATATGGTGAAATCATGCACCGGGCCGCTTGAATCACCGTCCTCATTATAAGGCTCAGGCCAGTTTTGATGGTCAGGAGACATGATGCAGAATTCTGCATATTCATCCTCAAGTCCATCCAAGGCAAACTCGAGGTCGGTGGCTGCAATCATGCCCACCAGTACTGTATCTCGCACAATAGGTAGACCACTGTCAAGTTCACCGGCCATGAGGAGATAATCCAGCTTTCCGCGCAGGTCTTTTGCCCTGACAAGTGCGGAGTTGGTGATATCGATAGTCCGGTGTCGTCCAGTTGAACGACTGAGGTCGCCCAAAGTTTGGTCGGTGGTTGGATGACTACCTTTGTTGTCGAGGAATGGGTAGTCGTTCATGTCAGTAAGCAAATCCTGCGATACATTAGTGGTTTTTTTTTTTTTTCAAATTCGGACCCCCTTGACTTACATAAATACTGCGCGGCTCAATAGCATCAGCCGTCCACTTAGCACACAAGATTGCAATGCAAAACGGCAGCACATGATTCAAGCTTCCAGTCAGTTCAAAACAAATGACAGCCAACGTTACTGACAGTCGAGTAACGCCACACATGGTTGCTCCGGCAGCTACCATAGCATAGACACCAGGGGTCACACATGACTCGACTCCAGGAACAGCAGGACAACTCGCAAAAAGGAAGAAGTCCGGGTACGCAACGACAAAATATTGCGTAAGATGGCCAACAATACGTCCCATAAAGCCTCCTACCACCATGGAAGGGACATATATACCGGCAGGAACCTTTAGTCCAAAAGTAATGGTGGTTAAAAGACTCTTGACGATAAAAGCCTCCAGCAGGTACTTCACGACCACCAAAATATCTTCCTTCTCGTTAGGACAGAGACCCGATTTTGTCACACCAGTAGGATCGCATGGTGCAGTGAGCTCTTCAAGAAGTTCGGCCACAGCCAATTTGGTATAGCGGTTCCAGAAGCTCACGATGCCCGTGATAAATGCCACTAGAGCAACTTCCAGCAAGGGCGATCCTTTAATCAATGGGATTCGACGGAATGATCTAGCCCAGAGGTTTGTGGCTTTGATAAACAGTGCACCTAGTGTTCCACCTAGGATACCTAGAAGGATGAAGATTCCCATTTCGAAGATCTCCCAATCAGAGACGTATCGTACTTGAAAAGGCACAATCTTGCCTGTACCATACGGGTTGAGGAATTTCAGAGATAATGCGGATGCCTTGATATCGTTAGTTAATGAAGCCAGCTTTCTTCACAGGTACAACAACTTACAATACAGCAAAAGAAAGTCCTGAAAAGAGTCTTTGGAGGAAAGTAATAGCTTCAAATCATTAGCAGGCAAAGTAGAGACCGTAAGAACGAAGATAGATACCTGACTTCTTCCAGTCCAAAAAGTACGCCTCCAATAGGCGCTCCGAAAGCGACTGCCACACCGCTGGCTGCCGAAGCCCCAAGAACTTCTCGGCGCTTGGCATCGTTGGTTCGATATTTCTTGAACAGACGGCTGCAGATATTGCCCACACATGTCGCAATATGCACATAAGGACCTTCCTTTCCCAAGCTCATACCAGACGAAATGGCCAAGACTAAAGCAAGAGTTTTGAATATGAGAGTCTTCAATCCCAGATATCCGTGCAAAACAAAGCCGCTCAGAATAACCTTGACTTCAGCCACTCCACTGCCAGCAGCAGAATAGTAGACTGTGGACGGATTGCTACGTAAACTGGTGAAGTAACCGCTGGGGCTTTGGGGGGCATTGCTGCTCTCGGCCCCCAGATTTTCATCCAATGTAGACAAAGCAATTGTCGACGGCACGACCGTCTTGGTAAACATGGTGAGCCCACATGCACCCAAAGCCATCAACACGGCCCAGAAGACATAAAATATAAAGTCCACCGACTCATTGTCAAATCGAGAAAACCCAACTAATTGTGACCATGAGCTCCATGCATCACAGGATCTCTCACCGATGCAGCATGTTCTACGGTCTGACAACCAAGATGTTGTGCAAATACCATCCTTTAGCTCAAACACATGTTTATCGGCAATATCCACAAAATAAGCAATGGCCGCAGTTATACAACCGATGAGGGCTACAAGAATCCACCCTTGAGCGCCGTCAAACAAGGCCAGCATTCGACCCTTGAAGTCCTTTCGACTTCGCAATTCCCGCAAGCGAATACCATCCTTGATACTGTCATGCACCCAATCTATCGAAGTAAACTGATCGTACCATAGCCGTTCGTCTAGATATGACGAGCCTTGCATGACATCCTCGTTCCAGTCTTTGGGTGTATCGTCCGGCTGAGCTTGTGTCCTCTGGCCGGGCACAAATCGCGCTGATGGCCTTCGGCTATGGTGACGGGACCGACGAAGTGTGCCACCGGTGGTGTTATATCTGAAGAACGTATCCGGTCTCGTTGCGGCTCCATAATTTGTCCGGCGGTCGTTCCCAAGCAAGCTGTCATTCTCGTGGGCTGGTAATCGTCGTCGATACGTGGGCGAGACAGGAGCTGTTACTGGGGCGGGGCGATGCTCATACTCATCGGAATCGTCGTCGTGCGAGCCCGACGGGGGGTCGTAGGCTGAGCGAGGCATGTTGTCGAAATGGCGGGGKGTTTCCCGTCCCTATGAAGTGTTGAGATTCAAAACAGCATGCTGGCTTTGATATAGGTTGATCGACGCGAGATGAGTCTTGTTGCTCCTTTGACCGAGGGGTTGATACGTTACGTCAGTCCGCTTCCAACGCCGGGGTAAACAAATGACCACGGGCTTTTGCAATAGGTGAATAAGACTGATTAACACAGTCTGTAAAAGAATGACTAAATGAAATAGTAGATAAAACAAATGAATTAGAAATGTCGAGCGAGTGCAGCCAATATCTAAGACACAGCTCGACTAACCAGCAAAAAACCGTCAACGTAGGTGTGTCAGTTAGACCGTCAGGCTAGGAGGCTAAGCTCAGATCACGACAAAGAGCATTAGGATTGGTCAGTTGGCATCATCTGACAGACCCACCTGGCGGAGTCATCTAGCTCTTCGTGCTGTGGCCATAGTCACGAAGACTATGCTGAGCAGTAAGAAAGACAGAGTGGGAACAAATACAGACGAAACAAAGAGTCAGGCCAAACATTCCAGCAGAACGGACACAGCGTGTGATCATTCCGCGGTCACACGGATATGTGTATTGGTGCCTTAGAATCGAGGTGTCAAGGCATCCCGGGCAGGGATCCCTGCCCGGGTCGGAATAACGTATCTCCTTGGCCGCGATCGTCCATCGATTGACGAGGCTTGAGAGGGTTTGCTTCAATTTAGCCATGTTCATAAGTACCCTTGTATTGTCCAATGCCCTTTGATGTCGACTCACATTTTCGCAGTGACTGCATGCAGACAGCGGCTACTCGTGCATCGCACACATTCTAGAGTTGATCTATCTCATACCGGCATGATCGCATTCATCGGTGATTAGTGGATTTTGAATAGTTTGCATTCGCTCTCGACAATCAGCGCTCCACCATGCAAAGAAAGCATCGACTTTAACCTATCTGCGCGCGCGGGAAAAATTCTCCGGGATCGTACCAATCAGAAGCCATATAAAATGAATAGAACCTATTGTTTCCTGGGGTATGGATTAAGATGCGCGTCTAAAAGGTGGTGTGTAAGGTTGTGGTGGGTATGTACCGGATACCTCTGTCTGTGGTGAAATCAATACATAACAGTCAGTGATACGTAGTCAGTAGAATGTTGTAAGCACGACTTCCCCGCCAGCCGGCTCGTGCTCCGCGGGGATACTCTACACAGTCAATCCGACCACTCTGCAAACTTCGACTGAAAGGTCCAGACGAGTTCGGGAAAACTGATACGTATATTTAAGTCTCTCGCCCTGTTGATGCATAGCAAAGTACTTGAAACTTAGTACCAGGTACATGCAGGTCAGTGCTCTTCCATTGCCACCCCTGCCCCGGGATTGTCTCTTTGGTGGGTGCTGTATAGGTACCCAGGAGGTCGGGTTGACCAGTATACCGGATATTGGATCACAAATTTATCACTTATTTGGTGATCCAGGCACTTCTTTGGTCAACTCTCGTCAGTGACGAGAAAAAACGAACGTAGTTCTTGCTGACTTGTCTTATCATCCAGACCATTCTAGATCGTTCTGTTTCTCTCTCCGGAACTCCCTTTTTCGTCAGGGTCATCCTTCCACTTATATTTTCTTTTCTTTTCCGGCTCTTTTCTTTTTCGCTTTCCTGAAGGAGAAGGTAGTCGATAATCAATTAACTACCGGGATTCGTGTTCACAACACTATTGTCTGACTGGATATTTTTCCCCTTTCATTTACCATTCGAGTTTCACACACCATACCCTAGAAACTCGTGTACAATCTGGCTGGGGATACATTGCGAAATTAGGGAAAGGGCTGCAGGGCTATATTCGCACAGGTATAAATAGAGAGGAACCTGCCCTGAGTTTGAGAAACTCCAGAATCCGAAATGTCAACGGACCCATCGGCAATCATGCCTTCTTCTTACCCATCACAGGATGGACGGATAAAGTATGACCAATTTTTCATATTTGGAGATTCAATCACCCAATTCTCGTACGATCAACGTTTGGGCTTTGGCTTCGGCGCTGCTCTAGAAAGTGGTGAGCTACTCTTTGGCTACAACGAGATGCATAATTCGGTGTCCTCTAACGGATTTCGCTATAGATTATGCTAGACGTCTCGATGTAGTCAATCGAGGATTTAGGTGAGAATGTTTGATAAACACCTTCCAGCCCAAGGACTGACTAGTGTAGCGGGTATACGACCGCGAATGCCAAAGTTCTGTTTCCAAAAATCTTTCCCACATTACAGGAAGGCCGGGTCCGTTTAATGGTATTTTGCATTCCTGTCCTGTTGGTGATTCTTAGAATGAACCTAACATTCAAGTAGACGATATTCTTTGGCGCAAATGATGCCGTCTTGCCACCATATGCCCAACAAGTGTCCCTTGACCAATACAAGGAAAACCTCAAATTCCTCATCCAGCATCCTTCAGTCAGGGAACACGGCACCAAAATCATTGTCCTGACCCCTCCTCCAATCAACGAGCACCAATTAAAGTTTTTTGATGCAGAAAAGGGCTTTGAGACCCCCAGTCGAACAGCTGCCAACACCAAGCGGTACGCTGATGCGTGTCGCGACGTTGCCCAGTCGCTGGGGGTACCCGTGGCCGATATTTGGACGGCGATTATTAAATCGACTGGGTGGGAGATTGGGCAGCCGCTGACTGGTTCAAAGGATGTCCCTGCAAATGAACAGCTGGCGAGTATGTTGACTGATGGTACGTTGTCTTCGTTTGAGTCTCGAGACATGGTATTGATTTGCGAGTCTAGGTCTGCATTTCACCGGCAATGGATATAAAGTCATGTATGATGAGGTCATGAGAACTATACGGGATACTTGGCCAGAGGAAGCCCCGGAGAATCTTCGCGAGGTCTTTCCACCCTGGGACATTGCTCCCAAATGATTTTCAAGTCGGCTCCGCATGGATAGATACGCTACTCGATTGGGTTATGAGGTTATTGCTTATAATAATTGCTTGACTATAGCTTCTCATGTACTTACTTGGATTTGATATTGAATGAACATATGGTTATCATTGGATTAAAGATTTGTCTGCTCCTATAGTATTCTGTTTGATATGTGTGAATTGTCGGAAAAGATGTCTTTTCTTCGGATTTCTATGTGCCTTCTTCTCATTTTGTTAGGGACTATCTTGAGTTACCCGGTTGACATATCTGTTGAAGATATATGCTTTAGAATAGGCTTTGATCATTCCCGGACGGATTAGGGCATAAAGGAATTGTCAGAAGACTTCAGTCAACGTTGGCTTCCAGCATAATCTTAAAGAAGTATTCACAATCATTCTTTGTAGAGATCAAATCAGACGAGTTTTCGAAACGTTTCCACTGAAGTCAAACCGAAGTCAACGCAAAGCTTTGGTTCATATCCGGCATTTCCTATGATAGTTATTGATTAGCATCGCAATAATGATTCATAAGACGGCATACGCATGGAACTTGCCTTGGAAAAGCCATTTCATTTCATCATGGTATGCTCTCTTCGGAAACCACAACATGAACAATGCGTACAGGTATCAAGAGAAGGAAAATACGATGCAGAAGGACGGTAAAAAATTCGTCCTTTCATACGCACTGAAGTACATATAAGCTAGCCATGGCTACAGTACGATCAAGCCTTCACGACAGCAACCGAATCGCAATAGCCAAGGCACAGTCTGTTCAGCGAAATTCGCTTTCGATAAGCCATATTTGCAACTACTTCCATAAAAGTTCTAGAGACAACGACACATAAAAATGGAGCCGGAAAACTCAGTACCCCAGAATGACAACGGTGATATCGTCGATTCTGATTCCAGCCTCTCCAGCAGCGTCGAAGATCTACTCACGGATCGAATCAACACTCTAGCCCAATTCTTGACTTTGCTAGGCAACAAAATCCTCCTAGGTGAGCAGCGGGAAATTGACATGCAAGTCCAAATCGACAAAATCAACGACCGTCTCGAGATACTTCAGGAACGCCTCGAGAAACGCTTAGAGGAAATTGACCAGGACGTCAAGGCTCGCGACACTCAACTCGACGGCCACGATACGCATTTGCTCTACCTTCGCGCCGGCGAGCTAGAGACCATATGGGACAAAGTCACCAGCAACATTCCGCTGGAAGACATCTACATCCTGCACGGAGCGGACGTTGCGCTCGACATGCTTGCACTCAATTTCCTCCATGTGACGGACCAACAGCGCTATGAGGTTGCCAAGGTCGGTTTCGAGAATCTGTACGAATTTCCTTTCAATGATGATAATGAACAGAAGATCACCACTGGGCCTGCAGAAGTCCGCAAGACGATCGACAAGCGGGCCAATTTGAAGTTTCTGCGTGCCTGGAAGTGGTCATCTGAGACGGAGTATTTGGTGGATTTGTGCGATGCGATCTTGGGGAAGTGGGAAAACAAGTTAAATCGGTACTATCCTAATGCGCAGTTGCGACAGGATTACGAGGAGTTGGAGACGTTGTACATCAACAAGGGGGTGTAGTGAGGAGAAGACAAGTATGAGGTTGAGACGATGTTAGGGCTGCCTAACCCTAAGGTCAGCCAGGCACACTGGAGTTCGTCGCTTTCAGCTTCCCCATTCTTACAGACTTGTCTCAAAAATCAAATACATGATATCATTCTTTCGAAATGTAACTCTTCGTCTAATCAGAAATTTGTAGTTGAGTAGTAGTATAACTTTAAGGGTAAGACCGTTGAGGCCAGCAGACATGGCAGCCTGAGGCAGGCTACCCTCCAATCTTAGAATTCATTCTTAGTCCCCTCCGCAAAATCTCCAGACAGACCCTAAAACATCATTCCCAACTTTACAACATAACCCATAAATAGACGACCGAGTCTATCTATCTTCAATGCTTCGGCTGTTATTCACGATTGCCTTTGTCTTTGTTTGATTCTAGAAGGCTTTGCACCTTTGTTTCGTTTCTTGAAATCATTCGAAGCCGGTTACAACTAGCAAGTCTGATCGCCACCACCTTCCTCAACTTTCGACCAGCCAGCCTTCCTGATCGTTCACTTTCCGCGTGGTCACGCTTGATTGAACGTCACTCAAAACAAGTATCGTAACTTGAGAACTTTCACTCGACTTTCACCCAAACGAATCTCTGCAGCCCGCCCACCGTACATTCCCTCGCGCGGACTACCTGACGTCTAGACCACGGATAAACCTACATCGGCAACGGCTCAACAACGTTCGTTACTAAGTGGCTCTCAACCAACGCTCTCGATCGGTGTCATCAGTCAACGGATATTTCAACAAGATTCTTGAATGGGCCTAAACATTTCTAAATAAGAAAGCGACAATCAGACTGGGAAGACGGCCTTTTGGGCCGTCTCTGAGTCCTGGAGGGAGGGTGACTTGAGGAGGACAAACGAAGTGATTAACATCAGGCGGCTATCGTGATTGCTGATTTCGACTGTATCCACCCGTGGAGGATCGATATCGTATCGAGGAGCGCTCTCACTCATTCGGACATTGAGATACCGTGGGAATGGATGCGCAGTACCCGTTTGCATCTCGTGAAGATATTTGGCGCGTCTTTGAAGAGGTCAAGGATCTGTATTCCACACAGCTCGAACACGGAGAGCGGATTGCGAGGCTGGAGCGGCGGAGAGAGGATGATGCGCGGTTGAAGAGTGTATGGGGTCCAATCTCACAGTTTCCCAGCACCATGAGTGGCCCACTCACAGGTATGATTCCTTTTAAGCTCTACAGATAGAACTTCTAACTAACAAAAATATCTTAGAGCCATCTTATACACCCACCGTCGATGCCTTCAAAGGGTTTGATCAAGGTCATCATCACAGCATCATCACGAACATGACCCTAGACAACGAGGAGGAGCCACGTCGGGGTGCGTCCAGGGCCAACAGTGTTCGTTTCGATGAAAGCGCAATCAATGGGTACTACGGCCAAGTCAATCGCTCGACAAGTGAGCTTCCCATTCGGACGGGAAGCGGCATGAGTAGCCATGCCCTGACCGAACGTTCTCTATCCCATCGTTCCGATGGTCGCCAGAGTTCTTCGGGACATTCACATCACTCTGCTCGGACTAACAGCATGGGTATCGATACTGCACGCATTGTTGGTTCAAGTGGTGGATCGCCTGCAAGTTCGATAATGCCACCTCCTGGATTGTTTCTGCTCGGGCCTGTTCCTTGTATCATACGATGCTGGTTGACGACTACCTTCTCCAATGACTCGTTACTGTATGCAGCTGTTTGTTCCGGCTCATATACGTCTTCTCTCGGGTACAGCTTGATTGAGAAGTTAGGGTATGTGGATCAAATCATTGTCGAAGAAGGCCTGCGCTACATCAAGCTTCCTCTCTATCTCCCCGAAGCCAGCATCCATCAAACATCTTCCCGTACTGGCAGTCCCACGCCGCAGCTTCCGACTGTGACTGTTCGATTTGCAGTGCGTGATATGAGCCCCGATGACAAGAGCATTCATATCATTATCGGAAGCGATGTCCTCCGGTCCCACAACGCAGACATTCTCTTCTCGCAGGACAAGATTATCATGGTTGACGATGACAGAAACAAGGTCTTCATTCCGCTTGTACGTCCTGAAAACGATGCAGTGTTCAAATACCTCAACACCGCTTCCGACGGCTCGCGTGAGACTTACGCCAAACCGCAACAAACGCACGGCACAGAATTGCAGGAAACTGCCAGTGGACGTGATCATGGTACCATTGAGCGGCCACTCTCACAGGATACCGGTTCCATTGTGTCTACAAAGGTGGAAGAGCAAGACCGCGAACGTGAATCAAGGCCTACGACAAGGGACGGCGGCCAATCCGAGGCCGATAGTCAAGCTGCAAGGGAGAGTGGTGCACCAGTTGATCCAGAAGCTCATCCTGGAGTTTCGCCAAAGACGGAGCCTGCTGGACCGTGGGGATCATGGCGACGCTCAGATGGCAGTGCGATTGGTATGGCGAAATCGAACCGTGGACGAACAATGAAAGTGCTACGACCATCAAAATCACTATCATCACGAGTCCCATCGACAACCTCTAGCCATGCTCACGCCGCTTCGAATGTCGAAACTCTGTCATCGCCTGCTGGTGCATCATATCAAGGAGGCGAAAGCAACCTAGCAGCTCAGACGCCTGGACCAGATCTTGTCCATCCGACACCGAGCCGAAGCGCCAGTTTTAAATCAGGAGATGGCTCATGGTCGGCTACTGGCAAGCCTCGAGCAAGCAATCCTATCGGAGGAGCATCTGCATTTGGCTGGCTCAATTCTTCGTAGCTTTCTCAGCGTTATTCGTCCTTCTTTTAATGGTCGCTTTCATTCTCACCAGGCTAAAACTGCTGAAGAGGATTGATACGAAATGCGATTAGCAAGCAGTGTAGAATATTCTTTATACTGTTCTTAGCATGAGTGTATTCTAAATCTACAATAGCTAGACAATACTAGTATCTTGCCAGCTCTTTTTCTCCTCAACAAATAGGTTACCGATCCTAACAACCCTAACCCTATATCGGAATTTCCCCGCATACATCGTATTACCCCAACTGATTTCTCCGATTTGCCCCGCATCTTCACTCCTGACTCGGCCGATCCTCTACTCTTCCTCACAACTTGCAGATACTTCCGTTTCCACGGCAATTGACCTTTATACTAAGCAATAGAACATGGCGAACTTAACTGCGAGAGCGAGTCGGATCAGTAAGTGGTGATCTTTTTGTATCAGAAGGTGACATTGGAAGCTGACAAGCGAGGATAGGGAATCCGGTGTTGTTGTATGTCGCCTTTGCTGCTCACAGCGAACTCGCATTTTCATAGGGATACTGGCTAATTGAGACTCAAGCATCTGTGACATACAAGAGAAGTTCAGAGAACACATTCATGAGTTTCCGAAGGTGTATGTTTTATCTTCTGATACTTGGCACTGGGAATACTGTAAGGTATAGGAAACTGAGAATTGACTATTAGTGTATCGACAACTCGAAAACTTCTCAAGGCCAGCGCTGTCCTCGATGTCCCCGTGTACATAACAACACAAAACAAAGCACGCCTCGGCGACACCGTCTCCGAGCTGCTATCTCTCGTCGCACCTAACGACAACCAAACAGGGAACAAAGTAATCGCCAACATCGACAAAACCGCCTTTAGCATGTACACCGACGACCTAGTCTCTCAATATCAATCAACCACCAACAGACCAGAACAGAAATTAGACGCGATCATCGTCGGCATCGAGACACACATCTGCGTCACCCAGACAACTTTGGACTTGCTACAAGCCGGTCATCGAGTCTATATCGTCGCTGACGGAGTCAGCAGCGTAAACCCGGAAGAAAGACCCGTTGCACTCGCCCGACTCCGGGACGCAGGCGCCATCGTGACGACAAGCGAGAGTCTGATTTTCGAGATGTTGAGGGATGCGAAGAGTGATGGGTTTAAGAGTATTAATGGGTTGATTAAGGAGTTCAAGGAGGATACCAAGGAGGGGTTGAGGGTTTTGTGTAAATATTGATTTTTCTCTCGTTACTTATGTCGGGTTTGAATACAACTTGCGGAGTGAATTAATTTGTCACCTTTAAACGGCCCATTGTCGGTCATAATTGGATTTAAGGACAAGGCGGCGGCCCAACTAAATTTTTAGGGTTAGGGTTAATAAACATCTAATTTGTGTAGTACGTATACATTTCTTTTCCACACATCACAGCTTGACTTCTTCAATCTTAGCACGCCCCTGAGCCCATTTCAAATCACCCTCTGAAGCCTTTTGCCATATGAAATGGATTTCATCAAGGAAAGCAGGCAGGAATGTCCCCGGTCCATTAACCGTGTCCTTTGCTGCTGCATTCTCGGCTGCGATTTCGTACATTAATAACCCTGCAAGCACTGCGAGGAGTTTGTTGTCTCGATACGCTGCTAAGTAGGCACCACAGATTGTGCCGATGGCGCAGCCGGTCTGTTCAGTCTTTTGTCAGTGTTTTGTTCTTGGGAATTAGATTTAGCAAGAGGATGACTGACCCCGGTAGCTTTGCTGAGTAGTTCGTGGCCATTCTTAATTGCAATGACGCGACGTCCATCACTCAGGTAGTCAATCGTCCCGGTAATGAGGACAATGTTTCCTGTTAAGAATCATTGTCAGCTTACCAAAATCCCTCGTTGTAAAGTGGCCAACATACGCTCCCTCCGGGCCAGATCTCTAGCCAAAGTAGCCTTCTCAACATCGTTCAACGCGCTCGGCCCACTATCAACCCCCCTCTGAGTAAGATTGGCCGTATTCCCATAAACCTGCCGAATTTCTCGTTCATTACCCTTGATAAGATCAAAATAACCGCCTGCCATCAGCGTTCTGACTGCATCCCGTCTAATTGCAGTAGCTCCGGCACCGACTGGATCGAGCACGACAGGGTTGCCGTTGCTGTTGTACGCTTTGACAGCTTTGAGGTATTCGCCGATGCTTGCACTGGTCAGTGTGCCCATGTTGATGACGAGTCCACCTCCGTGGACGGCGAGGTCCTTGGCTTCGTCGCCGTATTGGGACATAATGGGCGATAGACCGCTGGCAACAGATCAGCAAGGCTTTTGACAGAACGGACGGGGTAAGACGTACGCTGAGATAGCCACATTCGCAACAAAGTTCGCAACCACAAAATTGATCATACTGTGCACGATAGGATGGAAATTGACTACCTTCTGCACCACTTCCGGAACAGCAGCAGCAAGTGCGCTCACGTCAACAGCTGAAGAGTCCTCAATGGAATTCCTGGTAACAAAAGCCGGCGGCGTGGCTATCGTCTCTTTGAGTTGTTCCGCAACAGATTTGGGGTTCTCTGCGGCCATGATTGCACTCACCACTGCTACGCCGTCAAGGGCTTTGTTAGGGGCCGCTGATTGATATAGGACTCGCTGCACATTGGATAGATTGATGCCGCCAATTCCGACGGTGCTTACTGCCCGATCGAGGCGGCTGATACTGTCGAGAATCATCTGGACGCCTGCTGTGCCGATTATGTTTTTGGTATTTGTTTTTCTGTTGATTTTTTAGATTCAGGTACAACCGATTAGTAAGAACGGATACTCACGTTGGAGTCGCAAACAGTGTGCCAATGCCTAGATAATCGGCTCCTTCTTTGACGGCCCTGACAGCCTCCTCAACGGTTGATGCACTGATACCGACGATGGCATCTTTGCTCAGTATCTTCTTGGCGGCAGTTATTGCTATGATAACGGCGGATTAGTGACGTCTCCCCTTGAGGATTTCACATATGAAATACTAACACATATCATCCTGCCCCAGATGCACACCCTCCGCACCGGACGCGATAGCAACATCTACACGGTCATTGATTATCAGAGGAACATTGTATCGTTTCGTGATGTCATGGAGCTTCGTGGCTGTTTCCACGAGGGCTCCGGTATCACTTGTCTTGTCTCTGTATTGAACGATCGTAACTCCTGAGAAATATCAACGAATTGTGCTATACTTTTGATACGGAAGCACATACCACCCTTGCAAGCTTCTTCGACGACTGTGTAGATGTCTCGGCTTCCGAGTATGGCAGGCGTAGAATCTGTTACTAGGTAGAGACTGAGGTCGAGCGTCATGTTGTGTTGTTTCAGCTGATAGGTATATCAACTGACGGTAATTGATTATATTGGAGTGACTTTGTACACTGGACCGAGGAGGCAACACTACTCCTGCTTGACTAGGACGTGACTAACCCTAAGTATATGATATACTTATGTGGTATTCTTACCTGTTGACAAAATAGGGTCAGCACGTGTCGCTACTATTGAGTGAACTAATAATGGCATAGCCGCTTCTTTCCCAAGTACCCTACTTTGGATAACCCAAGGCTCTTCAATATCCACAATTGATAGATGGGCAAGAAGCTATACATACAGCTGTTGAGATATTCCCCGCCGAAGATTCAACCAAGCTATGTTGTGTTGTACGGGAAGTAAAATCCAGGGTCAACTCACATACCAAAGGTCAATTATGTTCGTCGCTAACAGAAGTTGAAGGATATCTAAGGTATATTATCCAATGAGTCGTGTCACGAATGTATGCAGTCTAACAGCAAAATTTCCCCCACCACGAAAAGAGCGTCATCGGAGGTAAAATACCGTGATACATGGTGTATTTTAAGTATACGGACTTAATCGCCTAATTAGACTAGCGTCTAGTAATTTAAGTCAATTCAAGATCGAAAACTCTGCTGCCGTTTAGCCGGAAGTCAGCTGACGTACGTATTTTTTCGAGTCATGTATTTTGTCCCACAACAAGTCCATAGAAAAATCACGTCTGGTATTGTTACATTACGAGTATGCTGGTAATCAGAATACGTGGGCGCATACTCATCGCTGATTGGCCCTACGGTGTTAGGCCGCTGTGGATTCCGAAGCGGCGGCCGTTGTTGCCTTTTCTCACTCAACCCGATTTTGCTCTTACAAATATTCTTCTTCCTTACACACAACTTGGAAAAGCTTCAGTCTTCCTACAATCATCTCAAAATCTATCATCACATCACTCAGTTGGCTTATAGTCATCTTGCTACAAAAGTGCGTACACAGTCGAGTCACCCCGCCCAACTTACCTCCCATTATCAAGCCACTCCTGGTTACGTGTGAGTCAAACTCGGCATATTCTGACTGTTTCTCTTTTTGCAGATCTGCTCTCATCAAAAACCATCCGCTTTGGTTTTTGGACTCGTATAAATTTCCGTCGCAACGTCTACCGCCAGCGAACAAAACAGCTCGAGGTCGAGAGTCTGTTCATGTATTCGCCCTCCGTCAACGCTTTTGAACACCATTTGCCGCTTACGCTGCATACGTTTCGCTTCGTGCGGAAACCGTGTAGTATACACTCGAGATCCTGTGGTTGAACCGTCGTGACCGTCGACTTCTAGACGATCATTCTACCTATCTTTTGTTACAAAGAATCTGAGGTAAATTCTACCGCATGTATCTTTGCTACCAAACAATCTTTGTTGTGTCTCCTGTCGTCCGCCTTTCGCACAAGCCGCCCATTCTCGCTTCTTGAAAAGTCTTTTCAAAATAAACCTACCAAATCGACACCATGGCTACCGTCAACGTTCGTCGCGATGTTACCGACCCCTTCTACCGTTACAAGATGGAGAAGCTCCAGGCCAAGATCGAGGGTAAGGGTAACGGTATCAAGACCGTCGTTGTGAACTTGAACACCGTCGCTCAGTCCCTCGCTCGTCCTCCCGAGTACCTCATCAAGTACTTCGGATTTGAAATTGGAGCTCAGGCCAACGCTAAGCCCACTGACGATCGTTGGATTATCAACGGTGCCCACGACGCTCCCAAGCTTCAGGACTTGTTGGATGGTTTCATCGACAAATTTGTTCTCTGCAAGAAGTGCAAGAACCCCGAAACCGAAGTGATTCTCAAGGACAACCGTATTACTTTGGACTGCAAAGCTTGCGGCCAGCGCTCTGACGTTGATCCTCGTCTCAAGCTGAGCACCTTCATCGTGAGAAAGACTCCTGCCAAGGGAGGCAAGAAGGACAAGAAATCTCGTCGTGACAAGAAGAAAGATAAAGACGAAGCCAATGGAGAAAAGAATGGCAGCCCAGGAGACAGCAACGCTTCTGACGAAGGTGATGATGGCGAGCTTCTAGCTGCTAGTGACGACGAAATTGTTGCCGGCGCTGAGAAGATCAACATCGAGGACGAGGACGAAGAAGAGGTCAAGTGGTCCGTCGATGTCTCTGAAGAAGCCGTCAAGGCCCGTGCTAAGGATCTTCCCGACGATCTCAAGCGCACCTTGATCATTGAAGGCGGCGAGGACGATGACGAAGAAGGTGGCGCTACCATTTACGATCAGCTTGGAAGCTGGATCATCAAAGAAGCCGAAGACAATGGTGGTGTTGCTAAGGTCAGCGACATTGATATCTACAAGAAGGCCCTGGAGCTCGGCATTGAGAACAAGCACAAGACTTTGACCGTGCTTGCACAGACCATCTTCGACGACAAGATTGTCAAGCAGATCCCATCTCGTGCTGCCATGTTGAAGAAGCTGATTACTTCTGAGCGTCATGAAAAGGCATTCCTAGGCGGTACCGAGCGTTTCCTGGGCAAGGACCATCCTGAGCTCATCCCTCAGGTTCCAGCTATCCTTCTCGGATACTACCAGAACGACCTTGTTTCTGAGGACGTCCTCAAGGCTTGGGGCAGCAAGGGCAGCAAGAAGTATGTCGATCTTCAGACCAGCCGAAAGGTTCGCAAGGCTGCTGAAAAGTTCCTCGAGTGGCTTTCGACTGCCGACAGCGATGAGAGTGAGGAAGAGTCTGAGTAAAATCGCTTATTCCCTCATCGGTTTCACGGCACACTACACATTCATTTGTCAAGTGTTTTGAAATCCTGTCTTTTCATTTGATCTGACTGATTTATTCTTTCGGGGCTTTCTGTCTACGGCAGAGGACAATTTGTTGATGTTGCGATATACTATATTGGCTGTTATGTTTGAGTTGACTGTGATTTCTCGTGCGAAAAATGACTCGGCTAACTACTCAATCAATTCTCCACTCATTTGAGGTTATGTATTCCAATTCGTAGTCAACGTATCTACAAGTGATCAAGTATCTATGCACCAACACCCTCTTTAGTAGTTTAAGGACTATACAACTTCCACAGATGCAAACTTCCATCTTCCGCTCTTACTGGCATTATCATTAAACCGTTGCAGTTCGTGCGGTAATTGCCAACGCCCACTGGTCGAATCAGAAGTGGAAGATGGTGTAGATGTTGCTGCAGAAGAACGTTCCGAGATCAGCCCCTGCCAGAATATAAACCACGTCAAATCCTTATTCCATGCCTCCATGGCTTGTATCGCCCTGTTGACGAGGTGCATATCCTCTTCACCTTTGTCGGCTTTGTCAGAGAGTTGTTGGATAGCTTGTTGCCTCGGGGGTGATGATGTACGTTTATCATAGAAATGAAAGTAGTATTTCGATCCGACAAATTTCATGATCCAGCCCCCGATGGAATCACAGAGTTCGTCGCCGATAGATAATGGAATTCGAACGTGGGCAAGCACATTCACGAATAGAGTGAGCAGTGAGCGCCAGAGGATATGGTGCTGCGTAAACGAGCGAGCGGTACTACTCGACAAACTCAGGTCCGGAATTGTGGTTTTGAACACCGCTAATGATGTGTCCTTCAACTTCTGTGTTCGTCGGGTTTGACGGTCAAGGCTCCGTTCTGCGTCGACGAGGACCTTTTTCCAGTTGTCGAGGTATAGGCGGCGCCAGCGTGGGTATTCGCTGGCTACGCGCGAGGCCATGAAGTCGCCTGCTAGTTCGCACATGTTTGTCACGACGTCACAGGCAGCGGCGGTGACGAAGGTTTCTTCTTTGATTATACTGTCATCTTCTGGTTTAGATGTTCTAGAGACAATATCCGTTGAAGAGGAAGTTGTCGTTGAAGATGTTGTAAGGTAGACGGGTGTCGAGCTTGCTGTGGAGGGGGGCGCAATTCGTGAACTCACTGGCGGCCATAGTTCATTGATGAGTGGCAGGAAACTGGCTTGGKTTTTGGACAAGACGGGAAAAGCCTGGTTGAGAAGGGATAGGAGTGATCGCCTCAAGAAGGGGGATGGTGAGCCAAGGTGCGGAGGTATGGATTTTACTATCTGTAAGAGTAAATTGTGTGATTTGCTGAGAGGCTTGGGGGCGTCTTCGGGATCTTTTGGTGGAGGGAGAGATTCGTCAGGCTCGTCTAGAGGGTTGATGGTCTCATTGAGAAGTTCTTCGATGTTTTTGTCGTCGTCTTGTTTGGGAAGTGGAGGTCCGTCTTGTTCGCGTGTCCATGGACGTTGAGGGTGTGGGAGTCGTTCTTCATCTAGCTTGCTGTCGATTTCTTCGATACGTACTCGTTTGGCTCGTCTATGAGCAATATTATTCACCAATTCTGCGACTGATAATGGCTCSTATGCCTGGKTTTTGTGTTCCATAAGGKTTTCTTGACCGTCTGCAGTAATCGACAGCAATTCTGGGGTCCGGGTACCCTCTTCGACAATCGCAGCAAGACTCGAGTAAAGCAATTCGACGAGCTTAGGATATCCGTGATACATGTCAAGAATGCCGAAAATGGAGCTTACAAGATCGTCTAGATATGGTATAAGACCAGCTCCAGACAGCTTGACCATCATCAAAAGAACTTGTGGAGGATACGGCGAGACGTCAAATGTGTTGAGCTTGAGCGCCACTGCATTGACGAGATAGTCAACGTTTTCAATCAACATTGTGCGTGTATCCGGATAATTGCAGGATTGTGTGATGATGTTCAAACAAGCCATAGCATGAGTCTGTAGATTAGGGTTGTTAGACGCAAGGAATTGTAGCACGGGATATAATGCATCTATCAATTCTGGGCGAAAATCTTCTTTGAGTTGTTGGGCTTGCAAAGCTACAATCTCTAATGAAAGTGCCGAGACCCTCCAGTCCCGTGGGTCAGTTGATGGTGGCTCATTTAAAGTTGGAAGTGCGACTGAATATAGTTCCTCGATCATGGTTGCCCGAGACGAGAGGGTAGCCGAGGTATCAAAGGTGAGAAATTCGTCGATGCCATTCGATCCTTCAGATCGCAGAAATTGCAAGGCCAGCCACAAGGGCGCAACTATGGTATCACCCGCAGCCTGATGAACCTGATTGATAATATATCTCGTAATAGTCTCACCCGACTGTGTGCGGTTGAGCCTTGTGACCATAGATGTCATATCTGTTAGTGTCTGCTGCTGACTGCGGTGTTCGAGAAGCACTGGAGGGAATGTCTGTGAGGTGTTTTGTTTGCCTATAACAGCAAGCTCTAGACCACCTACTGAAGATGAAGTCACAGGCATGGGCACGGATTTCGATGACTGAACTATTGCCGCAAGACTATCACAAAGTCCAAGCGCGACGTTGCTTTCCAGCAAAGCCGAGCTCGATTGCACTTGCGAGAGGATTTGAAAAGCGATGGTGATTTGTTTGATAGCCCTCTGTTTGGCAGCTTCGTCACTGCTTTGCATGATCCTTTGAAATGAAGTCGTCCATATTTGAAGTAGGTCCTTGAGAATGTCCACAGTCAGACTCTGTACCGTAGCCAGATGGAGTAATGAATTATAGGCATTATTTGGAACATTTTCATCGTCAACATCTGAGAGCACCACCATGGTCTCCACTATGAGAGGTAGAGATTCCTTCAATGACTTGGGACATTCTTCAATTATCATCAAACAGAGATTAAGAAGAGCATCGCGTACTGCTTGTCTATCGTGCTGTCTGATTCGAATGACATTTGCCAGAGCGAGCTTGATTTGTCCGGCTGTTGCTTTGAGCCATGCTTCATCAAGGACTATCTTGTCGCTTGATTCATCTTTATTTTGTTTTTGTTGTTCTCCATACACAGCTTCATCATTGAGGACAGCCTTGAGAATACTTTCTAGCAACTGAAGAGATCCCTCTAAAACTTTGAAGCTTCTCCGGGTCTTGGTGGTGGGTATCACAACCTTCGTCAAAGCTGAAACGACACGAGGCATTATACTTGCCAGAATGACCCTATCAGTGACCCGGCTGAAAAGAGGTTGAAGTGCAGATAGTGCTGATATTTGAACGGCAGCCGAAGCACCTTCCGATATGCCTTCCAAAAGCAGATAGACGGTTTGATCGATGATAGTAGCAGAGCCAATCTCATTGAAGATGGTCTTTTCAGCGACTGGCCCTTGGAGCATTTGGAATATAGAATCCATGCAGACAAAGCTTGCAACTGAAAGTTCTTCCGACTCGGGTTTCAAGGTTGCTTGCCCCCGATTCTGGGCCGGAGTGCCGCCTACCAAAATGGTCATGAGAATGAGCAATTGTTTCCCCATCTCGGGGGCCAACTGAGATCTCCATCCCTTCGCGACGAGGACCGTAATGCACTTGACTGCGATCTCTAGACATCCCTGGGGCAGTGCCTGTGCTTGATTGAACACTTGCGAAAGGGGAAAGAAAACATATTCGGCCAGTTTTACATCCAGGGCATCCGCACTTCCCAAAGGCTCCAGTACAGCGTACAAGCCTTCTAGTGCTCTTTGAACATCACGAGGTTGGTTCTGGCGTGTACGAAAGCTTAGAGCGGCGGAGCTAAGCTCAACGCATGCAGGGCGAAGCTTTATATGATATCAAGTTAGATGCGTTCGATGCTAGAAAAAGCGGGGAAGCAAACCTTCCTGAACGCCTCCTGTCTCTGAGCCTCCATTGATGGTTGCCTGGTTCGTATGCATGGGTTGATTCGGGAAATCTAGCTCTTCAAGCCATCTGCGGCATCATTTTAGTGAACATGCGAATTATATCACGGTAGTTGTGGCACCTTCAAGAAACCAAACATCTCACCTCTTTCTGATCCGCCGCGTTTTCTGCCGTTTCTATTATAGGCGGTCTGCGAGGTACTGACCGCCTTTGTTATCAGTGTACAATCTCCAAATAAAGACAGTCAAATTTACATGAAAGCAATTAGGCAATTTTTCATTCTCGGTAGATTTTCCTAATTGAAGCTTCTTAAGCGGCTCATTACTCCTATGCTAGTAATTGTTGAGTTGTTCGACATTCTAGGCAGCACCGCACGTGACGCCATAACTAATTAACGCGTCACTTGCTTCCGTCGACGCGTCGGGGAAAGTTTGGAGACTCCGCCTATGCTGAAAGGACGTTACAGCCTCATTCACGCCGAAAGGCATTATCCACGGCTTTCTTCGGAGGTTTTCAGTTCAGTGGTGCCTATTTCTTTAAGATCATTGACGAATATTTCTATGCGGCAATCCTTGCGTATCTCCGTCCTGCATTGGCCCTCCCCAAGTTTTAGAAATCACAGTCCACCTGCTAGATTTTTCGCAAGACGATCTGATTTCTTTCATGCGACTACAGCCGTAAATATCTCGAACAAAAGTCAACAGGGAGTGCAATTTCGCGACATTTCAGCGTGGACGCAACGTCCAATATCAATTATGCCGGAAAAGACTAACACGAGGCAAGCTACGCTGGGGTATGTCAGAGATCCGCAGTCGACAATCTGGTGCGTCGGGTTGTCGCTGTAAAATCCGATAGCTGTGACTGTGCTAACAAAAGTATCGTGAACGAACAGGAAATTCTTCGGGTCCGACAGACAAAATTCCACAGATGCCGCGAAGCGCCAAACCACATTGTCTTTTTCAGACGGGAACAGAAGAAAAGAGACCAATAAAGGTAACGTATCTACGACAAAACCGCCAGAAAACGAGGGCCAAGATGACATAGATTTGAATGGAGACGCGAGCGCCGCCAATGATGAATTAACATCGCCTAAAAAGGGTGTCAAGAGAGACCAGTCTGCGGAAGCAGAAGAAAGCGATGACTCAGATATCCAGCCTGCCAACAAGAGAAGGAAGAAAAACTCCAAAAGCCCTCGTCCCAAGAAGACTGCTAAAGAGGTTCTCGTCGAGCGACCATCGTCGCCTATGAAAGCGAAAAAGGCATCTGGAGAAGTGACACCTGTGGAAGAAGATGCCGATGAACCTGCCGAAGAGCCCTCCGCCAGCGAAGAGGATGAGGACGAGAAACCTGAAATCAAGAAGAAGCAGATTGAGAAGGTCCAAGCAACCTTGCAAGGCACCAGCAATGATCCGTATCCTGACTGGAAGGCGGGTGAACCTGTTCCGTACGCCGCACTCTGTACGACATTCTCTCTTATCGAGATGACGACTAAGCGTTTGATAATCCTAGCGCATGCATCTCTCTTCCTGCGACAGGTCCTTAGACTCACACCAGAGGACCTTTTGCCAACCGTTCAATTGATGATCAACAAACTGGCAGCCGACTATGCTGGTATCGAACTAGGCATTGGAGAGTCTTTGATTATGAAAGCAATTGGAGAAACAACCGGACGAAGCTTGGCTGTCATCAAAGCAGACCAGCATGAAATTGGTGACTTGGGCTTGGTTGCAGCAAAGAGCAGATCGAATCAGCCTACGATGTTCAAACCAAAACCACTAACTGTCCGAGGCGTCCACGAAGGATTGCTCACGATTGCCAAGGTCCAAGGTCATGGATCTCAGGACAAAAAAATTTCAGGCATAAAAAAACTTCTATCTGCCGCAGATTCTGCTACGGCAGGCAAGGGATCCAAGGGAATTGATATCAAACAGGATAAAGGCGGCCCGAGCGAAGCAAAATTTCTCATCAGATTCCTTGAAGGAAAGCTAAGGCTCGGCCTAGCCGAGAAGACCGTTCTCGTTGCTCTTGCACAAGCAGTAGTTACTCATGAAGCAGAAGTCAAGAGTGGAAAGTCTCCTAGCGCCGACCTCCTGGTACAGGGAGAGTCTGTACTGAAGCAGGTATACAGTGAATTTCCAGCCTATGAAGTCATTATTCCCGCCATGCTCAAAGAGGGGATTTTAAATCTACCGAATGTCTGCAAGCTGCAGCCTGGTGTTCCGTTGAAGCCTATGTTGGCTAAACCAACCAAATCCATTACCGAAGTTCTGGATAGATTCGAGGGCAAGGAATTCACCTGCGAGTACAAATATGACGGTGAACGAGCCCAAATTCACTATGTGTCACCGGAATCTATCCATCAATATCCCAACGCGAGTGCTACTCTCCAAAAGGATGCCAAGGGCCTCAGTTCAATCTTCTCGCGGAACTCTGAGGATTTATCCAAGAAATACCCCGATATTCTAGCAAAGCTTGATACCTGGATCAAGCCAGGTGTTAGTAGCTTTGTTCTTGACTGTGAAACAGTCGCGTGGGATATGGCCAACAAGAAGGTGCTACCGTTTCAGCAGTTGATGACTCGTAAGCGCAAGGATGTCAAGGCCGAAGACGTCAAAGTCAAAGTCTGTGTCTTTGCGTTTGATCTACTGTTCTTGAATGGTGAGCCAACAGTGAAAAAGTCTCTCCGTGAGCGTCGCCAGCTCTTACATGAGTCTTTTCATCCTATTGAGGGGGAGTTTGCATTCGCTCAACATTCGAATACCAACGAACTTGACGAAATTCAAAGTCTGCTGGAAGACAGTGTGAAAGCGTCCTGCGAGGGTCTGATGGTCAAGATGCTTGATACAGAAGAGAGTGGCTACGAACCCAGCAAGCGAAGTCGGAACTGGCTTAAGGTACTTGACCCTAGCATTGCCTCCTGATTTAGCGCATTTTCTAACGAAGATCACAGGTCAAGAAAGATTATTTACAAGGTCTTGGAGACTCTCTTGATCTCGTCGTTCTGGGAGCATACTTTGGCCGAGGAAAGCGAACTTCGGTCTACGGTGCCTTCCTATTGGCAGCATACAACGCCAGCAAGCAAACTTTTGAAACAATCTGTAACATTGGCACAGGTTTTTCTGAAGCCTTGCTTGAAGAGCTTCACAAAGAACTCTCCCCTCTCGCCATCGACCGCCCCAAACCCTTCTATGAGCACTCAACTGTCCCTAAAGATCAGCCAGACGTCTGGTTCGAACCCCGTCTAGTCTGGGAAGTCAAAGCTGCAGATCTCACCTTGAGTCCGCGCTACAAGGCAGCATCGGAAGAGGTTGTCGGCACATCCGGCGCGGACGGGAAAGGTATCTCTCTGCGTTTTCCTCGATATATCAAAGCGCGTGACGATAAGAAACCCGAGCAGGCGACTACCACTCGAGCTGTGGCGGAGATGTATCGTCGACAAGAGGCGGTAGCCAAGGAGACTGCCGGGAAAGGAGGTGTCGATGATGATTTCGAGTATTAGTATTGAGCTTGGTGTCACGTTGGTGTCCATTGTATCTGGGATGACGGCGTTGGTTAAGTCTTCAATTCACTACTCTGTATCTACTTGTACGGTTGCACTGAATAAATACTGTTATGATGTTGCCGATTCGTCACCTGCTTGTCTAAGGGGTCATATTAACTCAATTGAGGGGTTACTACTACTTGGTGAGATCTATACCACATGCAAACCCAGATAATCTAAAACTGCAAAGAAACCAAACATTCTATTGACAAATGGAAACATGGGAAGAAAGTGAGGCTTTTGAACAACCCAAATCACCCAGGTACGCGAGGGAAGGCAGTTTCAAAACGAATACACATATATCACAATGTAGAAATTCCCTGGCTTTCACAGTCTTCACACTACTGCGCCAGCGGGGCTATCAGCATGCGCATTTATTTTCCTAAAATTGTTGAATGGACTAAGACAAAAAGCCAATCCCGCCGCAGCAATGGAGAGCGCAAAAGCGMCCTTGAGMCCCGCCATATAGGAGGGCAAGATACTAGCCATTTGCGCGGGTGTAAAGACACTTCGTAGATCGCTTGCACCAGTTGCTACCACTAGACTGGAATCGATGTTTGGTGCGATGGCGGCAAGGTGGATGATGAGCTGATTTACAAAGGCAGACTGCGCTGCGGCGACGAAGACTGCGCCTCCGACGGTTTGGAAGACTTGGTTTGATATGTTAGATTGTGCTCGTGTCGGAAAGGCGGGGCTATGAGCTACTCACAGATTATAATGCCCGTCACTGTTGCAATATCGCTAGGATCGACCATGCCCTGCGCCGCATTGATCGGGACCTGGTATGCCAGTCCCCATCCAATGCCACCGATTATCTGGTATACAATCCACTTGCCTGTGCTTGTTCCAATATCCAATGAGTAGATTAGACCAGAGCCAATGGTCGCAATAACACCACCAATGACCATCAGAGGCGCAGTATGGCCAGTTTTGGTAATACTACCGCCGGAGACGATTAGGGCTATCGACATGGAGATGATCAACGGCAGGTTCCGGACACCGGAAATCGTGGGACTGACGTTTTGGATGCTCTGGAAGTAGATGGGAATATAATAAATGACAATAAAGTAAGAGCCCGCGAAGAAGAAGGCATAAAGCGAGTTGACCAAGATAAGGCGGTTACTAATTAGGCGTGGTGGAAAGGCAGCTCTCTCTCCTTGGAAGTATTCCCATATCATGAAAGCAATTATCATGAGAGGGAAACCGATGAGAAGACCGATCACAGTACTTGAGTTCCACGCTTTGGTCTGTCCGCCAAATTGAAGCGGTAAGATGTATGAAATGATAGCACAAACTAGAAGGATGGTCCCGATAGGGTCCATTTGCAAAACCTTCTCCTTGACGGTTGCCTTGACGGGCAAAGACGTTTTAGGCGAGTGGAAGAAGACCACGATCGATGCAGCTGCCAAACCGCCGATTGGTAAGTTTATATAAAAGCCTAAAGACAGTCAGCGGCTGGCAAAGGGCTTGCAAAGCAGAGGGTAGAGACTTACACCACCTCCACGTTACCTGATCGGCAAAAGCACCACCAACAAGAGGCCCAACAACCGACGCTATGCCATAAGACATGCCTACAATACCAGTGAATACAGGCCTTCGTTTCGGACTAGCAATGAAAGCGATGATAATAAAAACTCCACCCCCAATACCAGCTGCACCAACTCCGGCGATTGCACGGCCGACAATAAGTGCCACGGAGTTTGGAGCCACGCCACATACCAAGCTTCCAAGCTCAAAAAGGAATACGGAGACGAGAAAGGTGATTTTGACGGGGAAGTACTTGTACGCCTTCCCCCAGGTCGATTGGAAGCCGCCGGTGGTCATCAAGAAGGCTGAACCGTACCAACTAACATCGTCTAGGCTGTGGAACTGATCGGTGATTTTGGGAATGGCTGTTGCTACAATCGTCTATTCAATGGTCAAAAAAGAAGCTTCCCGTTGGCGACTCCTGAAACGTACCATGTCGAGGGCGACGAGAAAGATGCTCATACCAAGGGCTACAACAATGCAGAACAGTCGAAGACCCTTGGGATACCCATCGTCATCCGCGTCTATGTCTTCAGCAACGGCTTTTTCTGGAGTTCTTATTGTTTGATGATTACTTTCGGGCTCATTCGGAGAGATATCATTGGTACCTGAGGATTGTGCGCTCTGTGGGGTGTACTCTCGTTCTTTCTCAACGTCGAGCGGGAGGGTAGTCATGTTTGCGAATTGGATCGATTGATGTTGTAGGTCACTGAATTCCGAGAGGTCTACAGGACTGGAATGAACAAATTAACATATCCTTCTAAACATCTCCTGTATATATGTTAGTATGAAAAGCCTGGGTTGCAAATGCCCCTTAAATCTAGGCTTCAAATGTCGTTGATAGTACATCTTGTTTCCACCGGATGTTCGTTCGGCGGAGTAATACTGTAGGATTGATGCCCGATATATCTGATTTTCTGTCATGAACCAGAATTATAATTATTATACGCGTCATGACTAGACTAAGGCCATATGGGATTCGTGAAGGGGTACACCTACTCCGGTCGTTCGTCCGAGTGGACCTAATTCCTCCGCCGAATGCACTCTCGGCGGTCGAACGACCCAGCCGGATATGTTGACTTATTCCTCCACACCCATGCAAACAGTATGCTTCTGTCTATATCCGTGACTAAATTGCAAAATGGATGGAGACCAAGATAAATCCCAATCAGAGGCGAAGCGGAGAAAGATCCGCAAGGGAACCAGGAGCTGCTGGGAGTGCAAAAAGCGCAAGATGAGATGCGTGTTTGCAGACGTTGATCCTCCGATTGAACTCACCTCCGAGCAGCTGGTGTGCATCGGCTGTCAGCGACGGGGGACTAAATGCATCAGCCAAGAGTTTGAGCTGGTTGAAGGCAAGGATAGGCACCCGGCTCTCGAGAGAAAAGGGGCACGCCGTATAGGTCGTCAGGACCGTGTTGCGAAAGTCGAGGCTTTGCTTGATCAATTAATCACAACAGTGCGCCAGGATAGGACTCCTCTTGTTACTGGAGAAGCATCAGAAACGAGTGGGACTAGTCCTACGCTGAATTATGGGATTCCAACTCCGGCGTCAATAGACCCGGGATCTTCATGGTCTTTGCCTTCACAAAAGCCATCTGGTGTACGTACATGATCTGTGCTCCTCATACGAATGAAATGACCGCTTATCTTACCAGAATCATGGTCTGGTGGAAAATCAGAGTAAATGGGGGCAACTTTCTCACACTCTACTCGAAGCCCTACCCTCTCGTGAAGTCATCAAAATGATATGTAACGCCAGCGGGAGTACAACCACATTTTTCCATGAAATGCTGAGCATCCCTTACACTGCTCTTGAGCAAGACGGCTTCATGTCACCAGAAAGTCTGCTCGATATACCCACGGCCAACTCGCATCCGGTATTGATTGCAAAGTATATGCTTTCCATGGCCATTTTCCTACAACATCTTCACTCGGATTCACTCAAGGCAACAAATGAAAAGCCAATGTCACAGTCATCACCACGAGCATTAGCTAAACTATTAGCACAAACCGCCATCGAACACGTCACAACAAACGACGAGATAAATGGTGGCAGCATCGAAGGACTGGAATGTGTCATGATGGAAAGTTCATACCAGTCTAACAGCGGAAATCTGCGACGAAGCTGGATAGCGAATCGGAGAGCAATGGCTATCGCGCAAATGATGAATTGCCACCAGGCCAACAGCCGGGCACAGTATGATATCCTTGACTCTGCCAAAACCAAAGCTCATCCACAGTACATGTGGTTTCGCATTGTGTTCCATGACCGTCATTTATGTCTCATGTTGGGGCTGACGCAGGGCTCTCTTGATCGAAGAATGGCCACTGGTGCAGCATTTGAGAATGATACACCTACAGGTCGTCTAGAGCGTATGCACTGTATTCTTGCGTCTCAGATCTTAGAGCGTAACGAGTCCGGCCCGAGCTCCGATGAGATTGTGACCTTAACACAAGATCTTGATAGGGAATTACAGAAAGCAGCTCGAAGCCTGCCTTCCAAGTGGTGGCTCATGCCAAACCTAGACCGTGTTGCGGACGATCCACGAGCTCTATTTTGGGATATGGGACGACTGTTTAATCAGTTGAACCACTATAATCTACTCAGTCAACTTCATCTACCTTACATGCTTCGAGCAACACCTGAACGGATGTACGAATATTCCCGGATGACGTGCGCAAATGCCGCGAGAGAGGTCCTTTCACGCTTCATCATGTTTCGCAGCTTCAACAGGAACGATTTCTGCTGTCGGACAGTCGACTTCTTTGCGCTCATGGCTGCAATTACACTACTTCTGGCGCATCTGGGCAGTCGCCGTATTCCGCAGGCTAGCAATCTCCTGGCTCACCACTATCCCAGTGACCGTGCCATGATAGAGCAAGCGCAGATGAACATGGAACAGATTAGTCGACTGAACGGGGATGTTTTGAGTGCCCAAAGTACCGAGTTGTTAAGCAAGTTACTGGCTGTTGAATCGGAGGCAACAGATGGAACAATCAGCACGGAAAGCCTCAGTGTGCACGTGCCCGAGAATGAAGAGCTAGGAGAAGTCGACAGCAGCGTTGTGCGGATGGATATTCCTTACTTTGGGACTGTCAGAATTGAGCGCAGTGGCATACTTTCCAGGGAGCTGCACGCTCCAGTGGTTGATATGCTTGATTCCAAGAGAAGCCTGGAAGGTACAGCTCATGCTCCGGGTTTCAACGACTTCGCTGAGAATGATGGCCTCAATGCACAGTTCGATGATTCTCAGCAGCAATACCAGGGTCCAAGGCTAACAGCTGGATTGGATGACTGGGCGTTTCAAGGTGTTGACATGGCTCTGTTTGACAGCTTAATGAAAGGTGTCGATGACTATGAGGTCGAGTAAATTTATTCCACGAGTAGGATGATCAGCTATCTCGACGACTCGCACCTATGTATAGAATATCAACATAATGTATCTAGATTTCCCACTGCAACTGCAGGATCTCAATAAACCAACAAATAGTCCTAAAAGGCCACCTTGACGCCAATGCCAACACCGCGCAAATTCAAAAGACAAAACAACTGGAAGCAAACCATTTCGTCATGATAGCAAATAAGCAACACCGGCCCCTTCCATCTACCCCATGTACATGAATTATGTGATATAAAGTTGCTCATAGATAAAAAAAAATCAATATCAAAGAGTCAACGACCGAAAGAATATGGACTACTCCTCGACAAACTTTCTCTTCACACCATTCCCATTCGGCACCGGTCCTCCTGATGGCGCTGATACCGATGCCGACGCCGCCGAAACCGAAGCTGGAGGAGGACCAGGTTTCCGCTCGCTCAGCGCCTGGCGCTTCTTCCAAGCTGTTTTGATCGCTGGTGCAACACGAATAAGATCCTCCTCCGTGACGCGATCCTGAATCGACTCGAGGACTTTCTCCACTGTCGAGATGTGGTTCGCATCTTTCTTATCTTCTCGAAACCGCATGTACCGCCACCGTCCATGGTCATCTTGGTAGCATTCAACTATCGCATCGTCCAATGGCATCTGCAGCGCCTTCAACCCTTCCCATTCTGATTGCGTAACGTACATTTGGTCAAAGACGCGATATTCATTGTTATTATGGAGGACAAATAGATGGAAAAGAGGCATGGCGTCGTAGTCGTAGTATGGTTCAACAACCCCATCTGCCTCGTCATCTGTATCCGGCTCTAAAAGCGGGAATTCAAGCCTCATTCGAAAATCAATGGTATTTTCTGAAGGCGGTTTCCATTTCAAAATATGCTCGTCCGTTCCAATCTTGTAAGGTGTGCTTCGACACGTAAAAATCAACCCATCATTGCCGTGAATCTTCTTCACTTTGGGAATGATTTCGCGAAACATCATCTCAATACCATAACTGAATTGCGTTGATTTATCCTCCACGGCAAATATGCGATGTTTTTTCTCTTCTGGGTATTTCTTGTACATGGCGTTATAAGGTTTGAGGACGTTCTCTTTGAAATAGGCCAGTCGTTTGTCTAGTGTTCGATGCATCAGACTTCTTCCATCGAGCACCATGCAGTCGAAAACAAGGTATTTCAACTGCGTCGACCCGTCTTCGTATGTATCCATTACCAACTCCCCATCCACAAGTGTGCCTACATGGAAGGATTGGAAGGTCTCGTCATTGGGTAAAGGGAAATGTAATTGCGGCACATATCGATAATCATTCTTTCGATCAATCAAATAATGAACTTCGGGCGTGTCGGATTCCGGATCACCGCTGGTGAAGTACATCAAGCATCTGATTCCATCGGTCTTTTCGCAAACGTAGTAGTCTTCCTTTTGGAGTTCGACGAGGTGTTTTGCGGAGAAGGAGACGGGTTGGGCGCCAGGGAAGTTGAGGCTTTTGCGCTCGAGGAGGTCTGCGACTTCGCGGCGGAATTGGTCTGCGAGCTCGGGTTCGGCTTTGATGCCTATTTCATCGAGATCGGGGACTGGGTGGCCCATTTTGATGAGTTGGACGTCTGCAAATATTTGGCTTGGGGCGTGTATGAAGTGCGGTTTAGCTGATTCGGAGGTGAGGTTTGATCTCGGCCAGTTGCGCAAAGTTTGGTATGTGAGGAAAGTAACGATCGAAATGAAGTGGAGGAAGAAGTAGTGGAAATTATATATTAAAATAAGCTTTTGTTTTTGGAAGCAGTTATAAAAAGTGAGTGTAATCTGTTGGCGCGAAAATGTTGTAGTATTCAAAGAGTGATGTTAAAGACGTAGCTGAGAGAGCTTCAAGTTCCGAATTCGTCGTTGCCTCAGCCCTCAGGCAGCAATATCTTTATAACAAACCGTTAAAGCGATTTTCGCGATACTTATGTCCCGATAATTTCAGGTAAAGATTGAATTAATAGAAACAATTCATTTCTAAAATACAGTGATAATAAAGATACATCAGTGCGTATATAAGGGTATCATATGATCGTTCTCGATATCAAACCGAACCGCCCCCGTAACGCCGCTCTGACAATGATATTCACCCAATCACAAAAATACAGTCAGACCCAAAGTGAGAGAAATCAGAAGAAAATAACATCAAGCATAAGGCATCATGGCAACCACGCTACGATGTAGCTACTACGGCTGTCTTGGGTGTAGTGGCCACACTCGGAGGACGGTTGATAGGTGTAGTTTGAGGATTGGCTTGTTTCTTCAACGCTGCGTCTGTGCCAGCAGATGAGTCTTGTAGTGTAGATGAAGATGTAGAAGCCATAGTCGGACTCTCCGTCTGAAAAATTCCGTTTGGTTCTCCGTTTGTCGTGGGCCCAGTAGAGAATAAACCACCTCCACGAGCACCGCCGAGTACGTTGGAGAGCATCTCCTTCATGCGCACGTAATGGTACTTTTTCCGAGTTGGCATGAGCGTATGAACGGCTAGTGGTTGTGGATGCGACCGCGAGATGGCAGCCATGACAGCATCGCGCTCTTCATCCGAGTCAACAGGACCGTTAGTTTCAAAGTCATCTTGCAGAGGGGCATTGGCGTCGATTGCAGCTTCTATAATCCAGTTAGCACGTCAATATAAATCAACAGAGACAAAAATTGGGTCTGACTTTGTTGACGAGCCTGATTCTTCTTCTGATAAGCTTGCAAAAGCATGTCATACGGAAGTGACCGCCCAGGAACCGCACGCTTCGCACCCATAGAATGGCTCTTGCAAGTGAGCGATCTCGCACACTGCGACCCGTTCGGCAACGGTACACCGCACTGCTTCTCAACGTCCACAGGACCCTTTGGTTTAGGCACTTTCGGTTTAGGCTCCTCCTTCTTTTTCTTTTTCTTTGGCTCCTTGTCCTTTTCGTCCTCGCCCTCCGTTGCTTTGCGCTTCTTTCCTTTCTTCGGTCCATCATCTGCCATGCCCTTCACCGCGCCCTTTTTCGCGGTCTTCTGTCCACCGATTCCATCTTCATCCTTGTCGTCATCCTTGTCGTCGCCATCTTTGGTATCGGCGAACTTGGCTTGATTCTTCGCATCACGAGCCTCTTTCTTCTTGCGTGCCTTCTCCTGTTTGGCCTTTAGGCATTCCCGGATGTGTTCGACAGCGGTTGATTTGAGCTGTGGTCTCTTGCAATGTTTGCATATCACAGTCTCGAGTTCCTCTTCTCGTGGTCTGCCGGATGGAAAAGCCGCGATCGTTTTGGCGTCCATCTGCGGGAGCACGGGAGAGCCATCGGGTGATCCTGGAGCATCGGCATCGTCTCCTACACGAAAGTAATTAATTTAATGCTCGAAAAGAGCAGTCATTCAAACCATGGTGCTCACCTTGCGGCTCCAACTTATTCCCGGTCTTGGCACCTTTTCCAGAAGCCTGCTTCTTCAACTTGATCTTGCCAGGTTTGGAGTCTTTCTCGGAGAACTTGAATCCCGACGCGTCCACGAAATTGATACTCGAGCTCGAAGATGCTAGACCGAGAGGATGATTATCAGCATGATTAAACTTCCTAGAGTCGGGCAACGTCACGAACCTTGACCCGTCGCCATGGTCCCTCGACAAGGCGATAATGTATACAGGAATGAGGACCGACACGAAAGAGAGTCTAGCACCAGTGCATGAGTCTCCAGAGACTGTTGCAAGATACTGGGCTAGTGTGAAGTTGGAGAACAGAGAAAGTGGTTGTCGGTCGGTGGCTTGCTTGATATCCCGGGGAAAGCGGAGTTGCTTGATCCATCGGCCTGTTCCCGGTTTGGTCACGTGATATAGTTACATACAATTACATACAAATCTCTTTATTCTTTATTATTGATACATATTGTACAGATGAGTAATAATACAGGTTTATTGGTATCTTGCAAAGCACAAGCTGCTGTTTGTCCCCCCAAAACCAAAACTGTTTGTCAAGGCTGTATCGATCTTCCGTTCCTGCGCCTCGTTTGCGGCATAGTTGCAGTCAAATTCGGCTGTTTGAGTCTCTAGATTGATGGTAGGTGGCATGATATTCTATAACAATTTGTCAGTTTGTTGCGTCTGTTACACATCAAAAGAGTGTTGCATACCTCATGAATGGCTAGAACGGAGAAAATAGCTTCAATAGCCCCAGCACCTCCCAATAAATGACCAATAGCACCTTTGGTGCCGCTGACGTTGATATCGGAAGATCTCTGTTTGCCCTGTCCGCCTGTACTATCGAGAAGTAAAGCCTTGATGGCAGTGTTTTCAGCTGCATCCCCAACAGCAGTCGAAGTGGCGTGGGCATTAATGTAGTCAATAGCACAAGGGGGGATGTTGGCATGCTTGAGCGCCTTTCTCATTGCTGCTAGGGCACCGGCCCCATTCTCTTTGGGTGCGGTGATGTGGAATGCGTCTCCAGATGTGCCGTATCCTTTGAATTCGGCGTAGATATGGGCACCTCTTGCTTTGGCGTGTTCAAGTTCCTTGATAGTTGTCAGTAAACAGAACTCTGACATCGCAATGCTAGACTGGGCGTACTTACTTCAAGAACCATCACAGCCGCTCCTTCACCAACAACGAATCCTTGCCTATCCGCATCGAAAGGCCGGGATGCTTTGGTAGGATTATCATTGAAATCAGTCGCCAGGCTTCTCGCTCGCGCAAAGCCGCCCAGAGCCAGAGGATGAATGCAAGACTCTGCGCCACCTGTGACCATGACATCTGCATCACCAAAGGCGATAAAGCGAGCAGCGTCTCCGATGGAGTGTGCTCCGGTAGTACATGCCGTCGTTGCGGCATGGTTTGGTCCCTGAAATCTCAGTAATGAAACGGATATTTCGCCTTAAATGAATCTCACCATAAAGCCGTATCTCATCGAAATATGTCCAGCTCCCATGTTGATTAGTAATTTCGGAACAAACAAAGGAGACACTTTTTTATATCCCTGTGGATAATTAGTTCGACCCAGTGAAAGACATTGGCGGCATTGGTCCTTACCTTGTTCTCAAAATCCACAACAGTGTTATAGATCTGGTCGAAATTGCCAATACCAGATCCCAAGCAGACGCCCTGTCATAGTCAATGTATCGAACATGCTTTCAGTTGTATGGACTAAGTGAGCATACTGTAGCTTCACGTTGCTCATCAGAAGTAGGTCGCCACGCAGCATCCTCGAGAGCTTCTTCAGTGGCCGCCATAGCAAACTGCGCGAATCGGGCCATTTTTCGCTCTTCCTTTGAACCCATCAGCACTTGATCTACTTTTCTCCCATATGAAAAAAAAGTGGTATATACATCACGACTCAGCCATTCCGAGGCCGTCCATCCGCCTTCCTTGCGAGTCCCTGACGGGACAATCGCAGCAATCTGGGCTGGGATTTCGGCGAACCGCGGATGACGGTCTGCTACATTGACGATACCGCAGTGACCGTCAAGGAGACGGGACCAGGTACGGCGGATGCCTTTGACGATTAGACCTATAACGCATATTGTCTATACAGAGGGAGCATACCAACACCAAGCGGCGTCACCGCTCCCAGACCGGTCACGACCACCCTCCGCATTGCATTATGCCACCAGATCCGACAGATGACGAGAGAAATGAAGAGAGAGAGTCTGTATACAGAATACTTGATCCGGCTAGCCTGGTGGCGCGCTTGCTCTTTCTCCTTTAGGCAGGTAGCTGGAGAACGGTTAGATCGGGGTTCAGCACGAGGTCAGAAAAGGCTGATAGTTGACAGCCGAGCAGATTTGCCCTAATATGACAATTCGGCAGTTATTTGATCAGTGGAGAAGTGGGTTGTCAATCAAGTGGTGATTAAAGACAAACCAAAGGACGAAGGAAGCTCCAACTGATCCAGAAAGGAAAGTCTGCACGATGAATACACGCTATACCGCAAGTAGACTAGTGCGTGGCCATCGAATGGCGAGTCATTTTCCTCTTTTCTTCTTCGTTCTCTTATGTGCAGCAATCATCGGCATACATAGAGCGAATCAATTGATTCCTGGTGACGATGCCATCAAACTATATTATGTATGCTATGGCTATACTCATTGTCCATTCAATACATACTATGTAGTACAGAATAGGTTAAATATGATTAGTAATGTAATGGCATCGCTATCAAGATAAGCACGCGATAAGATAGACAGCCGGTGGGGCGCCGCCGTCCGGAAAAGGAAAGTCGATGCTATACCAACTCTCCCACTGCTGCTTCTCCATTTTTCAATACATGTGGACATAGCTGTTGGTAATGCCGAGCTGTGCAATGGTTCAATTATCTCATATAAGCGCCCTTCCCCCTCACTTTCTCGGTTCTTCTCAGTGAGATTCCCTTCCGCGGTCCTGTCGAAATGGCTGTCTCTATCAAAAACGTCATCGTGCTCGGCCTTTTGGCTCTGGGTTCTACCGGCGTGTATGGTCACGCCGGCCATCATCACGGTGAAGATGAAGAGATCGTGCTTTCACAAAGTAAAAAGGAGGAGCTTTTATTGAAATGGGAGCAAGAAGTACATCTACCTCGTTTCTCCTCATGCTGAAGGAATTATTGCTAACAACTAGAACAAACAGTGGGGATTTTCCGGTGTCTCTACATTTGCGCATATGAAGACAGTTAAATGTCTCATTGAGCCAGATGAGCGGTACGACATTGCTGTTATCGGAGCCCCATTCGATACGGCCGTTAGTTATCGACCAGGTAAGTCTCCTTCATCTCTTCGCAATCCATCCGACTCACAAGACTAGGCGCACGGTTTGGTCCTCGCGCAATCCGCGCCGCCAGCGGCCGCCAACTCCCAGGAACGAGCTACAATGCACGCGCCGCCATTAACCCCTACAAATCATGGGCCACAATCCTCGACTGCGGCGACATTCCTATCACGCCGTTCGACAACGCTCTCGCCGAACGACAAATGTACGAAGCGTTTTTGGAGCTTGGTACCCGTCCTGCAAAGACACCCGCTGCCCCGAACGACAAGAGTATAGCAGCTGGAAAACCGAAGTTGGTCACTTTAGGAGGAGACCATAGCGTAGCTCTACCAGCGCTACGAGCATTGTATCAGATTTATCAGAAGCCCATCACGGTCTTGCATTTTGATGCGCATTTGGATACCTGGAATCCCGTACGATACGCCTCGTATTGGCTCTCGGAGCAATCGCGATTCAATCATGGAAGTTTTTTCCATATTGCCAGTACCGAGGGACTGATTTCGAACACTAGCTCTGCGCATGCAGGCATCAGGACGAGGTTGACTGGTATCGATGATGGGGATTATACCAACCCTGGCCCCGAGCAAGGATTTATGCGTATCCATGCTGATGATATTGATGACATCGGCACAAGCGGCGTGATTGATTCGATCATCAACCGCATTGGTCTTGACCCCGATCAGCCCGTTTATTTGTCATTGGACATTGACGTCCTCGACCCCGGCACAGCGCCAGGTACCGGAACCCCCGAACCCGGTGGCTGGACAACGCGAGAATTGATTCGTATTCTGAGAGGCATTGAGAAGCTGAATCTCGTGGGTGCGGATATTGTGGAGGTTAGCCCTAGTTATGACAATGTGGGAGAGACGACTGCGTTGGCGGCAGCACAGGTGGCGTTTGAGATCATTACAAGTATGGTCAAGTCTGGTTCCGGAAAGGAGTTGGGTGGCTGGTATGGGAAGAAGGAGGACGAGGTTTTTGAGAAGGGGAAGGATGAGTTATAATTATACATCATCACACCACATCATACGAGTCAGACGAATGTTCATGACGAGACGCAACCAGTCAAATTTATATAAGTTGAAGATGCCTATATAACGTATATAAGTCAGAATATCAATCAAAGTATATATGTCTCCTAGTTACCGTTGCTCCATGACTAAAAGGGATTTTATGGCGCCCTGCTACCGCATTGCCACATTGGGATTGGGCATAGTCAAACACTCAAGGGTCTTTTCAATGTTATTGTATATTATTTAACCGTGAAGGTATTGTCTTTCAGCGACAGTGTTCCCCGGGCAATCATCATTGTTTCGATGTTTGGTTAGAAAAATGTCAATTCTTTGTTTCCCAAAGCAGTACCGACGTAGTTCATCATCAAATATGCTCATGCACAAAATACTCTTTGTCTTTATACAGGTATATATTGACTATCATGCTGGTTGGCTTCCCATCCCCACCCTCTCAATTCTCTTATCCAGCATCCATTTCTTGATTCTATCTACAGCATGAGCTGGATATTTCACAGTTGATCCTACATCAACTGCCGATTTTTTATATACGCTCGTTTACATTGCCATTATAAGTTGATATACATCGTTCTTGGGCAGCAATCTATGCGAGTGTGAAAGAAGCAAAGTGCTTGAAAAGACCATCTTCCTGCTAGCCACAGTTTCTTTGGATTGGAGTCCAATCTTTAGACAGAAGTGAAGACCCGCAATACCTCGTCGACGGAGCATATCACCAAGCGGTGAAAATGGTCTGCGGCAAAAGTTCAGGTGAGTGGATGCTAGCAGTTACAAAAGGCTGCCAATACTGACGTTCTTTGAGTCTATTGAGCAGATTGAGAACAGCCATCGTCGAAACAAGACCATACCAGTGTCGGAAAAAACTTCCGAGTCGATTGGATGCATGAAGACAAAATATTGGAAATTGATATGTGGCATGGCAAAGTATCTCGTAGCCTTTGAGCTCGATGATTTGCAAAAGCGCAAACTGCTCGAATTCGTACATACAGTGACGGCGATGTGCCACATAATTTTTCCGTGCATGCAACTACATGGCCCTAATATCTGAACTGACATGCCCTGGCATGTCATCAGTTGATCAGAAAACTATGATATCAGAAGTATGCAGAAACCCCCCCATTCCAGAGATCTAGTCTCATATATCTAATATTTCCTAGTGTACTTGTCTATCCTACTCAAAACCTGAGTTCAAATTTCCATGTCTGAAAAGCTAGATGGCCCCATATCGTGGGAAAATCAAAGAACCAGGATCAAGTGCCGGATATTGAGAAGATGAATTACCCATAGCAAATTATTGAGATGGCCATGGCAATGATCAAACCTGAAGTCATGGCCTTCCAGGAAGGATTTGACTTTTGAGCTGTAAGTATATATTCTCTGATAACAGCTTTTGGACTACAGGTACTGGTTGCTGAAAGCTCCTTGATAGCTCTAGAAAGGCGCACGAAGACCACTTCCAGCGCACCTTGGAGACTTGGTCTCAGATAGGTGGTTATGCAGATGGTGTGCCAGATGATCGATATCCCATATATATCAGGTATATTATAGGTCACAAACTCTGGATAGCGCGTAACTCGATGACTGACATGTTTTTAGATATTATATCGGCCAGTCAGACTGTCTCTATGATTGGGTCTATAAAGATCACCCCAAGTACATTCGGAACAGTAATGATGAGTCATTACATTACTTCACTATTGCCCATGGTTATGGCCATCGATCCGCTCATTTCCTCCGATTATGGCATGCCTCACGAACGATCTCTAATAATGAAGAGGGAAATATTTAACAAAGGCTCTTACGAAAACTTCTACAGATGACCTTTTGTCGGGCTTTTGAGTCTCTGCCCCAATTGTTCTGACCGAATACTTCGGCGAAGGCACTTACTCGGATATGGGACTTAACAATCTGCTGCCTCTAGTCCAAGGAAAAAAGATTGTCATGTCACTACTAGCAAAGTATTTGGACTATCATAAGCAATATTTAGATCCAGATGTGGTAGCCTTTACGAAATTACGGCCAAAACAGGAAGCAGCAAGAATGAAAGGGTCAAAGACCGTCTCTATGCGAGATTATCAACTAGCAAGGAATCCGACTTGGATGTCACAATGGAAGATTGAGATATGACAGCTATCGTTGAGTTGTGAACTTACGATATCTCTTTTTCAGTCTGCTGGATTAATAGTTAGGTTATTATAAGAACTAAGCTTCTAATTATCTTTCAATTTGACTAGAATGATAGTGGTAACATGATTGAGATTGTAGCCTTCTATCGCTTTTCAGAATCAGATGTTGATTAGTATGGCGATGTAACGAGGGGGGTAAAGGAGCTATGTCCTATCGCAGCATTCCCGGGATGGAAGATGAATCATGATGAACTAGGACCAACAAATGTTATATTCTGTGGTCACATGGAAAGCATCGTTAGCCACTAACATAAGAACGGTAGCTGCTGAGCTCAGCGTTTTAAGGCAACGTGTTTGTTCCAGAATTGCCTACGTACCCCGCACATAAGAGTCCATCTCTAGAAAGTTGGAATGTTCTTTCTTTCGTCACCTTACTTTCAGTGAAGATTACCTAGAAACCAACTCCTACCTTGGAGAACAAGATGTCCAACTACCACTTTGTCAACTCCTCCCAGACAGTCTCCGACGCAAAGGGTTTCCCTGCCAATTTCTCCATCAAAGCGTCTCCTTCTACGGACGTTTGGGCAAAACCACCCTCAACCTATCGATTCAATGCCCCTATCTTGTACGAATCCTTGCCTTTGAAGTCTTTCAAACGGGCGCGAGTATCGATTGTTGCGGAATGGAAGGTTCTATATGACCAAGGCGGGCTGATTTTCGTAATCGGCGCCCAAGGAGACGAAGCGCAGCGGCAGTGGATCAAATGCGGAATTGAGTTCACAAACAACAAACCGCATATCAGCGTCGTTGCCAAAGATCGATGGGCGGATTGGAGTCTGACTGAGATACCGTCTGGGGGGCAGGCGACTACGCTCGAATTAGAGAGGGACGCTGAAAATACACTGTGGGTGTATCTAGTTGACGGTGCATCGCGTGTGCCGTTGCGAGAGGTTACCTGGGCGTTTGAGCAAGAGGAGACAGTCGAGTGTTGGATTGGTTCGTATGCTGCCAGACCTGCTTCTTCTCCGACGGATGATTTGGCTGTCGATTTCCACGATTTCATAGTAGAACGTCGCTGATTGTTTGAATGTATACATCAATGCCATGTTATTGTAGACTGCTCAGTGGCGTGTGTTTGGTGCATGTCTGGTTTCTTGATATAGATGATCTTTGTGACGATGATAATACTCCAAATATCGACAGAAGCCTACCAGGGCGTACAAGAATACCACGCCCACGACCATAAAGTACCGTTTGAGTTGAGGCAATGGGCTCCCTTCCTAATCTGGCACCGCCAAAGAAAGACTCTTGAAATTGGAAAAGAATGACTCTTTAAAACATCTTTTACTACTCGACATTGCGTGCCTTTTTTTTGAATCGAGATTAACCAGGATTTGAAGAATCTCCGCGCTCAATCTTCTAGAAGAAGTCTTTCCTTTGCTTGAATTATCATTATCCCAACAATGTCAAACGTAAGAAGATTAAGTGAGGCATGTCTAGCGGCATTATTTGAGCATCACACAAGACAATGCCGCCAGAATGGTATCGACAGCAACACAACAGACACGGATCCATTTTCAGGGCCAGAAATTGCAGCGGATTTTGCCAAACAGGCAGCTACACGACTATCGCAAGACAAACTAAGTCGGTTGCTAGAATTTCTAAAGGATCCAAGACCTCATCAAGCCGCGAGTGAGAGAGAGCTACTGAAAGAAACATTGAACACCAAACTGGAGGATTTCTATTCAGAAGAAACGCGACTGTCGTGTCAAAATCGCGATAGACTGACTAGACCCGGGGGCCCTGAGGATGCCAACTTGGGGATTATTATGCATCTACAAACAAAGCAAGGACCAATTGATAAGTTTTGGGATCAAGAAAGTGCTACAGTAGCACTACTACAAGCAAAGGGCCTTGATGGTGATTTTGCGTTCGGTTTCGACTGGCATTGGCGAGCTGAGTTCTCGTTTAAAAGCCGTCGCAACTGTCCCGTTAGGGAGTGGGCGCCATCACTTGTGAAATTACATAACGAACATTCTGCTGGTATCTTAGACCTTTTGCCCTTACCTTTTGTGATCACTGCTTCAGCATGTGTTGCAAAGAATCTCAAGAAATTTCTAGGCAAGGATGCTGTGTCTCTAGAGCTGATTCCTGAACAAGGGTCTGATAAGCTGGTTCTAGATCTGGATTTTAGAGATGACAAGCTGCATCGCATGGTAATACACGTCCATCACCCTACATCTGGGTTCTTTAATGCCATGTATCGGAGGCCAAAAATGGCGGCTCAGCTAGATGCTGGCCTTAACTTTTTCTTGTGGCTGACGGGAAGACACTATACTGCGATGAATTTTCGGCACGCCTATTCTCGTCGTGGTCGTTCAGAACAAGCCCCCCTCGCGGATCTATGGAATTATGTGAAGAGAGAGTCTGATGAGCAGCGGACTCTTCGAATAGAAGAATACGCCCCATCCTTTGTGATATGGGCCGGCAGATACATTGAAGAAGATCCTTGCGCCCTAGCATCAAAAGGAATCTCTCTAGCTACCACAGCAGCTACAAAGCTACGTCAAACTTTGAGCGTGGCAGCTAGCAACCGAGAGCAAAAGAAGCGAAAGAGGGGGGAAGAGGCAAGATGGTCATATCTCCGAGGATCTCATACCTCCAACGATCGTTCTAACGGAACACTATTTCATGGAAAGACCGTTGAAGTAACACCTAGTGGTTATGTGAAGTTGCTGATGGATCTGGGAAGTCCTTTCGTCACATTTCGGATCAATATCGGTGGCATAGAGGACATACTAAGCTCTGGGGCGAGACCAACCATTTTGTTTTCACCAACTCATTTGATGTTGTGCATAGGCGAGGAAATAATATACAAGACACCGAATGAGCGCCTAATCCAGTTATCCGATGGCCTACTGTGGTTCGATTTGATCTCGCATGAACTCAATGCAATTACTGGGTCGCTTGAACAACTTTCGCCAGAGAATGATTTGATATCTTCCAAGACTGGCCCCATTCCCATCGACGACTGGAAGTCAACTGATTTGCGAAGAAGACTTCTTAATGGCGACAATTTTCACTGCGGAGCAATGACAAATGAGACGGCTACGGGAAGGGTTTCCTTCCGAGAAGTTGCCATTCGTGTTCCAGAACACGCCGACTTCGAGACCGTCTACGTGAAATGCTTTCTAGCTCCGGATAGCACGCGTCACCCAAAAGCATGTGTTGAAGCATGTGCAATGAAGAACCCTGCGAATCGACTGGCAATCACAGTGAGGTTCAAAAGGAAAACCACGGGTGGTGAGGAAGAAATGTGGGCAAACTTTCGCGGAAAAAAGGACCTCATGAAGGTGAACTCTTTGGTCGATTTTCTCGAGGGAAAACCCGAGGAATACACTGAGAAACAGCCGTTGCGGTTCCTGCCCAGGAGCACAAAGAAAGGAAGGGAAAAAATATGCTATACACCTGACTTTTAGGCATACAATAGCTCATACAACGACATAATTTTGATACTAGATGTGCATATTCTACAGCCCAAGGAGAAACACACAAAGTAACTAGCAGAACAGTATGCGGAACTTGAAGAAAAGTGAAGACACAATCAATATTGACCAATAAGGCCGGGGGGACCATGCGCAGCCTAGTCGCTAGCCATGCAGAAGGAGGGTTTGGGCACATACAGTAGCTACCTACGGTCGCACAGATTGTCGCCCTGAAAGAAATAAAATAAAAGAATCGATGTTAGTTATTGTGTTACGTGTTATGTGTCATCCAAACAATTTTTGCTTAACGAGCGCTATTATTGCAGACGGTCGAGTCATTCGGCGTGTAACATCGGGCCGCAAGATCTTATCTGATCAGATTAAGTCGTATGGTTGCCGGCGTTTGCTCCCCCCCACCAACTTCGACTTGGAGTGACTTCGTACGCCGACTTCCTCGTCGTTGCTTTTTGATTAATCTCGGAGAGATCCACACAACTACGACTTTACTCGTCAGGATCATTCACTGCCCTCTTTCCTAGACCACTAGTATACTAATAGTGCAGCACTACTCCGTCCGATATCGTACGCCGTGCACCATTAGCCGCTCTTGCCTCCGGATTAAGTCGGCTTGGCCAACGTGACTCGACCTCTTCGCTTCATATAAATACAGTCTGCGCTATCGACCAGTCTCTACTTCCATGTGAACAACACAGCTATTTACCTCCTGAACGTTTCCGATCGCTCGTTTTCCGTTTCCGTCCTCACATCCGCTATCGTCCAAACGGACCGGCGCCGATCCCAGAACATACCTCATATGGACACTGCATAAAACCACGCACTAAAGGAACGCCAGGCGCTACTGCTGAGTTGCAGCGAATGCACCCAAGTAGTAGTCGGTATGACCTTGTTGGAGGCCACCTCGAATCTTATCTCGTATGGAACCGTAAACGCCGATAATTCGATGGGCGACCAAGAGGAAGACCGGCTACTGTACCCTCATTCGGTGTACGAGCCGGACACTGAAATCAGCACCGAGGATGAGGGGAGTATTGGGAGTAGTGTGCAGGATGGAGTGAGGAAAATCGAGGCGATTAACCTGACTTGGACGCAGCGATCTTTGATGATTGCGTATTTGGGGTGAGCTATTTTCGCATAAACGCTTGTCGGAAGCTCACTGACCGGTCTTTGGCAGGATATTTCTCATGGCTTTCTGCACTTCACTCGAAGGCCAAACTGTGGCCTCACTTGCGGTATATGCTACCAGTTCGTTTAAAAAACATTCTTTGATTTCCACCGTGCTGGTAGTACAGAATGTTGTCAATGGTACGTCTACCTTAATAGTCCTTCGTTCAGACAGCGTGCTAACCGCTACGGATAGCTGTGATAAAACCGCCCATGGCAAAAGTGGCAGATGTCTTTGGCCGGTTCGAAGCATTCTGCGTCAGCATCGTCATTTACATTCTTGGATATATTCAAATGGCTGCGTCAAACAACGTGCAGACATACGCTTCCGCCCAAATATTCTATGCTGCTGGATCGACTGGCCTGCAAATTCTCCAACAGGTGTTTATCGCCGATAGTAGCGATCTTCTGAACCGAGCGCTCTTCGCTCTTCTACCCGAGTTTCCATTCTTGGTGACGGTCTGGATTGGGCCGACGATCGCGGACGCAGTACTCCGCCATTCCTCGTGGCGCTGGGGTTATGGCATGTGGGCGATCATTTTACCTGCAACGTTTCTCCCACTCGCCCTATCGTTGCTTTTCAATCAACGGAAAGCTAAGAGGTTGCGACTCATCAAACAGAAACATCGCAAGCAGAACCGGACTTTCTATCAGTCTCTACGATCGATATGGTACGAGTTGGATATGTGTGGGTTAATTCTACTTTCTGCCGCTGTGTCTCTGCTGCTGATCCCGCTAACCTTGGCGGCCAACTCCACAAATGGATGGCACGACAATCGCATTATCGTGATGTTAGTGCTGGGTTGCATTTGTCTTGTTTTGTTTCCTGCATGGGAGTCATCGCGGAAACTCGCTCCGAAGCCGTTGCTCTCTTTGCATCTGCTCACCGAACGAACTGCTCTGGCAGGATGCGCGTTGGCATTTTTCTACTTTATGGCCTTTTACTTTTCTGTCCAGCCATATCTATATTCTTACTTGCAAGTCGTTCAGAATTACGACATTGCTGTGGCGGGACGGGKTACGCAGACATTTTCTTTCACCTCTACAATTGCAGCATTTGTGGTCTCGATTCTGATCAAGTATACTCGCCGTTATCGAATGTTCGTCACCGCGGGAACGATTGTGTATATCTTGGGCTTGTTGGCCATGTTGCTCTACCGTCAAGAAGGCAGCTCTTTTCTCCAAATCTTGGGTACTCAAATACTCGTTGGTACTGGCGGTGGTTTAGTCAACGTCCCCGTGCAGCTCGGCGTCCAGGCATCAGCACAGCACCAAGAAGTCGCCGGCGCAACCGCTATATTTTTGACGGCCCTTGAGATGGGAGGAGCAGTTGGAGCGGCAATTTCGGGCGCAGTCTGGACGCATCAGATACCTCGGCGACTGCGAGAATACCTCCCAGCAGAGAGCCAAGACCAAGTCGAAGAAATCTTTGGTAAATTGACCACAGCACTCTCCTATCCGATGGGCTCGGAGACGCGTATTGCGATTAATCGTGCATATCAAGAGACGATGAATAATCTCTTGTGTCTGGCTATTTTGGCTGCTTTGCCAATTGTTCCGTTGAGTTTGGTCATGAGGGACTATCAGCTAGACAAGGTATACCCCTTTCCCTGACTGATGCACCGAGGAGTTGTTCGACTAATGGCAGCTAGATGGGCCCGACAAGAAAGCGTAGACGGTCGACGCATGCGCATGTGAATGAGACTTCTGCTCGGCCATCCCTGGAGGACGACGACAGACTATGATGGTGATAAGGATCTGCATTTGCGACAAGCATAAGAAAACGATTACGAGTTACGAGTGATGACTGATCCACGTACGGGTCGTGTATACAGAAACAGAGACAAATAATCTGCATAGAGGATGATAGATGAAGTATAACTTGCATTTTTACGGGCTGATAAGAACAATGATGATCAATTATATATTGTACCAGGCGATCGTAATAGCCGTATAGTACCGTTTCATCTAATCTAGGGAAAGTTCCACGGCTACCTTGTATTCGTCTGATCTGAGATTGTGGGCTGTGTGGTTTTAGATTGATACACTTTTGAGCGCAATGAATGTAATCTGGACTTGTTTCCCACAAAAAATGAAGAGACCATCACCATGCAGTCTGTTTTTATGAAAAAAGAAATATCAAAAAGATATGTTTTTACAAAGGGAGCAGACGGGGTCGAACCGCCGACTTCAGGATCTGCAATCCCGCACTCTACCTGTTATTTTATTAGTCGCCCGTCTAGCTGATTATGTGATTAAGTTCAACTTACCACTGAGTTATACCCCCAATTGTGTTAGTCATTTGAAGATATTGGACTATAATCCCCTGTAATCTTTCACACTGCCAATTTCATTATTAGCGTATTTGTTACTGTATCGTAACTTTGGGTCTAGATGAATATATTCCCTTACTGACCGCCTAGACTGGAGCTACATTATTTCTCGACACGTTGGAGCCGAGAAGCATCAAAGGTTTGTCTACAACAATACGAAGATATTAGTATGCCTGTATATATACATCTCATTAGACTATACTATAGAGGAATAAGTGTGCGTTGGGAAGATACTACCATGAAGCTGTGACCCCACATGAAACTGCTGCTCGTGAGGAGGTGACTAACGACCAACGGGACACTGACTAGGGAACTAACTCCCTCCCTGTGGCTATCTCTCTCTAACACTCCTCATCACGCTTTCCTCTTTCTTTCCTGCTGCACCCCTTATCTATCAATTTCACGCTGTATCTCTCTTTTTTCTGTTCTTGCTGTCTCAGCACTGTTCACGAGTCTAGTCTTCTATTTCTTACCACTGCAGAGCCAGGTAGTACGTAGATACTGCTTGCCTCCCCCCCTCGGGTTGATCGACCGTTTCAATTCCATTTATTCTCCTTGACGAGTGACAACCGCCCACCCTACCTCCCCGCCGAATATTATCGCAGACTAAATCGAAATCATTGATTTGAGCGAAAGGTTGATTCTAAAAATATGGTTGTGGCTACAATTAAGTGCGTTCTTTGCTTGATACCGAGCATACAAGTCGCGTTGAATACATCGCAGCTGGTGGCGCGCAGCTCTACAGCTCGAATCGAATACACATACTAACAGATCGCTATCAGATGTGTCGTCGTTGGTGACGGTGCGGTCGGAAAGACGTGCTTATTGATTTCGTATACGACAAATAAGTTTCCATCGGAATACGTTCCTACTGTATTCGATAACTATGCCGTGACCGTCATGTAAGCTCCGAATCGAGCAGGATGCAAAGTTCCAGCAAACACCTTTATCTAACAACATCTCGCTACAGGATCGGCGATGAGCCTTATACCCTCGGCCTCTTTGATACCGCCGGACAAGAAGATTACGACCGTCTGCGCCCCCTTTCCTACCCTCAAACCGATGTCTTCCTCGTCTGCTTCTCCGTCACTTCCCCGGCCTCGTTTGAGAACGTACGAGAGAAATGGTTCCCCGAAGTTCACCATCACTGTCCCGGTGTGCCCTGCCTGATTGTCGGCACCCAGACCGATTTGCGAGATGATCCCGCGGTGCGCGAGAAGTTGTCGAAACAGAAGATGCAACCCGTGCGCAAGGAGGATGGTGACCGAATGGCCAAGGAGTTGGGTGCAGTCAAGTATGTGGAATGCTCGGCTTTGACGCAGTATAAGTTGAAGGATGTATTTGATGAGGTTTGTCTATATTTCCCAGCGGTCCCAGCTTACCATCTTCATGACGTTGACATTGTCCAGGCTATCGTTGCTGCCCTCGAACCCGCCCCAAAGAAGAGACCCAAGTGCGTTGTTCTATAGACAATCAACCGACAGAGACTTCAACACCTAGCTGAAGATGAGCGAAACAAAAGAGCAGCAAAATAACTACTCTTAGAGTTCTAACCCCGACTCATCAACACCTTTCCACACCTCCTCCAACGCAATTGAAACCTCAAGTGGTCTGAATGATACGCTTTGAACCAAATTTGATATCATGTGGCGTCCGGATTTTTTTTCCTCTTTTTTCTCTTTTTTTCCCAACTTCCCACCGTTTTCCTTTTTATTTGTTCTATCCCAACCATTTATTATACTCTCCAATATCAGTGAACCGGAAGCCAGATTCAGAAGAAATCAAAGAACAGATTCAATTTTTCCTCTTCATCCACACCCGGGACCCGTCCTCGATTTCATCCCCGATTTCTTCAGACCGCTCCTCTATTTTACCCATTGATCTTGTTCCGTCTGGCGCAGGGTGGGTAGGTGAATACAGTCTATTTGATAGAAGAAACAACACGCCTACTTGCGCGTAAACATGGCCCATGTACATAACCGGTTCCTTCTGATTCACTATCCCCCATTTTTCCGTCAATCACAATACCAATAAACATGTTTCCCTAGATATCTGACTGCTTCGAAAAAAGCTCACTACCTCCCTGATATGGTAATAAGATGGACAATGAAAACCTCAGAGAAGCCCGTACTTTGTACGTCTTATAGTGATTTATTTGTCACGCGATATGTGCGCGTTTCTATCAAAGAATAATGCAGGTGGTTAGTGATAGTGTTGGTATTCGGATACAGGGGGGTGCCAGCACTTTCTTCGTCCCATTGTATGTAGTGGCACGTACTATCTGGTAACATATTACTGTCGGGTTCACACGGTCCAACCATGAAGTAATGGGTTGGTGTAAGGCTAGTCCGAGAAGCCTATACAACGGGGCCACGGATCGGGTTTACAGGGCTGATTCATGGAGGGTTGGGCAATGCAAAGACTGATTCAGAGCTGATACAGGACTGCTTCCTATAGCTAATAATTGGGAAAAAGAGGCACATGTAAATGTCTGCATAGAATATCCTTAACCAGATTGTACAGATTAAACATGTGTAAAGAATGACAAAGGGTGGCGGCGTGACCCCCGAATAAGGGTAAAGAATTGATGTTAATCACGGCATTCCAGAGCGTTTGCAAGACGTGGCTCGTATAATCTAACATCTACAATCATGTTTTCTGCGTCGATTGTTTCACTGGTATGATCCCCTAATCTTACATACATGTATCCCCCATCTCTGTTGTCTGTTCATGAGAGGTTACCCACTTCCTCGGCACATTGTATATATCACAAATAAGATGACGGGTGTATTGAATCTATGCATGTACTTTCTCTCTCTTATTTTCCTTTCTTCAACATTTGCTACTGACTCATCACAAGTTATTAAGCTTTCTTTTGCCTGCCCTTTATACGATGCTGAGGGACCCTTGCCATTGTGTTTGTCAAAGCTGAGACATGAATTTATGAAGAGATACGGAAGTTTAGTGCGCGAAAAATGCAAACTAAGCAAGTATGCAGTTTGTATTACATTAATTCTTCCACTTTTCCCATGGGGTGATATATCAGTTGGGAGATTGGGAGATAGTGCGACTGAAGAATTAACTTCAGACATCTGATTATATCGTAAGGTCATCGGTTCGATCCCGATTCATCCCATCACCCAATTTTTTTGATTTTTGGGCATCTTGTGACACTATTTTTGCACTTTCAAGGAATCCAACATGTCCAATTTTCCCTTGAATTTAATTCTGTTTATGCGCACCAGTGTATATTTATTGGATGCCACATATTCCGCAACAAGCGAAGCGGTACTCGAGACCTCTGTCCATATATCCCAGATACTCTGAATAGCGTATTTCTTTACACGTCATTCATTTTGTCATTCCTTAGTCATAGGCTTAAGTAGTTTGGGATATTCTAAACAGTTGTTTAAATGCGCAATCTTGCCCAATAGTTAGCTCGAAACCAGTCAATATTTAGCCATGAGCTGGTCAGAACTTACTGAATGATGTGGTCCATGGTCCTCCCATTCTACAAGCTTCTCGGACTAGTCTTACAACGTCTAGGACCGTGCTAATCCGGGTGATAATGGTCGGCTTGAGTAAGGGGATTATCCCATCTTTTCCTGCTCTTGTTTCTTGATGTTCTCGTTATTGAGCAGCTTTTGTCATGGGGTGATATATCATGGGAGATAGTGCGACTGAAGAATTAACTTCAGACATCTGATTATATCGTAAGGTCATCGGTTCGATCCCGATTCATCCCATCACCCATTCTTTTTGCATTCTGGATCCCTGATTTTTGCATATCCATGAAACCTGTACTATTATTTAAGCAATTGTTGAGGTACAGGTGTATTCAGGAATTACCGTGACTAATTTTCCTGTTCCTTGAAGCCCGGGGCGTTGTTTGCACAGCCACCAAAATGCCTAGGCATAAGGCGTTCTTTACCACATCACAACCTTAAAATTTACCCTAGGGAGCTAGTCTAATGAACCTTCCCATGCTTTAAATCCACCACCAAGCTCATCGAACGCAAGAATGGAGCTTACCACTTTCTCCGGAGTAAATCATCTATCCTACCATCTGTTGTTCATTCCTCGAACAACTCAAGATAAGTGATCATGTCTCGCTTTCGAGACATTCGCCTCAACATCTCCAAATCGAAGTCAAATACACAGGGTACACGAGTATCAGCAGTGCCCCATGAGACATGGTCTCCGGCCGCACATGGGAAGGATGCCCTGCAACAAGCACTCGAAGACATGTATTGGGAGGGCGTTCGAGATGAGCTAGAGAATATCATTCGCACCCTGGCTATATGGCAGCAGCCGGAATTCGCAGATGTTTCATTGCCGGATGAAGACGATGACTTTATCCATGGATTTGACACCTTCGTGGACCAGGTTAGCCAGCATGCTAGAGAACATGCAATAAAATACAGTATGCGCTAAAATTTTGGAATCTGATTGAAGCCGACTAATTCGGATGGCAGACAAGAAGCGCCTCGAAGATATGAAACAGGCTCAACAGCCGATGGATGCACGACCGCCGAGCTACACGAATTCCTTGAATGAGGCCGCAATGGATCGGAAGGCTGAGTTCATCAGCTCAAAGATCAAATCATCCGTGCGCCAAACCATGGAAGGTATGTTATTATATTCTTTGGATTATTACCTAAGTACTATGACCACTGACTTCAGGTACAGGTATGCCGACTTTTACTGGACTAGAAAGGCGAGCATGGGTGTTGCTACAGGCGGCCGGTAAGCTAATCAATGATGAATCGTAGCAATAACGAATGCTGACTCGTGCTGCAGGATTCCTCGACATCGAGAAGTTGATAGAACATCGACCAGCAACCAAGAAGGAGAAGTGGCCGGTCGTTCCCCAGCGTATGTATACAAGCCTTGATAGGAGTAGTCGATGTATCTAACCATTTCAGTGGACTTCTCTGAAGACAAGCCACTCGACTTCTATCCCATGCATTGCGCGAATAATCGATGCAACGCCACAATAACCGGGAGCATGTTCAAGTCTGTCGATCCCAAAGAGCCCCGAGTCGTTTGTGAAGACTGCTACTTCCGCCATTTCTACGGCAAGGAATCCTATGTCAAGCAGTACAAGCATTGCATCCTGCCCGAGGCAATATCTCCCGAAGAAAGCCGGAGGATTTGTCCTTGCCTCTCGATTCCTCACTCCAATGGTGATGAGTTACTTTCATTATTTCCAGTACCTGGAAACGCACGGCATCAAAAATACGCCGATTTCAATAAGAAATGTAAGCTTTGCAACCTTGATGACATTGTCGCAGTTGCAAAGTACAAGGCATTGTGTAAGGCAGCAGGGATTAAGGAAAATAAGAAGGAAAGAGGTCCAGAGTCGACTACCGATGTAATAAGGATGCTTCAACACTACCAATCTCAACCAGAGAAGTTAATCTCGCGTACACTCGGCAAGCTCAGAAGACCGTCGTCGAATACAAGCCTTGAACGATCAGAGCAACGTTTGCATTCTTCGGTGGCCCTGGACAAGGCAGTTACTGACCCGCAAGCAGAACGGGACATTCCAGCTTTCTTCAAAGCACATGTTGATAAGGATCCGTTTGCTAACTTGAAAGTGAGACTCCGTGTTGGACCCCTGGTTATTGAGAATGGTGCATCACTGTAAGCCGAGATTAAGATGACTGAAGTGATTCTTGCTGACTCGTGCTACCGCAGTACTGAGGACGGCGCACTTGTCACATTGCGAGAAACACCCGTCTTCCATCAACGTCTGAGCATCTCTGACAAGCAAAAACGATGCCTTCGAGTCACAGGCTCCGGAGACCGGAAAGTGTGGCAACGTCTTCATCCTGCCCGTCATCTGACGAACTACAAGGCAGTCATGAAACAAGTTGTCGGGGCGCCTTTCAGCGGGCTCTTGCCACAAGATCCCGAGCGTGCGATAGTCTGCGACGTTCTTGATGCGAGTCAATCGCTATGTAGAAAGGGGGCAGATCTCGGTGTATCACTTGATAGACTACTTGACAGTCTCAGGAATATGATAGGCAGCCGCGTGAAGGAATATCTCAGTAGCATATCTGAGGGACTATTGAGCCCAACTACACAGCTTGCATGGAGTGCCACGCAGAACAATTGCCAACAGTTTTGCAATTCACTCATAGATCATGCGCTTTTCGGGTCTCTGACTAGTGACTTGGCTGAACCTCTCTATCTCATGAGCTTCGTTTGCAAAGACGAAGGTTACATGCGACCGGCGGTTATAAGTAAGTTCAGCGTTCCAACTGGACTGACGCAGGATTACATTTCCCAGTTTTACTTTGGTCACTCAGAAAAGGCACCAGACATCATTGATACATATCAGGAGTACTGGTACGACTGGGGCGCCTTCGGAGCACCGCTATACACGTATCAAAATATTTTTCCGTGGGATTGCACTGAGGCATACGGTCGTTACCCAACATGTTGCGGAGACTGCAATCTGTCCAAACACGTTTGGGCCTTTCCTTTCGATTCTTGGTCTGTAGTATCGCACCACCTAACTCGCGATCAACATTTGTACGCGCCGCCCTCGCTCTCTGAACCCATGGGGGCGACGGCATCTACTCCTCAGGCCTGGATGCGCAATCGCCTCACCGTGTTGAGTGCGTCGGCAATACTTTGCCGTGCCGCTACAGCCATGGCCAAAACAACAATGTTCCGCTCCGCAACAGCTTGGCTATCACCCTCCTCTGAACTAGGATCAAGACTGCGCTCTCTCGACCCATCTCTAGCACGAGTCAAGCTGGGCGGCATCCACCGCGCTCAGCCTTTTGGTCACCTTCTTTTCGACGATAAGATACATTGTAGCAACTATTTCATGGCACAATGGGGTATAAGGCCTCGAACTGAGCAAATCGAGGCTTATGAACTGGCACGAAAAAAGCGTATGAACCGTGCTGATGTCGAGTTGCCTAAGCAAGCAGAATACAGGTACGGTTACACTATCGGATACAGGCGGGATTCAGATGGTCATTCAAACGATGCAGCTAAGAAATCTGAGATCCATATGGATGCTGCGCTGACTTCCCGGGATGCTGTGTTTAGCTATGCATCAGCGTGTGCAGTGGCTTKCGGATCAACTTGTGCCTCTGGTTGTGGGAACAGTAGCTGCGGAGGCGTTGCTAGTCCGGCATCATATCCTGCTTCGAGTGGTACAAGTTGTGGTAATACCCATACTACCAGCAGCTGTGGAAGTAGTAGTAGTGGGGGAGGCGGAGGAAGCAGCTGTGGAGGAGGAAGTAGTAGCTGCGGAGGGGGCAGTAGCTGTGGCAGCAGCTCAAGTTGTGGTAGTAGCTAAATCCTGGACTATGACTGAATCTTAGACTAGCTTTGTCATTGGTATTCGTTCTTACTCATTTGAAAAGACAGAGCTCGTAGCATGATACCGCAAATGGCAAAGTCAAGGGGATGTTAAGCCGCTAGGGCTATGCTAGTCCCAGCCCTATCCGCGGTAGTTATCTTAGCGGAGAACGCCTGAAGTCTATCTTCAGTGGCTGTGCAATTGTCATATATGACTTTGATTATGTGACTATGTAATTACTTTAGGTAAATTCATAGACGGCGGCGTAGAATCTGATCGAGTGTTCTGTTGTTTACCAGCCAGCAGATAGGATCCCAGAAACAGACACAACTCAGTCGCCGTGCCCTTACCGACATGTCGTTAATTGCCGCTTCTACAACTCAGAATCTGCACCGAGCCGCTGAAGCAGAGATTAAGAATCTAAAACAATGGCGAAACACCTATAATCAAGATCCCCTAGATGATCACTGGAAGCTGCTGGATGAAGGAGATGTGAACCAGACCGATGGGCGGCAACTCATTCCAGCACCGAGTCTTTTCAAGTCTTTAGCCACCACTACTACTAATAATACCTCAGCCCATAGCACAGAGGAAGGACAATCAATACCTACGATAGGACAATGTGCAGCTCACCTCGAACTTCTAGAGGCATTCTTCACCTTACGCCACCACATCGTCAACTCAGCAGCCCTCGACAAAACCTTTGGCGTCAAAATCAACAATAAGATCGTATACAGAAAGAAGTTCCATAAAGGAATGGGGGCTTACGTTTACAAAAAGACACCGTTAAGAGATACGACGTACCCAGATCGGAGGAGAGAGAAATGGGATTTTTACTTGAAGATTGCGGCGGTGAGGTTTGAGGCTTGGATTAGGGTTGCTAATCACGCTGTTGAAAAGAGTGTGAGGGAGAAGGGGGGTGCTGTTTCTTTGCCGCATTTGCCTCCTTTGGGTATGTCATTCTATTTTCAAGAGTCGTGTATAAGCGAGAGGTTAATACGATCCTTGTTGGTCAGATATTATCATGGTCTGGCACGCTTTTTTGCTGAATCCCGTCGATTTTCAGACTTATTGCCGCGACAAGAAGCTGAGCGTGATACGAAATGTAGAATTTCCATGGGCAAAAATTGTACGTTTTTCCTTCTACATACTTGTTAGATGCCATGACTGACCTTATACAAGCGCAAAGCCATAGATCCAAAGACCTGGGCCTACGAACTCCCCGAAGCATCCTGGGAATGGACCAAATACGAATGCCAGATGGAGCCAGATCTATATCAATATCTGGAGAGTGTCGGAGCAACATACAGCCCTGTTGCAAGCACGCTGTCCCGCTTCGGAGACCCGAAAGAACAAGTCGGAAGTCTCTGGCAAACCCTGAAACAGATGGTTCTCAGCGAACGCGAGAACCAATTCATCAAAGATGTGCTCGAGATTCAAGTGGGACTACAGCAATCGACAATAACATCGCTCACCGAAAATGTCAAGCGCCAGGCTTCGTTTGTCGATAAGATGCATAGCCATCTCTGGATTTGCAGCCCTGCTGTTAGCGGGACAATGTGTCGTGCTATTGATCGATATAACAAGTTTATCAAACTCTTTGCACTTTACCCTGCTAAGACGCTGGTGCCAACCTTAGATGTTGACCTAGTCTGGCATACGCACCAGTGCTCTGCGGTCTTATACGAAGAGACTATGCGTGCAAGGACGGGCCGATATATCAACCACGACGACAAAATCGGCAAGAAAGAGCTTGGCCATGGTGCCGACGAGACGAGCCATTTGTTTCGCGCTCGGTTCGGCCAGGAGTATTCGGTTTGTCTATGCTGGGATTGTGAGATGTTGACTACTGCTTTAGAGAAGGCTGATGAGGAAGTGGATCTTGCTGTTGATGATTTGGATATGGAAAAACTTGCGAAGCAGGTTGGGGAGTATGTTAGCTACTATCGGGCAGAGGAGTTGAGTAGGCGTGTTGATCGTGGGATGGATGTATAAGTGTGTGAGTTGTAGAGGTACGTGTACCTAGATATTCATATGACTCTAATGCTCTGAATATTTCTTGAGCTTTAACTATACATAATAGTTCCATGAGTCTATAGAACCCTAAGTCCTAATTGCTACGATTGTCATTAGGGCTATCTGATAAGACTTCAAGTAACGGTTTTCGATTTTTAGACCTGCCCTTTTACAGATCATTAGATGAGACACTTTCAAAAATTAAATGAACACCATAATCAATCTATTCAGATAGGAAGTCACATGTTCATCGATTGTTGAATGTTGATCATATGCTCATAGTAGGTCATACATACATACATGCCCTAAGTAACATAGATATCTGCCTGAGTACTACCCTGCCACATCAATGACTCCAGAGACATCATACCACCTAGTATTAGGCAGCTCGGAGGTCGAACAAACCTCTCAAATGGTAAAAGACGAAAAGACAAGAGCACTGACCGTATCTAGGTGTACTTACGAACTAAATTAATAACACACCGAATTATTATGCACATGCATGCAACTCTCTAGCCCGCATTGAGAACATAAGCCCATTTAATTTTAATATACTATCAAGTACTTATTGCTCAGTTGTGTGTGGCGAGGTCTAGGCTTTTTGCACTTCGCTTACAGATGCATTTGAAATACTGAAAATGCGGCGCAGGCGACCTACTACCATAAACGTAGAGTAGTCGCGATGCGATCCCATCAATGGGTCCATGGATGGTTTGCGGATTAGGCAGATACATACATGGATCTGTAGTATTTGTAAGCACTAAAGATGAAGCTCGAGGCAGGTACATGCATACTTTGTTAGTTTTGTATTTTTTTCCCCGAGATTTCTCGGGGCATTATTTTGGGATTTAATATCGGTAATGATGTTACTCGAGTTTCGGAGAGATTTCGGGTTCGTATGGACAAGTAGACATGTTTCTCGGGTTGGGTATTCGTCTCCTGGTACGTGTATGTTTGGGGAATCAATTATAACCACGTAGGTAGGTAGGCCAAGGGATTTAAGACATGGGTACGCTGTCCCAAACATCTGGACATTCTTGCATGGATGTTAGGAGTCATCGATACTTACTCTATTCCCTGTGAATCATATCGGATGGAGTGTATACGTAGCTGACGTCTCTCCTCCGCAACGTTATCAAATCTTGAGTCGCCCCGCTTGATCATCATGAGAACAACGAATGAATGATCCTGTGATACAAGTATTGCCTCATGGAACTTGGTCCACAATCATACCTAGATCAGCAAGTACTTACCATATCACGTAGGCCCACGATCCAAGCACCATGCACCTACCTACATGTACATGTAGGAGAAATTATCGTTATATTTAGGAACACCTGTGCCACATTTGCGGAATTCATTATTCGACGCTGATTAGCTTTGCTACGCTCGGACGAACGGTCATCGACAGGGATTTATATTTTCCCTCTTGACTTTTTTTTTTTTACCTTTTCTTTCCGTAATCTTATCACTGGATAAACATCATTCCTGAAATAGATAGCAGTCTGCACTGCGGATGTGTGCACGTTTGTTTGGGTTAGAGCTTGGAGGTGTCCATACCCATGTAGTTAGAGAGTACGTAACATTGAAATGAACCGCACTTCAGTTGCCGTGATCTGATTCTCGAGTTTTTAACTTTTCTACATTGTGATATCTTGTCAGTCTCAAACGGGGATCGATTCAAGTCTGGTCGAAGCTCCACGAAAGTGCTCAGGGTATCTCCCTGTTCCATTACTCCCTACATCCAAGGCGTATCATACAAATGATCCGTCTGAGATAAATATCGTTACATGCAATGACTCAGACCGGCGCAAATACTTTCTTCCAAACAGGTTCATATCAAAAGAATCAGAATGGAGATGCATTTCCATGGGTTTATAGCCCGCTTAGGTCGGATTAGGACTAAACCGAACTGCGACTTAAGCGATTGACATAAGAGTGATATTATTGGCCTTGACTCTAGGGGGTTTTAGTACTTAGTATTCTGTTTTGGCTAGATACGGCCGAGGTCCTCCGTTTTGTCAATCGCAATAATAGGTGAATTATGCGGATTCTTCACCACGGCACGTAGTCTTGAAGCCATTCGTCTTGAAAGGAATTAGCCACGTCGTTCCTAACACTAGGTACTCTTAATCTAGAACTGAATCAACGGCCGATAACTCCTTTTGTAGAAATCCTCTCTGGTACTCTTTACTACTCTAACGATATGACGCGTTCTACATGGCTAGTAGTGCTACTATGGAGTCGATTAGCCTGAACGGTGTATTCGGCAAGTCCGGCAACCTTTTGCTAAATGCTAATGTTTAACCGGCCAATTCGATTAATTTATTCCTTAGTGTTTAGTTGACTCGCGCACTGTCTCAATTTCGAGGATGAATATTCAGGGTTCAGGGTTGTTGTACCTCCGTGCTAGTACTCCGTTCTCCGTGCTCAGCAAAGGGAAAGCCGCGGCCCACGTCGTCAGTCTGGACCATTTCTGGAGACACTAAGATTGAATATATTTGTGTCATTCTCATTGGACACTACCAAGTACGCCCTACACAAGCGCAGACCGAGCCATACTATGTACATTTTTGATTGAGTTGTAACTGACTTCTAAAACTTCAATCGTCGCTTCGTCGACTACGCAGATGTCATGACGAAGTTGTGAAAGACATCTTCATGTCGATAATAGCTGATAGATGAGTGATCAACACACATAGCCTTCTTCAGTCTGTATCTAATAATTTGTCAGACTTGCGAGTCATGGCGTTTTGAGAACCCTCACGGGAGCGGGTCGCAGATTTGCAGTCGAAGTCGATCGTATGCCTCGTTCTGGCATATTGTGTCAATCCGAATTATTCGATTCAGGGAATGAGAGGCAGCAGCCCTTGGAGCCGGAGTCATAGGATACGACTCCATTGGTCCAAGTCACCTGATCGTCTCATCATGCGGCGTGGCAACGGGCTCGAACAAAGAAAATACCACTTTTTCAAGGATTGAAATTAAATGACATCCTCCGAGCAGGGCGGCTAGCGGCTGAATTATTGAGGATATTCCAAGCAATCAGCGATCAGGACCGCGTGAAATAATGACTGAAGCCGACAGCTATTGGACGAGAGGATTTCTAATTTATGCGATAGTGGCGGAGGATCAGTGACATTGTCTAAGAAACGACTCATGGCATGCCTCTTTTCGTCATTCCCCCCGTGGTCCGTCGCTTGCTAGCGGCCGCTAATTACGTTCTTGCGCCTGAGTAATTCGCTTTTTTCTTTGTCTGGCAGAGCTTCAATCTCGTTCTAATTTCTTCATGGCCTATGGCTGCACGGCCAAAGCGATAGTGCATCCACTCTGGGCGTTTAAGGTTCATCCTTGGACAAAAGCAGCAAGGGTGCAGCTGCCGATGTGGGCTGGTGGCGGGTGGATGAAAGAAATGTCGAGTTGTGCCTACGCGTAATACGCAGCGTGATCGTGAACTCGAATAAGGCGTGGATGAGTCGACGTAGTATGACCATGTAGTATGTACGTAGGCAGCATCATCACTGCCATGTTCAGGACCGACGGGAGAGAGTTCCCTATCTCTTTTGGTGGCTAGAGCGTCATTTGTACGTTGGTGCTGGAAGGACTAGAAGATGATAAGTTGGCAGATCCACGATGACAATCATCTACCTACATAGAGTACACGGCGACTAGATAGGTAGGTGCCAAGGGGACGAAGGTGACTAATACACGGCGGGCAGGAAGGAAGGAGCGACACAGAGACAGGGCACTGGAGGTTCCTCTTAGGACATCCCCTGAAAATATAACATACCTACCTACTATGTAGGTACCTAGCTCATCTTCCTCTCATCTTCCATCTGTACGGTATACAGTATACAGTATATACTTCCACCACGCCTAAGCACAGACAAACAGACGCCCGCACGGAGTCTCCCGTGCACACTACACACACGCGAGGATCAGACGATCGCCCAACCTTCTTCGATTCCTCACGGGTCTCGTCGGCATCCTTGTCGCCGGCGCTTGTTCAGAGCCCCTGACCAGTGACCGACCACTAACTACCTCCTACTGCTATGTATGTAGTACATAGTAGAAAGCTAACGGCCTCTCCACCCCTTACACGGATCTGACTGGCCACGCCATCGATAGACAGAGGATCACGGAGCTCGGAGCCAATTTGTTTACGTGCGCCTTCGGTGATACCACATGTTGCCTTCATTTGCCGCGCCAGAGCCTCAGTTGGAGTCAGTCCGTCGAGTGTGTACACGATACGACGCTGAACGACGACCGATCCACCTGCCTTCGCCCGTCAAGCGCTCGCTCCATCTACGTACCGTGTCGTACATACTACGTTCGCTATCCTTCGTACTGATGAACTGATTAATAATGGTTAGGCACTAACGTTAGTCAACTACGACCAACGTAGTAGTCACTGGCGGCACGGGCATGGTGCTCCGGACGGCGCATGTATCCCTGGCCACACACAACTCGTCTAGTGGCCCTAGTCTCCGCTGCCAAACAAAGAGACATGAGTCCACCGTGCGACTAAGACCCGCGCTAATTGCTCACTAGAACAAATCGAATTTGGAAGCAAGGCGGCGCAGGAGCGTACTTGCCACCAATCACAGCCGCCCAAACTCGATTCATCMCCCCCATCGTCATCTTCCTGCCACTTTCACCACGCCTAGTCCGTAGTAGTGTGTTGCCGAATTAAGGGGCCATTTCCGCGGTTGGTTGGCGAATCAGCTCCTGCAGTTTGACCGCACGCGTCGCTGATAATCATATATCAAACCTCAACCGCCAACATCCTCACGTACATACGGCGCAGCAGTCGATGCAACGATGTGCTGGCAAGAATCGGTCCTGACGGGAAGCTGTTACGCGGCAGAAAGGGGGAGGGGATTATCCTCTTTTTCGTGGTTGCACCGAGCATTTGTGCTCGTCGCTGCGATTCGCTCAAAAATCCCAGCAGAACGGTAAGCTAAAAACTGGTGCAACTTGGTGGTGTTTAGCACCCAATCGACCTGTCCTGCTGATGTTGGTCGTGCATAGGAGGAGGAGTCGTCCTTTGCCAGACGTTTTTCTCGTCAGCTCATTCGACTCCCCTCATGTTCTCTATGTTACTCTCGCCCCTCAATGACGAAAAAAACCGGATGTGAAAAGGCCTCAAAGGACGCATATTCGTTCCGCCAGCATTATTCTTTTTGATTGCATTTATCCATTATCCCTCCTTGCGGCCTCCCACTCTTTTGCCATTTTCAGACAACACAATTCACCCATTTCCTCGGCGAGGTTGGTGACGGAGAGAGATAACGGGCTTCCGGCTAGCCACCTCTAACACCCAGGGTTGGTATTCCCACACCCCCCTGTTCCTTTTCTCTGCCTAGCACCAGGATCCAAATTAATCAAGCTGTGTGGCGTGCCTTCCCGACAGTTTTTATTTTATTTTTTCTGTTCTGATGGCCCACTGCATTGCAGGCGCAACACTTCGCAGGCTGTGTCCGTGACGGACGCGCAAAAATAGATAGACACAGACAACCCTTTTTTTTAACTAGCAGAACGGGGTAAAGTAAATCTAGCACCGCTTTCACTCCACCTGATGGATCCAGTCTGCTCGCAGATCTACGTATCAGGACTGGATCGGACGGTTCTCGCAATGCATGTTGCCAGAATTTGACAGCGGCACCCATGTTGGTTAAAGCAGACCCTGACAGGGCTTGACCTGAGCCTGCCTGGCCCATTCTCTTTTCCTTTAGTACTGTATTGCTGCGCCCAGTCATGTAGGCCCTATCAGAGTCAGATTAATCAGACCTAGTCCGATTTACAAGTTCAACTTTATGCAGAAGTGAAAATGATGCGCCGCATTTAACGTCGGCGTTCTTTCTCTGGCCGAGACACTGGTTTCCTTTTCTTCCCTACTTTCTCTCTTACCCCCACTCTCGATTAACTACTAGATGAAGGGATTATTAAGAGTAGTGAGGATTATTCTATTCATTCATTAATCAGGTTCTGCCCTGTCCAGGACTAACATATGCGCAAATTTTCATAGAACAGATGCACCTGTACGTGTCTTTGTTTGATTGACTTCCTCGAATAATCTCATCTCGCTCGTCTCCTTCTGGACTCGGCAAATCACCTTGATCAATCTCCCCGATCACAACCATTGACGGCCGCCTATCCTGCTCATCAATCCCCACCCTCCCCAGGAAAGCCTGGAAAGGGCCTTGCAACATAATTAAAAGATCCTTGTCGTCTCTATTGTTCGCTTCAGTCCAAGCATGCATCAGCAGATAGTGTATTAAAAGAATTTCTCCGTTTGGGACCGACTAGCGTTGCACTGTTCCAAATTCTCTGGGAGGGACTCGACCATATCCTTTCCGGGATAGTATAAGATACTAAGACTGCTCACTCATCGATTGTTGTAGTTGCAGTCTCTTACCCGACTTGTTCTTCAATCTCGATTGTTCTTTCTACAACCTTAAATCTATCGGTGGCTTTTGTGTCTCTTTGGTTTGTTCTTTTGGCTGGATGTGAGCCAAATGCCCTAATCTGACCCATCTTGCTGAGGATTTTCGCCGCACACATTTCTCTCGCAATCAGACTATCTTACTGTCCATTATCTGGCAGCTGAGAGCGACGATATCACATTCAACCATGGCGGCTGTTAAGACTCCAATGTCTATCAGTGCGCTACTGAATCCGCAGCAACAGAATGCAGGTATCAACACATCGCAACGTCTCGACCTCCCACTGCGACAAATGCAACTCGACGACACGAATAGCATCCACTACAAACATGCTGAAAACCGACATCAAACTTCAAAAAGAATACACTATGACAGCAGCGAGGGACACCGATCACCAACAATCATCGACGACAGCAACAAGATCCAACAGCAAGGCTCAGCGGGATACCGTTATGAACGCTTCGACTCCGTTTCCAGCACCTCCTCAACCACAATAAGTGAACGCCGAAGAGCGCCTCGACCCAAATACACCGACGAAGAAATGTACTTCATTTGGTACCACCGCGTAGACCTCGATGAAGAATGGCGAGATTGCACAGATGCCTTCAACAAGCAATTCCCTGGCCAGGGACGCTCCGAACGAAACACGCAGGGCATCCAATGCAAATTCTACCGTTTTATTAACGCCAAAAAGTGTCCTACGGTACGGGAGCAGCGACGACTGAAGGATGGAGAGTTTATGGCTCGAGGCCGATCGACGCGAGAGAGGCTGTTGCCCAAATTTGGCGTTGTGGAGTGGTGTCATGTTTGGTACCCCTGGATGAGGGCTGAGCATGCCATTGCTGGTCTTCATCCTGGTCCGCCATTGCATTCGATTGAGCCGCTGCAACATAATCAGAGCGGTCAAAAAGCTTCGGATGACAAGCAGATGATGAGGACGTATAGTCAGTCATCGATTTCGTCAACAGCGTCGATTTTGTCATCAGAAGCGTCGACGCCGGAGCCGTATACGCCTAGCTCTTATTCGGACGATGAAGAGGAGATGATGGTTGCTTGATAATATATCATCTTATCTACTCTCTACAACCCGAGAAAAGAAATCCCCCCCTATTCGACTCCCTCAACTTCTTTCCTGCTCTTATCTGACAATATTCACACCTACATTCTCAACATCTACACCTTCGATTCTTGTACCTCCTTTGTCTTACTTCCCTCAAACATTCAAATACGCGCTCATGTTTCGATTTTTGGAGAGGCTATCTGTCGTTACTGCATCGTTCGGGCTCGGTGGTAATCTCTTTCGTTCGCTTTGTCTGTTTCCTTGCTTTACCTTCGCCTTTTTGTTTTTCATAGCTGGGTTTCTGCAGTTTGTTTCCTTTTATTTTTACTTGTGCTGTTCTTCTAGCGAGAACCATGTACGGGGGCTGGCCAGGCATGGACTGGACCACTCGAAGCCCTTTGTTCTCCAATCTCACTTCGGTCGGCCTTTTCCTTTTCTTTCTGGTTTTCACTGCACATGTTCTTGGTGGATAGTTCTTGAATTTTCAGTTCTTTGACGTTGACGTGATGGGTCTCGGTGGTGGCTTTTTCCTTTATTTCCTTTAGCTATGAGCAAGTTTAGCCAAGTGTGTTGTCTTTGTTTAACTTTTGTGTGGTCTTTGTCCTGCTAGGGTTGGCTCTCTGTTTGCTTTTTGAATTTTTGTTTGTCCGTCACTTGATGATAAACCATTCTACCACTTCTTGGTAACTTATTACAAATGCTACGTACATGTGAAAATCAAGCAATTGATCAATAGACAGGATTATCACTACAACAAGTTGCCGGAATAGAGTTATGATTAACCAGAGCTAGATAAGTCCCAGTCTAGAAACCGGACAGTGACTCACTCTTCATCATCATCCCCAACGTACTCATACATGTACTTTCTGTAATCAGCATCATCGGCCTCTTCATCAAACTCATTGACATCAAACTCTTCATCGTCAGAGTTCGCAGCCCGGTACCGACGGTATATACTCGGATTATCGTCGTATTCGTCTGCGGACGAAAGTTCGTCGTCTGGGTAGTCATTTGCAGGATTGTCCTCAGCTGTTTCTCTAATTAGTAGAGAATCAAAGTATTTGTAGTTAATGGAGGGCGTACCGTTAGAATCAACATCGTCGCCATCCCAATCTACCTCAGAGTCCTGGTCCTCTTCTAGATACTGATCCCAGATATCTTCGTCATCTGAAGTGATGACCACAACACCGATGTCCGTCCGTGTCGGGTCAATGCTGATACCGCCTGGTGTATTGGCCTCGGATAATGGATCTTTGTAGCTTGCGATGTCCGACTTTGGCGTAGCTCCCGATACCGATGATGCGACTGTGTGGATCGGAACGCGGATATAAGTATCGTAGACGTAGTCACCGTCGCTATCCATTTCTGCCTCTGCGACGTGTATTGTTTTGTCTGGCTGTTCCTCTGCCATGCGCGACGCCTCGGTAGGAACTGTCCTTCGAGCCCCCGGATTACGGGGCATGTATTTCAACGGGCCTTTTTGTCGCTGCGGCACAATAGCAGGAGCCGGAGCAGATGGTGGCTTATGGTAAACGTCCATCCGGTTCTCCTCCGCCTCTATATCAAGCATAACCTCTTCAAGCTCTTTCGCCAATTTGTCTAAATCGTCTGATTGAGGCTCATATTTGGTCGTCAAATGCTCCTTAGCCGCGGAAATGGTCGACTTTTGCTGTTCCCTCCATTGCTTCTCTGCCTTGTTCACGATCGGTCGTTTTCGCCTTATGGGCACTTCATCCTCGGTTTGTGTCTTGGCTAGCTGAGACTGAACAACTGTATCTATCTCAACACTGCTTCCCGCTGTCTTCTCGAGTGTCTCGAGAACCGATACACCTCTGAGAGAAGGAGCACGAGTAAGCTTCTCGACGAGAATAGCTCGAGCCCGACTTGGCGTGTTGCCTTTGGACACTCCGCTTCCAGTAGCAACGCTCAGCGGAGTGCTGGGACGCGAGATGTGGAATCGACGAAGCGACGTCGGAAATGGCGCAGGACTCGCGCTGAGAGGCGGCGTAGAAGACGGCGATGCAGGGGTCCCAGTCTTAGACGCAGTTGCGGACTTCTCATTCTCACGATCTGAAAGTCCATCCGAGACCCCTAGGAATTTGCTAATGGGCTCCTGGAGCCGCTTGCGTTTGGCGTCAGCTTCTTGACGTCGTGACTCGGCCTGAGCACGTTCTGCGCGAAACTCTGCACCGGGCGAAGTTGCTCGAACAGTAGGGATACCGCTTATCCCTGCTGGGGTTCCCGCAGGCCTGATCCGACTGCTGCTCGGAAAGTCAGACGTGCTCACAGACCTAGGACTTCGCAGTCGGTCCTGCACAGCTGCAGTCGCAACAGCTGATGATGGTGGTGAAGGCGCATCTCCAGCACTGTCGGCAGTAGTAGAATCACCTGGGACTTTGACTCTTTGGAAGACAAAGTCTGTAAAACGCCGCTTTTTCTGGTGCAGCTCAGATTGGATATCTATTACGATGTTAGTCCATGTTTATGAAGATGAAAAATGAAAAACATTAAGATTTGCTTCTGTGAATTTACGATGTATACAAGGTCATACGTAAAGCGTGGGGTAAGGTAAACTTACAAAGCGTGTCAACAGGCTCCTCTTCTCGTCGACGCTTGATGTGGAATTGCTCAGGAGGCAGTAATCTGTCATTTGAAGCCATTTTGATTTCACCTTCCTTGTATTTTTTGCGCCACAAAGAAATCCTCCTTTTGCGTGTTATGGGTTGTGGTTACGAGACCCGTCAGACCACTGCCAGTGGCGGGAAAWATTTCAAGAGCAGGTCACGTGATGGGAAGAGACCGATTGGAGGGGAGATGCCGTTGAATATAGCCCTAACCTAACTCATCTGCACCAATTTGAGGGCAAATAGTTGACTTATAAAGATTCAATGAAAAAAAAAACACTGGAGCAGATTAAAATAGTCTGTTGGCTGGACCTCGAAGTTTGATTGGACTAACTCGAACTCTATGTGTCATTAGGTCCTGTGGTGACAAGCCCTAGCACTAAGACGTTACGAAGCAGTCTTGGATCAAATTTACAACGTAAGCTATTTTCAGCAGAATCTACATAGTTTCTAGAGCTAATATTATGATATGCTTGATTCCAGCCATTTAGTAATCGTCCTAATTCTTCAGAACTTCCAAAACGAAATGAGGAGCCCTCAATGGAACCAAACTTTGGCAGAACCAACGCACAGCCGAAAATGTTTGGTACGTCAGGAATGAGGCGACAATTACATATACGAGTACTTTTTTCAGTGCTGTAGACTGACTATAGGTCGGTCTGATGTGAGGAGCGGTTCATATTCTCTAGATCCTCTTACGCTGAATACCCCTGAAACACCGTAAGAGCAAAGTCGAAATTTAGAAACTAGCCAAATCCTCCCTTTGATTGAAAACCATGTTCTTTGCGCAGAATACCGAAAAGTATCATCACAAAAACTATCACAGCAAACGTTCCCTGGTCAACCTGGGCCTAATGTGTCTCTCGGCAGGCTTATTCAATGCGTTCCTCTACTCACAATTGGACCTATTGCACTCCAGTTTTAGCTATCTAGTGACCATCTTAGCTTGGCCACATATTCAAAGTGTTGGCCTGAAAAATTGGATTTATTATTCGAGAAATGTTTCTGACGCTGCGTACAGCAACTCACTTATCGGAGGTCTGATAGCGGTGAATCTTGGACTGCTGTACATTGCTTCTAAATGGAGCCGCTCATGTTACTCGGAGCGTAATCTTCAACATGTTTTAGAGCCGGCGCATATTGGCACGTTGATTAGTTATATGTGGGAACGAAGCAAATGCTATCAAGTAAAGGCGGGCATCGACCGGTACCCTGGCACCCTTAAGAAGAGAATCTCATAGAATAGAAGTTGGCACGTTGTTTCACATTGACTGAAATGCGTACCTGTCCTAATTTCAATGGTGCTAGATCACTGCCTGGATCATTACCTAGAAAGCAGTGCCAGTATGCAACATTATTCAAAATGTGCAGCAGCAGTTACCTGATCATTCAATATTGCCAGCGTATAGCTGCCTATACCTAGCGTATAAACCCAACGGTCTCCACTAGTTCACAGCATCAGAAACAATAATCTGCACCCAGTTCTCTCCATTCAATTTATTGAGCAAAACGCCAAAGAGCAACACTGAGAATCATGGCACCTGACAGTAAGCTAGCCCTCGTGCCTTGGCATAATGTGTCTGTCGACAAGCCTACTCAGCTCATTTTCGGGCATACTACCAATTAGTGCGGAAGACAACGTTCCACGTTTTGCCGTCTTGTTATACGCATCGTTTGGGCTTAGTGTCCCTTGAGGGTTTGGTCTAAGCATCTGGATCGATTGTACAAGTCGTATTTCCGAAGCCGCATACTCCAATTCACTGATTGGGGGGTTAATCGCGGCGAATTCTGGGTTCGCATATATCACTTTTACTTCACGGGGTCGCTCTATGAACTTCCAGAGTGCATTGTCGTATGTGCCATGGTCAGCTTATTTGGCGATGTTACTTGGGCTTTGGTGGGCATGAAGGGAAACAGTGACCAGGGGCATCAAGCGGCTTTTATTTGGGTATAAGGCATATAAAAGCAGGGGTTGGGAGGACATCGATTTTGCTTTTTATCTCTGCCTGCACTGAAATCACCTGAGTAGTCCTCTTGGAGGTGGTTCATTTTGCTCTGTGTATGCGTGTGCGTTCATCATTCGTCGTTTAGTCTATTACTAAAGTGAGAGATTACCTTTAGGCTTCAACAAATCACTGCCCAGATTGAATTTGATAAAAATCGAGCAGATAACACTTTCCAGATGTTCTACTCGTTCTTACTGGGAGTAGCTGCCTGAACCCCGGCCTATGAACCGGACGGACTGTCCCAACTATCAAAGCATATGCACCTTTTTCCTTCAGTGCATTTACCTCAAAGAATCCAGAGCTAGCTAGGCTACAACTTTTAAAGTATACCCTATACGATCACCAGCTTGACATTTGACACTCGAAACTCCATAATGCAATAACCACTGAAATCCACAAACTCCACCAGAAGCAAAGCCTTCACAGGCCTATGCCTGATGTGCCTAGCAACAAGCCTGTTCATCGTAATTCGCCACTCGCTATCCTATGACATTGATCCAGTAGGCCGCGCCCTCTTCTTGTTGCTGTCCCTCGTCTGGGATTTCGGGCTAGATACTTGGATGCAGAACCTGAGACGCGCCTCTGAAGATAAGTGTAACAAATCAATGATCGGAGGCCTCATTGCGGCGACGAATCTTGGGGTGCTCTACATATCTCTGTATCCGGGTATGTCTTTGGAGAATAAAGTGTCGCATGTGGCTTGGCCGACTTGGGTTTGCTGGTTGGGTATTGGTGGGCATGAGCTGGATTCATGTATCAATCCCATGAGATGTTATTGCTAGTTGGGAAGGACGTATAACTTTAGGTCAGGATCGAGACCAGAATTTGCTAGAGTTGAAATTATTCGCTGCGATGATGATACATGATGATATAATAGAAAATAACTGAGCTATTATACAGAGCTCCCCCCTTAACCATACCAAACCCTAGCCTACCTAGGTAACCGTGCTTTTTTTAGTCTTTCTTTAGTCAGAAGAAGAAGAAACGAAGGAAACACATGTTGATGGAACAGAACGAAACTGAGCACCAGCCCCAAATCCAGCCGAGTTTTTCCATATCTCGAGGGTTTGTCAAAAAGCTTTCGTTAGCCAGCTAGCAACACAAGTTTTAAATGAAGGCTTATTAAGAAATGAATTAGATCAAAGGGGATAAACCCTGTCGTGTAATAAAAGGGAAAATATCATTTAGACAATGCATAAGATCAAAACGAATACATGAATCAGAAGAAGAATGGTACTAAAATATCAGTAAAAATGGGGCATGACAGATCAAGAAGAGAAGCAAAAAAGAAGAGAAGAGAATTAATTGTTTAAAACACATAGATGGAAATTAAAATGCACCACCGTGGATCAAAAACATATGAAGCACTGGGTTTCTGTCTTATTTCGCTCCAATCTCCTCTTCAGCCCAGCCAGGAAGAGAAGACTCATTTTGAATGGCTAGACCAAAGCCACTGTGATTCAATCCGCCCAGCGCAGAGCCAAAGCTGGAGAAGCTTCCTTGAGGCTGATGAGACAATCCCGAGCGACCGTGAGAAGGCTGGCTGACACTCGGTCCAAAGGGCTCTTGAGAGAATGAAGGAAGGCTAACAGCTCGAGAATGCTGAATTCGAGGAACGCTGAGGCTGTTGGCAGAGCTGTGTGTGGCTCCAGCGTGGCCGTTGGAGACATTCAAGAAGCCATTGGAGGGTTTTCGTTGGTGAAGGGAGCTTTCCATACCACCATTTGGCATCTCATTGGAGGCTGCTCCATTGTACAAAGCTGCCTGCTGATTGGCAAGAGCCTGCTGTTGCTGTTGTTGAAGAGTCGCCAACGTGATGGGGTCCGTCAAGCGATTTTCCTGGTCTTGTCCTTGCTGGGAAACATGATTCAGGTACATCGTCAGCGGGTTGTTGTTTCCAGTGTTGAGAATGGACGAAGGAGATGACAAGTTTTGCAAAGGGGGTCGGTTTTGCTGCCCACCCTGGGAGCCCGTCGATCCTGGAGCAGGCGACAAGGCCGGTCGTGTTGGGCTCGGCTGAGAACCGCTCTGGCTGTTGCTCTGCTTGAAGCCATTCAATGGAGATGGTGACTGATCTTCCAAGCCATTTCGATTTTGTTGATTGTTGTTGTTGTTGTTCACTTGACGAGGGGCATTGCCGCATCGGTCCTTACCAAAATTGATTTTGAATCGCTTATATTCCTCGCGGCTTCGCATCCCTTCGATGGCTTTGATAGCATTGGCGATGTTTGTGAAGTTCACAAAAGCACAGCTCTTCTCTCTCAAGGTATTGACGAGCTCAATCTCGCCATACTCGGAAAAGTCCTGACGAAGGCGCTCCTCGGTCCAAGTCTCATCCAAATTACCGATATATACGTTTCGCGAAGCTCCACCACTGACTGCTAGGGCGATAGCTGGAGGGAGAGCGCCGGAGTGCTTACCCCAGCCAATCTTAAGCCGTCTATTATGGATCATCAAGCCCTGAAGGTTGCTGAGGGCATAGAATGATGCAGCGGATGTTGGGTCAATGAACGTAACAAAGCAAATATGCTTGTCAGGGATGTAACGTATATGGTGCAACAGGCCACCGCGGACCACATTACAAATCTCTTCGATAGTCGTCTCTGGGTGGATGTTGCCTAGATATATGGTACGATTTCCGAGGTTGTTGACACCACCAGCAGTGGTTGCAACAGCGGCTGCGGCAACGGATTGCTGGGCGAGCGCATTGGAAATCAAATCGCGGTCTGCGCTGTTGAGCACATGAGCATAGCCAGGAGCGATACCCAGGTACTGAGCGGCATTTTGTTGTTGAGTCTTTGACACGTAGGCACAGCGGTCCTTTCCATAGAAGACTCGGCGAGGGGCTTGCCACTTGGCCTCCTGGGGAAGCTGGGCAACTGCTTTGATGGCGTTGCTGATGGACAAGAAATGAACAAAGCCAATGGCCTTTTCCTTGACAAGCTTCACGGTGTCGATGGGGCCGAATTTCCCTAGCTCTTCGCGTAATTCCTCCTCTGTGATATCTTCGGGGAGACTGCCCAAGTAAACATTTCGAGAGGCGCCAGATTGCTGGACTGCTACAGCGACCGATGTTGGGACCTGGGAAGGTTTGCCCCAGCCGATCTTGATATCGTTGCCCTTGATTGCCAATTTCTTGAGAATGGCATCGGAGTGGAAGTGCGTAGCGGAGCTACTGTCGAGGAATGAAATGAAAGCACAGTTCTTGTCTGGTAGCAAACGAACGGACTCGATTTGGCCACTGCGAACGTGGTTCAGAATCTCTTCTGCCGACGTTTCCGCCGGGATATTGCCAAGGTACACAGTTCGGCTGGTGCCTGATAGCATTTGCGGCCCGAGATGGACCGAAGCGTTAGATGCACCAAAACCAGCATTTGTCAACCCAGGGAACCCACCGATTGGTGACTGTGGCCCTCCTAAAAGCTGAGAACCAGCATATCCATCTGCAGTAACCAATCCGGGGTACAATTGAGGAGACAAGGCATTCTGTTGCGCCTGAGTTGGGCTGCTCAATTGATTCTGGGCATTCTGGTTGTGTGAATTTGCTTGAGAGAAACCGCCAAAATTGGCGAATTGAGGAGACGCGAAAGCGGACGGAGTTCCAGGTTGGAAGGGACTTCCGAGCAAGAGCTGGGAAGGAAGAAGGGGTGTGACATTCATGTCGAAGCCGGATCCAGGGGCACCTAGGTCGTTACCGTTGTGAAAGCCAGATCCAGTGTTTATAGAAGGGATGTTGGCTCGTCGAGAATCGCGGTTTCCAAAGCTTTGAACAGACGGATTGTTGGAAGTGAAGGCACCGTGGGAGAAACCGGTCTGGTCTGCGCTGAATCCAGAGAATTTCGACATTGATGGCAAACGCGAGTTCTTGGAATCCGCTGTTTGCATGGCGAGCATGTGCGGCGGTAGGACAAGCTTGTCCTGTATATTGGACGTAAGTAAAGCCGTTTTGAGGGACGAGATCCGGTCCTGATTTCACCGACGCAGTCACGCGAGTGGTGAATGAGGCGGATAGTACAGTTGGTTTGGTCGTGCACGAGAATGGTGAATCAGATCGATCTGATGCTTCGGACCGAGCGTGTAGAATAACGGTGTATGACGGAATCAAACTCCAAAACTAAATTGGATATAATCAACGAGTGGGTAAGGCCTCAAGGGCATTGATTTCTTTCGTGAATATATATATGCTAAATGTATGAGCGCTCTCGGTCGATCTGAGTCGCAACGGAATCCTCAGAATCAAGCGAACGTGAGGTTATGACGAAGCGATGAATTGTTATGGAGTCGAAGAATCGAAGAGCTGGCGCGCAGGCTAGCAAAAGAAGGTCTCGTAGCTTCGAGGTAAGAATAGCTGAAATAAAGACTGACTGAGGTGAACGAAAATCAGATAAATTGGACCATGAAGGCGAAACCAGGGGTGGTTGTTTACCTTTCCCCAGATTGAATCAAACACACAATTATACCGAAGGAGAGCGGCGTTCGGGAGTTGAGATTATAATAGATAGCTGGATCCCAGATAGTGGCAATAAACGAAAGAAACATGAAGGTCGCCTGGGGAGGAATAGAAAAGAAACGAAAGAAACGACCGAACGAGCGAACGTGGAAAAGTAAGGAATGGGAGAACGGTATGTAAGAAAGAGAAGGACGAAGAGATGAAGATGGTTGAAGAAGGGGGGAAAAGATCAGAAGAGAACAAACAATAATTATTGGCAAGAAGGAAGGCGGGAAAGGAGGAGCGGAGGAAGGAAGGAAGCTGCGACGAAACAGGCTAGACCGGCAGCTGCTGTATGTATCGACGATTCTGACAGTACATCTTTGCGAAAGACAATATACTACACACTCAGTTTTTCAGTATTATTGTATCTGTCTCTACTCTCTTGATTGCTTAACTTATTTACCTAGAATACTACATTCTGCGCGCTGCGGCTCAAAGCGAATTCCAACCAAACACCGAGCACACCTGGAGCTGAGAGGGATACGAGTGCGTACGGAATCCGGACAGTACTTGTACCAGCTAAGACTCTTCCAGTAATTATACTATGGGTAGGGCTTCGCTAGGCTGCTTACTAGGACGATCCCAGTTGGTGGGGATTATCAAATCGTTCTTTAACTTCTTTATGCACATAATCAAAAGAGAGTCTAATAGATTAAGTCGCGAGTGCTGAAGCTGAGGCTTTTCTCGATTAATTTTGGAATTTTCGCGCATACCTTTGGTGCTCGGAGATCGGAAGCTGTTGCAAATGACTCGATAATTCCATGCGCATATATATAGTAGTATGGCAGTGGCTTGATTCATGCTGGGTAGTGTACGGAGTCTAGTGTTTTTGGTCAGGTACGGAGTGTTGACACCAGGGATCAGGGGAATTGTTCCATGGATGACCCTGGACACACCATAAACACGTACGAAGGGGAATTTCAGACTTTCAAGTTCCAAGACGTACCGTCATTAATCAAGATTCCCGATCTAGTCTGTAAGCTATTCCCAGTTTCCCAGCCAGGGGTAAGTCCAAGAGATAATTTCCAGGTTGGTTAGTGAGCTTAGCTAATGACAGCCCGAAGCGGTTAGTGCAAAACCAAAAGGAGCGATCTGACCGATTCTGACGATGACTGCCGGGAATGCCCCCATATTCTCGTGCCTTGTTTGCCCAATGAACGCCTCTCCTGGCATCTCTCTCTCTCTCTGAAGTTTCAGCATCAGATGGATGATTTCACATCCGTATCCTCTGGTCAAGATGTGTACACTGGGCCGTCTATCGATTAGGGAAATAACGACAAGAGACCAGACGAGTACTGTCGACTTTCGTATCTCGACCCGCTGTGAATCTTAGCAGAGCATTAATATTTAAGGAGCAGATAGAACGTGTTGGATGAGAAACAAAGCGATGTTGGGTGTGCGTGCGGAGTCTTGACTGGTCAGATCAGCCGCCTGCACGTTATATCGAGTCAAGTCAGTGAGGCGATCAGTCGATACTTGGTAAGAGCTCTTATAGGACGAGTATCGAATTGGTAAGATGAAAGAGAGTGATTTACTGTCCACGATGCATACCATCGATGGATTGTCCGGTGGCTGTAGATATACCCTGTCCCAAGCTGAAAGTACGAAGTCATGCATATGAGTTATCAGCTGTGCATTGAGGTTGATTGTTTGTCAGGTTTTGAAGGCGATCCATCTCAGTGGGTCCAGCCCCTGACTAGACGCTTAGTTCCGCTAGTCTGTCAAAGGTTAGCTCCCGATGTAACGTCATGTGATCTGGGTTTATCTTTTATCCCTTCTTTACTATGGGAGAACCAATTGACCTTACTACGTTGAGGCTCTATCGTCTACTGTATGCCGATAGTCGAAGAAGTCATTCTTTGTATATTAAGATAGGTGGGAATATGCGAGCCAGGTACTAGTCCAGAATCGATGGCGCGAGTAGCAAACCAAGGGCAATACAAATGCTTCATGCAAAAGGAGTCCTAGTTGCATTCCGCAAGGGTGAGAGATCATGATTGATTGCTCGCTGCTGATTGACGGTTGATACTGTCCAAAGACTGTGCTGGTTATGAAATTGTCTCTGACTAGGTCGATTGGGTCGGTGATCCAGTACATCAGAGGCCGATGACGGTGCCTTGAGTAATGGATACATATTGCTGACAACAATTTAAAGAACATGAACACGTAGAGCAGCGTACAAACTACGAGTTGTTTCGTACTATTGCGAAGTGTTGCGACAACATTTGTGGTCGCATGTTGCTGCCACATGCGTAAGGTGTCGACGTCGAGATAAGGACGACAACCCCTCATCGGCCTCTTTCCGCCTAGTCGCGTTTTGTGCGTTCAATCGTTCACCTGCTTAATATTTCCCACCCCTCACTTTTTTGTGCTTGGATATCGACGTCGACACAACAGTACATTCCGGGAGCGGGTATTGGGCATTGCCATTGCTCGACAATAACGTCAACTTGCAAGTCCCATAATTGCATCTAATTGGTTGGTACCTTTCTTTTATCTCTGAGTCATCGCCCCTCAGGTCGCACAACGCACGTCGCACTCGATCTACGTTGGCAGCCATACAAAGCTAAATTGTCGTCCAGTTGAAGATACTCTAGTTCAACCTGAATTGATTTGAATTTTGAATAGGCAATCAGAAATACCCATCCATACTGCTGACAACCAATATGGCAACTCCCGAACGGCACATCTACATCGACGAAGATGTCGGCAAAGACGACTCTTCTGCCAATGGTACCGAAGCCGCTCCCTACAAATCCCTCCTTCATGCCATGCTGCAACATGCTCCAACCACCGAAGGAATCAGCTACCTGATTCGCAAATCGGTCACCGGTCCCGTCGAAGAGGGCAACGAAGCTGCGCGTCTCGAGTGGAAAGCACCATCTGCCTCGGCAGTCAAGAAGTCAACCCGATTGTACGAAGGAGCACAGAAGAAGGCAGCCAAGGCACAAGAAATTGCGATTCGCGAAAAAGCAGAGAATGAGAAGCGTCAGGTCGTGCTCGAGGAGGCTAAGAAGGTGGTCATCAAAGAGGACGCCTCTCTACCCAAGCCAGTGCGCATCCGACTCGACGTCACAGACCCTGCAATTGTCAAACTGCGCACTCCAGAATCAGACGAGCCGGGAACCCGAGTTCGCGTGCTCGGTCGCGTTCATCGTCTGCGCTCACAAAAGGATGTCATTTTCATTACTCTTACTGATGGATACGGATACCTCCAGTGTATTATTACTGGAGATATGGTCAAGACATACGATATGATGACCTTGACTTTGGAGACTTCTATTGCCATTCACGGAGAAATGCGCGCCGTGCCTCCCAAGCAGCACGCTCCCAACGACCGAGAATTGCACGCCGACTTTTTCACAATCATCGGCAAGGCAGCTGGTGACAAGGAAGCTATCACCAGCCGTGTGGCACCCGATGCCGATCCTCAGACACTCTACGACAACCGACACTTGGTTCTCCGCGGGGAGACCTCATCATCAGTGATGAAAGTGCGCGCAGCAACTTTGAGGGCCTTTAGGAAAACTTTTGAAGCGACTAGAATGTTGGAAGTCACTCCTCCCTCGATGGTGCAGACACAGGTTGAAGGTGGTAGCACACTATTCTCGTTCGACTACTACGGCGAACCTGCATACTTGACACAATCTTCGCAACTATACCTCGAGACATGTCTGGCTTCCCTTGGTGATGTTTTCTGTATCTGCCCATCCTTCCGAGCGGAGAAGTCACTTACCCGTCGTCATTTGTCCGAGTACACCCACATCGAAGCCGAGCTCGATTTCATCACGTTTGACGATCTCCTCGAGCATTTGGAAGAAGTCATCTCCCGAGTTATCCAAGAACTACTCGCAGACGAACAATCTGCCAAACTCATCAAGGAACTCAACCCAGATTTCAAAGTTCCCTCCCGCCCATTCAGACGCATGCGATACTCCGACGCAATTGACTGGTTGCGCGAACACGACATCCCCAACGAAGAGGGCCAACCGCATCAATTCGGTGACGACATTGCAGAAGCCGCCGAACGTAAGATGACCGATATCATCAACCAGCCGATTTTCCTTACCCACTTCCCCGCCGAGATCAAGGCATTTTACATGAAGAAGGACCCCCAGGATCCTCGGGTTACCGAGAGTGTTGACGTGCTCATGCCCGGTGTTGGTGAAATCGTAGGAGGAAGCTGCCGTATCGACGACTGGGAGGAATTGATTGCCGCTTATAAGCGAGAGGAGATGGACCCGTCGCCATACTACTGGTACACCGATCAGCGAAAGTAAGTGTCTTTTTTTGTGTTCTATTGTTATTTATTGAATAGTTCGCTAACAAACTTCGATAGGTACGGATCATCGCCTCACGGAGGTTACGGATTGGGACTTGAGCGTTTCCTGGCCTGGATTTGCGGCCGCTACACCGTCCGTGAATGCTGCTTGTACCCGCGCTTCACGGGCCGATGCACGCCATAGTTTCATGATAAGAGTTTCGGGATGAGAAGTAGTTTGATAAAATGCATTATATTTTTTACATGATTGAATCCCAGTTTGAATGGTTATTGCATTAGGAAATTCCTCATACATGATATGAGGAATTGATACGAAAGATAACGCCAGTCACTACCGCCGAAAGGTTTCGGCTGATCTAATTAAACCTTCATCCAAAGCCCCTCGTGCCCATCCTCCGCCGAAGTGATGATATGCGGCACAACCAACTCGACGCCCTTCGTAGCGCCCGCACTAGTCGAGAAGGACGGGTTGTGGCGCGGCGGCAATGGACGGCCTGAATCAGCAGCGGCATAAGCGTATGCTCCGTAGCCGTAGGAAGTGGTAGTAGTACCAGCAGCGCTGATGTAGTCGCCCGAAGACGAGGGTGGGCTACTCGTCACCGACGACGAGGCGGTAGTCGGGCTGGGCGTGTTGACGAGAGAGGGTGTGCCCATGGTCGACAGACTGGTTGTACTGTTGCGGGTGGTGACCGGGGTACGACGAAAGGGCATCATGGCGTGCAACAGCGTCGAAGGCGTGGAGGAGGAGATTCTAGGATCTTCGCGATGGTAGTGGAATTGAGAGAGATAGGTCCATGCATCGCTCGAGGCGAGTGAGCTCGATGATGCGTTGCGTCCATGTTGTCGACCACCATCACTGCCGGCTATGATGGGCTTCCATTCAGTGGGGTCAAGATCCGATTGGGAGTCGTGCAGGTCGGAGGGTATCCTGCCGAGAGTCGGGCGGACGACTGGGATGGGTTTAGAGGGGGATGTGATTGATGATGTGGAGGAGGAGTCCATGTTGATGTGCGTATTTGTGTAGATAGGTGAGGAGGAAGGGGAGGTCATTGTGTATGTGTATGAGGAGGCCGAGAGAGGCTTGCAAGAGTCTTTGCGACGGCAGCTATATAAGGATGATTAGAACTGAGACATTCGTGACTGGGGGCGCCGAGATATACATACCTTTCACTGCAATACAGAACCGAGTTGCTGGGCACCGTTATCTGCTTCTCACACATGGCGCTAAGATAAGACGTCAGCCATGTACGTACACATCAATGAAATAGACCTCGCAGGCGAAGAGCGCATATATGCCGTGGAATGTGAGACGAACAAGAACAAGGAACAAAAATGAGGCGGGACGCATAGGCCGCAGTCCAGAGATAAGCAGAGACAAGGATTGTCAAACATACCAATATTGCAAGAAACTGGTCGCCATCTCCAAGTGTTCGTCTTCCGGGTTGACGGGGTGACTGGCAGGACCGGAGCCTGCTCCTAACAATTTACCGCGCGATTGGTGTGATTTGTTTCGGTAATGGAACTGATGAGCTGAAGCGCTCTTGCGGTGATAGACGGGCGGCCGAGTGGATTTGGCCGATCCTTTCTTGGAGGTAGTTGGAGGAGGAGTGGTGGTTTTGTTGAAAGTGGAAGAAGAGGTAGAGGGAGTGGAAATATGGCGGTGAAAAGGAGGTCGTTTCATGGATGGCGGTGAGGTAGTTTGATTATTAGGATTATTATTGTGAGGGTTAGGTGCGGCGCCTCTAGTATGAGGCTTTTGATGGCGATGCATGGCTGAGTCCTTATCGGCAAAGATATGTCCAGACCCACCCGGATGATCCTGGCGGTGGATCAAAGGGATGAATCAGATAGATAATAGGCAGATAATAAGTAGTTGTCGGTGCTTTTGTGCGACAGACAGGTAAGATAATGAAGAAGAATGAGCGATTTGGGGTGTTTGGGGTGTTTGAGTCGATGATCGTGATGTTGATGTAATTTTGCGAGATGTAATTTGGAAGATGCAGGTACACGAGGGTACACAGATCGCTACTGGCAGGGATAGGGTCAGAAAAGTGAAACGAAAAAAAAAAGAAAAGAAACGAGCAGGGAGATGACTCACGAGTATTTTATCGGATGTATCTTGCTATCTCTCGCAGCCGAGACGATAGACAGAGAAAGTATTCGTAAAAGATACAGAAGTATGCTCGATAAGAGATAAGCAGCACGAGGAGCGGTGTGCAGGAATGAAGAGAAAAGCGAATCTTAAATCAACAAAAGAATCTCAAATCCCAAAAGAGGACTGCCTAAATAATAAATAAGACGATGATCCAATGCATTCGCAATATGGGATAATCGATTGATCCATCTGATTGTTCTCGACTCTCGCAGCACGTAATCGCCTCTAACTGGAAACAGTAATGTTTCTAAGGTCCTTAACCCTAACTCAATTCTAGACCCATTTTCTAGAAATACGTATACTACATGGTAGACAACAAACAATATTATTTGCGGAATATTATTGTTCTTACTATCGCGCCTGACAGAAAAAGAAACGACGAGATAATGAATCATGCACGTTGGTGCGATGGCGTTGATAAGTCGATCTATCTAAGCCTTTAGCCCACCGCTGTCCGAGGCACGAGGCTAGACCACTCGTTCACGAAGCCTTTAGTCACAAGTATACGACTACAGTACGCACCGTGGTGGTTAGGCACATAAGACAAGACGAATCAGACCTCCAACTCAGTAAAACTAGGTGTTTGGAGAGTCAGGTGTGGAGTCCTCAGATCGTTCGAATAGATCATTGCCGCTTCCGGATATCCCGATTGCCAGTGCCTTTTCGGGCTGCCTGTAGTGTGTGATTCTAGAACGAGTGCGGTAGGCAGATCATTTTCTTCATTGTCATCCACTTTTATCTTCTGAATAAAAACTTGTAACAGAAAAACGAAAAAAGATGGTGTGGAGTGGAGGGGTAACGCAGCCTGGGTTAGGGTTACGGTTACACATCACCTCCACCATTCTCCATACATTGTACCACCTTTGACGGCACACAAGAGCGCTCTCAAGCTTTTTGATTTTCTTTTCTTTTCTTTAATTTTCCTGTATTGTGGAGAAACGAATACGTCGTCGACGAATTCAGACCGAATCAACGCCTGGAACATGCTACGGAATAAGGTACCCAGAGCTGCTCCATCCATGGTTCTCATGATTCTATTTTAAAAGCACTTGTCATGTCATGTCTGTCATGTCACTGTGGACGTACCTTGGTGGATACTACACCGCCATACAGTGCAAGGTGTATACGTACGTAGCAGTGGTTGACGTCAATCACATGGCGAGTACAATATCCCTGGGTAGGGATCAAGTAAGGACCTGGGTAGCGAGACACGTAAAATCACTCATTCGTATGGTGTCATTTGTATGGGTGCTTTTGAGGGAAATGCTCTTGGTAGTACAAAATGTGAGGCATCACTTTATTCGTTTTTGAGGATCGAGTAGGGTTAGGGTTTACATGTTTTCAGTAACCAATCTAGAAACCAATCTAGAAACCAATCTAGGAGAACAGTCAAACGATTAATTTGGGTATCTAGTCAAACGCCGCACATGCAAGTATAATACATCAATAATCAAGCACCTATGACATGTCCACCTCCATAGCCTCACTCTGAGCTTTTTCCTTACCCTTGTCAACAGAGCCAGTCGGCTCTTCAACTTTCCTTTCCGGCTTCACCCCTGTAATGAATTGTTCCGGGACTCCCTTTGCCGCCACCGTTGCACTACCTACATAGCATCCTAGCATTCCGCTCCATGTGTATTTTTGCTCGGTCAGGTTGCGAATTTCTCGATACCCAACGACGTTGGCAAAGGGGAGGCCCGTGTCTGGATCGCGGTATCGCGAGAGTTGAGATGTGATCGGGCAGAGGTGTTGCGATATTTCTGTCATCTTGTTAGTAAGAACCTCTTTGCGGAATAGAGGAGAACGTACTCGTCAAACGGGGTGGTTTCTTCACGTTGAAGTAGATGCTATACTCTCGGCTTTGTATGGTCGCATTGTCAAAGTTTTCTAGTATAAGTAGATTCCGACCCGTTTCTTCAATGTCCTCGGGCCGTGCTGCAGCTATAATTTCGCTTGCTGTTGGCTCCGCGGGTGTGAACTGATTTGCTTCCGTTGGAGTAACGTCTTGCATGGGTACATCGACTTGCCCAGTTTGTTCTGAAACAGGAAGAGTAGAGGGTGCAGCAGGCTGTATATCATGTACCGTGGGTTTGACAATTGTATCAGTTTGTGCGGTAACCAACAGTGTGTCCTGCCCGGTTTGTGTTTCTGAGGCTTCAATTTTCTCCACCTGTTTCTCTGGCTTTGTTGCCTGCGTCGAGCCTGCTGCACCAGACGCTTCTGGTACCGACTGTCCTTCTGCTCCATCGGCTGGKTTAGAATCAGGCTGAACGCCTTCTGCTTCCAACGCAGTCTTCAGCTGTTCATCTGCCGCTGCGATAGTTGTATCTTCATCATTACCATCTCCGGCGTGTTCAACGTTCGCAGCATCTCCGTCTTTGATATTCTCTGCTCCGTCATTTTCAGGTTTAGACTGCGTCTTCTCACTCGTTTTATCTAGAGCTGGCGTAGATCCTGGAACTGCTTCATTTTCTGGGTCCAATTTCTCTGGTGCTGGTGTTGTAGGTTCGGACGCATACTGGTGAATACCATCAAGAAATCCTTGAGCGCCTGTCAATTTCTCACTTTGCTGTGCCTGTGTGTTTGTATCACTTGGTTGTGTAGTTGTAGCTTCTCCATCGGTCGAAGCCGTAGGCAAACTTGTAGGAACGAGGACTAAATCCGTCTTGACTGCGTCCGGTGCTGCATCCTTCGACTTCTTTTTCCGCTCAATTTCCTTTTCCTCGGCTTTCGACTGAACTTCGACATTGCCCACACGCACCAACTTTCCATTAACCCACTTGGCCATACCACTCCACCACGACATGACGGGTCCCTCCAGACGACGATTTTGTAGAGCTTCAAGCTTAGCCTTGCGTTCTTCAGCCTTTCGTTTCTCCATCTCCTCCCACCGATTAAGGCTTTTACTGTTCAGCCGCTCAATCTTTGCTGCCTCGGCCAATCGTTCCTCTTGGGTCATGATTTTGGGTTTCAGTCTCTGCTTCCTCTCGGCAGCTTTTTCCATATTCGCAATGAGCTTTATCCGTCTTTGTTCACTATCCTTCAACCTAGCGTGTGTAAGTTCTTTATTCTTCATAGTTTGGCGACGTGAAGACGATCGAACTGGTCCTTCATCGGGCGTCGGTAGCCAAGAGACTCGTTCGGATTTTTTCTTCGGACGTGGGGTCGCAGAAGAGACACTCGACATGGCCGGTGAATCTATCTTGACTTTTTTACGTAGAGCCGTAAGTCTCAAGGACTCCTGAGCTTTGCGCTTTTTCCGATCGACCCTCGCTTGTTTTTCCAGCTCCTTCTCCCCTTCCAGATCGTCATCCGCCGCATTGGGTCCCTGATCATCTTCGTCTTCTGAAGAAGAGTCTAAACGCAGATCATCAAATTCACCATCAGGTCCTTCGACCTCGTCGAACTCGTCATCGTTCTCGTCTTCGGCAAACAGAAGCGTTAGATCGTCGTCGGCAGCTGCATCGAGCAAGGACGACATATTCCTGCCGGCTGTGCTTCGTTTCTGTCGACCAGCGACAAGGGTTTCGACGACTTCATCTTCAGAAGTGTCTGCCCCTGTAAAGGACGATGTCTCATCTGGAGTTGCCATTTTGCTGTCTGATGAAGATTGCGCGACTGCGCGAATCTCCTCAGTATTCGACAAAAGTGGACCGTATTATATATCGATACTCAAGCCCAGTGAAGCTCTTCTAGATCGAATATAGAGGCGTTAGGGTGCGACTTTTCGAGCGGCGTGTAATTAAAGCAAGATTATCAGAACCTGGAAGCATTAAATTGGCTCCGCGTCAAGGTGTCGAGGCTTGATGTCTTGGCAGCCGCCGAATCACATGACTTCGCGACGGCACTTCTAGCACGTGACCATATCATAGCCGTAAAACTTACATAATCAACGATTCAGGTTTCAACTAATGCAGGTACCCAAACCAGGCAAGCCTATTTTTATTCATAGGAGGACGAGTCGATAATTCGTTTCAGACAGCAGTAGGTGGGGAGAGTCGGTTGGCCAAAATTACTGGAGAGAAAATAAGCATACGATAAAGTAGTGAAGTACGGGGTAAAATACGGCCGTCCCTGGATCTTGCTTCCTAACTACGTACCTAGCGGTGTTCCGTGACAGCTGCAAAACAGAAACAGAAACATATCATTTGTGGGGCTGCTACGACGGATTCAGGCCTGCGTCATTTCTCATTCTCTCAACTACCGTACTACGAAGGGCACATATCTCGAGAGGAGGTCTTCTGATTGAATCTTGATGTCTGTGTACACGCAGCTGATCCTGCGGATCTGCGATCGCAAGAGAATATAGACCGGAAAGGTCGACGAATCATGTGCTGGATGCATTGAGCCCCTTACTGTCGCTGTTCTAATTTCTCTCCATAGCAGTACACACATCAGCCGGCTTTCTATGATTAGGATGATATTCACGCCTCGCCTGAGTCTCGACAGACAATCGTCATCGTCTAGTGGATCGGCATTTCCTTGAAACACGATCCCCCTCATCAAGCGCTATGCATAACGAACTTGCGGAGGGAGCCTTGATCCTCAGATTCAGATTTGTTCCAGAATTTCACCGACTACTGAATCTTCTGACTCGGATAAATTCGTGCTGATGCATATTGAATCTTGGTAATTCTCGTATCGAGTGCCTCTATCAAGTCTGAGATGTTACTCTAGACTCGATTTCATTTAGGTGCATGGGACATGGACCATGGAACAGTGACTGTCAACAGTATTCGCGTATCGTAATAACGCTAACGATACGACTCGGAGGATTTCAGCCAGTAGCTTACTCGCTACGTACTAGTTCCGCATTACAATGGCAGTACCTCTGTCTTTTGAAACAGATTGGCATGCGCTGCTTCAGGAATCGTATCTCATGCAAACATTCCTCTAATTGTTGATATCATTTCAAAAGAGTTGAAATTGACTCTGTAACGACGGGTTTTCTATCTAATGGGGATGATTGATACCGAACATACGCCGAACTTAAATGTGTGGAAACAGACGGTAATTACGTTACAGTACCGGCGGCGTCGTACTTATGGGCGGTCCTAGTCCAACGGGCTGAGTAGTGTCTCTCTCGCTCCTTCTCCTGGCGACGGTCGACGACATTCATATTACCTTGACACTTTCTTATCCTCTCCTTATCCTCTATCCTCCCATCCCGTTCTCTTCCTTTCCCTATCTCCCTCAGCTTGGAGGCTTTGATAATATTAGTCTATTAATATCTTTCTTCTGGAGAATTGTCTTCATCCATTGATTCGTTTCGTCCTCCGTGCTTTCCATCAGCGCTCCCTTTTTCTCCACACTTCCTGCCACCCTGTCCGGTCCTTTCGCATCGACTCCTCGAAACGCTCTTTGTCGGTTACTCCTCTCGACGGTTGTGTCTCGACGACAATTGATCATCTGCCGTATCGGAGAGATTATTTTATAGGGATAACCTTATAATAACGCTAATTCCATTAATTCGGCCTGGAATTGCCTTCTGTGTGCTCCCCGGGTTTCGCATGACCTTGTCTTTCGCCGTGGACAGCCGCAGCTCGTGACACAAACGACTTTGCAGTTCCTGATTCCATCACAATCGAATCTGTGCGTGTGCGATCCGAATAAATAAATCTGTGTTGTGCAGTTAGCATCTTGTGCTAGAGATCCGCCACTGCGTGGTTGGTTCTTTGCATACATCCGCTTCGTCCGGTTGGGAGTACGCATAGATTTCATCGAAATTCTTCGTGGACAGATATTTGGAGGATACAAGTAGAGTCATCGTCTCAGATTGACACTGGCAAAACCTTGAACGCCATATCATAATCTTATGGGGTTTTCATAGCGCCTTCCGTTTTTACCGAGCAATCCACCTCGAGGATCTTCCGGAACCATCAGTCGAAGCGCTCCGTCTCTCATTCAACGCGGACACAATACCATCAGCTATATAAGCTCGGTTCATATATTACTATAATCTATAATGATCCCAGTTTCGCGGCCAGACGGCCATCTCAATCTCAACTACATCCCAGTTTCTCAGCCAATGTCAGGGACCTCGACGGGTAGCAACTCTCCAAACGAGTTGGCCGGAAATCTGGGCAAGTCTCCGTTCGGGACCGCCAACGGATTGGGAAATGCTCCAGGTTCGTTGGGTAGCACACGTATAGGGGCTGGATCCCCCTCTCACGAGCTGGGTACTCGCCTATATTCAAAACGGTAAGCACATTTCTCTGCTTGGATTTTGACATTTGTATTCAACAACATGCTTATGATCTCTCACAATATAGAGCACGTGAAATCCAGGCCCAGGAAGGTGTTCCGACAAGCATCTGGGGACCTCCAACGAGTGGCCACTCAACGCCTTTGCGCGAGAATATTCCCGAATCCCCCAGTCAAGATGGATTTCCCGACTTGATTCCCTCTGAACCTACATTGAATAGCCCTGCGCGAAGGGCAAGAGCTGGCACTGTGCCATCGCGATTCCCGCCTGTTGGCACTCTGAGCGCCACCTCCCAGGCACCATCCCTGATCTCCAAAACGTCAAGGCCTACCCCGTCTACGAGCCCGTTTCGTCCACCAGGCCTGTCCGGTATTGATACAAGCGGCAGAACCGTAACTTCAGGCGCCGGCCCCAATACGGCCGTTTTGTCTCGCCTGCGGGCGGGCTCAATGCCTCAGCGCCCAAATAGCTTTCTAGGTTCTTCGAATCCGTTTGGTCCCTCTGTTTTCTCCACGAGCTGGGCATCAGGGCGAGAGCGAGCTTCAACCTTGGCAAGCATTCGGTCCTCGGAGGGTCCGACATCTCCTTCTCACTCATCGTTCTCAGGTGGCGGTCTGGCCGATAGCGACGTGAAGACTCTCGACTACTTGGGATTGGCTGAAACACCACATCAACACAACTCTTCACTGGCACACTCGTCGGTTGAAGCTTTACTCCAACAACAGCAACAGCAATCTTCTTTGCCCCCACTTCTTGCAGAACTTGCTATGATCAAGAGCAACAACAGATTTAGGTCCTACTCGGTCAATGCAAAGGAGAAATACGCCGAAGACGATGAGGAATACGGCTCTCCTTATCCCCAAGCGCCATCAGGAAGTTTGACTCCATCCGCTGCCGCGACGGCCGCTCAACTCGCTGCTACTCAGGCGCAAATCCATCAACACAATCTTGCTGTTCAGGCTTTTGCCAACCATGCCTCCGCAAGCCGTCCTCGCGCCCGCACTGCCGGAATTCTTGATACCCCACCACAACGCTCTTCTATTCGCAATTATCTCGCAACGCCCTCTCGATTGGAAAATAGTATAAGCGCCGCGGATCTTGGTATTGCCGAAGGAAGTGAATACGATGAGCTCTCCGAAGCGGTTCAGATGATGCATCTCGGTGGAGCAAACGGCGCAAATCCGAATGCTCGAGCTCCGGCAGAAGTCGCAGATGAGGGCAGTATTGAAGGTCCAACCAGAGCTTTGTGGATCGGAAGCATTCCGGTCTCAACAACGGTCACTTCTTTGGATGCCATCTTCAGCATGTACGGCAAAATCGAGTCGACACGAGTTCTGACTCATAAGAATTGCGGATTTGTCAACTTTGAGCGTCTCGAGAGCGCCGTTCAGGCGAAGAATCTACTCAACGGAAAAGAGATCTTCCCAGGTGCTGGGCCTGTCAGAATTGGTTATGCTAAAGTTCCAGGTGCATCTGCCTCTGGAACACCTGGAGGTAATGGTACGCATCTCTCGCCAACGCCTGATCCACATACTGCTCTGGGAGAGCACGGCGCTGTTGATACCACAAAACCAGACCGGATTGGTACGGATACGCCACGGGTCCCTCCCTTGGCAGACCTGAAGCAGGAAATGGCCGAAATTGTCCAGGAGTTTGGGGCTACTGACGCAGATGTTCAAGCGATTACTGCTAGTGTACAGAGATCAATAGCTTTCCAGGCATTCAAGGACGAAATTCCTGCCGTTCCCGAACCAAGTGCTGCAAGAATGCACGATGCGCCAAAACTTCGCGACATTCGCAAGCGGATTGACAACGGTCTTTGCTCTGTGCAGGAAATTGAGGAAACAGCCAACGGCATGTTGCCTGAAATAGCAGAACTCTCATCAGACTACCTAGGAAACACCGTTGTTCAGAAGTTGTTTGAGTTCTGCTCAGAGCAGACAAAGGAACAAATGCTGCTCCAAATTTCACCACATCTTGCCGAGATTGGTGTTCACAAGAACGGCACCTGGGCAGCCCAGAAGATCATCGACGTTGCAAAAGCGCCCGATCAAATGCAAATCATTGTAGATAACCTGCGCCCCTACACAGTCCCACTTTTCCTCGATCAATACGGCAACTATGTGCTGCAGTGCTGTTTGCGATTTGGCAGTCCATACAACGACTTTATCTTCGAGACCATGCTTACCAGGATGTGGGAAGTATCTCAAGGACGTTTCGGTGCACGTGCTATGCGTGCTTGTTTAGAAAGCCACCATGCTACAAAGGATCAACAACGAATGCTTGCTGCCGCCATTGCCCTGCATAGTGTCCAGCTTGCTACGAACGCCAATGGTGCCTTGCTACTAACTTGGTTCCTCGATACTTGTACCTTCCCACGCCGAAGGACTGTACTTGCTCCTCGTCTCGTCCCTCACCTAGTCCATCTCTGCACCCACAAAGTTGCGTACTTGACCGTGTTGAAAGTCATCAACCAGCGGAACGAGCCCGAGGCACGAGAGATTGTGCTGAAGGCGCTCTTCTTTAGTCCGAACGATGAAGCTCTTGAGCGAATTCTCAGCGATCCTAGTTCGGGCGCCACATTGATCTTCAAAGTCCTTACTACGCCTTTCTTTGACGAATCAATGCGTTCCGAGGTTGTCAAGAACGTGTCCAAGGTCTTGACCAAACTGAAAGCGACCCCCAGCCAAGGCTACAAACGACTTATGGATGAAGTTGGCCTTTCTTCTCGCGCAAGTTCTCGTGATCATCATACTGGAAGGGATGGAAGCACTGGCCATGCTACTAATGGCGAGAAACAGCACCGCCCTACGTCACGTCAGGCCAGCTCTAGTTATCAAAATCAGCAACAGGTCGACAGGCAATTTGGTGCACAGTATGCCACACCCTCAGGTATCGAAAATGGGCCCTCGATGGGCCGACCAGGCGAGCAGCAGCCTTATGACTTTGCTTCCAATGGCATGGGCGCTACCAACGGCCTGAATGGCCTCGGTGCTATGAATGCTGGGCCAGGCTTCGGCCAGGACAACGTGCTTTCTGTGCCGCAGCAACAAATGCAATACCAAGCGTATCTTCAATCGCGTGGCATCTCCCAAACTGGAATGTATCCCGGAAACATAGGCGGAAACGTCTATCAGGGATATGCTGGGGCCATGGATAGTATGAGGGGTCTTCCGGGTGCTGGCGCAATGCCTGGTCCGTCTCAAGTGAACTCGAACACCATATTGGGACAGCAGCCCGCCTTCGCGCCGCCTCAATTCAGCCCTGTTCTGAACCCGGCTCAGATGTACCAATATTCACCTCAGTATTACCCCCAAGCTCAGGCCATCCCGAACCAGGCTGGGGCTGGTCGACGTGGACGCGTAAGTCTTCATCCGCAGTAACGGTCCATTTGTTGCCTTACTAACACATCTGATTAGCACTAAGTCCTGGACCCGCTCTTGAAACCCAACACGCTCTTATCTCCTCCACATAGACTTTGTTTGTAAAATCATTCTCATTCTTGTCTCTTCACATCTTCCATCATACAAAAGCGATCGTCTCTCCATGTATGCAAAATCGTTTTCTTCTTCTATTTTCGTATTACTTACGGCCTTGACTTCAAACCGGCGCTGGATCGTATGGTAGGAGGCAGGGATATGATGAGTTGTTCACGGTCATTCGTTTGGAAGTTATTTGTCTCTTGATGTTTCTGATATTACCATTTCTTCTTTGTGTAGATGAAGGACATGATATCGATTTTTGAGATTAAGTCATTTTGTCTTCATGAATCGATTTTTTCTTATGTATTAAATTCGAAAATTTTAAATTCTTCCATTCAAGTTTACTGCTTCTATTGCCACTTTTATCTTTCATGCATACAGTATCAGTTTGAATTGGCGGAGTCGAATATTAGGACATTGCAATATTAACTGCTTCAAATGGTCGACTAATCTCGTAGAAAGTACATAATGCAACAACTTCCACCCATTCCACCCAAACCTATCATCTCTATCATATAACAATACATATTGGTAAGCAAAATAATGAAGCACTTATAAGATGCCAGTTTGCTAGCTAGCCAACCAATCTATAAACTTGGTTAAAGCCTTGGATCGATCCGAAACTTGGTTCTTGACCTCCGGCTTGAGTTCCGAATATGTCTTGCCTTCATATTCGAAAATGAAATCATATGCTTTTTCGATTAATGTTAGTAAACCCAGGCATCAAAAATTGTAGGAACTAACTAACCGAACCCATATTCCCCCCTCTGAGGAACGATCTGACCTTCATTCCGTCCTTGGAAAAGGAACACCTCCGGCTCACCGCTATTACTACTGGTATCATTGCCGCTGTCGCTGTTGCTGTCACTATCCTCCTGAGCCGGACGAGGACCCCAGGAGAATGCAAACGTGCACACTGCAGCGGCGGATTTGTCTTCGTGGCCGGCTAGGATGCGATTGAGACCGGAGAGTCCGAGGGAGTGGTAGAACCATTTTCTGTTTCACCAGGATATCAGGGTTGCACAATTGGGAGAACGGAAGGATGGGAAATATACATATAAGGACCAGGCAACCCGTTGAGGGCATGGAATATAACTGCACTATCCTCAATCAAAACAGGACCATTGACCTGTGCCGATTCATCAGTACGTTAATACATGAAATCGGGACTGAGAGTATTAGGACATACAGCCAAAGCAGCCTGGCGACATTTCTCCCTGGCCACCTCTTCAATGGACCCTTGCAATTCTGGCAGATCAATACTTCTGATATTGACCGTGATTCCATAGTCCTTGCTGATGGAGGTGACTTCGCGGATCTTGTCGGCGTTGGAGGTTACGAAGGTCAGGGTTGAGAGTTTGAGTTTGTTGCTTGCGATACTGGGGGATGGAGGCGGAAGGAGGAGAGGCATAGTCAGATGGTAATGTGTTTGGTTAAGTTGATGTGTATAGATAGAAAGAGTCGGGAAGTCTCTTGAGTTTGAAAGTTGAAATTGTTGCTCGAATTGGTAATGTATTGCGGTTGAGGCCAATGTTAAAGAACATCACAATCAGTCGAGGGGATCTCCACGACTTTATATTTGATTTCTCAAGTCTGTCTTGCCCATGAGGTTGATTTTAATATCTTCTTTACTCCCCGTCACTCTGGCACGGCACTGAGCCTCCATAATCAACCTACTAACTATGGATCGCCAAGTTAGGGTTTCTGCAGACATAGCCTGACCCACCCTCCTCACTAACGAACACCTTATCAGGCACTGTATAAATCACATGCATAAATATCTTCTCGAACAATTCGTGAATCATTCGATAGAAGTTCTAGTGCGCTTGAGGCAGAACTCAAAGTGGGTGCGTGCATGCAACTCGTGTGGCACTGCGCCCCATTTTGAGATACAGCCTTGAGGCCTTCACTGCGGCCGCGGCTGAGTGCGATACAACATACCATCATCATTTGTTAACTATTGGACCGTCTGGCCCGCAAATGAGCGCGTCAGCGGTTATACTCGGTTTTGTGTTTACTAAATTGGCATCTACATCGATAATACCAAACTCTAGGTCACTTCTACCTCTTTGTTCGCTTAATGGTATCAGTAGGCATCCTGTACAACCATAAGTCAAGTAAGGTGAAGACTGGCCAGAATCAGGCATACTTCACCTATGATTTGAGAAACGAGAATTTTACCAGAATGCTACGAAGACGAGAGTCAAGTCCCAGATCTGTATTGAGAGAAGCCTCCCCACCCTTTTCAATCCGTCTTCGTCTTTCTTTCTACTGTCGACACAACACCTGGTGACGCAGAGTGTTGAGTTTATGACTTTGAGGAGTGCTTCTAGCACACATACGAAGGCACATGGACCGATCGAGTGGTAGTGGGAGATCCTCGCCGTATCAAACACGGATAGGGAAATCAGTGCACCAAGAAGTAGTCCAATGTGTGCAGTACCGAGAGACCGGGCCAAATAACCCGCGATACCAATATCCGAAGCGGGATGAATGTAGATGCAGATTTGTGCGAATGCTGCCGTAGAGCACCCTGTGAAGATCGAAGTATGGTGTAGGGATTGTGAGATTCTCTTCAAATTGCGCCGCCAGGAAATGAATCCAATGATCCACAGAACGACTGTGCCGCGGAGCAAGACGATGGGTAAAAGACCCGCGATTAGATATTGGAGGGTGACATGTTCAGCGTCCTCGAATACCCGGGACATGAAGTCGTGGTAGGTTATAAGGACAGCCCAGGCAAGGGGGATGACTGATAGGCTCCACCCAGCTTGAATAATATGGTAACCCGGTGCTTTGCTAAGTGATGTACTCGAAGGGTTTCCTTCCTCGAGCAGGCGTCAGTTCTGACTGCATAAATGCTCTCGAGGTGAGAGATGAGGGATGAATGAGAGTGTGAGTGAGTGAGTGAGAAAGAGGAAAGGAAGCAGGTAACCAGCTCCTTCCTCCAGAGGCAAGAGTTACCCAAAGCGGTTAGGGCCAGGTACCATCTTATCTTATCGCTTATCGATAAGCAGACATACTTTTGTCGCCCAACAACTTTCATCATTCAACTCTCTCTTTTTCTCGAGGATATCCTTTGGGCTTACGTTCTAGCAAGCGACCATCTACTCGTGTATTGATTCACTCACAATGGAAGATAAATCTGTAGCAGAATCGCTCATTCCTCGGTTCCAGATTGAGAAACTGCTCAATCAAGGTGAGCCTACGTAGTCTCACCCACATGCTGTCTCAATTTACTTTCACATCATTCTTCGTGTGCCTTCACTAACGCCATGCAAAGATCAGAGTGACCGTCGAATTTCACTGCTCGGCCACATCGACGGCAAGCAAGGCATCCTCATTGCCGAACGTGCAGCGTTTGCAACAGAGTCTCTTGAAGTCCTGAAAGCATTTCATTCGAGCATATCTCAAGTGCGCAACCTAGGCGATAATGACATCTACAAATGGTATATGGCAAACTCGTCACCGCCATCCACTAGCGACGCAAACAGTCCACCGGATCTCAAAATAAACCTCATTTGGCCATGCACAGCTCAACATATCAGAAAGTATTCTGCTCAGACTGTGCGCATGGTTACGGAGACTCCTCAAATCTACAAAGACTATATCCGCCCATATATGCAGCAGAAGCGCGAGGAAGGAAGACTAAACTGGGTGTTCAACATTCTCGAGGGTCGCACAGAGCAAGAAGATGTCATTCTTCGAGACAAGGGTACCAATCCTGATGAAGATGGATTCTTGATGCTGCCCGATCTCAATTGGGATCGAAAGACAATCAGCTCAATGCACCTACTTGCACTGGTTGAACGTCGAGATATATGGTCACTACGCGACCTGAAGCGAAAACACATTCCTTGGCTCAAGTATTTGCGACAAAGAATCATGGACGCTACCGTCAAGACGTATGCAGGTCAAATTGAGGCAGATCAGTTGAAGATGTACGTTCATTATCAGCCGACATACTATCATTTCCATGTACATATTGTCAATGTTATGCTGGAGGCGGGCTCGACACAAGCTGTCGGAAAGGCATTCGGCTTGGAGAATATCATCGGGCAGCTTGAAGCCATTGCTGGAGATGATGAAGCCGGTATGGCTGATGCGAGTTTGTCGTATTTCTTGGGGGAAGCGAGTGAGCTGTGGAGCACAGTCTATGAGCCACTGAAGAAAGGCGACATGCTAAAGATTGAGCAGAAGTTACACAAATAAAGTTAGAATATTAGAATTCCTTTCTTAAATACTTAGAATCAAGATCATCTAGAATAAAAACAAAGAGTATCGACGATGCTTCTTACCTTATAATTCGCGGGGTTGGCCGCTGTAAATAGGCGGCTAAACAAGCACGGCTTCCCCGCATCTTATCGTTTATCGTTTTCAGTAACCATTCTTCTACGAAACTCATCGACAACATCCGTTACCAAGAAGAAAACAAAATGGCAGAAAATCCAGATGTCCCCAACGATAAAAAGGCCTTTGTGCCTCTAGGTAAGTCAGACATTCAACATACAATATCATCAACTAAAGAGACAACTTTGAAAACAACAGAAAACAACCCGGAAGTGATGTCACATCTCGTCCATCAACTCGGTCTCCCAGCATCCTTCGGATTCAGCGATGTCTACTCCATCGACGAACCCGATCTCCTCGCCTTCGTCCCTCGCCCCGCCCACGCTCTACTCCTCGTCTTCCCCGTCTCCAAAGCATACGAAGCCTCGCGCATCGCTGAAGACACGCCCTTACCGGAGTACGACGGAACAGGACCCGATGAGCCTGTAATCTGGTTCAAACAAACCATCCGCAACGCATGCGGCCTCATCGGCTTATTACATGCCGTTAGCAATGGCGAGGTTCGGAAAAGTGTCCTGCCCGGTTCAGATCTGGAAAATCTGCTGCAAGAAGCTGAACCTTTGAAACCGCTCCAACGAGCAGATTTGTTGTATGAAAGTAAAGCTCTGGAGGCTGCGCATGCCGATGCCGCGAAACTAGGCGATACCACTGCACCAGATGCCGAAGATCAAGTCGATTTGCATTTTGTCGCCTTCGTGAAGGGCAAGGATGGGAACTTGTGGGAATTGGATGGACGTCGAAAGGGACCTTTACAGAGAGGAAAGTTGGGGCCCGAGGAGGATGTTCTTAGTGAGACTGCATTGGAATTGGGACCAAGACAATTTCTGAAGAAAGAGACGGAAGGTGGCCATGGGGATTTGAGGTTCAGTTTGGTCAGTCTGGGGCCGGTCTTTGATTGATCTCCATTGCTTTCTCTATGATATAAATCATCATCTGCTCGGCGGGCGTTGGGAGGTGCTTTCATTTGAGATTGTATAGCTAGTTTTGCTACATATTGCATCAAGGTTGATACCACCATTGATCAGCATTGAATTTGAGGACATCGTTTCCACAAGCACACCATCCGGCCGTCAGATTTCTAGCAAAAACTTCCAGAGCGGTGTATTGTTTGTTATTTCTTGGGGTATCTCGTACCTCCTTCTCTTCGACGCGAAAAAACAATATTTCCAACATTTCTTTGAGGTTCGGTTTCCTCGAATGCTCATCAGGTACAGCGGCAATAACCCGCTTGAGAGGTTCTCCTTTGTGTGCCTTTTCTGGATTCTTCTTGGGTCTTCCCAGAAACAGTACTTCATATGGCTTCCGCCATAGTCCTCCCAACGGCGAGACCAGCTCGCCATTCTCAGTAGTTTTGATCCAAACCCAAATTTCGCTGACCCCAAGACCTGTACTCGAAAAAGCATCATACGCAGCTTGACGCGATTTCGCATTGTTGGTAGTCCATATACCTACTATTGCGCTTTCATCTCCGAATCTGAGATGCGATAGGATAGTTTGCTGCATTGTTGCTACCAATGAGTCCATCTCTAGGTAGCCATGGGTAAGATACTGTGATGACCGACGTACAGATCGATTAGGCCATGGAGGGTCGAAGAGGATGATATTGAACTTTTCAGTTGACGGTAATCCCGAAATGGGAGAAACATTGGATTCTGAATATGATTTGCTGGCTGTTAGGTTGCCTATAATAAAAGATGATCCTGGAGGGATAGCGTATCTCGTCGTAGTACCTGTAGTAGGCTCATTGACTTGCAGCGTAGCTGCTTCCAGGGTGGAAGGATTCTTGACCCAAATGCCATGAAGATCCGCCAGACCCGTGAAATCATTAACGGATGACGGTGAGAGTATCAATGGAGGTTCTTTCATCACACTGTATGCATAGCCAGCTGACAGATCTGCTTTTCTTTTCTTCCTTGCTGGCTCGACTATGGCGTCCTGTTCGCCTACTATCCTACCATCAATAGCATCACTACTGATTCCTCTAGGTCCACACCATTTCAGTTCTCCTAGCCCTTGTCGTATCTCATCTATACCATTTTCAACAAAGGATGAAATGCTCCCATGAAACAAGATCTCCGATTCCGGGATTCGGGAAAACAGTCGAGCACGAGCAGCATCACTCTTCGGCTCTGGTGGTGATGGGTACGGATGCTCTAGGGGCTTTGAAGAGAATATTCGTTTGTATCGGTTATTTGATGGTGTTGATTTTAAAGCATTGTGCTCGGCATCGTAAACTGAGGAGGAAGTGGGAAATGCGATCTGAGCTATTTCGATTGAGGATGGAATGTCGATTAAAAAGACTAATTGCTGGGAATTCTGGTAGATGATTGACGATCTACCCTTCATCGCTTGGTTCTCCTCTCCATACAGGTATAATAATATTGCTGAAGTAGCTTTGCTTCTCAATCAGTACATTGTGCTGGAAAAGGTGCAGGGTATGAAAAGTCCAAGTCGGTTGAAGTGAGATCTATCCGCTACCCTAACCCTGATTGATATTCATGCCTTATTTTCAGGAACTACGTATTGGCTTKAGAAGTATACTCTCATACTTATAGATCCGAACTAAAATCAAAAGCGACAGCGAAGATTAATTACTCTATTGAGCATATATTTGATCGACATAACTCTATATTGACCTCAAAAGTGAGCCCAGTGTAAGTACAGAACATCGATTCTAGACGATGAACCATATTCTCAACATTCAGATAGCCTGTCCAAGAGGCAGACACAGACTCTCCTGAACCATGCGCACAGTTGAGATACGCTTGTTTAAAATGATAAACAGAATTGAAGGCCATCACACATAGCTGTGTGTCTTGGTTTGTACCAGCCTCGAAGGAGTGGAGAAAGAAGCAGGCTCTATATGTCACGCTTTTCCGGACATAATAGATAGACTTGCTCCTCAGGGGCGCCGAACGTAGAACGCGCCTGATACATCTCAGACGTAGGCCAGCATCAATCAACCTTCATACTAACGATCGAAAGCTGGGGAATTCTGGCGTGAGCATTTATTGATAGGAGGCGCATGTGTTGATGACTTGGATCAGGGGTAAATGATGATCAACAATCAAGATGTGGTCTGGCATTCTCAGTTTTCACCAAGCTTGCAGAGGCTAAACCCTCAAAATGACCTTAAAGTATTGACCGACGCGATTTCAGGATTGATCCAACGTCGAGGCAAATTGAACGGATGCAACAAGTCATTAGAGTCCCGCAAGATTGGTTTGCAGAACCTCCAATTGACTTAGACTTTCGTAGTCTTTTCCGGGGTTTGGGATTCTCCATGCATCTGTAAAGAATTAATATATGCAAGGCTAGGAAGAATAGTCAAATCCATACTGCTTCCGCGAGTTTTATCCACTCATCCACCCCTTTCACGAACGTATCATCGGCAGCAGGCGGGATCTCGTGACCCCAAACGACAAAATTGTCAAATGTAGCCTGGGATTCGAGAATTTTGACGGGTTCTTCGAGCAGCTCATTCTCTATGTTGCGATTTCCGTTACCTGGAACGAGACGGTCCGTTGGTGATGCGACTACTCCTATATTCAGGCAATAATTTGTTAGTTTCAGTCGTTTATAGGACGTCTAGATCCTGGCCCACCTTCATAGCCCTCCGGCAGCTGGACGAGCCTGCCTTGCAACTTGCGGCCACGAAAGTAAGAGGTTTGTTTGTCTTCTATATAAGACTATCAGCACTGATCACGAACCCTAAAATAGGAGTATAGTATACCCTTCTCATCCTTAACGATGTGCCAATGCCGTTTAGTAGCGTCAATGGGCCCGTCGTAGTGAATTCGACATGGGAGTATATTGGGCGTACAGTGCCCTGTCAGTGTCTCGTTGGAATTGGAGGATTTCGGGGCCGAGCGAAGTGCAAGCATCATTGTATTTTCGGTGGAAAATTAGGTCTGTAAAGTTCAGAGACTTGAGCAGAAGGCGTAGAATGATTAAGTCCATCTCGATGAACGCGGGACGCGACGCGTCCTGTCCCCTTCTTTTGATGCCTGAGGCCGCAATCATACATTGAAATTATCGATAAGAAAGTTAACGAATGAATAGGCTTCTACCAAATCTCACTTAAGACCATAATTTATTTTTGGAAAATTGACGAATAATGAGTCTACATCTGTAAAAATCAGCGATTTGAGCGGAAGCATCAAGGTTGGCAAATATGCTAATTTCATCATGTTTGATCGAGATATTGTTGGAGAGAATGGGGAGGCGGGTTGGTCTGGGATGCTGAAAGTGAAGGCATCTAGCTGCATGCTCTCCTAGCCCAATTTGTGCCTCACAATCCCAATGTCAAACAACTCCTTTGGGGCATGCAATGACCATTCAAACGATAGGTACAACGCGAGACAATTATAATGATAACAGTTCAATCTGAAATAGCCATGACTAACCAAATGACCTTGAAGCACGCTATGCATTTAAACAATCAAAGATGGTATCGCTGATAAATGTGAATCAAGTCAAGCTGCAAAAACCGATAAAGGATATCAATCACCTCTTGCGGGTCTTCTTTCTGGGCTTCCTTTTCTTCTTCGCTTGAGCACCTTCTTCTCCCTCGGCAACAACAGTTGTTACACGTACTGGCCACTTCTTCGCATGCTCTTTCTCAATTCCTTCCTTGTCTCTTCGAAAAAGAAGCATTGTAGCTCTTGCATCTTCCACACTGGAATGAGCTCCGTCCTGAATCTTGAGTCCGAGAAACTCAGATGCGAGCAGTTTCAGTCGTGGCGACCCTCCGCCCGCAATTTTACGATATGGAGGGTACTTGCTTGTGTCACGAATATCACGCTTCGGATGACTCAACATCAAAGCTTCCAAGTCGTTGCGAACTGCATGGCCGACTAGTATTGTGTCCTCTAATATCTGCGCAACGTCCTTTTGGACATCTTCGAGAGAGCGGGCTTCGATCATATGTTTCGGTTCTATGCCACTGACATGTGTCCTCCAGTCGGTCACTTTCTCTTTCGGTCGTACAAAGGAGTCGTAGACTTGGTCGCCGTTCCAATTCACAATACTAACTCGAGCGAGGGCAGATTCGTTGTCCGGGTCAGGGCCAACTCCGACCATTTCACAGTCGATTGCGACGTATTTTCCTATTTCGGCTCTGTATCAAGTCGTTAAAACAGTAACAAACACTAGAAAAGTCAACGATGGTTTACTCACGTCTCGTTGAGTCCTTCATTTACTTTCCCATCACGAGGTCCTTTCTTTTCTACCACTTTGGCAGCTGGTATTGCGGTAGCTCCCAAGGATCGACGTCGCTCTCGTCCCGGCGCTTTGACATCGACTGTGTCGGTCATGCTTTTCACTCTCGAGAATTTTCTTGGTCTGTCCACTTTCTTCTCAATTACCGCTTCAACTCTTTTCCGCTTTAAGCCATTTTGCGGCGGCCGTGTATCTTTCTTTTCTATGGAGGTCGTGCTTCCCTTGAGAGTAAGTTGAAGTTTCTTCCAATTGGAAGAAAGACTCTTGGGTTCCATTATAATCAATTGTCGTATGCTCGTAGTGCCATCATGAATTGACATCAAAGGCCGACCGACCAACATAGAACGAAATTCGGCGGAGATGAAACTTTTCGCGAGTGGTTGATAAGAGATGCAAACTATGCAAACACGGTCTTATCTCAGCTGAGAATATTAACCCTAATTCGGACTGCTCAGTTAACCAGAATAGAGAATTGGACGCACTGATGTAATTTTCATGTATAGTTATTAGGCTCAAGCTCTTATATTTTATCTATATCAAGGTTTTCGATTGGCACCAGTCGACGGTCAATCGGATCAAATATCTTGATTTGAATGCGGACCTATGAATGGTCAAGTATGAGAGAAAATGTCCCAAGCATCTTTTATATACAGCATGCAACCAACGCCTAGATCGAATGACAAATTATGTGGAGCGCAAAACAGAAGAGAAAGCACATGACGTTTTCACAGCCCAGGAATTTGGAAGTCTTTGTAAGCCCATTTCTCGGTGACCTTCTTCTTGGGTTTCTTAGACTGCGTAATAGGCTTACGAGACTCAAGCTTTCCCTGTACGATAAGGGTTCTGAACCGATCATCCAGTAGATTTCCCTCTGGTTTCAAAAGTCGCAATGACTCTTGAAGTTCATCGGGAAGCACCAATTCAAGTGGCTTCTCTGGGACACTATGGAAAGAATCAGCTTCTGCTGGTATCACGAGGATTATCTTGAACTTACGGGTTTTTACCCAATGGCCTCTTGCGGAGAACGGTATCATCACCCTCGTCAGAAGAACTTAGGTCTTGCTGCAATTGTTTGCGAAGTGCCTCTTCATCTTCCAAGCTTTCGCTGATGCTCTCAATATTCTTCGCCTGCTCCTCTCGTTGTTTCATCCTTGCCTCCCACTTAGCTTTTCTCTCTGCTTCCTTCCGGCGTTTGATTTTGTTTCTTTGAGCCTGCGTCTTCCGCTCAGGTCTCTTTTTATTCAACCACTCTGGCTTCTCATATTCACTTTCGAAACCTTCCCAAGCACTTTCATCGTCTGACCTAATTTCGCCGTCGTCATTCTGAGCTTCTTCGATCAAGCGTAGTCGTTCAGCTTCCTTCTTTGCCTCCTCAATTCGCTTCTTTTCGGCCTCAATTTCTTTGTTTCCCTCCTTGACAAGAAGGTTGTCCCATTCCTCAAAGGATGGATTGTAGCTGACACCACCAGTAGGTGCCTTAACTGCTGGGACTGGCTTCCCGTTTGCCGCAAGAGAAATTGGCGCCTCCTTCAAGGTTACAGGAGCAACCTTGTCTTTCTTCTTTGGCACATACTCGAGTTCTTTCTCCTGAGAGGTGGCAATTTCCACTGAATCTGCCCAAGGATCGTAGTTCACACCGTCTTCTGACTTAGCGGCGGGKTTGTTCTCCTGGGCAACTCGCTTCAGCCTGGTCCACTCTTTATTGGTGATCCAATCGCTCTTCTGCTTCTTCGTCTTTGGCTCAATTATACCATCTGTGACTCTAGAGTTTGGTCGCTTGCGACTATCTACCGCTGGGATTGCCGATCGCTGAGCGAGGATTTCGTCTGACTTGAGAGGTTTGCGTCCCTTTCTATGTGCTTTTGCCAACTCTTGGTCTCCTGTTGTGTCGAGGGTGAAAAGTTCATCCGATGGTTTCTCTGCTACGACACCACTGCTTTTTGTGAGTTTTGCACAAGAGAAAAATCGCTGGCTGTAGAACGTACCCTTTGATTTCTTCCTCACGAACTACTCGAAGACCTTCCTGAACTTCGGTAACGTCGACATTCTTGCGCCAGGCCTTCTTGCCTTTTCTGGAAGGCTGTTTGAACTGCTGGGGAGCCTCCACAGCCTTTGAATTGGTAGGGGCCATGTTGCTTCTTCGTATTTGTTGTTAACAATCGTTATCAGTTGCTGAAGATGAAATTATTTTTTTTTATCGATAATCCGCCAAGTGCCAAGCTAGCGCGGGGATACTAACACTATTCAGGACTAGCGTTATAAGCGTCTAGTCGCGGCGGCTAAGCCCAGCGGCGGCTGTTTTCTACTTGAGTCAAGCTTGGCGGAAACAACTTCGACTCAGCATCAAACTCACGTCCAGCCTCGAGTGTTGACCACTGCTGTCCCTGTTTTCGCTCAACAGGCCTTGTTAATATTCCCTTTACGATACTAGACAAGATTGCCTAGAGAAACTGAAAATTTAAGAGCGGCGCGATGCCTGTTGTCAAGGGCGGCGTTTGGTCAGTTATCCCGAAAATGTCTTTAACGATTCACTAACCTCTTCACAGGACCAACATAGAGGATGAAGTTCTTCGTGCAGCAGTAAGCAGCTCAAACTCATGACAGGCGGATCTCACATATACTGACGTTTTCAGGTATCGAAGTACGGACTCAATCAATGGGCGCGTGTCTCGTCGCTGCTTGCGCGAAAAACTCCGAAACAATGTAAAGCGAGATGGGTGGAGTGGCTAGATCCCGGTATTCGCAAGATCGAATGGTCGAGAGAGGAAGATGAAAAGTTGTTGCACTTGGCGAAATTGATGCCAACGCAGTGGCGCACTATCGCACCGATCGTGGGAAGAACGGCAACACAATGCTTGGAGAGATACCAGAAGCTTCTTGATGAAGCCGAGGCGCGTGAAAATGATGAGTTAGGCCTAGGTGGTCCTGGAGGGGAGGCACAGGCTCCGAGCGCAGATGATGTTAGACGCTTAAGGTATGTATACTCCTATGGATTGTTCCCTATGCTGTTGCTGATGATCATAGACCCGGCGAACTTGATCCCGATCCTGAATCGAAACCCGCTCGTCCCGATACCATCGACCTTGATGAAGATGAAAAAGAGATGTTGAGTGAAGCCCGTGCCCGTCTGGCCAACACTCAGGGTAAAAAGGCGAAGCGCAAGGCTCGAGAGCGCCAGCTTGAAGAATCGCGACGACTAGCCGTTTTACAAAAACGCCGCGAACTCAAGAACTCGGGCATAAACATCAAGGTTGTTACTACAAAAAAGGGTCAGATGGATTACAATGCCGATATCCCCTTCGAGAAAGCACCGGCTCCAGGTTTCTATGACACCATTGAAGAACAAGATCGAAATGAACGACAGCGGGAACTGTTTGATCCTCGGAAGCAACAATTGGCAAACAAGCGCAAAGGCGACCAGGATGAAGATGGTGAGCGCAAGAAGAGGAAAAATGAGAAGCAGTCAACATCGGCCGCGGCGGCGCAAGCTGGTCGTATGCAAAAGATTCGGGAAGCCGAGCAACTTAGCAAGCGTCGCGCTCTCAATCTACCCGCCCCTCAAGTGAGTGAGGGCGAGTTGGAAGATATTATCAAAATGGGCATGGCCGGAGACAGGGCGGCCAAGTTGGCTGGTGAAGAAGAAGGCACCAGGGGCTTAATTGGAAATTATGCCGCCATGACTGGAGCCACACCAATCCGGACTCCTCGGGCACCTCCTCAAGAGGATCATATCGCAAATGAGATTCGCAACATAAGAGCACTTACTGAAACCCAGTCGTCTCTATTGGGCGGTGAAAACACCCCGCTTCATGAGGGAGGGGCTTCTACTGGCTTTGATGGCATCGCTCCTCGTCGACAGGAAATTGTCACGCCAAACCCTATGGCTACGCCGTTCCGGCAAGGCGTCAATGGAGTTGGTGCCACGCCCATGCGAGGTGGAGTTGGCCCTGGAGCGACGCCTTTGCGCACGCCAAGAGACCAGTTCGCACTCAATAATGATGATGGAACCCAGATTATCGGCAGTACACCCAGAGAAGTAAAGATGCGCGATAACTTCATGCGGCAACAGCTTCGTGGAAAGCTTGCATCTCTTCCAAGACCGAAAGAAACGGAATGGGAACTTGAAGAGCTTCCTTCAGAGTCTCAGGAATCAACAGCTGAAGGCTACGAGGCAGAAGAGGATTCTGCAGTGCGCGACCAGCGGGAAGCAGAGATCCGCAAAAAAGCTGCTGATGCAGAGTTCAGACGGCAGACACAGGTTTATCAACGATCTTTGCCACGGCCTAGCGTGATTGATGTTACTGCGCTTCTGGAACGTGTCTCACATATTACCGACCCTATAGAGAGTCTGATTGCCAAGGAGGCCGCAAAGCTCATTGTTACTGATGCAAAGAAACACCCACTTCCTGGTAGTAAGATCAATGGCAAGCCGCTGAATCTTGACAAGATTGACGACAAGTGGCTCGAAGCCGCASGAGCCGAGATTGCAAACTCTGTGTCTTCTGAGGACATTAAATCACAGTGGCAAGCCGATTTTGACGCGACCTGGAGCTCAACACATGAGACTTCACTTCCTGGGCTCGCCATCTATGACGATGACGAAGATGCTTTACGACAAGAACAGAACATGATCAATGCATTCGATAATGTTCAGAACACGCTGGTGGCAACTGCGGAGCAGGACAACAAAATAGAGAAGAAGCTTTCATTGCATTTCGGTGGATACCAAGCACGTGCGAAGACTCTGCGAAACAAAATTGTGGAAGCGACTTCAGCACTTGAAAAAGCCAAATTCGACCTCGACACATTCCGCACATTACAGGTCGGAGAAGATGCAGCACTCAGCAGCCGTCTCGAGCAGTTGCGTGATGAAGTCACATTGGTGGTTCGTCGGGAACGTGAGGCCCAGGATCTGTATAAATCCAGGAAAGAAGAACTTGATGGACTGCTAGAGGGTACTGTGAATGGATGGCATTGAGGTTTCATTTGGAGTTCATGATCAAAAGGTTATTTGATAATTCATTTTGTATATTATCTAGTGCTATTGCTCTCCTATGGCGTCTATTCAACCGCCTGAGGGCAGATTGTTATATGCAACAATTTTCCTGATAAGAGTCTCACATATAACCGTAAGTACCATGGCATACACATCTCTCCGAATATTCTAAGATACCGTTGTTTCAATTCCATATGAGTAGTATTGAAAATTGATGTCAATGGTGACTGAATGCGGCTTGCGATCAAATATGCCGCCTTATTCATAAGGCATCCACGGGACGATATCTTTCGCCTTCCTTCCCGCAAAGCCTCATACTCATCCAACGACATATTGTCAACCCATCGAAAAACGCAGATCGCAAATATCTTTCCATCAAATCGATCGCATAATCCTTGATAGATATTATCTACAGCATTCGAAAAGGCATTTTGGAGCCAAAATGGGGGGACGCGACGACGCTGGAACACCCGATCCAGCGGAGAAAGGGTTTGCCACTCTTGCGACACTCAGGTATGGCAAATTAATTCCGAATTACCATTCAATATATATGAAATGTGTAATTTATACGGTCGCATATACTTACTAAGTCTATAGGATCGGTGTGAAGGCTATGGTCGAGAAGGTAAGACTGTTCAGATGCATCACCATCGTCACGTGATAATATCGAAATTTTATACATGTGCTGATATGCGCGATGCAGGAAGGTAGTCATCGAAAAGCCGAGATTTTGTCTATGAGACAGAGGAAGGACGCTCTTCACGTCTAGTGAGTCTACTTTCAGGGGACTGGATTGGGAAGTAACAGTTGCTGACATCCTATAGTGTACACTATGTCGACTTTAACAAGCGTCTAGATGGTGAGCTTAAATTTACACTGGCTTCGGCAAAAGCTGACTATTTTGCTCAGAATGGATTCCGGCTACGCGTATTGATCTGTCGCAAGAGGTAGAGTGGCCTGCGCCAGAGAAGCCCGAAAAGAAAAAGGCACCCAGCAAAAGCGCAAGTCAGAAACGCGCACGAGCTGATAGTCGCGATGTTTCCTCGACTCCAGACCTACTTACTGGCAAGAATGTAAACATCAGCAAGGCCATCCGCGCTTCAAAGGCTGGCGGCAAAGAGAATCAAGAAACGCCATTCAACCTATCACTCACAGGCTCCGAAGCAGTCTCTACAGATGGCACGCCCAAAGGGGACTCTGAAGATGTCGACATGGTCGATGCCGTCGACACGAAACTCGAACCCCAAGAAAAAATGCTAGGCGATATGACCCGTGAAGAAGAAATCGAGAAACTCCGCACAAGTGGAAGTATGACTCAAAACCCGACGGAGATTCATCGTGTTCGAAATCTGACTCGCCTCCAAATGGGCAAACACGAGATGGAGCCATGGTATTTCTCGCCGTATCCGGAATCGTTTCAAGACGCGGATATTGTGTATATTGATGAGTTTTGCTTGAGCTACTTTGACAATAAACGGGCATTCGAACGGCATAGATCAAAATGCACCCTTGTTCATCCACCTGGAAACGAGATATATCGTGACGATAACATCTCCTTTTTTGAAGTCGATGGACGTCGGCAACGTACATGGTGCCGAAACCTCTGCTTGCTGAGCAAGCTCTTCCTGGACCACAAAACCCTTTACTACGATGTCGACCCCTTCTTGTTCTATTGCATGTGCACGCGTGACGAGACGGGCTGTCATCTAACTGGCTACTTTTCCAAAGAAAAGGATTGTGCCGAAGGTTACAATCTAGCATGTATTCTAACTTTACCGCAATACCAGCGTCGGGGTTTCGGTCGTCTTCTGATCCAGTTCAGCTACGAGCTCAGCAAGCGCGAGGGCAAGCTCGGCTCTCCCGAAAAACCGCTCAGTGATCTTGGTCTTTTGAGTTATCGTCAGTATTGGAGGGAGGTTCTAGTGGAGTTGTTGGTGGATCCGAACCGAGAGGCGATTAGCGAGTTCGATCTGGCGACTTTGACTTCGATGACAGAGAAGGACGTGCACGAGACGCTGCTTGTTCTTAATATGCTACGATACCATGTAAGTCCTAGCATAGCCAATTTTTCCCCTGCCTTTTTTACTAACTCTCAATTGCAGAAAGGAAACTGGATCATCGTCCTCCCTGATGCCATTGTCGAGCAACACAATAAAAGATTAGAGAAAGAGAAGATCAAGGGCATCAAGAGAATAGATCCCGCAAGATTACAATGGAAACCGCCCGTTTTCACTGCTTCCAGCCGGACCTGGAACTGGTAATTTTTCTTGGTCTTTGATAATTTCTTCTTATGATTATGGGTCGGCATGTTCTTTGGGTTTACGATCTCGGGAGTTAAAATGCGAAAAGTGCTGTATCTATCGTTTGTTGCAGGCAAACTGGTCAGTCTTGGGGAAATGGGTCAAGGTAGCCTTTTAATTCTTTTCGAGTCAAATGACTCTGGTACCATGTACAATTATATTATATTAACGTCGGGGACGATTCTAATGATGACGCTACATGTTTTACGTATCTATATCTTGAGCAAATTTGGAAAATCTTTAGGATAAGAAATCCATGACTCCATGTTTTCAACCAAGTCCCTGATTCATCCATTAAAGTCGATTGATCAGTGTCGAAATCACTGAAAACATGCATCGTTCCACTTAAGATACATAATATGAACAGAGCGTACAATATGCCTGTAGCACTGGAAGAGAAATGGCAAGGCATTATGAATATTGTATGCCGAGCCTTGGTACAAAAAGAAAACCACAGGCCAGGTATGATGAAAGAAGAAAGTTAAGACATGAAGGATAAGAGGTAATAAAATAGATAAGGGTGATGGGCTTATTTCCCAGTGAGGCCATTTCATTCCTTTCGAGCTATCTCCTCGTAAATGTTGTAGGGAAAAGGCCTCACTGCATGACTTAGCGCGTGAACATGTGATTTGAGGAGAAAAAATATGGGAGAAACACGGGCGGATCATCGAGCTTCAGAATTGAGCTTTTCGCGTCAAAGTTCAATAGACGGCAGCAATTGCACGACATACAAGACCAGTACAATATACACAAAGAAACACTTGTCTTGCTCAAGTAGAAGCAAGAGGTCGTGTGTCAATTCGATCCGAAAGGAGATTATTTGTATTTTAGACTTGGTATCTGTTTTCGTTGCCAATATGTGATGTTCACCAGTGTTGAGGAGTTCAAGCGTCGCATTTAGTTTTCGCCGCTTTTGATCGCGTGAGAAGACGAGCCCTGTCGTTTATTGTTACTTGAGCCACTGTATTTTATTCCCGGCTCTCTGGGTTTGGTGTTTTTGCGAGCACGGAACGTGGTATTTCCTTTCAGTCGTGAAGTAGCCAAAGAAAGCTTTTTCGACAAGGCCACTGAAGCCACGTTGTCGCATCCAGGAATATGGACGACGATGTTCCAGTTACCAGACACATCCTTCTTAGGAAGTTCCGGAGTATATGGCTCAACGCTGTGGACCTGCATGGGTCTGAGAACTTTGGGCCGAAGACGAGCTGGCGGAGGAAGCGCTGCATGCCACGCATTAGGCGGTGCCATGAGAGGTACACGAACAACAGGCAGAGAGCCTGCTTCCCTGTCTTCAAAAATCGCTTCTTCTTCCTCAACTTCCTTAGAAGTTACCGACTCGGCATCTCGGACATCAACTCCTCTAATTGGAGGAAATGAGACGGCTGCTGGGTGCAAATGCGACTGGACATCCAACGGTTCCTTGGTTGCAGACGCAACAGCCAGAATATGCTTCTTCTCTGGAGTCGTCTTGCCAAAGAGCCCATTTATACGATCTTGCCAAGAAGTTGCGCTCATAGAGGGCTGTAGTGGTCGCAACGGTGTCGCCGCCATTGAAGCGAATGTTGGTGGTTTCGAAGGTGGCTGACTAATCTTGGGTGGTAAGCGAACTATTGGTTTGGGGATCGGTAAATTGACCAGAGGTCGATGAGCATCACCGCTGTATGCAGGGTGGGTCGAATATGCCTCCGGGGGTGGTGGTGACGGACTTCGAGGACGTCCATCATCTACAGCCATGGAACCTCGATACGTATCCGTAGTAGTAGGGAAAAAGCGAGAGCCGCGATTGGGAACATTGCCAAATGGCCTAGATTGAGCTTCTGGGAACGGTAGACTGTCGATAGATGCGTCAAATCCATGTAGAGGCGGTAGCGGTGCCGTGGCATTATTCGATTTCACCACGTCAATCACTTCTCGTTGATTTACTTGATCTCCAGACCGCACCTGACGCCAAGTCTCAGAGAAAGTGACGTTGAGAGAGGCAGGAGGCTCATCGCGCATAGCTTCAATTTCTCGTTGAAATTTAGCATTTGCTTCGGCATCTTGCTTCGCGGCGACTGAATGAAAGTTACCCCAAGCTGATGTCGCTGTCTGAACATTCCGACGAGTATCAGCTTGCCAGGGGCTATGCTGGGAGTTGGGAGGGCCAATGGGTCGTGGTCTCACGATAGACTGGAAAGGCTCATATGGCGCATGAGCACTGTCGGACGGAGGGACGGAAGTCAACGACTGCTTCTGTTCTGCTCCAAGTCTCGCACCAACAAATGGTTGCGGACCAGTGGTCTTATCAATATTCGGCAACGAGCCAATAGGCGAAGGTTCAGTCAACCCAACAGGTCCACGGAGAGAGAGATCGTGTGAGAAAGCGGTCAAATTACGGTCAAAAGTACCGTTGCCGAGGGTTTTATCGCTGCTGAGAGGCTTCCACATATTCGAACTTGGGGAAGAATGAGTACTCAGCTTGGGTCCGGTTCCCCATGGAGAGTACGAAGAATTCTGACTGGCTCTCCATTGCGAATCTTTGTCATCCAATCCGGGTAGATCGACATTTTGATCTTTTGGCAATGATGCTTCGTCCTGCAAAACTCCGTTGGTCTTGACTGTATCATGCTTGACGTCGCGTGTCGGGGAAATGCTGCGTCGACTGACTGCTAGCGGCTTCTCCGTGGCTCGTTCATTGGCGGCAACTATTTTCTTTACGGACTCAGGGTGATGAACCCTCATCATTCCATATTGTTTTGGCTCTCCACTGGGTTCGGGAACTGGAGGCTTCGGTGGAGATTGTATGATGTGTTGTGCTCCGACCGTTGCAGGTTGATCCTTGGGAGATGGCTTGCTTGCTGCTGCCGTTATTTCGGGCTGCTCTTCGGCTTTCGCAGTCTCCTTTTCTTTATCTGGGGCGGGTCCTAAGGCTTCAAGCTTCAGGCGAATACGCTCTCGGCGTTCAGCTTCTTCTTTTTGTTCCTGCTCTAGTCTTCGCTGACGAGCTTCCAGGCGCTTTTCTTTCATAATACGTTGTTGCATAAGGATAACGTCTTCGGCAGAGACCTGGTCAGTATCCTGCTTGATTTCTTCTGAAGTCGCAGGCTGGCCATTGGGAGGTGCATAAGCTATGTTACTATTCGTTTTGGGTTGCCATGACTGGTTGGGAGGTGGTAGGTTTGCGGGTGGTTCAGATGGCATGAAATCTTTCGAATTGACTGTTTCGCTCGGTGAAATCGAGTGCTCGAACACACCGTTGACTTGAGAACCGCGTCTTCCTTCGTTAAATTTGCCTTGATTGTCTGGCCGCCCAATTGACATACGGCGTCCATAACTCCCACTACCACCGCTGACATTCGACGAAGTACGTCGACGACCCCAATGACCAGGCTCTTGGTGGCTCGACCTGTATGTCTGGAATGCAGCGGATGGCTCTGCTGGACCACCAGCCTCGTTGTGACCAGGCCTCTGTAATACCGTTGCGGGGCGCATATGACCATCACGGATGTTGCCTTTACGCGTATCTGGCACTGGCTCGTATCGACCAGACTGGGAGTTAAAAAGTTCTCGGGGAACATTTGATTGCCCCTCTCTCCAAGAGCGATTGAAGTCGTCGGCCGCTATCTCACGTGCAGGCACTGTGGACGGATTTTTGTCAGGAGCTGTTTGTTCCCTAGCTTGGAAACGAGTGATGTGGTGGCTTTGCACGGGTTGGACTGGGGGATTCACTGGAGAGATCCTTTCAACGGGGGGTAGAGCAGCCCAAGGGGACTTCATTGGTACCGGCGCAGGGGATTTTGTGGTCAAGATAGGCTTGTCGGATCCTGACCGTGAGGCAATAGCGGCCTTGGCCTGTTGTTGTTGTCTTTCCACATTCGCTCCCAGACGAAGAACCGTTGCGTTCGGTCCAACCGAGGTGGACGATTTGGAGAGTAAAATCTTCGTATTGTCCCGAGCCGGAGGTTGTGTCGGTATTGCAGCCTCTTTTGCCTCGTTGCGATCGCGAAGTTCCTCTGGTGGAGGCTGAGCATTTTCGTTATGTGTAAGTTTAATCTTCGTTCCATCGTTCCATTCGATAGTTTCAGGTGCCCAGTCATCCTCGTCGTCGTCAATATCTGCCCACTTGGATTCCGTTCCATTTCCATCTTCTTGAATTCGAGATGTCATATGAATGCCATACTGCTGCTTCAGTTCTTCGTCCGTGAGATGCTTCGTAGGCGGTGGTTGAGTGGCTGTACACAGAATTTAGCAGATTTCGCAAATGACAAACGTCCTACTTACGCCTGTTTTTGTTCCAAACCTGACTCGCATCCGGACCGCCTGAGGGACCTTTTGAGCCTGCGGCTGCATGTTTCGAGGACGATCCCAATCCACTCGTTGACTTCGCAACCAAACGCGGTCGTGTAGAAGGTTGTGGTGAAGCGCTTGACGGGGTTACCGATAGTGTCGCTAAAGTAGTGTCAGCATATTGCATCAAAGACTCTGCGTCCTAGGAGGACATACGCTTCTCGCCAAGCTTCGGAGTTGTCGAGGTTCCGGGCGCCTTGGGCACAGCGAATTTCGCAAACGACACGGGCTTGAAAGCAATCGGCTTCTTGATCGAACCGGTCCGAAGATGTTGCCGGCCATCATTGCGACTAGTATCTGTGTCCGATCCACCAAGGGAACCACCATCTTCACCACCATCCGACAAGGACGCTACCCCGTTTAACTCCAAAGCTCGCGTCGCCACAGTCGCTGACCCATTTCTACCAGTATCCTGTAAATTATGAGAACGCTTTCATCATCCCGTACAATCTCTCGTGCCTCACCTTGCTTCCTTCACCAGAAGAATTCTCGGCCTCGCTTGTATCCATGGTTTTTATGTCACGCTGGGTTTGTTCCGTATTGTCTGGTTTGCCTTGAAAGTTGAATTCGATTTTGGTAATCCTCCCCTCGCCCTCTTCAGCAGAGTACTTGTCGTTTTTGCTCGCAGGAACGTCGGAAGACGAAGGCTCGCCGCCCGACCGGGTTTGGTTTACCACATCGTGACTAGTCTGCTCTGCCATACCAATGTGCAATACTGGATTTTCGGCCATAAGTCAGTATCAAAGCAGATTGTTCCAAGACATAACAATAACATGCAAGAAAGGCATCATTCGGCGCGAGAGGAAAACACGAACCGTCAAGTAATGGAGGCTGCCACGGTGTTGTGATGAATAACTGAGCGGGTGCCCTGTCTGAGGTACACTGTTATCCTTCCAGTCACACGGGAACCACAAAATCAAAATCCAGGGACGATCTGGTCAGTAAAAATCAGGCACCACCAAATATTGCTGTCTCTTGGGTGATAGCCTGGAAGCTCGATCCCCGTGGTGCGATTCTGAGTTGTGTTTGAAGACAGATGATGTTAGTGAGGTATCCGGAAAGCAGCAGCATGCAATCGGGGTTGAAGCCAGGCTGATGTGGCCGGTTTGGGTTAGCGGCGACGACATGGCAAGTGCCCACTGGAGAGCAGCCTCAGGCTAACACGACAGGCCGCAAGGCTGAAAGGCGGTCGGCTCTGGCATAACAATTGAGAGAAAGACAACAAGTAATAAATATAGTCATTGCATTTTCTACTACGCTTTTTAAGAAATTGAATTCATCCTACAAGGTGGTGACCACACGAAAGAAGTCCTGACTGCTTCCGCCACATGTACTGCAAGGTACAACGAATCAAGGTCAAGAGTCTGTTCTGGTTGGTGTATGGTATAGGAGTTTTGAAGCACTTAAGTATAGAATAATAGAACACTTTATTGAGACACTAAGACAAATGAAATGAGGGAAAGTTTCATGCGTAACCGCTATCACTCTAGCTTACACGGGCAGAGGCACATCTTTCTGCAAGTCGATGTATTGACTTCTTGTTTCACGAATATATGTACAGCCTCCTCCGCACCTGCTATGCTCCTTTTTCAGGAGAATAGTTTAGTGAGGGTGGTTCTTGTGGTGGCCTGTTCGCGAATTCCGTCAGCACATTGCGCAAAAGCCAAGGAGATGAAGTAAACTTACGCAAGTGGAAGTAGTACTCCATGCTGTAGCCGACAACCAAAAGGGTTCCGATGACGTGCACGAGAGCTAAGTGAATATATTAGCGTATGCTGATACCCACAGATGACTGCCTTCGACTTACGCATGCCGGAAGCGTTCTTTCCGTTGAAATAGCGGGCTTGGTAGCGCTCAAGGAATCCGGAGGGCTTGGGGGTAGGAGCGGGACCACGGGGAAGACCAGCGTAGAAGCCGACTACACGCTCCATGCGTGCAGCATCCTGAGCGGCGCCAAGAGCCTGTACAATTGTCAATGATTGTCCGCATGTTATAATCGCGAAATCCGTGGCGAAAGCGTCAGAATGGTGGTGTTTTGGCACGGGGTTCGTAGTGGGTGATCAAGTATGATGGCCGAGGAGAAGTAGACGTAGAACGTATTTAAAACTCACATTAGGAGATGCAATCTAAAAATTCGCAATTAGCTATGTTCCAGTGGACTTTCGATGAAGACTGGCGGTTGATTTACCTTGGGAGGGATGAGGGTAGACAGAGCCCGGCGAGTGATGTAGCTCATTTTTGCGAGTCTAAACCAGTCAGTTATGTCGAATTGACCGTATACAATGGGTATATTGCGTCCAGTACGGTTGCGTACCTCGAATGTAGCGATAATCCTAGACTTGATGACGGTGAGAAGCGGTTGAGGAAGAAAGCGAAGTTCTACCCGACATCCCGGAGAGTTAGCGTTCCGATCATCACCAGCCACATTTATGTAAGCATCCATCATCAGCCACTTGCCGCTGCCGGGAAAGTCGAACATCAACTTCCCTATGAGAACTTCCTCCACACATTCATAGACCTCAGCGTGCCACTTTACCATTCACCATGTCGTTCATTAGAGCTCGCAGCATCGCTCAGCTCCGAGCTGTCCGAATTGCTCGCCCGGTCAATGCTCGTTTTTTCTCGACACCAACTGACGGTTCGGTGAAGGTCAGCCCTGCCGATGCCCCGACCACACCACCCAAGGATAGCTCCTTGATCAACAAAGAGGGTCCCGGAGAGGCAATGGCTCGCCATCAGCCTGATTACAATGCGACAATTGACCATGCTACTTCGTATGTGCTACCGAGCTTGTACAGGGAGGACCAGTGCTAATTGGGTTTCAGGACCTTCTCACCAGTTCCGAGGCGGGTCATGGATGGCAGTGAGCCAGGCGAAGCCGTAGCTGCCGCTGTTCTGTCCGGAGCACCAACCGATTTGCAAGCACGGACTGTCAGGTAAGTTCACCGAAGCATGGGTATGAAGCTGGCCGGGCGCTTACTTCAGTTCCTCAGAATCTACAAGCCCACGAAGCCCGCGACGCAGTCTGGTACTTGGCACAGCCATCATTGGCGAATGGATTGGGATGTTCTCAGCAAAGGTCACAGATGGGAGAACCCGCTCATGGGCTGGCAATCCTCTGGCGATTTTATGCAGGGCACTCACATTAACTTCAAATCTAAGGAGGACGCCATCTTGTTTGCGCAGAAGCAGGGATACGAATACTTTGTTCAGGAGCCCAATGAGCGCAAATTCGTTCCCAAGGCATACGCCAACAACTTCATGCACGAGCCCAAGAAGATCAAACACATCCGCACCAAATAGAAGTTTCTATTGTATTGTACATATCGAGCAGTTTCATTGAATTCAATTTCTTCTGTTTTATTAGAGAGCTACAGATCTATATCAATCGATACTATGTTCTTAAGTGGAATTTTTCTAAAGCTTCGATGGGCATTGCTCTCGCAGTCCCGGTGATCGCAGAAGTATCAGTCAAGATCTTGTTTAGATAATCCTTGGGGTTTATTAAACATTGAACTTGGCTACAAATGCCAATCGATTGATCCAACATGTCTATCTAAACCTGATATACGACCTTCAGGAGATCCATAAGAAAAAGAAATATAGAGAATACCAGTGCAGTATCTAATGCTCGAAGCTATATGAACACGCGATAATTTAATTGACTTAATCGCTCGCCACAAGGCTATATCTTCAGACGAAGCGGCCAGTGATGCGATGAGAAGGTCGATGATCTCCTGAGGAGTGTGCTACAAAGGCTGCTATCAATGCAACCCATTGCAATCATGCACAGCGCAATGGGTGCATGCCCGATGTATTTCGACATATATGCTATTGTAGATGGTTGAGTATTAGGATCTAGTGATTACCTAGCAGCTTGATGAGCGGCAGAGACATGATATTGGCTTTGCTGCAAATATGTACCTATGTACATATGTAAGCTTCAGCTCCAACACCAGACTTAAATATGTTCACGGGTATGGATATACGCCTTGTGGTCACTTTGATGCCTTCGATCTGGATATCGGAGATCACCGGTTGATTTCAATGTTTTGCATAGGGTCATGATCTACCTACCTAGATCTCGAGCGAGTCTAGATAGTGCTTGCTTGTACTTAATAGAAAACCATTCTTTTATGTGAAGGTCACTAATCGAAGACGTTCGACCGGTTTAATATCTAGCAGCCTAGATACATATTCATTGTTGAGCTCAATTTTCGATATCACCGCTCAATACCGAAGTACATTCTCGGGTAGGCTAGAAGACATATGCATATTGTTTCACCAAGCGAACGTGCTGTGCTGAAAAGTTTTGAACTCAGCAAGATTCAGATGTTGCACAGTGAACTGTTCTGGTCACAAACATAGTTGGAGAATACAAGGTACGACCCCGCCACGCCCGCCGATACCCGCCACTATCTAGGTATCGATCTCCGATAAGATCTTAAAAAAAAATTTGATGCGACAGAATCTCATTTTATTGGCCCCTCTATTTCACTTCTGGGCTACTTCATAAAAGATCTGCTTTGAGAAACTTGCTTGCATATTGATAACGCCATTGTCAAAACCAGATCACCATTCAATAACACCAAGATGGCCGAAGTTTCGCACGATACAGTGGCCGCCTTGCGCAAGACGTTGACCTCCGAAACAGAGCCCCTCGCTCGCAGATTCCGCGCTCTGTTCTCCCTGAAATTTGTCGCCTGCTTAGATCCTCCCACCGAGCAAAGCGTACCTGCCATCGAAGCCATAGCAGCGGCCTTCACATCTCCATCGGCACTATTGAAGCACGAATTGGCCTATTGCCTGGGACAATCCAAGAAGGCCGCTGCGGTTCCTCATCTGCTACATGTTCTCAAAGACAAGGAGGAAGATACCATGTGCCGACATGAAGCTGCAGAAGCATTAGGTGCGCTTGGGTTTGAGGATAGTCTGGCTTTGTTGAAAGAATTGAGGGATGATAAAAATGAACCGGACGTGGTAAGAGAGACGTGCGATATCGCGGTTGATAGGATCTTGTGGGAGATATCAGAAGAGAAGAAGATTGAGAATATTAGACCGAGGTATGTGCTGCAATTTTACGAAAATGGTAAAAGGGAAAATTGTTTAACATGAACATAGTGACTTTGCATCTATTGACCCTGCACCGCCGCTCCCGCAAGCTGCGAAAGACCCATCTATTCCCGAACTGGAGAACACGTTGCTAGACACCAATCTCCCTCTCTTCAAAAGATACCGTGCCATGTTCGCCCTGCGAGACCTTGCCTCACCACCGGACCTGCCCACTGCTGTTCCCGCCATCAATGCCCTGTCCAAAGGATTGAAAGATCCGTCGGCACTTTTCCGTCACGAAGTTGCGTTTGTGTTCGGCCAGTTATGCCATCCTGCCTCCATACCAAGCCTAACGGAAACATTGAGCGATTTGAATGAGATGGGCATGGTACGCCATGAGGCTGCCGAAGCCCTTGGAAGTCTCGGCGACGAAGAAGGTGTCGAAGAGACCTTGAAGAAATTTTTGAACGATCCAGAGCAGGTTGTGAGGGACAGCATTATTGTCGCGCTTGACATGGCCGAGTACGAGAAAAATGGAGACAAAGAGTATGCCCTGCTGCCCGAGGCCCCTGTTTCTGTGGCTTGATCGTATCCTTCCCAGTCCAATTTCTTTCCAACAAATTATGACCTTCTTAAAACGGCGTTGGTTGCTATATAAAATGGTCGTGAATCTTGGTTTTTTATGTACTTATGAAAGCACCGTTTCCTTTGAACCAAAAAAAGTCGTGTACATATTAATTGTTAACGGTTTCCCTGAAGGCGCAAAAATGTTAGATGGTTGCCAGAATCAGGCCGAGGCATACATACTTGTAACCACAAACACATCGGTAGAAAACTGTTGAGCCCTCATCAGCACTACGCAATTGTGCAGTCGTGAAGAACATCTCTTTTCGGCCACACTCGGCGCATGTGTGTTGGGCGACAGCTTCCATTGTTCGGTCTGCGGCGGTCAAAGTCTGGAGAGCAGATCTTTTCGCTCGTAGCGCGGAAGGGAATGCATTCGGCTTGGATTCGGAGATGATGGTCTGAGGAGGGATATCTATAACAAGAACAAAGATAGTCAATTTGATGATCTCAGTATGTATATCTGCCTTTTATGGTTTCTCCCACCTTTGTTTTTTGCACCGCACGCACCGCATTCAAGAATAGAATCTGGAGACCCTGTACTCTCTCGCAGAAGGTTACCACAATCGGTACAGAAAATGAGAGAGCCAATCGCTGACATGTTGATGATGAAACGGTGTTGTTGTACTATAAGAAAAACAAAAAATGGCAATGCGATGCAAGTTTGAAAGAAGTGGCTTGGGCGAAGGTAAAAAAGAATGTTCTTTCTGAGTCTTGGAGAAATTTAGAGCCCATGCTCTCAATCTGGCTTAGCGGTGGGTTTGTTAGCGCTCCAGCGTCAGGTGGAGCCAATCTGGCGGGCAAATCGCATCGCCGCATATGAGCGAATCCGCGATCAAAGATCCAAAGGAGAAACCGACGATTTCGTTGTCATTCCGGCCATGGATTTATTTGATTGATTTTACTTTTAATCTATAGAGTCCTTACTAGACGCCATTACTGTATGGTTGAACCAATTTTCCGAATAGGACTCCCGCCCTGGGAAGCAGCGAAACATCATGGATCAGGGTCGATTTCCAGCAGTCCAGGTGGTCATTGGTAGCCTGGGGCAGTCTCAGAATCACTTTCATGGCGGCGCTTCAGATGGGACGGCCAACGGCGTCTCTAACGGGATGCCCCGACCTGTGACACGCCCGCTACTGGTAGATGAAGCCTTGCAATTCTCGCCCATGAGCACCGCGCCGGTGTTTGGCTTAGGTGAGCGCCTGCCTTCCACTTGACTTTTCTTACTGAACTTTCACTTACTGACGGACGAAAGATTCAATAACTCGCCCTGATGTCACCGGCCAATCGTCGACTACCCTGCCCGCATACTCGCGAACGGTCGCTCGTAAATTGATACAAGATTTGGACACGGAGGTTAGGGCAGGAACTGAAAAGTCTCCCCGATTCATGGCAGTTTATGGAAAGCTTCTGAACCAACATTTAAGTTCAGATAGGCCGTCAGAGTTGTACGTGTTCGTCAAGGGTCATGATACAGTGCGCTCGTTGCTAATGAGTGCTTGATTCGACATAGCAAATTCCGGTTCCCAGCAGGCTTAGACCAGGTCAAGAAGTCAGCTCAACGTGATGGTCGATTAGGACTCACTAGCGGATTAAGCCCGTTTGCGAGGATGGTCTTGGACGGAAGTGACATTGCATTCAACCGTAAGCATTCCAGTGTGTTCTTCCTGAAATGAGATTGATCTGACTGCTGCAGACCCGGAAGCCAAGTTGCCGCCATCAAGTACAAAGACTCCAGGTAGCTCCTTCCTCTCCCTACCAGTTTGCCTCTACCTTCCCCCATTGATCACCAACACTAATACCAAAAATGGCAGCTCAACCAGGACCAGGAAAATTTCTGCAACCTGCTGTCGTTATTCCGCCTTTCGTTTCTCCAGGGGCCTCTCACTCAGTCGTTGACCAGGGTGCTGCTAAGAAGCGAAAACTGAATGTGGAGGTAGAGAGCTATGCTTCCAGTCTAGGGCTCAAGGATCAAAAGGAAGAAGCAGATGTGGCTCTCTTGAAGCTACAGGATTTCATGCTCGAGATCTTTGAAGCAGAAGACCAACTCGAACCAGATACTTCATCAGCAACCCTGACCCAAAATCCAGGATCCATGTTCAGGGCCGCTAACGTTTTGGAGATCCGCGGGCCCATTCTCGGTCCGGAGAGCCATAGTCGACTTCAGAAGTCTTTACAGAAAGTTGCTAGCTTTGGACGATTGCACGATATCCCCTCTGAATATCTTACCCGACTTCAGAAGATCTGTGAGAGTCCCATAGCGGCCGCACAAGGCCTGGACTTACGACTCGGCGATCCTTTGTATGACTCAGACACTCAGCTATGGCTTCAGAAATTGGAGGACATACACAACACGCTTCTTGCCATTGGCACACTACTGCAAACCATGTCTGGGCGACAATCCGAGCGAGACCTATGCCCTGAGGACCTGTTGCAAGCAATACCGAATGTCTTGACGATTTTGTTTGACCACTGCATCATACCATCAGTGGAGGTTCGCCCTGTCGATGAAGGAAAGAGGCTTTTTGAACTTGTCTCTCGAGAGAAGAAGATCTTTAGTACCTTGCTTCATCAGGCTAGAAAGCTGATGAATCTCTTGGCGAACTTCCTCTCACGGATCGACGTCTCTGAGAGCGTTATCACGTCTACTGAGTTCTTGGCAACAAAACTGATATTTGTCGAGAACGCGCACAACGACAAAGACTCAGCGGTCGGGTTCCAGAAGTTCGAACTCGTGCGCCGCGCAGCGATGGATGTCCTCGCTAAAGTATTTTCACGTTATCCTGCTCAACGCCCCTTCATTCTCGATGAGATCTTGGTGTCACTGGAGAAGCTGCCATCGACTCGTCAAAACGCTCGGCAATTCAAATTGATAGATGGCAAAGCTATTCAGCTATTAACAGCTCTTGTCATTCAGCTCGTGCAAACTACAGCTCTGGACATCCCTCACACTAAGAAATCTCGGGCTCGACGTAATCACCTTGCAAGTAATGATGCCAATGAGGATGAAGATGACATGGATGTCAAGAATGAAGACGAAGACAGCGATTGTGACGATGAAGTTTCTTTTAAATTATCCTTGGAACGCCTGACAAATCGAGTGAACAAACTTTACGACAACGCTGTCCGCAGCGCTCAGTATATCATCAAGTTCATCGTTCAACGGGCAATGACATCAACAAAAACCGGCGATCAACCTTATCGAAACATATTGGACCTTTTCACGGAGGACTTGATCAATATACTGGGCTCGACCGATTGGCCAGCTGCTGAATTACTGCTTCGCATCCTTGCATCCCACATGATAGGCATAGCTGAGCTTGACAAGAGTTCCTCGACTGCCAAAAACATGGCTCTTGAATTGCTCGGGTGGATGGGATCCGGCATTTCTGATCTTACAGCAGCTGCCCACCACCTGAACACTTCCATGGAGGACGGAGATAACAAAATAACTCGATACCTGCGGCAACTCTATGACGATCACATAAGTCATGCTCTTCATATACAGGATTTGATTCCGTCGAATGGTCCCTACCGTATCACATTGGAGTACCTTCAGGATAGAGATCTTGATAATTGGCAGCTTACCAGTGCTCGAGGATACTACATCGTCCAGTGGGCCAAAACCGTCTCATCCACATACTATGACTCGGAAGACAAAGATCTGGTTATTCCAAAGGACAAGGGTGTCGATGAGCTGTTGTCTATCTTCCCAAAGCTGTTGTCAGACCCCAAGTGGCTTGAAACAAACAAGTAAGTCCCTTCGAGAACAGCCCCTATAAGCAACACAACTGACTGGATTATAGCAACTATGACAAGATTTCCACAGCTCACGGCAAATTTGCCTACATTCTGACGGTTCTGAACATGGGTTTCTCAAAAGCATTTGATACAATCTTCAAGGTTCTTCTGAACTCCATAACAAGTGACCAGGCTAAAGTCCGAAGCCGTAGCTTGAAAAGTGTCATCACTATGCTCGAGAAAGACCCAAGTCTACTCGATCGTGACTCGTCAGTCATGCGTGTGGTGCTAAGATGCGCCACAGATGCTTCGCCCATGGTTCGCGACTCGGCACTCTCTCTAATAGCCAAGTGTATCGGACTCAAGCCAGCCCTTGAAGAAGAAGGCTGCCGAGCTATTCTCGCTTGCGCTGCTGATGCTACAGCCGGAGTGCGGAAGCGTTGCATATCGTTATTGAAAGACATATATTTCAATACCACGCGCAAGGACCTCAGGCTTGCCATACTTGATAGTTTGCTACAAAGAACGAGCGATTTCGAGGAGCCCGTGGCCGTTCAGGCTCGGCAGACAATTGAAGAGATCTGGTTCACACCATTCGTCGCATCTATCAACAATCTGCATGACGCTCCCAAATCTAAAGTTGCACTCGCGGAACAGACTTCTCTTGTCATCAACCTGGTACAGCGCAGTGAAACTGCGGCAGATAGCTTAGGCTCGTTTGTGAAAAAGGTTGTTGCTGGAGATCCCAAAGCGACTAGTCAGAATTTCAAGGTCTGTAAAGCGATGGTAGCGAACATGTTCGAGCACCTAATTGACGGCCCTGGCTCATCCGAAAAGCAAGATCATCAAGCACTTCTGCAAACGATTACAATATTTGCAAAGTCCAGCGCTAAGCTTTTTAATTCCGAGCAGCTTCAAGCACTTCACCCATACATTGGGCACCTTGTCACAGCGGACGACCTCTTCATCTTTCGTTCAGTGGTTGTCATCTACCGTTGTGTTCTTCCTTATATTTCCTCGTCGCATAACACTTTTCTCAAAGATGTACAAAATGACCTCTTTAAAAGTGTGGCAAAACTTGCTAGGTCTGAACTGAACGAAGTGATGGCGTGTCTTTGGACCATCAACGGAGTTCTTCAAAACACCGACAGACTGGTGAAGCTTACGATATCTGTGTTGAAGGGCATCGGTCAAGCAAAGGGTGTCGATCTTACGGACAGCAGTAAGGCCGACTTACTCAATCGAGCTCGTAGCTACATTCGCATTGCTGGTTGTGTAGGACGGCATTGCGATCTTGAAAAATTCGAACCTCATTTTAAGAAAGCCTTTCCCACGTGGAAGGGAAGCACGGTGGCCAGTCTTCTTGTTGATTTTATCCTGCCCTTTGTGCAGCAAGATCAACCACTTGAACTGAGAACAATGGCACTTGAGAGTCTAGGCTCGATTTGTCAATCTTGGCCGGCGCAATTCAGTAGGGAAGCGCCTAGGAAAGCGATATCGGCTATTTTCAAGGAGGATAATGCTAGTCTTCACAACATCATTCTTCGAGCTTTTTCTGAGTTCTTCGCGATCCATGAAGGCAAACAAGAGAAGCTTGTTCAACCACAGATTGATTCTACTGACCCAGAGGCTACAACAAGACTGGGTGGATCGTTGAAGGCTAGTGACAATGACGGAGCAGCAGCACTGATAGCCCAGCACTTTCTACATGACATGCTTCGAATTGCTCACTCTAGTCAGGACGCTTACGCACTGACGGCCATCGAACTGATATCAAGCATCAATCGGCAAGGGCTTGTGCATCCCAAGGAGTGTGCTGGCGTCCTCGTCTCGCTAGAGACATCAACCATTCCCGCCATTGCGAAGATAGCGTACGATACTCACCGAATGCTCCACCTACAGTATGAATCTATGTTCGAACGCGAGTATATGCGAGCCATTCAAGATGCTTTTGTCTATCAGCGGGACATCGTCGGTGATTCCAACGGAGCAACGCCTCGTCCGTACGCCGCAAAGCTCGCCCCGCTCTTCGACATAATCAAAATCAGTAACAGCAAGTATCAGAAGAAATTTCTCGCTAATCTTTGCGCGAAAGTGAAGTTCGAATTGAAGAGTCTCGATGTTACAGGCAACCCCCCCGAGCATCTTCTCTTGGCAAGATTCATTTGTCAGAATCTTGCATTCTTTGAATACGCGCAATTGGCCGAATTGATACCCACTGTGACTTGCATGGAGAGAATTGTTTCATCCACAGGTACCATCGTTGCACATTCTATCGAGACAGAAGTTTTCCCTCCACAGCTGGACGTGCCCTCCGCGCAACCTATGGCGCAGCCCGCAATGCAGGGTTTCCCCGATCACGTCATGACTAAGCCCGAAGTACAAGCCGCTCCTCAACATATGGTTAAACCCTATCTCTTGCGCCAACTTGCAACTGCTGCTGCCGTCTTATCTATGCTTTGGGAGACAAGGACTCATTTGCGCAGACAGTACGGTATCACCCATGGCTTGCGACACAGTGAGAATAAAGCGAACATCAAAGAGCTCAATAAAGCTCCTACAAAGGTGCATGGCATCACTGGGGATCGCTACTGGGACGCTATATCCGGCAACATGGCTTGTCTTGACAGCGAGGAAAATATGCTGCAGCAATGTCGAACCTTTGCTACTCTCCTTTCTATCGACGATGAGCTGAAGGTTCCCAACGGCGAGGACGAGGACGCGGATCTTGACGATTTGGATGCACCTGGTGAGGATGACCCCGAGGCAGTCAATGGTAGCAAACCGATGAAGCGGAAGAGCTCTGCTAATGGCGGCACGCCTACCAAACGACCGAGGGGTCGACCGCCTGGTAGTAAGAAGCGGCAGAGTTCCGAGACAGCGGACTCTTTTATTTTTTGAAAGTATTTCTAGGGAGGAATTGGTGTTCGTATTTTCTACATGACTTGGCTGGTTATCTTTCATGAGGCGTTCTACGGCGGGGAACCACTGATACACATGGACCGTGATCTTTTCCATCTTCTTTTCGAGCGTGTATATTTTGAGCCTACCCTATTTGTCCCATCCTTTCTGAGGGTAGCGTTTCTGCTTGACCTCTGTACCGTGTATTATAGGAACTTACCAGCATAGACGCTCAATAGGCGTGTATACCTAGCCTAATCTAGCATACAACATACAAGTATCTCACATAACATAACACATATGCATATTTGTATATATGTGTATATGTAGTAGAATCAACGGGTCTATCGGCAGCTGTTCGTAAACACTTCACGTGCCGATGTGCCGTGCAACTGGGTCGATGACGTCGGCTGGGTAGTCCGTGGCTCTGATTGGCCAATCTGGCTGCTGCATCATCATTCTTTCACCCAGGGTCCCAAAGTAGTCAAGGGCTAGACACGACACTCATTCTGTTTCTCTTGTGCTCACCCTCGAAGGCAAGCTTTTCTTTCCCGTCAATTGCAAGATTATAGTTATGGTTCTGTTGAGTTCGTTCATTTTTGCATTCTGAGCGTATCGTCCTTATCAGTCGTATCTCCTCACCGCGCAAATGCAGACGGCCCTGACGAGGCGCCTAGTCCACGGCGCTTCATCCTCGCTGTTACTACGCCCCTCGACCAGATTCCCACCCCATCAGCTCATAAGAAATACTACGCGCCGACCCATATCCTTCCGACATGTACAGCCTTTGCCATTCATACAGAAATCCGCCAGGAAGCTGTCTGCCCCGGTCATCCGCCATGCCCACACCATATCAGTATCAGGATTAAAAGCTTTCATATGGCGGTATCCGGTGCTTCGATTTCTGTACCACGGCTTCGCATACTTGGGGTTCTTGATGATCGGTGGTGGAGCGGTGGTTGGGAGCATTTTCCTCTATGATTACACTACCTACAGCGAAGACCCTAGCATGGAGGATATACCTGTGTCGGAATTGGCGCTGAGACCGAAACGTGGAGGACCGAAGAATCTACCTATCGCAGAAGTCCTGGTAGACGACGAAGACAGTGAAGCTATGCAGGCGCAGCGCGATAAGCCCAAGCTGGTCATCCTGGGTACTGGTTGGGGAAGCGTTGCGCTGCTCAAGACGCTGAATCCTGGTGATTACCATGTCACGGTTGTGTCGCCTGTCAACTACTTCCTGTTTACGCCCATGTTACCGTCAGCAACCGTTGGTACTTTGAGCTTGAAATCGCTTGTGGAACCGGTGCGCCGCATTGTTCATCGTCTTCGCGGCCATTTCTTGAAGGCGGAGGCGGAGGATGTTGATTTTTCGTCTAAATTGGTAGAGGTATCTCAGGTAGATGCGAACGGGAAAAGACAGCATTTCTACCTTCCGTATGACAAGCTTGTCATTGCTGTTGGTACGTTATTCTCACCACTGACATCTTTCTGACACCTCCTAATTGCAATCTCTTCTAGGCTCTACTACGAACCCACACGGTGTCAAGGGTCTAGAAAACTGCCACATGCTCAAATCCATCGATGACGCACGGAAGATTAAGAATAGAGTTACGGATAACATGGAGCTCGCATGCCTTCCAACTACATCGGACGAAGAGCGAAAAAGACTGCTTTCATTCGTAATCTGCGGTGGTGGACCAACCGGTGTAGAGTTCGCTGCGGAGCTCTACGATTTGCTTAATGAGGATTTGAGAAAGAACTTTCCCAAGATTCTTCGAAACGAAATCTCTGTCCATGTTATTCAGAGTCGAAGCCACATTCTGAATACCTATGATGAGGCTCTTTCGAAATATGCTGAGGTATGTTTAACCCCATGTGGCTGATTTGCTACTCCTAACTAACCTTGCAGTCACGATTCGCACATGACTCTGTCGAGGTCTTGACCAACTCTAGAGTCAAGGAAGTGCGTCCGGACAAGATCCTCTTCACACAACAGGAAGACGGCAAGACTGTGACAAAGGAGATTCCCATGGGATTCTGCTTGTGGTCTACTGGAGTGTGTAAGTTTGGACGCTACTTTTTAAATTTTGCAAAATGTCTGACACAATAGATATACAGCACAAACCACATTTGCTCAAAAGCTTGCCAAGAAACTGGAAGCGCAAAACAACAAACATGCCCTCGAGACTGACACTCATCTGCGACTGATCGGAGCACCCCTGGGCGACGTATACGCCATTGGCGACTGCGCAACAGTCCAAAACAACGTCGCCGACCACATGGTCACTTTCCTTCGAACCATTGCCTGGGAAAAGGGCAAAGACCCTCAAAAAGTCCACCTCACCTTCAGCGAATGGCGTGACGTCGCAGAACGCGTCAAAAAGCGATTCCCTCAAGCCGCGAACCATCTCCGCCGCGTTGATAGACTCTTCCAGGAATACGACCGCGACCACTCGGGAACCCTAGACTTTGACGAACTACACGAATTACTCATGCAAATCGACTCGAAACTTMCCTCCTTMCCCGCCACAGCCCAACGCGCCAATCAACAAGGCGAATACCTCGGTCGGAAATTCAACCACATCGCCAAAGCCCTGCCAGGTATGCGCGCCAATGAAGTTGACTACGGCGACTTGGACGAGGCAGTATACAAAGCATTCAGCTACAAACATCTAGGAAGTCTGGCATACATTGGCAATGCAGCGATCTTTGATTTCAATGGCTTGAATTTTGGTGGTGGTCTGTTGGCCGTGTATTTGTGGAGAAGTATCTACTTTTCGCAGAGTGTTAGTTTGCGGACTCGTGCGTTATTGGCGATGGATTGGACGAAGAGGGCGTTTTTCGGTAGAGGTATGTTCCTTCCATCTTTCGTTTCCTCTGAAGAATTTTCTTTCACTAACGCTTTTGTTACAGATATTATGAGCTTCTAGACAATGTACGACTTGATTTTATTCTTTTCCTATTCTCCTTCGTTTTGGAATTCATGCAAATGTTGGATATTGGCGTTTGTAAATAATTGAATGATACATAAATCTTATTACCTTCAGGAAATCGAATCTCATCGAACCCTTCTTAACATGCATAAAGCAATAATCCACAATCTAGTGGTATGGGCAGTAGTCAAGCGAAAAAAAAAGTTCATGTAACGAAATATGTGATTGCCCTTCCAATTCTACGGTATGTCGAACGCTACTTGGTGTGCAACAAACGCCAAATCAATCAATCCCCAACGCCACGCTAATCAATACAAAAAAAAGTTCGTTTACATCATATATCGCTAGGTCATCTGCCGTAGGACAGCTTCGGTTTTTATGCCATCATGGGATCAATATCTCCATTGTTGGTCATGATAGCATCGTCCGAGTTACCGTTCGAGTGCTCATTTGTGGATTGTTGTTTCTCCGGATACAGTCCAATATTCAAATGGTCGGGAAGACCACCGGGTTTGGTCTCTCTGGCTTTTTGCTCTGCCCAAGCCCTAAGCTTGACCAGGTTGCGTAAGCGAGCTTCTTTACGAGCGCCTTGGTTCTTCAAGATGGCTTCGTTGACCCTTGTGGCGATATCTTTACGCAAGTTCGGTTGCAACAAAGTAGCCAATGAAGGCGCCAAATTCTCTGAGGGGAAGATCAGAAGTGCTAATGTGCGCTCGAGATCCTCAAGAAATTGAGGATTCGTAGGTGCGCGTGGAGCAAGTTGAGATGTTGCGAACTCAAGTGCAGGTGTGATGTCTGCGTCGGGTGTCGATGTGCATCTGCGGATTAGTTCTACAAGCTGCAAACGAAGCAGTGAAAAGTGAAGAGAAGGATCTTCGTCTAGTATCTGTTGACTAAGTCAGCATGAATCATTCACAGCGATTCAAATGACACAAGAAGAATGATGAAATGTCCATAAGGATACATTAATGTTGCTCATACTGAGGACTGAAGATGAGTTTTTATCATCAACACCCCGAAGGGTATATGAGTGGTGCATGAAACTGGTATAATCATAGCAACATAGGGATAGGGCAAAGGAAGGGAATATGGGAAAAAAGTCTTACTTGAGGGCTTAGTTCATTGATTTTCTCAATGGCCGTCTGAATATCTCCCGAGTGGATCGCACCGCGAATCTCGACTCGTTCTTGTATAGACTCGATATCAGCTTTGGGTTGGATATTAGCCTCGACAGCGAATCGCTTTGCTGCCGCCGGATAGCCATTGGTGACGAGGTAGTCCATGACGAGATAGTTTATGTCACTGTCAAACAAGTCAGTCGAAATCCACAGGACAAAAAGCATTGTGAAAGTTTTTCAAATGAGCTCATGAATCAGTAACGCAAGTTAACATATTTTCCTACACGAGATTTTCGGAGAGATTCCCAACTTGATTTTTGACACATCATATGAACGGCATTAGGGCGACGGGGCAACAGCAGAGAAAAACTCACGTCTTTGATGGCTTGACCTCGTCAACCTTTCGCTCGAAACGATGCCATGCTGGCGTCGCGGTTGGAGGTGTTGGAGACATCTAGCCAGCGTCAGCGAACTGGTTGCAGACGTCATGGGAGGACGGCGGGATAACCTACTATGTTAGTGGAGGTCATGACTTGCACGACACGTCAAGAGCAGTGTTATGTTTTCATTGAGATTGTAACGCTTGTTTGAACGTCGAACCGGGAGCCATGTGGCTACCAAAACAACGTTGACGCGCGAAAAGTTTTTGAGATGATGAGAAAGTGAAGAAAGAAGAACAAGCGAGAGGTTGGAAGAAAAAGGCGGCTGTTGAGGCCGGCACGAGAGTCGGCCCGAGTACCTGGCCCGAGAGCTTTATGAGGGCTCTGATTGGCTGGATTCATTCTTCGACAGTGGGACAGTGGACTAGCGTAGTGGCCTGGATGCCTTGGTGCCTTGGAGCCTCACACAAAACGCTTGGGTCTGCCGTCCGTTTTGGGGAAAGTGTCAAAAGGATCTCTTTTGTATCTGCCAGAGGATTGAAGACTCGGACTTTCAAGCTCCCAGATCATGTCTCCTCTGGGTTGACGGCAATGCATGATCTGTGTATAGGATCATTTTCTCTCTAGCCTGGGCCCGATTTTTTCCTCGTACCTTCTCTCCTCAACCTCAAATTCTCCTATCTGTGCACGCCATGGAGTCTCGTCCTCCAATCTACTCTACGGCGACCAACCTCAAGCAGGGCTATTCGCCGCCATGGGAGGACCTAAGCATTATTGGTATTGCCGGTAGCTCTGGCTCTGGCAAGACCTCCGTTGCAATGGAGGTCATCAGGTCCCTTAATCTTCCCTGGGTGGTGATTCTTGTCATGGTAAGGTGTCACGTGTCTCGGTTTCGTTACTGGCCTTTGTTGACAATGCCATGTTTCAGGACTCTTTTTACAAGTCTTTGGGCCCTGAGGACCATAAAAAAGCACATCGGAATGAATATGACTTTGATTGTCCCGAGTCAATTGATTTCGACGTCCTAGTTCAGACCCTCAGAGATTTGAAACAGGGGTGAGTCTGAATACAAATTGCTTATTGTTATATTGGATATGAGCTCACCGAAGCTTCGATCTCTTAGCAAGAGGGCAAACATACCAGTCTACTCGTTCAATGAACATCAGCGTCAAAAGGAGACGACGCCGTTGTATTCTCCTCACGTGCTTATCCTCGAAGGAATTCTAGCGTTGCACGATCCCAGAATCAATGAAATGCTCGATGCCAAGGTATGATACATAGCATTAGATATCATTATTATTGCATCATGCCCAAGGATACCTGCTAATATCATTGTAGATCTTTGTCGAGGCAGACATGGACATATGCCTCGGTCGAAGAAGTATGTTTACTACCCTAATGCACTGGATCATTATCATTAATCTCGAAATGCAGTTCTACGTGATGTGAAAGAACGTGGGCGGGATATCGAAGGCATCATCAAGCAATGGTTTACCTTTGTCAAGCCATCATACACAAAATATGTTGAGCCGCAACGGCATATATCAGGTTAGCCCTTCACCTTTCCCTTTACGACGAAAAAATTTTGACTGGAGCTCTTTAGATATTATCATCCCAAGAGGCATAGAAAACAAAACAGCCATTGGTAAATTACCGTTCAAAACAAGAAGGAATGATTGATCGCACAGACTAACTCGCGGCAGGAATGGTGGTTGAGCATATAAGAAGACGACTAGACGAGAAATCCGAAAAGCACAGCGCTGACCTCGAAAAGTTACGAAAATTGGCAGCGGAAGAGGAGCTGTCACCGAATGTCATCATTGTGGAACAAACTTCTCAGCTCAGGGGAATGCACACCATTTTGCAGGATCCGTCAACCGAACAAGTCGATTTCGTATTCTATTTTGATCGACTGGCATCGTTACTGATTGAAAGGTAACAAAGTCAAACACCACTCATAATTCAATGCTAATCAACAGTACCAGGGCTTTGGATTGCATGGATTATACCTCCGCCGTTGTCAAAACGCCGAAACAAGAAACATATCATGGAGTACAGCCCTCCGGCACAGTTTCTGCAGTCGCCATATTGAGGGGTGGTTCATGCCTGGAAACGGCGCTGAAACGTACTATACCTGACTGCATCACCGGAAGAGTTCTCATTCAAATGAACAAGCAAATGTCGGCTCCCGAGCTTCATTACCTAAAACTGCCACCAAAGATCGAGACTCACTCTACCGTACTCCTTCTGGATCCCCAAATGGCCACTGGTGGTGCTGCGTTGATGGCGGTGCGAGTCTTGATTGATCATGGAGTAGCGCAGCACAAAATAGTCTTTGTGACTTGCGCTGCTGGGAAATGGGGATTGCAGCGATTGACAGCCGTGTACCCGGAAATCAAAGTTGTGGTTGGACGAATTGAAGAAGAGGAAGAGCCACGATGGATGGAGAGGAGATACTTTGGCTGTTAGGCACTGTATCTAGAGACGGAATGGCTGTAAATATGGCACACCTTGCATGTTGTTACGGGTTAAGGAGTCAAGAGCGTAGCATTTGAGTTTCATCATCCTCCCCACAACATCTTGATAACTGTGCACTTCATCCATTATTTTCACTGTAATGCAAGCTATGTAGAAGATATTTGGCTCTGATTGGGCGATTGTGACGGTAGTACATATCAGCGATAAGTGCACGGGCCAACTTCAAAAAAATATCCTCAGCCTTCGAACATGCGCCGACACTTCACAACTTAAAGAGCGGATTATTCAACAACATAATCTCCCTTTAACATCGCGATTCTCGAGAGTGAAGGGACATTAAATTCCTCTTCTGATAAGGCGCGGAAGGACGAGACTTTTTTTGTACTTTGGTACTGGTCTAGACTAGCCAAAATGGCGGACTCTAGCAAGAAAGCAAAACGCAGCAGCAAAGCCAACGCTGATGCAATCATCAGTCAGTCTTGATAATTGCTGTTTTTTCTATTTATGTGCACCGAATTTCCACTGACTCAGTCACCTACAGCCGACAAGCGTTTCGCAAACATTCAAAATGACCCTCGCTACCGCCTTCCCAGCAAACGTCACACCCATGTTAAACTCGACAAACGTTTCTCGCACATGTTGCGCGACAAAGACTTCTCCCGAAACGCCGCAGTAGACCGATACGGCCGCAAATTGAAGCGAGACGATACCAAAAAGCAGCTCGAGAAGTTTTATCAATTGGATGAAGATCAGGAAGAAGAGGCCGAGAACGCATCTCAAGTCAGTGTTGATGATGATGATGAAGTTATGAAGGAGTTGGAGAAGGCGAATAAGAGGGATTATGATCCAGCGCGAGATGGCGGGTTTTCGGAGTCGTCGTCTTCGGAGGAGTCTTCAAGCGAAGACGAAGACGAGGAGGACGATGAGGATGATGAAGCAGCAGCAGCGGCGGAGGTCGAGTTTCCTGATAAACAACTATCAGATGTCCCGCTCGGCGATGTGACGAATCGAATCGCCGTCGTCAATCTCGATTGGGACAATATCCGTGCAGAAGATTTGATGGCGGTGTTTTCGAGTTTTGCGACCAGCGGCCGTATAAAGAAGGTCACAATCTATCCGAGTGAATTTGGCAAGGAAAGGATGGAGAGAGAGGAGATGGAAGGTCCGCCCAAGGAGATCTTTGCGTCTAAGGCTGATTCGGAGGATGAAGATGATTACGAGGAACATGAAGACTCTGAAGAGGAGGAGGAAGCCATTAAGAAGTCAATTTTGAAAGAGGATGAAGGTGCCGAATTCAATACTACACAACTACGGCAATATCAATTGGAGAGGTTACGCTACTTCTACGCTATCATCGAGTTCTCGTCAAAGGAGACCGCCAAGCAAGTTTATGATGCAGTTGATGGCACGGAGTATCTTACTAGCGCGAATTTCTTCGACCTGCGCTTTGTCCCTGACAATACCGACTTTTCAGATGACAAGCCTCGAGAGCAGTGTGATCGTATGCCCGATGGCTACAAGCCTACCGATTTCGTGACAGATGCACTACAACATAGCAAAGTCAAGCTTACGTGGGACGCCGATGATAAGGCTCGAAAAGACGCCCAAGCCAAGGCGTTCAAAGGTGGACGACGTGAGATCGAAGAGAATGATTTGAAGGCTTATCTAGCGAGTGATACTTCGGATGATGAAGATGACGAACAATTGGAAGTCGTCGATGCTACTGCTAGCAAGTCGACCAGTCTTTCAAAGAAGGATGCAGAACGGCAGCGGATGCGCGCGCTACTTGGACTAGGCGATGAGTCTGCTGCGCCTTCCAAATCGAAAGCGAAAGGTCCGGTTGGCGATATGGAAATTACCTTTACCTCGGGTCTAGCTGGTGAGCCAGCTCGGGAGTCTGTCTTTGAGAACGAGCCAGAGATTGAAGAGACTACCGTGGAGAAGTATATTCGCAAACAGAGAGAGCGCAAGAAGATGAGAAAGGAGAAGATGAAGAAGAAGGACGAAACAGGCGAAGATGACAAGAACGAGGAAGCTGAAGCTGAAGGCGCCAATGAAGATCTTGGTTTTAACGATCCATTCTTCGATGAACCCGAGAACAAGGTCAAGAACTCGCAGCGCAAAGAAGAACGACGGAAGAAGCGTGAAGAAAAGGCTGCTGAAGAAGCTGCTGCCGAGGCTAAGCGTGCTGAGCTCGAGCTTCTGATGGTTGATGATAAGTCAGCGGGTATGTCACATTTCGATATGAATGAGATCGAGAAAGCGGAGAAGAAAGCCCGTAAGAAAGGCAAGAAGGGTAAATCGAAGCAAGAGCAAGAACCTGTCGCTAGTGATGACTTCCAAGTGGATGTCGCAGATCCTCGATTTGCCAGTCTTTATGAGAGCCATGAATACGCTATCGATCCAACGAACCCCAAGTTCAAGGCTACCTCGGGTATGAAGGCTCTCCTTGAAGAAGGCCGAAAGCGTCGGCGGGTGGGCGGCGTGGATGACGATGTACCGACCGAGACATCGAAAAAGCAAAAGAAGACTTCTTCGAAAAGCCACGATGCAGCGGAGGATGTGGATTTGAAGAAACTGGTTGCACGGGTGAAAAGTAAGACAAAAACGACGTGATGACAAGTCTTGTGATTCTGATGTAGGAGATATGTCAATTAGCATTGTTCGGCGCTAGAGATTTATAGTATTGATTCAATCTGATAGTTCTATGTATATATAAAAAGTTTCTTAGCGCGCAACGCTGGCCAAAGCAACGAGAACACGTATTCGAGAGTTTCTCTGAGTCGCATTTTGCTTCACCGCATATTCAAGGGCGTATCGCTATGTATACGCACGTACAGTAGGTGCTACACTGGATCGATCTGAAATAGCTACACGGGATCATCGGTCTCGGTACTCTCCGACGAGTCGGATTAGGGTCTCGGTAAGAGCATCGAGACACAAACAGGACCGCGTCATACCCTAAGGTTAGTACTATGTAATTGTATCCTTAGAGATTGAGTGTCAGATCATAATTTGCCGACTAAAGAAGTATGTATCGCCGAATTGGGCAGTCTGCGGTCCAGAGGAAGTATGTGTAACTGCAACCACCAGTCCGGGGGCAGAAGTGACAGGATAAGAACAAGGCATCTGCATAGACATGCTTACTTACTCGCAGCTGCATGAGCATGTGCCTCCCTCGACAGCCTATCGAGAGCTTGGGCATCTTGCAAGGATCTTGCTTGTCCGTTGGCAAGCCACTTAGTTGAAGTTAGGGCTTGTAGTATGGCATCCAGCCCAATCAGAGGGTCTGCTTAGTCAAGACGCCGTGGGGAAACTTCCCAATCAGCGAAGCCCTTCACCGCCCTTCCGTTATTTCATATTCTCTGCTCCTCCTCCGCTCGAACCCGACCCCATTGATTCAATTGAACCTCATTCCCACTTTATTAATAACTTGCTACTATCGATCATTGTCTCCCTCGAGGGCTTCAAGTGTTTGGAGCCAGAGTTCTCGCTTTCGTCTTGCTCCGCACCAATTTGGCACCCTGCCCTCACCTTGATTTTACCAACAGTTCCGCAGTTCCGCACGGCTCGGCTTAGCTTGTTACTACGTTGGAAGCAACACTATCGCATTGTCACTTCAATCCGCAGAATAGCTGCGGTGAATGAGGAGGGGCTTGTAACCTCTTTGTTTCAATTCTCATAATCGCCATGGAGAATCAACGTTAGATCCACGAGCATCGATTGTCATTGTCTCATTTTACCTACCCCTCGGATTCTCAACCCCAATCGTTATACCGACCGACATCACCGGGGTTGCCATTGTCACAATGCTGGGCCGTTTGCTGAGTACCTTTAGCACTGGCTCGTATGGCTCACGAAACGCTGCTGTTCTCGAGTCCGTCACCGAAGAAGAGCATACGTCCGGACTTTTGTTCCCCGATCCTCGCTCCCTCCACCGATCTTCGAATTCCGCACATGCTTTTCAAACAAGCTTCAATTCCCCCAATGCCTCGAGCGCTGGCGGATACGATGACCGTGGTGGGCTAGATTTGGACGCAATCAAGGACTTTCGAATCATAATCGCACAGAATGCTATTGGAGATCGGGATGATCCGTGTATACTGCTTGACTCGAGGGGAACCCTTGCTTCTTCTTCAGCCCAGGGGTTGGGACTAGACCCCCAGGTGTTCGACTCACTGGGTGGCCGACATTCGCGAACGTCTAGTTTGTCGCAGGCTTCTCTTTCGCGTAGAGGGTCCATACAGACAAATCAATCCCCCCTGATCGAAGCGGGATCGCTCTCACAAGCTGCTAGCGCGAGAAAGGTTACTTCGCCTTTGACCGGGGGAGCTTTCAGTCGTGCCCGCGGCCGGAGCTCTATCAGTTCGGTCATCTCTCCCGGTGAAGGCATTCTCGAACCGTATCACAATCGCATGGTCCCGGAAAACAGCGATAGTGGCTTKCTCAACTGCATATTCGGAAGTAGTGCTTTTAGCTACCGAGGCTCATCGACAAAAATGCACATCCTCTCGACGGACTTAGGGTCTGAGGGTACTCTAGCATCTTCACCTGCTCCTCGTGAAGTCGATACGCTAGCCAGTCGACAAACACCCCGCAACCCTCTGGCGCGGACCTATTCTTCAGGAACACAGCCGCAAGTAGGCTATTTCTTACCGCAGGAGAGCAAGTCGTCATCTCGTGTTACTATTCTCATCACCAGGATGTTTAGCGTCAATTTGCCAGAGTCTCGCGACCCATCGGTAGAGCCCTCCGACCCACCTAGCTCGCTGCCCATGGATGGAATGTCAGAGTCTGGATTTCCTTTTCCTGATCACACCAGACGCCGCAAAGTGAAGGAAAAGAAGACGCCTATGTATGCGGTCGCCATGACCATCCAGATACCATTGGCCGCGCGAAACAATGGCCGACCAATGTCACGACTCAGCAGTCATGTGCCCGAAGGTCAGAAACAGATGTCATTCTCTTTAGATTCAGACCCACATTGGAGCAGCGCATTTCTCGATGACAATTCTTCACAAAATGCCAATCTCGATGATAGGATTGACTTGCTGGTGGACCGCTGGGATGTGATTACTCGGACTTTGACGTATTTGGAGAAGCTAGCCCGACAGGAGATATTGACATTGTTAAAGAAGGTTGAAGCTCAAACGGCCAATGCGCCAAAACCGCTCAAGCCGCCCAATATGCAAAGAACCAATCAAACCATTATTCAGCTTCGACCAAATGTTCTTGCACACAACAGCAAGCTCAAAGAGGAATTACTGTTGAATGCCCAGAGAATTTCGGCGGCTCTACGGATACCACGCGTTATTCTCGGCCAGAGCAGATGGGGTGTATGGCGTGAAGAGGCTCGATGGATTGCTCGCCTTATGGCTGACAAAGAACATGGACTGTTCTTCCTCGTGCTCATTACAGCATTCTTGGGCAACCACACTGAATGGCTTAATGCTATTGGCCCCGAATGGTACCGAAGGCGCCATCAAATGCAGCAGAAAGCACAGCAAGATTCCGAGCCAACCATTTCAAACCGTACTGTAATCATATCGGATAATAAGATGGTTGCGAGACGTCTGATTTTTATCCTATCCGCCTTCCTACCTGCTAAGCATCGTGTTGATTTCGTGAACTCGCCTCTGCGTCCAGGCACGTCTACTTCAACCCGGCCACTTTCGCAGAGTCCGCCAACATTTCCTCTACTACGACAAGAATCTCTTCGCCGCAGAATCAACCGGCGGGCACAAGCTCAAAGACTCAATGCAGAAGAACATGCTCCGCATCAGAGATCCGTCAGTGTGTCATCCAGTGAAACTACGCATAAAGCGTCCGACGAGCCGGAGAGCGTCCTGCCCAGTGAGCCGGTATACGCGCATGATCGAAGAGGCTCTGACGTTCGTTCTATCCGTACCGTCGGCTTGCCAATAAGCGCGAACGAAGCCCGCACACGAGCTACAACGTCCACGACAACCAACGATACAGCAGTCCCTGTCGCCTATTTCGCATCCCGTCAGCAGCCTCTACGTGGCCATGCGAACTTGCCCGGTGCTGATGAAACTGATAGTTATGCTTCTGCAAAACTGTTACAAAATCTACGTAGAAGCGAAACGTCTAGCACCAATTCAACTGGAAGCAATCCTGCGGCAAGTGGCAAATGGGTAGGCGGTATTTTCTCTGGAATCTGGTCTGGAAGGTCGGATTCTATTGGAGAATCTGCCAATGTTACTTCGAGTCGCCGAAGTTCCGTAGCCCAGCGCGCAGCGGGTCGTCGTCGCTCGGAAGTACTGATTGATGAGGATGATCAGATCCAAGAAAATTTGCAACCCGAAACACTGGCAACTGGCGTACCGCTCCAGCCTTCGTCAGCAACCGAAACTATTTCCATTCCTCACTCTTCAGCTAATCCCAGACTTTCTCTCGACCAAAATGAACCTGAATTAATCCCCACGGAGCACATCAAGGAGTCGCCATTGAAACTTTCAGTTCAAGGTGATGACGGGGTAGTTGACGTTGATCTCCCATTACGCGGCTTCCTATCATTGTCTTCGTCAAATGACTCAACTGTTGCGTCCCCGAAGAAGGCGCGAACTTCCATCACAAGCATGGATGCATCAGGCTCAATGCATAGTAGCTTTTCCAACATGAACTCTGGACTGCGAGATGGAGAAGGCTCAAATTTGAATGTTGCTGGGTGGTTAAAGAACTTTCATGAAGATTTCCTGCTTCAGGCCGTCAGACCATACCACGGCATTGATGCTGATGTCAAACGTGCCATGCTAGGCGAATCATACTCGCACACATCTGCTGTCGGTATGGACCCTGAGAGTGTGAATATTACCGATCGATGGTTGGAGGTGGCTAGCACTCTCATTGCTGACACGCGAACTTTTACGGTCAAACGTCTGCGTCTTCTACGTCGAGGTACTCCCAACTATGCTGCCAGCTTAGGTAGTGCTGGTGCCAGTACTCCTCCACTACCTACACCTCGGCAAATGTCTGACGTGTCTTCCACATCTCATTTGGCTGGTTTCTTCAATGGAAGACAGAAAAACTTTAACGCAGCGCTTACCGACCTCATTGATCCTAATGACACTGAGTACAAATTTATCGAAGAACCTGTCATGGACGTCGACGGAACACTGGTTGACGCAGTTGAACGAGTTCTTATCCAAAGCGGGCAGTCTTCTTTATCACACTCGAGGTCAACTTCGCCTCACAGAAATGGTCGTTCCGACGAACGCTCAGCTGATGAGACACCACATGTTCATGCTGTCGAGGTGCCTCGAAACGAGTGCCGCAAGACTGTTCTGGGCGCGCTTGAGGAAGTCGCCCGTAGCGTCACAGAGATACACTGTCGTGAAGAAGGCGACGCCGAGTTCATGGGCGGCGATGAAACCCCTGACAAGGATGGAAAGCGTCGCGGTACTGCTATTCAAGACAACACTCTCCGCGAGGGAGTCCGCAAATGGCTCCTCGAAATCGAGGAGGCTCTTTAGAATGATCCTATTCTACCTTTTGGAGGGTGGGGGGTTTCTATTTCCAAAACTATTTCCGTCTTTGCCTTCTGATTACTGGCATCTTGTCACTGATAACGGCCGTCATCTATTGATACCCATATGTTGTTGTTCTGTGTTTTATATTCCTCATTTTACATTCTTGGTGTATTTTATATCGACAATTAATAGTTTTATTACTATTGACATTTTTCGTTCGTTCGAATTTGCCATGTTCGTCACTCGAGCGTCCGTCTACCTAATTCTATTGTTCAATCTCTAATAGTACCTTCAAGTTACAGCTGAATGAGGACCTCGTACGTGAGCTCGTATTAACTAGATTGGGAGGTTGGGGAATTCGTGCACCACGCTCTTACAACAAACCACTATTTGCCGCTAATGATGCTGAAAAGCGAATTGCTACATATACAAAAGGCGCAGCTAGATAGCCCAACATAGCCAAAAATCATCGTCTGTACAAAGTCCCGCTAAAATACATTACTATACCCATTCCTCTTATGTTGAATCATGATTTTCATCCTCTTTATCATTCTTTTCCTGAACAGCGTCGTGTTTCTCCTCCTTGTCTGGTCTCTCCTGCGTAGTGACAACACTGCTCGCATCCAGCGCAACCTTAAGCGGCGACCCCATAAAATCAAAGCTACCCAACGCCTTACTCCTTGAGAACGTCTGTGTTTCCAACTGCGCAGGCGGAGAAATGTGATGCCCAAGGACACTAGCCGGCAGCTCCAGGGATGGAATTGACGCCTCAAGCGCCGAATGCGTAACTGATGACGGCGGCACGGTCGTGGGCCCGATACGTGTTGATGCAGAGCGGACATGTTCTTCGGCGTAGAACTGTTGAAGACGAATGGGGTCGGAGCAGAATTCTTCGATTTGGGTTTTGAGGTTTTCGGGGGTTCGGTAGAGGTTTGCGGAGTCGATTGAGGCGGTTAGGAAGCTGGTGGGGGAGGAGGTGGGTGGGTTAAGTGTTAGGGATGGGATGTTGTTGTTTGATGATGAAGAGGGGATTGAGGAGGATGTAGATGGGTCGGCGGCGGCGCGGACGAGCGGTGATAGGCGTGGGGAAAACATAGGGTCGTAGGTGTAGGTGTTTGTACGAGGGCGATGGATTTCGCCGCCTCGGTGTTCGAATTTGTGGTGCGCCGCTGCGTCTCGCCCGGCGGCACTCTTTGTGCTGAAGAGACGGTTTGCGAGGAAGAGTAGCTCTCCTTCATCGGATATCTGGGCGAGTAGACAGCCTGATCGATGGATGTATTGCGTATATTTATAGTCGGGTTTCCCCCATGAGTATAGCACTTCTACATCTGGCGAGAATGCAGATGCTGCCTCGAAATCGAGGACGAAGTCAAATTTTCGCAAAAGCGCTTTGTGGTAGAAATGTTTATCTGGCTTGCCTTGCTGTGAGAAAGTCGTTGCACCGAATGAAAGAGATTTCGAAGGCGGAGGCGGCGGCTCAACGCTGAACTTCACGTGGTAGAGCTTTCTGAATGTCTGCGTTTTGACGATACTTGCCGCTTCTGCGATCGGTACTTGCACGAGTTTGAGTCCGTATCTATCTGCTAGCGAGGCCCATTGAGCAACTGCATCATCGATCAGTTTGGCAGTTGCACTCATCCAGCTCAGTTCTATATGAAAGCAATTCTCTGGATTGTGTAGCCTGTCATAATGTAGGTCCACAACTTCTGGTCGACTTGAACGCTTGCGGGGATCGACATCATACTTCATTGATTTGGATAGCATAACCGTCATTTTATTCTTCGTCTTTGAAGGTGTATTCATTCTTGACGTGACCGTCTCGCTTGAGACTTCTGACTTTGAAGCATCAGCTGAAGGAGAGTCTCGGGGTATCTCACCGGTTGGCGTAGGAGGTACTGAATAGTCTGACTTTCCAGTAAGGCCCGGGAACCAACCACTTTTCGACTCAGGGCGCGAAACACGGTACTGGGTGGCGATTTGGTAGAAATAGTTGCCATCTCTGAAATTATGCCTCTTTTCCACATGGACAAAAAGGCCTAGTTTCATGAGCTCGTTTCCAAATTTGATGGCCTCGTCTCGACTGTCTATATCTCTGAATGTTTGCACAAGCCAAGTGGTGAACTCGGAGCCTATGAAGCAGCTATAATGAAGTCGGAAATGCCATCTTCGATCCATCAAGCGCACGCCTGTCTCGCCTTGCATGATTTGTGCAAGGTCCATCAGTGATCCTGGCCCGAAGTCAGACCGGTCGAGGAGTTCTGATTCGGGTAGTAGCTGAGTCGGTGCATTGTCAAGTCCAGGGTCAGTGAGTAGTAATCTCTCAAGCTCTGCTCCCACCATATCCGAGGGATCTTGTGTCTGGTAGAGAATGTTCAACGGATTAGGATCCTTTTGTGTTCGACCATATGACTGAAATCGTTTATCGTCTGCCGGTATATACTTATTACGCTGCCATAATGAAGTCAACTGACTGATGCCGAGTAGATGGATCTCTTCCTCATTGTCCTCGTTAAAAGACTGAATGTGGCGCCTAGCATTGGGAGGTAGATGTAAAGGAATTAGTACAAATCGGATTCTCCAAAATCGTAATTGTCTCGTTGGGTCCGTCAAATGATCCCGGTGACCGGCAATATAGTTATCTGCATAGTTCCAGTTGTACTCGTCCAACGATGGCAAAAGTTTTACATCGGTCAACTCATATCTCTTAGCCAAGATGGTGCGGATTGCATGTGTATAGATATGAGAATTGCCTTTGTCGACATTCGTCGAGTTAGATAGACGCATAAATCTTGTAACTTCAATCTCACCCCCGGCCACGCTTGATAGTCTATGAATAATGTTACCCTTGGAAAGGACAACAGTTGCATCTTCCTGGCCTAAGCGTTTGGGGTCGAAAACATTGAGTGCTTCTAGTGACGGTTCACCGAATGCTTCCGCCACAGCGCTTCCAATGACGATTTGGAAGCCATGAGAAAGGCGGAGAGCTACCATGTCGCGTAATATGTCTTCCTGTGATCTAGAACTTTCGGCCGTATCATGGTCATCATTGGGGAAAACTCTATATGGTGTTTCAAGGTAATTGGCTGCTAGTTCCTTGGAAGTAGGGAATTCTTCCGTAGTCAGTGGCAAAATCGCTGGTGTCTTCAGACTCTTCCATTTGACTACAGCGACATGCGGTGGTCGAGGATAAGCATGTTGCCAGCGGCCAAACCAGCTCGCATCTCTTAACGCAGCTCTAGGAGTATTCGATGGGTTGATTGACCTGACCCAGGGAGTGAGTGTTCGAATTGGAGATACACCAGTAGGCGGGTCGCGGGATCGTGTGATCTCGAATCTTGGTCCAGGTCTTTGAGGACCTGTTCGTTTCATAGGAAAGGGCCCTTGACTTGTTCCATGCGTACCAGCTTCCACAAGCATTTCTACAGCTGTCGGTAATGGTGCCTCTGTGTTGATGCGGTCATCGTGAGATCCATCAATTGACTTCCTGCTTATACTTTTGATAGATATCGGCCGCGCCTGAGTGATCGGTAAAGGCTGGGGTATATCCACAGTTTCTGTAGACTTCCTAGGAGTAATGGAGCGAGGAGGTAATTCCATGCTCACTATCGAAGAGTTGTCGTCTAAGGTAGAAGAAGCAGGTCTTGGTGAACTTTCAATATCCGAAATGCTAGCGGAAGACGTAGTCTTTGCTGGTGTAGCACGACCCACGGCATGTTCTGCGTTGACCCCCGTACTAGCTTGGGCTCGTGGAACGCCAACACCTAGCCCGCGGAGAGCAAAACTAATTGTTCGTGAAATTCTAGGAGTCTTTTGAGTTTTAATTGCTGGTTTTATCGGCTGTGGGTCCTTTGATCGAGGAGGAGGAGGAGGAGGAGGTACGGGCTGAGGCAATTTCACTGCATCTCGGCTACGAGGACTCAATTGTGTCGAGAGTGACCTATCCAAATCAAGAGAGCCCTGATCTCTTGGACTTGTAATTGACCGTACAGAAGAACGACCTGCACGAGAGGCATGACTATTAGACTCAAGCAGGCGCCGAGGTTTCGTATTCCTGCGGGTGTGGTGCTTTTTGGGAGTTGGACGGAAGACATTTTCGTCATAATCATCCATCCAGTTTGCCACTTTCTTTTGACGTTTTGCTGGACTGTTCATCATCAACATCTTAGAGTTCGAGAAGCTCGGTAGAAATGCTTCCGGTCTCAAGCTGTCACTCAATTGAGCTTGGAAGGAGGAGCTAGGGGATTGTGCTTGCTTGCCAGACCTGGGTGTGAGTGTGTCTGAATATATGTCCGATGAGTAAATCTCACCCCTCTGGAAGCCAAAATTCTTTTCTGAGAGATAAGGAATCGATATATTAGACTGCTCGCTTTCCATGATACCCATCATTTGAATCTCGTACAACCGCACCCGGGGCACGAACGTCTTGGATCTTTTGCTGACCGTAAACGGGATTGGAGCATTTAAATCGTTTTTAGTGATACGTCGACCTTCTTTATACGTTGCCGGGTTCCAAAAAGATATATCCAGCCAATGCGGGATACCATAATTCCATTTTTTCGAGTGCGCCGGCAAGAAGTCTTGCGATGACAAAGGATGTATGGCTGGCCCAACTTCTGAGTTTCTCAGAGAAGCAGGAGGGGATCTACTGCTGATGCTTGGAATTGACGGCTCGGCTCCTAGATGATTCAAGCTTCGAAACTTTTTCGAATAGGAATCGTGTGAGTGTTCATCAGGAATTTCGTATTTGAACAGTGGCACAGAGTGAAGTGGCATGGGGCTCAGGCTGACCAGATCGATTGCGATTCCCATGTTCGTTACAGCTTCAGTGGTAGCGGCTAAAGCTTCGTATGAGGCTTCAAACAATCCAGTACCGGGAGTAATCACGACAATTGAGTGACCAGTCCGAGCCAAGTCACGATCAATATTTTCATTTGATAGATATGATGTAGCCAAGTGAATAGCCTCTAGCATATTCCCTTTGATGGCAGATGCCGGGTGACCTGATATAGATCGTTGTTCCTCATTCCCGGGGCCATCGGTCCCGGAAAAGCTTTGAATCATGACATCTCTCAAAAATGTCCTAAAGTTTGCTTTCAGCTCGTCTAAAATCGTTGTCCAGTGACCACTTGCAATATCGTTGACAACAACTCGATAGAAATCCCTGGTAGAAACATGATTGCCCGTTTTCAAGCTCTCTAACGGCCTTATCCCGTTTTCCAAAGGTGAGTCATATTCTACCCTCGTGAATAGAACAATAGTCACCAGGTGTTTGGCATCGATATTTGCCCAGCGCTTAAAGAGCTCGGGCAGGAACCCGTTGATGACTCGGCTGAAAAGAATATCCCCAGTGCCCTCTGCATCAAAATCCCACATCTCCCTTGCCATTTGAATGAAGACGACATATCTTGCCGCTTCACTTCGGAAAACAGGAATCGTGTTGGGCGCAAAATAACCGGAGAGAACCTTCTTCCCCCCTATGAATATGTTTTTCACCGTCGCTCTGATGCTACCCATGAAGACAATCTTCTGCCCTTTGTAGATAGTCTTATTGACCAATTCTGAAGTGACCAATCTCCACATATCCGCACGCACCAGATACTGGTCGCGGAATGAAATGTCAACATGTGATGCTGAGCATTGGGAGCGCTCGATATGCGATATGAGCACATGACAGCCATTTTTGAATCCAAAGATGTTGGCGACGGAGCGATTGATAGAAATCTCTAATTTTGGACTCCGTTGTTTGACATCTGGTGGCATCGGCTTCACAATGAAGAGACATCTGTGCTGAGCGGGCGAGGAGAACTTTAAACGGGCATTGGAGTTTATGTTGCCATCGCTTTCAAACCCATTTTCGTTCAGCTTCCTTGAAGTCAGATCAGAGTTTGAGTCTATCCCAATGACTTCAAGGATATCGCCTGGGCTGATCCCAGAGTCGTTGAATGCCGAATTGTTGAATAAGAAGTCATCCTTGGAGAAATATTCATCGTGAATCCAAAGTGTACAAACTTGTCGCCAAGGTCCCCCAGAGAATGAATTTTCGATTCTCAAATTGGCAGTTGACGCCCCTTGGGGTGGTGGAGATGCAATGGATGAATTGCTTCCTAGGCTAGCAGCACTGACCTGGCGGAGATGAGAGCCTCTAGAGGGCGCACGCCGCGGGAGCATTGTCTGAATTTATTGTACTATGGAATGACTGTCACATAGCTTGTCGTCTTGTCGTCTAAGCTCACGGCGATAATATGAGACCGACAAGCATGATTGATTGATATTGGACATATGTTGTTGGTCGATGTGGAGGAGAAACGCTCTACGCGCTTATCTGCCGCGCAGCCGCGATATACGTCACATGACATATATAGCCTAATATGGACTAGCCTTTAATGATCTCAATATACGTCTCTCATTGGCTGGTCTCAACGTAGCAGGTTGTCTACTGTTATTTCTGTATGGATCTGGTCAAGGAAAAGAGAGTCTTGCCCCTCATGAGGATTCTCATCTAGTATAATTGCTAAACAGGTCCTGATAACATACAATAGATATAGTCAAAAGGAAGTTCAAAATAAAATTAAGGAGAGTGATAGAGAGGAAATTTCACGAGATTCAACGGATTTTGAATGAGTATAGAAAATAAAAACATACAGCACACTAAGGTACCTAGGGCTGCTTGCTTGATTAGACCGGCAGATTGATATCGTGAAATTATCAGTATCTAGCACCCTACCCAACGCCAACAGAGGTTGTACTTAGGACAATCCTTGAATTGTCATCTTGCCAAAGCCACAAGTAATCGTATCTCTTATTGATCAGCTTTCAATGTGTACAGTAGTATTCCCCAGCTGAGCTGGTCAAATTCATCACTATCTGAACCGTAATTACCGGAGCCACCTTCGATGCTAGAGACAACCTGGTACGGGGATAAGTTTGCGATGCTGCACCCCTCAGTCTTTTCACTATTGGCTGTCACTAACCTTGATTCTCCTATAGATTCCTCTCTCGCATGTCCACGGTCCGGTACCATCGAAGCACTTGCACGAATCCTCGACGAACACTGAAATCCGGCAAGACGTATCATGCTGTTCTTCTCCATAACTACGACAAACAGAATAGCATCAAGGTTTTTTATATACGTCGATGACCCCGACGAGGTGAAGGCAAGCCGATGAGGGAGTACTAATTAGTTCAGGCAGCACACGAAAAGGGTTTTTATTTCGTAACATATAGCAACATTTGTCGTGTTGACGGTACTTTTATCATCACTGACGCAGAAACTTCTTATGACGACGACGACTTATGGCTAGGCTCGATCAAAATTTTGAACGGCCCTCATCGAGTGGGGCCTCGATTTTGCCTTTTAAGGTCATACGGTAGCCCTTCGCGAGGCCCGGGCTCCTGTTCATCGCCTGGGAGCATGTACTCCAACGTCGGAGCTCAGCAGCGTGTTCCGATAACAATATCCCATCTGGATGACCCCCCACAGGTCATTATTTTCTTACGCGTGGGAGGTTTGACGAAGTGCCGCGACGGAAATACGAAGAAATATGCTGTCCTGTTGCTCTAGACTACCTTTTATGCATGTTGTTGGTTGATGTGGTGCAGAAATGAGAAATTATACACGCGCTTCAGACCCAGATGCGCCTTTCATTGTACGGCTGTTTCAACTTTCAACATTAACATCAAACTTCTTCAGCAACGTCGTCATACGAATAATCACGAGCGGAACTGAGAGCAAGACTAAAGTGATGAATCAACGAGTATGCTACGAATTTATCAAACTTTCATTATTGGTCAGATTCGAAAAAAATTAGACTAGCCAATCCAAGTCAGTTGACTCAAGCATTTTGCCGTACATGATATCGAAACCCTCAGCCAGCTTGACCAACCACCCGTCTTTTGACCTTGACAGTGGCCATTGTGGAGCAGACTCAAAAGCGATATCTAGCCTCCTGCTAACCTCAGACATAGTCGACCATGTGGCATTTATTCCAAAGAGTTTCTGTTTCAACATTTTTACGCTCAGCTTCGGCTGCGGTACGATGCAGACTCTACCAAGTTTAAGAGCTCATTTGGAGATGACATGGCAATCATCTACAGAGCGTGGTCAGCCACTGATGAAACGGCCATGGTCGAATATCTGTCGTCCAAGAAGAACTTCGTCAACTTCCTCAGCCGCCTTCTACCGACCAACACTTCGCTCACTTCATGGCTCCCTCTCCTCAGGCACTCGATATAGAGTTCCTGAATGGAGGAGTTCGTGTTACACTCCTGGGGTCGCCATGTGTTGGTAGTAAGCCAGGTCACAGCGGCATTTGCTTGCCACCACCCTCGCCCGTTATTTGACCTATTCGACAACGTCACGAAGTGGTTCGAACGATATTTTCCTGGAATTTACCAATTGATGCAGAGGACATTAATATGTTCATCGAAAGATCGACGCACCTCGCCAGGTCATCCGATATGCGGGCGCTTTTCTACCCGGTCTGGCCTGGGGATTTTTCTGTGTCGCGGCGGAACAAGATCACAGGAGACCTGCATCGTTTGAATCTACAGACATTGAAAAACGCAGTCAAAAACAAGGCAGACCCTAACGTCTCTGTGTTAAACACCCCCGTTATAATCAACGATGTCACCTATGAGAAGCGCCGACCAGACTTTCTTTCCTCCCTCACTGATACGCAGCACCACGAGCTGTTCAACAAATTGAGGCTCCTTGACGAAAATGCCGAGTTCCCCGAGTGGCAGAAAGTCATGAAATATGATACCCAACATGAATTTGAGGTGTTCTCGAGTGTCATGAGGCATGTGCTTACTTGGATCGACCTTGCTGCTAAACCCTCTGCGTGCAACTCCTCCGACGTCATATCATACACTTGGGATCATTTGACGAGAATAAATGCTATGCCACGTTTACGATTAGCTCAAGTTTTTATGCTAGAGGAGTTGATTTGTCAGTATCCACAGCATTCAGCGGAGGAAATGGTACAGGACATCTAGAAGCACTGCCCAGGACCTGCGTTCTCCAATGAAACGATCATGGAATACTTCAACAACACTGAAAAAATTCGCGATGCTAAACTCCTCTGGACGATATGGGGAACTACAACGGAGTTTTCTCATTTCGTCCATAACACTGAGCTCCGACGACTCCCAATGATTCGTAACCGTTTTGTTCGACAGGACCTCCGCCGCGAGGCATCCCTTTGGGGTGCTATCTTTGCTTATCGCCATTTGAAAATGGTATGGTTGGCCCATAATCGTGCTGCCGACGCAGCAAGACAGTCGCACGAACAAAGCGCGGAAATTCTTAGCAATGTAAATAAATCCTATACGGCTTATCACGTTTGATTTCAGTGTCTGATACTTTGGATTGATAGGAGAATCTGTCACTTATTGAATCAGCTTTGAACCAGTATCCCGAATACTTAAACAGCACTGGCATCCACACCGTCAACCCCTTTGACCTTGAGGACCTTGACTTCTTGAGGACGGTATAAATTCTACGATTACCGAGCAGAGACACAGCCAGCCTCAGCCAACCGCCCCCATCGCTCAACCTCCTCACGCTCCAACCGCTCCTCCTTGCTCAGTCTCCAGTTGTCTCCCTCACTCAGTCGCAAGACGCTGTTCCAAACTCGACACCCAGACAGCCAGACCCGTTCATAGATATTTCATTCAGCTCGTCTCAAACGTCCCCCACTCCTGGTCCTTACCAAAACCACCGACGCGGACCTTCCCCGGCCAATTGATGCTACTTTTTTCTACATGGTCATGAATCCATTGATCTTTTTGTCTGCACGTCCTGGTTATCTGATAACAACTGCATTAAAGCCAAGGTCTGATGCATGCTTAACAGCTAGTAGCATAGAGTGACTAAGAATAATATATAATTCTTCCAAGAAACAGTACAGGGTCTTTAAGCACACAAGCATAAGCTAATTTTTAAGTGTAAATCGAGGAATCACCACGTCGTTTGAAGCATCCAATACTTCAATGGAAGAAAAATCGTCTGAAAAACAGCTCTCCAGAGCTTAGTGTTGGAACCATCTATACTAAATTCAGTAACCCATCTTGTGAGACTTTTCGGGACTCATTGACTCACTGTAAGGACGAGGATTCGAGCTCTAACAGTCAATAATCTAACACCCCTTTAGCCACCCCTTCCGGATCCAACCGGTGTCAACTATATATCTTTGTTGACAAATTTTTCACACTGCGCCACCAATCTATCTCCATCTCCCAGGATTTCAAATCTCCAGTCAATCTCTGTGATTCGAAAATCGATCCGTCCATCACCGTCTCCTGACCGTTCTCTATGGATGTGCGACGAGAAACCAAGAACTTCATATAACGCGTGATAGAACTCATCCTGGTATCGAGATTCAACAGGCCTTATAATCGCTCCAGTACCCAAGCAAATCTCTGCAGAGAGATTTCTTGGTGAGAAATTCCTCAAAAATTCCTCTGCCAATCTTTCGACAGAAGGAAATTTAAGAAGAGGTAACTGGTCTTTTGTCCGGGTTAGGTAGCGCTCAACATATCTGTTATAGTATTAATCCAGTTGTAATAAAAATAAATAATAAGAATTGCCCTACTTTGCATGGAGTCTTGTTGGGAAGACACAAACCACCTCATCCGTTTCGTGACTACAATCTAGGCAACTGCTAGCCCTAAAGATTTCCCGGATCCAGTAAAGCTCCACTCGGTCCTTTCCCGCCTACGATTCCTCGTCAATTGATAACCCAACTTGACCTTTTTGCTGGGTAGCTCTTTCTATCCTCCTATGGTGAAAATTTCGAAGTCTACAGATTTCTTAATCTTGCATCAGAAAAGACTCCTGGTGGCTGGACGGTGGCAGCAGATGGGTTCATCATCAGCCGGGTTGACGACAGCATAGATTTGGACTCCCCAGCACCGACATTTCAGGTCAGTCCAGTGCAAATTTTCGATATACCCATTGCTCAAATTCGTCGGAATTGTGAAGATATTGACACGATCCAAATTGGGAAGATACTGAACGGTGAATTGCTTCAGCTTGGTGACTTTCCTGACCAGATCACTGAATCGGTCCCGGAGGATTGTAATTTATGCGAAGACTGAAGCTTTTGAGATCGTTAATCAAAATTGCCTATTTCTTTTTCCGTTGATAACTATTTAGACAACCGAAGTCACTGGTCAAAGATTCGTCGGTGTGATTCAATTCAGCTGAGCTATTCTAGTCTAGACACTTAGGCAAAGACTTCATTTCGATACTTTGATCCAGGCTCAGCTGAAGCCCTTCACCCGTAGAAATCGATTTTCAAAGTCCGCCTTGTCTTGAATAAGGTGAATGTACATAAATAGTATCCATCATCCGAAGACTCCGCACATGAACCCTAAACCCGATCACCTAGGTACGATCGTCCAATTTCAGCCTCAAGACGCGTATACATCACGAGGAAGCTATACACTATACGTACATTCCAAAAAGTGAAAAAAGAATGGTGGCTAAGCTGATTATTGTAGTCGCCTATCGATCCGGTACGTGCAGTGGTTAGGTCTAAATCTACAAAAACCCTAAAACTAGTGTAACTGGTGACCTTTCTACCTAGGTAGGCATGCATGTGCCCCGCAATCACACACCATCAGATCCAAAGCCTAAACAGGTGATGTTTCTATGCACATCTGCCTTGCATCTCGAGGCTTTCGCAGTAGAAGCCAAAACTTGATTTTCGGTACACCCCGGGGTGCTTGATAGGCGCCACATGTGCTGTGGCTTTTGATTTAGCTTCATACGGCAATCACAAAAAAACTGGGCTGCCTGTTATGAGTGGAAGGTCTATCACTTGCATGATATTCATAATGGATTTCGAAAGAGACTGCCTACTAGTCATGCATGGAAAGTAATTTATGACTCCGAGAGCCGAATTAAGCCTTGTTTCGGTGGTGCAGTGTCGTGTTGCGACGGATGGGGTAAAGGAGTGACCACGATATCTCGTCTGCCTTGTAGGATCATTTTCATAATATAATATGTCCAGTTCATAAATAAGCTGACTGATAGTGTGGCTATGGAGTTMAAGCCACTCTCGATATGAGTCAGCCTGAGGCACCAATATGGGAGAGCACAGACGGATTCAATCTTATCAAATCGAAAATCTGGCCGTGGCGGGCCGTTTCGATTGCTATGCTTGACGAATCACAGTCTCTGATGCGATGAGTCTAGCCAGGGCCAATGGCAGCCACACACATATTGCATTCTGTGAGTTTACAAGCTTCGATACTTACTACGTATAGCGCTTAGAAGTTAAGGCTTCGCATGATGTCAGCTGGAAAATCAAGGATTGTGTTGCTGTTGAGTTACATGGAATGTTACGCACGTACGGTATGTTAACATGTGTGTTCATAAATACACCCGGGATCATACGTACGTGTTCGAAAATCATGAGATACGTCGCCTTGACCGGGGTGCCCCAACGGAGTATACGATACTATGAGTAGTACTATCGTGCCAAGGCGCTCTTTGCACCCGAGCTAATTTTCTTTTTGCTGCTGACGACTCAGGCGATGAAACACGTCAGCCGTTGTTAGGTGCTCTACCTTTGTCTCTCTCGGCCGGCGACTTTCCGCGGAGCAACCATGTCTGAGCTATATGGAGTATTTATTGCGAATACGTACTGCGGTCGGGCTGAATCCTGCTAATATACGTACTGGATAGAGTCGATATTACAACTACGTAGTAAATACTATGTAGTAAATACGTAGTGCGTATTGATTAACTGTGGTTAATTTGAGCAAACTTCAATAGTCGAGACAAGCCACACTCGTCACTTTGCAGACTTTGTCGGTGTGTACGGTCTCGATGTATGAGGGCATATTAGGCGATAATTGAGTCCAGTTGAAACAGGTAAAAGCAGTAAAATACCAAATACGCGCAGTATTTAAGCAGTAATTTGGCCGTAGTTTTGTAAATAATGATAATCGCGTGGATCCACTCAATAGCCACCATAGACCCACTAGCGCGCTTGGCATTTGGCGCTCTCATCCAATGGAAAGATCTGATTGGCGGCTATGTGGCTGTGCACTGATGATGTCGAGATTTGTTTGTTACGGGGTAAGAGCGACGACGCTACATCGAAATTCCCCTTTTGATGCAGTCCTCCAAGTTTCACCTCCACCCACTACTGCCTTCAGGCTTTCAGAACCACCGCCACTTCATCCTGACCTTGGGCTGTGCCTAGGTTTTTGTCATTCTTTTTATCCATTCACCACCTATTTCTGAATTATCATCAGCTATAAACTTACTCATCGCTCACTAAATTACACTTACCTGCGACTCTCATTGCTTTACTGCTACACTATATTTGTGAAACATTCTCCCACGCCCAACTCCCAGGACTCTGATATGCGTACGCACATACCCTCGATCTACCGATACCATAGAAAAAATGCACAAGGCTGCGTGCGACAAGGCTGACACTAACTCCCCGGGTTTAGATAAAATACGTTCTTACGCGCGGCGGGCGGCATGGTACGACGACGAAGGCGAACACACCCACAATCCCTTCAAAAAAATTCGAGTTAATAGACGACGCAAACAACACGCGAGAGATTTAGAGCGCGGTGGACTCGCTCGCGGTGGTATTGAAGGTATACAACCATCGAGAAATACTAGTCAGCACGGAGAATTGAAAAAATGATGCTGACATGTCAGCGACAGGACAAACTGGCGATCGTGACTCACAGGAAAAAGATGCTCCAACATTGGCCGGTAGCGAAGATGCGATTAATGTCTCGCGCGATATCGATGGCGAAGAGAGTGGACCGAGACGGAGAAAGACTGGACTTTCGAATCCTCAAACTGAAGCCGATGATGCGGCGTCCAGTGTCAGCAGTGGAAAGCCCGTCTTCACTGTAGCCAGCCAGTTACGTGCGACTATATTGAACTCCTGGATCAACTTGCTGCTTGTCCTTGTTCCAGTCGGCAGTACGTTCGACCCGTCCATTTCTGCGAATCAACAACTAATTGCGTACAGTTGCTCTAAACTACACCAGCGTCAGCCGAACAGCAGTCTTTGTTGTGAACTTTCTTGCCATTGTGTAAGTCGATTTGCCCACGATAATATATCGAGGTCTAACATTTGTTTCATAGCCCGCTGGCGGCCATGTTGAGTTATGCGACAGAAGAAATTGCCCTTCGGTAAGCAGAAACCAAAACTCTTTTCATTTAGATCATAGCGCTGAGTAGCACACAGAACTGGAGAGACTCTCGGAGGTCTTTTGAACGCCTCTTTCGGAAACGCAGTCGAACTGATTGTCGCCATCATCGCTTTGGTTCATGACGAAGTCACCATTGTCCAGACTTCCTTGATTGGAAGTATGCTTTCCAACTTGCTTTTGGTCATGGGCATGTGCTTCTTTTTCGGTGGTATCAACCGTATCGAGCAAAAGTTCAACGAGGTTGTTGCGCAAACTGCAGCTAGTCTTTTGGCTCTTGCAGTTGGTAGTTTGATTATTCCTACGGCATTCCACATGTGGGCTAGTGGTATGTTCATTATTTCCGGTGTATTGTGAATCATTCTGATAATTTGGAAAATAGGTGGTGCTACTCATACTGATGAGCTTTCACGAGGTAAGAAACCTTATACGTATTATTATGACTCCAAGCTAATCAATGTCATACAGCGACTAGTGTGATCTTGCTTGTAGTCTACGGCGCTTACATCTTCTTCCAACTCAAGACCCATGCAGAAATTTACAATACCCCAAGCGAAAAAACGGCAAAGAGAACCAAGAGCCGTGCCAAAGGCGATACCCAAAAGGGATTGGTTGCAATTGGTGCTCTGGGAGCCGGCATGGGCAGTCAGACAGCTCAACGCGATCTCGAGAGCCGAGGTAGCGAAGACGGGGAAGAGGAGAAGGAAGAACCACAGCTTCACTTTTATGTGGCTGTTGCAACTCTTGTCATCTCTACTGTGCTTGTCGCCCTCTGTGCAGAATTCATGGTCGATGCGATTAGTGCGGTTACGTCAGGAAACAGCGGCATTTCACAAACATTTGTCGGATTGATCTTGTTGCCCATTGTCGGCAACGCTGCTGAGCACGCTACAGCGGTGACTGTTGCGGTCAAGGATAAGATGGATCTTGCTATCGGTGTTGCCGTAGGATCGAGTATGCAGATCGCACTTTTAGTTCTTCCTTTGATTGTTGTCATTGGATGGATCATGGGCAAGGATGATATGGTATGCGCCGTCCCTATATTTGATACTTTCGCAAACTAACGAGGGGTTAGACTCTCGACTTTGGCGATGGATTCCAGGTTGTCGTTTTGTTTGTCGCAGTTCTATTGGTAAGTTCGGTTCGATTCTGTTGTTGGTATTCGTCTAACTCTTTATATAGGTGAACTATCTCATTGCAGATGGAAAATCACACTGGCTCGAAGGCGTTCTACTGATGACTCTCTACATCATTATCGCGGTTGCCGCATGGTTCTATGACTAATTCTTACTCATTCACTTGAATTTCTTTGAAACATTATAATATGGGTGATTTAATTGGCTCTACTGTCAAATTACCCATTCTTTTCTTAGATACCGGGTCGGAGTTTTGGGCTTTGCTTATTTTTCTTTCATCTGCCAGTAGTGGTTGAGATACCCTGTGACCTGCTGAAGACTCTTTTTATTCGTAGTCTTGGCTTCTTTCGCTTTTTGATATCTTCATGTATTATTAATTCCCGGCTTGACAGCACTTTTCTACCATCCTCGCCATATCAATAAACGGCAAAATGTACAGGCTCCAAATGAATCAGCTTGCATATCACATAACTCGTACCGCTGTATCACTCATCTTTGTATACATGCTGGTTTTCATCCTCCTTGGTCCTCAATGAAATCGTGGTCTAGCTTACAATTAAGTCCATAATGATGGAGTTGTAAATTATTACACCATCTAAATCCATTCCAGAAAACAAATCTTCTCATCTGAATACTCCGCCATCTTTCTTGTCCACATCAAAGAACAAACGTATGTTATGAAAGTAGTGAGCTGCCTAAACAATCATAAGAACACGCCACATACACTCACAAGCATCACGGCAGAGGACCGCCAGAATATCCACAGCTCAGGAGCACCCGAGTTTCCGTCGTATTACTACATCATAGCCACCTGGAAAGGCAGGCACCTTCAGAACTAATTCAATTGGCGCTCCTTGGGACGGTTCGGTAAACATGGGGAGCCTGGGGTGCTTGGTAGGTATTTGCTTCGCTTAGAAACTACGCCTCGCCTCGCCGACCTTTTCAACACATTGTAGAATTTATCCAAGGAATAGTCCTTTTCTCAGGTGAACCGTCGAATAATGGGTCATGGACTGCCGATGATGATCAGTTGGCAAAAATGATAGAAGTCCTTGGTCCTTTCCCATTACCGCTTCCAAAACGTGGAAAACGAATTGCTGATTTTTCCAACGAAAGAGGTAATATATTCAAAAGTGATTTGACTTGGTTGAGTCGACTTTAAGCTTCTTGTTGGCCACAGGAGATCTCCTTCGTATTCAACAATTGAACCCACTCCAGAGAGGCTGATCAACGGCAACACGAAGCCGGTTCAGCCCAGTGATTTGACTGATGCAGACGTACCCATCTTAATAGACTCTGTAACGAAGACTCTATCGAATGACCCAGTTCGTCAAAGGTCAGCAGCTGTATTTCTTCAACATGGTCGGCTAAAAGTGTGTTGCGTGCAACTAGATCTTAACTATCAAGGGGCATGAAGTAACTCCTGAAGGACCAGGAGCTGTAGCCTTAATTGTCTTCAGACATCTATACAAACACGTCCTCCCAATACTGCACATGTGGCTATCGATTTTCGGACCCTCCTACTTCTGACTCCCCTTGTGCTGTATCTGTTGACTGTACCATTTCTATCGAAGGAACTGTTAGTTAAGATCCTCTGAAAGATGGCATATTAGCTTACACTTTCTGCCCCTGAGCCCGCAGACTTTACTCCGGTCATCTTAATATACCATGTAGGTGCAATCGGGGTCGTCATAACATGCGCCATTTCGTCAGAAACCTCGTTGTTCAATATAATGCTTCTAGGCAGAGACGGCTCGAGCACAGCTGGCCGCCCCAGGCCAACCATATCACATGCATTGCTCTTGATGGCTCGAGTCATTCCGTCTCTTGTTCGGAAGCCTCCGGTAACCATCAAGGGGACGGTAGGGAATTCGTGACGGATCGCGCTGGCGAATTCGAGGAAGAAGGCTTCGCGTGCATTGGTGCGTGATGATTTTTCTTTCTGGATTTGGGTGGATGCTTGCATCATCTGCACTAGAATTAGATGGGTTTCTGGCAAAGGACACACGAACATAAGGTGTGCGATTGGACCTACCTGAGGATCTTCATAAGAACCACCACTGATCTCAACAAAGTCTACCCCAGCCTCAACTATCGTCCTGAGCTGTACCACAAAATCCGATAGCGCCTCACGCGACTGGTGATCTGTAGAATTCAACTTGATACCCACGCAGAAATCTGCCGGGAGCGCTTTGCGAATAGCATCAACAATCTCAACCACAATCCTCGCCCGTCCCTCAGCTGAACCTCCATATCCATCAGTACGCTGATTCGTCTTTGACGACAAAAATTGCGCCAGAAGATACCCATGCGCAGCGTGGATCTCTACACCCTGAAATCCCGCTTTGAGCGCAAGCCTGCTGCAGTCGACAAACTGTTTCACCACTTGCTCTATATCCTCGAGAGTCATTTCGCGCGGCTTGCCGAATATGTATGAGCTTGCAAATCTAGCGACAAACCCAGAACCCAAATCCAATGGAATCGCGCTCGGAGCAATATTCTGTCCGCAAAGACCTCGAGATCCTGCCCCCAGCGGTGACTGGCGTCCTGGATGGTTTATTTGCATGACAGTTGGGGTCCCGCTTGAGGTACAGGACTCAGCCCAGATCTTCCATTTCTCCAAAATCTCTGCTTCTTGGGCAGGATTGATGGTAACGTCGCGCGCATCTCCTAAATACATGCTATCAACCTGGACGTTTCCTATGTTATAAGTATTAGCGGGAGCAGACCAGATCGTATGTAGTGGCAATCCCGCACAGCATACCAGTGAGAATCATGCCCCAACCACCTTCCCCCCATTCTCGGTAGATATTGTTGTGCTTTACGGTCGGAAGGCCACTGTTATCGGCCATGCATTCGGCCATTGCAGCCTTGACCAAGCGGTTTTTCAGAACAAGGCCGCATTTGAGCTTTAACGGTTGAGCGAGTGTCGAGTCCATTTTTGACGAGTTCTGTAAAATTGAATGTAAACGTAGGAAAGCCTGGATTAGCAGATATTTGTATTGTAATAAGACTGAAAAGTGTGGTTGTTGTACGTACCACTCGGGTAAGTTCCGTATACCATAACGGGATTCAACCGAGGCATGACTGTGGAGATCTTCACGACCCATCGAAGACGGCGATATGAATTTGCCCGAGTTGAACCTTTCGGAGCAACAATACCAAATAAAAAGCTCGGGTGTCGCTTCTCATTCTTTCTTCGCGCGATAATTGCTTGATGAGGTATGGTGAGGCACCGAACTAAAGACAGTATGGTTGGTTTTGGTCTCTCTTTTGCATTGCGGTTTAATTAGGAATTAACTTGTATTTCTCGCTTTCTACCTCTATGATACATGATTGAAAGGCGTCACTGCCTAACAAGACATTGACTGGTGAGGTCTGGAAGTATCTGAGTATTGGGATGGTTCCCTGCATGGTTGTCTTTTGATGTCAGACATGGCTCTCAAGCCTGGCTAGACTGCAATTTTGTGCCCGCAGAGGATTTCAGCTGCCGGTCATAGACAGCATTTAGTCCCTTATCTGCTGCAGCAGTCATGCTTCGCTGCATCCAATAGGGGAACGCACGAAGCAGCGAGATTACAAACATGTTTTCTGGTAGAATGATCTGACCACCTCTCTGAGTGAGGATCTGCTTGACCACAGCCTCAGCCACGACCTCGGGCTCCAGTATGGACTGTTTGAATTCCTCCTCAGAAGACGCGAACGACTCTATTAGGGGCGTACGCACCCAAGCAGGGTGGAAGATGCTGGTCTGTACTTTGGGCGCGTCGTACCAAAGACTCAGTTCCTGGCTGAGACCTTCGTGGAACGCGGGGGCACTAGCTTTCGAGCAACAATAGTCAATCCACCCTCCCAAGCCCACGAAGCTAACCACACTAGCAATAGTGACGATGTGCCCATGGTTGTTTCGGATCATGTCTGGCAGAAATTCCTGCACCATCAGGAAGTGTGAGATGGTGTTGACGTCGAAAACTTGCCGGATTCCAGCTTCGGACTTTTCGAGCATGGGACTGTTACTGCCTACGCCGGCGTTGTTGATGAGTACTGTTGGGTTGCCATGCTCGGCACGGATTTTGATTCCGGCGGCATGGATGCTTTCAGAGGATGTCACGTCTGCGCGGTAGAATGCTACGTTTTCGTCTGTTGCATGGTTAATACGTATCAATCAAAAAGAGTTTTCTTGGGAAGGTACTCGCCTTGAGTAAACGCTGGGTCCTGGATGTCGAGAACAATGACATGCACTTCTTTTTTAGCGAGTCTTGATGCAATTGCCTTGCCAATACCGCTGCATCCACCAGTGATGAGGACCAACTCATACTCGTTGTCCCAGCGTTTGGCCTTTGTCCAGTTGTCTAGGCTTAGACGGTTCAGGGCACGATTGACCCAGTAAGAAAATCCAAGAGCTGCTGACGCAATTGCTGTATTGCGTGTCAAGGGGTACTGAGCTAGCTGTGGCGCCCAAAGACGAGCTACCTCAGTGGACTTGAGAGCCCAGTTTTGAAGGGCAATCAAGGTTTGGTGAGTAGACATGTCGGTCTCAGGCAGTGGACGCAAGTTCCAAGTAAGGTCCAGGTTCAGTGAGTATTGAAGCCGGATTCTGTAGCTTGGTTGAAACGTGAGTGGATTCAGGTCTATGCTGGAATCGTGGTTGTGATGTGTGACGTGAGTCAAAATAGGAAAATAGTGAGAGAAAAAGAGAGAAAGAAGAAAGATTTTTAGGGCTGTCCCATCTGGGCAAGAATAAAGCCAACTTATTTAGGTCATGCACCGAAATCTTCACGGTCAAAGCCATTGAACTCTGTTTACATGTCCTCAAAGAATCAAGCTGTAGATAGGGCAGCTGTAATTTCGGATATTACCTTCAATTTCTAGCCTTGAGTACTATAGGAAAAACTTAGAATTGCTGTGCTATATTAATAAACATGCGATCGCAGCGGTTGGCAAATTTCTATGTCTGGAAAATTGCCGTTTTGGGACACGATTAGGGCTTGTACGACCTGAAGAATCTGCGCAACTCAACCACGCGGTTCACTTGACTGTGTAACCGGACTGTCAATTGTCACATGTATTAGTCCTTGCTGTATATGGCCTTTCAGCCTATGACATCCCATAAAGTACATGTATATATTAAGGTGATAGATACTACTATTTTAAGATCTGGAACAAGCGTCGATAAAGACAGCATCTTGGCTGCTGAACGGGTCTAGATATTAACACACAAGCCCTAAGTATTTACCATTGTCTTCAATCAAACAGAGGAATATACTCCACATTACCCACCGGAAATATTAAAGCGACCCAAGATCTGTTTATTCATCAACGCGAATCTTGAAACAGCGTCTTTCTAGTCGAGTCTTTGTCCGACTTCACTGTTGACTGTTTATAGCACGAAAATACGTCCAAACCAGCATCTGATTGGCTGGGAGTAAACGGAAGAAGCCGGAAATTAAATGCAAAACTAACACGATATACATTGCCCAATCAGAGCGAAGGTAATTTGATTACATTGCGATACGCGAGGGTTCCAATATAATGACGAGCGCATTTAGAACCAAGGAGAATACCACGTATTAGAACAAACAATCAATAGCATCCAGGGATTGATCGTATGACCTTTGCAAAGTACAAGCTCGGATCGATGAGCCTAGGTACTAGGTCCTAGGCCCAGCATGGGCCGCTAGTTGGTTAGTTTATTTAATCGATCCGTGCGACTGGAATCCGCCATGTTTTTTTTACTGCCAACCTTCCTTTTGCTTCCAACTTCCAACCTTAGTTGTCTGTTGTCTGTGGAGACGCTCAACTGTCAGTCGTACGAGTCTGAGATATTTCACTCTTTTAATATCCATCTATACACCCTACAGTGACCTGGATTGGATGGTACCTATGTTCATCCCTTTGGCGCCGCCATCCCCATAATAAACCCCCATGCACTTTTAGCCTGAAAATTCTCCAACATAGACAGGGATTGTGCAGCTACTAGCTGTGGACTCATATTGCTACCAACAATTTTTGCCTATTTTGCTATCGCCATGTCGTCCAAAGGAGAATTGGTAGCTGCCTTTGCCCTTGGTCTGGCTGTACACATTCTCTTCTTCAACCGGGGAGAACACCATCTCCATCCGCAGCGCTATCTCAACGCCTTTGGCGCCGCCATAATTGCAACGGTGGCTCTGCTCCATTTCCGCCACCACTTACCCCTTTTTGAGGTTCTACGTACAACGACGACTCTATCGGTTTCGTTTCTGGCTGGTTTATACTCCAGCCTGCTCGTCTATCGTCAGTTTCTTCATCCCTTGAATAAATTCCCCGGCCCATTCGGCACGCGCATCTCAGCGTTGTTTTTATCAGTCAAGTTTGCCAAAGCCGACAGTTCGCGCCAGTATCTGCAATTGCACAAGAAATATGGCGACTTTGTACGCACTGGCTCTTCGGATCTTTCAATCATTCACCCCAAGGGTGTTCAAGCCGTTTACGGCCCTGGTACGCCATGTACCAAAGGTGATGCTTACGATGCAACTCACCCCTTTGTGTCCCTACACAGTTTTCGCGATAGACAACTACACGACAATCGTCGTCGAGTCTGGAGCGCGGCGTTTGGCGATACTGCTCTGCGCGGTTACGAGAAGCGTATCCGCAAGTATCGCGATATGTTGGTAGCCACTTTTGCCCAGTCGGAAGGCAAACCAGTCAATGTCGTGCAATGGTTCAATAACTACTCGTTCGATATAGTCGGTGACTTGGCATTCGGTCAGTCCTTCGACATGCTGAAAAAGGATGAGTTGCATTGGTCTGTTCGGTTATTGGCCGAAGGCTTCGAGCCGTTGTCGTATGCTCTCCCGACATGGATATTTCGAATGGCGCAGGTCATTCCCGGTGCGACCAAAGATTGGTTTAGGTTTTTGGACTTTTGCCGTGAGCGGATCATCACTAGAATGAAGGTTAGTTTGCTAGCCTCCTCGACACGCGCAGAGCTGATTATGTAGAATACACCTGATATTCCGGATATCACATCCACGCTTTTGGCGCCTTTGGAGGGGAAGAATGTGTCCAAGGAAGATTTGAATCTGTTGGTTGGCGATTCTCAGCTTATGATGGCCGCTGGCGGGTAAGTTTACCACTTATGTTGGGAAGCTGGATGCTAATAACCCAGTGATACCACCGCAACGACCCTGTCTAGCATCATTTTCGAGCTCTGTCAGCACCCCGACCAGCTCGACCAACTGCGCAAAGAAGTAGCGCCCTACATGACTGACCCATCTGGTGACGTCCTAAACGAAAAGATTGTACATATCGACCGCCTCAACGGCGTGATTTATGAAGCCCTTCGACTTCATCCTCCTGTGCCAGGCATTATTCAACGCAAGACGCCCCCAGAGGGTATATGGATTGATGACGTCCATGTTCCAGGCAATATGTCTGTTTTCTGTCCTCAATATGCCATTGGACGAAGTACGTACTTTCGCAGGTGTTGAATAGCTTAAACTAATAACCAGTAGGTGAGGCAGTGTACGAGAAACCAGAAGAATTCATCCCCGAACGCTGGTACTCACGGCCCGAACTCGTCAAGGAGAAGAGCGCCTTTGCGCCGTTCCTAGTCGGTATGTCTTATTTCTCGCCCTCCCTTGACTCCGAAGACTAATTGTTCTAGGAACATATGGCTGTATTGGCCGTCCACTCGCCATGATGAACCTCCGAAGCACCGTTGCACGTCTTATCACCACGTTTGATATCAAGTTTGCCGACGGAGAGGACGGTAGTACCTTTGATGGCAAGTCGACAAATCACTTTTTGTGGGTTCCGGGAGATTTGTTCATTTCGTTTACCAAGCGTGGCTAGTGTACTGTAGTATCTTTTAATTCGTACTGTAATTTTATACGTCTGGATTCTTATGAGTGTACTTTGTAGAGCGTAGGCATGTGAAGAGATGAGTGCTAGTCCCGAACAAGACGCCAAGCCAGGGTCCAAGCTCCGTCGGCTCAGACAAAATCAAGCTTCGATCTCGTGGTCTCTCACCTCATCAATTCACAACAAGTCAAAAGAATAGCAATGGCTTCCAAAATATCATGGAGGGTAATGTCAGCCCGCGCGACTTCTCGTCGCAGCGCTGCAACGCTATCAGAGCAGTACCGCTGCTTCTCATGCTCCATACGTGCCAATCAACAAATACCGCCATCACAAAAATCAGACGCAGAGTCCCGAATGACGCATTTCGGGTTTGAGAATATTCCAGAAGCGGAGAAGGAGTCGAGAGGTGTGTTATTATGTATAACAAGGGACATTTGCAACCAACTGACGTTATATAGTTGGCGCCGTATTCAGTTCCGTTGCAAGCTCGTACGATACCATGAACGATCTCATGTCACTGGGTATCCACCGTCTGTGGAAAGATCATTTCGTGCGATCTTTGAACCCCGGTTCGCCCAAAGTCTCATCAACACAGTCCGAGAACGATGGCCAAAAAGGGTGGAATATTCTCGATATCGCCGGCGGCTCAGGCGACATTGCCTTTCGCATGCTGGATCACGCAACAAACATCAACAACGATAGAGACACTCGCGTCACAGTCTCTGACATTAACCCAGACATGTTAGCCGAAGGACGCAAACGAAGTCTGGATACGCCATACTACAATACGAAACGATTATCATTCATGGTCGCGAACGCAGAACATATGCCCCAAATCCCCTCCAACTCAATCGATCTCTACACCGTATCCTTCGGTATTCGAAACTTCACCGACAAACAGGCCGCTCTTAACGAAGCCTTCCGCGTTCTCAAACCTGGCGGCGTCTTTGCATGCATGGAATTCAGCAAAGTGCAGGACTTTTCTCTTTTTAACGAAGTCTACAAACGATGGAGTTTCAGCGCCATCCCGCTTATTGGGCAGCTTGTGGCGGGGGACAGGGCGAGTTATCAGTATCTGGTCGAGAGTATTGAGAAGTTTCCGAGCCAGGAGGAGTTCAGGGTCATGATTGCCAAGGCTGGGTTTGTGATCCCGGGCCGGGGGTACGAGAATCTGTCGTTTGGGATTGCGGCGATCCATAAGGGGGTGAAGCCTCTACAATAATGTCTGTCTCACTACGTAGTGCGGAGTATAGCAATAGATAGAGTGTATCATATGTACAGTATTTTTTCAGTGGTATCCAGTATGGGTAGGGTTAGGGTTATGAGAGTGCGGGGCTGTACACCGGGGACGGAAATTGGCCGCTTCGCCCGGCACATGCAAGTCATATCTCGTACATACATTGGCCTAGCACTGGCGATTTCACTAGCAACTAGCATTAGTTACATCTGTCAACCTGATACAATGTACAGCTATGTAGTATTTACAGACCGGAGAATCCCGAGCGGCCCGCACTCTATTTCTGGGCATGCCACTCTCCTCACTGAGGAAGAACAGCGGGCGATGTCGTGATCGCAACGCCCGTTTTGAGTGGTACGAACGCGGCCTATCCAAGGAACTGCGCGTATTAAGGGGAACGCCCATCGTGCTGTCGATGATGTCGTAGAACACTACTCTGTATGGAGAAGTTACCGTTAACGCCAGTCGAGATCTCAATCGATCTGTCGACTAGAATAACTAAAAGGAGAAGTGGCTGCCTGGCTGAGCTCGAGTGTAGCTGTCATCCAATCCCGCGGCAGCCTGACATGGGAACGAAAAAAAGGATAAGATATCTCCGATTTCTTTCTGATTTATAACCCTCCACTACTCCAACCCCTCTACGTACTCGGTTTTTTTTTTTCATACACCTTTACGCTTAGCCTAACAGCATTCATGCGTGTTTACTGAAGATCACGTACTTTCTGCGTCCTGCGTACAATTGATTCCCCGATCGATCAATCAGTATGCGTCGGAATGCTTCTTATCGCGGGGGTATGCTAACGAGCCCCTCCTGATTGATTATCAGACTGTCTATACATATCGGCCCTTCGGACTTTTCGTTCTTCTTCTCTTTTGTTTCTTCTTCATCTGAATCCGTCTCGTGATACCCTATACATACCCTGAACGCAAGTCCGAGCACTAAAACAACATGTCTCTCCCCTACACCCACGCTGCCGGCCACGGGGATGCTCTTTCCACAGCCCTCCATGTCATAACCACTGAACGTGACGCTCTCACCCACCTCGAGTACCTCTACCGCACCAATGACCTGGCCGCAAAGAATCTTTCGCGCGCAGTCTCGCAACTCGTTCACACAATCCACCGGGGCGGGAAGCTGGTGGTCTGTGGAGTAGGCAAGAGCGGCAAGATTGGCCGCAAGTTAGAGGCGACGATGAACAGCGTTGGCATTCACAGTGTTTTTTTGCATCCTACCGAGGCGCTGCATGGCGATTTGGGCGTTATTCGATCTGTTCGTTCCTCCTACTCCCTGTTAGAAAGAAAAGAAATGCTGATCGTGGCAGATTGACACACTCCTCCTAATCTCCTTCTCTGGCCGCACGGCAGAGTTGCTTTTAATGCTGCCTCATATCCCACCCACCGTGCCCCTAATAGCAATAACAGCACACACTCACCCTTCTACCTGTCCCCTCCTCTCCTTCAACAGCCCCGACATGACCATCCTCCTTCCCGCACCTCTACACATCGACGAAGAAGCCTCCTTCGGCCTATCAGCACCCACAAGCTCGACGACCGTCGCACTCGCGCTCGGTGACGCGCTGGCTCTCGCAACAGCTCAAAGGCTGCATAACTCGCCAGGCCTGGGTCCTGCAGAGGTGTTCAAGGGGTATCATCCCGGCGGCGCCATAGGAGCCGCAGCCGCGACTGCGGCGGCCATCAATTCGGCGATTTCGACCCCATCGACGTCGATGACCACGTCGCCCAGCCTTGTATCACTAGAAGACGCGGGTATGAAGCTTTCTCTCGACGATACTACCAGCAGCAGCGGCAAAGCCGATGACGGCGATGGCGGTGATGGTGGGTCGATCTGCACATCCGACCATTTCGTGGCTGCAGACTGCATCCCCACCGTTACACCAAGTCGGCATCCATCAGCCAATCCCACCTCAAACGACAACGAAGAAATCCGCATCCTCGACATCCTTCTATCCGCAATACAAAACCCGTCCTCAAAATCATGGGTGAAACTATCACCGACACAAATCATTCCGCCGCGCTTACTCCGCTCGTGTACCAGCACACACAAAGTCGACTCCTTGGTAACCGATCTGCAGTCTCAAGGGTCATGCGTATCGATCGACGCTAGCAAATGGATGAGTATCCGCGCTTCGACCAGCATCTCGCACACAAAAGAGGTGTTGGAGGAGACGATGGGGATAAGTGATATGATGCTCTCATCCCCCTCTCCTCAACACGACAAGAACAGTAGCAATGACGAGAATGGAGAAAAGAAGCATTTAGTCATCAGCGTCGTGGATGATGCCGATCCAACACGTATACTAGGCTTCGTCGCGGGTGAAGATATCCATCCTTCCCTCTTCTCTCCCTCTATCTTTCCCGACTCGAATCCCGAGAAAACGACATGATATGACTCGTGTCTACCCATTAGTTTCATTCACATATACCAGCTGAAAATGAGTCATGATAGCATCGGTGGATTTACGTTTGATTTGAATTGCATCTCGTTGAAAATACTTTTTTTTTTATCCAACTACAGGTTGGATATATATGCCTACATTGTAGGGATACGTATATAGATAGTTTATTTGTCTCACATGAACAATACTTTGGCGTTGCAGAGCAACTGCCTCCACTCTGCTCTCGTTTCTCTTCGTTATCTACGTAGATCTTGTGGCAGGAAAGGTCGTGTAACGTAGTACATGTTTGTCGTACGGTTAAAATACTCTATAAACAAACAACATGATCACATGAAGAATGTATCGTCAATTAATCAACATCATCATTCATGAAAACAGGATGTACAAGAATCCTTCGGAGTAAGAATAACAATCTCATTCTTCGGGGCTCTGCCACCATCATGGCAGCCCGGGTGCCGTCCCGTATTAAAACACAATAAAAAACGTGCCCAGTAAAATTCCGACCAGAAATGTGCCACTCATGAATATGAAGGTCGCCCCAGAGCTAGATGCCTGGGCAGATGGACTGGACCCTTTTGTCTCCGCGCCACTAACTGTGCCGACGAATTTTGAGCCATCGTGTGCAGTGGCAGTGGCAGTGGTAGATGTTGCGATAGCACCACCCGAGCGATGAGGAGAGGATGCTTGGACAATTGGTATGCTGGCTTTGATGGTAGTCGAACCAGTTGACTCGGTCTCATGAGGCAGTTCGTGAGAAGCTTGTTTCGGCGTAGTCGTTGTAGTCGATACGGTTTTAATAGTATCTGGGGCGGACTCCACTGCACTTGGTGCCGGAGTAGAAAGGATTACGACAGGGTCAGAGGCGGTAGTAGTCACAGGTGCTTCGATCGCATGTTGAGGATGAGCGGGCGGCGCAGGAGTGCAAAAGTTATTGGATGTTCCACAAACGTAGCCAATTTGACAGCAACCGCCTAGTGGGCAGCTGGGGCCCCCTTTGCATGATTCATCGCAAACAGGAATACCACGAGAATGGGTGGATGCGGCGCCACTTGGGCAACAGCCGACATGATCGGGGCATAAGGTCTGAGTAGCCGCCGGACAGTGACCAAATTGTGGTCGTTTACCAGAGCCTTCCCGACGTGCAAGAGCCGTCACAGGAGCAATTGCAAGCATCTGTTCTGCTTGGACGGCGAGGACGAAGATCGAAAGAGCAACACAGAAGCGGATGAGAGGAGAAGCCATGATGCCTTGGATTGAAGTTCACACAGAAGATGAAGCTGGAACACTGTCTAAGTCTAGGGGGAACCTGACAGGTATATTCTGACGACTATTGAGACCAGGTAAAGGATTTGAGATGCAAAATTGAGTATATACGAAGTATACAGTCGATGAGTTCGAGTGAAGTGAAGAGGAGAGGAGAAGAGAAGAGAAAGAGGAAGAGGAAGAGAAGAAGAAGCAGAAGCAGAAGAGAAAAGGGGGGTACACTGAAGGAAGGAGCGCGGCTGCCTCTTTCCATATCGGGGGGGATGCGGAGGTCCTGCTATGGTCGCCCATTGTGTTCCTCGGAACAAAAGACACTCGATCTACAGTGGAAAGCAGTACATTGAAAATAGACACGACGTGGCCGATCGTGACTTCCTTGATTTTCACCTATATTGCCTGACTTTGGATCGATGTCTAATGCTCCGACAGTAAATCAAAATTCATCAAGATTCCAGCAAGCAATGCGAGCAAGGCAATCCTTTCTCTGAATGTGGCGGTATGCAATTCTCCCAGGCGGTCAACAAATAGAGGGTATTCGACATAAAGGAGAAAAAAAAGGCAATGCAAATGTAAATAGCACGGGGAATCAAAGTATGTACAGACGGAAAACGTTTCATGCGCTCAAGGAAGGCTCCGCTGAAGCAGGCATGCCACTGCCGACGCGAGCCCATGAGCAACCCCAATGACCCCCAATCGTCCATGGGAGAGAGAGCACACCGAATGATGACTCTTCCACTCAAGTGGGGAAGGGGCGCTCACATCTATAAATGTCTAACAGTATGGTCTAAGGGCATGCACAAGCTTAATGTGGTATCTCAGGTATGAAAGGATGAGACTAGACTGCAGTCTTTTCTTGGCCTTTCCCTTTATCAACCGAGGTCGTGCTACCGGAACCGTCATCCTCATAAAGACGGTGTTGCTCGATATAGCGAATCACAGGAATGGGGATCAAGTAGCGAACGCTCATCTCACGCCTCAAAAACAGACGGATCTTGGTGCTGCTTACGTCGTTTTGGATGAGTTGTTGGATGACGTGTATATTGTCGCGCCAGGGTTGTAATGCGGCCAAAGCTTCATCGATATCAGTGCCGCTTCGTTCGACGATGAAAGCCTGGTTTCCGTTAGTATCGTATAGACAGCATAGCTGACAAAACTTACACCGTAGCGACCTAAGATATGGTCCAAATCTTTATCGCTCCAGACTCCGGGCGTTGACATGGTGTGGATCAAATCAGCGCCAGCTAGAAGCGCTACTCGAACTTGTTTTCGGGTACCGTCGCCGCAATCGACACCCTGCCGCACCACATTTATTTCGTGGTCGATGTGATCAAGGACAACGGCAGTTGGCTGATATTCCTTGTGCAATGCCTCCCAGGGATCAATCATTAACCAATCGGAGGATTCATCGACAGCGAGTTGACACATGGCGAGACTATAAAGTATCAGTACTCCGCCCATCACTGTATCATATTTGTTCCCATATCGTCAGACATACCGATGCTCTGCATTGGCCAAACCTGCTTTCCTATATGCGTCTGACACGGGTGAGAGGTATCCTCCTAGTAGCTCGAAGTTTGTACTGAATTTCGCATAATCTGCGGCCATCTCTCTGTATCAGGTCAGCATAGGCTCATAACATACAATAATAGACATGACATACTGCATTCGAAGATGTAGATAGGTTGGAGGACTGAAACTTCCAGCTGCGACTAATACCAAAGGTGTCTTGCTTGGATCGTCCATCACTCGCTTCAGACGATGTACGGGGAACTCATATGTATCGAGGCTGCCAACGTAGGGAGCCAGTTCCTGGCTGTTCGTAGAGGACGGAGTCGCCATGACTCTAACTATATAATAAGATGAAGCGTATTTCTAGGTCTTGATATTGTTGGTGATTGTTGCTTGCTCGTCAGCAATAGCCGTAAGTGAACCGTTGCCGGTGGCGATCGGAGATAGAGTGGCTATCGCGATGACGCCAACGATAGAAATTTTCACGAATGCGACCGCGGTGTGCAGGAGAGCGGTGCCCTGTCAACCACAATGGAGACGAACTAACTATCGGTCGGATATCCTTAAGTTGATATATTGTAAGAACTGAGGAACGTAGAGTCCGGGGTCGACAAAGTTGGTAAAATCTCGGCAGAGAGACCGACCGTTGTCGGATGCGGCGGCGGGGTCGCGGGATGCTTTTTGGTAGGCAGATATGCACTATCGTTGGATGAATGGCTGGGAGTTTTCTGCTGGATCTTTTGCAGTGGTTTATTTGGAGAGGAAAGCACGCAATCGGGATATGGGAGTAGGGAAAATTCAAAACAAGAACAGAGGAGAATGACTCAAAGATGGTTTAGAGTTGTGGGTTAATAAGCAGAGATTATACACAGTCTAGGCGGAGTTTCCGCCGTGTCGGACGTCAACGGTGTCTCAAAAGGGAAGCACTATGGCGTATATATTGTATAATCCGCGGAACATCTCTGGATATACTTTACTTGGATTTCTTGTCATCCTAATGAATGCTTTTTGTTGCCTTGAGACTTATGACAGTATGACCATGCTGTTGGTCACCCAGGTGAGACTGCCTGAGAGTACAGGCACCCCGCCGGAAACGGATGGTCGACAGCTAGGGACGAGGACCTTCAATAGCAGTATGTTCGTGATATATTAATGCTGCTACGAGACAAGCTATTATTGTTTGATCTAACTGAACAAGGTCCTTTGAGAGCTGCCGTAGAGTAACGTTAGATAGGTAGATACGTAGTTGATCAATGCTTAGGACTCAGAGAGAGATTGTGTCAGCGATAAGCTCCTCCGCATGTGATTTGGAATGGCAGGCATCGTGGACCAATGCTTCCATATACCAACTGTTCACCAAGAACGAACTTATTTCTTCTTAAAGAAGATCCCACGGGAATAAAAAGAGATTACTTGCAGGGTTATATATCAGTCGGTTGGCCTGCCAATCGGTTGGTGGCAGAACCAAGTGTTGCACTTCGGCAGTCTGACGCTCTCCGGACAAACCTCCAAGCATTTGGCAGCCCGACCACCACCACCACAACCACCATTCCTCATTCCTCCTCTTGCCAACATCCATCCAACACAACCAACCATCGCTGTCTCGTCTCAGCACTATCCGATGCGCCCTGATAATCACCGTATTCGATCCGTCTCGTAACTGACAGTATATATACACCATCGGTCGCCGAGTTTCCATTCCTGCAACGTCACTCGACGACAGCTCGCTAACCGCCATCCTCCTCATCGACATTCTACCGAACGTTCGTCGCTCTGCCTGTTCTTCCACCGACCCGCTCTCAAGAGCTGCGGATGGCGGGTTAACAGCGGTCACGACGAGCATTTCGACCAAGCTCTCAGCTACTTATGGCCAGACGAACGACTGTTGCCGATTACCAGGACTCTCGTGAGCCACATCCTCTGTCGTCCTTCTCCGCATTTTCCGCTCCGCCATCATCTGCGGGATCTATACAATCCATTCCGGCTGGTCCAACCTTAAGGTGCGTGGGTTTGTCTTTGCTGCATTGTTCCGTCGTGTCGTGCTTTTGTGACTGTCGATTTATTTGATTATGGCTCGGGGTTTCCCTGAACGTCACCGCCAGAGCTCTGGTTCTCCGGACTAGTTGGAGTTCAGACGACAATCTCCGGCCAGGTTCATGCTTTCTGGAGCGTACCTCTCCTAGACCCTTCATTGGTGATTGCTCGGGCACCTCACTTTGTTTGATAGCTAACATCATTCTTCTCCCCCATTCATCTTTTAAATTTCCCAAAAAAACCCTGGTTGACACCGCTGGATATTGGCGCACATCCATCCACCTGTCATTATCGCTTGTCTGACTACTTCTTGGGTTATATTTTTTCTCAAATTCACCTTGTTATCCCACTTTCTCCCTTATTCATTCCATCAGTGCTTTTCTCTTACGCAACATCGTCTAACGTCGCTCCGATGCCTCCCAGAACTCGCTCCGCTGCACGCGCTGAGAACGCTTTGAACAGCGCCGATACCACAGGGATACCACCAACTGGGAGCCCTGCTTCTAGGAAGCGTAAAGCGACTACACGTCGTGGCCAAGCACAGGACGAACCTGAGCTCCCCTCACATCCTAGCTCACCGCCGAGGAAGATAAAGAGACGGCGTACAGCAGTTGCCACTTCGAGCACAGGTCCTGCTCCCCCATCTACTGCTCCTAGATCTCGTCAGCTCTCCCGTAATCGTCCCGCCATGTCACAACCTGGGTGAGTATTTTTTTGTTGACCTTTAGACTTTTATAATATTCTAATCTTTCTGCTTCTAGTCCTTCATCACAACCCTCAGATGAAACCTCTAGAGTACGAGCCTCCTCTTCCAATTCCAGAAGGAAAGCAGGGCGAAGCGGTAAATCAACTCGTCGAGAAAAAGACACCCTCCCCACTGGAACAGAAAACCATACCAGTCAATCGCCACAACGTCGATCAAAGAAACGTTCGCCCAAACACAGCCCAGATGTGCCAATGAAGGATGCTGATAGCCAAGCAAGCGAGGCAGATCCTTCAAAGGAGGACGATGACGACCAATCTTCGCAGCCGAGTGAGAGTAACGATGACAATCATACAACTGGATTGATGGATGACGATGATGGCGACCCATTCCGTACCGCATTATTCGGATCTCGCACACCGTTAGGCCTGCAAAATACCCTTCGCGCCCTTACGGGCATGATGACTAGCATGTCTTCACGACTACGGGAGATTTTAGGCCAGTTAAGAATGAAAGAAGATCCATCTATACAGTTGATCGCTTTGCAAGAACTGTCTGATCTCCTGCTCGTTTCCAACGAAGACAACCTCTCCGGTCAATTTTCTCCAGATTCATTTGTCAAGGAACTGGTCAAACTTATGCAACCAAGTGAGACTGGCGAGGAAAATCCCGAGATTATGCTTTTGGCTTGTAGATGTCTTGCCAATATGATGGAGGCCCTTCGAGGATCTGTAACGAATGTTGTCTATGGTGGAGCAGTTCCTGTTCTTTGCCAAAAACTACTCGATATTCAGTTCATTGATTTGGCGGAGCAAGCATTGAGCGTACGTGCGATCCCTTGTCCAAAATATAAGTTCTTACTAACTAGATCTAGACACTAGCAAAAATATCCGAGGATTTCCCAGCATCTATCGTTCGTGAAGGTGGCCTTACTGCTTGCTTGACTTATCTAGATTTCTTTCCAACGAGCACTCAACGCACAGCCGTAACCACGGCGGCGAACTGCTGTCGAAGCCTCCCCGGTGATTCATTTCCAGTAATTCGGGATGTAATGCCAACGCTGTTGAATGTTCTATCAAGCAACGACCAGCGGGTAGTCGAACAAGCTTGTCTTTGCGTGTCGCGAATTGTCGAGAGTTTCCGAAACAAGCCCGAAAAGCTCGAAGAGCTTATTGAACCGGCCATGCTAAAGGCGATCCTTCGACTTCTTGTACCTGGAACGACAAACTTGATTGGGCCACATATTCACACCCAGTTTTTGCGAGTCCTCGGTATTGTTGCACAAGCTAGTCCTCGCTTATCTGTCGAACTCCTTCGGATGGACGTTGTGGGCACTCTTTACCAGATACTTACCGGAGTCTCCGCACCACGCGAGGACGACGAAGCGGGTGTCAAGGTTGATAATGTTGTGATCATGCAAGCATTGGTACATCGTCCCCGTGAACAAGTCTTTGAGACCCTCGGCGTAATATGCGAGTTGCTCCCAGGGATTCAGAATCTGCAGGGGCCTCTGTCCCGCTTTGACAACGCCTTGACTATCAACTTACAATCTCGATTTGCTCCTACACGTTCCTCGTCCAAGTTGAAGGAGTCGGCAGAGAAGAGACGTGCATTGCTTACGGACTGTAAACCCGAGTTAAAGCGATTTGCAACGGTTCTCTTGCCGACTCTAACCGACGCTTATGCCAGTACGGTTAACTTGGGCGTTCGGCAGAAGGTCCTACTAGCACAGCTCAAGATTTTACAAGAAATAGATGCAGATGTACTGCGAGAAGCTCTTCGAACAGTCCCTTATGCATCTTTTCTAGCGGCAATTCTCTCGCAGCAAGATCATCCATTATTAGTGTCGTATGCTCTGCAATGTGCCGAACTACTCTTCGAACGACTACCCGATATCTATCGTTATCAGTTCCATCGAGAAGGTGTAATTGCTGAAATTGCCGACTTAGCTGCAAAGCAATTATCCACCGAGAAAATATCATCCGATGTCAAGCCCCTAGGCGAAGCCACTGTCCCAATCCACGCCTCAGAACAACCCGATTCCCAAGCCACCAGCGAGGATCCAAACGCCTCGCGTGATGACAGTGACGATGAAGACAACGATGACGAGGATGACGAGGATGACGAAGAAGACCAAGATGATGACGACGATAATGAAGATGACGATGATGATGAAGATCAGGATCGTGATGGCGACGATGCTTCAGAATCAGAGAGTTCGGAATCTTTCAACGCTCCTCGACTAGTCAATCAGAGTATGGATGATGTGATGCAGGACCATGTTATTACTACTGCCCGAGCTTTCGTCCACCTATATGAGCAAGCGGAAAGCACGGACACAATGGCGGATAAAGCAAGCAAGATCCTGAAAGATTTGCAGACTTTGGCCTCTAAAATCAAATCTACTCAAGAAGCTGGTTGGGGCGCGGATTACACTCCCGTGTTTGAGACGCTGGCGTCTTATTTCAACGGGGACGCCATTGACAGCATCACCAGCGCTGAACTTCTTAGATCTGGTATTATTGATGTACTAGTAGAAAACTTTACTTCACCTGACGTGACGCCCAGGGCTCGTGTCAGTTTTCTCAAGGCATTTATGGGTACCATGGTGTCCCAGGAGGCTTCACAGGCGTCGCCGTTCAGCAAGTTGATTCACAAACTCCACGATCTTCTCAGCAGGACTGAACACTTTGAAGTGATCACTGTCGGCCACAACTCTCTTGAAATCACAAGGAGCAATGCAACCTATATGCTTGGCAAACAAGTTCGTCTCAGGTTGGTTGCTGATGAGGGATCAGATATTCCCAGGCCATACAAGAATATTATGGTCTCAATCCATGCAATTGCCACCTTCAAGTCGCTTGATGATTTTCTACGACCTCGGATCAGTCTGTCTGAGCGCCCTAGACCGTCGCGTAATCTCGACTTTCTTTCACAGCTTGCCAATGCGGATCGATTACGTGAGTCGCCTCATGCCAGTCAGAGTTCAGGTGAGAATGACCCACCTTCCAACAGCCATCGGGGCCTTCCCAAAGAAGTTCTATCGGCGCTACGTGGTGAGCTTGATGGACGAGATCGTCGGCATGGGACTCATCGATCCAGCAGGACTCAGCCATCTAATCAAGCTGGTGAGGAAGCAAGTGACGACCGCCCATTGGAGTGCGCCGACGAGAAACAGTTGAGTGACGAAGACGATGAAGAAGATGCAGGTGATGATCAGGACGAGGAGTTGAACACTATTGTGGATGATTTAGATGAAGAACTTTCGGATGCTCCTGGTCCAGAACCCACCGCCGTCAACATGGAGATTGCGTCTACTGGAAAGGTCACCGCACGCAAGGAGGATGGTACCCGTGTTGCTACTCCGTCTCAATCACAGGCCCTCGGTCAGGGCTCTTCCTCCGGGCCAAACTCCGATTTACCTGCCATGGGCAACGATTCCTTGGCGATGGCAGGTCGCCCTTTTTCTTCATATGCTGCTGCTGTAGCGGCGGTGCCACAAGATTGGCACATTCAATTCAGTATCGATGGGGAACCAATCACGAACGATACGACAGTCTACCGGGCTATTCACCATAGTCGAGCACATAATGAGGATGGCGGTCGAAATGTCTGGACTTCAGAGCATACAGTGCAATTCAAACGAATGCCCGGTCCCCCACCGCCAGAAGCATCTTCTCTTTCTTCTACGTCCCGCAATGCAGATGCTACAGATGAACAGACCGGCCTTCCCATGTCCCTGAGCAAGGAACATACTACTGGTTCTATTTTGCAGCTATTGCGAGCCCTACATGAGATGAACGCACACCTTGACGACCTTCGTGCTGAAAACGAGGAACTTGTAGCCGTCAAAGCAGAGCCAGTGGCACAATTCATCAATAACAAATTGACTGCTAAATTGAATCGACAATTAGAGGAGCCGTTGATTGTAGCTAGCAGCTGCTTACCTAACTGGAGTGAGGATCTTGCTCGCGAGTTCCCATTCTTGTTCCCTTTTGAAACGCGTCATCTCTTCCTTCAATCAACAGCCTTTGGCTACTCCCGATCGATGATGCGCTGGCAAAATTCACAACCTGAAGACAGCCGGCGTGACATTCGCCGTGATGACCGTCCGTTTCTCGGTCGTCTTCAGCGACAAAAGGTGCGAATATCTCGATCTCGGATTCTCGATTCAGCAATGAAAGTGATGGAGCTATACGGCTCGTCTGCAAGCATCCTTGAGGTTGAGTATTTCGAAGAAGTTGGCACTGGTTTGGGTCCGACCTTAGAGTTCTATTCCACGGTCTCTAAAGAGTTTTCGAAGAAGAAGCTCAAGATCTGGCGGGAGAATGAATCTGCGGACAAGAACGAATATGCATTTGGGAAGCACGGTTTGTTCCCAGCGCCTATGAGTGAGCAACAAGCCGAATCGGATCTTGGCAACAAGCAGCTTCTACTTTTCAAATCACTTGGCAAATTCGTAGCACGATCCATGCTCGATTCTCGCATCATTGACATCAACTTCAATCCTACTTTTTTCCGCGTGGGTACTCCTGGCTTTGTTCCCTCTTTGGGCGCCGTCAAGACAGTGGATGAGGATCTCGCAAACTCTTTGCAACTTGTCAAACGATTCGCCGACGCCAAGTTCGAAATAGAGGAAGATTATGGCCTTACCTCTGACCAAAAAATGATGGCCCTTGAAGAATTAGAGATTGATGGTGTGCGAGTTGAAGATCTGGGCTTAGACTTTACACTTCCAGGCTACCCCGCCATTGAGTTGATGAAAGATGGTTCCAACACGAGTGTACAAACCAGTAATATCGACATATACCTAGAACGTGTCATCGACTTCACATTAGGCGAGGGTGTGGAACGACAAATTGAGGCATTCCGTTCTGGTTTCTCGCAAGTTTTTGCCTACGCGGCATTGCGATCTTTCACCCCGAATGAGCTGGTGATGCTGTTTGGACGAATCGAAGAAGACTGGTCTATGGAGAGTAAGTCATCCAACCTTTTTTTGTAGTGAAGGCTATCGCTAATATCTTTTCTTTAGCACTGATGGATTCCATCAAAGCGGACCACGGCTTCAACATGGATAGCAAGAGCGTACGAAACCTGTTACAGACAATGAGTGAACTGGACGCTCAACAGCGGCGAGACTTTTTGCAATTTGTTACTGGTAGTCCCAAGCTTCCAATTGGAGGTGAGTTACATGTCATTCGCTCTGAGTGGTTACAGAACTAACGACATAACAGGCTTCAAGAGTCTCACCCCTATGTTCACAGTGGTGTGCCGTCCCAGCGAACCGCCCTATACACCAGACGATTATTTGCCCAGTGTGATGACCTGCGTCAACTATCTCAAACTCCCCGACTATAGCAGTCTAGAAGTACTCCGCGAACGCCTCCTTATAGCCACTAAGGAGGGACAAGGAGCATTTCATCTTTCATAACGAAATCAATGATGCCTATTTTCACGCATATGTCCCGGTTTCTCCCCTCTTCCTACCATTTATCTCATATTGCCCAGCTATTAGTCTTTGTGCTTTATCCAAGTTTCGTTTATCATATTCTGATCACTTTCAAGGGCTGGCATATCTCATATTTTCACCTTTACAAACCACATACCCCTTCAGAATGGAATGACATGTTGCATGGCGGCATTACTTAACGGCAGTTAATCTACATTTTCTTGAACTTTTTTTCTTGTTACTCGTTTCTTGACTTTCTGATACGTATTTGCAAGTGCTGTGCAGAGTTATAAGGGTTGCATGGATTTTTTTCTTGCTCGTTAACGGATTGATGAATGTGTATGAATTTCTAGATAGTAATTGAATCGGGCTTTCTCTTTCCAACAATTGAGCGCAAATCGTAAATCGATCAGATATATGGATGGAAAAACTCTCTGTGTTCCCCACTTACTCTATGATTCCACTCCCCCAAGTCCATTTTTTTTTAGCATCTGATTAAAATTGTCTTCCTCACTTGATAATGTCCATGTAAATATGTACGATGGTTGGAATACGTCTAGCGTGCGGGGAGACATCACGCAATCTCGGCCTGCCATCACAAATTGCATGGACATATGGTCTTCAAGGTCTTGATTTCTAATGGAGGTCATAACATCAATTTTCTGATATTAATGGCACAGCCTTCAGAAGTACTGTCTGTGTAGAGTATGACGATCAAATCCGTGGCCATTATCGGGGCTGGTGCTTCAGGTATACAAGAACCCAGACTCCATCCAGAATCAACACGGAACTGATATACGTACCAATTGTAGGCGCCGCGACAGCAGCAGCTTTCGCTGCCGAGCAATACTTTGAGACAATCCGGGTCTTTGAACGGAAGGGAAGTGCGGGAGGGACGTGGTTTGTAAACCCTGACAGCTCTGAACTCAAAACTGCCGAGCATCGAAAGACGTGCTAAAAATGATTTGAACTTTTTGAAAATACAGGATATACGACGCAGACCCAAGTCCAGCCGCGAGTCCACAACCCGGCAAACTACCACCAGATATTGATCCTCCCTTGAGAATACCGGATGCTTTACCGCGTACGACGGGGCCTTCTTCACAAGAACGATGGGATAAGACTCCTATATACGATGAGTTGACGTGGGTTTGGAATGGTTTACTGCCATTAAGCATCAAACATCCCAACTAATATTCTGTTGATAGAACAAACGTCCCCGCAATAGCAATGTCCCTCTCTGAAATCCCCTTCCCCTATGGCCCTTTCGTGCCGCATCACGTGCCAAAACAGTACATCGAGAATTACTTTACGCATTTCAAACTAGATCGGTATCTAGAGCTCAATACAACGGTGGAAGACGTCTCTCGTCTCCCATCAAGAAGCGGTCCAGAGAAGGGTCATGAGCGATGGAGTTTGACACTGAGAAAATATGATGCCGTAGAGCATGTGGATCATTGGTGGAAAGAAGAGTTTGATGCGGTTATCTTTGCGAATGGGCATTATAGTGTTCCTTACGTACGTAACCTACTATTCAATGATCAAGTAGACAGCTAACCATGTAATGCCATTCGCAGGTCCCAGCCGTCAAAGGTCTAGAAGGATATATCAAAGCCTTCCCGGGTCGAGTGGTCCACTCCAAATCATATCGCTCAGCACAACACTATCACAACAAGAGAATTCTTGTCATTGGAAACTCTGCATCAGGGCACGATGTCACTGCTGGGGTCGTCAAAACCGCTCATTTACCGGTCTATCAATCCCGGCGCACGTCTTCACGCTGGGATGGGAATGAGCCTCCGGAGGGTATAGAATGGAAACCCATAATCAGCGAGTATCTCCCAACAGGAGAGATTGTCTTTGAAGATGGCAGTATCATTGATGATATCGACCAAGTAATTTACTGCACAGGATACAAAGCATCATTCCCATTCTGGAACGCCAAAGCCAATGGGGCACCACTTTACGACTACAAGCGCGACCATGTAGTAGGAAACTATTTACATATTTTTTTCACGGATTTCCCAACCATCGGTATAGTCGGTATTCCACGAACACTCACATTCAGAAGTTTCAATTACCAAGCCATAGCTCTCGCTCGAGTCTTCTCAGGTCGAAACGCGCACCCATTACCATCCGTCGTGGAACAACGAGAATGGCTCAGCAGACGATTGGAACTTGTCACGAGGCAACACCGTAAATTTCATGATATACCGTGGGATGAAGGGGAGACGCTAAATTATTTCCGTGAGCTGTATGAGCTTGCTGGGCTGCCGAGGATTGAAGGTTTGGGCCAGGTTCCGCCGGTGTTGGATGGTGAGACGAGGTGGGCGATTGAGAATGTGAGGAAATATCCTGTTCCAGGGGATGAGCGGTTGAAGGAAAGCGGTGGTAATGAAGAGAATGGGTGGACTCTTGTAGAAAGAGGGCAGTGGCGAGATAGTCTTCATTTCATTTAGTATCAATTCTCCAAAGATGGGGGTGTTGATCGTTGATAGAGAGTACCGAGCTCACCAATCTACTCTTCCTAATTTGGCAAAGTCCCAATGTGTAGGTGGCTAAGGCCACATTAACGAATATTGCTCTTGCACTTGGGAAATAAGAGGAACACAATCCTGCCACACAGCTCATGACACTACACTTTTACCAGACCCGAAGAACATAAATATAATTTGCTTTTCGAGTAATGTCCTTCTTCCTGGAGTGTGCGTATGCCGAGACAAGTTGGTCGATTCCCAGTATTGCCAAATTAGGCAACATGTCTCAACTAGGCCTACGTTTGGCCCCATGAAAGTGAGCTTCGTCTTAAGTGCAATGTTCATCTGTCAAATGCTGGCTCACTACTCAAGCCACCATAGTGGCAATACATCATTGCAACTGCTGGTATAAAGGTAAAGAAATCTTCATTCAATGAAGGTCAGGGCTCTTCCTCTGAAAAGTATCATGAACCACGTAAAGCCGATGTAGGATATCAAACTGGTACAAAATGCAAAGGTGAAAACAGTCAAGTAATAGAAGAACGTGTAACAAAAGAGAAGGAATAAAAAGAAGAATCAATATTATACGTCAGAAAGCATATGTACAGGGTAATGAAAAGGTATATCGTTCAATAGAGAAATTGGTGTAGAAAGAAAATTAGTATATTGGACGTCCCTCGTCCCACTTGCGCGACGCCCTAGGGCTTCGCATAATGCTCATATCTTCGTCAATCGCTGGCGTGGTCTCGTCTCCGGGAGATAGGGAAAATCTCACCCTTCCACTCTCCCGGCGAACACTATCCAGATGATTGCCTGTACTCCCAGTCCACTCCCACGCTCGAGCAACATCCCCGCTACGGCTTTCGCGGACCGATGCTCGTACATTGGCATTGCCTTCAACAACTGCCTTCACACGCTTCCAGAGCTTCTCTCGACGGTTGCCCCTCAACTCAGAGCGTAAAACATCATCTCGTAGCTGACCAATCGCAATCCAGGGCTCCAACGCCTCTCCACGTCTATGTAAAGCAGCTTGAGTCGAAAGACGGTCAAGCGTAGTCCCTACAAGCTCAGGCACACGGGCAATATCCGCTCGTCGAGCGAGAAACTCGGCTCTGACATAGGCTAGACCAACCACAGAGAGAACTAGAATGAAAATAGGGAGTCGATACGCGATGAGAGAGAGTCGGAGGTGACGGCGGAATCCGCAGATGATGGGAAGGTTGGCGAGTGAGTCACTTGCGAAGGCGCGGGATGAAGTTCTGTTAATGCGAGGCGATCACTGTTAGTGCTCAGAGCCCTGTCAGAATCCAGATATAAAAATACACGATCCATAGGATTTGAAGTACATATCGAAAGGGGGGGTGGATAGTAGGAGCTTCTGACTTACCCTCCGCTTGTAGTAACTTCTTCTCTGGCAACTAATTCTCCCAGAGCTGACGCCCACAAGTCATCAAATTCTGAGTCGCTCATTTTGGCGCGTGGACCACGTTTATGCGAGACGACCTTCTTGAGTTCTGGTTCTGAAATGAACGGAGTTTTGGCTTCGGTACCATCTCCACATTCGTACTTAGCTCGCTGTTCGCGGAGTTCTTGGACCGCCCTGTTAGCGACGGCGATGATGCGATCAGTCTTCTCGTTATCGACTTCACACTTGGGTGGGATCGGTAAAAAGCCATTCAGCGAGAGTGGGTGGTATTCCTCCACAAAGTCTTTTTCACACTCAATCTTAAGATTCTCCAAACAGAAGGCATGCGGTGGGCAAGGTTCACACTGAGGTTCTAGCACATGTGCCCACACGGGTACATTGGTATCTGCAAGAGACCATCTGGATTTGCCTATGCCACAGAAGCCAATCTCGAATTTCTCATGACGCCAATAGACTCCGCAGAGAGATAGAAGAAAGAAGATGACGAGCGTGGGCAATCTCCATGAAACTGCAATGTGGTGGCTGCTTACGACGGCTCGTAACTCAGCATTAGCTGTCTCAAGAGCCAATTGCTCATCTGGAGTGAACTCTTCCCCAGCTTCAGGCTCGGACTCATCCTCTAAGTGTGGCGTGGCTGCTCGGAGGCGGGATACGGGAAACTCAAAAGTCGACTTCCTAGGCGTGATGATGTCCTCCTCTTGCTTGATCTTGATAGGACGAACTGATTCTCGTTTACCTCGGTTTTCTGCTACGAGAGTGCCGTCGCTTGAGACACGAGGTGTACTTTTTCGTTTGCGATCCCCGCTAACGGTTCGAGCTCTTGGGGTCGGCTCGTGAGACGTAGGCGAGCTACCGCTTTGGAAAGGATTCTCATCGGTGAAAACGCTACCCGCTCGGCTTTCAGTCTTGATACTTGGCGTACGTTCAACATATTCATCATATGACGGGACCGCTTCACTTTTGCGAGTTCTACGAGCAGTAGATCGTGCTTTAGGTGTTGCCGCGGGTAGAACGGGAGTCGCAAGGTTATCATCCGTGGTTTCCGCATCCGACGCTCGGGTACTTCTGCTAGGACGGCCTCGACGCCTTGGTGTAGCCTGCAGTAAAGCACTATCATCAGTATCAACGGTCGATGCTCGTGTGCTTGGTCGAGAGCGTGCACGTCGGCTTCCGGCGGTAGATGGCGGCGGCATCGAATCTCTATCATTGACTTCATCTTCGTCCCCATTTGCTTCAGAATTAGATTGACTGCTCATATCGGTAATTCCAGCACTTGTGCGGCGAACACGGTCTCTATCGCGGAGAAGTTTTTTCGCTTGGGGTAGAACTTTTTCCTCGATAAGTGCAACCAGTTGGGCCTTCTTCGCGGAGGAAGGATAGGATACATCATGTTTGACGAGGACAGTTCGCAATGCAGGCATAGTCAATGATGATAGATCGAAGCCCGGCGCAAGGTACTCCAGGTCGTCTATGTTAGACGCCATACTTATGATCTTGCCAGGTGTCGACCTGGATTTGAGCGTGTTGAGCGAAAGCAGGGATAGGGATCTGTAGTAGTTGTCCACACGAATTATCGCCAATAAGGACAAAGGCGTCTATTCTAGTTGTCTGATTGACGGACAGGAATGAAAATGGCTTTCAATCCGTGAAAAGATAATGGATAAGAGGGGTTCGATATGCAGCCAACAAGTCAAAGTGGTTTGTGTCAATTTGAACTGACAACACAAGATTTTTGAAGCGGTATCCGGGGCAACAAGGTGGTGCTCATTGATTTGGCGGGTGCCGCCCACTTGGTCGCAACTAGCCGTTATCGCTTGGTGATCTAGAGAAAAGGGGTTTTGATAAATGATCTCTACCGATGGAAGTAGGAAATTAGGGTGAAAAAGGATGGAAGGATGTTGAAGATGATGGGGATTGTGGATAGAAGTGGTTGCAGATGAACGACGTCAGTAAACAACAAACTGGCTACGGCGGCACGTGATGCGATTTTCTGACTGATAACGCTAGACCGGATACGGAATCATGCTTTAACTTCTTCACTCTGCTTCTCATCTATTTCGACTGTTTATTATGTTGAAAACTTCACATTTCATGAACAATGAATTCTTATATGACGGTCATATAATAAGTAATAGATACAAGTCATAACCACCCACGCAATGTATGCTACCCTGTCAATTAGTATCCTGCTGGTGATCAAAAAAAGGTTGCCGAACAAAAACAAAAATCTCTCAAGATCAAGAGAGGGGAGAAACCCAGGCCAAATTCAAGTAATCGCCATATATTCAAGCCGTTAATAGTCATGGTCGCAAAAGCGAATCTATGTATATCAACATGTGCACAGATATTATCTCCACATAAGAAAACAATAAATATTTCTTCAAACAAAAGCATATTGAGTAATCCTGACGCGGCCACCCATTCAAAATCAAAAAGGTATTGCATGCCAAGACACAAAATCCGAACTCCATCCCAATGAGATTAAAAGGAAGTTGGGGTATTAGCGGAAAGTTATTTGTGGTGTAGAAGCCATAAGGACATCAGGGTTGACGGAGAGATAATAGGTCATCAGAATCAGCGATCGGGAGAGGGTGGTGATAGCAAAAGACGTATGTGAGATGAGGAATTGGAATTGGCTCCACTGCTCTGAGAACCTGGTGTCTTGAAGTTGCGTCCTATCTGAGTTAACGGGTCAGGAGCACCAGTCGCAGCTATGTTGAGATGCTCTTTCAGAGCATGGAATTCTGCGAGCTGGCTCTGTAACTGCTTAACAACTTCTGCCATAGACATGGCGTGCTCATGTATCGAATCTCCCTTCTTGAATGGGTGCATCATATGACGTATGGCGAGAGTATTGATGCAATTTTCAATTCGTGTGACCTGATTTTCCACGATGCTCAGAATTGTGCCATCTGCTAGCTCACCACCCCCTCTTTGAATTGCATCCATCAATTGACGGTTGGGAGAAGTGGTTTCACTAATCCCTGGAGTCTCGAGAGAGCTACAGAGTCGTTCCAGTCGAAGAGTAATTTCCCAGAGCTGCCAGATTTGGTCTGTTCGAATATCGAGCTGGGAGCCTTTCTTGATAGTTGCAGGCGCTAGATCTTCATCGGGCGAAACACCTTCCTGAACTGCAAGTCTCCCCGCGAGAGAATGCGGGCAGATGAGATAGACCGCTTCCGGATTCTCGAGGCCTTTCAATTTCTTTTCACCCTGATCTTTGACAACGAATCCTTGACTATTAAGTTGTTGCAATTCTCTTCGAATGTTCTGTAAAGGATCTCCGTAGTCGCTTTCCGAGCTTACAGAAAGGGAGCGCTCGCTCTCTGCGTAGACTTCACTTATGCGTTGAAACTCGCTCATGAAATCAGAAGAGACAAAAATTTGTCCACCATCGGCAACAGCTGAGATACGGGATGCACGATTGACCATAGGACCAAAATAGTCCATACGACCGGTCACAGGATCTTTCTCACACACTGGCTCACCCCAGTGAGTGCCCATTCTGACCGAAAGACCTCTGAAGATGAGATTTCCATCTTTGTCGTACCGTTCTTTGCACTGCGGTTGCTCCAAGATCTCCTTAGGCCACTCGGCTTCCAACAATTGTGTCTGACAATTGAAACACCAAAGAAGAGCAGCACTAGTCGTTGAAAATGCCACCATGAAAGCATCTCCTTCAGTTTTGACTTCGTAACCGCCGGTTATACCCAGTTGCCGACGCAAGATATCGTTGTGAATTTGAATGGCAGATCTCATAGCCTCTGGGCAAGTTTCCCATAGCGAAGTAGACTTTTTAATATCTGTGAAAATGATGGCCAGATCTCCCACAGGTGCATCGACAAAATTGAACCGGGCAAGCCGAGAATCACCAACGGCATCTCGAGCCCTCCTGGTACGTTTAGGCGGAAGCACTTCTTCGGGGAACGATGACGGACCAACGGAAAGGCTAGCATTTCGAAGCTTCCTATACCGCTCGCGTTTCTTCAGCTCGCTCACGCCAACAATCATGACCATTAGCTTATTGGATGCTCCAAATGCGATTGCAAGATCACGAATCTTTTGACTTGCAATCATCAAGTCTCTGCGTTCAGCGCGAGCCACGTCAACAACTAGATCGAAAGTGACATAATCCCAGACCTCTCGAGATGCCATAATGATCAACTCATCTTGTTCAGTCAATGTAAAGTGGGCAGTATGAGGCGCTGCGACGACTGAGGGAATCAACGGGAAGTAGCCAAATGCTCGAGACACAGGAAGCACATCGTTAAGCTTTCCATTGCGAGAAACAAAGCCACCAGCTTCCCGTATACGATTCCGTTCGCCAGGTTCGGCCGGATCATGATTGAAAGTAAGGGGTCGCAGAGTCCCATCTGATCTGACTAGAACTGCTTGTGCATCACCCACGTTTGCAACGTACAAGTCCATGTTCTTCAAATAAAGTACAGTGGCAACTCCACCTGAATGGATATCATCCTTGTTGAGCAATTTGGCTGCTGTCGAACCACGAGCAAATTGACGGACTTCTTTGTCATCAATGGACTTGTATGCAGCGGCGGCCATATCCCTGTTTAGTGTAAGGAATGCCCGTCTCAGTGCATCTAGAGGAGTGTCTGTGTCAGGTGATAGCTTTTTTAGCTCATCAACAAAGCAGTGTGTGAAGTTTTCATGAAGAAACTTCGCAATCTTGGAACCACCAATGGACTGAGATTGGCCATCAAACATGCCAACCAATGTATCCATGTTGTCAGAACGTAAACGAGGAACCATCATATCAATAATAGAGAGATGCTCGTCTTTTCCGAGGAAGTCAGCCATTCCGTACGCCAACGATCCTGCAAGAGATGCCGAAGTACGGACACGTCGATCCTCCGTCTCCTCGGGGACCGTTTTAATCGTCAAAGTCACATCCATCAAACCCAAGATGCGCAGGTGCGTTAATGAGTTGAACCCGGTCAAATCTGTCCCGTTTACTGAATTTGATCCCAAAGAAGCAATGTTCGGTTTGATCTCGAGCCTTTTGTTGCCGGAGAAATTGAGGTATTTGAGATTTCGATTCCAATTCCAGTTCCAATCGTAAGGCCAATTGGAAACATTGTATTTCAGCAAATTGCTACCAACGTCCAGAATAGCCAGTTTGCTGACTTTGCATAGCTCTGCAGGTAAAACTTGGAATCGATTTCCGTTCAGGTGTATAGTCTTAAGATTGCTCGTTTCTTCCAAATCATCAGAAGGTAATGAGGCCAATTCGTTGCCAGAAAGGAAGATATCGGTCAAATTTTGCCATCTTTTAAGATAACCCTGGGGAACCTCGGTCAATACATTGTATGAGAGATTAAGCACGCGTAATTCTGGGAGGTAAGCCAGCTCTCTGAAAACATCATCTTCTAGCCGATTGTCTGCGAGATAAAGATTTCGAAGGGAACCCGAGAACGTTGTCGCCAGGCGTTGTGCGAAATTTGAATCTTTTCTGGTGGAATTAGATCCCTCGGTGTACGCTCGTGATGCCGTTGAAGCCTTGCGGCCATTGGGAATATAGGTGGATTGCAAGGAATTGTTGCGACCTATACCGGGTGAACCGGCCAGACTCAGTAACCCACTCGAATTCTGGCTTGGGCGCCGTGATTGAGCATCGTCAGAAGAGGCCATGTTCTCGTAGCTTGGAGTATTAGACAAGCCAGGTGTTGTCGCTGGCGACGGCGAGACATATTCCCCAGGTGGTAAGGGAGGTTGACCGGTGTGTTTTGGAAAGCCGTCAAGGATGTTTGAGGAAACGTTCAAATGCTCAAGCTTTAAGCAGAACCATATCTCGGACGGCAAACGTTCCAAGCTACATTCTCTCAAGTTCAAGAGTTTGAGATCCGTCAGACAACCAATAGTTGGTGGTAATGACTTCAGAGGATTCTTGATCATGCTAAAATGTTCGAGACGGCGCAGTTTGCCAATGGAAGGCGAAAGCGATGAAAAGAAATTTTTGTCCAAAATCAATTTAGTGAGGTTGGGAAGATTCTCAAAAGTAGAATCTTTCAATTGTACCAACTTTGCCGAAGCGATGTTCAAAGAAGTAAGAGTTTGTATGGGAGCATCCAGCTCGAACTGAGTTATTGGACAATGATCAAGCACCAATGTACGCAGCTTGGGGAAATTTCCCTTGAATTTCGTCACGGCATTGTGTCCCAAGAGTAACTGCTCCAAGCGAGGTAGTCGCATAATACTGTCAACATTTTCAATGGCATTGAATCGAGCGTCAATTTCTTTGATGCTCTTCAATCCTTGAAATGACTTATCAAGAGGCCCGGATAGCCTATTATTCGTCACCCACAAACGCTCCAGCTGTTTCAGTCGACCTATGTGTGGTAGTTCGCGAATGCTGTTGAAACTGATATCAAGATCGACCAAGTTTGGAAGATTGCAGAGGAATTCTGGGAAAACTTGGAAGTTATTTGAGGAGAGCGTCAAACTTCGCAACGAGGAATAATCCCTGAAATAGCTAGGCAAAGACGACAATCTGTTATTTGCCAACTTGATACTGACAAGACCATGAAGCTCAGAAAGATCGGTATATTCTAGCCCGTCAAGTCTGTTATTGGAGGCATCGAGATAAGTTAGTCGAGTGGCCAAGCGGAAACTAGAAGGTAGTCGCCAGGCCTCATTGCTCATGAACTTGATCTCACGCAAGTTGATACAGCTCGTTATAAAATCGGATGGCACATCCATGTCAAGGTTCCGGGACAGGTTCAATGAGATGATTTCAGGCGCCCTTTTGTAGAGAGTGATTGGTATCGTGGCAAGACTGCGTCCCTGAAGATCAACATGGCTGAACTTTTGGCTTTTGTTGAATCCAGGATCAGCATCCAAGCTGACATAGCCATTAAGCTTGGTTGGTAAAAATATGAATCGGCAAATGTAACTGTGATCCTCACGACCAACGTCCTCAATTCTATCCTTCGGTAAATAGCCTACTTGCTCGAGAAACTTCTTTTGTAGTAAAATTGGACGCTCTCCATGTTCAAGTTGTCTAGTCAAATCGTTCTTGCGCATGACGATTTCATAATTTTTCAAATCATCTTGCAAGAAAGACTTTTTCCCAAGCAACTCGAGAATATCGGCGACTGTAGCGTTCAGAGGAGCCGAGAGTGTTGCAAAAGTCGAGTCAATACGAAAGACACGAATAAAGTAGCTGGAACTGTCATTAATAGCAGCAGCTTCAAGCTCATTATCTATCTCCGGAAGACCGCGAACAAGATCGTCGCCTTGCTTCTTAACCTGCCAACTATCAGGGGCGTTCCAGTCTCCGACCTGGTGTTCTTGCAGTAATTTATCTTCTGGCAAATTGCCATCAAAGATGATGGTCTGGTTGTTAGGGGAGTGCGGCCTTGGTTCACTGACAATGCCTTCCATATCACTGAGATTAGTATCAAGTTTATAAATTTTCTCCTCTCGATACGGTGGTGACTTGTTTGAGGTGTATTTTCGTCCTTTCTTATTTTTGGGAGGATGTCGGCCATCTCTTCTGCGGTCGTACTCAAGACTTTCACCATGTCTCCCCATAATACCATCATCAAGGCTGCCCTGGCGATGGCGAAGGGGCGAGGCGTCGCGTCTAGACACCTTTGCGACAGTTCTCATTGCGTCATGCAGGCTCTTCTCAGAACCAGGAAGGCTCTTCAAAGTTGAAGGCTTGCTTCGGAGTATTTTATGCATAAAGCCGCGGACGGGACCTGGCGAGCCATGGCCAGAACCAGTGTCTCGCTGGATTATAGAACTTTGAGCACTAGGCGTAGGACTTGTAGGTCGACCGGCCAAAGTGCTCGATGAACTCATGGCGGTATTTACCAACAAGCCTCCAGCATCTCGAAGATGAGAACTTGCATCGTCATCTTGAGCGTTGGCCGCAGTCGATCGAAGGGCGGACTCGAAAGATGCAGAAGATGTAGGCTTTCCCTCCTTGCTTCTAGAATGCCGCCGTCCTGTAAATGGGAGCTTATGCGAGGCTTTGTGTTCGGAATGAATTGACGCTGCTTTGCCGTTGGTGAAACGTTGAACATCTGGGCCGGTGGGCTCCTTTCGTATAGGGGCCTCGCCATAGTGGGGGATATCGTTGTATTGCTGGTACATCCATGGTGTGACTTCACTTGAAGGTAGCGGGGTTCGTGGTCGAGAGGGTCTCGGTGAAAGGGTACGAGTTTTAGAGGTCTCTGGGAAATTTTTGGACGCTGTCGAGTCGTTTCGATGACGCGATACGGGTGTTTCGCGGTTTTGGCTAATAGCATCGCAATCCTCGCGACCACTACTTTCCGCAGGGCCACTTTCATCTCCAGCGCCGCCACCGAAGAACCCATGAAGCCGTCTGCGTATATGTCCATTTTGGCTTGATTTGGAATTACTACTGGTCGTGCTTGCGGCAGACTCTCGTCGAAACTCTTTGTAGCCAAAGTCCTGAACATCGGAGCCTGACGTGTTTTCGCTGCCGTGACGGAAGACGGGGGTTATAGGCGAAACTTCATGCTCCGATGCATCTTGAAGAAAAGTGCCGGAGTTCCGGCTAGTCGACTCATTTTGGTCTGGTGACGCTGGAGATGCCGGCGAGACCCATGATGCGCGAAAGGGTTCGTGAACAATTGGATTGAGGGAGAGCTGATAGGATCCAGATGCAGGAGGAGGTGGTGGCGGTGTCCCTGAGTTTAGCGTGAAGTAATCATCAGCACCTAAGATCGCCAGAGCTTTGCGGTGATTTTGTATGCTAGGTTTGCGTAAGTCGGTCGGGGAGATTGACGGAGAGTGAGAGAACATCGATGTATAAAGCTCAGGAGGTGACGGCAAATTGGCTGATCGGCCAGACGGTACTCTGTTTTCAAAAAATTAGACATCTCAACTGATTTCCAATGTGGCAGTGAAGAATCAGCCCGAATAAACAGAACCGACACAAGAATATGTTGAATTTAATCAAATGTAGTGTTTTCAAAGTCCATGCAAAAATTGCCAAGATGTTTCGACTCAGGTTGGGCATACCTATTCACACCAGACTGCGGTGTCTGACGACCGCTACGATTTCCATTTCGCAATCCGTTCTCAACGGTGTCATCCCTTACTGTCGATTGTGAATGATAGCTGCTAGTGGAGCTTTCGGAACCATGTCGTTCGTTCAGGGACATGAGGTCCCCGTTTCGCCTGGCCATGAGGCGGGGTTGTTGGTGACTTTTCACCACCAACTGCAGCAGAGCTACACAGTAAAGGCCTCAAACTTCGAGTCTAGTGCATTTGACGGCGTACGGATAGCTTGAAGTGAGTTTTTGGGGTAGACGGGCGATAGGAGACCGACGATAGAGAGCGCGGAAGAGCTCACTCAATGCGATGACGTCTGCAGTTGAGCTAGAAGAAAGTTCTCAAAAGTCAATGGATATTGAGCGAATTGCGTGAAAGATATTCCGATGTGTCAATATGTCGAAGAAGATAAAATGCGTAGGCGGTGCGTCGTCAAAAGTTCGGGGTGGATTTAGTATCTTGACGTTTAGCGCAACAATGCGACGGCATCGCTACATGGCTGTTTGACGAGGATCGAGTTCCAGCTATCGAGCATGCTAATTAGAGGAAGTGTTTCCTGCGACCATGCTCCGAAGTCGTCGTAAATAGCCGGTAATATATAACGGAAACAAGTTAGAATACTCGATTGCAGAGCTGGCTCATGGGAGAGATGCCCGGGGGTTGATGGTGGTAGGTAGACCGAGTCAAGTTGAGAGTTTAGTTTTGGCGGGAGCGAACGGGCGAGTCTTTTTGGGACAACCTGGGCTGGCGGTCTTGGCGCCAGAGCCTGGGGTCGATGAGCCGCCCAGAACGGGCTAGCGCCGAATGAGTCTACGGAGTGGGAATTCCGTCGCCGATTTTGATGCTCTTTCACTCCGTACTTCAGCTTCATCCAACATGCGGACCACGTCTCAGGCTAGATGACTTAAGACATATAATTCCTCTTTCTGGTAATCAGATTGACCGTCTAGCATAGCTTCATTAGTGTTCGGATTATTTGACGAGTCTTTGGGCCACCCGCTTTATCTCAAAGACATGCACTCAATTCCATGGTATGATCCCTTCTACAGCGATACCACAGATATTGTAAAATAGCATCATGTGACTAGCTCACTTTATTTTGCAAGCATATCTATAGAAGCTCTGTATCAGTGACTCATTAAAACTTGCCATCTTTGTACCGGGGTACTCCGCACAGTAATATGCAAAAGGCGTTACTGCTACAACTGTGAAAATGGAGAGCCTCCCCACTTACCAACTAGGGAATCACTAACACTACTCGAGCATGTCTTTCGAACTGTCAATTTTCGATCGTGCTAGACTTGAAATCAACTGCAACTATCGCGATTCCAGCCCCCTTTAGGAAAGGCATGTGGGATGGTGTGAATCCGAGTCCAGCCCGGCGTATATACGAAGCTGAAGATGAAACACTACGAGGCCCAGAATAGGCTTCCCTGCATGAATCACTGCCAATATTGAGGCTGAATGCAGTAGGTGCAGTAGATGCAGCTCGGGTTGAAAGTGCTGCGGTGGTCCCATGTTTTAGCTGGACTTACATAGTATGTTACTACTAGCAGCCTCGGGATGAAAACTGAGTCGAAAATGTGCGCTGATCTTGTTTGAATCTGGACCGAACTGTGAGAGGCGATAGTCATTTCGGGCTGTATACGTAGTAAAGGCAACTATCGTAAGATGTCCAATAGTCTAAGACGCCATCTGTGCAATCAAACTCCCCATTCTGACATTCTTAGACACAGATGAATTTATAGAAGGCATTTTGTGGTCGTCCCCGGTTTTTAGAGTCTCGACACAAACTCACTTTTCACCAGAAGTGGACTGGCCGCCACCAAGAGAATCAATGATCCAGATCCTAGACAATTAAATCCTCGGAGCAATTTAAACTATTTGTTAACCCTAACTACCTTTGCCAGGAGCCTAGAAGGGTAGAAGGCCATGATATCGATCTTCATAATTGTCCAATCTGTCGTCCATTGTTTCATCATACATACGCGAGATGTGCATAGCTGTGGATACGGCCGCGTGTAACACTCCTTAGTGAGACAAATATATTTGATGATAGAGAGACATTTATATGATAAACGATGAATCTAGAGTGTACGTATAAACGGAGCAGAGAGTAGAGAGGAGGCAGAGAGACTCCATCCGGAAAGAGGCTGGACGGTGGGCCATCCCCACGTGGTCCAAGCGCTCTTCCCGCCTCTCTATTTTCGGCCAATCACATGATCGACATCAATGAATTTGATAAATTTGATGCCATGAGCTGAGACAATTGGTCTCTACGAAGTAAGATCTCTATAAAAATACAAGGACCTTGAAAATAATACTCCACAACGAGCTAGCCATCGGCGTGTCCTGAAGATCTACGTAACGCGTCAGCAGATGCTGTCCGTTGACATGGCAGCAGACATCATTTCCTTTGGTGTATTATCTACCCCGTAACTATTCCTTGAAATAACAGAAAAAAGGAGCGTATGAATGCAGTATACAACTGAGAACCTTCTCCACCCCATACAGTGAATCACTGCATGTAAAGAGAGACATCGAAGCTGGCCAATGAACTGTTCTTCTTGGTTGTCCATTTAAGGCTTAGCGCCCTACGTGGCTGGGCAGCAGAGCTCCCCTATTGGCCAATGCTCAATTAGGCTCAGATGTATGACGTGAAACAGAAGAGGCTGGTAAACACTCGTTCTGCCAGTCCAGGCGCTATTAAAATGATTTCTCTTCAGAGCCAGCAGGGAATCTTTTTCTTCTCATTCTTTGCTTACAAATTTGATGAATGTGGATTGTGTGACAGCACCTTGCATTGTTGTTTCTTGTTCGAGTCAGTGATATCGTGAGATCATTGTCTTTGCTCAGACTACCTAGCCAGAGAGCTTCTGCTGTCTTCTATTCCTCCGAGCGGCCTCTTTGCACATAGATTATGAGATTTTCCAGGTTATCGGCAGCAACTGCTGCATGGATATTGTCGACAAAAGTCGCTGCACAGACCTATACTAGTTGCGATCCCCGAGAACAAACTGGTATGTCTCGTGCCAACTTAACAGACTATATAGTTGCTAATCCCTTCCCAGGCTGTCCAGCTGACCCAGCTCTCGGCGGCTCCGCAAGCTTCGATTTCACCAAAGGAGCCCAGAAAAATTGGACGACATCCGGCACAGTCACATACAGCAGCAGCACCGGTGCAGGCTTCACAGTCGCCAGCGAGGGCGATGCGCCCTTAATCACCTCCGACTTCTATATCATGTGGGGACATCTCGAAGTCGTCATGCAGTCAGCCCCCGGCACCGGCATCGTCAGCAGCATAGTAATGCAATCGGACACTCTAGACGAAATTGATCTCGAATTCCTTGGCGGCGAGGATACGAGCGTACAAACAAATTACTTTGGTCATGGCGACACATCCGAATACAACCGTGAGCAAACGATCGCAATGTCGAATAATCAAAACAGTTTTCACAAATACACAGTCGACTGGACGGCCAACATGATTGTGTGGCAGATCGACGGCACCACTGTTCGCAGCATGGCTCCCGCAGACGCTGATTCGGGTCAATACCCTCAGACACCCATGATGATCAAAATCGGTATTTGGGCTGGCGGCGACCCCAGCAATCCATCAGGCACAATCAGCTGGGCCGGCGGAACCACGGATTACAGCAAAGGTCCTTTTACCATGTACTGCAAATCGGTGTCGGTGATTGATTATTCGACTGGAAGTGAATATGTTTATACCAGTGAAAGTGGGACGTCCGACTCGATCTCGGCTGTGGGAGGTAGTGTTGATGGCAACATGGCCGCAACCGCGTCGGTTGCAACGGATGCTTCAGCGGCGACGATCACTTCATCCGGAGGCGAGGCTCCGCTTCCGTGGTCTGGCACGCATAGAGAGACATCGTCGTGGAGTACACCAGACATTTGGCCCTGGGTTGCGACGGCCACGGCATCGCTTACGAATAGTAATCCTTCGTCGGGGCATACTACTTCAGGGGGAGATAAGTTGGCACCATTGACGGTGTATCAGAGTAAGTTTTTTCACAAGCTACTTGATTTCTAGCCCGAGGCGACTAACAATTTTTTCAGAGTATTTCCCGGTGTACTTCATCTCCGCATCCCTTGCCTTTGGATTCCTGTTTCCTTTGTGGCGTTAGGATGCTCTTAGCAACAGCATGTCAAGCCACGGCATCACACCTTATCACCATCTACATCGTGGTGACATTCTCATTACATCTCATCTCATTCGCCAATTCCCACGACCACTACGACATCTCAAACATACCGGCTACATCTCGAACCTCCTATAGAAGACCCCAAATCACCCTACCCGTCTTCGGATCTTTCAACCTTTCCAGCGGTGCAACCATTCTTATCGATAGATCCACCAACCTATCCTGTACATTTCCCACATCAGTCTCAAAACCATACTCGACAACGTATAGACCACATCATCATTTCCGGCGTTTCACATGATTTTTTCACGGCTGATTTTACGCGTCATTTATGCATTATGATCGATATGCGGCACACACACAACACTTACTCTCAAATAGATTACCACATAAATCCACCTTGCTCAATATGAGGAGGGGTGGATTCGGCGTTTTTGCTTTTTTTGCACATTGGGATGGGCTTCTTATTCATGGATATGTATTTTCAAATGGTTCCGATCTGTGTATAGTAACAACGAAAATAGACGTTTCTTATGAGCATTCTCAGAAGCGTTTTTATGTTTCATACTTCACCTTCATGCGTACCTCTATAAAGATGGTATTTGGGTGTTTTCAAACCCAGCCAAGGAGTATTCACTGGACTTTCACCGACATACAGAAACATATCATACAGCCAACCACCAAAAGCAGTACCGCAGAAGGGGGCAACCATTGGTACCTGCAGATTTCATCAGAACATCCTGCTGTCCTGCAATGTTCGGATGGGGGGAGCTTACCCAAAAATAGTAGTTCCCAGCAGCCCAAACATTATGACCATAACCGATCATATAACTAACAAGTCTCGGACCAAAGTCACGCGCAAGATTGATCGCATACCCCGTTTCCCATCCAAAACAGGCGCCAGTCCCAAATATCACGAAGAAAAGAACCAGCGGCGTCAACGGACCCGCGCCGAGGTTATTATCATCCTTAACCGCAAAGATGGTGAACATCAATATCGAACTAGCAATAAACTCAGAAAAGAACTGCCCGGTCTTCGTCATGAATGGAGCAGGGTACGTGCAAAATATGCCCGCCGTGGCATTCGATGAATAGCCTGGGACGGTGCGAAGAGACGGACCCCCTTCGTAGACATCAATAGCCGATTTATAATTCGCGTACACAATTGCGGCTCCGGTCATGGCGCCGAGGATTTGGGATAGCATGTAAATTGGGAATTTGCGCCAGGGGAATTTTCGGTATAGACAGTTTGCGAATGTTACGGCGGGATTGATATGGGCGCCGGATATGCCGCTGGTGTAGACGCCTAGCATGACGGCGATTCTGGACATTAAAGTCAGATAATTGTTGAGGTAAAGGGGTACGCTGATATAAGAAAGATCTCACCCCCAGCCCCACGATATGGATTGATAGTCACCTCTTTGATCCCGACTGAGAGTCACTTGAGCAACAACGCCATCACCGAACAAGATCAGGATCATAGTCCCGAAGAACTCTGAAAATGATTCCCTGAGAGCATATCGAATGCGGCTCCAACGCGTTTTCTTTTGCTCGTATGACTCTACAACTGAGAACGGGATAATGTTTCTTTTTCTCCTACTAGGGCTGCTCATGGGTTCACTTAAGCTCTCTTCAGTCACCATAATGCAGTCTTTGAAATGTCTTGACATGAAGATATGTATGAATAATCAAGTTGATGGCTTTTTAATGCTCAAATATAGCGTTCTCGTTTGGCTTCCCTGCTCTTTGCAGACAGAGTGCTCGCCGAAAGGATTTCGGCTTAATGACCATTCATCTTCACTGATGGTCCTGCCAATGAGCCACACAGAACTCGAATCCACGCATTCTGTGCTACGAGCAGCTTATTAATACCGTTGCAATGAGACCTCCGACTCAAACCCGGTTACAATATTCATAATTCGGCTCGACGTCAAATTGAGGAAGATTGTAGTGTGACAAATGCTTTCGATTGAGGCCAGCAGATGTCGTACAGAGACAGTTATATAGGCCGAGTACCTCGTTGAGAGACCGAGATTCCGATGACACTTGTCCTGTTGTTACATCTACTCCTTCAGGTGGCTGAAAGCATGATGGCAACCTATCGGCAGTCCACACAAATGATGGAGTACAGAATAAGGCACTGCTCCATCGGAGAAAGCAGGATATTTCATTGAGGAGACTGCTCATTGATTTTATTTCGAAGCCCAGCTATCGATGTTTTGAATGACCCGGAAGATAAATGTTGATCAGGTGGGCGATGATCCATAATCCTCGTATGATCGTGCAGCGCAATAACTTCTATAAGCCATTAAAAATGCGACCGGACTGTACCGACGCGATCCATATCGTTCGACCTCAATCATCATTTCACACTCATCCGACGAATATCGCGATTTTTGCGGTGTCGTGTACCCCAGATTATCAGCATGTCATTGTTGCGATCGTCCTTCCCCGGACCCAGTTTTATCCCATCCGTCGTATGGAAATGTCACGGCGATGGAGTCTAGAGTCCGTCGTTCCTTGTAAGAGTGGAGAGGAATCCACTCGCGCACATGAATTGGTACATTTTGCTCGTGTTGATCGTATCAAACATCTAACCCCGCGTTTTCATGATGGCGCAGCACGGAGTACCATACTCCAACAAGTGCTTTTTGAAATTGGATGGAAACATAACATTGTCACATTGAATGCAAGTTTAATGTAGGTAACATCGCACAGGCGGCGAGTCTCCTTATCACGGTTGCACTGATCAATCGGTGTCTGATGCTGAGGTGAGCGTCTTTGGCACGATAATCGAGACGTATTTGTGCAACGTTGTGTGACCAAGACTTCGTCCGAAGCACCTTCGAAGAGCCTTGCGTCTCGAATTAAATACTCCCCAACGGAGACTCCGCGCTCGTATTCAACTGAGTGGAGAAGCTTCTTGACTCTTATCGGCTGTCCGTCCCCATCACACATTCAAATCCACCAAAGTTATTTAGATTAAAGCGCACAGACGATGATTCGTCTCACTCCAACAAAGCCGGCGATGTCGGTGCCATGCCGCATGAGTTCCCTGACACTAGCGAAGACACAATAGCCGGCGGAATCCCCAGGGATTATATTTCTCCCCCAGTCATAAGCAGCTATTCGTGTGGGGGGCCTAATCGCAACAAGGCCCCCCCAATGCAATGCTGGCAAGCTCGTGCTATTCTGATTTCCATGTGAAATACATCAAAAGGCGGAGGTCTTGTTGAAAACAAACTCCTGCACCTCTGCTGGCTGCTTAATTGCCACCCTTTTTTACATTTCACGAACAATCTCCTTGGGTTGACACAATGCCGGGCCTGGCTGAGTCTTTCGTTGGCTCCATAGATCAGGGAACAACAAGCACCCGGTTCCTAATATTCAACAGAGACGGTGAGCCTGTTGCGTCACATCAAGTAGAATTTGAACAAATATACCCGAACCCAGGGTATCTTTCACTTATTACTGTTCTGAGGTCAGTGCTAGATGCTAATGGAATACAGATGGCACGAACACAGCCCACTCGAACTCGTATCATCAGTTGAGACATGCATCGAAGAAGCAGTTAAGAAATTTGAAGAACTCGGATACGCTCGGCAATTGATCAACGCAATTGGAATCACAAATCAGAGAGAAACAACGGTCTTATGGGATTCCGAGACTGGAGAGCCTCTACACAATGCAGTCGTGTGGACGGATACGCGATCACAAGCTATTGTGAGAGATTTGAAATCTAGAAAAGGCGCCGAAGATCTACAACAAATCTGTGGTTTGCCTCTATCGACGTACCCATCATCAACAAAACTGCTATGGATGATCCAGAACGTGCCCAAGATTAAAGCCGCTTATGAAAGAGGGCATCTCGCATTCGGTACTGTCGATTCTTGGCTGGTATATCAATTGAACGGCGGACCAGCAGCGAATGTATTTGTTTCTGATCCAACAAATGCATCAAGGACGATGTTCATGAACCTAGCCACTCTTGAGTACGACGATCGCCTTCTGGACTTTTTCGGGGTCAAAGGAAAGATACACCTGCCTCGAATTGTGCCTTCATCGGACAGGAAAGCGTATGGGACTATCTCTTCTGGTGTTCTTCAAGGAGTGCCAATCATGGGATGCCTAGGTGATCAATCCTCGGCGCTCGTGGGTCAAAAAGGTTTCTACCCCGGTTTGGCAAAGAACACATATGGAACAGGGTGCTTTCTCTTGTATAATGTCGGAGACAAGCCTGTCATATCTAAACACGGCTTACTGGCAACTGTGGCATTCCAATTTGATGGCAAACCCGTCTATGCTTTGGAAGGTAGCATTGCCGTTGGGGGCTCAGGGATCAGGTTCTTACAGAATAATCTCAGTCTTTTCAAAGAGTCGAAGGAAGTCAACGAACTTGCATCAACTGTGGAAGACAATGGAGGCTGCATCTTTGTGACGGCTTTTAGTGGACTTTTTGCCCCGTATTGGATAGACGATGCTAAGGGGACAATCTGTAAGTGTCTTGTATACCCACAACAGACTGTATGAAAGCGATTTAATAAGACCCTAGTTGGAATCACACAATACACGCAAAAGGGTCATTTAGCGAGAGCAACATTAGAAGCAACTTGCTACCAAACTAAAGCAATATTGGATGCTATGGAGAAAGATAGTGGACATGCGCTCTCAGAACTGGCTGTCGACGGAGGCATGAGTAATTCGGATCTCGCGATGCAGGTAGGTATCAAGAGGACTGACCGCATCCATGTTATTCGGCTAACTTTCTGGTTCCTAGATTCAAGCAGATCTCTCATCAATTCCAGTCTACCGGCCGAAGATGCGGGAAACTACTGCTCTTGGAGCCGCCATTGCTGCCGGTCTGGCCCTAGGCCTTTGGCGCAACTTTACCGAATTGCGAGACATCAATCGAGCTGGCGGTGCAGTCTTTGAGCCTAGCGTGACCCCTGAGAAAAGCGCCGAGATGTTCAGCACCTGGGAAAAAGCTGTTCAGATGTCCAAAGGATGGGTGAAAAAGGATCATGAGACCGCAAATGGAGTACACAATACTCGCAAGCCATCATTTGTTGCTAATGACAAAACAAAGGAGTCAGCCTTCATCACAACCTCCGTCTTCAATGATTTGAATGGGGCGGATGAAGAAGATTTGCTTCTAGAGCTACGCAAGATTGAGATTCAACAGCGTTTGAAGATTTTGAGAAAGGGACTGAAGCCATGACTGTCTGTTGTATAGATTTCGTCCTATATTGATGCTGCAAGCATTGAAAGTCCAGCGCCTGAAGATAATAATGAATGGATGAATGTAAAGAATGTCTCCAAAAAAAAAACAAGAACCAAAAGTGCTCTTTTGTATGTAGTTGTACATAAGATTGGTCAGGTGACCTGGGTGTTGCATGCAAATAAGGAAAGAAGGCGCCCGCCAACGTCACTGGGACATGTTACATAATCCTTCGTGGGCATAATCATTATTCGTAATAACACACTTTTGGAGTTCGTCGAATGTTGGACATGGGTTTCATGGTTTCTGGCCGTAAATGGTATAGCTGTGAAGTCGTTGGATCAAAAGGTCAGATTTGTCAAGATGTATTTTGCTAACAAATACTTACAGATCTATCGAGACCGGCGAGGAATGGATAACATCACCCGTGAGGTCATCACGGGAAGTATTCTGTTGATCTTGATTCCAACAAGCTGAGTTCACAAATGATTTCAAGCTTGTGGAAAGCTGTTCATGGCATTGTGTCTCACTGCTGAGGTCCGTTTGCCACTCCACAAGGTGGTCAATTTCACGATTTTCTTCATCCGACTTCCGATAGAGTCTCACCAGCTTCACATCTTCGTAAGAGGTCACGGGCTGGTTTCTTTTGACCACGCGTATATTAATGAACCCAGCTTCATGCATCCATTGTGCCAAGAATGGGCCTGGGTACATGACCTCTCCTACCAGGACGGTGTTTTGGGAAGTTGGCCCGTGTTGGGATTCAAATAAAGGATATATATCCTGGAATTCTATCCATCCACCAGGATTGCAGTTCCTGATATTTCAGTCAGAAAGAGCGACACCTCGGTACCCAAAAGACTCACTCGAAACATTGCCGCATCAGCCTCGGCCAGTCGCGAACCCTACCCGCCAGAAGGCGAGCATGAATGTAGTCAAAGGAGCAGGAATAGGTCCACTCGTCGTCAAACTCGTCAATTCGAAAAGTCAAATTTGGAGGAACCAGAATCGGTTGAGAAGGACTGAGCTCGACCCCAACAACCTCGGCGCTTGGATATGCATCTGCTATTTCGATGCACCATGTTCCCGTTCCACAACCTATATCTAATATGCGCTGAGGATGCCATTTGATAGGTGCTAGGTGTAGAAAGCCGTCTGCAGTCATTGTGAAAATCAGATGCATCAATTCCAGTCGTTCGGCTTCTTCCTGACTGTATGGGGAAGTGATACTGTAGAGTTCCACTGAAGAGTCATCCAATTCATCATCCGACCAACTGTACGCTGAAAACAGGAAATTTAACATTGTCTTATGGAGAAGTTGAATGTAGGAAATTGAAAAAAAGCCCTTACCATCGTCTTCGTCTTCATCGTCATATATTTTTCCGTCTTGGACTTGACAGTCGACAGTGTTCAGATCAAGTGACATTGTAGACTCATTGTCTCTGGATAGATATCAGTCATTAGGCAACATGTGCGGAGGCTTTTCAAAACGAGAAGTGCAATTACGTACATTTCTGAATACCCCTCATCGATGAACTGTATAGGTCTAGGGGTAAACAAATCTCTCATCTTGACCGGAAGCTCCATAGCAGCAAACTCGAAAGACTGGCCGTGGTGGTGTTATCGATGTAACCACCAGATGCGAGGTTGCAAGATGAGTGATTTTCAAATTCAAAGTGCATCTTTGGCTTATCTTTATACAACCTTCTTACGCTGGCAGCTACATATCGCATCCATTGTTCGAGGTGTTCTTTAAGTGAGTCGACCTCGAAAGGCAGTTCGGATGTGACACGTTCTATCGATCAATCAATAGAAAGAAAAAACCCGGGCAATCGGTTAAGCTTAGGGTATTATCACTCCGCCCAGTAACTATGGCATAGGCCATGCGTACAAACAAACCACAGAAAACCTTCTCGGAGAAATGTCCCTTTGACCTTTCACACGTTTTCTTTTTACCCTAGCGTCTTAAGGTTCAATCTTTGTTGTACCCATGGCTCGCTTAAATTTGGTCATACCCAAGGATGGAGAGAGTCGGGATGACAAAAAAAGGAAGAGTAACTTGATATCGCTTAATGGACTTGAACAACGGTTAATAACTCAGGCATTATCCATGGGTCATTTGTGGAACGAATGTGTCACTCTGCAATTTCTAGGCTTTGTTGAATTTCTGGATTATTTGATTTCTTATACATATTGGATAGTCCAGTCGACCTATGGAAACACCCCGACAACAAAGGGAAGAAGAAAAGAACTTGCCTGTTCAACGTGAAGCAACGGTAGATGTTCACGTATATTTTTCGTATTCATTTTTATATTATTTAAACAATAAACTCGGCGAGTCCGAGAATGTCCGCTCGAATGGAAAGCAAATGGAAGAATATCACTTTCCCAACCTTATGTATATATCATGTGTTATTTGAATTACCTGTAGGGCTTGCTCACCGATTCGCTCGCAGACGGCGACTAGTTAAGAAAGGTATTCTTTATTCTTCGAACATTCACTTTGCCTGGGAGGTCTACTCAGGAAAGTGATTCGTGGCTTATCGAATTCTCTTTGTTCGAGGCTTGTGTGATGTGAAAAGATGTGTGGCAGGGCCATATGACAGCGGTTCTGTCTTTCTAAGCCCTCATAGGGTTGGCAGTGTGATGAGTCAAAAGATGGTGTTGTTCAGATCTAGTTAGGCAATGACTGCGAAAGGTTCGTGACCATGATCAACATGTGAAGCATCTGGGACATGCGTATGGTAGCCTACTCGATTCTAAAGCGAGGCATTCGAACACCGGCGATCTGATGCTTCCATGTCGACAGTTCACTGTAATAGCTGAGACACATCTAAACCCTTTCATCCTTCAATAATCGAATATACTGGCTGTGTCTTTTTTCTTTGATCCAACTATCAAAGCAAGGGTCTTGGATGATTTATGGGCCGACTCTCAAAGCTTCATATCGGAGATGGCCGTACGTCCTCTATTGCGATATACTCGGTAGCTGATATGCGAGATGTTTTACAAAGCTTTTGATTGATCAAACGATTTTGGGGATATCCTGAAGTTCTAGATATGACTCGAGGCAAGATAAACATTCCGATTACGGATGTAGTCAGCCGTATGATGACTAATCTGATATGATATCACGTGACATAATACTAAACTCATTCATGTGGCTGTGGCTGTGGCTGTCGAGATATGACTGACTTTTGATGCGCATTCTAGAGGTATTCTTGAAGCGCGCGAGCTTTGGATATCATTCAGAGAATCGTTGTGAATGCCTCTCTTTGATTTTGATTAGGTGTACAGCTTCATGAAAAACAGCCACCCCGAATTCTCTTCTGTTTCACCAGCCAGAGTTACAATATGGCGCCAACAGACGACCTCAAAGCCCACGCGGCATCATCACAAGACTTTTACGCGCTTTTAGACGTATCCCCCGCAGCAGCAGACAATGAGATCCGACGTGCCTACCGACGAGCGGCATTAAAATACCATCCCGATAAAATTGCAAACCCAAAACCTGCAGACATCGACAAGTTCCATTTACTCCAAATCGCATACGATGTTCTCTCCGATGCGTCTGTGCGACAGCTCTACGACAATGCGCGTGAGGCAAGGGAGCGGAAGAAGCGGGAGGTGGAGATGATGGATGCGGCGAAGAGGAAGATGAAGGAAGATCTGGAGGCTAGGGAACGGGCGGGTGATGCGGGCGCTGCAGCGGCACAGCGGGGGRTGAAGAGGACGTGGATGATGTCTAGTGCTGCAGATAATGAGGCGGAAGAAAGACTGGAGCGGGAGATTCAACGTATTGCGGAAAACTCGCAGCGGAGACGTCGCGAGGCAGAGGAAAAATTGATGAAGGAGGCTGAAGAGGAGGAAAAGCAGGAGCGCATGATGGCAGAGCAAGAACGTGAAGAACGAGATAGAAGTTTTGCGCGAGTTGATAGGTCTAAGGAAGGTGGCACGAATGTTCCGGAACTCGAGAGGGCTGTCAAAGTCCACTGGGTCCGTGAAGGGCCTGGTGAGAAGTTCGACAAGGACAGATTAAAAGAGCTCTTTTCGGCGTTTGGGAAAGTAGAAAATACATTCTTGCTCAAGGATAAACGAAAACGCATCGGGGAGAAGAAGGAGAAGAAGACAATTGCCACCGGAGTGGTTGTTTTCCCATCGATAGTCAGTGCCCACTCGGCCGTTCTTGACAGTGCGAAGAGGATAAGATCAGGAGCACAAGGTGATTGGGCTATTCTCGATTCCGTGGTATGGGCATCAGGAACCGGACCTGACCTGAAATCGAGACCGGATAGTCATTCGCCAGTACCGGGTAGCGAGACACCGATAGCATTGCCGAAGTTTACAACATCCTCTACATCCGCCCCTTCTATACCTCCGACCAGGGATGACAACATCAAGAAGCCGGCATTCGACTTTGCCAGCTTAAAGAAAGGCCCAGCAACGAAGACAGCCGGTGGAAAACCTTCATTTGCTTCTTTCTCGGCGCGACCTGCTCAAGCAACGCCTTCAGATAGCACGGCCACCGAGAATCCCGCGTTGACAACACCGAGTCTGCAAGAAATCACGCTCATGAGACTAAAGACCGCGCAACGGGAAAAAGAACGCAAAGCTTTGGAGGAGCAGTTGCGAAAAGAAGACGAGGCTGCTGATGCCGCTGCTCAAGATGTCTAGAAGTATCAAAAAAAAAACAACCTTGTATATAGAATAATGCTAATGGCTATATTATGAATATTAGGATACCCATCGTTTAAAGTTTTTCCAACCATCCACTACCGATCTGTTCGAATTTACAAGATCAGGCTAAGGGTACGTTGTTCGTAATACAATATAGGTAAGTCAGGTGTCCTTTAGAGATAGGTACATCCCGGACACCTTATCGTATCCCCGTAGTCCGAGCATTCGTCGAGTTCTTGGTTGTATCTACATTAACGAAAATGAAAAAATTCTATTTTCAAAGAGGAAGACTATTCATTGATAAAACACAAATGAAACGTCGAAAACTGTGATAGCTTTCTAAGCACATTGTTGCCTGGTTGAGTTAAGCAATATCCCTAAATTAAAGTCTCGTATCAAAAAAGCAGTTTGTTCTGTACTGAAGACAGTCTTAGAATAGAAATTGTTGATACTATTCCAGCCCCATGGCACTTAGCTTCGTCCTGTCCTAGTCTACCCATAACTTCTAAGTATATAGGCAAGACATTCACAGGACAAGAATTTTAAAAAAGAATTCTTCTAGGTAGTACCCAAACAGATTGTTTGTTCTGCTCATGTGACCTAAAGCAAACGCCCGGTCCAAAAAAGGAAAGAATGGGGCAATCAAAGAGGTGCATCTATAAATATCGCCAGTCTCCAACCATTCCCCTTTTCCTTTTCTCCTTCTTTCTCCAACGATCAATCAGATGTTCGTTCTTACGCTATATAAAAGGCCATGACTACTTTATTCGGAAAGAGTACATTTTCGTCAACGACGACGCTACTACAATAGTAGCAACAACAGTAACAGCAACACCAATAAAAACAAGACTAACAGTGGTGACAGTCGTTGTGTTCAGCTGCTGGTCTTCAAGCAGCAGCAACAGCAACAGCAGGAGCAGCAATTACAGTCGTGAGTCCTTTTACAAAGAAAATCTATATTATTGAGCGGTGCTTGCTAACATCTTGGATACTGTAGGGCTTTGTGATTACTATCGAAGGACCAATATCATCTTCGTCAACGACAAGACCGGTACTAGTACTGCTACGATGACGACAACAACGACAATAACGGCGATGACCACCACCACTGTATCAAAATATTACTGCATATCGATGAGAGCACGGAAGATAGATCTGAAATGGCTTCTGTCTACAACCGAAATGCTCCTCACAATTTAATCGCAAAAATCGGACCGAAGGAACGGACGTCCGATCACAATCACCACCACCACGATAGCAGCAGCAACGACAACTGTAGGAGCAGCAAGAGCATGTATAGTAGCAATGTTAATAGTAAGTTCACCCAGACTGCGAACTTCATTCTCGTTTGATACTTACCTTGCCCACGACAGACTTATGAAATCACTGCCTGAAGAATTACCGCCGTCAACTTTCAAAGTAGGAGAACTTATACGGGCACTCTACTCTGAAGCGCTCCATGAGGGTCTTGATGCAATTGATTCCGCTATTCCGGATGCCCAAATGAACTTTTTGCCGTTTTCTTCCACCAAGGTGTGCCTCGATACCGCAAACCTCGAAAATCTCTGTTATGATCTACTTCGCCGCACAAGATCGCTGCAATCAGCGCCCCAACAACGGAGCTACGGTCAACTGCTCCCTTTCTGCGCTGGTAGTCTTCAGGAGCTCTGATCCAAATACATTCCTGAAAGAATTCCTCGAGCCCTCGCACAATTAGATGTTCGTCATGCCGACAATCGCGAAACTCATGATCCACAACTCTTCCAAACCCCCAAGATTAGAATATTGTTTCTGTTGTTTGACCCAGAGGTTTGGATAATCTACTCAAAGGGCTATAGTAGCGAGGCCTTTGGTTGCATGAACGCCATGGATCTGGGAAATCACGTTAGGAGATTCTTTGGTGGGGCCTTTGAAAATGGGTGAACAATGTCTTTCAGATACAACTTACTCATTCCCACGCATGATTGTTGTGATGCGCCATGAGAGGTTTCGGAAATTGACAGCCCGTTGTTGTGACACTCGCTATGGGAGCGGTCATTTGCATGGTCTGTTATATATAATGCTCGACATCGACATCATCGTAGCCGACGACCACACCGCTGCAACTATATCATCATTGATACAACAGCAACAGTAGCAAGAACGACAAGAAATCGCCGCCGCCACCACCACCACCATCATCGGGATTAATTGGTAAGTACCCCATGCATATCCTTACTGAGATCGACGTCTTTTTCTTAATCTTAATGCTAATCGTAGTACGATCTACAGGTGCCATCATCGACCGAAAACAGCGAAGGCGCGACACATGGACGGAGCGTTCTTCGAAGATCGCAATGTCAGAACGTGAATGCTCTCCAAGGATCTTTCGGAGAAAAAGCACGTGGAAAATAGGGTTTCAGCGGCCAACCGTCGGCTGAGCAAGCCCTAGAGTAAACTCAGGGCATCAATTCCGGTATATGTGTAGACGATTCGGAATACTTGACTAGATCAAAAGCATGTACATAGTCTAGACTTTCCTCCTTTTGATAATTCTTTGTATCGATCTCATAGCATTTTGCGGAAAGAACATGGGCGGACCCCTACCAAAATTACAAGGTCTGCCAGGGGAAATAGCAAAATCGCAGAACCCCATACTCCGTACAGTCATGCAACTCTCGGCGGTACCCTGCCCAAAAGCGTACAATGGATCGGAAAGGAGAATATGGAGTAATCCGTCCGCCTTCTCGAATAGTAAGGTCTAGCCCGATGGCTCGGCGACAACTTCTGCTCCCGTACGACCACGGATGGAGCTCTATTTACGTACTCGGTAGACCGCCGGTACCTGATGACTAAGAGAATCCTACCAGATCCACCTGTAGCTGTCACGGCGGCGGTCTCCGATATAAATTCTGTGTAGTATACAAAGTGATGGCTCAATTGAATATAGAGTACATACTACGCAGTACGTAGTTCGTTAAAAAGCCGGAAATTTGAAGCATTTCCGAGGAGAGCAACGCCCCAACCATCACATGTGCCCCTACATGGTTTGCCATTTGCCATTCGGCCCGTCGATGAGTCTAGTACTTACGGAGCACTAGCACTTTGTATGTACTACTACGTACGGAGTAGGCAGCCCTAGATTTAGGGCTACGCCGAACACACAAGGGCGATGGCGTGCAAAGTTTGGGTGCCGATACCCGCGTGATTTAGTGCCAGCCTGTAGTAAGCCTGCCGCATCGCCCTGCCCTTTCCAGCTGAAACCTTGAGGGCCCGTCTGTGCTTATTTTGACATCTTTTACCACCCAGTACTCACTAGTACGAAGTGGTTAGTTAGCTCGTGGGCTTACATTCTATTATGTAATAGCAAGGTCCATTGTCCAGTGTTTGCAGCACGGTGTCTTTTAGGGTCGATTCTAGACCGTTTGGGATGTTTGTTTATTTTAGATCAATATCAACTTTTTTCTTTCTTTTTCAATTCACTTCATTACGAATATTCATTTGGATTCAAATGAATGATGAAGTTGAGAGAGGTCTGTTCACCGCAAGATGGCCCAGCATGGCGCCAGGCTAAACGGCACATGATGCGGGGTACAGCGAGATCGAAGCAGGAGAAGAAGGGAAAAAGAAAAGAAAAGGAAAAAAAAAAGCAATACATTCTCCGTACGGGGTCAATACATTCGCCCTAACCACATCAGGCAAAATGATTTGCGCTCTAGCCATATCAGGAAGCAGGAAAGAGAAAAAACAGCCACAAAATTACGGCTAGTACGAGTATCCGTTACTAGATCGACCACTGATCGAAATCACGTCACCTGCTGGGAAAAATTTTCTTCTTCGCTTTGACTTTACTATGTACTAACATAGTGAGTGGTACGTAGGTGGATCGCGTCATGTTTAGTCAGTCTTCTCGATCTTGCTATGCGAACGATGAGACTCTGTGCTTCGAGCACGTGAGACTCCTTACATCTAACTAAGTACACTCATACATACATACTGTTGCTTACGTGGTGCGCGACTTGTCTGCCATCAGCTCATTGCCCAATGAAATGGTATCATCGTACGGTGAACTGACGACGACAAGGTCCTCAAACTGATCCATCAGATCATTGACTTCCCTATGGTCCTCTGGTGGAGATTGTTGCTGATGTCGTCTTGATGAGCACTTCATCATGAATCATACACGCTTCATCAGGTCATAAGCGCGTGCTCTCGCGTTATGTCTACTTGCAGTCGATCAACTAAGCTCAACTCACTTGTGTACCTGTTCAACTCCAGACGGAAACAGTGAGCTCAATATTACAAATTCCATATTATCAATCTCCAGGCTCTAATTAACTTCGTAGAGCCAACAAGAGATGACTCACATTGTGTTCAGAGGGCGCTTCATCGGCTGATTGGCGTGTAAAGCAGTTCGTATTGTAATTACCAACCCGCCCTAAGTTGGGCCCACTACATCATCTTTTTTTTTGGCTGTTCCCCACCGTCGAGACTCTTTTAGTATACTTTTTTTGTATCATGGCAAGAAGGTACTGGAACCAAGGCACTCTTTTCCACGGGCCGAGTACGTGTGATCTTAAGAGGGGAAACGGAAAACTAAAGAAAACTCTGAATTGAAACAAAACTTTGTATGGATCAGGTGGATCGCCGCTGCTGTCAAGGTTTTCCTTTCAGGCAACACTACAAAGAGCTGCCTCCTTCCTCTTTGTATCCAACTTTTGCAACTTCCTCCCTCCAACAATAATACCTCCACACTCACACCCATCCCACCACGTACATCAACTAGCATCAGAAACCACAAGACTAGCTGAATCAAATACTACGTCCTGATCATCAACAACTATACATACACCTAGAGAGAGGTCTACCTACACTAGAATGCCCGGCCGTCTGCTGTCGAGCCTGGTACGCTCATCCTCGCCACATGCCATCACATCAGCTTCCCGCTCTCCGTCGACTACCTCTGTGAGCGACACGCCATCTACATCCAACACATCGTCCAAGAGAAACTCCTGGTCTTTCCCCTCGGCCGACGGTCATGACAGCACCATCGAAAACCGCATCTCAGCAGCCATGGAGCACATCATTCACCCTCACAAGGAAAAACGCATAAGCCTGGGAAGGTCCTCTCGGTCCAAGGAGCGCAGCAAATCCTCAAAAGAAATTCCGCGTGCTGTTTCCGGCCCGAAGCTCGACGTGGTCATCGAGTCACCCCCACTTGTTTTCTACGGCACTCCGGCCAGCTCGACGGGAGCTTTGTTTTCTGGACGTATGCGCGTTACCGTCTCTGAGCAACAGGGTTCAGCCACTTTGAAAGAATTCAAGGTCGATCTCACCAAGACATTCACAACCAAGAAACCAATCTCCAGGGACTGCTCCGGCTGCGCTTCTCGTGTCGAGATCTTGAAGAAGTGGGACTTTTTGACGGAATCCGTGACCTTGAAAAAGGGAGACCATGACTTCCCCTTCAGCTACTTGTTCCCAGGAGACCTGCCTGCCAGCGCTTCAGGAAATTTGGGTGTTATTGAATACTGGATCATCGCTCGCGCCATCACTACCACCGGAGCCGAGATCGTCAAGAAGGTCCCTCTTACCGTTCACCGTGCCATCTTGCCTGGTAACGACCGCGCCTCTGTCCGCATCTTTCCCCCGACCAATCTGACCGGTCGAGTCATCCTCCCGTCTGTCGTACACCCAATTGGCGCCTTCCCAGTTCAAATGAGCCTCAGCGGCGTTGTTGAGAAGGGGGAAGAGACTCAAACTCGATGGAGACTCAGGAAGATGATGTGGCGTATCGAGGAACACCAGAAAGTAGTTTCCAGCTCTTGTGCAAAGCACGCCCACAAAATTGGCGGTGAAGGAAAGGGCGTTCTACACCAGGAGACTCGCATTATCGGCCACAACGAGGAAAAGACTGGTTGGAAGACGGATTTTGACACTGCTGGTGGTGAGATCAACATGGAGTTCTTGGCCAACATCAAGCCCGGAAGCAAGCCCATCTGCGACCTCGACGTCAAGGGCCACATGGAAGTCAAGCACAACCTCGTCATCGAGCTCATCGTTGCGGAAGAATTCTGCCCGAACCGGAACACCAAGCTCATTACTCCTACCGGCGCTGCCCGTGTCCTGCGTATGCAGTTCAATCTGCTCGTCACTGACCGCAGTGGCTTGGGAATCAGCTGGGACGAGGAAATGCCTCCTGTCTACGACGACGTTCCCGCCAGCCCTCCCGGATACTTCAGCGTCAATGGTGGCTGCGAAATGGAAGACTACGTTGGCTCGCCACTTCCAGATCTGCCCGACTACGAAGATCTTGAACGCCTAGATCGGTCCGAGCATTCCTCCCTTTCGGGGCTATCACGCGAGATGTCTCGATTGACAGCCGACGATCTGATTGCCGAGCCTGAAGTGGCAGCCCCTCGCAGCACTGCCCAGGCGGAGGCAGAAACACCAGACGTTGTTGAAGCCGGAAACATCGAAACAGGCGAAACTGCTTAGTTCAACTCAACCCTTACGACTTTATGACTTTAATCAAAATCAAAAAGGACTTTATGGAACACGGTACCGATGATACCCGGGATTTGTTACTGCTATTGCATTCATCTTTCTATTTATTACCTTTCTTTTGTCATTGTGAAAAGTTCCGCGGCGACATGATATCACTCGATACGGTTAGGGTGACATGGGAGGCTTTTTTTATGTTCTTTTTTATCCTGCAAGGCCCTATGCTTCGGCCAATTTATGCAGACAGATACCCCCATTACTGCGATATAATAATACAATTCTTCTCTATTCTACCCTTTCTTGCAGCTTGGATCTTGCTATCTGCTTAATATATTTTATACCCCATAACACCCACCCCCCATCCCAAGGGCACCAATAAGGCAACCAACGCCGCCAACGGAGACGATATCTCCAACACACACCAAACCCACATTGTGCCTATACTCGGCGCCCGCTTCATGACAGCGTAGTATCCCGCCTGGTTTGTAGTTTGCACGAGCGTCCCACCGAGCACGATTGCAAGGGGTAGGAAGAAGAGTAGCGTCCGTGCAGTGAAAAGGTCGCCTATCAACGCTTCTGATACCATCGACGATGCTGACACATCTTTCGGCTTGGCTGGTCTGCGTTTCCCTTTCCGTCGAGGGAACGAGATTACGTGGCCGTGAGCGAGATGGACGACGAAGGTAAGCACTGGAAACGCGATGAAAAGTGATTCCTTGATCAGATCTTTCCATATGATGTGTTGCACGTATTGGTGTGCGGCGAGGAAGGCGAGGGTGAAGTGGACGGTCGTTAGAGGGATGGAGGTGAATAGGGTGTCGATTAGAGGTGGTATTTCTGCGTCTTCTTCTTCTTCTTCTATTTCGTCTTTCGTTTTGATTATTTTGGAAGGGAGGGTATTCGGGTCAAGGCTCGATATTTGTCCTGTTGATGAGAGTTCGAGGAATTGCGTCTCTGTTGCGTTGAGGTCGAGGAATTGCCCGTTTGGTAGTTGAGGCTTTTCCTTTCCTTCGTTGTTGATGTGTTGGTTCAGTTCTTGTTGTCGCTCAGCTGCGATTTCGAGGAGGGTCTTCGCTTGTTGGGCGCTGCTGCTCTTGTTGCTATTGTTTGTGAATTCCGGTGGGCGCGAGAGAGGGATTGACGAATCGACAAAGCTGTTTTCGTTTTCTGCTGCAGCTGCGGCTGCAGCGCGGCGTTGTTTGCGGTTATGGGGCATTGCGCATATTTCTAAGTTTGATGTAAATTATCAGTTTTCTGATGGTGGGAGGTGTCGTGTGGTGAGTTGAGTCGGCATGGAAATAAAGTATTTGTCTTGTCTTACCTCCGCGGTGGGGTGTCGCTCGATGCGGTTAGTCTGTATTTGTTTATATTGTCCACATTTTAATTCCAGAGAAATAAATAGTTATTTTTCAGCATACTTCTATGCCTATGCAGCTACTGAGTGTATTCTTGAAACCTCTTTTCCCCCTCCCTCAACTCAACCTCCTTATCCCACACATCTAAACCATCACCGCGCATACGTTCCACGGCATCGATGATAGCAGGGTCATCATATATTGGTACTTCAAGTAGCGTCTCTGTCGCCGGGAAAGCCTTATTCAAAACGACATAGACAAGAGCACCACTCAGAAAGCTATAGAGATAGTTGCAGTCGTAGAACCGTGCCAGTCCAGTGCTGATCTTGACACTACTGCTCACCGAATTCGCCAGTCCCGGAAGCGTAGGCGTAACAGCCACGAGAAAGGCAACGACGGACCTCCAATTGACACCGAACTGATACCGGTATCGACCATGCCGACGATACAATCCCGGTACATCAAAGTTGCGCTTCTTGACAATCCAATAATCAGACGCCAGAATCGAAGCAATCGGTGCCAGAAACACCGCCAGCGCAGATATAAAAGTGATGAGTGACGAAGCCGAATACACAATCTTCCACGGGACCATAATCCAGCCCGAAATCAGCGACACGAGAATTACGCCACGACGGATATTGATGTATTTAGGAAACAGATTTGTGAGATCGTTGGCCGCTGAGATAACGCTGGCAGACATATTAGTCCCGATCTGGGCAATGACCCAACACAACCCGACGAAGAATGCACCGCAGCGACCTGAGGGTCCGTCCCAGTGAGAGGCGAGTTCGAGCGGACTCCAAATATAGGTTCCATAAACGACTTTTGCGCAGCTGGTACTGATTGTGCCGAAGACGGACATGAGGAGGTTTATGCTAGGGAGCATGAAGGCTTGCCAGTAGACGCCTCGGCCGTTGCGCATGTAGCGCGTGAAGTCGGGGATGTTGGTTGCCATTGTTGCCCTGTCTTATCAGTCCTGCGTCGTGTACTGTAGGCAGAGAGACTCACCATCCACCGCACTGGGCAGAGAATTGACTCATGATCAACCAACTCCTCGCCGACCCCGAGACGGAGTACTCCTGATTCCATATATCACCTACGCCGTGCGCCTTGTATGTCATGGCAATGACCGTGCCTGTACTCGCAATCAAAACCACGAATACCTTGACGACAAAGAACCACTTGAGTTTGTGCGGTGGTGTGAGCATTATAGGCGTCTGCACGCACCAGAATACGAGGTGCGCTATCATTTCTGAAGTGGTTATACCGGCATTGTCGGGGAAGTGATTGGGAATATTCAGAAATGATGGCCAAATGGCGCGAATGACCTGTATCATTAGTCGCTATCAGCTACAAGAGACGGGGGGTGCCTTACCTGGTACATTGCCTGACTACCGGTCCAGGTTTGGATCGCTAGACATGTTTTAGTTTTTGATACTTATATTGGCAAAGGCTATACTGACCATTCCAGAAAAGCGCTGTGATGAGTCGAACAATGACCGCGAATCGGGAAAAATAATACCCAAACGACGACCTCGTAACAACAGGAAAGGGTATATGATAATGAGCACCAATTGCGCCATTTAGAATCAACGGTATTGTATCCACGATTGCTCCCAAGACGGCTATCACATATTATTCAGTTGTGTCTATTATACATCCGAGACAGTCTCTTACGCAGGTAGAAAGCCTCCCTCCACGTCAACCCAAGCTGTATAATCGAACTCGGTCCCTCCCACCCCTGTGCATTCAGGGCATCACTGAACCAGAACCCCAACACGGTAGATGTAGACCATGTCCTTCGCTCCAGTGGCGTAACGTCCGCATCAATATTTGTCCAGGTGCCTTCGTCTGCGAAACTGGTCGTTTCGCGGGGGAGAACCCAGCCCGAGAGTTTGGATTTGCCTTGGAGATGGCCGATTCGGCGGCGGATAGGCTCATTCATATTGAGTATTGATGGAACAGAATACGTACAATTTGAAAGTAAGTAGATCGAAGAGGCAAATAAGGTGGTCGTGTGGCCGAGAAGGTGGGCAGTCGTGCAAGTCTATGTATACGAACATCTTGCCCTAATTACTCCCTCCCCACTATGGATGATAGCAACAGAGACTAGCGACCTAGTCTTCGTTGTTATCATCGGCCTTCACGCCGTGATGCTCCGTCGGGTACTAGATTAGTCTCAATATTGCTATCAGTGCATTTTTATCATTTCCCCCTCTAGTTGAAGTTGGTTTTCTTGCTATCAGACATCGGGTCGTCCGCTGATCGACATTGCCTATCGTAGTAATTATTCGGCTCTTAGAGTGGGAAGTGAGGGGTGATTCTTGCTTCATCTGATACCAGTATCTGTTTCAATGATTTCTAGTAAATTCTTTGCAGTCGAATTCCTAGGGCCTGAACGTAAATCTCAAATGCGCGCGAGTCGTTATCGAGTACAACCACGATGTCTCCAAGCCCTTGTCCTCCGAATTCTAGGTTATCTATATCCGTTAATCGAAAATCTCCAAAAACCCCGTCATTCCCTCCTCTCACATCTTCAACAAACACTATTCTCCACATCTCAAGATTCGTGCCCTCCGGTCTGTTCGCAGGTATGAGTTTTGCAGAACATGAACCTGCCCTAGTCGGCATTCTTTCGAGGTAGCCGTAAAAAGACAGGAGGTCTGTGCCGTTGGATATCCATTCTGAAACGTACAGTCCTGGGCCATCTTGGTCGACTTTGATGCTCATATAAGACTCGGTTGCGCCATTGCTACCATCGTTGCCGAGATAGCGATATTCTCCAGCGTACCGCAAAACCGCCTGCTTTCGCGCAATAGATTCAATGGCAGGAATCAACGCTTTGATAACGGCCTCTCTGATAACTTCCATTGTATCAGCTTTCCCGGCAACCATAACCAATAACCCCTGTCCAAATTCAGGTATCAGCATTGCGCACGAGTGATATCCGTGCAGAGCCCCGGTCTTGAGTATGATATCAAGCGGTCGTCCGTTATGTGTAAGACGAGTTGTCCGATAGAGTTCTCATGCTAGACCGTAGGCTGAGGATGTACTGGAGTCAGTCCACGAGTGATGCTTTAACCATGCGTTTATAGTGCTTGGGGGCAAGAGTTCGGCGCGGAGGATTGAGCGCAAATATCTAGAAAGATCGTTGGGGGTGCTGTAGAAACCGGCTGTTCTACACTAAGATTAGTTATATGGTATTAGAATCTACATTATGTAGACTCACGCATCAGCGGCTCCAAGCTCAATGCCCCAATGGTTTGGAAATAGTGGAATGATACTCTTGTTCTTAGCCGGTGTTCTCGTTGTAGTGCTGTTCATACCTAATGGCTTTAGAGCGGACCTTGTCACACCTTCCTCAAATGAGAGACCAGATGCTCGCTCCAGGATAATACCTAACAGGGAGAATGCGGCGTTTGAGTATGTAGGACGATCGTTGACAGTGAATATGCGTGAGGCTGTCCGAGCTCGGTCGATGATGTCTATACAGTCAGCTTGGTCTTAGTTAAAAGTTTCCTGAGATACGTACCAGAAGATGTGCATGCCATGTTCTCGAGCAGATTGTTTTGGCCAAGGGATGTCGGCAATCCTGCCTTTGCCAAATCACTCGTGCTATACCCCATTTCCAACACCTCTCGCCATACAAAACAAGGGCTACCAGCTGGTAGCACGATATCAGTCAAACGCTTGAAACCATTTTGAGACTGACTTACTATCGCGAGGCAGCCCACCAAGATACGACGCAAGAGATCTCAGCGTAACCTGCTCCCAATTGACAAGCCACGGCTCTTCCTTTCTGTGCATCAATTCGGGGATGTAGAGCGTCACGGGATCATCCAAAGCGATCGACTTCTCAAGTAACAAAGCATACATAGTAATGGTTTTGGAGATACTGGCAATTCGAAAGCTGGTGTCTCCGTTTACTTCCGGCTTTAAATCACTGGCGTTAGAGAAGGAACTCCAGAGTGTCTCTTCGGCGGATGTAAGCTGCACCGCCCATGATTCTTGTCTCCATATATCGGACTCGGAATCCCTGAGTAAAGAGTTTATGGAATCGTCCAATCTGTTTCGCAATTCAATGATATCATCGTTTGTAGTGCGCAGGGTCAATGGGAAAGTTGCTGGTCCGGGCACACAGCGACTTTGAGCGAGTGAGTACGAAAGCAGAACACCAAGAATGATATGATTTACGATTAGTGTTGGGCATACTGAGCTGTGCCACATAATGAATCGAATGCATAAGGTCAAAAGGTAAATCTAAATCAGTGAATCATCTTGTGGATAATCCAACCTCGGATTGTCTAAGGGTTTGCCATTGAGTTAGGGCTAGGATCTGCATCGACGCGGGGCGCCTCCGCGTTCACTATCAGCATTGCATCGAACAAAGCTTGATTCTTCTAATCTATGGGCATGCAATCTAGAGTAGGCCAGATACGTAGCTCAGAGCTGACTCAGTGTATACATAATTAGTTAATACTTGTAGACTCAGTAGATTGAGGGACGACTCGCCAACAGTGCCCCACCAGTCCTTATCTATACTATGCTCCTCTCGGGAAATTTTGCAGAGAAGTTGGAACTAATTCCACCACGTTCTTATCGTTTTGTAAGACTTGCATGCTTGTAGTAGCACAGAGTAGCACTCCGGACAGTGGCACTAACAAGATTACGTGCTTTGAAATCGAACTGAGCTGAGAGCTGTGTAGAGGGCGAGGCCAGAAACGGTCCGGCGGCACGGATTTAGCAACGGGCTTAGTCTAAGCTCGTTCCAGGCGGGCCGTTGATGTCACTTTCCATTCATCGTTCTTCTTTTTCCTTGTACATAGACTGGTTCTTCTCCTTTTCTCTTTTCTTTTCTTGTATTTCTTAGATTTCAGTACATTGCTTGTATTTTATTGTACTTACTTACTTACTTACCTACTTTACTACCACTCGCCATCAACTGATATGTACACCGGCCGTCAACAATCCCGAGTCGCTCATCATGACCACGGTTTCGACCGGCACCGACGAAATTGATACTAGGAGGAATGTTGCTCTGACCAACAACAGCAACAGTCAACTAAACTCGCCGCGACTGTCGGAAGGAGTGTTTCGAGGACAGCGCAATGCCCCAAATGGTATGTCGCCATGCGATGATAGTGTGTGTTGCGATCCGAGTGAGCCGGTTGGCTAATCTTTGTCGCGAACATGCACATACCTGGTTCATGATTAATTTGCCTCTTACTAATTTTGCGACTCAACTTCAGGAACGGAAACCCCCTCAAGCGCAGATAGAACACTCAACGATGATAAAGGAGATGGGAATAACAACGCTGAAAAACGCGTCGATAACGCGCAGTCAGATGGGTCTTTACCAACTAGGTCGCGGACAGCGGCTGAAGAGCTTGAAACATCGGAGAGCGCTGGAATTGACCCTCTCTCACAGGTACGCCAAACTGAGCGCAATTTCTGGCTACATTGAAGCTTCGCGCATACCATTGGACATCCGCAATGTACTAACGCTGTCGCCAGCATATACTGAAACGGACGCAAACCGAGAAATCGATCCCCTACAAGATAAAATCGCAGACCTCTTACGGCCAGGATTCGGGCGGAGATGGAAATAAGCCCAGTCCAACGGACCCGGTCAATCGCAGCGAAACGTTTCCTCTAGGTCCTAAGACCAAAGAGAAAAAGTAAGACAAAAACCGCTATTAGTTCGTATTAATATGAAAGATGGAGACTAACTCGATTCGGCGCGATACAGAAAAGGTGTATCTTTCCTCAGTCGCATTATTGGCACCAAGAAATCTCAGCCAGCCGCCGAAACGAATGACTCCAATGCTTCGGCCTCCCAAGCAGACGGCGCCAATGGCAGGAACGACGTCTTTGCGCATCCGATCGGCTTCATTCCCCGATTTCCGCCCCCTCCCAAATACATCAAAGTCAGAGCGCATTACAAAAGACAAAAAACATTTGATCGCGTATTCTTAGCCCAGGAACTCGATGGTGAAGCCGGCGAGTCTATCCGCGACGAAAAGCCAGACAATGCGTCCAAAAATAAAGCTATTTGGGCAATGGTGTTTTCCAAGGATGGCAAGTATCTTGCTGCGGCCGGTCAAGACAAGGTTGTTCGAGTGTGGGCTGTCATTACGAACGCAGAGAATCGCGAGGCTCATGAACAGGAGGAAGACGAGATAAAAGGCGGCGAGGGTATGCGCTTAACTGCGCCGGTTTTTAAAACGAAGCCAATTCGTGAATATCACGGACATACGGGCAGTGTTCTAGATCTCAGTTGGAGCAAGGTATAGTTCTTTCGCCCTCATGTTGATATGATTGGATTTTGACAGTAACTAGAACAATTTCCTGCTTTCTTCGTCTATGGATCGCACTGTCCGTCTATGGCATGTCAGTCGGGCGGAATGTCTCTGTTGCTTCAAACACAGTGATTTCGTAACCTCGATTCAGTTCCACCCCCGTGATGACCGTTTTTTCCTCGCTGGGTCATTGGATTCAAAACTACGACTCTGGAGCATTCCGGATAAAAGCGTCGCATTCTGGGCGACCGTACGCGACATGATCACATCGGTTGCTTTCACACCAGACGGGAAATACTCAATTGCTGGCTGTCTTAATGGACTATGTATCGTCTATGAGACCGACGGACTCAAAGCAAATGCGCAAGTGCATGTGCGCTCCGCTCGAGGACGCAACGCCAAGGGTAGTAAGATAACCGGCATCGACACGATGGTATACCCTCCTAATGACCCCAATGGGGATATCAAATTGCTCATCACTAGCAACGACTCTCGAATTCGACTGTACAATTTCAAGGACCGCAATCTCGAAGCGAAATACCGAGGGAACGAGAACTCTACGAGCCAGATTCGCGCATCGTTTAGTGAGGATGGCAAATATATTATATGTGGTAGCGAAGACGGGCATACCTATATCTGGCCCACTGCATCTACCGAGAAAGACTCGGAAAAGCGTGCGCTCGAGGAATTGGAAATGCGAACTGATATCGTCACGTGTGCGATAATGGCGCCAATAGCTACGAAACAGCTACTAGGTTTTTCCGGCGACCCCCTGTACGATCTGTGCAATCCCCCGCCGGTCACCCTGGTCAGTAAAATTGACCCAACTCGATCATCTAAACAAAGCGACGATCAAGCAGAGAACCGTGGCAAAGATCCCGAATCCACGCCCACAATAACAAAGGCAAACGGTTCACCGACATACCTTGCTCGATCCAGCCATCCCGATGGTAATATCATACTGGCTGCAGACTGCTGGGGACGGATCAAAGTATATCGACAAGATTGCGCTTACAACAAACGTCCAAACGACTGGGACGTGACGTCGACTTTCTCGAAGAAGCTTCTTGGACGGTCGAATTCGGCGCGTCATAGTATCGCATCATCTATCGGACGCGAGTCCAAAACACCATCTGAGCGAATATTGGCATGGAGGAGCTCGGTTACAGGCACCGAACTCGCAAGTATCGACTCAACAATTGGAAGTAGGAATCGTACTCCATCCCCGCGCAAGTCAGCGTTGAAACGACGTTCGCGGTATTCCAGTCCTGTAAATAGCCCTGAAGCCAAGACGCAATCGGGCTATGCAACTCCCATGACACATTCGGTGGTTGACCACGAGTCCGAGACAGCAGATAGACAAAGAGAGGCCGAAATCAAAAATCTCGAGGAGAATAGAACCAACTCGGCTTCAGATACTGGGTCTCGGTCTAGCTACGCGTCAGAAGAATCAGAAGTGGCCGACAAAGAAGGCAGTGACAACGACAAAACAGCTGAATTGCCGGAAATACCTCAATTTAATGAAAACAGTCAAAGCAACGCTTTCTGGACACGGAGCGCAGATTTTGTACGGAACATCAGATCGCAGCGATTATTGACTCCTACCTATGGGACACAAACCGACGATATCGAAGCGATGCGCCGAAAATCAAGCGCACCTAGTGCTTTGAGCAGCGATATGGGCTCTGCTTACGACAGTCCTTACGACTTGACGCCTAATAATGAGCTAGATGAAAGTGAAACCTTGCGATGTCCGCGATGTCGAGGTAGGAATTTCCGGGCGACGAAGACCAAGGGCGGTGGGCAAAAGCTGGTCTGTGTGAGGTGTAATACTCCCCTTGGGTAAATAACCTATGACTCTGCTTGTACTGGTTCTTTTCTCTTGTGATCTAATTGTGTGTGTGTGAATACTTGCTTATCTCTTGACCCATGGCACCCCGGGACATGGGCTGTATAGTAACAAGATGATGTATGTACGTTATGTAATGACAGGACAAAAGCTAGTTAGAATTTCACCTACATTAATTATCAAATGCATACTTAATTCAAATTGTTCATTTGCAGTTGGCAGATGATGTTGAATATCAAGCCAAGCGCACAATCTGATTGGCCCGTCCTCTAGCTGTGATATTTCTCCCCGCACATTCCATTTTCCAGCATTTGTCTTTAGCTCCATGTCAACGTCTGTCAATTTGTCGCAACACAGCATCAATCTGTCGCCGAAGAAGAATCCGGAATTTTTGATCGAATATTCACTGTCCGAAGACCATCCATCAAACCGAATCACTCTGAGCGGTGTTGCCCTCTCTCAGTCAACTGAGCGGCGCACGAATATTCACTTCAAGATCAAACCAAACTCGCGTTCACTATACCACCACCAGCGCAGACAGCTCAATCTCAATTCCTTCAGGGACAGACTTCAAAATGCCATATCTACCAACCCCCAACGCATTCCTGGAGCAATCCTCACTCTTATTAGAGGCATATCCCGACAACGTACGCTTCCCCCATCGCATTAACTCCAAGACTCCTTCCATGTCTAACTCCAATGACTTCAAAATATAGACAAGAATAACAACAAAATACTCCTACCCCAAACCCTCGAATAAAAACGATACCCATAAAGTCTCCAAACGAAAACCTACAGCCACAACAAATATTGAAGACTCAGCAACGAGCACAACAACAACACAAACAACGACATTTGCAACCCTTACACTCAAAACATACAATCCGGTAACGGGGATATGTCTAAAATATAAGACGAATAAGGCCGCGGAAGTGGGGAGATTGATTTCGGGATTGGGCAAGTTGGGCGCTGGGGTGAAGATTACTTCTTCTACGGAGGAGTCTGCTGCGACGGCGACGACGGATGTAGAGATGGCTGAGGCGTCGGGTGAGGTTCAGGCTGCTGCTGCGACTGCTACACCTGCTACACCTGCTGCCTCGGGTGGTGGAGGTGGTGGGAAGAAGAAGAAGGGAAAGGGGAAGAAGTGATTTGGTCTATCCCTTTCTCTTTCGTGTTCATTTTTCGACTATGGCATTAGTGGGTGTGCATGAAATAGATTTCATTTTCTTATTCGATTGATCTGGCTTCCAGGTTGGGCATGAAGCGTGTCCTTTCAGAGCGTCTAAGGTCGGAATGATTCTGCATCATCATCTACGTTCGGTTACATAACTGCTCAGGTAGATGTGAAGTCAAGTAATGTCTATTCAGTCATATGTACAAGCAAAAGTAATTGTAAGAAAATAAACGAGTGTCCGTAATGCAACCATTAACCATGCAATATCCCGTGACAGCCATATCATATCCACATAACTAAACCACCACCAATCTCTGCTCATATGTGATTGTACAAGATCAGACAGAAAAAAACATTATCATATAATCCGGAACTACTTCGACACAACAAGTCCGGAGTTCATATTGATTTCGTGCGCTCCTGGCACCATCACAGGCGGCGTCATCATAATCATCATGTGCATCATCTGCGTCATTTCTTCAGACCCAGAATCAGCCGCAAGTTGCATTGGATTCGCGCCGTTGATGTCTGCAATGGTGGTCGTTGCGCCTCGCTCAACTAGTAGTCTTACAATGTCGATATGCTTGTTTTGGACGGCGTAGTGGAGTGGTGTACGCCCGTATTCGTCGACGGCATTTATGTCCGCGCCATAGCCTAGAAGGAGGTGCACGGCGTGGGCGTTGCCTTGTTCAGCGCAGATGTGGAGGCCTGTCTTGTTGGTTGTGCTGATAGCAGCACTAGAGGCGGCATGAGCGCTGGTATCGATGCTTGTGTTGAAGAGGTTGAGACCGTTAATTCTCATGTGCATATTCATATTGTTGTTGGGAGAGGCGATGCTCTTCCCTTGCATAATATTTGGTGTAGTAGGTGCCCGGTTCCTCGTAATATTTGGTACTGGTGGTGACGATAAAGACGGAACGGACCGTGGAGGAGTAAACGGGGTAGGGAGAGAAGTCGATCGATGCCTATCCGCCTGCAAGACTGGTGATGGCACTGGCTGCAATGGCATCAGTCCAAATGCATCCCAGGGGTGCTGTCCCTTGGCGTTGGGAGACACGACACCAGCGGATGAGCTCAGATATAGGTTCGGATCAAGATCTATATTACCAGTGTTGGCGTTGCTAGTGCTTATACTGTTGGACAAATCCTCGTCTATGAGACTGGGTGTATATAGACTCAGTGGTGGCGTGGATGGCGCATGTGATAATGATGGTGAGGGATATCCATTGACGAAAAATGATGGATCTGTCTCAAATGGCGGTATAGGAGTATGCGGATAGTATGGAGATGAAGAGAAGACATCCTCAAACTGAGGCGGTGTATAATCAAAGTAATTATTCGCAACCGGGGGGAGAACCTTCGGTTGCTGGGTGTGATAGACTGGCGGTTGGTTGAGAGATAGATGATACCCATCGTTGATAAAGGTGAGCTGGGATGCTGCTTGGGCTGCTTGAAGACGTTGTTGTCTTTCCTTCTCTTCTCTTGCAATCTGCGCACGTTTGAGTCCTGTCGGGAGTCAGTATGCTATATAAGTCTTCAATATCTCAACAGACAGACTCACTTCTTTTGCGCTGTGCGAGACGATTCTGCATCCGTCTACGCTCGATGGCTTCCGGATCAGTCCGGAGACCGGTCTTGGTACTTGATGATGCCTTCACCATTGTGTATATACTATATAGAAAGAATCCGGATGTGATATATCAAGGTGTACTTCCAGAGTGGCGAGGCGAGACGTGCGGTACAGTGGGATGTAGTCGACTTATGAGCTAAACCATATATTCACAGGCCGTACGGAGGTATCTGATTTATACATTACCCGTAGTACTATGAACATATGCCAGCCTTGGACGAATACAGTTCCAGCCCCATAACCCCCCCGCTCAAATTGACAGGACCAATGAAGTGGAAGACCGATTGTAAAAAGGGACCTGGCTAACAATTGCGGGTAGACCTGCTTGGGAAGGCTCCATCAGGTGCTGGTGTCGTGTCGAGTTACATCAGCCACCAGACTTCATGTACCGTTCTTGAGCGTTTCATGTTCGGCTTTAAAAATAGGCGAGCAGGGTCATCAAGTCGATATTCCCAGATAGGTGTAGTACGTGGAACCTAGTTCAAGATAGATGTTGATACTTCATACAAGGAGAATCTAGCACGATCCTGGATAGATGCATCCAATAAGGCGAGCGCCGGAGCGACAGGTGATCCCTCAAGGCACAGACAATCACAAGAAAAGAAAAGTTACAGGTAGACTGCTCCAGAAAATGCAGGGTTATCTTACAGATACTGATTCTTGCAAGGACAAGACTCCGTCACTCCCTCCGTCACTCCGTTACGGGGTAAATCTCTTGTATTCTGTACAGAAGTTTCTTGCACGAAGGATTTGTGGCTTGCTCTAAGATCTGCACCACTGGGGCACATGCTTAGCTTCAAACAGATTGAAGCTGATTGCTCGGTGGTTAACCTGACCTACTAATCTGGTAATTTTGTGCTGTTAGTGACAAGTCAATTGACCAGACAAGGGAGTGGAACTTTTGGGGGCCTGACGAAAGTCACGATAGTATGGACTAGAGATGCGCACTAGCTTAGTTAGATAGTGGTAGGCTGGTAGCTTCCCCCGTCTTCATAACTTCAATCACCGATGCTACCATGTGCATAGTACTAGCCTACTAGGCTCGTTGAGTTGGATTATTAGGCTCAGTATTAGCACTTCAATTCCAGTTAGTCTGTACGAAGTTATCCACCAACTTCAGCCAGTCAGGGATTGGCTAACATTGAAAGATACGGTGCTAAACGGTGCTAAATGCTTCATTGGCCCCGAAACGGCGAGGGGGCTGAAAAGACAAGCCCATGCTTGCGTCACCCGAACGCCAGATCGGTAGGAGATGTTTTCCTTTCTGCTTGGAGTGTCGAGACTTGCTTGAAGCTGATAAGAAAAATACTATTTAAAAGTATTCATCTGGCTGACCAGAAGATCCGTGCGGGCTCTAGACGAGGTGTACCAGTCGATATGGATGTAGAGTTGTAGACAGGGAGTTTGCGAAGTCTGATGAACATTGTTTAGGTCGCCGGGGTCGGAGGGCGGATGGACAAATGTTCATCCGCCGTCAAGCCGGTCCTCGTGGCTCCAACTCAATCACTCCAACCCTCACTAATTGCTACGACGATACCACCTGCTACTACCCCGATCGCACGGATACGTAGCACTCCATGAGGTAAGTAGTTGCTACATGGCTGCATAGCTCTGGGGAGTCGTCCACCACGATTGCAGTAAGTCCACCGGTTATACTGTATTCCCGGTGCTGTGAAATAACCGACGCACCCGGAGCTTGGTCAACAACCAAGTTTTCCAAGGTTGAGTACCTCGCAGTGTATCCCCGAGTTACTACATTTGTTGTAATGATATGGCATGTCAACCCAAGCAAGCAGCGTTGCTACTCTGCAGTCCATTCTGTACCTGCGTCGGCACCGTAGGCCAATCACCCAATGGAGATTCTAGTCTCTGGTTATAATAGTACGTACAAGGTAGTATTGAAGCAAAATGAAGGTGTTAAGTGCGCACTTATGGGTCAAAGGGAGACTCCGTACTGGGACTACTGACGGGAGTCGCGGCTTATCCATTGTTGGTACGTATCCACAAAACAGATTGATTAATGATCACGATCTTGGTCTAGCATGTTCGGCACATGCTCACTGCCGATCAGGTCTAGAATGGCCAATAATAGCGAAGTCGGTATGCACAGGTTCGCATATGCTTAGTGGCAATCAAAGGATGATGGTGATTGCCATCAATGATGGGCTGATCAGCGCGTATGGAAGGGTTCTAGAAACTGCCAAATTAGGCCTGGAAACCTAACAGTCACCGACACTTCTCACTGAGTCAGTGAAATATAACAAAAATAGTTGATTTTCTCTCCTTTCACGGAGAATTTCGATCATAGTTACGGTTTAGTATTTACGTATAATCTTATCAACGTGCCAGGCACAGCTGATCTTCAGCCTTCTTGGGGCTTTTACACCATACCCGAATACGCAGTCGTTGCGTCGTGATTGGAACTGCTGTACTTCAAAATTTGTACCAAGCCCGATTTGCCCAGAAGGACTTCATAGAAACTAGTCATGTGCCGTATGTTATGCGAGTCAACGAAACATCACGGAATACCGCTGGGTGAACCAAGCTTTGAGATACCGAGTTGGAAAACGGACGACCCACGTACTGGCCTGGGCTATTGTGTTCGAGGAATAGTTGCTCGCTAGAAAGTTCATTAGCGACAGAAGGATCAATCCTCCGCTCAGAACTCCGAAGATTTCAATTCTTGGGCCTTCCATTGAGGATTCAGGTGGAACCACCAGGCTCGTCTCAATTCTCGCGGTAATGACTAAATTCGCTCGTTCATAACGCGATGTAAAATATATGAAACCGCAGGGAATAATAATAACGCCGAAGTATAAACGGACCCACGTAAAACCAACCGTCTTCAATGTGGCAACTTGACTGTTTTGGTTCATAGATCTATCGACTTTCAACTAGGTCCAGTCTAAGATATAGCCCTCAATTCAACAAGCTAATCAAGCCACCTACCTAACTTAGATGGAGGATCTCCATTGGCATCCTTTCTTTTTTCAAAGTCTGCGGGACCAGGTAGCAGAAGTCGAATCACAAACTTAGAAAGCAATGAAAGAACAAAGGAAAGAAAATAGAAGCAGATCTGAGACTGTACAATCTATACCCCTCAGACAAGATTCACGGAGAGTGATTCAGACAGGGTTGAATTTAATAGTCGCTTTCAAACTACTAACTAATCCATGATACCAGAGTATTGCTTCCCTTTTGGGTTTAGGGATTTTTAGAGGTCCCTGTAATTCATGTGTCTGTCCTATAATCGCTTGCTTTGCAGGCAGGTGATTTTTCAATTTTCCAACCAACAGAGCATGGATTCCCTGGAACCAACATGCGTCAAGTAACACAACGTGGATCTCGGGTTACCCGAAGCGTAGATCTGATGTTTGGGTTTGCTTTTATCTAGCTTTTCGACAGGGGCTTGCATATTTTTCGTCGTGATCCGGACTGAGTTGTTGTTGCTTGTCGGTGCTCGAAAATTTGGAACGGCTGAGGCGTCAAGATCGGGTGAGATTATTTTTAGATCTTATGGAAAGGCTCCTTGATAGAATTTGAAATTGAAACTGCTACACGGTTAATTACATCCGGGGTCCCTTTCCAGTCGATTATATCTAGCAATTTATTGTTGCTTGATCGATTTGTTGTTGGCCCATTGGGTGCGTTTAGTCGTATTATTTGACTGATGGCGCTTACTCTGGCCAGGAACACCATCAGTAGTGCTGCTACGTACTTACGTACGCTACAGTTCAGCTGTCAAAAAAGAGCATCAAGTAGCATTCAGCTGTGATAATAACTGACAATAATTCAGACGAGGCTCTTCTGTACGTAAAGGGTGTACGGAACTTCCGGGTTTCACGGTCATCTGATGCTTGTATTCCGTCAGTCTTGTAGAATCTCACCTGCTTTTACGCCGCAGACCACTCGATATGGCAATATAACCCATTATGGGCTGATTGTTAGCCACGGCCCCATTGACCCCCATTCCAGAACCCTGTGGCGCTACCAGTTGGCCCACGGACGTTGAAGCTATAACATGGAAGGTGTATTGATATATACCGGATCGAGGCATCATATCGTTATTGTGTTTCTTTGGCGTATCCGCTCTGCTACGGGGCAATCATTAGAAAACAAAAAGTTATATAAAAATTCCAAATTAACATTTTCGACCTGTGTTATCAGCAACAAGCCATTTGGACTTCGAGTCGCAGTTCGAAAGAAATGCAATGTCCACGAGAAGTTAGGGCTATGGTCGAGAAGTGGGAGATGTAATTTAGGTACATGATGTCAAATTTGTCGCTTCTTTACATCGCGGGCTTGTGGTTTAGTGGTATAATACTCCCTTAGCATGGGAGTGGTCCGGGGTTCGATTCCCCGCGAGTCCAATTTTTTTGCTGATCGCCGTCATGAACTAGCCAGTCTATGATTATTTTCGGCGGATGTGCTTGCATGTAGATAGCTTCTACATAAATTGATGTCGATATGTTATGCTCAATCATTCCCTTTTCCAACAGCACGGCGAATTGCAACGAAGTCAATTGAGAAAGAGAAGAACAACACGCCCTGGCCTAGCATAGAACTTAGCTCTTGGGGCGCCCTCCAGCCTGCAAATCAGGGTACGTTAGGGTCCTAGAGGTGCGTTAAGTGCCCAGGCCACACGCCACGTAAAAAATTCCCTGCATAGGCGGCTTGAGCGGACGCTGCAGTTTGCGAATCGGCGAGTTTAGAGTTGTTGGTCAACCTGCCTAGATCGGCGCTGACTCGTCAATCTGATACCGGGGCTATTCGAATACACTACGAAATAACAAAGTACTATATAACGTCAAAAAGTTTTCTCCTTGCATCGCGGGCTTGTGGTTTAGTGGTATAATACTCCCTTAGCATGGGAGTGGTCCGGGGTTCGATTCCCCGCGAGTCCACTTTTTTGCTGATTTCCCCTTCTGTCCTTTACGAGGATCCATAGATCGTAGTCTCTTTTTTATTTTTTACAAGCCCAGCTAAAGGGTGGTTGTCCTTGGAACCAACCGAGTACAACTTATGCAGGGATGGATATCAGTGATGGATACACAAAGACGCTAAAACCGCAATTAGGGCTAAGCTCAATTGTAGCAGTTACTGTCTTGAATTGATTCCCAGAATAGAATCGACTGTATCACACTTGACCAAGTCGAATATAACAGACAATACTGTCTTCCAGAAGTGCCAGGGTATGTTTCAAGATGAAGATCGCGTCATGCAATGTAGACAGACTGCAGGTTTTCTACAAGGGTGCTATTTCTCCCCCAAGACTATATTGGGTGTGCTAATTTAGTCGTCTCCTCTTTTTCGAACAGTAGAGTCATCATTCTTGATGGCGAAAATCGAAGCTACTGGAATCTAGACAGAGTCCATGTCGGGCGTTCTTGTTGCTGTTTCACCTACTGCACATACATGTAGATCATCTGCTCGTTTCATCATGAGCTATCAGATCCTAAGTTAGTGTTGGCACGATGTCTCCTTGTAGAACCTATCTTCATCAAGATATGGAACAATATCTCCGTAAGGAAAGTGGTATACTCCCCGAAAAGCCTCATTGACATCGAGCTGCGTATTCGAACTGCCCTTGCAGTGTGTGGGTATGACAAGCAATTCCACGGCCCTGGTGTTGTCAAACACTAACACATATCGGACATTCGACATACGTAAATGCAAGCCACCCTAAGTCCACATGCTCAGCCTGGTAACACATACCCAATAATAAATTCCCCGAACACCTGCATACCCGTGACAAGGTAGGTACGTACATCTGTACGTACAACGAATCCCATGCTTCGACATTTGAACGAGCCTCGTTTACGGCAAACCTCCATGTCACTCGGTCGACTTCATACGGAGGTCAACCCGCTATACGACAACTTGCCCCAGTCCGGGGATTCTGACTTCGTTCATGCAGATGCAGGTACCCTTTCCTCGGCTTTGCACCTTGCTCAACGTGAAACGAGATATAAGCCATGGACTATATGCGTTCGTTCTGCAGTCATCTCTACTGTTCGTGTCGCGTGGTTTTGCACGGACTGCGTTGGTCATGCACATTGAAGGATAGAAACGGGAGCAGGAATACAAGATAGCACAGGTATCGGGGTGTATACACCCCCGTCTCGATCATGATGAATCGACTGGATTTATCCCAAATATACATACCTTCTTGCATATACGAATTCGCAGCTAATATCCAGAACAAGGATGTTCTGCAGAAGCGCTATTTACGTGAACACCCAAGGATGGCAATGCATGTAGTCGATAAGCTATGGCTCTCCAGTATACAGCTCCTCAAACATGAAGCTTGTCATTGTCCCTATTTTGGAGTCCTACATGCATGACTTGAGTCAGGACTGAACGTCAAAATACGTAGATATGAGAATTTACCTGGTCGTCAAAGCGTCGAGACACCAGCTTCAGCTATACCGATGAACCAACTCCTGCAGGACGAGTATTGAATGACATTACTCGTCAAGATTATAGAAGATATCATGTTCATTGATTATATTCGAGGCTGATAAGAACAGGAAAGAAATAACATACGAAACGCCGGTAAGCTCTTAACCTGATACATACATACAAATCACTTCGTATAGGATATCGTGCATGACCGAACCCGAAACTTCAAGTACACAAACAAATCATAATGGTATCGTTTCATAATCCTGGTTCAAAGAGTGACCGGACGGACAACTTAGATGATAGTAGCTTATCGTGATGCCTTTGGCGAATGGCTGCCAATGTGTAGCTTGTTCTTCACTTTCTCCAATTTGCTGGTCTTACTTTTCCGTGCGTTTCCCTGGCTGTCAATAGCACCGGCTGAAGACCCAGAGGATGAAGATGAGAGACTGTCTTCCTTGGAGTGGACGGCCTGGTTTGGTCTGCTAACTGCTATACCTCCGGCCTGTGTGTGGACTTTAGGCTTTTCGTCGTCCACTTTGATGTCTGCTTGACTTGTCAATATTGTGTCAATATTGTGTCTCCTTCATGGACGAAAAGGGGCAACATACTCTGTAGATCTTTGGCGAGTTTCTGAGTCTCCTCCTCAAATGGCTCACTAGTATGTTTCAGTGTCTGGCCTGGTCCGCCATCAGGAATGGCTCTTGACGTGGAATCAGCTGCATTTCCAGGCTGGGCAGGATCAGGTTGAAGTCCAGTGGCGGTGGTCTTCAGGTCATGAGTGGCTGCTGTGCCGGCTGCTGCGGTGCCAGAGCTACTGCCCATATTGGTTGTGTTCAGGGGGGTATCTACCGTCTCAATGTTTCGTTGTTCACTGACTGGGATGGATGTAGGAAGACCGCCGGCTTCGACGGAGGGAGCATCGTATTGTTCTATGACGGTCAGTTACAACGTACCATCTATGAATAAGGTGAAAAGGGAGTATACCATCACGATTTCCAGCATCATATGGATCCGTCGCTGTACCCAATCCCCTCTTTCCAGCCACAGGCTCTTCTCCAAGCGATGTTTGTTGCTGAGTCTCTGTGCTCTCACCCCATATCGCCTTCTTGCCCGCCTCGACGACCTTGTCGACGGTTGGGATGCCGGTCATTCCTGTCGATGTTGTAGGCTGACTACCGCTAGCTGTCGTTTGGCTCTTAGTGTTGTCGGTGTTCTGTTCGCCCCAGATGGCTTTGTAGCCGGCGTCGACGACTTTGTTAACGGTTTCCATGGTGTATGTGTATTTGGAGATAGGTGCAGGAATCTTTGTTTGATTGTTGATTTCCAATTGACTGTTGATATGAAAGAGAACGAGAATATATAGACAACGAAGAAGAGTAATAAGCTCCCAGAGGTCAAGGGAATGACCGAATCGACTCCAAGCATACGTCAGGGCTTGGCTGGTCACGTTGTTCATTGGCCGCTGCAAGGACAGCGCTGCACTTTCGTGACGTCATCCCCAGATCTTCCCCGATGCGGAAATCTTCCATCAGCCACAATCCTTCGACTCTCTCGTACGTATGAAGATAAGCAATTCAAGCAATTCAGAATAAACTATGGCTAGCTAATAACAGAAAGACCATCGATACAAACATTGTGATAAGAAGACGACAAGAACAACCAACTCCAAGAGTCGCAGTGAAACCTCTACCATACCACACCATGCAATCAATCAATCGCGCAATGCAACCAATCATGCAACCCAGCCTCATAGATAACAGCAGAAATGACGAAATTAAACTCCCTTCTTGCAAGTAACAGTCTAGCATAATCATGCACTTTTAGCGGCCACGGTCTTGCCTTTCTCCTGGGTATCATTGGCAGTAGCAGTAGTGGTTTTGGTAGTAGTCGCAGTAGAAGCTCCCGGATTCAAAGGGTGCTTAGGATCGTAACCAACGCTCTTGACAATACCTAGACCCTTGGTGCGGCCTTCACGGAACAGTACCCTGTCGCCGATAGACAGAAACTCGGGACGCTGGATGAAACGGAATGCGACCAGTGCTCGGTCTCCGGTACGGATAAAGGCGCGGTCAATGTCGACGATTGCGCATGTCTGACTGACTGCTCCGACGTGAAGCATGGCCTGATATTTGGGACGGATAGTGGTAGCATGAGAAAGAATGAGCACTAGCACTCGGTTAGCTGGTGCATTTGTGTATCAGACAAAGTGCATACTCTACCTTCGGCGACAAATTCGCGATATACTTTAGGAGGCTCACTCTCCTGCTTAGCCATCACGACCATACCCTTTCGAACCTCTCTTCTTCGAACACGCTTCAGAGCAAATGAAGCAGATTGTCCAGCAGAGCATACATTGACAGGTATCCGCTTACGCTCAATAGACTTGATGACTGTTGAAGTGAACTGGCCAAGAGAGTCTGGTCCAATCTGTACCGAGTCACCCGCATGCACGACTCCCGATTTGACCACACCAGACACCACAGTACCGACGAAAGGAACAGAGAAATGGTCGTTGACAAGAAACTCGAAAGGCGCCTGCGCATTGTAATGGCCATGATGGGGGAGAATGTTGAGAAATGTGCGAACAAAGTCGAGACCCTCTCCAGTGACATTGGACACCTGGAAGACAGGGCAGATACGTTGACTGACAAATTGAGTAGCTGTGTTGACTGTCTCATCCATATCCTTGATGAAGATAGGAATCTTCCTAGCACCAGGAGACTTGAGGATTCGCGTGAGCTGGGTTATTGTCTGCTGCAGAATTTGTGGAGGACATATATCAATCTTGGTAATGACCACCATCACGGGCACATTCAGCGCGAGTGCAATTCCGAGATGCTCTTTGCTCATTCCCACCAATCCGTTGTTGGCTGCAACCATCAGTAAGCAATAATTAGGGCTGCTACTCAACATTCCAAAGACGGTAGTTCGTAGATAACGCTCGTGACCCGCAAGGTCAGAGAAGGAGATGACTTTAGCTGACTTCTTGCCGATTTCTTCCCATGACAACTTACGGCCTTTATCACTTCCAACGATTTCTCCTCGAGCGTCAAATCCCATGATCTCCATGCCTACTGAACTAGTCCGGCCAGTCTCAATCTCGTGCTTGTGTCGGAACAGGTTGACTCGCGCTTTACCACGGCCATCATCTAGATTTCCCTTGACCAAGACACCGAGAAGCGTACTCTTTCCGGCATCGACGTTGCCAACGACAGCGATTCTTGTCTCGATAACCTCTTCAGGTCGATCCGGAATCTGACGGATCAACACTTTTCCACAGCACCCCTTCATTCTCTCGATGCGTGTCTGAGCTTCCTCTGCACCGCCAACATTGTAGGTTAATAGCACACGGCATTGAGCAGGAATTGTGTTTGCGGCTTCCTGAAGACGTCCAAGCGCCGTGTCCCACTGGGCTCGCTCAAGGTTCATCGGATCCCCATTGTCTTCAAGACCCAGGTCAAATAATGTTTCTCCCTGGCCTTCATCGATACGCCGCTGAACAATTCCTGCAAGAATCTGAAGTCTGTTCTCGTCTTCAGTCGGAGCCGTTCCTAGAAGGACATCCTTGAGTTTCGCGGGACTTGGGACGTCGCTCAGGCCAAGCTGGTCGAGGATATCAAGTTCCGCATGTTCTTCAGTCACAGCTGATGGACTGGTAGTGCCATGTCCGTTGTCGCTGGGGGCGCCTGCGGTGGTCACGGAGGCGAGCTCGGCGCGACGCTTTTGTTCCTTTTCCACGTAGTCGGCGAACTCGCTGAGTGCCTAGCAGTAATGAGCCAGAAGCCGTCAAAGTTAACAGGCGCATCATTTTGTCTTGTACTCACCAGTTCACCCCTGCGCCGCTCCTCCGGGGTCTGCTTGGAAACTACCTGCGGCATGTTGCAAGCGATAGTGTCAGGTGGTCAGATCACGGTCGGTGTGCTCAGTGCCAAGGTAGTAGGTAGTCAATCGCCGTAGGCGCATTCAATAATGTATTCGTAATATCATTATTTTGGAGATGTGATAGTAAATCGCACAGATCAAGCTGTCAAGCCGTTAAGCCATCTTGGATAATGATAGCTATTTAGTGAGAAGGTCTGTAAGAAGCACAAATAAAGAGTAAAGATTGGGTGATGACAGTGCTGAGAGTCTTGAGAGTGAACTACGTAGCAGACCAGCAAGTGTGGATCGCGGGGCACTGCTCCGCTTTTATCGATAAACGGGCAGAGGCCATCAGGCAGGCTCGACATGCAGAGCCTCTTGATTTACTACTACAAAATAAGTGAGTCACAATTCCAGGCAATAAGGTCTTCGCGAATGTTTGGCCAATTGTGACAAGGTGACTCATCCACATCTCCCGACTTAAGCGCGATCTTTCCATAATTGGTTGTAGCTAATCCTTTAATCTACATAACGCAAAGTATGACACTGCCCTGATCCAGAGGCTGTGTTGTGGGTCGCATTCATGAAAAGAAGCACGACCTCGATACTGTGTTCCATTTCGCATGTTCCATAAACTTGAAGGCAATCTCATAGTCGCCAATGGTTTCGTATGAGTCATGGCGATGGTTGAGGTTGGAAACGTTCCGTCATCATCGTCATCTCAACATTAGGCAGTCGCCGGATTCCACTTCGTTACCAGCTTATATTTCATGTTGGCTGGATGTTGTGATTCTGCTCGCACGATTGAAGGAGGCTATTAAGACGCCTGAGGGGATATAAGGACAACCGAGTCACCTGCGTCAAAATCCATCAGCTCAAATATTGTAACGTAGTCAATTGATGCGCAAACGTACCGCGAACAAACAACATTTCTTCTTGTTTCCTTATCGTCTATAATGATTCAGTTGTCAGACTTATCCTTCGTAATTCGATAACGGCTGCCGTCGGAGGTACACACCTTGACAGTCTCTTCTTCATTCTCGTCCTCCTCGACCACATAGATTGTCTCCTCCACATCGCCGAGAACCAGGTTGCAGTGACTGTCGTAGGCCTAATCATGCAGAGGAGCTGTCAGTCAGTGCCCTAACTTGAGATTTCGTCGCAGAACCCACGTGAAGCCGTCCTTTCAGTTCACGATCTCCTCGCAACTTGACAAACACAATTTCGTCCAACGACAGGCGGACCAAGTCCAGAGGCTCTGCCACAGAGTTGTCTCCAGCTTCGATGTCTGACATATTGATATCTGGACCAGCTGTAGCGAAGGTAGTGGTGAGAGGGTGAAGAAGCGAGCTCTTTGATTTTCCTTAGCTTCCGAGCTGTGAAGTCCGCTTGGAACGCGGGATTACAATGCCAAGACTTGTGTAGAGGGGGATACAGGTAATAATGCACATTTTTCAGTATTTAATACAAGGCTTAGCCCGATCTGTGCTGGTATAGTACAGGTCTTATAGCTAATCCGATTCGAGTCTAGCCCGGAATATAATAATATAATTCACATCGACGTTCGCATTTGTCTGAATGAACTCTATTGAGCTTTCCCTTTTTTTTTATAACCGTTGATTGCTTCATCATTTTTGGGGATTATGTTCTATACAACCACAGACTAATTGGCTAACGATCACATATGTACATATACACGCTCGAAACGGTATTACAAACGGGTATCAGACTAGCGATATCATAAGGCAATGTCACAAACAGGTATCATAGAGACATAGAAACAATGCTGTGGAACTTCATTTTCGGCGTCTTGTGATTTCGCAGTCCAACTATCCCGTACGCTCTGCTCCGTTGCGTCATCGGGTCTGGAATCCTGTGAAACGCCTTCTTGTCGTCGCCCATCCCATGCGCTCATCTCTGCCACGGCATCAAGTCTTGATTCTTCCTTCAACTTGTCCGGTTTGTCCGATGCTTCCGGCTTAGGCAATTCTTGGGAGTAGTCCGGGTCTTGCTTCAATTCCGCTAGCAAGAGCCACTGTAGAGGCAGAAAATTATGAAGTTCCCCAAGGCGATTTCTGACATGCTTCCATAGAGCTTCATGCCTAGGCTGAATCTGCTCATCTTCGTCCGCAACAAACTCCCCACAATCTGACCAACGAACTGGCTCATTGTTATGGATTCGTATATTTGCATTCTCGAAATTCGTCCTGCCACGGAACTCTATCTTACCGGCACGGCTAGGAAGGGTGATGCTGTACGATTCCGGAAGGAAGTCCTTCCACTCCGCAAGGAATCTTGGGAGGAGCCGATGGGTCCACTCGAAGTCCCACCGATCCGTCCACCGTTTCAGATCGACTGCGGCCTCGACTATTTTCTCCATCAGAATTTGTTGTTGCTGGACTAATAAACGAAGTCTTTCATATTTTTCAAGAGCTCTCCAGACATGTGGTCCTTCACATTTCTCCCGCAAGGCGGACTCTTCAATAGGAAGAAAGACAGATCCGATGCGCAAAGGAATATTGAGGGAGTTCTCCAGTACTCTGAGTGCGTGATTGCGCTCTCTTCGTGTTCTCCGCAGCAACTGATACGCTTCTCTTGCCACTTCCTGAAACGGGCGATATAGTCTATGATGGCAGGTAGATTTTGCAAGCTTGTGGTACACAGACATGTCATAAGGCTGGCCGTCAAGTCGTAACATGCCTTTGAGCTCGAAGAGTAGCCCGCGATCAACTTTGCCCCAATTAAATTCCTTGCTAAATTTACCGACACGTCTTCGAGAAAGAACAAATGCCCGTTCAAATAACTCGGCCCATATGTCATCCGTGATTTCGATTCCATATTGTTGTGAAATATAGTTGATTATTAGCAGCGCCTCCCTGACTTGACTGTTGCATCCATACGCGTGCGCAACTGCAAAGAGCAACTTGCGGGTCGGATATATTGGCGACGATTCCACAAGCGGCCTGGCAGCAGGAAGTTGGTCAGGAGACTTGGTCAGTATAGCCTTCACATCAATCATCCATACGTCTTTCAGAATATCATTCATGTCCTGCCGACTCCCAACCCTAGCGCTCCCAAGAAGAAGGTTTATGTATGTGTCTTCGTCGGCAGTTAATTCCAGCCTTTGCATATCTGCAAAAATGGAACGCACTTCTTTTCGCACACTTCTCCCAGCCGTACCGAATCCTTTGATCATTTCACCATGGCGTCGTTGCCGATAATAGTATGGTGATACGCGTAACTGATGACGCGAGGGTCCATAAACCGCAAGTTCCCATACGGCGGCGTGCATCATGAAGTTGTAGCATTGAGCATCTGGCTCAACTCCGTCACGTTCCATCCTCCTCCAAATTGTATCCGTCTTTTTCAGCTCGCCAAGCGAAGCTGCAATTCGAAGGAGATGTCGATACTCGGCGAGACCCATTCTTTTACCATCGGCGGTCCGTGCTATTAGGATCTGGTTCAGAGGCATCAAGAACTGATGTTTCAAATCGGTATGGGTGTTGACCATTTTGATTTCTAAAAGAGCCCCATGCATCGGCGTTAGTATATCCAGGAAAGGCTCAAGGAAAAATTCCGGCGTCAGACGGAGGAGAGCCGAGACGAAAACACTGTCGGGCAATAAATTGACCACCTCTGAATTTATTGGATCGCCTAGAGTCAAGAGTATCTGTCTCGGTTCGCCATTGCGAAGGACTCGATAGACTTGTGCGGTTCGTTCCTGAAGAGTCCGCTGCGTCTCTGGTGCGACGTCGGACGATTGTAGCGTCTGATGATGTGGGAAAGTCGTAGAAAAGCGTCTGGCCGACGTGAAATCGGCCGGAGGGATGACTCGCTGAGAAGATGTATTTTGAGCACGAAGCTTGTAGACATTTCTTCCATAACTTGTTGTCACGCAACCCGCGTTCGAAAGGCGCCGGGCAGCGACGAGGCAGAAACGAGATTGGCACCCCCGCCCACCGAGAGCCAGCATCTTGACAATCCAACGCTATACCGGCATTAAATCATAAGTACAGAGAATTTCAGCTGACAATATCTGAGACACGTGTATCTGAAGCAATTGATCAAGACAATGGAATGCGGGGACAGCGTTGGTGGATCGCGGGAAGGCTTGTGGAGCGATTCCCCGGATTTTCGACAGGTTGACTTTTTGACAAGTTGTCCCGTGCCTCTTCGTCTGCTTCAGGGGGTCCGCCCCTTGCGCCTCGTTCGCTCCGCCAATCAGATTAGTGGCTCATTCACACACTGACAGATTAAGAGAAGACAGTAGACGAGCTTCGAGCTTGTGGAAAATTTATGATTTGAAGTGAGTTCGAGTATTTCCAAGCTGAGAAAATATCTGACTCGCACAATGCGCCGTCTGATCCTTGATCCATACTTTATCTGTACTTTGAGTTCTCAAACTGGGACAAAGAGCTAGCCTGAAAATTGATCTTTCAAGACAAGTTTCATTGAATAATGGTCATAAAGAATACATGTCCATTGACCACAGGTCATTTACTATTACAGTACTATTGAATACATATGATACAGTCTGCCTGAATATATCTATACAAGATTCAACGGTCTTGAAGGAGAACTTGGTCATATCTTCTCCCTCTTCAAATCATTGACAAACATATATCGTCCGATAGTAATCCAGCCCCATCGAAACCACAGCATCTGACTCTTGTGCCCATCAGTCATCGCAGTGCGAGCCTGTACCCAGTCCTGAAACGAGCTGATATACAAAAGACGACCTGCACAACCATTATCTTTCGTGGCTCCCTTCTTGCCTGCTAATTTCATCGAGTCACCAAGGTTTGTGAATGCACCGAGCACCATCGTCAAGAACGAATCGAGGATACCGGAATACTTCCGGACGACGTTTGTTGTTGTTAACGTGTACAAGGTCACGGGGCACGAGTACCCGCTCTTGCCATCCATCAAAGCCTTCAAAAATGCGACCGCGCCGTGGTATAGAGATCGATGGTTGGGGTGATTGCTAACGCCGTATTCGTCAAAGGTCAAAATGACGTCGATGGTAGCTTTGGGAGCTACGTCTTCACGCGCTGCTCGTCCAGATGCAAGCTCGGGAGCAAAGGCCGACGCCAAAAGGGACGAGACATCCTTCGTCGACCATGTTGTAGTCATGCTATCGGGGAAACGGGAAGGGTCATCGATCACGAAAACGTCGGATTCGTCTCGGAGGCCTAAATGGACGGCGCTTTGTTGGAGCTCTTTCCGGCGGATATCGCCTAATCCGTCTGCATTACCTGTTATTTTCCGGTCGAATTAGCTATACGAATGATTATTTTGAAGGTGATTGCCGGAGGAACGGAAGCTGCCGTACCAGTACTCAAACATAGTATCTTGACATGATTGCCCAATTCTGGTTTTGTAAGCGCCAACACAGAAGGCGCGAAGAACATTGCTTCATCATCAGGGTGTGCAATGAGCAGACATATGCGCTTGTTGTGCAAGGTGGGAAAAGAGCTGAACCCAGAAGAAGTTGAAGAAAGCGTCCAGAAAACAGTCGCCACAAGTGGAGCTAGAAGTGCAGTGACAATCCACGAGAAATTGATTGTCATGATGAAAGACCTTGTATGTTCTTCAAGCTCTTTTTGTGAGGGGCTGGTTTCTTGGATTCTTCACGTTCCGCAACGTCGCATGCCACGCGACCTCAATTATTCCTGAAATGTCCTTTCCCAACGACTCTCTTATCCTTTATTCGTTTCGTTACCAACCGGCGTATTGGTTGGCAAAGACGAGCGACGAGCGATATTCCGAGAAAAAGACACGCAGTGGTGAGTCCTGATCAATCAATGGGACCAAGAAGCATCCCTCCCCCCCATGACCAGCTTCCTTCCACGGCAAGAGATCGATCAACACACGAGCTAGCGGCTACTAACGAGCTCCTGAACTAGTCGAATGCTACAAAATTGGTCGCATGAGCATGAAAGTTCCACCAATATGTGAATGAAACGTGGCTTTAAGGCTTGTGCTGGGTGGAAATAGGGGGAGGGGCAACTAAGTTCGAGCTTTCTTGCAAGTTAGCTCCGCAACATTGAAAGAAGGAATAAGATGACGATCCCAGTTCATCACAGTATGCATTTGATATATGTGTGGGTTATAAATCATACTTTCTGTTACCATTACAATAACATGGGCTTGTGGTTTAGGGGTATAATGTTCGCTTTGCATGCGAAAGGTCCGGGGTTCGATTCCCTGCGAGTCCATTCTTTTTTAATTTTTCTCGGTTGATTTATGTGGTTCGCTGTCTTCAGCGTGTCAATATTTCTTTTTTTTTTCGTTTATGTTGGTGGATTTGTTGTCCATGATCAGTACTAGCGTTGATCACTAGTATCATTGAGGAAGCCTGGTGTTGTTTATGAACTAAACATGAGCAGGCAATGGCCCATCTTTACCAGTCATTAGTATTAAAGATTCACGTCGTACATACATGTCACGATGGGAAGGAAATATTAAGTGGCTCATGTCATCAAGAGTCCATCGTTACAAGTTGGGTTTGCAAATAGCCACTGAAATGATACCGATCAAATCCAGTCTCTCCCGTTTCCAAGTTCTCATACAATATATCTACTCCCATACCCATTTCCGGAGTCCAAGTCGTCAACGACCCATTCGGAACTTCATGGCGACGGGGAATTGATTTGATTAGTCTCTTCTTTGTGTTTGATGCTTCCTCGCCAAATCCGGTGATGGTATTATCGCTTTTCCACCAGGCATGTAGGCAGAGTGCTCTTTCATAGCCGCACCAGATGCCTTCGCGGCCTAGTTGCATGAGATACTCACTGATCCAACCTCGTTGAGACGGATCTCGGAGGACGACGCCAATGCAAGCGAAAACAAAGGATACTGGCATGTCACTTGGGTATTGGGAAGGTTTAGTATTATGTGTTGATTTGTGTGTTGTCGTCGTTGTTTTCTTACTGCCTTGAGTGGCTCTGTGTATACCTTCCGTTCGAGGGGTCGGGAAGGAGAAAGTATTGTCAAGGGCGCGAATGATGTAGAGGCATTTCTGCGCCAAATTGATGGACAATTGCATCAATCTTGGGTTGCGTACCGGGTCTAGCATGTGGTACAAGTGGACCCGGATCGCATAGTAGTGCAAAAGTATCATCTTTTGCAGGTGAGAACGCCTCCTTAGCTGACAGTCAATGGCGTCGTGGGGTACATCACGAGAAAAAATCGTTTCTCTTTCCAAAAAACCTCCATACCTTTCTTGGTCACCTTCAAAGATGGTTTCAGTGTCGATTGGACTGTTGTCCACGTCTTCGGGCCAACGTAGAGGAATTGGTATTGACTGATACCATAAAGTCAACCGATGAAGAACATGAAGAACTCGCTCTCTCAAACTGTCACCCGTAACCCGCGGCGTATTGCTGGTCCATTCATAACTCAGAAATGCCGCTGCTCCAAGCAATCCATGCAGTTTTCTGCAGTACTCAACAGCCATGGCTTCCAATTCGGTCTCTGTGAGGCTGACATTGTCCCCAACATCGACTGTCGTAATAGGCATATATATAGTGTCTGATTCGAGAATTTCGTACCAGAAATTATCCAGCAAAGGCCGCCCGCGGTTGGATAGTGCATTTTGACAATCGAGTCTGGCAACTGCATGAACTAGACGTCGACCGAATGTTGTTTGAATGAGTGATGGCCCGCTCCTATTGATTAGACCGCATAGTGCCTCGAGGTGGATCACCCACTTCTGAGGATCATACACCAATACCTATGACAAGAAAATCAGCGCAATCGCTCTTCCTCAATCCTTAATATGTGTGCATACCTCAAACCATGTAAGAAGATAAGCGGCGGCCAAACACGCATTCATATCATCTGGTGGGCTCCTATGAGAAGAGCTTACAACTTCTTTCCCTTGCTCAAATCGATCGACTGACTGCCGGAGTAATCGTACAGCTTCTTCATAATGCTGGAACGCATCCACGCTGTGTCGCATTTGAGGACGAGGGGTAGAGCCGTGGCTTTGCTGCAAAGCCGATATTACCGCGACAATGGCGGTGCGAACATGATGGTGGCTAAGGGCTAGAGGAGCAATATCCTCTTCGAAAATATTTTGGAGAGGAGACAAGGATCGTAGTGGCGCAAAGTCGCTGAGGAAGTGGTTCAATAATGTGCGCTGGTGGTGGTCAATCGGTGTCGATGAAAGTATGCCTGAACTTGATAGAGGCGAGTAAGGCGACGGCGATGGGATGTCTGAAGTCGTTGATGGAAATAGAGATGCGCTGGTAACGGCAGTCATTGTCTGGGGGGAGTTCCCAGCGGCGCGACCTTTGTTCGCATTCTTCTTGTTTGCCGGCCGAAATGCCACTCGTTTGGCGCCATAGCCCTCGCACTCGACCGCATATTGTCTACATCGTAGGCAGGAAGGTTTTGTTTCGTCGCACTATATATCCATAGTTAGCGCATAAGAAATCCAACCAGATTCAGGTCCTGACTGACCGTGCGATGGTGCCTTTTACATGTCCTGCGGAATTAGTCATTTAGAGTTGTCGCGCATGAATTGTGGAGTAGCTTACCAGCAACCTCTTCGGGAAGAATTCGGTCGAGATGTAGGACGAGAGCTCATCTGGACTATTTCGGACAGTGAAAAGTTTCCCTCATACTCCCCTCAAGTCTGCACGCCTTGTGTAGTTGGTGATGCCATCGTAAAGTCAAAAATTGAATCAGATAAGCCGAGGAGAGCGGATGATAAGAGTTGGGAGACCCTTAACCGTAAATAACCGCTTGTAACGACCTGTAAGATCTGACATTAGATAGGGGAAGCTTGTATGTCGGATGTGACTCCGCTCCGGTAATTACGCGTGATTACTGCACGAGTCATAGGGTAAGTTACTGAGCGATTTCACCATTTGCTACTCGATGGCGACACCGGGGAGAGAGTGGAGTACTGACATACTAGCACAAGGGTGTAATTTACGTATCGATTGTATTAGGCATATCGACTGTAAATTCCTTATACACTGGGCAGGTACTTCTGCTTCACTTCCTCAGGCACATCCTTGTAAAGCCATTCAGGATATCGCTCACACAACTCCCACGACGTCAGCTTCAAAAATTTCATCTGCTCAACAATCCACGGCTCCACCGCCTCCCTCGCAGTCATTGCCCCTGATCTCTGCGTTTGTTGCACTTTATCAATCATCTTATCAATCCTTTCCCGCAACTTGAGCATTTTATGAAGTAGAAAATGATCGTTGATAATGGGGACATCCATATTTTGTGGACTGATACTCCTCAGAGAAGTGCCGCTGTCGTCCAGATCCGGGTCGACGAAATGATAACTGGTCACCATGCTTATCCGCTCAGGGGCGTTTTTGGCAGGTAACGCTGCATGGCGGAGGTGACAGCCCTGCATCATAACAGCGCTGCCCATGCGAGCACCGCGCGCTTTGACAATGCGGCCATCGCCTAAGTCTATTGCTGTCTCGCCGCCAACCATGGTACTGGTGTCACTCAACATGAGCACACAGACGACTTGTGTCGAGTCTCGGTGCCAGCTATCTATAAACTGCGTGGCATCACTCTGTGTATTATTGTTATTGTCTTCCAGAAGAGGAGGAAACGGAGCCGACGGTTGCTCTCCGAGTTTATAAACGCCCTCGACTCCCTCCGGTCCCAGTTGAATGTTGACATGTGCTACTTCGCCTCTGCGACCGAGCACTTTGAGAGGCACCCCAAAGGCTTTGCTCATGCATTCTGTGACGGCAGGGTGATTCCAGACATTATTGATCCATTTCGCTGTCTACCGTACTGTCAGCTGGGAACACGACGTTCGTATGGCAGACTTAGACATACCGGCTCAATAGCACGAATATAGCAAGGTGCTCTATCCCAAGACCACAGATGCTTATCTAAAACTTTCTTTTGCAGCAATTCCCTTCGTAACATGCGCACACCTTCCTCTGAGAACAATGGAAACGGCTCAGTGAAGCAAACATCGGGACATGAGTCTGGTTTCGAMAAGCCGTATTCGGAAAATGTATGTCGTTTTGTAGGTAGTTCGAAAGCGAGGTGGATTGCTGGGTCAAACTCGGGCATTGGCAGGAGGTCATCATCCGTGATGTCAGATACTGGAGATGGAAGTGAGATTGTTGTGGTAGATAATAGTTTGACCTCGGAGTTTGGTAACCCTGTTGATACTGTTGTTGTAGTAGTTGCCATCTTGTCGGGTACATCCGAATCGTTCACTATCCGCACAGCGAGTTTGAATTCTCAATTCGAATATCTGATGTATATTGCGTCTTCAAACTGCTCAAGGAAAAAGCAATTAATTATAGGTTTTATCAAATTGACAATTTCCTGTTATCTGCTCTTTTCCAACGCTAGCATGCGAAACTGCCGAGCCAGAAAATTCCCCTATCAGGGAATTGGATGCGGGGCCGTCTAGCAGCCGTTCCTGGGCCCTAAACTCCTGTATTCTTTGCGATTGAATTTGCGTGATCTGTAAACGCATTACGAATTTTTTTCAGCTAGTCACAAATTCATGAGTCAGGATTCTTGATAACCTAGAGTATGTCTGTTCAAATCGAATGATCGATTGATCATCTGATTGATACCATCAATCATGGCCGGCCAACAACAGCCGGAAGGGAGTTTCCATGATTCACTTGCATCTCTGAAACGATTTTATCGGAGCACCTTATACCAGGCAATCATCCTCGGTCTGGTCAGTTTTACGCAGCCTGGTATTTGGGATGCTCTCAACAGTACGTATCTCCAGCAAAAACTGGTCAATTTTAATATACATAGCTAATATCAAAAGCTAGGTCTTGGAGCTGGCGGTCTCGCCTCTCCAACTTTCGTCAATGCGGCAAATGTCATCACCTATGTGATTATGATCATAACATGCCCATTATGGGCTATTGCAGGGAACCGCTGGGACTTGAAATGGGTCCTGGTTGCAGGTACTTTGGGTTATACGCCTTATTTTGCTGCGCTGTACTGCAATAGTGTCAATGATACGCAGTGGTTTTTGATTCTGGGCGCAGTTACCTGTGGTATCTCGGTATGTTTCATAGACTTTGAAATGTATGACATGATGAAGCTCACGATTTGGTTCACAGGCTGCTGCGCTGTGGGTGTCAGAAGCTGCTATTGCAGTGGGATACCCCGAACCTGAACGTCGTGGCGTGTTCAGTGAGTATCCCAAAATTTACCTGAACTTGTACATTATAGACTAATAGAAAAACAGTCGCAACGTGGATGGCCCTCAACAAGATCGGCTCCCTGTCCGGTAACTCCATCCAACTAGCCACAAACATGAACGCAGATGGCCGACGTCAAGGCAGCATCAATCCGAAGACCTATCTCATCTTGATAGGACTATCCTGTGCCGGACTACCACTATCTCTCACTTTGTCAAAAGCCAAGGATCTGGTTCGCAAGACGAAGCAAAGCGATACAGTTGAAAGATTAGCGGATGATGCAAACAACTCAGACATCAACCCAAAGACAACAGCAACAGACTTCACAATCAGAGCCGCAATCAGTGATCTGTGGACAACTATGAGAATGAAACATATCCTCATCCTCCTCCCCGTATACATCACCGTCCGCTGGAGCGGTACATATCAGGGCATGTATCTAACCGAATATTTCACCGTTCGAGGACGAGTCCTAGCCGGATTTATATCCACCGTGCTAGGTATCATGGCTACACTGCTATGGGGTCTTTTACTCGATGGCAAAAATCCCAATGGCAGAAGTTTTATATCCGCACGGATCTCGAGGAGATGGTTGGCGTGTAACTTTGGTTGGTGGACGATTCTGGCTGTGTATACGGCACAATGGAGTTTGAATTTTGCCATGCAGACGATGTTGCAGACGAAGGGGCCGGAAAAAGTGGTGTTGGATATTTCTGACCCGGCATATGCGAAGGCTATTGCGGCGTATTGTCTTTACAGGTGAGCTTCTGCCCCCCCCTTTCCACCTAACATCTTATTCAGAACTACGATTAACTGTTGAATAGCTTCGGAAGCAACGCATCCGTAGTATGGACCTACTGGATCCTCGGCACGTACGACAACCAAGTCAACAAATTAGCCTATTCAACAGCCACACTACGTTCGGCAGAAAGTTTCGGGTTTGCCATTTCTTACGGTATCGGAGCAACTCCGAGGATATCTCTGATGACAAATTTGATTGTTTCGTGTGTGGTGTTTTGGCTCAGTGTGCCCTTTACGACTTATGCGGCGTGGAACGTTGAACATACGGCAGTAGGAGATGGTATTAGTAGTAGTATTATTAGTGTCACTAACGGCCAGGATGGTCATGAGTCCGATGAGGAGCCGTTAATTGAATGAGATGACATGATATCCGATTTATCCCTTTTATCCACCTTCCGAATCTCCCTACTCATCATTCATCAAAGTCGTATCAAGTTTGACATATCTCTCACACTCCTCCTGACCCTTCTTCACATCAACCAAGCAAATCAAAACAAATCCTACAACCGACATTCCCAACGCAAAGGGGAAGCCTTTCCATGTACTTCCAGTCCGGTCAATAATGATACCGGAGATGATAGGTCCAATCCAAGCTGTCGATTTACTGACAAGCGAATATAGGGAGAAGAAAGTGACTTCGCGGCCTTTGGGGCAGAGATCGCTGAGCATGGTTGCTGTAAAGGCTGTAAAGGGAGCGGCGAAGGCGCAGTTGAAGACGGAGTAGGCCCATACTTCCCATGTATTGTGGAGACCGAATTTGGTTGTTCCGATACCGATGCAGCCTGTTACTTGTCAGTATTCATCCAGGCAAAATGGTAGATGGGACTAAATGGGGAGGCATACCCCAGACAGCATTCAAAATGACAAAAATGCAATTCACAATCAAGATAGTCTTAGTACGAATGCGGAAGTGTCGCTGAATGAGCCAGAAGATGGCAATTCCAACCAGGTTGGAAAATCCCTGCACAATATAGAGCTCGGTAGATGTGGTTGTGCTATAGCTCACAATGGTATTCTGAGCGATACCGTAAATCTGGTTGGTAGTAGCAAAGCCATCGGAGATCAAAAAGAATCCAACTAGGTACAACCAGGTTTGTGTCAGATGAGGAATATGCTTCAGTACATTCCAGTAGACCTTGAGTCCAGTCACAACGTATTGTCTGGCCTCTGCGAAGGTGGATTGTTTGCCAGAGCCGGCTGGCAGTGGCACCTCGAGTTTGTTTGATCGGTTCTTCTCAATGAAGAACCATGGTGTTCCGAACACTATCCAGACTCCGGTAGCGATCCCAACAATGACAACGGCGGCGCGTATATTATTCTGGGTTGAATCATTTGCATGCAATCCAAAGGCCGCACCTAGAGCGATAATAAGAGTGAGAGTGTAGCCTATGGACATGGCGCCGAATGCATAGTTGCTCAATTTGTTACGCTGTAACATGACGCGACCCTGGTACTCATCCTCGGTGATATCTCCACTAGCATATTCTTGCTTGGCTTGAACAGATTCGGGAGTGTTGCGTGCAAGGAGAGGAAGACCAGGTGTCCAGAATGCCTGGCAAAGGTTGTACGATAGGTCTGCGATATATATTAGTATCGACATCTTCTAGCCATTGAAGGATCGTAAACTTACACGTGATGATATAAACGCCAATAGCAGCTCTGTACTGCGAAGCGTCTTGCAGACCCAAGAATGCAAACTGTGTAGCCCAGCAGACGACAGTCCAGAAAATGAGAACCCATCTCTTGACCGGACCGTAATCGGCCATCGACCCAAAGCAGATCAGGAAAAATGCCTGGAAGGCAAACACGATTCCGTTAGAAATCAGCACCACGGTGTCGATGTTGGTCCATCGGCTGCCAAACTGCACTACACATGCACCATCGCCACATGGAAGGCTGTGATCTTCAGAGTCGACACTAGCTAAACTCAAGATGTACTGGAAGACTATTGAGATCTGTGTTAGCGAATAGAAATTTGCGTCAGGCGAGTTTGAACAAAAACTCACTCAGCGGAGCGTATGACAACGTTCCTGCAGAATTGTTGCCAAAGTAATAGAAATACCACGCCCACAACTCCATGCGAGTTGTAACAGGTTCGGGCTGTTCTTGACTACGAGAATTGATGGAGGAAGAGTTTGGGGAGTTCTTCTCGCCAAACTCTTCTACATCAATCACATTGTTGTCTTTGGTGGTTGACACTATCTGCGAAGCATACTTCTCAGGTTCGGCATGAATGCCGGTGTTATCGTCACTCATGGTTGTTCTTGTCTTCACTCGGAAACTGCGAAGAAATGGCAAAAAGTTCGCTAGGTGCAATTGATTGGATTCTTCAAACCAAAGGACATGAGAAGACTTATATGTATGTCGATATGTCCGGGGAGCTGTGGTACCTCGTCTGTATAGTTTTGGTAGCGCAGGTTTTTTTTAGAGTTTGATATCAAAACCGCGTGGCAAGCAAGATAGGATCATTCACTGAGGATATGGCGACATGCCTAGAACCCCGTAAATAAGAGCAATATCATTCGAGATTCAGCGGTTTTGACTTGAACAAATCCACTCGGAAGGGTGTTTCGTTCGAAGAGGAGCGTCTTTCGGCACGGAAAAAGAAAGAAGATAAGTCTTATCTTGCAAGGATTCGACCCGACAAGCCAGAAAGTTGCCCTATTGGGTTTAGGCGGACGGTCTTTAGGTAGTTCTGCTTCTGGTTCAGACTGAGAAGACTACTTAGCCCTAGAATCATTCGAGATGGACTAGTCTGGCTGTCTGCATTAGCAAATTCCGTAAGATTTGAGTTTCGTAAGAGTCATTTCAGCTTCAATATCATATCCATGCCGGGGTTAAGAATACTACTCCGGTACCATTATATAGTAGTTGGGTGGAGAACGCCGGCTCGTCGACCGCTAACAAAACCGAGCATGGCAGGCGTGATCCCTCCAAATGCAAGAGTTTAAGCTGTCATCTAACTGGAATTGTCCTCGAGTCATACCAATGGGCAGAAGAGCCAATTATTAAATCCTTGAATTTGCTTCAACTCAACAACCTAATGGTCATATCCCAATAATGGATGAGAAAAATCGACAAGCTGCCCTTTCCGGGATAGCTACCACCAACTACTACGCGAAAGACGCGAGCCATCAACCACGACACGACCGCACAAGGGCAGCCATCAGCGTCCTCAAACCTGTAATCGCATGTGTAATCCTATTTGCTTGCTTTTACATCAACATATGGACTTTTATTACCGGGCCCACCTTGGAATCAATAGAATCTACTCACTACGATGATTCATCATCAACGGTCGCAACACAATGCCCAGCTCAATATGCCATCGCACCTCATGCAAGCCCCGACATTACCAAACGCAATATCAAAATTCTTTTTCCTTCAGCAGAATTTCGCAATTTAAGCGTCAGGCGACTCAGTGGCGCGGTTCAGATCCCGACCGTCAGTTACGACGACAATGGGCCCATTGGGGAGGACCCGCGTTGGAATGTATTCTTTGAGTTGGAACGTTATTTCCGCGACACATTTCCTTTGCTGTGAGTTCTGATCGTTCCTTAGCATCAATACAATGACTAACAAAAAACAGACATGAAAGCCTCGAGCAAGAAATAGTGAATGTTCATGGGCTGGTTTATACCTGGCACGGTTCAGATCCTAGCTTGAAACCGATCCTCCTTACAGGTCATCAAGATGTATGAATTCTCTCTGTATGCCAGTGTACCGTACTGATGAAGATATGCTCATAGGTGGTACCGATTCAACAAGATACATTATCCGATTGGAAGTATCCTCCCTTTTCTGGCTACTTCGATGGCACATACATCAATGGCCGGGGTGCACATGACTGTAAGAACAATGTCGTCGGAATCATGGCCGCGATTGAAGCCCTCATAGAAGCAGGCTTCGAGCCTCGTCGTACAATTGTGCTCGGTTTCGGATTTGACGAAGAATCCCCAACACTCATGCTTGGTGCTTTTCATATTTCTCGCCATTTAAAGCGTGTCTGGGGAGATAAATTTGGTGACTCTTTACCGTTTGCCTTGCTTCTTGACGAAGGTTTGATTGGCATCCAGAAGAAATATAACCGTACCTTTGGTATTCCTCAAGCCTCGGAGAAGGGAATGCTGGACGTCAAATTCCGTGTTCATGTGCCTGGTGGACACAGTTCAAATCCTCCAGCACATGGATCAATTGGGATACTATCTCAAGTCGTCTCAGCCTTGGAAGATAGCTACAGGCCAAACTTTCCGTCTACTTTCACCTCGAACAACCCATACTACTACCAGATTCATTGTGCTGCTGAAGATAATCATGCAGATATGTCTTCTGTATTGAGAGATGCAATTCTCAATCAGGCCGGTCGTCCAGACGTTGACCATCCAAAGTTGACCGAGCTTCTGGTGAAGGAGGACCCCGAGTCTGATATCTATCTCCATACAACCCAAGCAATTACCGTCTTTAACTCGGGCAACAAAGCCAACGTGATTCCAGAGAACGCTGAAATGTTGGCAAATTATCGTATATCCAACGAAGAAAACATCTCCATAGTCCAGAAAAGGATTGTAGAGACTGTCAGACCTCTAGTCGAAAAGTTCAATTTGCGCTTGATTGTGCGAGAGGAGGACGATGATGATAAGGAGTTGCCGCTCAATTCATTCTCGATCTCGTGGTGGCGGCGTATCGAACCCTCTCCGGTATCTAGCCACCGATCTTCTCCTGTTTGGAACCACCTTGCTGGTGTGATCAAACATGTATTTGACGAACCAGGAGACGGCAACGATGTCATTGTTGCCCCGACAATGGCGGTAGGAAATACAGATACCAAATATTACTGGGATCTGTCCGAACAGATCTATCGCTTTGGCCCGGTTCGAATTTGGCACGATGAAGGATGGGGTAATTTACATTCAGTGAATGAGCGGGTATGTTTTTTCTGGCCTGAAGATGCGTATTTGCTGACCTCGACATTAGATTGCTCTTGATGCTCACATGGAGGGCTTGACGTTTTACCACGAATTGATTCGTGTCTTTGATGAGGCTGATTTGGCACATTAGAGTGTGATAAATTCTTCTATTTTCAAACAATCTATTTATCAGAATGAATGATGAAACACACTTGGTATTATGGAAGAAATAGCTGGGCGTCGTAGTTCTGTGGAAGTTGAAATGTTGGAAGCACGTGCTCACCTATTACAAGAGGAAGGAGCCACCTGCCGTCTAGCTAGCCATATATCCTCTCGCAACATCCTACTACCAACAACAATAAAAATGGACGAAAATTAAAAGGAGATGTCGCTGAATCGATTTTCAGTGCCTTCCCAGGGTCAATTGGCTCTTGCAATCGCGATTGTCAACTCGAAACCTACAAATGTCTCCGTAATAGGTAAGCGACAACCAGCTGTATTTTCTATGAAAGGGTATATCTTGACTGTTCGCAGATCACCTCCAGCAAATTCGTGCACATATTAAAACAACTCTCAGTCATTCTCCTAAATCTTCTAGCCCGACCAGCTCAAGTGATAAATACTTTGATAGTGTTGCCTTCTGGAAACAGGCTTATACCAAGGCCGAAGCCACGCAAAGCAAGTTGAATGATCGTATCTATGAGCTGGAACAACGAGTACAGACTTTGAAGCTCAAATTAAACCAAGAGGACAATGAATGTGACACGCCAGAACGCGGCAAGCGCAAAGAGAGCAAGGAGCCGACAGCACCAGACTCACAGAGGAAACGGAGGAAGACAAACAATACCCCTTCAGGGGTAGGAAGCAGTATTGAAGCCGAGTTGGAACGGTTGAGTGGGCTAATCCGACAAGAGAACTTGACTGAGTCAAGTGAGTATTAGATCGCGAAATGCTGGTCATTTGCTGATATCGACTAGAGATCAACTCGGTTATGAGACATATATCAGCACTACAACAGAACATGCAGAAAAAACCCAACTGGCCAGTCATATATTCGACTGTTCTCGATCTTTGCGCAGCAACTTGCTCTGTTGTTCCATGCCTCTACGAACGCTCGTGTTCTGAATCAAGACAGTCAAACAGCACTGACAACATCAGAGTGCTCAATCCGATAGTCGTTCTAGCAGTGATTGAGTCTGCCCATACTATTCTGTGCCGTGCTCAAAACAAGATTATCAGTTCTTCTGAAAGCCAGAAATACGAAGGCCAAGTCACATATCACTTGACATCACTTTTTGAAGCAGTCCTATACGCATTGGCGAAGATATGCGATCCCAAAGCTGGTAGCAAAGAACTTCCAAAGCTCAAACAGATTTCGAAAAGTCCGTCAGCAAAGAATACAATGCAGCAGTCATCGGCCGAATCGTCTGAAACTTTGCATTGTGGAATCTCTCTTGATGAGATTTTGCAGACTCTAAGACATGTACTTGCGGGCATGATGTTGAAGGCAACTACTCTCATTACTGCTAGCCCTAACAATATTTTTGAAGGGTATCTCTACATGTTTTTCACTCGCGTGGGGACTGTTCTCTCGGTGCTCGAATTCAAAGACATCGTTACTAGCCCGGATCTCCAAACCAGCTCAGACAGGCTACCTTTGCCGGATGGCCTTCGCCGAGCAGGTATTAGGAAAGATGAAGCCATTGAAGCAACATTAACGGCGTACGAGGCCGAAACATATCATTTGGTATGGATCTTGGAAAAGGCTGTTGCGCTGATACATTCTATTTCAATGAAATCGTCACTGTCTGATGATACGACTAATGCTAGTGATGGGAAAGGCTCAAACGCCGGACTTCTTCTGAGTCTGTCTAAAAAACGATTACAGAACACTCTACTCATGGCAGTTTTTCACGAAGAAGAGCCATTGTTCTTGGAGTCTTTGAAAAAGCCACAAAAGCCTGCAGGAGATGAAATGAATATCCCAATCACCAAAAACTCAGAACCACCTTCGGAATGGTTCTCGAGGGAAGTCTGGCGGTTGTTGGGATGGGATGTACTCGAATCTATTTGGAAGAACGGAAACGAGAATCATACAAAATGAGTAGGGACTTCACAAATGTATCACATTCGCCTATGGATGTTTTAATTGAGATTCAGAATGCGAATTGCGTTACCACCGAGAACTGCTTTGACTGCCTCTTTGTCGGTACTCAAAGTCCCTTCAATCGCCTTGTAGTTTGTTGTAACACTGGGCCAGGTCGCATCCTCTTCGGAAAGTGGAGGGAAGAAGGGGTTATCAGTACCTATAATCATGAGTATCAAAAGCTGAATTCTGAAATCAAACAAAATCAAGATTTACTCACCGAACAATAGCCTATCATGCCCTCCAGCTGCATGTATAGCTGCTTTCAACCCCGCTTCGCCATACACAACCGCATCAAGGTAAATGTTCGTATTCAAAACCGTCCACACATCCCTTACAGGTCCCTGCGTACTTCCACCGTTAGCAACAAACTTCCTCTCATGCGCAATACAACTTTCAATCCTCCCCGCCAGAAACGGCAGAGCACCACCTGAATGCGCCAGCAGAATCTTGATATTGGGAAACCGATCAAAGACACCCGATAAAAGCATCCTGGTTACTGCAATAGTGGTCTCAAGCGGGAATCCGAGTGCTAAAGGGAGAACATGGCCATATCTTTGAGTAACTTCTGGACCACCAAAGGCCTCATCGGGGAGACCGTAGTGAGGGTGAAGGAAGAGTATGGTCTGGGTTTCTTCTAGGGCTGCCCAGACGGGGTCTAAGCCTGCATCGTCGAGACCTTTGCCGAGACCTGAGGTGCCCATGATCACGCCACGCATGTGTGAGAGGGTTTTGAGTCTTTTGATCTCGTTGACGATGATAGACGGGTCTGGTGCGGAGAGTGGTAGGGCGCCGAAAGCGTACAGCGTTTTCACTTCGCTGATAGATTTGCTATCCTTGTTGACCGTTGCACAAGTCTCTTCAAGATCGTTGTTTATCTTTTCCGACCACACTTGCGCGTCGTCCACTTCTAGAAAATCCAACCAGGGGTTCGCCAGCGATATGACACTCGTAGTAATACCGTGCTTTCTCATGAACGCGAGCTTGACCTCGATATCGGAGTACGATGCATCGACAGGACGACCTCGTTGGCCAAGTGCTGTGCCCGCGTCATCATCAGATGCGAGGATGATTAAACGGGAGTCAGCGCCGTTGGCAGGATCGTGGACGTATGGCACATTTTTGCGAGCTCGGAGCATGTCCAGGTACGCTGGTGTGTAGACGTGAGTGTGGATGTCGACTATTGGTGATGCCATTATGCTTGAAGTATCTTAGATGAGAGACAGAGACGAATTAGTGATCCGCTGATGCTTTGTTGATATTTATTTTGTTGATAGTTGATGCTGGGACTGGATGAGGGGATATGCGGGGAAGGACGAGATAAGCTCTGTCCTTGCTGTATCTGATAAGATCGCGATTGTATCCATGACTCATGGTCTTCCATTAACTTATGCCATTTCACAGTGTAAGGGGTGATAGAGATGTGACTACTTCTATTTAAGTATTGCGCATTATCTATTATGATCAATCAATGTATTTATTTCAGAGAAAATGGGTTGGGATATTGTGAGATGGAATAGCCAATCCAATTGTCGGGCCACCATAATGAGCTGTTTCCCACGTGAGTATGGCAAGCGCATTGAACTTGAGATCCGAGATGAAGAACAGAAAAGAGATTGGTGGTAGAGAAGAAGTCGACTACTAAGAGGATGGATGATTGTTTGTAGCTCATACGTGGGGACGTGCGGTAAGATTAGATCAAAGTAGATCAGATAAGCATTCCACTTCCTCCTCGGTCTCGCATCCCCCATGGCAAGAAATACATGACAAACTCGAGCTCACGGATTGATCTGCGATAAAATAATCTAAATAATACGTCTGTCCAACATTTGCTTGTATAGCAATAATGCTATATACTACGTAAGTGTGTGTTGCGCAAGTCGGCAATTCAGAGCGGGCTGGATTGTTCGGCAGCTGGAGGCCCACTCAGGACGTCATGACTACCTCTCCTCGTTCTCTCCTTCTCTCCTTCTCATCTCTCGTCCATGACCTCAGCATCGAACAACCCTGCCAGTCCGGTCATACAGCAGCGGGAATCGAGCAATGATGAATGCAGGATGGAGTATTTGCATCTCGGAGCAGTCGGAGCAAGGTGCAATCAGGGTCAGCTTTGTCATCGACCACGACCCATTTCCAGCCAACAAGCTCTACCTGAATTCATAATAGTGACATCTGCTGGTCTGGTTCATCCGGGATTTTGTCTCCGATACTAGGCATTCTTGTTCCACAATTGATGGCCCACAATACGTAGCTGCATACACGACCTATGGGAGACACACGCTCCGGAATTTTTGGCCACCAAGGCCTGTCGAACTGGCTTGATGCGACGTTGAGCTTGCTGCTTTCAGACGTTCGGAAATCTCTGTCGCGAGTTTAATCATACATTGGCGTGTTGTGCACGGCACGTTATGCTTACCTCATGTTTCCTTCCCAACAACCTACATAGTCGACGGCACTTGAATCTGTCTGATCTGCTTCCCAATGCAGAAACTTGATTCTTTTGACAGACATGTTTCAAGACCTGTAGGGTTGCATCATGGAGTGGTGGCGTCATCTTGATCAAGAGCGTTCTGCTCACAAACTTTCTCCTATATTTGAACTCCCCCATGTTCTTTGACAACAGGGTTTTTCATTCCTTTCTTTTGTCGACAGGTAAATCAAACAATCGGTCGAGAGTGGTCAAATCGTCATGATGCTGACCAAAACAACGATTGCCGCCTTGTTGGCGTCGCTATCATTCGTGACTGCCGTTCCACAAGGTGCTACATCAACTTCTACATCGACCACTTCTTCGTCTAGTAGTTCTTCTTCCAGTAGCGCAAGGAGGTCTTCCCGATATGCGGCATCATCAAGCGTGCCGTCTACTCGACCGGGTCTGTCGTCAGTTTTTCATGGCGCATACAGCGGCTCAGCGACGGTGACTGGCGCACTGAAAGCCAGCTCTGTTGGCACTGGGATTGTCGTTGGAGGCGTACCCCCAGCTGAGACGACGTATCCCAGTGACGGACAACTACATGACGCTCAACCGGCTCCGTATGTTCCTGCAGGAGGTGTTGGCACCAATACGACTCCTATCTATAACGTGCAAAGTGACTTTGACTACGAATCCTTGGTATGTTTGTTACCCAGGTAGCGTTCACAACTCTGTTTATAAATCACTAATCCGGCATTCATACAGGCACTCGCTCTCTACCAAGAATGGATCGAGCTGGATCTTTTCCAATACGGACTTAAAACCTTTTCTGATTCCGATTTTCAGGACGCTGGCTTGACTGCTGAGGATCGAACCTTGATTGAATTCATGGCAGAACAAGAAATTGGCCATGCTACACTCATCAGTAACATTCTTGGTGCCGAAGCACCGCAGCAATGTAATTATAACTATCCATTCACGAACGTGCGCGAGTTTGTGGACTTTTGCCAGAAGCTCACACGATTTGGTGAGTCTGGCGTGTACGGCTTTTTGGGTCATCTCAATAGCCGTGAGGCTGCAACGCTGCTCTTGCAGAGTATCTCTACAGAAGCTCGACAACAGCTGATCTTCAGACAATTCGATGGCCTATTCCCGATGCCTGTCTGGTTTGAAGTCGGAGTGCCTCAGTCCTGGGCTTGGACTCTCCTTGCTCCTTACATCAGCTCGTGTCCCGCGAACCAGACACGTCTAGCCTGGCAGAATTTCCCTGCTCTTTGGATTTTGAATCAACCCAATCCAGCCAGATACAACGCTTCTCAAGGCTTCAACGAGACTCTCGGTGCAGGAACCAATACATTGAACAGCACCGGAATCTCCGGCTCAGCAGCTTGTTTCAACAACACTGGTCAAAGCGGCAACTGCAATCCTGCAATTACCCAAAATCGCAGCATTCCGCTGTCGTACCCCGGTCGAGTGGTCAATCTCACCTGGGATCAACCTGGAAAACTCGTTGGACCAAACAACAGCTACGTCACGTCATCCTCAGCCGGTACTCCAGCCTATGTCGCATGGGTGTCGCAGTTGAACGTGACTTATTCCGCGTTGAATTTGAGTAGCAATACCTCTGGATCAACTGTTCAGCCGGATGTTGAGACTTTTGCGGGTGATCCTGCTGTTAATGGAACGCTGTTCATTGCAATTACAGATTCGGACATATTTTTGACACCGTTCAATTTGAGTTTGATTAATGAGCATGTTGTTGCTGGGCCTGCTTTGTACCAGGCTGGCTAAGTTCGATTTTCGACTCAGCGGCAGACGCAAGGGAGGTCGGTACATGTATGAGGTGATGATACGTAATGATACAGGTATATTGAGATGACATATGTGATTTAAATTGTGATAAGATGTGGGTTGTGAGAATACGATAATAATTAGATGTGGAATGAACATATTGCTTTGATTTGAACGAACAGAAGCTTATATATGCGGTGATTCTTCTCCAGGTAATCATCAACTGAGACATCTCTTTTTAAAATCAGCCAAGTACTGTCATAACTCTACGTCTGGATTGTACGGCATCCACCGTTCCCATAGAAAGGCGACATAGAAACAGTGAGACCAGTCTAAGCTCAATGCAATCCACAGCGACATGCAATTCAAATCCCATAAAGAAGACAGCCTCTATAAGTTGGCTTGCAACTTCTTTGCGCGATCTTTGGCAATATCACACATAGCCTAATCAATCAGCCCTCGAGCCCTCGAGCCATGAAGAGTAAGAGCATACCTCAATATTATCTCTTACTTCCATCTCAAATTCTGCCCGGTCAATGCGCCTCCTCATATCGACCATGATAACATCTCGGCCTCGCCCATTCACCCAGGTCCTATTTTCCCATTAGTACTCAAATACCAAAATCATTCATAAGGAATCAGATTAGAGGACCATACACATATCTCAACCCCGGATACCGCTCCTCATACTCCTTATTCAACGCACTCAACCTCGCAGCTTGGTCTGCAGCCGCTTGTTCGTCGTTCTGGGCTGACTTGTTGATATTAGCCTGCTCGCGTCTACTCAATTCACTCAGTCCGGCCTGCGCAGTTGGCGATGCTGCGCCGAGGCGAGGGTGAGAGCCTAGAATGCCATATAGAGTCTGTTTCTGTTGTGGGTCACTCGTTGCTGCGGATAGGGCTGATAGTTTGGTGTGGATTGTGTCGATAAGAGTGTCATATGATTGGAAGGGTTGGTTGGAGGTGAGGATAGGTTGGAGGATAGTGTGGAGTTCGGGGGAGGGTTCGAAGACGGTGTCGAGGGCTTTGAGTTGTTCGCTCAAAGGCAAGCTGGGGAGGGATGTGATTGGGGGAAGGGTTGGGGCTGCCATTTTCTGTTCTGGTGTTGAGGATTGATTTCTTGAAGATATTGTTTGTGGCATAAAATGTTCTAAGAGTGTGACTTTAAATGTGGTCGACGTCGGAAGCTGCCGATAAGAGGCGGAAGGCGCCTGCATCACAATTCATGGTTCTTCGATGCATCCAAGCACCCCATTCTCTCAACAACAGACACGAACAGCTAATATTCATCTCATCCGTACCTCACCATCAGATATTGCACATACGTAGTAAAAGCATTTGCCATCTACCTCTCCGTACTGATCAGAAATGGCTAGTCTACGCACGGCACATGGTTCGCCAAGACCGAAATTGATTGAATTTAGTCCGATTACTCCGACGACGATCGATATCTGAATTGATTAAATCTGCCTGGTTTTGCGTGCTCTGCAGATGAACATGAAACAAAGATCGGCAGTTGCAAGCCAACTCGAACGTTCCTTAATTTGGTTTTTTCATTTCATTTCTCTGCCGCCGGCGCTAATATCTACCATGAGTATTGCTCTACATGCGATACTTTTTCCCGTGCTTGATATCTCAATTAGCACATTTGATCAATCATTGAAAGTCAGATAGCATCTATCAATTGTATTAATCGCACAGGGAGAAGACTCCTTGCATCTATTATAGTAAAAGTCAGCGTACTGTACGTAAATACAAGCTCGTATGCGTATCACAGAGTAATCGGCGCTACTCTATAAACGGACTAGATCTTCTCCACAGGAACCAGAAAACTTAAAAAGAGGCCGTGTATCAATACCGTATTGTTTACGTACACGGATTATATGCTCGAATACACAGTATAAAGAGAAGAGGGATGTAATCCGAGGCCTGACAAAGAGTGAGTAGAGAGTGTATAGGAACATATGCTAGTCAGTCTATGTACATAGGTGGAAAGAAAATGGCAGTATGTAAGTGCAGCATTGATGCGACAATCCAGGCTACTGCAAGCTGACTATTTCTCGTTCTTGTTCATGTCCTCGCGGAGGAAATCCTCCAGCTTGGTCCATTTGAGGTCGGGATATCGGCTGTTATCCAACGGGTCCAGTTTCCCAGCTCCAGACATCATGTTCACCATGTATTGCATGCCTTGCCATGCTGGAAACACTTCATTCTCACCGCCAAACAGGCGCATGGCTCGGATCAGGAACTCTAGAAAGCCCACAGTGCCCATCCAGGACGGCTTGTATTCCACTCCTCGCACAGCAGTTAGTGCATCTGCGATGTCTTGTACGCTGACAGAGACGCTGGCAATTCGCAGGATCTTAGGCGTTGGATTTGGGTCTGCCGCCACGGCAGCGGTGTATGCAGCAGTATCCGCCATGGTAGTAAAGTCGAGCAATTGAGTCGGCTTGCCTACATATGGGACCTTGCGGCTTTTGTGGTTGATCATCGGTGAGTCGCCGGCCAATAAATTCAAAAMCCCGCCGTTCAGGATGCTGGTCCAATCGATGCCCGATTTATCCAGCCTGGCATGGAACTCACGGTGCAAGTCCAAGTTGCGATTTGACCCTGGTTTTGTTTTTGTGAAATCAAGGGCAAAGTCAGAGGGAATGAATCGCGGCACTTTGGCAGCCACAGAGGCATCGAGAAGATTTCCCTGAGCAACATGCATGACATCTTGCAGCCCCAGAAGCGTCGAAACGACACAGGTTGCTCCGGTCAGTTGGCGGGTGAGTGCTGGCAGGTCGGAAAATTCCACTGGAATGATCATCGCGCCGTGGTCTAGAAGGTCGCTTGTGCGAGACGGATCAGTATTGGGACGCACGAGGGCCTTGACGGACACGCCTCGTTCGATCAGAGCAAGTGTCACGATCTTTCCTAATCCACCAGCAGCGCCGGCGACGGCGACAAATGGCTTAGACATAAGAGGCGATATGTAATTTCATTTCCAGTGTCTCTTTCCAAAGTTGGCATCGCAACTTCGACTTAATATACCTTCCACCATCACCACACTATGAGATATAACACTTAAACTTTACTTTGATTAGTAATTGCGGCGTTGAAGTCGATGCCGAGATTGAAGTCTCACAAACCGGGTTTGCTCCAAATCGAGCTTTGTTCAGGCTAAGTGCAAGATCGATTTCCCCACCTAAACGAAGTGATCGGGGGTGCAAAATATGCCGGGTTACGGCCGCGGTCACAGAAGCGGTGAATATATAAATACCATGTATATTATAGCCCTAGATATCCTATCTAGGAGCACGAGTTGGCGTATGAATTGGCGGACGAACTGGCGCACGAACTGGCGGACGAATTGGCCCTAGATATCATATCTAAAGGCATCAATGATTAGTCAATATTGACGTTAAAAATGCCGAGTTATCTGCCCTGTATAAATGCACCTTTGTATGGGAGCTTCAAAATAATGTGCTTGTCCTTATAGCCAGGTATGAAGCACATTTGTATGGGGTTAAATTTTTGGTGCTATAAGTCGGGTTGCGCTAATCCGGTGATTTTATATCTAGGGTTGACTGTACCAGTACGTAAGTCCGAAGTCGTAGGGCGGACAACTTTTAACTGCATTCTCGGGATTCAACAGATTAATCTCCATTAAAGTATGATGGTACTTGCTATTCAAGCTCCTGCTTATAGAACCTTGAGGTATGGAGTGCTAACAGCCTTGGTGTGGAAGTACGATCTGCGGGTGTGCACGGAACTTCGAAAAGTACCGAACCCCTGAATGCCTGCATTGGTGGACCAAAATTTTTCTTGCGGACCATTATCCTCGCCTCTTTTGAGTCATTGACTCGCAGTGACTTTGATACAGCTCGCACGTTTGGGATGCCCTGATATTCGTCCATGTTTGGTTTCTTCACTGTTACTGTATCAGCGTATTCGAGACATGTTCTCGATCGTTCCTGAAGTCGGGAACGCTATCTAATAGGTACTCCACAGATATAGTAGTTGCATGCCAATAGTCGATGAGCAATAGTTGGGTCATGCCGATTGACGCTCTTGAGTGACGAACCATAGGAGTTCATACTAATGTACGTACGTACTGTAAAATTCATCGTTCTTTCTCAGAAGCTTAGTTAGGGCAAATCTAAAAGTACAGTACATGGGAAGGTTAGCTGTGGTACCGCCCGAGCTCCCTGCTAGCACCCCGAAACGGACTAGCCCGTATCTTCCCCTGCCCAACTGGCAACTCCCCCCTCCCGCACGTCTAGACATTGATTGTTTCAATTTTATTTATTGAACTCGCCTCTTTCCCTACAAGGGATTACACACACGGGCCTGATATTATCACGGTCTTCTCCAAACCTGTGCGACGACTCCAACGCGCTTTTCGGACAAGGACGGCTACCAGTCTTTTCCAATGCGGCAACCGCCATGTCGCTCAATGGGTTAGATGGTCCCGCTGTCATCGATGCCTATCAAAGTGCCTTGTCGGAGGCAGGAGGATGGTGAGTGTGACTCCTACTGTGTCGACACTGGTTGACAGTCGTCAATGACCCCTCAATGCTCGAATTGGTACTTTCGCATTCGTGGAATGAGATAGTTCGAAATGGACGACAGGCGTCTGACAAATGACGACACAATGTGACCACAGCTAACATTGTCTCTGGTTAGGCTCCTTCTCAAATATGCGTCCAGAGACGAGGTCACCTTGCTAGGCCGAGGGACCGGCGGTGTACCGGATGTACGAGCGACGGTGGAAGGTTATGAGGAGAAATCGCCCTTATACGGCTTTTTACAATATCGCAGGAGGAAGATAGTGCTCAAATATGTCCCTGATGGAATGTCACGGCTAGTTCAAGGTGGGCCGCGCCCTCTTCTTGTTTATCGCAACCCCGATCGAATACTGATACTTTGCCTATTCACAGCCCGTACAACAGTTCAATTCCAGTCAATTCTTGACAAGTTCTCCCCTCAAGACACCACCTTCGAATTCAAATCGCCAGGCGACCTCACCGAAAGTGCTCTTTCGTCAGCTTGTCTGCTGCATGCAGTATCCGGGTCAATTACGTCGTCTTCGAGTTCTTTGCGCCGCCGGCGGTTGATGGAAATTGCGGAAGATGCCGAGGAAGGGCCTCCCCCGACTAGTAGCGGACTTTCTGAGGCGCCTCAATCGCCGGAGGACACAAACGATAAACGGCTCAGTCAGGCGTCAGATGCGACAGCGGTCCCGCCGAAAGCGAAGAATGATGAATCGCCGAATATTCCTCCTACCCCTGAAAGTGAAGTAGATGCTCGATCAGAAACAGCTTCAGTTCGATCCATATCGCGCAGAAGATTTCTCGACCAATTCCAGCAGGATTCATTTGAACGCAGGAGCTCCACTCAGTCGATGAGACCTTCACTTCAAGAGCTACACTACGCGGCCCCCTATCGTCAAAAAGTGAAGACCGAACATCGTCCGTCGGCAGACATAAATGGTCGCCCACGCACAGCTGGCTCGATGTCGCGTGGCCAGGAACATCGTCCTACCGCGGCTTTACCTGCCGGTGTTCGCTCGCGAAAACCTGCTGGTCATCCTAGCCGACCCAAATCTACGCCAGACGTACCTCCCGTGCCCACTTTAGCTTCTCTCAGAAATGCGCCTCCAGTGCCATTACTGATTCCTCCACCTACCCTATCAATTGGAAAACCTAAGCTTTCGCCAGGTGCAAAGTCAATGAATGCGCTTCCGTCATCTGGGATGTCTCCAGAAAAACAACGGTTAATGAAAGCCCTTGAACTTCGCAAAAGGCAAATGGAAAAGAAGACGCAGGAATTGCAGAAGAAACAGGAACTGCAGAAGAAACAAGCGCAGAAGGCAGCAGTACAGCCTACGATCAGTGAAACCGTCGAGGATAATGAGAAAATTGAGCAACCTCCAACAAAGAGTGACACACGCGAGCCGACGCCACCCGAGACTGGTGATACAACAGCTATAGAACCACCTGCCGTCAATACGAATACAAGTGAAGATAAGAAACCCCTATCGGCGGATATTGCGAAAGCCGACTCTGCAGTGGAAATGGTGGTCTTAGCGTCGAAAGATACGGAGCCTTCTGTTTCCAGCATCGAGGTAGAAGAAGACGCCGACAATGACGTAGAAACTACCTCCGACAAGCAGGCAGACGAGCAAGACCTAAAGCCTGAGCTAAATGAGCAAAGTTCACTACAAGGTGATGCCAAGTCAGATACAAAAACTACAAATGACGAAGAAGAAACGATGACACCACGGACAACCGATTCAGACAATACCATCAAAGCATCTGGTCCTCCGGATGTTGAGGAAGAGGAAACAAAGATTACAGATGAAACAGGGGCTACAGCAGAGGCTCCGGTGGTAGATACCACGATACAAGAGACCACAGTGGAGACACCAGAGAACAACGAACCATCAGAGACATCACAAGCTGGTGACGAGGACGATCAAACCGAATTGATCACAATTGTCGCTTCAGTGAGTGACCTTAAGCCAGAATCTCAGGAAGCGACMCCTGCCACAACCGAAGAAGTACAAGAAGTCGAAAACTTGTCGAGTGCAAACTTACAGGCGGAGGACATCCCTTTACCGCTAGAGTCCGGGGACGATTTCAAGGACCAAGTTCCAACTAAGGCCGCGCTAGAGCCGGTCTCCACCGTCCAGGAACAACCCCTCCCGCAACCCGAGCAAGCAGAAATCGAAAAGTCGGAGAAACAGAAACGACTCGCTCTGTTGGAGCCAATTCAAGTCCCCACGCCTGACTTTTCGGACGATGAGAATTTATTGTCAGACGATTCATTGATGGAGGAGCTGAAATCTGCCACTGTGCAAGAGGCCCAGCCCGTCTCAGTAGGCAAGGGCCCCTTATCCGCCGATGGAGAGCCGCGGACACCGCTCGAAGCCTGGCAGACACGCGCCGTTTCCAACCCAAGTCGACGTCCCAATGAATTCAATTCGCTTTCCGGAGAAACTCGATCGATATCGGCGACGTTTGTGGACAATAACAATCAGTCGGTGCGACCGGCACCAGTGATGCAAGCTAAAAAGGTTAATGTGTCCTCTGGTATCTCGAAGCGTATAAAAGCGCTGGAGATGTTCTCAAACAGCCCAGCTCCTCCAGGCAGCCTTGCACCTCCAGGTAATGTCGCTTCGCCGGCAGCATCGTCGGCTTTTGAAAAATTCCGCAAGCGCGCATCTGTGTCCTTGAATGGTAATCTCCCTTCAGCGACGACTACTAGTGTCAGGTCATCTTTCATTTCTGTCGCCGAGTCCTCACCCCTGAACCGAAGTGACTCGAGATCACTGCCCAAGACGAATTCGGTTTCCGTCACTGCACGTATCGTTCGAGACCCAAGTACTCCTTCAACCGAGCCAAGTGCCAGTCCTCTAGACGCAAACGTCCTCGGCCTTCAACGCAGTCCCCTCATAGTGCGACATGATTCTTTCGATACTCAAGCATCGGAACATGTGCTATCGGACAGTGCGACCGAGCTTCGAAGTAACAACTTCTCGCGGCCAGGAACCGACACAACCGTTTCTCGTTCGGAAAGTCGAGCTTCTTTACAGTCGCAAGTTGAGGATTGGAGTAACAGGAACGGGTCGACAGGAGATTTGGGGTCAAACTCCGATGACAAGAAAGATTCTCGTAGGTCTAGGTTCATGCGACGCATGTCGTCGTTAAGATCTCCAACGCGCAAGAGTCTGATCAGTCCTCCACCTGGAATAGACAAACAACGAGTACCATCGCCGCATGCAGAGGAATCGGCTCGGTCTGCATCAGTAGCAGCCATTGATATTGGCGAAGTCAACGTCCAGTTCCCAGACACATTACTTTGGAAGCGACGATTCCTGCGGATCGACGATCAGGGATACTTGGTTTTGACACCAGGCAGTATGGATACCGGCGCCCGCAATATCGTGAAACGGTACCACCTTTCTGAATTCAAGACACCATGCCTGCCGGATGAAGAAAGACAAGAGCTCCCGAATAGTATCCTGCTTGATTTCCGTGATGGCAGCACCTTACAGTGTGCTTGCGAGTCCCGGAAAGGGCAGGCCGCTGCACTGCAGAGTAAGTTGATCTATAACCCAATGAACAGCATGTGACTAACGGGGTGTAGCACTCGTCAACGCGCACAATTCCTATCAAAACTAAAAATAAGCTTCCACTCAGAAGCGCTCATTTCCATCGTTTTCAATTTCTTTGGTCATCTTCGTACGGTACGCATGCATTTCGAGTCCATGGTTATACCCAGCATCATCAAAATTCTTTTTTCATCGCTCTTCTTCGCGTATTCTTTTTCTTTTTGATATCTATGCCACGACGGACAGGTTGACCGGTCATGGCATCATCTTCATGAAAATAGCCACATTACCGCTTAGCGTTGTACATCTTATTCCCTCATCATCTACCTCCACACCTCACATATTCCTTTCTACACTTGCTTGACGCCGTTTCTTTTTCCTTCTCACTATGTTATTCCTTTATGAGTCTCCATTCACTTCATGTACTTTTGTCTCTTACCCTTCTTGACTCCATATTCTTTTTATCCTGGTACTATCTCTATCATTTTGGCGGGGAGGTCTGTTCCCTGCTTCTTACATAGATACTCCCTATAGAACAATTCCCTCACAAGGAGATTAGACATGACACGTCTCTCTGGTGGCATTCATGTAGATTCTACTCTAGTCGTACAGGCCATATCCTATCCAAACAAAAAAAGGCTATGAACTTTCCGCAAGCGGATTTTTCTCCTCCCACTCCTCCAAAAGCCGAATGACCTTGGGAGCCCAAACCTCTTCTCCAGCCACCAGGTCTTGATATTCCAGAATCTTCTCGGGATCCAGCGTGTAATCACCCTGTTTGGAGCGGACCAGTGAACTCATTAGTCCGCAACTTCCGACTGCTTTGCCGAGATCGTGTGCGAGGGAGCGGACGTAGAAGCCGGAGGAGACTGTCATGGTGATTTTGGCGGCTGGTGGGTTGGGCCGATTTTCTTCTTTTGGTTCTTTTGTCTCTTCTGTGGTGTTCTCTGTATCTTTGTTTTCATTCTTTGCACCGTCGGTGGAAGTTTGGGCAGGTTGCGATGTCTCGGTATCAGACTTCAAACGTTTTAAATCCGTCGCTGTTTCTGTGGTTTGGTTTGCGCTTTTCTCATCAAGACTGGGAGAGGCCTTTCTCTTTTTCTTCTTATCCTCCAAAAGCGAGTTCGCTGCTGCTTGCTCGGCTTCTTCTGCCTCCGACGCAACCGGAATCGCAGCCTCTTTATCCAACATCTTCTCTGCAACCTCCTTCTCTTCACCCGACATTTCCACCTCTGGCCACCTATAGTCATGTGTCCCAGGCTCATACCATTCTAAAATCTGCAAATCATACACTGTGACTTCTCGCGACTTGATTTCGACCGGTGGCTCCATTCCTTTTCTCGCGTACTCGTATAACCTTACACCTTGTATACTCTTCGCCGAGAAAATGGGTGGACGCTGCATAATCTTTCCGCGAAATTTCTTCATAGCTTCCTCAACCACTGCCCGCGTAATATGCTCATAGGGCGCTTTCCGAACGAGTTTGCCGGTGCGATCATATGTATCCGTCTCCGCACCAAACAACACCACCGTCTCGTAGGTCTTGGGACACTCCAGGAATTTGATAAGATGTTTCGTACCCCTTCCAATACCCGTAATCAGTACGCCTGTCGCCATTGGGTCGAGCGTCCCGCCATGGCCGATTTTCACTTCGGGTCTCTTCTTGCGTCGATTGCGGAAGTTGACGTCGTTCTGGCGGCGGTTGATTTCGCCTTCAATCCAGGGCCGGAATGTGGTGGAGGGGTTGAAGTGTTTTTGCAGTTTGCGGAGGACGTCGGCTGATGTGACGCCTTCTGGTTTGTGAACGGCTTCTTTGTGTCAGTGTTTTGTTTTTTTGTGAGAGTTAATTGATGGTGGTGATGGTACATACGCAAAATACCCTCGTAAACTTTTCCTGCTGACATTGTGTTTTGATACAGCTGCACGCCGCGAATGATGCTTCGTTTCATTAAGCTCATAAAGAGCGATGCAATTGGCTATATGTAGCGTAACAAATGATGATTGCGGTGCAGAATGACTGTCAATGGTAGACAAAATTCCAGAAGGAAGCTTAATTTTTAGCGGGTCGAACTGCGAAGGGTTGCTTACGTAGTTTTAGTTACCTCCGGAGGGACTCCGAACGCGTGCCTCATTCCATTCCATCCCAGATCAACACTCATTCTTCTTTTCCGTCACTTCTTCTTCTTTATCTAGAACTAAGACCGAAGCTGTACATCATGCTCACCATATCGAATCGATCCAAGTCATGACGTCCCGCGAAGACCAGATCCTTAAACCCCGAGATCCCTCGGTTGAAGACGAGAACGAATGGGAAGAGTTCAGCTTGGCCGATGTCAAAGTGCTGATCCCTGGCAAGTCGCGTTATGCCAATCTGCTGGATGCGTCGCCGGACAATCCAGTGAGGGTCGTGGGGAGTTTGAATGAGGTCGAAGATGAACAGGGACATTTGGGTGTGTATTTCTTTTTTTTTAACTTTTGGTCTGGATGTACATCATATTTCCCCGCGCAAGGTTATTGTGCTACGACAATAGCCTTGCATTCACCCCCGCATCTATCATCATCACTCACCCTCGCTCAAGCTAACAACTTACTGTCTGTCTCTTGTAGTGCTCGATGAAGACTACCTTTCGAAGCGCATCGTCATCGAAAACGTGACTCATTACGCCTACGGTCAACATGCCGACGGTGAGATTGGCGTCTGGGTCGCCGGCCAAGCTGGCTGGTTCTCCATTGTTCCCGCCAAAGGTTACAAGCCAATGTTCAACGATATGGTAGAAGCAGTCGATTTGCTGTACTTTTTAGTCGACCGTCATAGAAATCAGCGCCCGAGACGGAAACGCCGAGGTGGAGAGGTTACTTTTGAATACTTATGTGATGAGGTAAAACATCACAAGATTCTTCTATATACAACTTTCGCTGATGGTGCCAATTAGTATGTCACTCATACGCACGGTATTTGCGAGGATAGCGATGATTCTGCGGAGGTTTTTTATAAGCACGCTTCGTTTTTGCTTTCACAAATGGTTCAGGGAAGGGAAGATGTGGAGTGGAATGAGACAGATGTTTTTGATCACCTGGTCAAGAAGTTCCCGGTTTGTCTTGACCACTGCCTACACTAATCACCTTTCACTAACATCAAGTAGGATGAATACGAGCGGGTGCTAGCAGCGCAGCAAAAACCGGACGATAAAATGGCGACGGAAGATTTCGAAGGAGGCACAAAGAAGGAGGCGGTCAACATTGAGACTATCTCCAACTCCCAGGCAGACAATATATTCGGTATTATAACGGATCTCAAAGAGGCCGGTGCCTTGGCCAAACGTCAATTGAACCTCGACTTGGTCGTGAGCACTCTGCAGAGTCGATTCGACATAGCCTCGGAAGAGTACGCTAGAAATTTGATCGCCGCCAGGTCGGCTCAAGTCATTGAGCGCATGGAGCACTCAGACTTTGAATGGCATAAGAAGGCTATCTATCGAGAACTGAAGCAGATCGAAGAAAAGGCCGATATTCGTCAAGTCGCAATCACTCCACTTCGACCTCGAACATCTTTTGACGAAAGCACTAGCTCCTCCGAACATGAAGACGAAAATGAGGATGAGGATGATAGCCCTCGGGCACGCAGACATCGTATGCGAATGTCTGTATTACGACCATCAACGACAAAAGCAGGCAAAAAGACGCGCGGCGGGAAATTTCCTGGAGCCGCTAGAGATGTTGCACAATTATCTGAAGACAGTGATGTTGCTGAAGACGTAGAAACGCCCAGCAAGTCTCGCGGCCACAACCTCGTCCGTGATCCTCCACCATCTGTGACAACTCTCAACAGCCGTGCGCGCTCCATATTGTCAGATGCCGACTCCACTTCACTAGTTATCCGAAGAACACCTTTACAAGAGACACATCAATCAGCGAATCTATCTGGCCCCGATACAGCATCCATCATTCATGAAGACAGTAGCATTGTCACCAATGACTTACCCGAAGATACATGGATGTGCTCTGTGGAAGGATGCGGCAAGGTGATATACAAAGCCAGCTCGAAGCGATCCAAAGAACTCATCAGTGACCACACCCTAATGCATGCGGAGGACACGCAGACAAAACTTGATCTCGTATTTGCTGAGCAGAGACTCAATCTTGGTCTTGGAGTTGATAATCTGTTGCGTCGCATTCGTGAATTTGGAACACTTGACGATATTAATGGTGATGACGTTGATGTTGCTGCGAAACGAGTCAGAAGATGAATTAATGATGCAACGGACTTACGATGAACATCTTGGCGGGTCGATGACTTGAAACGTCAAGTACTCAGTTTGTCCCAAAAAGCTCGACGATGTACTTTCGACCGTATCATGCCGGCTCACATCATTGACTTCCAACCACGAATAATCACATTGTGTGTTTTACATGGTTTGAAAGCAAGAGAGCGACAAAGGAGAAAGTCACGCAGTTGGCTAAGTGAAGTACCTAGCTGATTGGTAAAGGCCGGAATAGCTACATACTATTGAACAGCAAAGTGATACCGCCGAACATTTCAAGCTGAATGCAGCATCTACTTCCGAAAATGGATAATGAGCTATTATGATCACGACTTTAGTTCTCTCGCGCAGAGGGTTCTAAAATTGGATGACTTGACAAAAGACACTTCAGTCTTATTATATCAATAAAGACTCAACTCCCTGACGCCAGGTTCCTTTTTCCCAGGTCCCAAAGACATGATACTATGTATGACAGTGAAAAGCAGGAGAACAACTAAATTCTTCCTGTAAATAGACAAAACCAATGGACTACTTTTTATCATTTCATAGCATTTCTCCTACTCTTCCCAGGCCTTTTCTTCGCACCACCACCACCACCACCACTGCCGCCCTTCATCTTCTTAGCCGAGAATCCACGTAGATCAGCCGACGACATGGCATCGCCGGACTTGGCGAATCGCTTCTTGCCGCCAAAGCCGTATTTCTCGTCCTTCTTTTGTCGCTTGGGGTTTGCGCCGCCAGCTGCGTCTTTGCCGCCGCGTTTTCCGCCAAAGGAAGAGGACTTCTTGTTGTCGTTGTCAATGGCGACGTCGAAGAGGTCGTTGTCATTATCGGTGGGGCCGGTTGATTCGGTCTTACGTTCTGCGATATGTTAGATTGACAGACATATGAACAACAAAAAAGAAGGACGTACTCCGCTTCAAACTATTGATCTTCTCTAGCGTCTCCTTCTTCTCCTTCTGGCGCTGCTGCAACTTGGCAACCTGCACCTGCTTTCCAAACTTCTTCAGATCACGCTGTCGTCGCGCATCGGCCGCCGCCTTCTTGGATGCTGCCTCATCAAACAGCTTTTTCTTGATCTTGGTCATGTGCTCATCCGTCTTGACCATTTCTGCGAAATAATCGGTCGGTCTGGTAAAAGACACACCTTCCTTTTTCAAAGTACGACGAGCCTCAATTGCAGCTGCTTGGCAGACTTTGTAAAACGCAAGTTCGCGAGTGAGATCGTCGTTGGGGTCGGGAACGTCCATGTCATCTGTAGAAACCAGGGAATTGTGTTCTGAAAACGGAGTTTGGGAGGTGATGAATGATATGCGCTTGATAGAGGCGTTGATGGCGGCGGAGTTATTGATGGTAAGACGTTGGTGGGGGATGACATCTGCTCGTTCGTCTTCGGAGAGATCTGAGAGTGGTATATCTTCTTCCTCTTCTTCACCTTCGATTTCTTCTTCTTCATCATCATCTTCTTCTTCTTCGCTTTCTGCGTTGTCTTCTGCGAGTTTGATGCCGCCCATTTCCGCATCTTCTTCCTCGTCATTGGCCTCGACATCCTTGGTAGCTTTTACATTTGCCTGAAAACCACACATTAGCGTAGGCAATCGATTTGCATGAAGGATTGAACGGCATACCTCCTCGACCTCCTCTGATTCTCCCTTCTGGGCCTTCTTCTTCTTCTCAGCGGCCTTTGCTAACTTCTTCTGGCGCTCTTTCTCATAATCTTTGCCCTTATGGGCGTCGAGCGCCGCGAACAACTTGCTCTTCTTCACCATTTCGCTTTTTTTTGATTGTTCTTCGTATGCGAATAATACTTGGTAAAACTTATTACCCTCTGTTTTCAGCCTCGAAAGAAATAAGAAGTGTGCGCAGTGATCGGTGTAATCAAGCAGAGTTACTCGACTGACAAACGGAAGCTCAAATTGGAGCAAATAATTTTTTTAAGATTTAGCAGTACGACGCTATAACCGATATGGACTGGCAGCGATAACAGTAAACGCTAGCCTATTTTAGACTAGCGCAGCTCAGAGATAGATCCATGGATGATTATACGGGAACAACCAGATCCAACCTGGACAAGTATAGAAGTTGCATTTGTATACGCTGCTTGATGAAATACATCTTATTTGAAATCAGTTGATACAACCACCAAAGCTGGACTGGCCGAGCGCTGTGAGCAACTAGCGTGTTCAATCACAACGTCCGATCAATATACAAATCAATCACCATGTCAACAGACATCAAAGACTCCCCATCAGGGGCTCAAATACAGGTACATTCAGCATGATTTCCCTGTTATACACCCTGAACTCAAACATCTTGGGCTCTAATACCTAGCCTTGTACGATACTATACTAAACAAAGCAGACACCAACAGAACCCTCCACAGGCGCACCCGAACTCGCCGCTGCTGTCGATGAACTTCTCGACCAACTACAGCACAAATTCGACGGTGTTTCTACCGAGATATTTGGCAAGCGTATGTCTTGCTCTTCTTTCTCTTCTTCTCTTCTCATCAAGATCATTTGCTAACACAGTTGTAGTGGATGATATGACTAGACGGCTAGATGAGCTTGAGGCTTCGTTGGGTGAAGTACAGGAGAATGCGGGAGCGTCGAAGTCGTGATCCCTCCATTTCTTTTTCAAAAAAAAAGGAGGGATGCAAGGCATAGTATCGGCGGTTGATGATATGAGCTGGGCTCTATGCAGTGAAGCCTTGTTTGACATAAAATGTTAGACGTGAATGAGCTATAATTCAACTGCGGCACTGCAAACAGTCTCTTCGCTTTCTACCCAGACATACATATGATAAACATGTACATTTTCTAATGCTTCGATTTAATGTTACTATTGCAAGGTATCATTCTGGTCTGTCTCAATCTCTTAATCATAAATTTTATACAACGATAAACAATGCCATATCCTGCCCATTCCGAATGACTCGAGGACCATGAAATATATCACTGAACGGCCTCGGACCGTAAGCGCATCAGACCAAGACGAATCTATAGCTCATCCTTAGGCTCCTTCTCAGTCTCACCCAAGAATTGACGCAAAATATTGCTACGAGAAATCAAATCATCAAGCTTCTCCGGCGCAAGACCACCCTTGGACACAATCTTGGACAACCGGTTGAACTCCTTGGTGACGTATCCTTCACTCTCCTTCAGCTTCTCAGTAACCTTGATATAGTACTGAGCATACTGCTCCTGCACATTCTTAGCGGCCTTCTTGATTTCGTCGGAAAGCTTAGCGAAGCTCTTGGTAGGCACGTATTTGGCCACGAGCGAGTCGAGCGTGGGGATAGTGCCAGCCTTCTCGTTGAGACCGCCGCCAACGACGCGGTGAGTGCCGACTTTCTCGTTGATGTAGTCCACAAAGTTGTTCTCGGCGCGACCACCTTCGTAGGCAACAGCCTCCGAGGAGCCAGCAGGGAAATATTTGATCGTGGGGAAGCCCTGGATTCCAAATTCTTTGGCAAGCGATTTGCTGTTCTCGGCTTCACAGTCGACCTTGGCGATAACCACGTTTTCGTCGCGCGCAAAGTCGTTGGCGAGGTCTTCCCAGGTAGGAGCAAGCTTCTTGCAGTCTATATCGCACAAACCTTAGTATCATTCAGCTCCCAGAAACCAAGAAAAACTTACGTCCACACCAAGGAGCAGTAAAAGCTACCAAAACATTCTTATCAGCAGCCCCAACAACGTCCTTGAACGACGACTCAGTCAATATCTGCACATTGCTGGGAGGCTGATAGGCAGCCTTGGGCCGAATGCCAGTCTTCTCTGTAATAAAAGCCGACAAACTCTCCAAATCCCTTCCACCGTTGTACTCAGTAGGGGTATCACTCTTGCCATCAAAGAACTTCAACGTTGGGAAACCCTGAACGCCATATTTCTTGCCCAGGGAGCGGTGCTCATCGGCATCGACTTTTGCGATTTGCACTTTATCGGAGAAGGAGAATGTCTGTGCCAATTCTTCGTAGACGGGAGCTAAGTTCTTGCAATGGCCGCACCAGGGGGCGAAGAATTCGACTAGTGTGGGTTTTCCGGATTTGATGGCGACGTCCTCGAAGTTGGAGGGGAGGAGGTCGAGGACGGAGGATGCGGCGCTGACGATGCTGATGAACAGCGCGAGGCTGCTTAAGATGAAGCTCAAACGAGCCATATTGATGCTATTCGGTCAACGATATAGCAATATGTGTTTTGAGTATAATATTAGATGAATGAGGATTTGTTGAAAGCACCCTTTGATTAAATTTCAAAAGGAACCCAAATATTGCAAATTTGTGATTGAAGCTTGGTAATTAAGGACAGCTGGAGTTTCCGCAACGTTGCCTTTTGCCGCAGCTCTAGTTAAGTTTGTATTGATGGTAATTACTAATACAGCCGCTCTTTAGCACATTATTCATCAGCCAGTTTCATGTTTACTCAACTTCTAACCAAGGGTTAGGCTATTATCTATTGGCTATGGTTGTACGGAGTATCCGATCTGTATATGCAGCTGCATATATAACGATATTTCCGCCCGACATACTCAGGGAAGCGTCGCTTGGTATCGTCTTTTCCTCTTTCCTCCGTCGTTACTATGCGTAATGATATGTTACATAATTACCATAGATGCGAGCGACGTGCCCTACAAGGTGTTGATGCCATCTCAGTCAGTGAGAACTGCTATTGCCTGGCTCATCGGTGGCGAGCCAGCCATTTATTAGCATCGTCCCATACTTTTGTCGTTTTGAAGTCTTTCGGTGCATTTTGAGAAGCCGCATAAACCTGTCACATTGTCAGCGCCATCCTCAATTATATAAGAACGTTAACATACCGCATCCCATAAGGTAAAAGCAGCATCCAGATTGTCTTCGAAACTCTCACTATGCTGGAACCACTCTTTACCCTTGGCCCTAACCTCATCGCGAGTCTTGGGTGACGATGAATCGGGTTGGTAGAGTAGGTCGTCAAGATAAGTCCGTACTGCGATGCCGAGTCCGCAATCATTATCATCGACAAACGGCAACCTAGTGCTTGTTAGTATAAGCAAATTTGCTTATCAAAAATCAAACTCACTTATAACTGATTGATGTCAATCCTTCGCTGCCAATTTTCCGGTCCACCTCGCCACTCAATAGCATCGAAGTAAGGACTACTTCAACTAACTCTCTCAAAGTTCGTCGAACAGCAGAGATCAGAGAGCGAAAAGAAAGGAGCTGGCGACTGAGCGGTCCAGAGTACCCAATTGGTTTGTGCTTCAGCTTTCCAATACATGCGACACGCGAGATGAGAAGGTTGAAAGATTTGTCCTCGTCTATAACTCATTAGCCCCCATGTCTGTCAGACAAGGTTCTATAGCATACCTGAACCCCGCATTGGACCACCTGAGTGGTGTGGGAACCAATTGCTAGGGCCTAGAACTCCCATGCGCAGCATCTCGACGGCAGTAAAAACAGATTCATACGTCTGAGAATCGACTGAAGCATTGGCTGAGTCGAGTGTCTTGATTGCTTCAACAAAGCACTTTCCCCAGTCTGTGAGCTCATGCCTGCTATTCACGTAGCCGCGAAGCTGCAAGAATACTAAAAGGGTCTGATGTAAGATCTCGTCTTCCGAAGAGAGCGCCTTTTAACGTGAATTAGTAATGTATTTCAAGTACGGTGTGAAAGCACTTACGGCAGATTCCCTAGAAGAAAAAGTCTTTGACACAAATGCAGGGTTTGTCAAGCTCTCAGCAGCAAATTTTAGCGATCCGCGAGGGGTCTGCTTGACGTCAATATGCTTCCAATCAATGTGAACCTCCCTGTGAAACAAACCTGAACGTTAGCCAACTCAGTCGGCAACTGCTTATGACTGATCCTCCAGCTTCGAATAGAATCTCTGACTGAGGGTAGTGTTTTGAGATTGATAGTGCGGGTTGAGTTCTCTTCATGCCAAAGTCGCACATTGATGACCTTGGTCTGATAGAAACGATGAAGACAATTGGAAAGCAAACCAACAGCTTGTTCGCGAATTGGCATGAGTGAATCACCGGCAAGACGACGGTACACTTCAGAGTCTTCCACACCAAATGGCAATGGTACAGTAAGCTGGCCGGTGGTTAAATAGTTGGGGATGTTGGGCCCCAAAACACCCCTAGCGATGTAGTAGTACAACTCCTCTGGTAGACGCTGTCCAAGCAACTCATGCACGTCCGATGGGGCCGTTTCTGGTTCTAAAGGACCAACACGACCTTCGTTATCGGCGATCACATGATGTTTGATCGACATATAAGCTCGTTTATAGCGGTCAAGGTATTGAAGGTCCTGCACACGACGGTCCTCTTCGAACTGTGAACATAATGTGGTGGCATGTCGGTTAGCGCCGTTGAAAATATTCAGTGCATCGCGAATATTCCATGGCTTTCCCGGGAAAGTTGAATTTTCGAACGGAGGAAATGTGCGAAGGTACCGAGAGCCTAGCAACAAGCCGAAATCAAGGAACTGCTCGTTCGTGAGTCGGCCAAGTTCTTCCCGGCAGTTTTCCTTGGATATCCAGAGGAATTGGCCGGCGTCGAGGTCGAGTTTGAGAATAACTTTTTCAACGTCAAAGAGAAACACATCGGTCGATCCCCAGACAAAGTCGACGAAAGGTTTTGGTGTACTTTCAAAGTACTTGAGCTGTATTTTTATGACTGTCAGCAAGATTCCTCCATCAATTGCAAGACCATTGAAATATACCTGGGCGGCAGCGCTATAAGGAGCTACAAAGAAGTCGATATCATTTTCGTAAAGAATTCGTTGCAGGAATCGGTAGAACTCGACTGGCTCGGGGTTGCCTGTTCATAGCAGTATTAGCGACTCGATTCGAACCCTCAATTCACGAGCAACGTACCCGCGTTGCTAAAAGCATCAACCACCTGATCAGCCTGCTGCTGATCATACAAGTCCCAAGCTTGCTCAAACGCGCGCGCAGAGTCAGCCCGCCTGGAATCGTTCCGGACACGATTCTGCGAATCCTCGACACCGAATTGAAGACCGTCAAAGACGAAAACGCAGCCAATGCCCAGTTCCTTGAGCTCCTTTAGCTCCCGCTCGATATTCGCCCGAAGCGCAAAGGGGAAGCCGCCGAGGGCAATTAGAAGCGGTTCGCGAGTAGACGGGTGGTGGAGGTGTTGGTGGAGGTAGTAGGTGGCATCGATGCCGATGACGGTTCCTTTAAGGCTGGAGAGAGCGAGGGTATATGCACGGCTGGTAGCCCAGTCATCTAGCGCACGAACAGCTGGTATTTATTAGAGAGATGTGTAATGGTATGGGGGCAATTGGGCTGGACGTACGGGGCATGATGACGAGAGCTAGAAGCTTTAAAGTGCGTATTTTTCTAGAATGCGGGCGCCGCAGTGCGTGAGAGCCGAGCAGCCCCTAATATTCAGGAGTGAGCGCTGATCGGATGAGTTGTCGGACTCAATGCTGAATATTAGGAAATAGAGTCACGCCAATCAGCCACAAGCAAGCTGTGAGGATGTTGACAACAGAAATTATGGAATATGGAGGAGCTAGGACTTTAGGCTGAGGCTTGACTCCATAGAAGTTTGACTGTCTCTGTTTAGGAAGGTGCAGGCCCACCCTTCGGGGCAATATCCGCTAGTCCTAATATAGTTAGAATCTCACCATGCTAGTCTATCGGCTTGCGATTTGCACGTGATCTGTTCGCAGACATCGACGAGATAATAGTTGTATAAGATACTTTCCAGAATCACTAAAACATGCCCACTGCCAATGTCAAAAGACCAATAGGTGTCAAGTCTTATATTGACTCAAAACATCGATACCCACCCCGATCAATCAATGAGTCATCTCAATGACAATACTCAATTCGGTATTCGCTTCCACTCCCCTGGGACGATAAGCAAAGGACGAATGCGGAGAGCTCCGAAGGGCCCAATGACTGCCTCAGCCATCTGTCGTACACTCGTGACTATACCCAGCCAAGATATAGAGATAGGGTGTATCTGATCGAAAATAAATTCGTTTCCGTATCACTATCATCAATCGGCCCACTTCTAATCTTCCGGTTCCCCGCATACCCAAGAACATAAAGACCTTCAATTTTCCTCTTTTTTTTTTTGTATAGATTTGTACCTAGCCAGTCTACAGTATAACGCAAAATGGCAACTCCAATCCAGCTCCCCATCATCGACATCTCCGATCCCCTCAACCCGGCCATTGGGAAGGACATGCTCGATGCCGCCATCAAATATGGATTTTTCTATGTTCACGGTAAAGGAAGTGATTTTTCAGCGGCCGAGGTCGATTCTTCCTTCGATCTAGTAAGCACTGATTCGGACCCTTCGAATAGATACTATGGTATACTGACGGGTGGTGTGTAGTCCAAGAAATTCTTTGCGTTGCCCAACGAGGAAAAGGAAAAGTGCCGTATAAGGACGGATGTATGTCAGATTGCGCCTTGAGTTGGAGCATTTTGCTGACGAGGAGTTTAGAATCGAGGATGGTCCGGAATGCATTCTGAGATTTTAGATCCGGAGCATCAAAGGGTACGTACCTGCAAACTGACTGCTTGACGTGTGCTAATAGACGAGTAACAGACTGGCGACTTCAAAGAGTATGACTAAAATGCCATTTCCCTATTCCGTCTAGTCATTGACATAGAATAGAGCCCTCAACTTTGGCGAGTTCAAAGACGGCAAACTCCAACAACCACTCCCCCCAGCCCTGGAGCCCCATGAAGGCGATATCCAGCACTTCACGAATTTATGCAACAAAACAGCTGCACGCGTAATGCGTCTCCTCGCGCTCGGACTGGAGGTACTTCCCCTTGTCTTCAAGCCCTGCAAAAAGCATCAATATGAACGTTGATTGAACAGATTGATCCCGAGTTCTTCGTAACCCGACACGACGCCACTCGCGGCTCAACAGGCTGCATCCTCCGCTTCCTGTACTATCCATCCATCAACTCCCCAGCCTCCTCCAGCTACCAACACGACATCGACGTGCGCGCCGGTGCACACTCCGACTACGGCACAATCACTCTCCTATTCCAACGACCCGGTCAACCAGGTCTCGAGATCCTCACCGCAGACGAGAAATGGGCACCCGTTCCCATCTGGCCCGACGCCTCAAAGACTCTGAATAAAGACGATTTCCCGCCCATTCTAATCAATATAGGCGACATGCTCAGTTTCTGGACTAATGGGCTACTCAAATCGACTATTCACCGCGTCGTGTTCCCGCTTGCTGAGCGGTCCCCATCGGCTTCTGCAGATGAGAAGCCCGTGGATAGGTATAGCGTTGTGTTTTTCTGTCATCCGCTGAATGATTGTAACCTCGTTCCTCCTGTGCCGAGTAGATTGGTTGCTGCGGCCGGCGAAGAGGCGAGTAGAGTTGGGTTTGGGGGTGGTGCTGGCTCACTCAAGGAGAGGAGCTCGATGACGGCAAAGGAGTATTTGGATTTGAGGTTGTCGGCTACCTATGGGCAGCGTGAGGAGGTATAATCTTATCAAAGGTCTGAATTAATGATTAATGATGCAGACTATAATTCCATTTCGGACTTGGTATTGGACTCAAAAGATAAGAAAAGAAAAAGAATAGCCATTGCGTGATTGATCTAAATATAACGCATCAAGGATATAGAACAAAAGAGAAAATCAACCCCAGGAATGTCCACAGGATCACATGTATCAATCTGTCATTAGCAGCTTAGCTGAACGACTTGGCTGATTGATTTTCCGTCCTAGTCTTCTCCTTCCATCCTCTCTCTTATCACACACCGACACACCTCCTTATCAAAACAATAGAAAAACAGCTCTTTCAATCAACATCTTATACTTCCTTTCTCAATCACTTACAACCCTCAAAATACAGTTCGGTCAGTTTCCACTTTCCAAGAGAAATAGAACATCAAAAAATTTGCAACGAACCAGAAAACACATTTGAGATGAAGAAAGTGAAAATCGAGAGGTCAGATCGTGCTTTTTTTACATTCTTGGATCGTTGCCAGAGACAAAATAAAGGCCTGTCAATTGCACTCATCCGGAGAGCAATTGACACGTCAAGAAAATCAGTAAAAAGGGTAAAGAAGGGGTTGAAGAATCAAAAAAGTCGACGTGAAGAGTTATTCGAAAATTGAGCTTGACAAAAAAAAAGAAAAAGCATCCATGTCTCGCTGCCGGGAGAAAGCTGTCAAATCAAACATACAAAAGACACACGATAGTACCATCAAACCCGAACTGGAAGCTCCATCTTCCCAAAGGCATAGTATATAAATAGAAAAGAAAGGCGGAAACATTCAACACAAAATGGCCAAAAAGCGAGAAGAGTAAACGGCCGATGAAAGATGTCGCTGAAGGTGGGGGGACCATTAACGTCAAAGGTAGCATAAAAAAAGGAGTATAAAAGAGGTACAACACTCGAGTCCGTGGGTCCAATCCAGTAAATCGTGCTGTATCCAAGTCGATGACTAAAGCGATGGCGATTTGTACATTATCATGGTTGTGGTAAACGATTCAACGTGGTTGGCGGTCGAGGTCAAGAGAATAGTATCGTACAAAAGGAGACAGGCAAACTGCTTTTGGCTCAAGTCATAACTATCGGACGAATCGTTCGATCAAAATTCGATGGCTAGCGCATCGGTTTACCAGGCCCACACCTTAAGCTATCAGGATGTCAGCAAACCGCAAGTGGGTAGTAGACCAAACGAAGCGATGGAACATACCAAGGAATCCCATGATCCAGTGCACAAGCTGATACCGTCGTTGCTTACGCCCAAGCAGCTAACGCGGTTTTCGTGCCCACTCAAGGATCCGACCTTGTCTCCGCGAAGGACATCCCAAACCTAGATTTGTAAGCAAGCGAATGCGAAAATACAACGCGGCGACATACCTTGCACTCAAAGTCATCATAACCAGCAAACAAAAGTCGTCCAGACACGGAGAAGGCGACGGATGTGATTCCGCAAAGGACTTGGTCGCTCTGTAGACACATTAGTATGGAGGTCATTATAAACAGGCGAGTTCCTTACCTGATAGGTGTTGAGTTCGCGATCCGCACGAATATCGAACAGGCGGCAGGAGGTGTCGTCGGAACCGGTACCGAAAGCATTTCCATCTGGGAAGAATTGAATAGCGTTGATATCGGATTCGTGGCCAGCAAAGGTCTGCACAGCCTTGCCAGTACGGATATCCCACAATTTGGCGAAAGCGTCGCAAGCACCAGACACAAAGACGTTCTGGTTGGTAGGGTTGATGCTAATAGACATGACGTCGCCGAGGTGATCGGCGAATTCGGTCACCTTTGATCCAGACTCAATATCCCACAACATACAGGTCATATCTCCGGACGAAGTGATGATCCGTCGGTCGTTGATGAATCGGCAGCATGAAAGATAGCCGGAGTGGCCGGACAATTCGCGTGCGACACGGGTTGGACCTTCACGGGCGGAAAGATTATAAATAGAGCAAATGTTGTCCAAACCACCGCAGGCGACGTAGTTGCCACTGGGAGCGTACGCGCAGGTCATGACCCATGACGACCGTAGGGGGATGGCGTGCACCTTATTTGTTGTGTAAGCGTCCCAGATGATGAGTTTTCCGTCTTGCGAGGCCGACACGAGATGTCGTCGATCCGTAGACCAGTGCATGGCGTAAATCTTGGCCAAGTGGCCCTTGAGTGTCCGACGAGGCCTCATGCCGATGCGCGGGAGAGGATCGGTGTTATTCATTGCAACTTGTTGCACTAGATCATTGGTGTTAGTGATAATGTAGACATACGGAAAGATAGGTGTGTTTGATTAATTCCGAAACAGATCGGGGACGGGCCGCAAGTCAAACGGTCATCTTTCTTGCGATTGAAATTGGTGATCTTACAGGTCGTGTCGGCGAGCTCATCCTTTCTGCGTTTAATCTTATCCTTCAAACCCTCTGCTTCGCGTCTGGCTGCTGTAATCTTAGCCTGCATCTGCTCGCCGCTCATATCGGCCGCCATTGTGTCAAGCAAGAAACCCCGAGGGCGATTTGGGGGTACGTGGGTGTTGAAAAAAGCGAGGGGGGAGATGGAGACAAGAAAAGCAATTGACCACCACAAAGGAGCACGAATGAACAGACGACGGCGACGGATCAAGGTCGGCGAGATCAAATCCCCTATGGAGTATGGACAGTTGGACACGACGCAGGAGACGTTGAAGGACGACTGAGTGGAGGTGTGGGATTGAATTGAGAGACAAGGGACTGTTAGACCAGTCGGTACGAAGTCGTCGGTCAATCAGTCAGCGACACAGCACACAGCACAGGACACACGGAGGGTGAGCAACACAGAGAGCAATGAACAGGAATTTGGGGGGCGGGCGGCGGCGCTGTCAGGGTGGAACTGGAAACACAGGAAGTCGGGATGGGACTGGGAGAAACGCAGTGACCAGCAGAACTGCTCAGTCGCTTAGTGAGCAGGGGCCGCCCAATCACGGGACGGCGGCTGCTGGCAACGACGGCGACTGGCTCGCTGGAGGACCACTCAGTGCGCACTATTCCCCGAAGAATGTCTGTTCGGTGCGTATTGTTATTACCTTACCGTATTGCCGTCACTTGGATTGCCTGACGACTTGGCAGTGGTTACTTTGTACTATAGTGAGTTTGCGGAAAGCCACAAGTAAATAACATACGGATGTATGAGCAATACTGTACAGTTCTGATTCTGGTAGCCAGGCGGATTTCGAAGCATTCGGTAACAAAGAATAATCGATCGATTGATCGAATTGAACTCGAAGACTCAAGCCAGATGAACAAATAATGCATCCAAGCCAATCAACTCGAAGTGCTAAGCAGCTAAAAGAAGGGGGGCAGCTACAGAGGAGCAGACATTGGAACATTGGGTTTGGGGGAGGGGACGTGGGCTCGACTAGCGATTCTCAGATGGGGCGCAAACATCCACTCATCCATACGGAGTTGGACTCCGTTACCAGACAATAGGGGTCAACCGATCAGCTGAGAGGAAGTATACACTTTGCTGATACATCGCGCTGTTCTCAATAATTTCATTTCAGAGCTAGATCCATGAGTTTGCTGTTCAGATGAAGACGTTAGACGAGGCTCGGCGACACACCATGGCGAAGAAAAAGAAACCAAACCAGGAGAGCTTTGACAGACGGGCGAGTATCGTAGAATACGGCAATACAAAACGATACACGCACTAGGCTTTAGTGCAGACACATAATACTTGCATGTACATGGTCCGTGCAAACGCAACCTCAGCTAGTCTGCTTGTGATCTAGTGTACCCTAAATCAGGAAATTTCAGCCATTCAATTGGTCTACCCACCGGCAGCTCCGTAGAGCCAATAAGTCTAGCCACTCTAGCGGACGTACCATGCCTCGTTGGGCAATATTTAGCAGTGCTGCAACGCTGGGAACACTATTGGCACTAATCCGAACCCTGGCTTGGAGGGTGAGGAGGACATGACGAACCGGTACAAGTGCAGAAAGAGCTTCTTTGATGTGTTCTGGAATATTACGAAGTATGAAGATTCCTTCGATGTTACGATGGTAGCACACGGGTTATGGGGGTGTTGTTTTATTGATTAGAGAACCAGAAGCGCCGTTACTTCATCTGAGTGACTCGCTTTGTTCAAGCTTGTTACATCAAGCTTACTTGGCACCACCCTGCTAATATCGCAAACTCAAACCCTTAATACTGCTCCGTCTTAGTACTACGTATGTACGGAGTACGTATCTAAGATACGTACTTACGTACAGTACGTACATACTAGAAGATTATCAGTATGCTCAAGTGGCAAGTGGCTTACTCCATGTCAGACCATCGAAAACCAAACCTGATTCTAGAATCTAGAACATTTCCACATACGAACGTCAACCTTCGTCTTTGGTACGTGCATGAAATCAAATCGCCTCACTTCACGAATCGAGCGGATGGATCATTGCCAAGCCGGCAGGACACCGGCTGCTTCCATTTCTTACAGATACGAAGATAAGTGATTCTTCTAAGAATCCATGTACATGTATATTTGGGTAACTCTCCAAAGTCGTTGCCGCAATGGTATAATCAGATGTTAAACAGCTCGTGTTATTCCGAGCTTCGTCGTTATGAATTGACTCCAATCGCCTCGCTCGGACATAGCACGAATTCATCATCGATCACCCGTCCTCTTCTGGATAATGCACCGATACCATTGATTCGGGAGCACGATGTGACTTCGTCGTTGGCTCACTACGCATATTAATATAATCAGCTAACTAACTTAGTTGGTTGATTGAATATTGTCCATTATTAAGCATAACGGCCATGGCCGCGTTAGTGTTTGTGCCATTGTGGGAGGATCAGGGTTGATTTTCAGGGACTCAGGGGTAAATCCTTAATTCCGGGCATGTCATCACACTTGCTCAGGAGTCCGTACAGCAGAGTATGATATGTGGAGCAACACAACATGAATTGACTGTAGTAGATGCGGTACAGGCACAAAGCTGTCATGCCCAAAACGTCAATCTTCAGAATGATGATCTGCGGCCACCGTCTCTTTCACCCTCATCCAGCGGTACGTACTAAGCGTTAGCCGGTTTCCAGTTCCCACGGTCAAAGGAAGACGACCTGTCGGATCGACGCCGTGGTAAAAGTTTCCTCTTTCAGTAGGAACGGAGTATGCAGTGGGATGAAATAAGTGTCCGGAGCTCCCCCGGTACCCATAATACCCGCTCAAGGGTGCAGAAACTTATTTCGTCGTACTGTATCATGCATGCTATATAGGGTCAATCAATACTTATTGCGCGTACTAATTTATGTTTGGTTGGTTACTTAGTACGCAATGCTATTAAGGGATGGGCAAAGGTGCTTCTGTATGTGGTCGATTTCAGTAAATGGTCGTTTGTGCTGGATGCTAGTGCCTGTATATGAGTTAACTATTATTGCGAAGGATCGTCGGCTTACTGCCATTGCATGGTATTTTGATGCCATGGATCTGTAGTAGAGCGAAAAATAGATGAGACCTAGGTTCACTCACATTCGGCACTGAGTTGTCTATACCAAGGTGTATGACTATGTGCGTCTGCCAGCGATGTGTAAAATTAGACCATCCCAGCAGTCCGGTACAGACACATGCAGCGTCCAGAATCCAGACGCGCCGTCATCTCAATAAAGTAGCCAGCAATCTTCACATGCAGCAAGAGCTATTAATAACCCTCAACCTCAAACGAGATGGGATGCAAACCAATAGGACTCTCCATAGCGCCAGTCTCAGATGGCGCCTATGCAGTAAATGTCAGTCTAGAAGATCAGGAGTTGAAACAAAACAAAAATAAAACACGTCCAGCAGTCTTGAAGAGTCTAGATTGTAGTTGATAGTCGGATCTGTTTATAGAAGATGTAGGTCGACCACATCGGCAAGCCGTGACAGACCAGCCAGAGGCACAGAATAGCCGCCGTTCTAATCTTAGATGCCACTAACAACAACCCTAATCACTATGCAGCCAGTCAGATTCGAGACGTCAATCGACTCGTGGTTAGATCGAGCTGAAGATTGGATTAATTCCGAGAGGTAGCTTAAGTCTGGTTTGTTTTGTTTCTAGAGTCCCTCCCGCCTATCATTGTTCTGTCTGTGCATCGTGCGTTTAATCTGGTTAGAGTCGATCTGCCGAGATACTTTTGCCGGACGTTGCATTCACTGTAGTGTGAAGTGTCTAATCATTCAAGATTCTTGTGAAACACATTTCCAGGGTATATGGTGATGTAATGGCATACTGTTCCATGCGTATACTGGTCTCGTGCACTTTGGAACTCAATCCCGTCAATATTTTAGTCATCTAGGATCGTCGGCAATTTGTCAAGTGCTGCATGCTTGCGATGACTCGGAGTAAGGTATCATCCTATCAGGTGATATCAAACGTAACACATAAACCACCCTCCGTGATGCGATCGCCAAATTGTAGGCATATCGGGATGCTATCATCAAGAAAATCAAGGACTTTTTCCTGAGACTCATTCAGGTGACCTTGTATTTGCCTAAAGAGGAGGGTAGATGTTGTGTTGGAGGCATTGAATTGAGGGGTTGGGTGCGGAGTAATCATACCATGCTGTAGCACGTATTGTCGTGTTGTCTCGGGTAGATGCGTCAGAAGTTTTATGATTGGCCAGATGTCAGCGGATTACCATACCAATACAGTATCTGCTGACTCGGATTGCGTTGTTTCTCTAGATAATTCTGACTCTGGTGTAAGTACCTTGAATGACTGTGGCATAAATCAATAATTGCAAGATGGTATGGATTTTGACGCCGGATTTCTAGTACAAAAGCCATAGATGTACTAGGCAAGGTGATCAGGGACAGCCTGAAGATTCTATAATTACAATGTGGCGACTTCGAACTACGAGTCAGCCAGCCAACGGACCATTCAGATTCGGTGATCGTGTTGTGATCAAAATAGGATTAAAAAAAAAGCACTATTCACTGGCTATCCCGCTACTCAAATCTAATTGTAGATGATAATACTATGTAAACAACTAGCTAGTCATCAAACAGCGCATCTAACTAAGCGTGTAGTTATGGTGCCATGCTTACTAAGGACGAAAGGTACATTATTTTGTCTCCTGGTTTCATCGTGGCGGCCCGACATCCTGATTTCTGGACTCATCTATTTTCTTTTTTCCTTCCATGAACCGTGTGCAAATACTCCTGCAAAGCATACTGAACAATCCCATTATTATTCGAGTATTTGCCTTAATTTTTCTTGCGATCAGCTGGTTGAGTGTTGAGTCCGCCACCGAAGACTCCAGTCGGTCCTCATCCGAAAAGCAGAGATTGCTAATATTATCTACCCGTCCGACCCCCTCCAACCACGCTTCCCTTTCCATCGCCTTCGCCGAGTCCGGTGCCAGTCCCAGTCTCACTCTCTCTCCTCCACTCTTTCATTTCATCCATCATTTTTCTCTCTTTCTCCCTCGTCCATCACCACCAACGATACTATCAACGTATCTCTAATGACTCATCTGGTTTCATTTGGTTCTTTTTCATAATAGCGGGTGTTTTAATTTCGGGTTCCCTTCGTCGTCCCCCTTGTTCATACCGTCTTGTATCTCCCATCGCAAATACTTCAGGGGCGGTGTGAATCATCAACTCGACCTTCGACAACAACAACAGCAATCGACACAACTAATTCTGGCCTCTCGACGATTACCTCTCTTGATTATTTGTCGTCTTGCTTCACTGTTTCCCAGGCAAAATCCGATAAATTGTTGTCGCTGAAACTTCGGCAACCCTCGCCACCATGAGGGAGGTCAACTTTAGCATCCCTAATGTGAACAAGGCATCCGTCAACATCACAACCACCCTTTATGACAGACGAGCCTTGGACTGCACATCGACACTACCTCTCATCAATTCTCTCAACCATCTGGCCTATTTGACCACATCCTCGGGCCGAATTCGAGATATCCTCACCGTCGATGGCGGTATCGAGCGGTTGGTATGCATACTCAAGGAAGGCCGCAGTGGGGATTTGATGGAGATGTGGAAATGGAGTCTTGCCTTCCAGTGTGCCGTTAACATCGGTGTACGAGGATCGGAAGCCGTGCGAACGCGTGTGGTCGAAGCCGACGTTGTCCCTGTGATCGCTACCATTCTCGATAATTATATTCGAGTCGTTGACAAAGTACGCGCTCGTGCCGATGCCGATCGGTCTTCATCAAGAATAGTGGGATCCTCATCAAACAATCATTTCGTGCGAGAACAGGCTGGCCTGTCTACATCTGCAGCAACCATCTTTGAACGCACGGCGGCCATTGAACAGCGACCCTCTCGCCGGCAGGCACCTCCACCTTCCATTCAAATTCCTCAACCTTTCAGCCAAGACCACGTCCATCCTCATCATCACCACCATCACCGACACCATCACCATCATCATAATAATGGTAATAATAATGAAGCACAAGCCTCCAACACCGAATTCACCCCATTCCACCAGCCAGCTTTGACATCTCCTCCCGAACGAACCACCTTTGGCCGTGATGTCCTTAATCCACGATCTCACGATCTTCGATATCAAAACAATACACAAGATATTCGACAGATGCAACCCCTCGCTACCGCTGTGCCCACCATGGATACTGCCGATGGAGTTCACCATCGACCCGTCCAGCACACCCTCCGTCTCCCTAGTATGCATCTTACCACCCCTCGCACTGCTGGACTCGTCTCTCAACCTGATTCGCCTACTACACCTAGCGGTCCAGTTCAAGCCCGTAGCATACCCCAGCCTGCAGTGCAAATCGTGCGACCGACGCTACGTCATCTCCAGTCTGGCTCTGGCGACTCGGACGATGCCAATGGGGAGGATTCTCCCATGGCTGACGAAGGGCCAGCGGGTGATGTGTCGGAACCTATTGTCGGTGTACAAAACTCGATGGAAATCGATAACGTTGATGGCGACGAGTCGATGCTAGAAAATACTGACTCTCACGGCCTCACTATGGCTGATCCATCACGAAATCAAGATGCGGAAACATTCAACATCACTCATCGATCTGCTGTAGATGGCAGTCTCGTCAACACCACAAACCCTCAGACTGCTGGTGCGCTAGGCTTTTCTCCGACAGCTGGTCCAGCGAACGCAAACTCTCCGGTGATGAACGTTTTGAATCACAGCCCTTATTCCACGTTCCTTCGCAACCATAACTCTCCACTAGGTGTTTTGAAGGGTATGCCCAGGGATGAAGACGTGCTCATGGCCTTGCAACTACTTGCCTACGTTTCCAAATATTGCAACCTTCGAAGCTACTTTCAAAATACTCATTTGGTTCCTAAGCTCAAGATCGGTCGGGAATTAGATTTGCTGGACGAGCACAACAAGACATTCCTGACCGGTGAACGAGCAGACGACGACATGATGTTTGATGACAAGGAAGAAGGAAAAGCCGATGATGATGAGGAGGAAGAAGAATATTTGCTTCCTGACAACCTCAACATCTTCCCATTAGTAGAAAAGTTTACCGTGCGACATCATTCCAAGGATATGCAATACTGGGCATGTGTCGTCATGAGAAACCTGTGCCGCAAAGATGAATCCCGTGGAGGTATTCGTCAATGCGCCCACTTCGAGTGTGGAAAGTGGGAAGACTATCAACGTCAGTTTGCAAAATGCCGACGTTGTCGTCGAACCAAGTACTGCAGCAAAGAATGCCAAAAAGCTGCCTGGATTTGGCACCGACACTGGTGCCACACCTCACCATGATCCTCATGATCCCTCTCCATGTCTCAATCCATTGCATCTAATTCTGATCTCCTGGCTCAGCCCAGGTTTGCATAGCGACAACGTCATCATATTCCCATGACCGAATCATTTGGTTTGTAACTTTGTTTTCTTTCTGGCAGGAGGGTGGATGCGTGCGGTTATGTGGCATATCGGATTACCATTTCAGGTTTTGGTTGTGGCTATGTGTTTCTTTCCTCAACCTGCTGGGTTATGGGATCCGCACGGCGTTTGTATTATCAGATACCTCATCTGTTTATCTTCTTTTTGTCATTTCATCGCACTTGTTTGAGTTATTCCGCATTACCATGTCGCCAACGACATCATCATCATCACCAATCAAACTCCTGATACTGATACCAATTTGGTTTTGGTGCTTGACACCATTCATTGCCTGCAGTTCTAGATATCATGTCATACCACGATCTGTCTGAATCTATACATATCCGCGTGCTATTTCGTTAGTCAGCTGTCACCACGGCAGAATGCATTCATTTCAATTAATCAGTCTCATAAGATTTTAGACCTGCGTAGCAGTCATTAGAGTAAAGAGAAGAATGCATGTGGAGCAAGTAGATTTGACAGGTAGCGAATCAGCGACTACAAACCTTTACCCCCGACCAAGGACCGCTGTCAGACATCATCCGTACCAAGTATGCATCTCCATGTCCAGCAATTCACATAAACGTACATACAAAATAAGATTCCACAACGACGCCAATGAATTGGGACACGTTATCCTTCAACATCGCCACTTTTATCTGCGGCGTCTTCGTGCTCGACTTCGGAGCAGACAAGTTCATTGATCATACCGTCATCGTAGGTCGTCGGCTGGGTATATCGCAGACACTGATCGCCCTGTTGACAGTTGGCGCTGAATATGAGGAAGTAAGTCATTCCTGTTCCTACGTACTTCGATCGTGAGTGGGTATGTACTGATATGGAGCAGCTCGCAGTCGTCATCGCAGCAATCCTGCAACACCGCTCCCCGCTAGCACTCGGTAACATAATCGGCTCCAGCATCTCCAACATCCTCGGCGCATTCTCGCTGGGGTTACTGTTCCAGTCTGCTCCTGTCTTCGGCACGGCAGACAGGTTCGATGTTACAGCCAAGATATATACAGCGCTAACATTCCTGGTTACCACTGTTGCGGTTGGGGTTATCTATTTCGATTTGCTGAATCGCTTCACGGGGGTTGTGCTGGTTGTTGCGTTTCAAGTATATGTTGCCTCGATTGCATATGCTATATACCGCGGCTTTAATATCCCGGTTTCCGACAGTGACAGCGAAAGCGACGACGACAGCGACAGCGGCATCGGCGAGGACGATGATACCGTAGTACCAGCCACAGAAACATCCCCTCTCCTACACCCTACAGACCTCCCACCAGCCAGACAACAACGCCGCAAACACCGCTCTTTACTCTACCACATCATCCAGCTCCTCATCGGGCTTGTCACACTCACTCTGTCAGGCTACGTCCTCTCTCACAGCGCCAGCTCAATCGCCGATTCTCTTCATCTGTCCGGCACAGTGTTTGGAGTCACCATCCTCTCATTCGCAACCACGCTGCCGGAAAAATTGGTTGCTGTGCTCAGTGGTGCGCGCGGTCATGGATCGATTATGGTCGCGAGTACGGCGGGGAGTAACGTCTTCTTACTGACGCTGTGTCTTGGTGTTGTTGCCATGACTTCTAGCATGCCGCCAAGTGGTGTCAGCGGGGATAAAATGGTGATGTTTGAGTTGGGGGTTGCCTGGGCTTCGGCGGCGGTGTTTTTGTTTATTGTTGTGTTTGGGGGTGGGCGCGTTGCTGGTGCTGGGCTTGTGGCTGCCTATGTTGCATTTTTGGTTTTGGAGTTTACTGTTTATAGGAGATGATGTGTCTGATGTTGTGCTGTCGACGGCTTTAGATTGTTTCGGGTCTATATTAATTTCGTATCTGCAACAACGAGTCGTCGGCTTCCAACATTGAAGGTGTTCTATAATGTTTCGGTCTTGAAACTACATACAATGAATACAAACAAAACATAAACCAGTAACGATACGTCATTGCTGTTGCCAGGTCAAGGTTCTTGTTTCCAAAGGTATAAAGGTTTCGCATGTATCCTGAACTCACCTCACAAACATACACGTGGGTAGAATTATACAAGGATAGACTGACTATTCAGATGTCGTCCAAATATAGCGTCAAAGGATCGAGTTTGGTTGGCTTTCGGCCCTAATTTCCACATCGCTGAGACACTGATCTTCAAGGATTGACCTAGTTACACCTTGAACAGGCGCCTGCTTGTCGCATGAAACATATCTGGCTACGTCATTCAGGGTCTACAGATTACCATCTATGAAATGATTGATGTAATTTTCTGAAAGACACGATTATTGATTGAGATGTTTGAGTTCATTCTGATCTAGTCTCACCAGACTGCTGAAACAAGTCATCAATTGACGCCATCCATGGATCAATATCCGGGGATACCGGCATAAATTTTGCATGAAATCACATCGAGACCGACGCATTCCCGTGGCCCTGATTGTACATGGCCACATTGACACATTCTAGAATCCAAGTCTCCTTTTCAAATTCTTCGTAGAACACATCCAGAACAGCATGAACCATGGACACCGCCAAAAGAAAAAGATACGCTAGAAGCCTCTAAGTGTTCTTCGCGTCTTCTAGCGTGGGGAGTCTTAGCGAATCAAAGCCTCAAACCAAGAAGATCGGCACGCCTGAAACGCACTAAAATAGCCCTACAGTGGGTCTAACCACATCTTGACTGTGTAGTTTTTTGTACAGCCACTTCTAGTCTTTCTCCGTTGTACTCCGTACCTTGAATGGCATATGCAGGGACGGACTCTCCTTTCTTTTTTCCTTTCTGAATGTTTGGTTGGATCCTCTACAGACCGCAACTCTTTGATGAAAAGCATCCCCTGACCAAGCCGGCTCTTACGCTGACTAGAGTCAGAGTCACACGCATAAATAACATGAAACAACTGATGCGGCACGTTGCTGTTGTATTATCATGCTGCCACGTGGATGCCTATAACCTCGGTTTTATAGGCACTCCGTTCTGTACATATGTACGTAGTCTTTGACTCTTTGCACGGAGAATATCACGTATATGTCCTAGTCCTAGTTTATCCTGCGAGATGAGCATCTGAGCTTAAAGAGATGCTTAATCTTATTCCACAGCCTCGGTTCGTGTCAATCCCTACGTATGCAGAAGTAATATAATGATCGACTATCAAAACTCCAAGCTAAGAGCTGGGCTTGACCTTAGTCTGTTGGATAACCCGCTGATCGACTCAAACTCTCCGCGACTCTCTTGTGCTCTAAGCATACAATCAGTCTAGCGTGGCGAACTTTGCTCGATGCTAAGCAAGTGGCTTTACTCGATACGTCTTGTCTAAAAGTAATCTGAAACATGCACCCCAAACAAGGCCCCTGTATGCGTAGTAGCTGAGCAAGCGGACCATGTTTCGTATATTCGAAAGTTCTCCGAGGTTGACTGTTGTTGGACGGTAGTCAACGGCACCGTTGTAACCATTAAGAGAAAAAGGAAAAAGAAAAAAAAGACAGTCTAAGCGAAGCGTGGGATCTGAATCTGGTTCGTCGACTGCGAGAAAAATCCGAGAGGGAGCAAAGATGGTTCATCCAACCGCAGCCCAMCCCMCCCGCCGTTCGCTGGGCTGACCCGCCAACTCGTGACTCCAAACTCTCTTTTCCGAATCACGGAGTAAACTCGTTTTCTTTCTCCCCCCATTTCTTCCTGGACAGGTTACGTATCTTCAGACTACACTAGCTGGTAGTCATTCATACAAAAGGATTCTCGCCCCCCCTTTCAAGATCGATCTTCTTTCTTTCTCTTCTTTCAATATGTCCTCTGCACAAGACGAATTCGATCGCCTCATTCAGGCTAATAGAGATTCATCCCGCACTCATCCTGAAGACCGTGATCAATCTGACGGCGACTCCTCCCCCGCCAACCACAACAACAACGACGCAGCAGACGACGACCAGTACGAACTGTCAGACGCCGATTCAGATTACGCCGACGACATAAAAAAAGACGGCAACATGGTTTCTCGTACAGCCGCCTACACCGTCCCCTCGACAGTCTTTGAAGCCAATACCGGCCCTAAGGGTGTCATCGCAGATGCGCAATCGTTTGAGCGTGCACGCAAGAAGTCGTTCCGTAGGACACTACTTAGTGCCGCGGGCCTCGATTCGAATTCTAGATTATTTGGCGGAAACGGCAGCAGCAACAATAACAACAACATCACACAACATAGCCAGACATCGAGCAGTCCGCCTAGCGACGAAGAAGATGAGTTTATGCGTCGCTGGCGAGAGTCGCGATTGCAGGAATTGCAGGAGCGGAGTCAGAGGAGACCCAGTCCCTCAAAAAGGGTTTATGGGCGCGTTGATACGGTCGATGCGGAGGGGTATTTGAATGCGATTGAGCGCGTTGCGTCGGATACCGTAGTTGTCGTTTGTATTTATGATCATGAGGTAATTCTCCTCTCCACCTTCTTCTCGTTCGGAAAGAGAACTAACAGAAAAAAAAGTCATCCGTCAGCGCCCAAGTCGAAGACGCAATTGAAGTCGTCGCGCGCAAACATATCACAACGCGATTCATCAAACTGCACCATGAGATTGCTGAAATGAGCCACATTGATGCGCCGGCTTTGCTGGCCTATAAAGCTGGTGATGTCATCAGCACGCTTGTCGATATTCCGAGACAGATTCCGCGCGGAGGCAAGATTAGCTCGATTAGTATTGAGGATTTATTGAAGCAGTATGTACTCTACTCTATTACTCAAGACGGGACAAGTGGCTAATTATGTACAACAGAAATCGGGTTCTTTAAAAATTGCCGGATAGAAGTCAAAAGTTGCGCAAACTCTCGATACAATACTCCATGACTTTGGACCGACAGCTGGCCTGTCCCCTCTCGCCATTGCATCCCATACTTTCTCCTGCACTATATTGCATCTGCTTCTATCTTTTTAATCCGTCCGACTCATGCCATCCTCGTCATTTTCATTTGTCCATCTGATTTGTTGAGATATCCCATCCCGCCTTTTCTTTCCTTTGCTTGCTTTTTATTGGGGAGTTGGAGCTATGCATACATGCATATCATTGATGAGTGCTGATCTTCTGGTCCACAAAACTACCTTCTTAAGTGTACAATAATCGGTTCGTATATGTAATTCTAGTCACGAAACCATTTGAATCTAAAAAGTCATTGCATTCAACCTACTTACGCGGAAGTCGGTACACGTACCCCCCCCTTAGAAACGCACTCGAAGTAGAACTCTAGCAAACAGAAAAGTCATCGATTGATCTCATTGCGCTAAAAACCATTGCATTGCATTGCATCCATTATTTGAAAAGGGAATAGTCATTTGAAGAGAAGGGAAATTTTAGGAAGATGGAATCATGAGCAGATGCAAAGAAACAGGTTGAAAAAAAAGGGAAGAATGTCAAGACAGAGGAGTGATATAAGTCTTTTTTCGAGGATCAGACGACACCGCGTGTCTGCACAAAGTCCCAGAGCATTTTGATAAGGGCGTCTGGCAATGTGTACAGGTCTACGTGGAATTCACCTTCTGTTGAGCGTCAAGACGCGGATTAGCTGGGCATTTCTATACAAGGGTTGTTGGGAAGACGTACGCTCAACGTCGTTTACTGTATACGAGTCTGCTGTTTTGTTGTCGTGGACCATTTGAACGACCTGCAACAGATCGTCTTCACCGAGTTTCTGGAGTCCGTCTGCGAGTTTGTCCATGTCGACCTGCGCGCAGTAAAGTCAGAAAAATTTTCTTGGCCAACTGAGCGCACAATACTTACATTCTTCTCAGTCTTCTTCTTTTTCTTCACACTTTCTTCGCCCGTTGCTCCGCGCTTCGACTTGAGGCCATTCTCGTCCCCAGGCACCGGACCGGATTCTCTCAGTTTGTCAAGCAGAGCTGCCTTGGGATGTTTGAAAGTCTTTATACTATGTCAGAAACGCAAATCTTTGTATCGGCAGTCTTCTTCTCGTCTTATTCAACGTACGATTGTGTGCTTCGACTCGTATCGAGACTGCTGAAAGTTCAGGTCGTGGTTGATGGCGTGCTCCTTATCGGCGTAAAGACCAATCTGCATGTCGAATTCACCCCAACCTTCTTCCTGGATGCGGAAGGGTGGGTTTTTGAGTGCTGTTTTCCAGTGTATAAGTTTTTGAGCGCATTTTCATCTTGAGAACAGCCAGACAAAAAACGTACTCTGATTTGCGCGGTCACCGAAACTGGGATGGAGACGGTAAATCACTTTGTCGAACAGTGTCGCAGGTACTTCCTCGCCATGCTCGTTCAAGAGATAGATCTCAATCGACCATGATCGAAGAGGGAATCCTTCCACGCCTGAATCTCGGCCCTGGCTATATCATCCGATTAGCTTTGTTCTGTAGGATGTAGCGACGGTTCGACGGTAGTGCGCATGGAGGGTAGAGGACATACATGATACTCTGTTCCGTCACGAGCTTGACTGTACGCTTGACCTGGAGGTGTTGATGAGATTAGCTTCAAGTACAAAAGTGAGATGAAAAAGAAGACAGTCTGAAAGAGGGACAAGAACACCACGTAGGACAATCTCATGTGTAGCATGAGTTACCACTGACTCAAACAGAGCTTGCCCAAGCCCTGTATAACCGCGCGGATGTCCATGCAGCTTGTTGAAGCTTATAATCAACCGGAACAGGTTTGCAAAAGTCATGACTTACATCAGGCATCTTGAAAAGCAGTCAGGACAGTCTTTCAAGCGTGGATTGTAAAATAAAAGCCAAGCTCTGGACAGCTTGTTGCAGGCAAGAGAAACGCGCTCGACGCTGCTGTAGCACTAGATTTCGCGCTAGTGGTCTTGTGAAAGAACGGAAATCCAAACAACTCAGAAGTGTTTGCTCGTATACACAAGCAGTAGAGGTCGAATTGAGAGAAAGACAGTGAGTCAAAGAGAAATTGCCAAAGACAGTCTGAATTGCGCGCGCAGTTGTCCAAGTTGGATCAAGTCGAAAAGAGATTAGTCCGGGATAAGTTTGGTGGGGGTGGCCTGCGCCAATCAGATTAGCCCCTCCGGTTGTTTGTCTATCTTACATGTAAACAGTGACTTAAATATTCTACGTTAAGACGGTCTATACATCTACCAATTAATGATAAACAATATGTGCATGTGTTGTTGTGTATATCAATGATATCCTGTAAGCTGATGCTCTAACCTATTCTACCACAGCCATCACGATGCCTACCAACGGTCAAGTTCGCCTTGCCGTCGATATTGTTCCATGCCATCGTCACCGTCATAAGTGTCGTACACGGTATCATTCATTCGCACCGGAGCATTGGTGTGTATCACGTAACAAGGGAAGGGGAGAGAAAAGAAGGGAATCGATAACCGGGGAGTGAAGAATTAAATCGCGAGTGTGGGATTGAATTGGGGATATGGGGGTACGGCGTTGGGGCGCAGATAAGAACAGTTTGAATATTCAATGTGACTGCGCATGACAATATTATTTATTGTGATTTAAGCTTCGGCAGAGAATAGCTTCTCGTTCTCTTGCTGAGCCTTGATAAAAGCGTCCTTAAAGAGGTTGGCATCTAACAAAGTCAGTTTCTATCTTCCATACAATGTATAATGGATGTCACTTACTCTCGCTGTTGGCGAAACGAATAGCCAAAGTCTGAGCCTCGGGCTCACCCTCGCTGACATCTGCAGCGGCGTTCCACACCCAGCTACGGTCACTGCCAACATTGGGGGACAGCTTCATATCAGGGACAACTATATTTAGGTTAGCACTGTGTAGCACAATAGAAACGGAACAAACATACTGTAGTGGTTCGCGCAAACCTTCAAGGTCTTATCTCTACGCATAACCAAGCGAGTCTTCTGGTTCTCCTTGTGCTTCAAAAGTCGGACATCGCCAGTACCACGCTCCTTCCACTCACGAGATTCGCGGTCGAACTTGAAAAGCTTTGCACGCATCTTAAAGGTTTGTTCCTCCAACTCTTCGTTGGTCTTGGTCTCGACCTTCTCGGTGAGGTGAATGACGGGCTCGAAGTGAACTTCAGGGGAATCAACCTCCTCTTCTCCCTACAAATAGACCGTTAGCAACCATACTGAAGAAATGATCGTACCCCACACATGCACACGCACACGCACGAGGCTTCAGGCGCATGCAGCGATAGAGTAATCCGACAGAAATAAAAAGCTGTACTCAGCTAAAAGGGTTATAAGCTTACCTCCTCACCAGCCTTGGCCTTGGATGACCCAGATGGCTCATCGGCGTCATCAGCCTCTTCCTTCTTCTCCTTCTTGGGACCGCCACCGAACATGGAGAAAACGTTATCAGTAGCCTTGGTGGCAGCACCGAGAGCAGCATCGGTGGCCTTCTCAGTGATCGACTTTTCCTCTCCTTCGGTCTTTTCGACAGCAGGAGCAGGGGCCTCTGTAGAGGTGGTGGTGGGGTCGGGCTTGGTCTCGGTAGTGTCAGCCATTTTGTTGGTGGGTGAAATTATTCGAATATTGCTCTATAGATGGAGGGACGGAAAAGAGAGTGTAGTATATCCTTTTTCTCGAGTAGAAAGGTGAAGATAGATGGATGGAAGTTGGCGTAGATCTAGCACAGGAAATTTTTTGTGTAAAAGGAGTTGGTTGTTTTGGTTTCTTTTCCCCGCCGCAAAGACACCGCCCGCATTTTGCCGCTTGTGCTTCCAGCTGCACACATAAAATACGACTATGTATTATAAGCATTTAGATTATTGGCTAGAGTTCTGTAATAAAAGATCCATTCGGTACGTTGCCGCCTGCAAATTCATGCTTTTGAGTAACATACTATGTACAAACAAGTGGCGATTCTGCTCATTAGGGTTATAAGATAATTACTCCTGTCACATCGAGCTTTGGTCTATTAAGGACCCCCAGGGCTAGTTTTGATAAGATTTGCTATTTCACGAACACTGCTTGGAAGAGACATAGCCAAAGATGATTGGGTGGGTAGGTGTGTATACCCCTGAATCAATCTTCAATCAGCTTAAGCTTAAATTGTGAGGTTGCCATTTCGTGGCGAAGAATCAGATAGTGTATGCGACAGCCATAAGTGCCATATCGATAGCCTTTACTTTTGCGAACCTGTATTTATCAAGAATAGAGTTGTATATCTACAATCAAAGACTCTTGGAGTTCGCCCATTATTATACCTACTTTAAGGTCAAAGAAGCATGCCTTAATCCACTAGAAGGTCAAAATCTGGACGGCTGCGACCAATGAATCAATGATGCAGTCCATAATTAAAAGCCGGTGGATAGCTCAAGGTAGGTTGACCTTAGCCAGCATCATACGCACTTCCTTGACTTGCAAAGAATGCAGTACATCATCACGGTCGTTCTGCCGTCGTTGTTCTGGCTTGCTGAATCATCTTGATCAGTTCTTAGTTATCGGATGACTACACGGATATCATCGTTCTCAATGCTGTCTGTCCTCTCAATCGTTTGTTGAGCATAACGATCGGCTCGGAAAGCTCGGCAGCAGGGCCCGAGTTTAATAGCTCGACGATACAGATTTCCGACTCCATAGTTGCATATTCCAGCGCTCAAGGGTAAATGTTAAGCTTTCGGATGCATATACATAGCCCACTTTGATGATTACCTGCAGATGTAGATTAGAGAAGAGCGATTCTGGTGATCGGATAGTGAGGAGACTATCCGTACGCTAGTTCGTTTTCAGACATGTTGCGGGTAGTCATCCGTTACCCTAAGGGCCGGTCATCCAATCAGTGCCTTCTCCGACCGTTACCCCACCTAAGTAAGTATCGAGAGCAGTTACGCAGTTGGCCATTATAGTTTCATTTATTCGGGGAGATGCGGATATTGTCCAATCTCCTCTTTTTGTGCATTACTTCGTGGTCGACTGGATAGAATCAATATGGAGGGGATTGTGTATATAAAGGCGAATGTCCTCGATGAACTCAAACAGACATCACACAACACAATACATCAACCTAAAGCAACAGTAATACAAGCAACATCTGAAACAATACTCAAGCAAAAGGACTCAATCCAGAGAATCAACCAATAACACTTTACGATAAATAATACCTAATATCACATACCAAAATGAGCAAAAACTTCGAAATCGCCATCATCGGAGCCGGCATCGCAGGCGCCACTCTCGCAATCGCCCTGCACCACCGCGGCCTCAAAGTCACAATCTACGAAGCCGCGCACGCCTTTGGCGAAATCGGTGCAGGAGTCTCCTTCAGCCCCAATGCCATCGGAGCCATGAAGATCTGCCACGACGGAGTCTACGAAGCATTCACAAAAGTCGCAACATGCAACAAGTGGGAGTCCAAACAGAAAGTGTGGTTTGATTACGTCGATGGATATAGCAAGACCAGAGCTGATGGTACCGCATTAACGGCCGAGGAGACGCCCGATATTGCATTTACGATATCCAACAGTCTCGGTCAGAATGGTGTGCATCGTGCTCGGTTCTTGGAGGAGATGGTTCATTTGATTCCCGACGGCGTTGCGCATTTCGGTAAACGTGTTACTACCATTGACGAGCCTGCGACGGAGGGCGGCAAACTGGTTATTCATTTCACAGATGGCACAACTGCTGAAACTGATGCGATTATTGGTTGCGATGGAATCAAGTCCGCTGTGCGACGCCACATGTTTGGTGAAGATAGCCCTTATGCTTGGCCTGGTTACTCGCACAAGTACGCTTACCGTGGACTGGTGCCGATGGAAGATGCCGTTGCAGCTATTGGAAAAGAAATGGCTGAGAATTCGTATATGCATGTACGTTCTCCATCTCACCTTCGCAGATATGATCTGAATAACGCTAACTCCGTACAGATGGGACCTGATAGGCACATCCTGACCTTCCCCGTCAACAAGGGCGAGACACTGAATCTGGTCGCTTTCCGCACAACAACAGACGAATGGGAAGACCGTGTCCATTTGACCAAGCCTGCACGTCAAGAAGATCTCCTAAAAGACTTCGAGGACTGGGCACCCTACATCCAGAAACTCTTGAAACTCACTAAGCCCGAGTTGGACATCGTGCGTCCCCTTCCCTCTTGACTATTAGTGGCATCGCTAACCAAGCTATTACAGTGGGCAATCTTCGACCTAGGTGACCACCCAGTCCCCACCTTCTCCCAAGGTCGCATCTGCATCGTCGGCGACGCTGCACACGCTACATCCCCTCACCACGGCTCTGGTGCGGGTTTCTGTATCGAAAGCAGCGCCATTCTCGCCTCCATGCTCGCATCTGACAAGGTCTCTACTGTCGCCGATGTACAAACCGTCTTTGAAACCTTTGACGCCGTGCGACGCGAACGATGCCAGTTCCTTGTTCAGAGTAGTCGATTCTCAGGTGACTGCTACGAGTGGCGCGCTCCTGGCGTCGGAAACGATTTCAAAAAGATTGAGCAGGAGATCAACAGGAGACATGCGATTATTTCGGATGTGCAGGTTGGGGTTTTTATCGATCAGGCGGTTACGGAGTTGAATAAACGACTTTCTGCTTGAAGCTTGAGTCTGAGCTGAGAGAAAGGTTTGATGATGGTATGACCTATATAATAGTAATATAGTTGTTTGCTTAGCTTGTCATTGTTTTAGCGTGTTGTGTTTCGTTTATAAATTGTTGTCTATCTTACAAAAGCACCTATTAACAATATGTTCCTTCTACAAACCATACCTAGGTATTTTCCAGTCTTTAATTCCGTTACTTGTTGGTCCACTTATCATAGCATTGGATTTTTTATCAATCTTTTCTGCGCACGTACATGGACTCGCTCGGTGTTGGGAATGGTCAAATTAGAAGAACGACGTAAGAACATAACAAAATAAAGACCTCATCATATGAAGAAAAACGATGAACCAGAATGAAATATGCAACCTGTCGTTGACCTACGAACCCCAAGGATATCTAAGATATCCAAGTATCCTGGTACCGGGATTATTATACCATTTCTCACTAGTCTTCAAATGATATATTGTCTCTCGAGTTTGTAGCCTGTGTTGCTGCATGGCCTTCTGGTTTGTTTTTAGCAGCTGTCCACAGTAAGGTAATGTGTAGAGTTCTTGTATTAAACGTTCTGCCCCCTTTTGATCGAGCTCGTCATGGACGTTTCCCTGTGACAAATTCTCCTCAAGGACTCGGATCTTTTCCTCATATTCGGCGCGATATTGTTCGAGGAAATCCAGGTTCTCTCGACTACCTCCGACAGAGACTTTCCCTTGTTCCTCTTTGATCAGTTGGTCCAAGTACTCCATCGTCGCATCGTTGTAGGTAGCAATGCAATTTTTTTTGAGGAAGATGCTGAATCGTGCAGCAGCATCTCTGATTCTGTTGGATGTATCCTTCAACTCTGCCACGATCTTTTCTTTGCTTTTGATTCCCATCTTCTTAATTTTGATTTCGGTCTCGTGCTGCTCCAACGCCTTTTGAACGTTGGGGTCATCGATAACTCTTGAAACTTCCCTCAACTTGTAGTCGATATGGAGATGTTCCTCCCAGTGGTGACCACAGTGCAAGCAAACTCTGTCTTCAACACGGCTGCTATTTTCTCCATCTTTCGCTTCATAATATCCCTCGCCGACGAAGGCAACGCAGTCCCGCAGAGCTTTGTCTCCTTTGAATTTGACTGCGACAGACGAAAGATAGCACGCAGCGTGACAGATATTAAGATAGACAGTCGTGAACACCGGCTTTCCATCCGCACCTATAGTTCCGTCTTTCCAATAGGATCTGCATTTCTCATGGCCACAGACAGTGTTTGGTTGGGCTAGCTTGATGGCTTCAGCAACTTTGATCTCCGTCTTCAATTTGTCTCTAAGTTCAGTTCCTGTTACTTCGACCCTTTTCAAGTCTTTGATTTGGTCATTCAATACCGCAATGTTCGATTTTATTTGCTTTGCAATGTCTGCTAGCGGTCTTGTTGAAAGCAGAATGGTGTTCCGAGTTTCATTCAAGTTGATTGTACTGCGAACAGCATGTGGTGGTTGCGCCTTGAAGTGCTTAATCAATCTAGTGCATTCTTGGTGTGACTTATTCCAGCTGTCCTCACTCTCCTTGAGATGGCCTAGGTCTTTGCTAATCGTCTTATAGGCACCAAGGTAGCGAAAACTTTCGGAATCGAAACAATATACATTGTCTTTGACAAGCTCCAGATTGGCTTCTTTGTACTGACTAAGTAGGGCCCGTAGAGGATCGAATGTCTGTCCAGGTAGATAGAATGTACTTCGGCTATTTGTAAAACCAAAGGCCATATTCGCTGCAGCGCCTTTGTGCAAATACGTTAACATTTCCTGCACGCAATACCGGAATGTTACGTCCAATCGTGGATGATCTGGTCTTAGAAGGATTAGAATACCGTGTATTTTATCGTACATCCGAATCGTTTGTAAAATATCCTCTATGTTCGTTTGATGCTGAGATAGCCCACGCGTATCTCCGATTCCCGGAGTGTCGATGAGTCGAATGAGTAGATCCTGATCATCCATCTGAATTCTGTGAACGTTGGTCATCTGTGTGCCTGACTCGCCTTTGCTTCCATTGTACTCAAAGGACATGCTATTTGCCTCGGGTTTAGATCGAAACGGAGACATAGCTTCGTCAAAGCCCCCCTCGACTTGCAGACGCTTATAATTACCGCTGTCGTCAAAGTCATACAAGGAAAAAGAGAATGGGACTCGCCAGATCAACTTTTCAGCTTGTAACGCCTGGTCAAGTGTCTGATACTCCAAGTAATTGACGAATGCATTAATCCATGTCGATTTGCCGACTCCCGTCGGACCTAGAATGAGAATGTTTAGCTCCTCAAATGGCTCAATTGATTGGAGCAGCTCGAGCAATTTCTGTGGTCCATATTTTTCAAATTGTAACCCGTGCTTCGGCTCTTCACATTTAAAAGCCCAATGTTGATAGTCGCATCGGCCACACCGGCAATATAAGAATGAATCTACATGCCCATACTCGACGACTGATCGACAGCGGAAGCATTTCCATTTTCGAGGGCCTCTGTGTGTACATTCCAAGCCGGGGCAAGGTATACTGACGGTCCTTGAATTAACAGGTCTCGGAGGCCCTTCGCGGTCAAGATGTTGCTCCTGATAGCGGATTATAGGATCACTAGCCATGTCCTTGACTTCCTTCAACACATCGTCTGTCATGACTCGCAAGCCGTATGTGTGAGATATTCGCGGTGCCGGCAAAAAACTCCCCTTGGCATCGCAGTCATGCAAGATTACCCGTAGCTGGCCGACTTGAGTGTCCTCGATACGGCCGAGGAGAACAGCTAGATTCTCAGCCCAAAGTTCTTCTTGAGTCATCGTAGCCTCGGTGAAATGCAATACGTATGTATCCTGCCTGTGATGCTTTGCAAGACTGGTACTAAGCTCCTTGTCATTGAAACCAATATACTCCGCGCCTCTGGACACAAGGTATTGCACGAAGTTTATTTTCCCCTTAAAGCGGCCTGTAATTGAAACAATTTCCTTTGGCGATGACTCTCCGGTGCTGAAAGCATCGCATAGTTGCTTCAGCTGCTCGGGATCTGCACTACCTGAGCGCACATTTACGAGGCATTCCTTATACTTCAGCTTCAGGGATGCCTCTATCGACCTTGCATTACGCAAACGATCTGTGACTTCTTTCACATATTCCTTGGGGATACAAAAGCTATGACGCTCAAGCAAAGCAAGATAGTCGTTAAGCGTTTGGATGGCGGTGTGCAGGTCATCGAACAGGTGCACGAACATATCGAGGATTTCGATCCGAATTTGTGTTATAGAAACTTGGCAAACGGCGTCGAGGTGAAATCGACGATAAATCATTGATAGGGGTAGTAAAGTATAGATGAGTGGCATGCCCTTTCCACGATTGGCTGAAGCAATGTAACTTGGAATTCTTTGGATGAACCGCAAGGCATCCTTAAAATTTGTTGGCGGGGGCTCATTGTCTGCGAAAACATCTCCATGAATAGTGATCTCAAACACGTCGTCTGCGCCATCCAGACCACTCTCTAGCTCTATTTGCCCACTCGCTGCTAGATTCAAAGGTTTGAAGGCGGCTCAAAGTTGGCCCATCACTTCATGTTCTTTCTCACTCCGGGAGATCTCGCGCCTTGCAGTAACTATGTTACGAGCTCCCCAAGATATCTTGGTCACAACGTGCGTTGCAAGACTCGTGGTGTTGGCATCAGGAGACAGTCCTTCGAATGCAAGGCATTGCTGAATCTCGTTGGAATCAAGTTCTAGCTCCTCGTCGACGGTTGTGATGTGGTGATACAATGATGCCTGCATAACAAGGCTGCTCTCACGTCTGTCAGCGAGGTAGCGTCCGGAACCCCCAACTTGCACCAGACCAGATAGGAAGCTAGCGCCAAGATCGCCACTGATGTTCATAGACTCAAATTTGTCCTTGTATGTGTCACGAGTGCTAAAGGACGAGTGCGTTGTGTGGTTGTCAGTAGCTCGTATAACGTCCATGGGTGGCGGCCCCCGGAGGAGTGACAGGCTGGTAAATCTGTCTGTACGAGCATCGTAAAGGCGACCTAGAGAGGCTGTCTCGCCCAAAGATGGGCGCTGGATTGGAGTCATGGAATCCATGGGGTGGTATAGTGCAAAGACGAAAGGTTAGATTCGACTGAAATTATCGGAAGATGAAATGAAAGGATCGAAGCTAAAGACATGGTTTATGTTGTACAAAACTTGGAAATGGAGGATCAGAGTTGAGTTTGGGATTGGCTCTCTGAGTTGATGATGAGTCCTCTTTGTCCCCGTCAGCCTCGTTTGTTCGGATGTAGACTTGTCACCTCTCCAGATACGCGACCATCACCGTCGATGTCTAGCTAGCCCAGAATCAAACTTCCCTGGGTAAAGCAGACAGTTATTGATAATGTAGTCGAATTATGAGAAGCCACGATATCATGGCTTGCTGCACTCAAGAATGCCTCCTCAAGGGCTGTTATCTACCAATGACTACACCGGAAATACAATGCGACCAATATGATCAAACAATGACTCAGGAGGTAAGAAGTCGGTAACAGCAACATTTGAAAGGCTGCGGCAGTTTTACTCTGGTGAATTACAATCAAGATCTGGAATCATAATTACGTTGTGCATCATAGCTAAAATATGAGGACTTGTGAGACCGACTTGGATCAAGATAATGGTCAAGTGATAGATAACTATATAGTTAAGAGAAGAGAGTAAAGCAAGAGTAAAGCATAACACCTGATATAATGTGCCCGTATCTGTGTCGTAGCGCTCTGATATTGGAAAAAACCCGACCAGTCCCTAACCCATAACCCATGAACATTATCCTTCCGAAACACGAGCAAGTAGAAAAAGTAAGCCAAACCAAACCATATCAAACCCAATTCGCCATATCCGTCATAGTTCATCCATAGATCTTAGATCATGTTCTAGTGCGCAATCTCAAGGTCGGTGTGGAGACCAAAAGTTGTGTGCCGTAAGCTTCTTTGCAGACTTTTGAGCGCGTGACAGGATGTCTGAAGGGATGACATCGTGTACCAGGCCGTCGATGTCCCTCAAGCGAGTTCCTAAGAAACTAGAAGTCTCTTCGAGAAAGCCATGAGCGGCTTTGTTCATAGCGATGCTATGTTTCTGTACCTTCTCCAAGGCTGCAGAAGCTGCATCGATTTGGTGTGCGGCGCTACGAGAGACCAGCTCGCTGAGTTCTTTGGACTGTTTCATGATCTTTTCCATGCTTGCCTTGAGCTGTCCAGTATCGTAGCGAAGATATTCTGCTTCCTTTCGAATGTTGTGCGATTTCTTGACTGCATCACCCACCCATAATTGTACGTCTGTGGAGAGACGAGTATAGATATCTGAAAGACCGATCTGAGCGCTGTCCAAGTCCCTCCTGATCTGTGATGATACAGCGTGCGCCGCCCGTTTCCAATTCTCAATCTTCAACCAGGGTGTGCCAAAGTCTACCTCAAGGGTCTCCTCGCGAGGCTGCTTAGATCGTGTGGAGACTGTGACATTGACAAGTCCATATGCATCCTCACGATTCAGCTTAAGAGTATAGACACCATCAAACAGTTTTTCTAGTTCGTAAGATAATGAGACATTTGACCGTGTCACCCGCACATCGAATCTAACATTCTTTGCTGTTGTGGGTTGTTTGATTATGACATGGCAGTCCCCAATGACTTGGAATTGGAAGCCGTCATTTTTGTTTGGTCGGTCTTCAAGTAGCTTTGAAATATCGGAGAAATCGCCTACAGTTGAAACGGATAGCGTCTCGAATCGCTCACTCAAATCAGTAGAATGCGGTTTGAGTGAAAGCGAAGCCAGCCCGGTGTTGGCAGATGGAAATATCGTTGTCGTTGTTGTCACCGTGCTTGAAACGTCACTAGCAGCCGACGAAGATATAGCCGCTCCTCCGATTACCTGTAACATGAAGGTAGCCACGGTACGAAAGGCAGTATATCCAAGAGACACCGAAATGGCGAGGACAATTGATAGCATCAAGACGCGTAGTAAAGGCGCAAACTCTTGAGCGCGTCCGTTGCATGCAGACAAAAACCTCGACGAAGGATACTTTTCCGCATCATAGAATAGGTTCGGCTCGATAGATTTCGGTGGTAGAGTTATTGAACTGGTAGACTGTTTTCTGGGTCGCAATTCTGAGAGTGACGCGAGATGCCGATTCAACTGGCTGGGAGTAATTGACTCAAAAGTCTTGACATCAATCGGGTAGCGTTCAACAACGATAACTTCCCCTGTAAGAGCACGGCGAGACTCCAGACAGAGATGTAAGCTCTGATGATCAAAGGGGAAGAGATGCTGCCCAGGCTTCTTCCAGAGGGGTTCTTCTGAAATGATCAAAGCGGGAATGCCGTGAATCTTCATGAAGCTCTGAGCGAGGTGCCTAGCACGCATCTTGGCTTCATCATCCCGATCCGAAATAAGGAATATCGCAAGATCTGGAATGGTCCACTCAGTCTCTGAATGGATTTGATGCTCAGATCCAGTCCACACAGATGAACAAGATGGGCGGTTCTTGAAGTTGAGCGTAATGTCGGTGCCACTGGGTGTTCGGTGAAACTCTGAGACAGCACCGATGCACTCGTCGACGATCAGCTGAACATGAATAGGAAGAAGCTCTGCGTAATTTGGTGTGGCTCCAACGCCAAACGAGGTAGGAACCACATGATATCGAGAAGACTCAGTTGAGCTGCTTCCCAAGCTTCGGGTAGAGCTCGACACCAGCACGTCGCCGATCTTGTCAAGGATGATGTTACGAAACTCGGGGTCACCCATGTAGAGCACGCGGAAAGGTTTGTCTAGATCCAAGCCTTGTTTGGTCATAGTCTGCTGCACAGTGATGGCCAGCTGGCAGTCATCTAGATTCATAGGAAGCTGATTTTTCAAGACAGCAGTTTCCTCATCATTCAAAATGTTGATTGTGTGCTTGAGCTGAACCCGCTGTACCTCGGGCCAATTTTCGGGCTCTAAAAATTCGATCGAGTCGGATGACTGGAACATGAAGGGCTTGGTTGTGAGGTTGCTGTCCTCCACTGATGGGAGTTCACGAGCAAATAGAGGCAATGGGAGCTGTTGTGAATCTGACATAGCACTCTCTCCGTCCTCATTCACGTCATCGTCTTCCTCACTATTGAGGTTGTGGACGTCATCTTCGTCATAACTGCTGCTCTCTCGGCCATCGAGACTAGCTACATCATCCGGACCATTCTGGTCGATGAGAGAAGCCATATCCGTTTGTTCGGAACGCGTTCCATCTTCAGAGTGTATGTCCGAAACACTGAGAGTGGCCCAGCTCTCGCTGAGCGCGCTAGAGGGACGTTCGTGTTGTGGATGGTTGAGGGTTGGCATGGTCAGTCGTGATTGAGACAGCCACTCTTCGACGGAGCGGCTTAACGGAGGGAAGGTCGGGTATCGAAGGCGGGGGGTGGCGCTGGGATCGAAGTTGCTATTCGGTTCCTGATTATTAGCCATGATGTCGACAATATGACTAGAACAGCAGCGGGCTGCCCGATGTCATGGGAAGCGTGTAGTTGTAGCAGTCAATCTATGGGTGGAAGCAGACAACGACGGATATGAATGTGGGTCTGATAGCTGTCCGGGAGTGATATAGCCAAATCAGACAAAGGAGAAAGAAAGAGTATAAGAGCATTTGACGATAGTAGAAGTAACTCAACAGAGGCAGGTGCAGAGTGACTTGATGAAAGAGAGGAAGTAAAGGTAAGTAACTGTCCAGGTCACCAAACGAGTTGGATGCCTGGAGGAGTTACTTATCGGTGATAATCGATAACGGGAGGGGTCGGTACTAACGAACTAGTGAATAGGTCCGGTGCCCAATACGTATGTGCTTGTAGTAGTCGATCAAGGATAAGTGATTTTATCAGCGGGGCAGGTAGTGAAGGTGTAAATGTAGCCTAATTGTGGTCAGTTTTATTGGATTAGAGTACAACAACGTATGGAGTTAACAGGGCGAATCGTGAACAAAGTGGATAAGTTTCAGCAATCAGCCGGGTGAGTGGGGAGGCTTACTTTGTCGGACTTCGATGCAGTTGACAGCAACGAACAAGTTGTAAGAGGAAGAGATACTGAGCAGTAGAGCTTTATTGTGTTCTTGAGAGTGAGTAATGTCTCGTGTCAAGATAAGTCACAACGAAACAGAGGCGATGTTTGTTGATATTCTGGTAGAAGAACGGACAAGAAGTAGAAGTATTCGGAAGTTGGCGGGGCGCATGACGAGGAGATGCACTTAACCACTTTGGTTTATCTTGGCTGGAGTATGTCGGCAGCTATGAATCTGCAAACAACACAGAGTACGGAATAATCCATCTACGAATCTACATGTACTCAGATAGATGATACTTCCAAATTGACGATTAATAAACAGTGGCTGAAGATACATATCGCACGTTCGTAGAAAATCGACAGTTGGAGGCACTGGATGCTAACGAGAGACTATTCCACGATAGGAATAGTGCAGAATCATGTGAGCTTAAGCGCGTATCACGAGACCCAGCGGGCGTCGAGTGGGTCTGAGAGAGCATCGTGATTGGCTGGAGTCATATCGTTTTTTCCCTGCCTGTAGTTGCTTGCTCTTGCTTCTTCTACGTGCTGTAACGTAACTACAGAGTAGTAGTAGCTTTGAATGCTGAGTGTGAAGACATCAACAGCTTACGAAGCAAGGAACGTGTCCATACAATAAATACCTGCATATCAAACTGGGACGTAGTCAAGCTGAGAACATATTGGGGCCAATCAGCCCTACCAATCGGGTTAAACCAAAACAATACGTCATCCGGCTACCATATGGTTCAGTTCTACAGAAAATGAGATCTCAACGAGCCAGTGAGATCTGCACGAAGATGAGCAATCAAAAAAACTATGATTTCCGCATACATTTATGGCAAGTATGGAGAAAACAACAAGAGTCTAAACAGGCATCAGACTCAGACTACGGAATAGTGGTGGTCTCTTTATCGGAGGAACGTGCGTCGGGGTGGTTTCCCGCACAGTGCAACCTTTGATCTTCAACATCTTTGTACTGCTCCCCAGGTCAAGGCTGAATGTTGACGATTCTCATATTCAGCCCCGATTATCTTAACACACCATCAGAATATAAAATGAAAGCTGCAAGCCTCTATCCATTGACATCAAATGGATGAAAAGGGGCGCGATAGGCTAGCTGAGAAACGGCCCGAAACCCACCAATGGCGCCGCCCTGTCCAGCCGCCGTTCAGCTGATCGCGTGTTTTCCTTTAGTTCAGTCCACTCCCCATTCTAGATTCAATCGACCAGTGGCCATTGGACAATTTACCTTCAAGCTAAATCGGTCTCCCCGTTCCTGCGCCGTTCAGCTATGTGGGGATGTTGACTGTGAAAAGTCATGGCGAGGGGGGAAGCAGGCTTTTTAAAAACGCCTGCTGGCTAGAATGAGGTTCTTGCAGTCGTGCAAAATCTCAAGAATTCTCAGGCTCAAAATTTTGACTCTTGATGCACCATAGCTACGCTCGCTGCTTTAGAGACCACCGCTAATCCATCGCGCCGCATTGAGCTTTTTTCCCTCAAAGCGACAAAGCGATTGCGCAAATATTGTGTTTAGAGGACGATACAAAAATTACAAAATGGACGAAGACGAGATCGAAATGATGCGGCAATACTCGCAGTCCCCGCGTTCAAGCAGTCGAACACCCCGCAACAAACCTCTTCCAAACCAAGCGCCTCAAGAAACAATCAAGCAATTCTGGAATCAGTTCAACACCAGGTACCCCGGAAAGATTTTCACCATCTTGCCTGACAATCCTTATGCTCGCAGTAAAGCTGCAAAACAACCGACGGGTGTCGTTCAAGGCTCGGACGCCGCGAGATCCTATGAGCAAGCCAGGAAGGAATGCGAATTAGCTGTTGAGCGCATCGTCAAAGAATGCGAACGTATCAATCAGAGATACAGTGATCCGCATTTCGACATCGAATTCGATCTGAAAACTGGAAAGAGGAATTGTCTCGATGGTCTAGCCGAAGAGAATATGGAAATGCGACCCAGAGGTGTCAGGAGGGTGACGGTATGTATCTAGCATAGTACCCGAGAACAAGAGCTGACTGGATTKTTTTTTTTTTTTTTTTTGATTATTTTAGGATATTTTTGACCACCCACAATTTTATATCAATGGCCCAACAGCAGGTGATGTGCGCCAGGGACGAGACGGAGATTGTTGGCTTATGGCTGCTCTGTGTACCATGGGAAATAAACAAGGATTAATTGACCGATTATGCGTTGCTCGGAATGAAAAAGTTGGTGTATACGGCTTCGTATTTTATCGAGGTTAGTATATAGCTCCATAGAGCGACACCTGCTAATCTTTCATCGCAGATGGTGAATGGCAACAATGTATAATTGACGATAAGCTCTACCTCCGCGCGGCCGACTACGACGAGTCGATCGACGAACGACCAATTTGGGATGATATCAATCGAAAGGACACAGAGGAGGAATATCGCAAGGTTTGGCAGACTGGATCTCGCGCGCTGTATTTTGCACAGTGCTCGGACGATAACGAGACATGGCTTCCTTTGCTAGAAAAGGCGTACGCCAAGGCACATGGAGATTATACTGCAATTGAGGGTGGTTTTGTCGGGTACGTGCTACATGTCGACTTGCAAAGACAGGACTTGTCTTGCTGACCTTTTATTGATTATAGAGAGGCAATTGAAGATCTTACGGGTGGAGTGACTTCCGAGATTCTTTCGACCAATATTCTCGACAAAGATAAATTCTGGAAGGAAGAGTTGATGAATGTCAACAAACAATTCCTTTTCGGCTGCGCAACAGGTATATTCTCAAACTGGCTGGATCCAAAATATCAAGGACCACCAAGAGAGCGCAAAGGTATATCCGAAGGACACTCATACTCGATCATGGAGGCAAAGGAAATCAACGGATTCAGGTTACTTCGCTTGAGGTAAGTTATAGTTTGACGGAGATAGCTGGAAAGAGCTTACTGACCTTTGTAGAAACCCATGGGGAAAGAAAGAGTGGAGTGGCGCATGGAGTGACGGCTCCGAGGAGTGGACTCCTGAGTGGATGAGATTGCTCAATCACAAGTTTGGCAACGATGGGGTATGTTAACATACTCAATGTCGAAATTTAAACTGACGTTTTAGGTATTCTGGATTTCATATGAGGACCTTCTTAGAAAGTATCAGCACTTCGACCGGACGCGCCTTTTCGGACCCGAATGGACACTGACCCAACAATGGATGAGTCTGAACGTGCCGTGGTCAGCAGACTATGCTCGCGAAAAGTTCGTGATTGAAATCTCGCGTACTAGTCCGGTAGTCGTTGTGATGTCACAGCTTGACACCCGATATTTCAGAGGCCTCGAAGGGGAATACGACTTTACCCTGCAATTCCGGCTCCAGAAGGAAGGTGAGGAGGATTACATCGTTCGCAGCACCACGAATTATATGATGTCTCGATCAGTGAATACAGATATTACTCTTGACGCCGGAAGATACTGCGTCTTGGTTAAAGTGACGGCCTACCGACGGAAGAATGTGGACAGCCCTGTAGACGTAGTACGGACCACTGCGTCGCGTCGACGAGAGAAGCTGGTGCAGATTGGTCTTTCATATGACCTGGCTCATACCAAAGGCCTTTCATTGGAAACAGAAGCAGAGAAGAAGGAGCGCGAGGAGCGCGAAGAACGGCAAAGATTCCTGGAACGACAGAAGCTTCGTGATCAAACCATGAAAAAGCTACAGCAACAGCATATACGAGAGAAAAAGATCCAAGCAAGAAGAGAGAGGATGATGAGACGCGAACGACTTCGAGAGGAAGTAGAAGCGGAAAAGCACTTTCACGCCGAGTCGGAAGACGACGTAGAAGACGCAGACTTGACTCCCAAAGTTCGAAATGGACACGACAATCTTGATCAGATGACCAGTGCACACAATGGGAATGGAAACGGTATTGGCAACGGACTGCAATCTGCGCAGCCAACAACACGAAGAGCACGTGGATCAAGCCGACCGATCCGACCAATGCTCAGAACAGACTACCCTAAAACAAGCGCCAGTCGCTACCAGGAAATGATGGAACTATTGCAAGACTTTGAATTCGACTCTGACCTTGACATGCCACCAGAACACTCGCCAGCACGTCCTTCCCCTTCATCTACCGCATCATTCCCAGGTCCGCCACCACCAAATAGCGGAGGGGGAGATGGAAGCGTCAACCCATGGAATGCAGTGTGCGTTGTTGGACTAAAAGTGTTCTCCAAAGATCCCGAGTTGAAGCTACAAGTTGTACGGCCGGGATGCTACGATGGTGAAGCGCCGCTGGATCGTGATGATCCGGCTGTTTCGGCGACGTTTGAGACGAGGGCGTCGTTCATTTTTAAGGAGTAGAGCGTTGCACTATAACCACTATAATGATGTATAGACGAACGGCCTTACTACTTTCAGATGTATATTATTCTTTTCGGTATGGATTATAACTTACGCGTCTGCAACTTGTATACTTTGGGAGGGTCTATCAATGACAAAATCAAAACTCACATGTATCATCATAAGTAAGATACAGTCCAAATCACAGAGGGTTAGCCTGAACTCCCTCTTTCGTAATCCTGACCGGTTTAATACCGCCTTCTTCATCAAACTCCATCCGATCAATACAGACATATCGATGATTAGCATCATAATCACCCAGCGGTCGACGATGATACACAATATACCATTCGTCCGTACCGGGGACGTGTATCACGCCATTACTACCAGTGCCCTGCGCAACATCAGGATCTGGAGAGAGAATGTGTTTCGATGTTTTCGTAAATGGGCCGAGTGGTGAGGTTGTGGATGTCACGTATTCGACGCCGTAGGAGTTGTCACCCCAACTGCCATACATCATTAGCTAGTCTCAGACGAGCAGAGGAAAGGAAATTGACACACCCTCCAACACTGTACATATAATAATAAACCCCCTTCCGCTTAATCACATACGGCGCCTCCACATAGTTCGGCGGCGTGATCTCCACCGGCTCACTCTTGAACGAAACCATATCCTCACTCAACTCCGCGCCCAGACCATGCGACCACCCACCCCAAAGCAAGTACGCCCTTCCATTATCATCCACAAAAACAGCAGGATCAATCGGCTGCCCCCCAAACAATACATCAGCCACAAGCGGCTTTCCGAGAACATCCTCATAGGGGCCCTCGGGTCTGCCCGTCTTCGACTTTGCGACTCCTATCCCGGCGCCGTCACCGGCAGAGAAATACATGAAATAAGTCCCATTTTTGTATGCCACGGTCGGTGCCCAGGCGGCTCGATTCGTGGACCAGGAGATGTCGGCAAAGTCGAGGATGCGTGGGTGTTTGGTCCAGTGTACCAGGTCCGTGGAGGAGAAGCAGTCGAAGTAGGTTTGTTGAGAGTAGGAGAGGGAGAGGGAAGGGAATATCCAATATTGGGAGGAAAAGATGCGTGCGTCTGGGTCGGCGTACCAGCCTGGGATAATGGGGTTGCCGGAGTGTGGAGTTTGTGTTGTTGGAGATGGAGGTGAGGGAGGGGAGTGTGATGGGGGCCAGTTGTTGCCGCCGCCCATGATGATTGATTACGATTGTGTTATTTTAATAAGTTGCAAGGAGTCGTAGAGAGTGTTGAGGTTTAGGAAGGCGTAAATGCGGAGATGATCAACATGCGGAGAAAGTGGGGACACCGATAATATGAAAATTACAAAGTTGATCTCTAGAACAAGATCTAAAAAGAAATTGGTACACGTAGACTGCCCTTCATTACCAATTTAAGCATATATGTTTTAGAGACATAATCAGAATGAGAAGACCTCCGTCGGTCCATATTGTTGAATGGACTCTATGTTAGGTCCTTCTAGATTTAGATCCGTAAGTGTACGGAGGGTGGTACTTGATCCAAAAGTCCTTCTCAAGTATGACTCCTTTGTCGAATTGAGTAAACTTCGCACCGATGCTACCGAGAGTTTGACATCACTTCTCTAAACCAATTGGCACTTTCGTGTATAGTTTCGAGATAATTTGGATCTGTGAGTTGCCGAGAATCAGTGGTCGCAGTAACAGTCACATTGCGCAGCGTCACCCTCTCTTCACCGTTCCCAGCTTCCTCTCTCCAGAAACACGCGCGACGCATAACAGAGACCATATCTTTAGCTTGGGTCGCCAGAACTGAAGTACTCTCGGTTGCCGATTTTCTCGAATTTGCTTTGGCTTTAGGCGGGTTGCTGTCATCAATAGAATTAACCACTGCTTCACTTAATTCTTCACTAGAACCAAGTCGTGCATAGAATCTAACCCATGGCAAAGTAATCTGAAGTCGAGTAGGCTTAGCGAATCTACTTCTGCCATCGTTGCCCGCATCTAGGCCATATGGTGGCCATCGTGAGAGGGCTTTGCGACGCCGTGATGGCCGCTCTTCAACCGGCATGGCGTCCTCTGTAGTCTTAGGCTCGGTAACCTTGGGCTCGTCTTCTATATGCATTTGAATGTCCCATAGGTCAATCAACTCTTCTTCGGTAACTGAGGTTTTCAAGACAGGGACTGGGTACTCTGGTCCAGTAAAATATTCAGGCATAATCTTCGGAACATCTTTTCCGGCAGAGCGTAGAAACAGTATAGGCGAGGCAAATGAGTCGAAATATTTGGAGGGTGTCTCGAATAGATGTTTTCTCGTGTTGAGTAGAGGTACGAGATCGAATGGCGCTGGTTTCTTTCTGTGCTTTGATGGTTGCTTCGTCTGGACAGGTTGCGCGGGGGATTGCTGTGATTTCTCTCCTTCGGGCACGATGAGTTCTGATTGTTTTTCGATAGTACCTCCAGATCCAGTCAACATCTCCGAGTCGATAGTGCAATAGTCATCGAGACCAGTCCAATCACAGACGGGTTCATGGGCTGCGACGGCGTGTATGTGTTGGGACTCTGTCAAGGACAGCATAGTAGCCAAGGACCCTCCAATATTCGATCCAAAAACAAATAGCTGCTCAGGACGAAGAGTCTCCAAGACCCAATCAAATCCGGCGAGCGTATCGTGTACCGGCGTAGGGTATCTATAGAATGGGCGAGTACGGCTATTTCCTGAGCTCGATATCATTGCCTCTGCATTTGTATATCCAAGCCTGTAGTTGACTGTAACGACGTTTGCCTCCGTGATGGCAGCTATTAATTCCTGTGGAGTGGAGAGACCACGACTCAACAGACTGCTCGAGAACATGGTGCCATGATGGTCATCATCATGCGTGAAGTAGTCTAGCGTCCGCTGATATCTGACGCCCACAATTGATTCATCTTGAAAAATAGGACCTCGAGGTAGATACAAGACCACCTTTGGGTTTGCTTGGGCATTGTCCGTCAACGGCCTTAGTACTCTGTTCCGCGTTAGGCAATGGTCTGCAAAAAGCCGAGGAGCGATAACTCACGTAAGTGTAATCGAACCGGCTCCACCAACAGGCACTTCTACTACATCTTCGACTAGTGCAGGTAGTGCAATTGATGCGAAGGTTCGACGTACAAAAAGTGGCCTCGAACAGTGAGTGACAAAGACGCGACGCGCCGTCAGTCCGTCGCGTGTGATGAGTAGGGAGCTAAGAGAGCTTCCCTGAGTAGTCAATACATCTCGAAATTTAACAGGTAAGCGCATGGCACATCCCGATACTCTCCTTTTGATGCAATGAAGAGGCTCCGAATTTGACGTTATGCGATTGGGGGAAGTCCTTAGTCGTCCGATTATTTCGGGGGGAAAAGAGCGGCGATAAGATAAGGTGAAACCCTAAGGGTTAACTATAGCATATGTCTATTTGTGCACCATTCTCTACAGGTTTTTCAGTCCTAATCGTCCTAATCATATCCAAATCCATAAAAAGTTCTTTCAATTTGTTATGAATTACAGTAGGTCGAATCATAGCTCCCAACTTGAATCATGCAGTATAAATCTCTCAAACCACGTGTGGGCTCTATTGGCACTTGGAACAATTGAAGTTATATCATTTGTGGATTTATTCTGGTTGAAAGAGAGTTCGGAGGTTCTTCAAACATTCAACTGACCCGGTTCCATTTCTTACAGTGTCGAATTTGTAGGTGAAGGGTGCCTTAACGGTGGAAGCACGGGGTAATCAGGGTTTCGTATCATCTACCGAATAGCTCCAACGTATCAGAGTAAATTTGAATTTGAGACAATAGGATTATGAAAATTCTTCCGGTTTCGTTGATTTTGGGCTGTATTATACTTGAGATTTATTCTCTTTACATGAAATGGTGAAGATTAAGCGGCCAGGACTTAAAGTATAAAAGGTTCTTCGCAGTCCTCATGAGTTGTATAGCATCAGGTCTACTTTCACTTTCATTTCTTAACATCAGCGGCTGGCCTGCATCTATCGATACTCATATTTAATATTCATTGACTCGATAAATTTAATAATCAACATGAAGACCATACAATCTTTTTCTCTTTTCTTATGCATGGTTTCTTTCACGGCTGCTGCCCCCCGAAAACACCACCAAAACCCTTCTGCCACAGCAACCACCGCTGCTGTTGCTACAGTCAGGACTGCTGGTGCTGCTGCCGCCGGAAATGCCGCTTCAGGCTCCACGACCGTCACGAGAGGCTCCCAGACTCTGGTTTTGTTCGAAGTCAACGGGGTCCCTGGAAACGAGTGTTTGACTTTCCGCAATAATGGTATGAGACGACCTATGTACATCATCTTATTCTAATCATATGTATTAATATCTGAATTTCAGGTGAGATCGTCGACGCCGCCTGTGTCAATACCTCATCAGACCGACAAATGACCCCCTCCACCGTGGGAAACCAGAACGTCCTCCTTGTTCAGCGTTCCTTCACAGCCGGTTTCCACCCAGACCTCGTAAACGTGCAGGCCTGCGTCGGCTTCAACGGCACAGATTTCCTGGCCCAGGACTGCGCTACTCCGAATATAGATTTTGTCTCGTTCACTGGCGGTGAACTGAAGAGTGCAAGTGGTGCTTGTCAGAGTGGACACGATAGTCTGGCGCAGATTACTGTTGATCCGACGGGGCAGACTTGTGCGACTTTTACGAGTACTGTGGTTACGCCTGCGACGAGCTAGATGGGGTCTATATATCAGACATAAGCGAATTCTGTTGGAGCTGGTCTCGAGGACCAGCTCAATATGTCTCTCGGTTATTATAATTGTCAAATCAATCTGTAAATAATAAATTCAAGCACATAACATGTAATGCTATGTCAATATCTCGGCTTTTTATCCCGCCATATAATGGCATCCTCACTTAGAATTACACTCATTACGGTATCATCAAATGTTCAACCGGATTGAATGACTCTGTATACGTCCTTCATCCCAGAATCCAAGTATAACACTAACCGCAGCAGGTAAGCACCTCACAAGAAGCGCCGCATTTAACCTGACACAGCTGCGACCAGTCGTCCTGGCCATCAACACTCGTCGCACTCACCGATGTCAAAGCCGATCCCAGCTCCGGCTGCACTGTAGCCGAATGAATACCATAGCTATGGAAGCAATCATTCATCGTCTTTGCGATTTGCACGAAATCTGAAACGGTCTCGTTGGAAATGGCGACGTGGACTGATGCCAGTGCCTTTTCTTGGTTGAGGCGCCATACATGGAGTTCGTGTACAGACAGGACGCCTGGAATCTTTTATTTGATTGTTAGTCAACTTCATGAAAGGAGGGAAGATTGGATCGTACGGTTTCGAGATCATGTCGGACGTCGTCGAGATTAATACCACTTGGGACGCTTTCCAGTAGAATTCTGCCGGAGTTTCTCACTGTATGGCATGCCAATTAGCTTCTGATATTGCAAGATGGAATGGAAATATGCACCTAGCGGGATCGACGTAGTAAGTATAACAATCGCAATAGCCATGCTAACGGCAGGATCGGCGTAGTATCGAGCCGAGTACGTCGTGAGCCAAATTACGAGCGCGGAGATGATGACACCGACATTGTTGGCAGCATCTCCAATTACATGTATCAGGACGCCGAGCATGCCAAGATCGTGCCCCCTCTTGGACGGCTGGAGGTTGTTGTGTCGGTGGTTGTCGTGCAACGCGAAGACCTGAGAGAAATGAGCACGGGGAGAGAGTATTTTTCGGAGCTTGAGATATGCTGACCAGTTCTGTACCATCCTCTGTACCTACTGCCGTATCGACAGCCCCTGGAATTTCGTTGTGAGAATGATCGTGTTCTGAAAGGAGATATCAGTCAGCAGGTGACTATGGCTTTAGCTTGAAAGAAGCCCAACCGTGAAGGAACGAAGCGCTGATGATGTTGAGAGCAAGGCCAACGCAGCCGATGATGAGCACAAGCTTTGGATGATCCACGCCTACAGCTATATTAGCAAAATGATAGCTGACATATCCAGAGATCACTCACGCTGGAGAGAAACAAATCGCTCAATAGATTGTAGGAATATGCTGACACCCAATGCAAGAAGAAAAACGCCGTTGAAAAAAGCACCGAGGAGTCGAGACCGCTGCCAGCCAAAGGACAGATCTTGAGGCGAGTCTTTTTTCGCGGATATCTGGTTGGAGTTAGATATTGAGATCAGCGCGTAAAAGGGTACTGCTACCTTCAAGGCGGCAAATGCAACAATAAATCCAATCAGATCATTCAACTGGGACGTATTAGTCTCTTGGAAGTTGTAAGTACACGAGAGATAGGGTTTCGGACGTAGTGGAACGCATCTGCGACCAGGGCAAGCGATCGTGTGTAAAATCCAACTAAAAGACAACAGTCAGAACTGATGGCTGAGCGAGAAGAATGCATGTTGTACCGGTTATTTCTGCAATGAAGAAACATAGCGATATGCAAATCACCAGCTGCAGACGCTGGGACTGATTCATGTGTAACGGCATGGCTGACTTGTTGTTCAATGTTGGCATGAAAGACTGTTGACGAGATTGTGCTCAAAAGTGAAGAAAATGGCACGGCAAAATTTCGGTTACTCGACACCTCCATATGCCCAGCGGTGGCTTGAGTCACCAAAGACTGCAAAGCCCAAAGCACTCCCCAACCCGAGCGTTCGTGGCGCTCATTGGTGGATGCTCCTCATAATCATATCCACTCTGCCTAGGTAGCAGTAAAATCTTTCTCATCAGAACAGCGCGACCCTGTCGATCCATAGTCCCAGCATTGCATGCTCGGGGACGTCCAGTCTGGGTACCGGTCCTGTTCAGGCATGTTTCAAGTCGTCCATTGATAGTAGGCGAGCACTTCCCATGCCGGGTCCAGATAAATTTCATTCCGTGGCGATTTCCCTCCAGCATAGGCACAAGGAGAGGTTCGCAACAGCATGTTGAGCATATAAATTCCCAGCCAAAGTGGACGTTCTATGTCCAAAAGCTCGTTGTACCTGCGTGTCTCGTTTCCGACAACACCGACATTGATAGCAACACACCATGATCCGCCCGTTCGTACCACATCATGAACACCATGGTATACAAAGTCGTCTCACGTAGGAGAATTACGCATGAGGTTGGAATAAGGTTGAAGAAATAAATATAAAAATAGAAAGAAGTCGAGAAGCAAAGTCGTGGAGATCCATTTATTGATTCCAATGGCCGAGCGCTGTCCCCAAGGTACTCACCCGAAAAAGGATGTCAGGGTTAGCCCAATTGATCAAACCCTGACAGGACGATTATTTTCAATGTTCTCCTATGTAAACAAACCTATATTTATTGGGCAGCTGTTAATAATGCAATCGTTACTATGCGCCATGATATTCTTTTCCGAAGAAAAGCCTATATCTCATTCTCCTGCTTTTGCTTATGGCTCTACCCTCTAGTTCTGAACAATTCTCAGCTCCTAATACTCAACAGACGCCCCATAACACCCACTCCCTGAAACTGTGTCGCCAAATTTTGAAAGTTCCGAGAGTTAGAAAAGCTTAGATCTTTCCTAGATACGGTTTCAGTGAATATCATGGAGGAGCCAGCTAATTCGGATTCTCTGTCAGTAACGGGTTCTGCTGTAGGCAAAGGTTTGGCTGATTGCCTCTGTGGTCGTAATGTATACTTTCGTTGGGCTGGGCCATCAATGTCTTCACCCGATGGTCTTGATGTCGTAGATGAAACAGGTATTGATGGTTTGCTTTCTCTGACGCTCTTCTCCCATGACTTTCCCTCGTAGGTGGTATGAGGGGTGAAGTTGTTCTCGCTGGCGTATGGGGTGGAGGTCTGACTGGTGGCGGTAGGAACAGGTGACTTCTTTTTGGTGGTACTCGTTGTTGTTTCGTTGGTGCACTGGTGGAAATCCGGTTGGTGCTATTGGGCGTTGATGCATACCGACGAGATTGATAGTCGGTGGATCAGGTGATGGACTTGGAGTACTAGATGCATCAATGTCTGGACCAGGAATGGATGTTTTGCCCTCCAGAGACTCGAACGACCCAATCAGACATAGCCATTCATTCTGATAATCAGTTTATCTACCCAGCATTCCTCCTCTTCGCTGCTCTAGCTCATAAGCCTAATCTGTTACCCCGCCCACATCCCTGAAAGGTATCTCCAAGTGACGAGCTTCATCATTCACGATGCATTCCGCAAAGATGGCAGATATTCTGCGTACAGATCTGGCAAAGACTGGATCTACAGCTGCAGCATCAATCACCGATGTCCACCAGTTGTCCTCTTACAACTGGATCGAAGCGCCTGAACCCACCATCGCAGTCCCAGGAAAGCCCGCCCTTTGGTCTCCTCCAAAGGCCCCCCGAAAAGTAGCGAAGGACTCTGGCCTTATCTACTCAGCCCAGAACGCCGCTCGCCATCCAGACAGTCCACTCGAGCCTCTGTTTCGATCCTTGCTTATTACAGACCCTTCATTCGACTTTCAGTCGGTTGGCCTCGTGACTGATCGAAACAACATCCGCAAACTCTTGTCATTCATCAACCCAAGTTTGAGCAGGAATGGAAGGGAGCCTTTTACTATCAAGGTCGAAGTTATCGACGACATTGCAATCTTCTGTCGTTCAGAGGCCGAGGTATCGCGGTTTATCGCTCCAGATAAATTCGTTGGGTATGGTTGTGAGTTCGAGAAGGCGTACACTAGCGAGCAGATCAGTGGCAGCACTGGACATCACCGAATTATCTCGTATCAGTTCAGTGATTTGAAGCTCATCGTTCGTTACGAGACAGATGGGTACGTCGATAACGCGCCCACAAAGGGTAAGGAGATGGACAGCGAGGATCTCACCTCGCTGATCGAAAGTCTATCTCTGGGATCAACCTCTTCTATTGTATCTCCCGCCTCTGCCAAGTCCAAATTAATGATCAAAAAAGAAGGTGAAGCAGTGCCAATCGAATCGACACTAGAAATCAAGACACGCAGCGCGTACAAACCTTTTGACATTCAAGAAGTCATTCCGCATCTGTGGGTATCTCAAACTCCTAATCTCGTCCGTGCATTTCACAAGCAAGGCCTGTTCGCCGTACCGCAAGTCGAGAATCTTACCCGTGAAATCAAGCAATGGGAGGAGGATCATCAGGGCGACTTACAAAAGCTGGCTGTCTTGATCAAGAAGATTATTAATGTTGTAAAAGCAAATGGCGGAGCTGGTGTCGTCATATATGATTTTGACCAAGGCGACAAGTTGGTGATTTGGCCAGCTGATGGAAACAAATTGTTGCCAGAGGACGTCTATGCCAGATTGCAGAAGCCCTCATACTAAAAACGGATGTTGAAGAACAGTCTATTGCAAGCATGTCAAGAACAAAACAAAGGGTATGTATTATGTGGATAATCCCATCAATCAACAATATAAAACAGTTTACCCATTCACCAATTTCCATCCATCTCCTATCCGTTGCTTATGCCACATAAAAATACTCCCATAAGGAACCCCACAATGAAAAGACGCCCAGACACACAAAGGAAAAAAAATGTCGTGTAAGTCAGAATAATGGGGAGGGATCGTGGAACGTGACGTGGAATGGAACTCTCGGTGCCTTTGAATCTGAAAACCACGCGGTCAATGGTCATAGAGGCGTTTTGCACATGCGTGAGCGAGTCAATCATAAATTGATCATAAAGATAAGGCATGAACTGAAATTTCAGTTCTAACGAACACGAGTGCGGCCAGAGTAGTATTCACTGCCCTGTGCGAAGTAGGGGTGTGCACAGGCTTGCTTGGCGGAGATACGACGCGCTGGGTCGTATTCCAGAAGCATTTCAAGAAGCTCCAAACCAGCAGGCTCCAATCCGGACACCAGGGGAGTTTTCATGTTGCGTCTCCATTTGGGGAATGAAGACTTGAAGTCGGGGAAGGAGGAAACACCGGGCCATGTGTTTTCATCGGGAGTTCCGAGTAATCTATGTAAATTAGAACCGAAAAAAAAGGGAGCCTGGGTCAATGCTTACCGGAAGATTTTGAATATCTCGTCAATCTCCGAGTCACCTGGGAAGAGAGGTTTGCGAGTGCACATCTCGGCAAAAATGGCACCAACAGACCACATATCAACACCAGTCGAGTACTGCCGTCCACCGAGAAGAATTTCAGGTGAACGGTACCATAACGTCACAACCTAAAACATTAGCCTGATTTTGGAAATGCAAATGCAAAAACTTTACCTCGTGTGTGTAGGTGCGCAAGGGAACACCAAACGCTCTGGCAAGACCGAAATCAGCCAATTTCAAATTACCCTCCCGGTCAATAAGCAAATTCTGTGGCTTCAAATCACGGTGAAGGATTCTGTGACTATGGCAGTAACGAACACCTTCCACGAGTTGAGCCATGAATCTTTTGACCATGGCCTCTCCTAGACCGAGTTGATTCATGTTGATGTGTGATCCATTCGGCAAGGCCTTTCCACGACCACCCTCGCTGACGGGGAGTGCCTCCATGTACTTTTTGAGGTCGAGGTCGAGGAACTCCATAACGAGATAAAGCTTGTGGCCGTCGGCATGCACGATATCGAATAGGCGGACGACGTTGGGGTCGTTCATTTCTTTCAGCAATGAGATTTCTCGGATAGCGGTGCTGGGTACGCCCTCATCTTCGGCTTCGAGACGGATTTTTTTCAGGGCAACGATACGGTTATGGTTGAGGTCTCTCGCCTTGTAGACGACACCATAGGTGCCTATCAGAAAGTATTTTAGTATTTGGAACCAGATGTTGAATGAACAGGCGAGTGTGGGGCAAGGGAGCGTACCCTCTCCAATCTTCTCGATCTTTTCATAATTCTCCATGTTGGCTGGCGGATGCGACAACTATAATTGAAAATTCCAAGGAAATATGACACAGCAATAATTGCTTGAAGAAAGACGTTGGTGGGTAAACGACACAGACTGCTCAATCGCGTGGTGATCGTGGGGTTGCTGCTGGTTAGTACGCTTGAAAGATATCAACGATCTCAACAGTACATCATGAGAGAGCAGTCGAGATTGGTGATCGATATCAATATGTAAATAATATAAGATACGACGACGAATGAGTCTGAAGGTACTGTCCGTCAACCAATGGATGTGATGGTGGGCTGAACGAAGCCTTGAGTGTCTGTCAGTTAGAGCTAAGCCCAAGCTGGAGTTGGCGTTTTGTACACAAACAAAACAGAAAAGGAAAGCGCCGCCGCGTCCAAGGCGGTGAGAGACAGAGGCTACGTCACGTGGTGATATGTCGCGCTAAAGGCGCTAAAAAGCTTCTAGAAGGAAAAGAAGACGCTTTGCCTGTTTCTGTCGGAATTCCACAATCGTCATCTCGAATTTCTATTTCTTTCCTTTCTTTCTCAAGATCGCGTTCAGATATATGTGAATGGTCTGAAGCATTGGGAGTACGATGTGATAGATTGCAGTCTATCTACTCTCAACTTAAACTTCACACGCACTGCCATATACATCATCATGAACTGGTGGCGGTCCCAAAATGGCAACAATCAAAGGTCTCAATGCCCATGATCGCCCTCCGGAAAAAGTCCGCGATGTCTACAAGAAATACCTAAAGATCAAGCTACCAGAGGTTGACAATGACCAAGACATGGTCGACTTGGAGAAATTGAACGTCGACAATCTGCCTAGTCCATTTGCGATATCTGGGTTTATAGATAGTAAAGAGCTTCGTCTGGCGTTTGATGAGTTTGTGGGTAGGACTGGTAATACCTCGACTACCCGAGATCATCATGGCGGGGKCCTTATTGAGGACATTCCTATCTTGACACATAAGAAAGTATCTGGTAAATCAGTCTTGAATATGTATTTGAGTGTCGTGTGACTGAGATGTATTGCAGGTCTTCATATGATACCATCTCTATATCCGCCAACAGTGCAGACCAAATTGCTGGACTTGATGCTTCACCGGGATCTCTCAGTGCCAGAACACCAAACAAATCTACATCTCCACTATGACATTGAATACCCTCAAGCACCTAATAATTTGCCCATCTCATTCTTTGAAGCCGATCCAACGTCCACCTTTGCACCCAAAGATCCTCACATACACAAMCCCATGACCATTCAAGCCATGCTCGACAAAAAACTCCGCTGGATCACACTCGGCGGGCAATACAACTGGACTGCCAAAGTATACCCCGACGGGCAACCACCCGCATTCCCAAGAGACATTGCGCATCTACTGCGTGCGGCGTTCCCCGAGACAGAAGCTCAAGCAGCAATCGTCAATTTCTATTCCGCGAACGATACTTTGTCCATGCATCGCGACGTAAGCGAACAATGCGACATTGGCCTTATCAGTGTCAGTATCGGCTGCGACGCGCTGTTCATGATTAGCCACGACGACGGGGAAGGATGCGAGGTGATTAGACTTCGCTCGGGGGATGCGGTGTACATGTCTGGTCCTTCGAGATTTGCGTGGCATGGTGTACCGAAAATTATACCGGAGACGTGTCCCGGTTGGTTGTGCGATTGGCCGGGGCCGGAGTATCCTAATTGGCAAGGGTGGATGGGGAGGAAGAGGGTGAATCTGAATGTTAGGCAGATGAAGGAGTCGATGTCGTCCGCTTAACAGGTATGATGATGGTGATGATGAAACGCCTTGTGAACGTGCTATGAGCACTAAAGTTCTTTTCACACTTCTTGCTCGTATGGATTAATAATAGATCATCACATGTCTGATTATTTGGGTATGTTCACAATATACATTACATCCATAATTATTCCCTCCTATGCAAGTTTAGTTCCGTAAATGCAGTCAAGTCCACCGCTCAAGTAAAATGTTCCACTGCATCTTCAAAATGTAGCTAAGAAACAAAAATCAATCACAATAGCAGGAAGAAAAAAAACGCTCAAGATTTTTTTCTGTTCATATCATCATTGCTCTCAAGGAGGGCCATATCGATTGCTATTTGCAGGAACTGAAGTAGACGATGGATTGCTCGACGTCAAAAGTGACTGTACAGAAGCCGGACTCCATCCCGTGGCGGTCCCATTCGCGAGCTGTGGACTAGTCCTGTAATGATCATTCTCTGCAACAGGGCCGACATCTTTCGCGGCCCCGTTCATCAGTCGTTGTCGTTTCGCTGCCTGGTGCGCAGCATCGTACGGCGACGTGTGTTGGGTGGGTATATTAGCCGAAGTCGTCGTTGTTGGCGCAACATATCCGAATGATGGGAATTCGCTATGGTTTTCGGCGCCTGGAGCATTCAGTTTAGGGCGTATGGTGGATTCTGGAGTTGGTTCATCAAGGCCTCTATACGAGGGAGCCCCGACTCGTCCCATGCTTTTGTCGTGCATCACAACACGCTTCCATTTCGCAACTAGCTGGTCGTAATCCCACCGTGAAGAATCGGGGCTAGTAAAGCTGTGGTCCATCGCGTCTAGCTCACGAGCTGCATCACGCGGTAATGGCAGCGTATCTGGCGGGAACAGCGCAAATTCGCGCGGCCATTGGCAAGAGCTTAGCCTCTCATTTTGCGCTCGCAGCTTTTCGGCTTCTTGCTGCACCCTGTGGAGTTGGGCCTCTAGATCTTTCCGCTTTTCTGACTCGCGCACAAAGGCCCTTGTGAGCTCCAACTGCCAAGTGTTTTTCTTGACTTCTAAAGACAACATCATCCAATTCTGATAGGCCAAGTCGAGGTGCCGCGAACTGATCTCGTCATGTTGCTGGGCTGTTGCATTTATCATCTGGGGCTCATTGACATGGCTGTTCTTTGTTCGACTACCGGCCTGGTTCATATTTGACATGCTTAGTTGTTCATTACGCCACTTTTCGATGTGCGCTTTGAGGGCATGACGGACGAGATCGGCTTGGCCTGCATTAGGAGGATCCAACGGGAATGATGTGCTAGTTGGAAAAGGCTGAACTGAAAATAGTGTCGGAGGAGGAGGGAGTAGTTTGAGGACAAGTGAGGGAAAGGTTTCGGCCTGGACATCGAATTCAAAAGGCGACAGTCGAGGGCGGGTTGTGCTTCTATTCATACGATCATTAGCTTCTTTTAGGTTTCATGCTCTGAATATACACGAAAAACTCACGTCGCAGCTTTGATATTATCCAAAACCTCTTGTAACGCTAACTCCAATGCTCTGACAGTATCCGCATCTTTGGTCTTCGAGTTTCGACCTGTATAATCCAACGAACCAGGTGAATGAGACACGGGAGCGCGCGAGGAATTGGCTACATCTTGCGAAGCGCTTTCGGAAAGGTTGTTTATTACGCCCGTAGCATGCCAAGAAGGTGTGTTGAAAAGAAATCGAGGCCCTTCTCGCGGGCGCGCGGGGGGCTCGTGAGCGCTACCACTCGGAGAGTCGTTATGACCTTTGCGCGAGCCTATGTCTGGGCTTTCATGTTTGGCAGAGGTGCGCGCCTGTCGCCGAGTTATACTACTGCGGATTCGACGAATTTCTTCGACGTCGTGAATTCCGTCGGGCTTCTTCTTGAAGAGGTATTGGTCGAGATGTCGTCCGAGCGAGGAGGATGTGAAAGCTTGGTGGCAGTATTGGCATTCTTTGTCCTTGGCGGTGGTGCCTTTAGCTGTGCCTGAATGGCCTCCATCATCACCTGCAGCTGAGTCTGCGGGACTCCTCGTTTGATCTTCGGTGTCGACCATTTCGCGCGGCTTTCGCCAGGTGTTGAATCAGGTTTTAGACACGGGGAAGGCGAGGTAAACGCTAGCGTAACGAATGAGTAGAGGGCGCGAATGGGTATGTGCTATTGATCGTGCATATTCAGGAATACTGATCCTGGAACAGTAGCTCTAAGAGCTTGAAGCCACGTTGCTTGCAGTACGTATTCCAAGTCCAATCTTGAATTAAGTAATCTGGGGAATCTCTCACGAGCAAATGCCGGTCGATCTTCTCGGCGTCCTGCATCACGTGATAAACCTACATATATTGCCGATCAACCGACTTCAGCTTATTTCTACACGAAACCGACATTGCTAGGTGTCAATTCATCCGGTCCAAGATCAGCTCAATTGGATTGGGAACAGGCTAATCCGCAAAGCCTATAAGGTGAAGCTCAAAAGGGATCTATATTGATTCCTCATTTCTGTCTGATTGCTACGAAAGGGGGTGCCGGGGGTCCGACAATATATAAATAAAGCGTACGTGCTTTAGAATAGGATGACCATATCAATAACTCCTGGGGAGATGCAGCACCTTCTCGCTAATAAAGTTCAGAATCATCTCACGACTGACAGGCGCAATACGCGGCACAAAACACTCCCTCAGCCATCGCTCAACATCATATTCCACCGCATAACCCATACCACCATGCGTCATAACAGCCCGTTCGCACGCTGTATAAGCCGCCTCTGCAGCTAAGTATTTAGCACTGTTACAAGCCGTCCCCACGGCTTGGAGTGATACCGAGCTGTCGGTCTTGGACGCATCGTACATCCGTGCTGCATGATACGTAGCGAGTTTAGCAGCTTCCAGCCTCATGTATGCGTCTGCTAGAGGATGCGCGATAGCTTGATTCTTGCCAATCGGCCGCCCAAAAACCTGTCGTTCTTTCGCGTACAACGAGGCCTTTTCGAGTGCAGCATATCCGAGACCTAGAGCTTCTCCAGCCAGCAGACACCGCTCGGCATTCATTCCGTGAAGGATGACTTTGAATCCGTCGTTTTCCTTGCCGACGAGAGTGTCGGCAGGTATCTCGTAATTATCGAAGAAGACCTCGTTAGCGTCGACGGCCCTGCCACCCATTTTCTTGATCTTCTTCAATTCTAGCCCTGGATTGCTGCGGTCGAGGCTGATAGCAAACATCGACAATCCTTTCGTCGGCTTCTGAGTCTCTTCAAGCGGCGTCGTTCGCGCAAGCAGGATCATCACAGACGCAACCTGCGCACACGTAATCCAAATCTTCTGACCCGAGACAAGGTACGTATTATCCGAGTTCTTGGTTGCCGTTGTCTTAAGCCTCAACGTATCAAGCCCCGTATTCGGCTCCGTCACACCAAAGCACGTGCGCCAGGTGCCATTGATGATGTTGGGGATTACTTTGTCGACCTGCTCCTTTGTACCGAATTTGGCTAGTGGTTGTGTTGCGTAGACATTGGCGTGTATTGCTTGTGCGCCTGCCATGCCTGCGCCGGACTGGGTGATGGTCTGCATCATCATTGTAGCTTCGGATATGCCTGAAAAGTCAATACTATATCGTATTTAGAGTAGATGTAAACCCCCATACCTAGTCCTGACCCTCCAAGTTCTTCAGGCAAGGCAATCCCCAGCCATCCATCTTTGGCAAGCGCAGCATGGAAGTCCTTGGGATCGCGCTCTTCCTGATCGCATTCCTGCCAGTAAGAGGACGGGAATTGAGAGCAGACTTGCGCCACTGCTTCGCGGACCGTGAGTTGCTCTTCAGTAAATCCGGTCAAATCCATCAATTCGCGGTGTGGTTTTGATGTTGAAAATGCACGTTTATAATTTATGTTTAGCAAGGCTTGTCTCCTCTTTACCCCGGTCCGCGTAGAGCGCCATATTGTGGGGGTTGCTGATGCCAAAATGCGCTTGGAGAGAATGCTTGCGCTTGAGGATGAAATCATGTTGACACACGCTCATCAGGATATAGTAACCCGGAGTTCATCAATACATTTTAATGTCTGTAAGTATGAATATACCTAGTTAGTGGAAGGCATGCAGCCGATAGCGTAGAAGCCGACTTCCCCACACTTGATCGACGCTTAATCTTGCTTGCTCGGCTTCATGAAGCACCACGCGATAAGCCCCGATGGCCCACAGACCATAGCCCTAACTGCCTAATCGGAAACCTTTCGTTTCTCGTCAAGATCTACAGTCCCAGAGGATCATCCACAATGTCAATCATATATACAGAGTATTTCAAGAGATTTCGGGAACGATTAAGCGTTATTAGTGAAGCCTATGAATTATATACATGTCTAGTTTATGTTATGCAGTGTTTAAACTATCAGTGAGCTTCAATGTTCACGCGCTGTGTGAGATGAGAATTTGCTAAAATACTCGAAGACTGATTAATTTGCTATACTCATAATTATAGTGGGGAGATTCAATATATATTTAACCAGCGTGTACATGCTCTCGAATTGTTCATGGCATAAAACCAAACCCATACGCCCTATTATCTAGATTACAGTGTTTTCTTTCAAATCACCTAGGTACTATACAAATGAAACAGGGGCATAAACCTACTCATTAGAAGAAGTCGACCCTGGACGACTCTTCTCAGCCATTCCGCCGCTTGAATTGCTACTCTTCTTCGCCTTTTGTACACTCAGTGCCTTTTTCAGGTCCTGGACGCCATGGAGATAAAACCATGACAGTGCGAATACCACAAAGAAATTGAAGAGAATAAATGCCCAAAAGATGCCCTATCGGTATCAGTTAGTTGGATTTCAATTGATGTGTGAGGCAAAAGGAGCTTACAAAATCGCGCCATTTATGGGAGTAAAACACGTTGAAGCTGGAGGCCTGTTGTCACTGTTAGTCTGAACGACGTAATCCTAGGAAGTAAGAAGGAGCGTACGAATTGATCGCCAGTGGCATATGCGCAAAAAGAGCACATCCCATCAGATTCGGTGACGTACCCACCAGCCTCAGCTGTAAAAGCACTGGTATAATTCTGACAAGTCGAGCCTGGCGGTGGAGTAAATCTAGCCTCCTCACGAGCCACGCATTGCACCGGCTGATCGTGCACCAAGACACCCAAAAGTGCTTCCAGTAGATAATTAAACGGCGTAAGCCAGTACATCCATGCTCTCCAGAAAGTGGGCAGACCCGAATAAGGCACCACGACACCACAGAAGGAGACAACAAAAGTGAAGAAGGCTGGTACGATAAGCGATGCGAATAGTTCGTTGGGCGAGAGAGCGGCAATAAATTGTCCGAAGCTGACGTAGTAAAGCTCGAAAAGAAGGATCATGATGTAGGTGAAACCAGCAGTAAACGAGTCTCGAGAGAATCCGATGCCCCAGTACCAGCAGTTAAAATAAATAGAGCCTGCTATGATTGAGTATGGAATCTCGGGTAAAACAGCGCTGACAACGAAGGCTGGCCAGGAGTAAATTTTTGCTTTGGCTTCACGCGATTCGTACAGATTTCGGAAATGGAGGAATCGTGGTTGGAGCTGTTGAATGAGTGGAGGTGAGATCGTCAGAGTCATGAAGACAGAGAACAGTCTCGACTGCATGTCGATATAACTATGTCCAAGTTTCCAGAATGTAAAGGTATTGAACAGACCGGTAAAGATATGGAGCATGAATTTGCCCTAAAAAGTCAGTAAACTTCCAGCAGATAATAACAGACACATACAAGAAGATATTCGGGTGACCGCCAATATGCTATAAACGACCGCTTGGTGGTCGTCATAATCTGCGCCCATACCGGCATGGCATATTCTCTATCATCCTTTGTCTCTTGACTCGTCGTGTCGTTTCTCCTCGATGTAACAATCTCTTCAATTTCTCGCGTTCGCGCGGCGTGTTCTTCAGAGCTGGCCCATACATCTCCCCAGTCTTGGCCTTTATAATCCGGATTACCAGCTCCAATGACCTCCAACATATACTATTCACAGTAAGCTTTTAATCATGCGCATGGTGCAAATTGACATACCTCTGCAGGGTTCGCATCCCTTCGACACTTTTTTCCGCCATTGCGTTCAAAGTAGTCTATCATAGTGCGGGAGTCTTCTGAACCTACTTCTCCATGATACACCACACGGCCCCCATTCTTCAGCAGTAGCAGATCATCAAACTGCTCAAATAAAACTGCCGATGGCTGATGGATTGTGCACAGCACAGCTTGTCCGGCATCGGCGAGGCGACGAAGAAACCGTACAATATTATACGCCGCAAGTGAGTCCAGACCAGACGTTGGTTCATCAAGAAAGAGAAGTAGTTCGGGCTTACTTGCTAACTCGACTGCGATTGTGAGACGCTTGCGCTGTTCCTGGTTAAGTCCTGAGCCACCAGAACCTACAGTAGCACCTGCTATTGGCCGCATCTCGAGCAGATCAATGATCTTCTCGCAGTAATCGTACTTTTCTTGCAAAGGAACCTCACGCGGCTGTCGTAGTCTGGCAGAGAATCTTAAAGATTCGCGAACAGTTGCGGTAGGCTCATGAACGTCCATCTGCTCTGCGAATCCCGTTGCTCTTTGGAAACTTCTAGGCAGCCCACTGCAACGACTGTCAGAAATTGATCAATTCTTGATACAAAAAAACATACCGGCCATTGATCAGGAAGTCGCCAGTCACAACTCCTGTATTGACCCTTTGAGCAAGGACATTGAGAAGAGTGGTTTTTCTGGACACATATTGTCAGATCCTATCATTTTGACAAATCGAGACACTTACCCAGCACCAGAAGCTCCCATCATCGCAGTCAGTCGACCAGGCCTTACATAGCCCTGGACATCATTCAGGAGTCTCTTCCGACCTCCTTTAACCGAAATGTCGTAATTAACATGTTGCCATGTGAATATAGCCGTATTCTTTGCAATACCCTCAACACTCTTTTCTCCTCCAGCAGATTCTTCCTCTGTGTTGACATTGTTCTGCACTTTATTTCCATCTTCCTCGTCTCCAGGATTGGTCTTGTTCTTAAGTGCATCATCGACACCCTTCGGTGCTTGACCTCTCTTGAAAACAGTCACGGAACTACCTCCTTTATTCGGCTTTTGTAGCTCCATTCCGATCATGGTCAGCACGACAAAAAAGATGAGCCATGCAATGATGATGCCAAAATTGCGCCATAAATGAGATCGCGAATATGTGTATGCGGCTTCAATGTAGTCGCCACCTTGTACAACTATTTGGTTTGGCTGGCTACCTTGAAGAAAGCAGCTTTGATGTTGAGGAGATGCATCTGGGCCTTCAGGTACAAGGTAGGGCGGGGTACATTCGATGTTGAGATTGTAAAACTCATTAGCCATGAGGGCTTCAAAAGCGTATTGAACTGGATTGATCCAGATAAGCCATTTGAGCCATGGGTGCATTTTCCATGGAGGAATGAGGTAGCCTATACTGTTAGTATTTTTCAGTAGGCTAAACACACAAATACGCACCTGTGTAGACGACTAGAGCTTGCAAGGCAACCCCAGTGATTCGAGTGGCTGTAGTTCGTTAGTCTTTGTGCAATATTCAGACATGACCATGCAACATACCAACATCAAGTGAAGAGCACAGAGCGCCCATGGCCCGAAAGAAAGAGTATATAGTCATTGTCAACACAAATATAATCAAAAGATTGATGAAAAACTGCGATGGCGTTCGTGATAAATCTGCCATACTATGCAAGTCAGTACGGCCGATACCATAGTTAGACTGGGACACAAACAAGTATACAATAAGATCGAATATAATGACTTGGACTGCAACAAGTGGCATGTCAACCACCACTTGAGCCAAGGCATATGCCGATGGTCGATAAAAGGAACTAAAATGTCAGTAATCGTTCATGTATCTCACCTGTTCACTTACAATGCTTTATGCTTCAACAAAATTGGTCGACTTGAAAATGCTGAAGTAAGTTCCGCAAGGGCAAGAAGCGAGTTGAAAAGAAGGATATAAAACATGACACCACCGCGAGGAAAGACGCCGGAGCTGTATTAAATTAGGAATAGTTCATCTCCAAAGTTTCACCGGTGACCCTACCTTGTCGGCTGAAGATTGTAGAAAAGACTTCCAACAATCAAAGCTTGGAACAGAATCATAGCCCACTTGCCATATAGTGACTGTGGATCTCCTATCATAACAAGGAACTGTCTCTTGGTGAGAGCCAGTACTTGCTGATGGAAAGACAGGGTAAAATTCCTCTGTTTGATAGTACTCCGTGCGGCTTCACGCGTCTCTTCTTGCTTTCCCAACTCTTGCTCAAACTCTTGGACATCCTTGATCGCTGCCTGGTATAGTTCACTCTTCAAGTAGATACTTTCAAATTCCTCTGCAGTTCGAGGAATCCGATCCTCCCAGCCGGACTTGACACGCCTAGCATGTGGATCACTAACCGAAGTCAAAAAGTCTGGAGTCGTCCATCGTGGAGGACATTCAAAACCTAGATTCTCGAAGTACGCCTTTGCCTTGTCTATTGGACCGTAATATGCGCAACGACCTTCTTCGATCAGCACGACTTTATCAAAGAGTTTATACAAACTTTCAGCTGCCTGGTATAAGGCAACCAAAGTCGAGACCTGGGCCATGTTCGTCAGACTGCGCAAACTTTGGACATACTCCAACGCCGTGCTGGCATCAAGTCCCTTAGTAGAATTATCCCAGCATTGCGTACTGGCTTTTGTAATCATCGCTTCGGCAATGGACACTCGTTTCTTCTCACCCCCGGACACACCGTGAATGAGCTCATTGCCTACTTTGGTGTCCATGGTGTGCTCGATCCAAAATAGTTTGGTGATGGCGCTGAGAAAGGTCTTTTGGTAGTCTTTTCGGCTTTCCCCTTCGTTTCTAGATGCCTTGCCAGGTGTCCTAGTCTGAAGTGCAAAGTTGAGTGTTTGTTTGACGGTGAGGGTCGCGTAATGTAGGTCATCCTCGGGATTATACGAAACTGCCTATATTAGAATGGGATGATAAATAGGCTGGAATAGAGTAGACACCTTCGGAACGATAGTTCTTTGCCATGGTCTGTGGATCCGTTCCTCCATATGAAACCTCTCCTTCGATCTCTTCATATCCAGCCCGCTGATTTCCAATTACCTTTAGAAAAGTCGAGCACCCAGACCCAGGTCTCCCAAGGACCAGGAGCAACTCTCCAGGTCGTACGCAGCCCTATCAATGTCAGACTTAGCCATACAAGCTGTGAAGGGAACCAACCGTGAAATCATGCAAAATAGTCTTGACAGGCACTTTTGTACTAGCACCATTCCTCCCCCTCGTAAGCAACCCTTTGATCTTCCTAGGCAATCCCATAAACAGATCGCCCACAGTAGGTTGCAGCGCCGCACCCAACCCAGCACCTTTGACGTTTAAATTCTTCCATAGGACGCCGGAGTGTCTTGTCTTTTCTTCCTCGGAATTTTCCTTTCGTTCGCGACCAAACATGCGCGACATTAAGCGCTCGATCTCGGCCCAGTCTTCGTTTGTTTGTTCTCTGCCAAGGGACGAGTTTGTGGTTTGTCGTCGGGCAAGGGAGTGGTCTTCGTTCTCATGCTCGTCCTCGTGGGTTTGCGCATGTTCATCGTGTCTCTGCGGGCGAGACGTGCCAGACCGAACGGGCGCAAACTCAGTTTCTTCCGAACTGGAGTCATTGTAATTTGTTCTTTCTGATAGTGCATTCTCGGACCTCGCGTGGTCACGCAGCTCTGTGTCGGAGGTAGCCATAGTGAGGCTTGGAATGGTACGTTCGCCCGAAATTATCTTAGAGCCATTGACACGGAGGAATAAACATATAAATATTTATTACCCTGCCAGGAGAGGTAGGGCGTAGGTACCAGGAGAGAATATCGCGACGGACTTAAGGACAGACCAACCCTATAGTGACGTAACTACAGTCTACACAGGAACGGAGATAACTACCTGGTATACTAAGATGATTTTCTTAACACAAGTGATACGAGAAAAACTATACTCCAGGAATATCTAATTACTCGACGGACGAAGCAGTGTATTACGCGCTGGAGCGGGCAGTGATTCGCTCGATTCCCTCGATGCGCGGTCTAGTTTGGCTCCATATTGATTTGTGTAGCACCACGATCCTTGCTTTCGTGTACCACCTTACTCGACATCTGCACTAACAATGCTTAGGCAGGTTTAATGGAGTTAGGTTACTAAGGAACATTGAGATGTGATCTTCAATCCAGTTTCTGCTTGTGGTCATTCAATGTTGTGTTCATGGTGATATCATTCCTTGGCTGCGACCTGGCATCCGGATGCCTCGGATCAGATACACCTTGTGTCCATGGAATAGGTGTTCTAGATCGATATGCTTAATCCAAGTACAGATCGTATTACGAGTGGAGCACGATTAGAACAACCCTGATTGAATCATTGATAGCTGGGGTTGATGTTGATGATGAGCCTGAACAATACCCTAAATGCCGGATGCGGCCAATCAGAGTGCTCTCTCCACGCTTCGTCTACAATGATCATGCAACCATTTTGACCAGAGACCAAGTGTATCTTAATTCAATGTCTATTCCAATCCATTACCGATGCCGTAACCCTAAATCAGCATCAATCACGTCCTCATCCAAGAGCTCAAGGCTTGAGGACCTCCTTCTTGAAATCCAACATCTCCGGCCCATCCAACCGACCATGAAGCATCGACGCCTCCTTGTTGATACTCCGCTGCAAGGCACCCATCTGCAAATCCAGCTTCGACAGCACCATCACAATCCGACCCGCCCGTTCCTGAAACCCTCGCAGCACCACCTTCACATGTCCATCTGTCGGTTTCTCACAATTGAACTGCGGAATCTGCTGCAGCTCCAAGAAATGATACAGCTCCGCTAACTTGTAGACTTGTTTCTCGTACTCGTTTAGCAGAAGCGAGATGTGCTGCATATTGTCCAACGCCATACCGTCGTACATCTTTAAACGTCCGATGACGGGCCAGCAATCCGTCGGACCAGATTCAACCAGTACTTCGGACAATTTGCCCAACCCGACGAACTCCCAATACCCCCGAAATTTGACGTTCGCATCTTGGTGATATGGTTGACGGAGTAAGTGTCCCATGCCGGCGCCCGCATAGAGTTTGCGTATCTTGGTGGCGTGCGTGAGGCCGTCTTCGTCTTCGTGTTCGACTTGGTACAGGCCGAACCAGATCTTTTTCCAGAGGTACTTGACGCGCGTTTCGAAGTGGACAGCTATTTGGTTGTATTGGTCTTTGGTGCTTTGCAGGTTTGGGATGTATGTCGTTAGATAGGGACAGGTGCGCAGTTTTGGTTCTATGGTGCTGGCACTGCTGGTGGAGGATGTTTGATCAGTGCAGCCTTCTTTCTCCCCAAGCTGCAGCGAAGGGACTTGTTTTGTGTAGAAGTTGGAGGATGCTTGACTGGGCAAGACTTCTTTCACAGGCTGCACAGAAGCTTGATTTGTGTGGAATCTCTGCAGACCATGGGTCCTGGGACGTGTCAGGCACTATCAAATTTCAGTAAAGGAGAGATGCTCTTACTTCTGAAAGCTTTTCAAGACCTGTGCAATCCTCATGGGGGGCATGACAGACTTTGTGGTCGTCTTGATGGGAAACATCTTGCCAGTCTGTCACTCAAAATGAGGGAATGAGTGTCGTGCCAGGTATGAGGGAAGAAGAGATGAGGATATTAATTCTCATACTCACAGAGCACTATCTCATAGTCCCGTCTCGGCGCTCCTTTGAGGACAGGCCCCATGACAACAGGGACAGATGGAAGTTTCCAACAAAGCAGAATCAAAGGCATGTGACGGTCTGATTCACAGAGACAGGCAGTTTACCCATGAAAGAAAGAGGAAAGACATTGTGCTAGGGTCAGTAGATCCAAAACAAACGCAGGAAATTGACGCATTCTGACTCACTTCCTCATAGATCCATCTCATCTCCGAAATCAACCTACAAAGATGGCATAGCAAACACTCCTTGAAGATTCGGCATATATCGTAATATTGTATCATGGCGTTGGTAAGTACATACATACATGGGTAATCATACATTCAGGAATATAAACAACAAGAATCATCCCATATCATCGAGATAGTGTATTTTCAAATCGGCCTCCAATATATCCAAGGGCGGTAAAAATGTTCGAAAATGAAAAGTCAACTCCAAACTCCTCGTGCAGCCTTTATTTTTCGTGTAGGAGCGGCAGCATGCATATGCAATCATCAAACAGTCGGTAGTAGCAACGCCCAGTTTCGAGAGGTATATCAACATGTAGCGTCGTTGAACGCAAATAATAAATCGTAACGTCTATGTCGTAGTCGTATATAATAGGAAAAAATTGTGTATCAGAAAATTGGGAGAAGATTTACTACTCCTCTTCGTCTACAACGCGCCTCCTCGAAAAGAAGAGAAGATGGTTCTGCATGGCGTAGATGATGAATCCGACAATAGCCAGGAGGACGAAGAGGAGGATGACGATGAGAGCGATGACGTCGTTTTGCTGCATTTTGCTTCTTTCTTCTCTTCTGCTTCGATACTGCGATAGATGTTAGTTCTGTGGTACAAGTGTAACTTTTGATGGAATGTTGACATACCTTTCGATAAGAGTGTTATCTTAGCTTATCGCACGGAATGTGGAGGCGGGCGGTTACCCAACTTTCAATGTCGAAGTCGAAGTTGAAACAGGTATGTATATATATACTGCAATGTTGCAATCAATTTTGTATGGATGATACTGAGATATGTAAGGAACAGAAATCAAATGATTATTAGAATCGAAGAAGAGATGTATATATTCTCTTTCTGAAGCCACAGCAACCCAGCCATTTCTTTCCTGAGGGAGAGGTTGGGTTGCCCGACCGCAATTCTCGATGCTTATTGGTTCTTAGCAGTGCGCTAGGATCTAAAAGGGATTAGTTTGCGGGAGCTAGGTGTCAGACCCACAGCGTGTCCAGCCTTCTCGATTCAGCCAATTACTTAGGGCTAGGGTTTGGGAGTTCCTGATTTATTCCTTGTTTTGGTTAAGGATACGCTAGAAATGTTTCTTTCCGAGTCATAGTGCAAAAATACATACTCTATACGTAGTATGAATCTGATAGTAGTATCAATACTGCCATCCTAGGTACACGACAAAAGATCACTCTTTGTCATCTCTCAAAGTAACAAACTACCAGACAAGACGATGGCAAAAGACCATTGTCTAGATCCAGGACAAGCTGAGACCTCAATAATGGCCGATCAATTTTGTCAATGAGATGGCCTGACTCAGACCGTGCTGCCCTGTCAGAGAATCTAGAATTGGTACCCTTTTAGGACTGATTGACTATACAAGGTACCTCAAGAATTGCTGTAGTGACTGTATCGTGGAGGTATGTAACAATGGGGATTGTTGCCCTACTCAGCTTTGTATTTGGTGACTCTTTGTGTACAGAGATAAAGCAAAAGTGAGGGATAATACATTTGTCGATGGGCAATAGAAAGGTTTTGTGACGTCTAGGCCCTGTATAAGAATTTGCCTTTCTCTGCTCATGCTGTTTCCACTGACAGGGCAATCAACCAGCCGGTCGGGCAACTAGTCAGACTCAAACTGACATCTCAGATACTCATTCCAGTTGACTTGTCCTGCACCTACTCTGTCAACCTCAAAGACGTCAAGACGTCAACATGCGACTCCTCTCACGTCTCGAAAAAGGCTCTCGCAAGCCCAATGACACTATATGGCCAATATCACCGTCATTATCTTCATCCTCACCCTTTACGTCCCAGTCATCCTCTACAGAGTCACCCACTTCACCCCCCTCCTCCCCTCCCTCGCCAATCTCTTACTTCGATCCCTTCGAAACACCCAAATGTCCCATGTCATGGACATGGACCTGCCACACCTGCAACCGCAACTGGCGCATAGGCACGACCAGTCGCTGCCTAAACTGCAGTCATCGCATGTGCATGCTCTCAGAGTCAACAAACTCACCATCAAGACGCAAAAAGTTCAATTCACCCACCGACTTATCACCAGACCAACCACTCCTATCCTCTCTACTATCTGCCGAAAAGCCTGATATCCGTCGCCCCATTCTTCCCCTCAAAGACGACGCAGGCCTAGATAGATATCGATACAACCAACAACTCAAACGCCACTTTCGCAGATCTCGAAATCGACAGGATCGCAGAAGGAAAGCGAAATATTGTCGCAGTCAGTTCGATTATGCGGGATGGGAGGAGTGGAATGAGTGGCGGAGAGACGTTAGGCAGTTCAGAAATGCGTTGAGAAGGGGGTATGATGACGGGGATGACACTGATGAGAGTGAGAGCACGCTTGCCGATGAAGAAGACGAGGCGGAGGAAGATGGCGCCGACGAGGATCGGGCGTACAAGCTGTTTCCTGCGACGGGCAGGTTGCATGTTGTCGCTTCTTCGGGTCCCGCTGCCGCTGCCGCGAGAAAAGAGCCATTGGAGTGGAATTGTTGGGATGATTGCGATTTTCCGGCTCATTGCATTCATGCGCGGAACGAAAGGATGCAGCGAGAGGCTTCACTTAATCGAGTATTTTTGTGACAAGCTCATTTCAGCATGTTCGGTTAGCACATTCAATTTGGAGTTTAATTTCGATTGGCGTTGCTGTCTATGCTTGACCTCTATGTCGACGACTCAACCTACATATATAGACATGAAAGGTGCTAGAAGAACATTAAGTTTTGATTATCCACTAGATGCATATAATACACTTACTCAACCAAGAATCTTCAACCCACCCCTGGTATAACCCTGTTTCTTCACACCATCTCCCTTCGGTTTCCCTCCACCCACCGTACCGTGCGGTTGATTCTTACCACTTCCTCCTCCTCCATATCCACCCTTCTTCCCCTTCTTGTCCCTCTTATCCTGCACAGGCCGAACCTCCGTCATCGCTCGCCGCAAAAGAACAGGATGCGAACCAATATATTTCCCCTGCATTTCTCGCGCAGCCTTGAAATAATCGTCTCCATCGCTGAAACTGACAAATCCATATCCTTTACTCTTCTCCGTCCGTTTGTCGCGAATAACGCGCGCCTTTTGAATCGATGGGTATCTGGCGAATGCCTTTTTCAATGAATCATCGGTGACCTCGCCTGCGAGGTTACCGACGAAAAGTCGGAAATGAGCCGGATCCCATTCTAGGAGGGTGGAATCTGTCCAAGTCTGACCGCCTCCTTGACGAACAACTGTTTTGGAATCCGGTTGAGTAGGGACAGGTGTATGTGAAGCGGTGCCGCTGTATGTAGGTGTGCCTGAGATTGTTGCGCTGGCGGTAGAATGTGTAGGGCGGCTTCTTAATTTTGCCTGGCCCGTAGCTGCTGAACCATCTTCGCTTGTATTCATGTATGCGCTTTGCCATTGCGCAATTTGAGCTTCCATCTCGGGGTCCACACCACCATCACGTCCCTGCCCGGGGATCGGGAATGGGTTGGCGATCTGAGGCACAGCAGAGGCGCCATATTGACCGTCACCGTATCCAGATTGCTGACCGTAGTATGGCTGTGCGCCTGCTTGATAAGACTGTTGCGGGTTCTGGTAAGTGGACGAATAGCCCGGTGCTGCTGGTTGTTGGTATGTCGTACTAGGTTGAGGCGCGGCGGAAACAGCAGGACTGCTTCGGTACGGTTGACTCGAAGCTACCGCGCGAGGCGCAAAGGCCGTGAAAGCAGCTGGTCTTGCGCCATGACTAGCTGTGGAAGCGGCACTAGTGCCAGGAGATGAATAGGAAGGCGCGGAGGAATAGGCTGGTTTGAATGACGACGGCGGACGCGGTGGGAGAGAAGAAGGTTGTTTAGGACCTGGAGGTGGTGGCAAGGACATGATGAACGACTCGTTCAATCAAAGCGTGTGCTTGTGCTAGGTGCTTGCAGCCTTGCAAGCTGATAGACAGTAACGTACCTTCAGACCAGAAGACGCACTATGATTTCGATGTCAGATGAAGTGGTCGCGTCGGCAGTATGATACGATGACGCGTTATGCTCTTGATCAGATCAGATATGAGAGAGTTTCAGTGATGAACGACGAGCAACTCTTAGATAGCAATTTCAAGATTGAGAATATTCCTTCCCTTATCCACGTTATCGCGAGTTCTGGCGAGGAAAGCCATAGAATAACGGAAAAAAGATTTTGCTGGCTGTAGAGGCGTTAGCGTCGGAGTCTTGGCATCAAGCTTGGCGCTGGCCAGGTCTGATGACTCAGCGTCGTGCTGATTGGTCATCATTTAGACATGATTTCAGCATGAATCACTTTCTCGTGTCTCGATGGTCTTTATTAGTAACTTATTACGATAACGGCTACGGAGTACACGGAGTACACTCTAGTTCCAATGTCGAGTTGATTAGCCGATACAGTCGGATAAATAGGCTACTAAAATCTGTATGGAGTATGTGGACTAAGGTACTCACCGGGACGGCGAGAAAGCCTGGGTGTCGCCCGTGCAGCGACTTAGTGTGGTGGTGATGTTAGTTAGTATTACTGTACGCAGTAGTCATCCTCCTCTACCCCTCCAAATCCGCGGCGGCAACGCTCTTTTTCCGGACCATTGTCTCCCGGCGAGATATCCGACTGTCGGCAATTGAAGAGTTGCTTTTGCGTTTTTTCTGGCTTTCTTCAAGTAATAATACAATTGTTCGCGGTGAAGGTATTGAGAGGTGTTTGAGACTGTTGATGTTCCAGTGGTGATACCATGTACGTCATGCGGGAGCCTGCCGTATTGTGTCGATACAACTTGCCATAAGGAAAATAGCAATTGCTTGGAGGCTTTGTCCTACGTAGTAAGTACGGTGTAATCAGTACAGCGCATCCCACTTATCTTACAGACTCCCACGCTTTGTATGGTGGAAATTGAAAACGGTCCCAGCGGAAATCAACTGCCCCGCCGTGGTGAGCGAAAAAACGGTCCCACCATCATACTAGTACATACTACGTACGTACAAGATGACGGCAATGAGATGCCTACGATTCCGCTTCCTCCGTGACTGACTCCGTCCAGCCCGGTCTCCGTGGAGGGGAGGATCTGAATAAACTCTCGAGCATTCTGTAAAGCAGCGGCGACCAACTAGCTTCACGGAATGTGGAGGAATGGGTTTAGCAGATTCGATGTGTAAGAGCAAGCTGTTAGCAGCCGTAGCCCAGAGAAACCAGCAAGCCTCAGATAGGACTCCTTCCTTCCCTGTTCTGTAACAGCCTCCCAGCTGATTAATATTACCTCCTACCTGCCCTTTTCACCCGATAACCTCTGACGCTCCGTTTTTCTCCCTTCTATTTTTCTCTCTCCCCTCACCATCCTCTCCAACCATCCATTCCTCTTTCCTCACATCACGATTACTCTGTGGATTAATTCTACAGCGTCATTCGATTACTCTCTTCTTCTCCTTATAAACAAACCTTGTTATATCTGTCGTCATGGCCGACCAAGCTGTGTAAGTAGCCCCTCCATTTCCGCCAGCTTCCCCGCCATCATTGATCAACCCGTTGTCCTCACTCAACAACATAAGAGGGCGGTTATATGCTACGATGTTTCCATCAAGCTTAGTCGCTGCCTATTTTAATTGTTCAAAATCGCATTGCGTTGCAATCAGCTCATCGTGAGATCTGATGACACGCTTGCATCTTTCCCCTCGCATCAAGTTCTATCTCGCAAATCTTCCCCTACATGATCAATTGACTGACCTCAGCGCGCGCCTCGCCGGCATTAATGTCGGCGCTCCGGCGCGGCCTGAACCTAGTGGTGATTTCGGCCTCATCGGTCTGGCCGTCATGGGTCAGAACCTGATCTTGAACGCTGCTGACCACGGTTTCACCGTTGTTGCTTACAACCGTACCGTTTCCAAGGTCGACCGCTTCCTTGCCAACGAGGCCAAGGGTATGTCAAATCCGACAAACAACGTTATTTTAGGAGCTAACGAGAGTAGGCAAGTCCGTCGTCGGTGCTCACTCCATCGAGGAATTCTGCTCCAAGTTGAAGAAGCCTCGTCGCGTTATGCTCCTTGTCATGGCCGGTAAGCCCGTCGATGACTTCATTGAGTCCATCCTCCCACACCTCGAAAAGGGAGATATTATCATCGACGGTGGTAACTCCCACTTCCCTGACTCCAACCGCCGCACCAAGTACCTCGCCTCCAAGGGTATCCGTTTCGTCGGTTCTGGTGTCTCTGGTGGTGAGGAGGGTGCTCGTTACGGACCCTCCCTCATGCCCGGTGGTAACGAAGAGGCCTGGCCTTACATCAAGGATGTCTTCCAGAGCATCGCCGCCAAGAGCGACGGCGAGGCTTGCTGTGACTGGGTCGGTGACGAAGGTGCCGGTCACTACGTCAAGATGGTTCACAACGGTATTGAGTATGGTGACATGCAATTGATTACCGAAGTGAGTTGTATCCTTTTACGTTTAGAAGGCTCATGACTAATGATATCGACAGGCATACGATATCCTCAAGCGCGGTGTTGGTCTTAGCCCCAACGAGATCGGCGAAGTTTTCGACAAGTGGAACAAGGGTGTCCTCGACTCCTTCCTGATTGAGATCACCCGTGATATTCTCAAGTACAACGATGAGGACGGCACAGCCCTCGTCGAGAAGATCCTCGACAAGGCCGGTCAGAAGGGTACCGGAAAGTGGACTGCCATCAACGCCCTCGACCTCGGCATGCCTGTCACTCTTATCGGTGAAGCTGTCTTCTCTCGCTGTCTTTCTGCTATTAAAGACGAGCGTGTCCGTGCCAGCAGCGTCCTCGGCGGCCCTACCCCCAAGTTTGAAGGTGACAAGCAGGCTTTCATTGACAACCTTGAGCAAGCTTTGTACGCTTCCAAGATTATCTCCTACGCCCAAGGTTTCATGCTTATCCAGAATGTACGTACTTTTATCATCTCTACCTTTGAGACAAGCTGACCGTAAAAGGCCGCCAAGGAATACGGCTGGAAGCTCAACAAGCCTTCCATTGCCCTCATGTGGCGTGGTGGCTGCATTATCCGCTCCGTTTTCTTGAAGGATATCACCAGCGCTTACCGCAAAAACCCCGACCTCGAGAACCTCTTGTTCGATGACTTCTTCAACAAGGCTATCCACAACGCTCAGGCTGGCTGGAGAGACGTTGTCAGCAAGGGTGCCCTCTGGGGTATTCCCACCCCTGCTTTCAGCACTGCCCTCAGCTTCTACGACGGCTACCGCACCAAGGAGCTCCCTGCCAACCTCCTCCAGGCCCAGCGTGACTACTTCGGTGCCCACACTTTCCGCATCAAGCCCGAGTTCGCCAGCTCCACCTACCCCGAGGGCAAGGATATCCACGTTAACTGGACTGGCCGTGGTGGTGACGTTTCTGCATCCACCTACATTGTTTAAGAAGTTGATTGCGCATGATTATAACGGGCTCCAGAAATGGGAGAAGGAACAAAAAAGACTGTCATTTCCCAGGTGGAAACCATATTTAGAAATTTTGAGAACGAACGTGTTTGCCGTGTATTTAGAGTGCTCATAGTGCGCACGTTCTTTACGAACGAACGATCCGTATAGTTAATGATTGATGTGTTCATATTCTGTCACAGTAAGAAGTTAAATGATGGCTTTTAGTTTCTGAGTTCAATATTGTCGTAGAGTGCGTGTATCATTTCGGCTTAGGTAGATCATTACCCAGCTAATCTAGATGAATATCTACGTTGATAAGTATGGACTTGGATAAGGACTAGATTTGTTCCCTTTCTTTTCTCCGAGAGAACATAGTGAGATCTTTTCGCTCGTATGTCGAAGCTTTGATGCCTTATGGCAGGAATCCTTCGATTGATGCACGCGTATTTCTATTACTAGTCGAATGGATGGAGGTTCTTTTTACTGCGCTGTAAAATGAAGAAATGTAGTAATATCGTTCAATAATCCGACATGTGATCCAGAGATGTCGTCGACATAGTCGATAATTAAATTATAATGTAAGCCTCCACTAAATCATGGACCAATGATCGGGCCGACATCGAACCGGGCACAATGACTCTCTCTCGCTTTCCTTCTTGCTGTTGCGCCAACGTCGCATGCTCTCCTCCTCCTCCATCACCACTAGAGGAGTTTGATCCCTCCTCCCTTTCTCTATATTCAGACGACTTGTGCCTTTTCTTTCGTTTTTGTTCTCTTGATTCATTTTCGCAGCTTCTGATTTAGCAAGTCTGTTCTAATTCCCTCAGTTCCCCTTTTGCTTCGTCGACGCAAATTCTTTGTTTTTAGTCGCTCCTTTCTCGACAGCATTTCTTTCTTACTTTGACGGGTCTTTCGCATCTGTACCGTTTTATTTGCCGGCACGACGAATAATACACTCGAGGTGTCTTGGTGCGTGGTAGTGGAAACGATCCGTCATTGCTTTTTGTGTCTTAGCCGACGAAGCACGTTGATTTGCTTTTGAGACATCGATCGAACGGACAGTGCTATATCCAGCAAAACGAGAGGCTATCTCCAAAAATCATAATTCATGGCTGATACGAAGCGCCAAAGTATGAACGCCAAAACTCAGCAAGCGACGGGCTCTGGTGCAGCCGCCCCGACGGACGAAGCATTAAGCAAAGCGATCGGTGCACGGTACGTACTCTGGAAGAAATTGAGGCTTGTGGACAACTCTAAGTGTTCAATTATAGCATTCGCGTCACAACAGCAGCTCCAAACACATCCACCATCGAAGGTACTCTTTTTACCGCCTGCCCTATAACGAACCTCGTTGCCATCAACACCTCCACTCAAACCTCGCCAAACCCTACCAGCCCGAACCAGTCTGGAGACTACCATATTATACCCGCATCTCGCATTCAATCCTTCCAAGTCATTTCTCCCGCACCAAGTGTCGTCGACGGAGCTCCTGCGCTTCAAGCTCTAGAGACCCGTGCTCTGAAAGCGCGAGAGGCCAGCGCCATAGCAAAGTTGCAAGAAGCTGAAGCTAGGCGCGGTAAGGGCGTGACACGGGAGGCACAGGATATCTTTGATGCTTTTAGCCGCACCATGCCTGCGCGATGGGATGGCACTAGCATCGTTGTTGCGGACGCCGTTGTTATCGCCAAACCTTATCGGGTGGATGATTGCCGGGCTCTGGTTGCGAATGATTCTGCTGCACTGAGTCGTGTGCGCAAAGTGGTTCGTACATGTGCATCGCTTGCTTCTTGTTGGCGTACTAATTCGTGTTACAGTTGGAAATGGAACGTAAGAAGATCGAACTCCGCAACGCAAGCGCCGCGATCGGGAGCACCAATCAATTCGCTCGACAGAGTAGAGACCGAGTTGCAGTACCCAGTCGCTTTGATAACTCGCCTGTTCCCACACCGAGGAAAGGTGGTTAGATAATATACATCGAATAGGGCTACACCACCGATGCTGGTCTAGCCCCTCGCTTCGAAAGCCAGTCGTGTCGAAGCTCTTACAGAAGTATAGCTGAGGATACATTTCTACCGCCGAGTGACACGAGCCATGATTGGGGGATGTCAAAAATCACACTTCACCTATGGATTCAAGGAAACGAGCGAACCGATGCAGTATACAGTGATTGTCTCATGGCAAATCGTGCTGTAATATGAGTTGGTTCTAGTCGTTGAACACTATGCTATAAGCTATGTGGTATCATCTATTTCACGAGAGATATTGAGCCGCTAGAGAAGAGAAAAGGAGAAAACAGAAGAGTCTTTTGATGAAGACCATCAATATATCTGGAGAGGCCATATGAGGAAAATGAGAATACAAATTAAACATTCAATCGCTTCCTGACGTAGAGCAACAAAACATAAAACCATTAAATATTACTCAAGTATGCCTAGCAAATTCTATATCAATCTAGTATCACATATTCATTCAATCTGTTCTTTTCTTTTTTTCTTTCTTACCAATTTTGTCTCCCCCAGATGAGGATCTAATGACGAACCTCAGGCAAATTCATCGCAGCACTGATACACGACAAATGACTAAACGCCTGCGGCACATTGCCCATTGCCTCGCCACTGATGGCCACTTCTTCGGAAAAGATTCCCAAGTGGTTCGCGAAGGAGAGCACGTTGTCGAAGCTGGCGATTGCTTTGCGTCGGATGTCGTCACCGTTGGGGAGGGTGTCGGTGTATTTTGATGCCTTTTTTTTTCCGTCGTTAGTAAGGTTTCTTAGGGTAGTAAGGGGAGGGATGGGGGGGCTACCCGGAACATGGACTCTATAGCCCAGAAGGTGATCATGATAAAGGCCCCTTCGCGGCCGCCGACGCCTATGCGCTAGGTCAGCAAGGGTCGTCGAGAAGAAAAGGAGGAGAGGGGAGGCATACCATCTTGAGCCTTCTCATGATCATATCTAAACACCATACTGGCACTCGTCAACCCCGACTTCTCGGGCGGTTCCAACACCTTAACCAGCGTACTCAAAAACCTCCGATCATTCGGCTCCACAAACAGCACCAACGGCGCAATCATGAGGGCCGCATCGACGACTTCAGTGTTCTCATAGCTCTGGCAGAAGAATCCCTTCTCCTCGTTGAAGCCCTTGTCCATAATTTCGTCGTACAAATCATCACGGACGCGGATCCATTGCTGCTTATCGGGACAGGGGAGTGTGGAATGCCTGTCTGCTAAACGCACGCCGCGATCGAGCGCAACCCAGAGGAGCATTTTGGAGTAGAGAAAGTGTTGCGGTTTACCGCGGACTTCCCAAATGGACATGTCCGGTTCATCGCGGACTTGGATCACGTAATTGATCATGCGACGAATGCCGAGCCATTGATCGTACTGGATTGGTTTGGCGTGGTTGCTGTACATGTAGATACTGTCCATGAGTTCACCGTAAATGTCCAGCTGTGTGTGGAAGGCTGCCGCGTTGCCGATACGGACGGGCTTGCTACCGCGATATCCGTCCATGTGGTTTAGTTCAAATTCTGGGATTTCAGAGTCTCCTCTGATTGTGAACATTATCGGCAAGAAGGGCCGGTTTGACTCCTTTGTATACTCCTTTTGGGTCAAGGGCGGGAAGACACGGTCGAAGATGAAGGTAATGTATGCTTCGGCTTCTTCGTCGTAGCCGTTCTTCAGAAATGCATACAGAGTGAAGGATGTGTCACGGACCCAGGAGTATCTGTAGTCCCAGTTACGAGAGCCGCCGATGTTTTCTGGTAGTGAGAATGTTGGCGCTGCTATAACGGCTCCCGTAGGTTTGTAGGTCAACAACTTCAGAATGAGGAGACTTCTCTCTACAGTCTCGCGATAGTGGCCGCGGAATGTGCACTTGTGGCTCCAGTCAGTCCAAAACTGGAAGGTCTCTGACTCAAGTCGTGAGAGGTAAGAGGCAAGCTGCGTAGGACCCGGTAGAGCTTTCTCAGGACTATGGAGGACAAAGATCATGGACTGTCCTTCCTGGATCTCCATATCAACGACAAGACCTTGACCCAAATGACCTGATCTATTCTCGAGGCGGTACGTAGCTCGGGGGGAACCTTGTCCCTCTCTTTTGTTGTCCACCCAGATGTCCAATTGAAGCCGTTCTTGGGGTGATTCAAAGTATACAGTCTGCGCATGCTTGTCTGCTTCCTCGGGCTGGAGGTTGCAGCGAACAGTGTGACCATCCTGGGCGTAATTGAATGCGGGGAACAATTCCGCCTTGACACCCATGGTACCTCGACTACATTCCACTCGACGGATGATCCCCGAATGCTTGGCACCAGTCTTCCAGCGGTTGCCGCCTGGCTCGGTGCAGGCACAGTATCCGGACAAGTGTCTGTCAGACTGGGGGGACTTGTGGTTGGAAACGGGGAAAAAGTCCGTCAGGTTGAGGACTCCCTGCTCATGGATCCATCGGGTTTCCAGGATATTTGTATAAGGGAGGTATCTCTGCTTACTCAGAGGCATCCCATCATGCGGGATATTGGCATGGATGCAGAAGTGACCGCCTTTATCTTTGTCTAGCAGCCGACAGAAGACTGATGGCGAGTCAAAGACGGGCCAACAGAGAAAGTCCATACTTCCCTCCTTGCTAACGAGAGCAGCCGTGTGCATATCCCCGATAATGCCATAATCTTCAATTGCCTTATATCCTGGGGCAGGCATGATGAGTATGTGGCTATGAAGATCTGACTGATCCGAAGAATATGGGTAGTATCGATTTCCGGCCTGCGAAACACCTTGAACTTAGAGAAGGATGTCGACAATACAACGGCTGGTGGGAGAAACCCGGGCAATTCTCAAGATATACTGTTCAGCGGAGGATACCAGAAGACCGGGAACTCCGGCCAACGACGAGAATATGGCATCATCATAGCAAAACAGCTCAGGGCGAGGAACAGAGTATAAGCATGTTCCCAAGTGGTTTTCCACTGATTMCTCCGCAGGCCGATAGCCAACAATGGCTGGTCTGATCTCTGTGAGTTCCGTTCAAGTGGACCAAGACACGGCTGTCATAGTCACGAGCATGCATTTCTATGGGACAAACACCCTATCAAGAAGCGTTCCAGGATGAATGATTGACTTTCAGGTCGGATGTCAATTCCACGTCGTTCATTTTGCCTGCCCTAATACAGCACAAACGGCAGGCGGTGAACAAAGCAATAACCCTAAGGCCAAAACTTCGAGGCCTCGAGGCCCCAAGGCATCAACCGAGTTCCAGCGCCAAGGTAATGAGCTAGTCCTCTTTGAGCTGTGCATGGCCCGCAGTCTCGCCCAATCAGCTTGCCGAGAGCCTTACTTGGCCGTCGCCGCCAAGCCCAATCCTACCTAAGGCCAAAGGGGCGTCCAGGATACCCCGGAGACATAACGAAGTGTTATTGTCCTGCTTTTCATCCACCACCTCACCCCCCGATTCCGCCTCAACCTGCCTCGATTGTAGGTGATTACCTTTCTGTTCAGTTGCATGGTGGGCAGCAGTCACTCCCTTGGAATATTTCTTTAACTATCTATCTCTCTCTCTTCATCTAAATACCCTCATGAGCGACCGCTTCTTTGTCTCCATAAATCTAGTTCCTATCTATTGACGGCCAGACTTCGGCGCATTTTTTTTGTGTGACACACGACTCAGCTTTCTGCAGCCGTGCAGTGAGGAGTACTGACTAACCTGTCAATTGATAATCGGCAAGTACAGGATTTTGGTATCGCGCCATCGTCGACAGCGGCAATCCTGCATTACACTTGACCGACCCCCCTATCGTCAGACGTCAGATGATTGACCGGAAACGTTGAAAATATACCTCCGCCAAACTATAAAACAAAATGGCGGTTGGTGCGTCAAGAAATATCACAGGCCATCATAGACGCCGGAGCTCTGTTCTGACGGCAGTGGGTTCGTCTCAGCTTCACCCAGTTTCGACAGACACCTACACAGACCGGGAAGGTCGTCTGAGTCCTAAAGAAGACGGACCCAATGGCGAGGAGCAGCAATCCCTGATTCATGATCATACTGATTCATCAGATCTATCCTCTATTGCAGAATCAGATGAAGATGACTCCGACGACGGAATTCACGATGACGAAGAAACCGGATTAACGGCAAAGCAGAGAAATGAACGGCGGCGACGGCGCAAGCGACAACGACGACGATTAGATGCGAAGATTGCGGGCGTCAAGGGCAAAACGAGCAATGTGGTTGCGGATAAAAATGTAGCGACGGCACTTGCGGTCAATGCAGGTCTAATAGGTTTATGGTATTTGTTTTCATTGTCAATTTCTATAGTAAGTACACAATGGCCGCGTGCAACACAGCTTGACTAATCATTCCACAGTATAATAAGTGGATGTTTTCAGAAGATGATGTCGTCTTTCCTTTCCCGCTTTTCACGACCAGTTTACATATGCTCGTCCAACTCCTGCTCGCCGCCCTCATACTCTACTTCGTGCCCTCGCTTCGTCCTAAACGACAGCCTAACTCCATCGAACCAATTATGACAAAATCCTTTTATCTCACCCGCTTAGTCCCTTGTGGCACTGCTACCTCCTTGGATATTGGACTGGGCAACATGTCCTTGAAATATATATCTCTTACATTTCTCACCATGTGCAAGTCGTCGGCACTTGCTTTCGTGCTCCTTTTTGCATTTGTCTTCCGATTGGAAACGCCGTCAGTCAAACTCATTTTTGTTATCGCTGCCATGACCCTTGGAGTCGTTATGATGGTCGCCGGAGAGACGGCTTTTGATGCTCGGGGCTTTGCTTTGGTCATTGCTTCTGCCTTCTTCTCGGGTTTCAGATGGGGTCTTACACAGATTCTTCTGCTTCGGCATCCGGCGACTTCAAATCCATTCTCGACGATGCTCTTTCTTACACCAGTGATGTTCATCGCATTGATTGCGATTGCGCTGGGCATTGAGGGACCAAACGAGATTATTGCAGGCATCAAAGCATTAGCAGAAGCACGTGGGCAGTTCTATGGGATTGTGTTACTGATATTTCCCGGAATTCTGGCATTCTGCATGATCGCCTCGGAGTTTGCCCTACTCAAACGTTCCTCTGTGGTGACTTTGAGTATATGCGGAATATTCAAGGAAGTCGTGACTATCAGTGCTGCGGGCGTCATCTTCCACGATAAGTTGACGCCAGTAAATGTATCTGGTCTATTCGTCACCATTGCCAGTATAGCAGCATACAACTACATGAAAATCAGCAAAATGAGGCGTGATGCACGACAAGAACTAGAGAAAAAAACGGAGGTCGAGGAGTACAGCGTCTCTCCCGACTTGGGAGACTCGAATGACGAACATATTGCAATGAGCCAAGCACCAAACCATGAAATCATCAACAATCCCCACACCGCTAGCAATTGGGATACCTATGAAGCAGATATCGACGACCAAACTGCCTCTAGCAGCGGCGAAGGCGACGAAAATGTAAACATTACACCACGAAATGACGTCCGACGTGGCCGTTTTTCATTTCCCGTACACGTCAGCGGAACATATACAGCACCTGGAGGAGTCGGACAGCTAGCCCAACAACAACCGCAATCTGTCCCTCATTCACCCATGAACATATCTGATCCTGCATAAAAATCCGCCGTCATGTTTGTTTTGCAATAACAAGCGTTTGTCGAGATACCAATTTTTCCTGTTCCCATCCATCATACTGGTGTTTTGATTTAAAATTACTTACCAACTGGTGTATGATGCAAACCTATACCCCCCGATATATGTATTACATTCTTAGATTCTGATCTACTCCGCGTGTGTCTCTCATTCCTGTGCATGGACATGCACGTTACGTTGCAATATGACAGATTTCCTTTCCTCTACTCCCGCTTCAGGTCAACGGAGTGTTTGCTGATATAAATATTTATGGTGGATGTATTCGATGTCTCTATTATTTTCTTTTCTTTTCTTGTCTTCGGAGGTTATAGAAGATTGACGATTGTATCTTATAGGTGTTGTTGGTCAGGCTTTTCTAGATATGGCTTCATGTTCAGTCGAGGTGTACGAGATGATTAAATTAACTAGATGGTACCTAGATTTGGATGATATCTTGCTTCAAAACATTGAATTCTTAATTCCCATTCATATTTGTAGGTTTTCATGAATGCATTGCAACCATTATATCCATGATGACTACTTCTTCTTGAATATACTATCTAAACTCTTCTGCCCTTTCTCGAGCTCCTTCTGCTTCTTCTTCGCCTCCGTCTCGAGTTTCCGCTCGTACTGCTCCTGATGTTTTTGTCTCTCTGCTCGTCCTTGCTCAGACAACTGAGTTTCCAAGGTACGAAACTCTGTGCTCTCGGGGTCCATACCTATCAAAGACTCGAGCAACTTGATCTCTCGGGCCCATACAGTTTTATCCTCAACGAGTTTGTTTTGTGAGGAAGGGGCTTTTCGCGCCTTTTTGGCCTTTTTGGGGGAGTCGATATCATGATCACTACCGCACGACTCGTCGTCTTCATCTTCTTCCTTTTTAGATTTGCTAGGTCCTTTGGCTTTTGTTGATGTGCTGGAAGGGGCAGGCCGGTCAATAGGAGTCTCGAGAATCATAGGAAGTCCCTGAAAGCGCTCCTCGTTCATGACGTTATGGAAAGCACGGAGACCTAGAAAGCCTGTACCGATATTTGCGTGAAGATCACGTTTGCTACCTTTCGGGGCCTTTGAGTCGTTAAGATGTAGTGCCCTCAGAAATTTCAATCCAATCTTTTCATCGAAATCCTGCAAAAACGACTTGAATCCGTTAGGAGTCACCAGGTCATAACCGAAGGAGAAACTGTGGCAAGTATCAATGCAAATTCCAATGCGTGAGTGGTACTTTTCCGGAATCTGTGAGATCACGGCTCCCAGCTCGGAAAGATCACCGCCTAAAGTCGTTCCGTGGCCGCACATCGTCTCTAAAACCGGGGTCACGGTTTCAGTTGCAGCCAATGCTTTCGTCAACGATTTGGCGAGTCGTGAAATAGCTGACTCCACCGTACTTTGGCCCGCTGCTCCTGGACTTTAAGTTGTTAACGTGGGTATGCACTACCTACTTGTAGAAATCTGAACATACTGAAAGTTATAGAGCCTGATACCGAGCTTTTCGCATCTTTTCAGATCATCTAGAAAAGAGTCATAGGCTTGACTCGCCTTTGCTTCGTCTTCTTGTGCTAAGTTTACAAGATAGGAGCCATGTGGTAGGACATATCTGACTGACGTTAGTAAAATTCGAGCGACAGTATAGGGGAAACCGACTTCGCTGCATCATAGTCATGATCAATGCAAAATTTCAAGAACTGCTGCTTATGTTCATCTTGCAAGGGTGGATTTTCCCATTTTCTCTGAGATTTCAAGAATAACGCAAAGGCGTTTCCTCTAATGAGCGTTGTCAGTTCTGACTCCGCTCAAAGACATGATTAAGGAAATGTATAGACATACCCGATATGTACACTGTTGAGGATGGAATTCTGTACCCCTGTTCTATGTTCAGCGCATTGAAACGATATTGGATAGAACTGACCAACCCTTGGCGGCGCTGACGTGAGCTCCTACAAACATCTGTAGGCCCTTTGTTCTAGCAGCGAGCGGGAGCATCTCTGCTTCTTTTTCGGCTTTTGTCTTCCGCTTTTTTGTAGACTTTGCGGCCGTTATGTCTTCTTCTTCCTCAATCTCAACTTTCTCCTTCACCTTTGTATCCGAACCGTGTGCTGTAGTAGACAATCTTTGCTTCTTGATATGAATCGACGATTTTATATCATCGCCTTCAAACGATTCCTCCTCCTTGAGGTCTATGGCTGCGACCGTCGAATTGCTGTTTGCGCTCACCTGCTTTACAGGTTTACTGGGTGTCTGACTTGCGGGTGAGGGGTCTGGCTTCGCTGCAAAACTATCGACGGTGGACTTTGTACGTTTTGGTCGTCTTGGTGACGATGTATTTTCGGGAGTCTCCTCCAACGCTCGTTTCCTATTATGTTGAGCGGCCGAGGCGAGGGCATCCGAAGTTGGACGCGAATTTCGTGTAGGCATTATGAGGCCCTTGAAAATCAAACAACGTGGGCATACTAGGGATGAGTGTGAGTAGGGTGATTCAAATGTTTCGTCTGGTACAATGCATTGATTGGATCAGTTGTCTAGGTAGAGCATTTCACAAAGACTCATCAGATGTGTAAGCTCATAAAGATTGGTATCAGGGCTGGGGGACTGAAATGATGCACGTGACCGTTACCGCGGCAACACTAGCGCGGGCTATGTGTCCTCCTTCCCTTTCCACCCAGGAAATAATTATTGTCCCGCCATCAACACGAGACTTCGACTATTCTCCTCAACACGATAATCGACTCGACACTAACAAACATAGACAGCAGAACGGACCAAAGAACTTCCGAACGGCACGGCTTTTAGGTTTATATTGGACTGCTGGAAATCGACTATTCTGGGAAAATCCGTGACTGACGACCGTCAACATGCCGGTCTCTGAAGACCTGATCAACTTCGACGTGATTGAGGCACAGAAGGAGAACGTTCAATCTCTTCCAGGTGGAAGATCCGCAAAGGCTCTGGCACAAATATTCTCATCTGGTAGTAACGGCGACAAATACAACACACCCTCACCGAATGACACCCGGACCCTAAATGACGCGATTCGACAAGAATACGAGGCTGAATTGCAAGCAAGCGCCGACTCCGATGATCCACTCGATGCATATGACAGATACGTGAAATGGGCCATAAATGCATACCCATCGGCACAGGCAACAGCAGAATCCGGGCTTCTGCCATTACTGGAACGAGCAACAAAGGCCTTTCTAAACTCAACACACTATAGAAATGACCCTCGATATCTCCGGTTATGGCTTCATTATATCAGATTGTTCTCAGACGCGCCGCGTGAGACGTTCTCCTTTTTGGCTCGCCACCATGTCGGGGAAGGCCTCGCCCTGTTCTACGAAGAATTCGCCAATTGGCTTGAGAGTGCGGGACGATGGGCTCAGGCGCAGGAAATCTACAAGCTTGGCATTGAGCGCGAAGCACGTCCCCAGGAGCGCTTACTACGCAGATATGGCGAATTTCAGACACGATTAGAACAACAGCCTCAAGGCAGCGATGGACCATCTTCCCCTGCTCTTCCGACTGTGCGGCCGGCCTTGGCGGCAAAAGTTGACCCATTCGCAACCGCGCGGGTTGCCGACCCTCAAGCACCTCAACCTAGAGCCTCCGGGGGTCGTGCAGCTACCAAGTCCAGCAAACAGAAGCTTGCTGTGTTTTCCGATTCGGATAATCCAGATTCTAACCAACCGCCAGTGAGCAGTTTGTCGAAAGGTTGGGATAGCATTGGGTCGATTCGAGACAGGCGCAAGGAAAACGAAATGGAAGCCAAACCTTGGGTTGGTGAGACATTGAAGCAGGAGAAGAAACCAGTACCGGTCCAGAAAATGGCTGTATTCAGAGATGAGGTGAGTCATGAGTAAATCTCTTTCCCTCTGGATTCCAAATATTTACGATCATAGGACTAATTGCTGGCATGACTTTGGTTTTTTGTCTTGTATGTATCCAGTCAAAATCAAATGTGCAAACTGAATCAAACACCCAACCATCACGGAACGAAACACCCCAACATCACGTAAGAGAGGCCATAAACCCTCGGACTGGTAGGAGAGAACGTGTTTTTGTCAATTTAGAAGCAGTCTACCCAGACTACAAAAAGCCCAACAATGAGGTTTGCTTCGAAGAGCTCCGAGCCGCCAGTCGAGGATGGCTACAGAAAGACTGGTCAACGCCGAAGAAACCACTCAAAGAGATTCATACTAACGCTGCTGGACGCTTGCCATCCGATTTGGAAGAAGGTACAGACCGATTGCTTGCCCAAGATGTGAAGCAAAAGCTTGTTCTTGGAGAATCTTCACAGGATGATCATCGAGATAGGAGGTTATCCAAAGTCAAAAAGATTAAAGTCAAGGAGGTTGGAGAAACACAGACTAGTAAGTTCTCATCAGTGGGATGTCTGGATGTCGTACGCTAACAGGAATAGTCAAAACCAATCTGGATTCTCCAACCGGACCAAGGATAAAGAAGAAGAACAACTCTGAGCCAACGATGACCTTCCATACTCGGGCCGCCACAGATGAAATTTATAGTATATTCAATCAGCCCTTGAAAACCGAAACTGAAAATGCAGACCATGGCGACAGCTTCTTGGATAGTGAATACGAGGACGACGATTACACAAGTGGCGGCGAAAGCACCGGCACCGGCAGGATATCGGCAGGKCAAAGCGAATTTGACGATGATGAGACAAGAGGAGTTGATGTTGATGAACCAATTGACGAAGGTAGTGAACATGAAGACGAATGGACGGAATTTACTGCCAGCAAACATATTCCCAATGTCTCTTCTGCGGAACACGGACTTGTCGAGAATGCGGATGACGAAGATTTTAAGACCAAGTACATTCCTGAAATACCAGACGACTACAATCCACCTCTTGGTCCATATCGGGATGCCGCAATGATGGCTCAAAACCGACTCCCTTTTATGACCCCCATTATCGAGAAGACAGAGTCTTCCTTACCCTCCTTTACGGCCGGAAGGAATCGGCACTACGAGACCAAAACGCCCTGCAAGACAGTTCCCGAGGTTGATTTTACTCCGTCCGGCTCACCAGTTGGAGATCTATTGCTTGCCACTCCGGATGCGGGTGCGTTGAACGCGAATGTCGGAGATGTTCAGTCACCTAGCCTCGGCGTGAAGACTTTACGACGAACTCCGGTCAAGCAAGTTGCGCCATTCGCAATCTCCAACGCTGACTGCATCATCAAGGATGCCCAATGTGATCCAAGTGACAGAGCAATCCGCAGCAAGATCCTCAAGATGATTGAGCCGCCTCTTACATCTTTCGCTGGCTACTATGATCATTCATCGAGCTTTGGAGCACATGCAGCAGACATCATGAAATACTCCAGATCCATGAAAAAACCGACAAAGGGTAGCGAGAGACTATCGTCCACTCCCCCAGTACTAAATTTTCCCGGCAGTGGCAGGACTTATGCAATCAGGCGCGAACTCGGTGCTGGCGCTTATGCTCCAGTTTATCTTGCTGAAAGCGGGGAAGACATTGACTCCTACCTTTCTGATAGCGATACGGAAGGGAATAACACTTCCTCTCTCAAACAAAAGCACGAGCAAAATCTTCAGCGGCGTAGTCTTGAAGCCATCAAACTTGAAACAGACCCTCCCAGCGCTTGGGAATTTTACATGATCAAGTTGACGCATGATCGTATACGTGCTTCCTCTTACTACTGTCGGGCATCAGAGAGCATTGTGAAAGCACATGAGCTCCATCTATTCAGGGACGAGTCGTTTTTGGTAGAGGACTATCAAGGACAAGGCACGCTCTTGGATCTGGTCAATATCATAAGGACAGAAGCTATCACTAACACTGGGAACTCAGAGGCTGGCATGGACGAAGCACTCGCTATGTTCTTCTCTGTGGAATTGTTCCGCACAGTCGAAGCGCTTCATGCCTGCGGTATACTGCATGGAGATATCAAACCCGACAATTGTCTAGTTCGATTTGAGGATAAGAAGAGCAGGTCGTCATTGCAATCGCCTCCAGCTGAATCTCTCCTTGACCTCGCAGATGAAGATTCCATAGCCGACCCCAGTGAAATCCACTACTCTGCTCGTGGACTCTGCGGCTGGCGAGAGAAGGGCCTCACTTTAATTGATTTCGGCCGAGGTATCGACATGAAAGCCTTCCGACCAGACGTTCAGTTCATAGCGGAGTGGGAGATGAGTCAACATGACTGCAATGAAGTACGCGAAATGCGACCTTGGACATATCAGATCGACTTGTACGGAGTTGCAGGCACGATTCACGCGATGCTTTTTGGTAAATACCTCGAATCTGTCCCCGTCAACAACGGACGTAATTCATCCGGTGGACGGGTTTCAATGGACGACGCAGATACCAGCGCCGATACCAACGCAGATGGAAACTCAGGAATGAAACGATACCGCATCCGTGAACCATTCAAGCGCTACTGGGACAGAGAAATTTGGAACGACGTATTCGACCTTTTGTTGAACCCGTGCACAGAGCGATGGGCATGCATGGAGCAAGAAGAATCGTCGGAATCCACAACATCACTACCAGTCCTGCGGTCCCTGAAACACGTTCGCGAGAGAATGGAAGCCTGGCTAGCCGTCAACGCAGAAAAGAAGAATCTTTCTCTGCAGATCCGAAAATTGGAAGCTCATCTATCCCGCCGACGCGAGCGATTAGAAAAGGAGCGATGAACAGCTTTCCGCCGTCCTCTCTCACCGAAGCAAAATCATGACTGTCATCATCGCAAATTACATTTCGGTCACATCACGCATTTTTTATTCTGCACTTTATTCTTCGCAATTTGCATTTTGATGCCTCTTTACAGTACATACCATACCCCGATATACCCCAATCTCACGCATGTCTACGACCTTTTCCTTGTTATTAGCTTCTTACTTCATAACGTTTTAATTCTATACAAATTCTCCTTAGTGCTCTACTTCATTCAATACTCTATCTACTGAGGACCAGTTGACAACTTAATATTCACACCCCTCACAAAGCGCGATTATTATTCCTCGTCTTACTTCAATGTTCTCTGTAACTACTTTACTCACGAAAGATGAAAGCATGAAAAATAATATAATTTTTTTCTCTAGAATTGAAACACAAGATAAGAATAGAATCGAGAAAAAAATTCAAGCATCAAATGAGAACAAAAAACCATGAACAGAAAATATCCATCACTTCATCATCATGAATCATCATCTATAATCTTTAGATGCAGAACGAGAAATAAAAAATATAAGAAAAGAAGAGAAGAAGAAGGAGAAGAAAGAACAAATGTTCATTCTGAATTGAATGATGTTTTGGTCGTCCTCAAAACTTTTTTTAGGCGGGGGGATCGTTTCATCATGAGTTCATTCATATCAATTGAGACTCAATGGGCCTCAGGTAAACGGGAAAATAATTGTTGAGAAATTTGATCAGTGACGCAGGACTGTACACTCAAGGTGGTTGAATGAATGAATGTGTTTCATATGTCGAAAAGTTTAGAGGAGGTTGAAACATTTGACGAGGATGAGAAAGGCGGAAAAGGAAAGAAAATTGTTAAAGATAGTGTGGTGTCGAAATGATCGAGGTATGTATGAGCGGAGAGGTTAAAGTGCGAGGTTTCTCCAATCGGCAGACCGTCCAAATCCTGGTGATATTTGCAATGGGGATTGGTGACCACCCAGAAAAAAACCTCATGCAATGATGGGCTGTAAGAAAAGAAAATTTGAATGAAAGTAGTTGACGTTGGCTGGTTTTGTCATGCGTCGCTCATAGCATGAAAGCGTCAAGTTTTTGCCAACATGTGTAGTGCAATGCGTCACGTTGATCAGGGCATAGCGAAAAGAAAATTGGCGTAGAAGTCAATAGGCAAAATAGTCATAGCCGACGTGAGTATCATAAGTGCTTCTAACAAAGGTTACCAAACGCTTGAAAACAGTGAGTCGATAGAAATGTTTGTAGAGGTGCTGTTCATCCGGACGAAAGTTTAAAAAGTTCCGGGTTAACGAATATTAGGGCAAGCATTTCGAAGATAAACCAAAAATCGCAAAAATCTTCGTGCTTCCATACGAACTCGTGTCACATGATCACGTCGTCAGTCGTTAAGTAAGTCGTACTTCGTTCTGTTGCATGTCCGAAGTCATAATGCATCTGAAAAAGCTGAAAATAAAAGAAAAAAATGCTATACATGGAAGAGAATCGAAGTAGTTGGCCAAACAGCCCGGTGCAGTCTCGAAAAATTGCGGTTACTGCGACAATGTTAATCTAATGACGCAAGGTACCAAAATGGGCTGACACATACCAGTGAGTTCTTGGTGTACGGCAAATTCAGGATTTGCCGTCGGATTCTCTCCGCATCAGTAAGTCCTTCCTCGGTAGGATCGTACGGAAGTCCACCTGCGGCCACTCGTGATTCTGTAGCAGCGACTTCACCCTGATGGTGAAGATGAACTTGTGACTTGATAGAGGAGTTCATGAACGGGTCAGACAGGGACGGGGCATGTCTAGGAGATCTGGGATGAAAACGTGGGGTGGATTCGGGTTGGAATGGTGAACCCAGACGGCGAATGGTCTCGGCGCGAGGGCGGAGGAACTCCTGAGGGACTTCTGATGAGCTGGCTTCGTTGCCAGGAAAAGTAAAAGGGGATGTCGGTGAAAAGAGTTGTTCAATGCGTTCCTTGGAGCTGAAGCCACCACTAGTTGTATTGCCACGATTGCGAAGTCGGACACGGCGCTGGCCGTCTTTTAATTTTCCGTCCCGAGCCAGGTCCCGAATTCCACGCTGAATGTCACCTGGATTGGGACTCGATTCTAATCGATGGTGTGCTCGACGTTTGTGAACGCTTGATGGCAGGTCCATGCGAGGGGGCGACCTCAATCGTGATCCAGCTACATGAATGGTATCTCGTCGTAGCCCGCGAGTAGCTGCGCCATGAGATTCGCGCCGCGAGGTTTCAGGKCCCCATGTGTTATACATGAAAGGCGAACCAAGACGGGGGAATGGTTCCTGAACAGAAGAAACATGGCTGAGAATAGAGGCTGGAGTATTGGAAACTTGCTGGGGTGACTGCATAATATCAACCGAGGGGGCCGGCTGGGCAACCGGAAGCGCCAGCTGGACAGCGGGTGTTTCGATGGCACCAAGGTTTGCAAAATCAGTTGGTAAAGAGCTCGAGACAAGAGACACGCCGAGATCCCGAGTCATGAAAGTAGTTGATGAACTGTGGTCAAATGTTGGGCCAACTGGTCTTCGGGGAGGTGCTGTGAAGACATCAAGGAATGGTGAAGGACTACGAGACTGCAGCAAGCGTTGATAATGAGGAGCAATCGAAAGTTTCCGTTTGCAGAGAAATTTGAGTCGTCGTCGTGTAGCTGCTTCGGATCTTGGCCAACAAGGCAAAGCCGGCTTCTTGGCAGTGGGCGTACAACTTCCACTCCTGTTTTCAGCAGGGGTGGTTGACTGTTCATTGTCGCCTGTTATGGACGTTGGAACGATGTCAACGGTTTCCTTCTCCTTTCTTGACTTTAGCCGGGCCCAAGTCTTCTTTGCTTCTCGTGCAACCCGATGTGAGACCCCGAGAGGCGGAAGGCTTCCGGGAAGAGTTTTGAATGGGGTTGTTGTAGGATCCTGTAGATACATCTGATAAGTATTCCACAGATGGTTGTCCATATCTGCATTCCACCGTGTCTTTCTTTTGGGTAGGTCAAGTGAATTGCCGCGATTTGGGTTGCTGCTGGGAGGTGTCTCAAGAACATATTTGTTCGTATCAGTAAGCTGAAAGCTGAACGGGTCGTATATCTCACTCTCAGGGCTTGTGCAACTGCCACCAAGAGAAGGCTGCGTAGTGTATGTCTCGATGGAAGAAACAGACGAGTCGGAAGCCCTAGAGCTTGGCCTCTCAATGGGATCATCTTGAACATCCTCCGTAGGATCGGGTGTAGCACGGGGGAAATTGAAAGGCTCTGTACGGATCTGCGCTGGAGGTGTCTTGAAATCCATACGTCTTAATGCTGGCACTTGTAAAAATTCGGACGAAACCGACTCATAAGTTGTGATATCGGGTTCAGACATCGTATCTGATACTGGGAATTCGATAGAAGGCACGGGAACATCCGGACGACTGAGGTCGAAAATGTTGGGTTCGCCAGACATGGTTGAGAATATGCTAGCATGACTGTCGAATCGTGGCCGTCTAATGCGATAACTTGAATGTCGAGGAGGAGGGGGGATCTGCGGTTCGACGCGAGGGTGTTCTGGAGTTCTGGGGAAGGATGATTCGATCGAAGAGAACGTGAAGCTCTTTGGAAGAGTTCGAGATAAGCCCTGACGCTCTTGCGCCATGGCTGCGACAATGGTGTATTTGTCGAGAGAGATTGGTTTCTAGGGCCAAAGTCCAAGTTGTGACCCTCCAATACGCTCGTTGTTCACTCGATTAATTCAACGCTGGTCAATGCAACATAGCTTGTCGATTGTCCTTTGATGCCGTCCAGTGTTCACCAAAATACTATGCCGTATGGTTATTATTTGGGCCCCTATTCTGTTTTTCCAGTGTTGTAAAGCCAATTGCGACTGGTAGAGTGCAGTTCCAATTGCCAGCTAGTCCGTTCCGGCGATCGAGGTTCCTTTACTCCCGACACAAGGAGTTTCTAAGCGCAGAGGGAAAAAGGAAATCGTAAAATAAAAAAAAAGAAATAAAAGAGAATGATGTTATCGCGAAGGAGATGTGACAGTATTGGAATGGAATATCAGTCGTCGTCGTGGGGGACAGTACTATCGATAGGCAGTGGTGAAGTTGAGTTTCCCAGCCTCCCCGGATCGCATGCGCTTATCGATTACCAAATGATCCACGCGAACACGATAACGTTGACAAGACAGTCTAAAAACTGGCAATCCACCAACACACAAACACACAAAAGAAATGAGATGCTGACCGTCGGGGGGAGGGAAGGGGGAAGGGGTAGGGGAAGGGGAGACGACGTTGTTGATGGGGTGAAATGGAAGAAGAGAGGAAACAAGAGAGAGAGTTGAGGCCGGTCGCTGGCAGGACGGGAAGGAATCGACTCTCGGGGGAGGAAAGCGCGGCCGGACAGGGGAAAAGTGGAAGGAACTAACGGACGAGGGAGCGACTGTGCTTCTTCCCTTTCTCAACTTTGCAGTGTCCACTGTCCAGGCGGGCGAGGCGCCAAGGGCAGCAGCACCAGGCCCACTCACCGCCCGAGTCTCTGCTATTTCCTCGTAGTACTAGTAAAACTATTAGTAGTCCTTAGTGCTGGGCTAACTACTCCCTGTCTAGCGAGCCCGCCAACTGGCCTATTTTACGACTGTTCGCGCTGCTAACTCACTGTTGTGCGGTGGAGCCACCAGGATCGTGTCCAATGCTATCTGGACATGAAAACTACATACGTACAGAACGCACACGTCTACGCGCAGTCAGGTTGACTGCTTGCCAACTTGTATACCTACTCTATACTCCGTACAATTACCGCCAGAGTGGGGATACCAACCAGACGTTTACCACAACGATGAAAAAAGAAAAGACAAGACAAGATACGACGCTAGTAAGGCGAAGTCTGAAAAAGACATCCAGATCGTCTGGCAATCCGCCGGTAGCGCCAAAGCGGTGCTATCGATGTGCAGTGTACTGTACGCACTACGTACGGTGGCACAGTACATACTGCACAATGCAGATTGCATGTCGAATGAGCATCGCTCATCCCACAGCAGCAGTAATTTCGCGAACCGGAGTGCCTGGTGTCGGCACAACGGTCATGCCTAAGGCCCTAAGACCTAGCCTGCGAACGCTGGTGACAGCAAGCTAGCGCAATTGATAGCAGAAGTTTGGTCGAAGTCTAATCCTCATCGCTGGTACGTCCTACGTACGTACTCTCTTTGAACTAAGGTCCTACACCGTCTCTCTGGAGTCTACTCCGTACGGAGCACAACGTAAGGACACACTCGGGCTTAGGGCTTGTCTAGTCATGCTGCACTCTGTACTCCGTGCTTAAAATTCCGCATACGCCATCGAATCACAAATGTGTGCATTCCCAACAGGTAAGAGCATCATGTATGACTGTGCGTATGGCATTTGCGATAATCATGAAAATTGAGGGGGCTGGGAAGCCCTGAATTTCGAGTGATCCGCTTGGACTTTGAACTATGGAGTCATGGCTGTTAGATTACAAGCCCAACGAATCATGTACCCTTGGATGGATCCTTGTGTCTTGTATCTTGCCATACCAGCTTTACCAAGATAGTACCACCGTGCCGCGTGAAGTGACGGCGAGATTGCCTGAAATTAATATCAGGTGATGTTAAGTCACAAGAGAAAAAAGTGGGGTGCTACGCACTGTATGCAACGGGTCACCTAATCGGCGCGCTGCAATTCTCGTCTTGGATTCTTGATTGTCGGATGCGGTATCTACCAAGGTACCGACCATTAACTGATCTGGGTACCAGCGATTGAGGTAGATGTGATCCATGAGCACGAAGTGGCCCTCGAATGGCCATGTTCTGAATATTTTTGATGTTGGGCTAGCTGGATATTTGATGCGCCGTTGACACGCGGTCGAGGCGCTCCACCTCAATGAGACAACTCATATTCGCGATAAACAAAGAGACCTGACTCTATTCTCGTTATCCTTCATTTCAACTTAACAGTGTGAAGCCGAATCTTAATGGCAATTCTATTAAGATAACGTCTTCGGCACGGGCCGTAAGACAAAAAGTTGATAGGAAGAGACAAGAGTCCAGAGAGCGGAAGTTGCAAAACGCCGAAAAAGGAAAGAGCGCGTGTTTTGCAGGGATACGCGCTCATGACCCCGCAAACGCGTCCGCGCGCGCGTCAATGTAATATTTCTGTACTGATAACCGCGTCTACGTATTTTATTATGGCCTAGCCCTAAGTCTAACTACGTAGTGTCCCACTACACAGTTACTCCGTGCTAATGCATAGACTCCTAAAAAGTTCCAGTAAGGTTCAAAGTGAAGCGAAAAATTAATACCTTGCGTGTAAAGTTGAAACAGGAGGGAAATTGAGCCGTTGTGGTCGCGTTTTGAGCCTATCAGGAATTAGGCTCCTACGTTGTGGATCGGTTCATTGGGATAACTGGGACGATGGTTCGATCAGCGATGTACTCCGGACTCTCGACACACGTCCTATCGCTACGTATCAAGAAAAGGCAGCGGACAAGATTTATTATCACTCTGTGTCTGTAGGCCTGTATTTCGTGAACTTTATGTTGCGATGGGGAGACCAGACTGTCATCCGAGAGCAGCAGCGGCGTGATGTGATGTCAATTCAACCCTTGGATTTACCCAATCTCGACTCTCAGAGTGTCCCAGAGGCCAAGTTTGATCTCTCTTCGAAGTCGAGTACTAAACCCCCACATATTTCACAGTGGACCGCATGCTGTACATGTACAGTATATGCAGTTTGATATCTCGGGCGTATACACCAACCCTTACCTAACAAGAGCAAGTACGTATGTAGATACAAAACAGACGCTATCGATACGTCGACACCCGAGACTTACTGATTCGTGAATTATGTATCTGCAACATGAAAGCACCAGCTGTATCGCTCCACTCCGCCCCGCATCAGAGTTTCCTGGTTGGAGATACTACGCAGGACGTGAAGGAAAGAGGCGATGTTTAGCATACTTAGGGAGATTCGAGCCTCCGAAGGCATCGAAGATTAAGTCAAGGAAAACCTTATTTCGGGCAATGCGGAGTTTGAGTTTGTAGACAGGAATGCTGACTGAATCATGCGGAAGAGCCGATGACAACTTTAGGTATCTAGCTCTAGATGACAGCTATTGTAGAATGTATTCCTCATTCTTGAAGCACTTGTCCACTAGACGCAGTAGAGCCAGACATGATTGTCACCATTAACAAATCGTCATCCATTGCCATGCTGTCGCTGAGTCTCTCTATGCATAGGATGACAGTACCACGTAAGGCCCGTATTTATGTACTTGTATACTGTTGGTAAAAACTTAAACCTCCGCTCCGCATTGGCTGAAGCTCACGAAAATCATCACACAGAAACAAGCAAATATATTGGGGCTGCATGCTGCAGTGCGGTGCATTTCCTCTTGTTGGGCCAATAGGATTTATGGGCGTGTTCCTATTTTTCTGATTTGCGGAAAGTGAGATGTGCTAGTTGGGATTCTTGGGAATACTTTGGGGAGTCGGTGTTCGGTCGGGATTCTGGGATGCGCGTACTGTCAAGCAGGATTCTGGACGGCGCGCAGATATGTGCATGTTTAGTCAGGTAGGTATATATTTCATGTCTTGTTTAAAATGATTGAATTCAAGTATCCAGTCAGAAGTCGAGTCATTTGAGGATGGTGAACTGTCACGTGCTCAACAGTGCCCAGATCCAGTGATCGGAGGACGTCATCCAATCAAAACACATGCTTCTGAGACCCACAGTAGAACAGCCAGTAAAATCCATCGAATTTGACTGGTTTCGTCAGTGCTTATTGGTGTCAATTATATCAGTACACTAACAATCTCCATCTTTGCTCATCTCTATTTCAATACAGCAACGCTCAACCTTGTATATAGAAAAAGAAAGCTGTCATTCAGTTTTACTCATTGCGTTATTTGCGTCTCCCTTTGACCGCTACATCCAATAATTTTTACCTGAGTGATCACCATGGGAGACGTCGGAATCGTGGTGGACCCCGCAATCGATCCAACATCACCTCCAACATCGCAAGAAATAAACGTCCTCGTGACGGGTTTCGGAGTACGTATACCCCAAAAAAAACTCGCACTCCTTGCCTTTGATTATGTCCTTGCATATATTTTTCTGTCTCATGTTTGTTGTCGAATCATTGTTCGAAGTTCACTAATCCGTCTCAATGTACAGCCATTCAGAAGCTTTGACGTCAATGCCTCGTTCCTGATAGCTCAGTCTCTCCCATCATCATTTACCCTACCACCAAAAGAAAATGAAACAATCAGCGGAACGGCAATCCCATCTCCGCGACAAGTACGCATACATGTCCACCCGGAGCCCATCAAAGTCTCCTACGCCACCATCCGCGCGCAACTACCCGTCATCCTAGATGACTACTCTCGCCAACACAACGGCATCCGGCCCGATTTGATTGTGCATATGGGCATTGCCTCTACGCGACACTATTATTCCGTAGAGACGCAGGCACATCGCGATAATTATCGAATACCGGATGTAGATGGACGGACGGGGTACCAGGATGGCGAGAAGATATGGAGAGGGAAAGGGTATCCGCCTATTCTGATGCCTGGTCCTGCCGATGGATCTGATGGTGGCGTCCGTGATGAGGATGTTCGAACATCAGGATTGAAACTGGTCCCGTACCCAGCCAACGAGCATTTTTTGCAAGTTTGGAAATCACTGGCGCCAGCGGATACGGACCTGCGTACTTCTAATGATGCGGGTCATTATGCGTGCGACTTCATATTCTACACGAGTCTTGCGCAGGCTCTCGAGGAAGGCCGCGATCGATCGATAGTGTTTTATCACGTGCCCGTCACCACGGATCCGGCGAGTATAGAGTTGGGGACCAAGGTCGCCGTTGCTTTGATCAAGTCTATGATTAAGTGTTGGGTGGATGGTGAATAATCGACCGTTTGGGGATTCTTTTCAGATGTGTCTCAGTTCCATAGCTTCGAAGCATGTTTTAGCCTATTTGTGGATATGTATGTGAGACCATATTATATATACGACTGGCCTGAGTATCTGTATATATTATAGTTTTGATCGATTTATCAATTGACTGTAAATATCTGTATGTTCAATGTCTTTCTTTGCTACCTATGTACCAAGTGGAAATGATACCTGTCTAGGACATACTTACAATCAAAGCATTAAAGCCAGGTCAACATAAAAGCCTACAAAATACCGGATGCATCATTACTCACAGAATATTAAAACTGATTTCTCCCTGCACAACCACAGAAACATTTCTCCTAAGGAAAAGCTCTCGCTGCTACTGTTTACATACTAGCAAAATCGGCCTATGATTGGCCAATGGACTCCGCGGCGACAGCGGATGTCAGCTTGGTGGGCCCGGCTCTTATAAATCATCCTTCGCAATTTCATTTTGTTCGTATTTCGTTCTCTCCTTCAGATTACTGATTCTTGTGCTGTGCTAGGAGCGGCAGCTTGACCAATGAGTCATTGCTGATAGACTGCTTGTCAAACTTGTGGAACATAGCTCTGCCCGTCTGGATATACATCATTGGTCATCACTCGGCCCTGCAGTTGACATCGGCAATAGACAGCATCAACAACAGATATAGAACAGCCACTTTCCAGTTGATTGTCACAGCAATTCAAGATTCGACATGGATCTCGAAAATATATCCATCCGGGGCCTAACGCTCCCTTCACTCACAATCCTTTGCGCCGCCGCCGTGGTCATCGCATCATGGATCCTAGCAACTTTTGCGCCGACACAACTGCGCAAACTTCAATCAACCTCCACTCTCAGTCGATTGTTCAAAGGTCAATTTCTGGGTGAGAGAAAAGTATATGATATTATTGAATTGCGAGTATACCCCGTCAAATCATGCCGTGGCATCAGTCTCCGCAAAACAAAAATGCAAATGCACGGCCTAGACCTGGACCGACAATGGATGTTCGTCGACGCCAAAACTCACGACTTTGTGACCATCCGTCAAAACCCGCGCATGACTCTCATCAACACCGCCATCAGCGAAGATGGAAAACAATTAATCCTCAGTGTGGGCGATGAGCAAATCCGCATAGACGCTTACCCAAGTCGTGAATGGTTAGCGCAAAACCTCACCCTCATCCCCGTCAAAATCTGGTCCGACAATACAGACGGATACATGTACGGCGCCGACGTCAATTCAACCTTTTCCCGCTTCTTGGGTCAGGAGGTGCGACTCGTCTACAAAGGGCCGACGGATCGCATACTCGACACGAATGCAAAACCTGAGCTCTTGGGTCGGCATCAATCAACGTATTTCCCGGATCAGATGCCGCTGCTCATTGCTTCGGATGCGTCGATTACGGAACTCAATTCCAGATTGACGCAAAAGGGGGAGAAGGCGATTACGATTGAGCGATTTAGGCCGAATATTATCATTAAGGGGAATCGGGCTTGGTCGGAGGATTCGTGGCTTACTGTGCAGATCACGTCTTCTTCTCAATCTTCAACGCCGAGTGAGGCTGCAGCAGCGAAGCGAGAGGCAAAGCCAATAGTCATTGATGTCGTTGCTCGCTGTGCGCGCTGCCAAGTTCCCAACGTCGAACCTACGACTGCCGAAAAACACAAGCGCGAGCCGTGGAATACGCTCATGTCTTATCGTAGAGTTGATGAGGGCTCCAAATATAAGCCGTGTTTTGGGATGCATAGTGTTCCACGGAGTGAAGGCGAGATTGAGGTTGGAATGCAGTTGGAGGTGTTGATGGAGACGGATAAACATAAGATTCTTCATTAATTCTCTTTGTCGGGTTTGTCGAAGCATCAATGGAAGACAGGATGTTTATATTTCTTATTTTACTGCGATCCCTAGTCCCTTGAAATTAGATTATCATGTAACATATGTATTGACATCTATAACGCCCATCTACTACTCAACAATATACATATGTACCTGGTAATTGAACGAACGAACAACCTAATTCTTCATACTCTTTCCCGCATTCACACACCAATTATTCCAATCCGTAAAGAATCCCGGCTGCACATGACACTTATTACTCAACATCTGCGCCTTTCTCGTCTCTGCATAGATATCCACAATTTGTGAAATGTTTTGCTTGTCCTGTGCTACGAGCACCTTGACGAGGAAGATACTTGTTTGACTGGCCGAGGAAGAGTGTGCTGCTGGCCCAGAGATCATTGCTTCCTTGTGGACGGCGCGGAGGAGGTCCCAGACCGACTCAATTGTGTCTTCTTCCTCCTCCGCGTCGCTGTCTGCGCCGTTCGGGGTCAACGAGGGAATTGCGTTCCCCTTGCAAAGCCGAGTATATTCACGCAAAACCTCATTCGCCCTCTGCGAAATCTGCTTTACAGTCGACTTCCGTGTCAACCTTAACAACGGCAAAATCAAATCCAATGCCAGAACGCTCGTATGACACTTCTTCACATAGATCTCGAGCAAATCCAAAACACGGTTTTTGAAGTTGGTCATAGTCTCCTTTGCGTCTTGTTTGTCCTTCTTTTTAGTGGTTGCTTGTTGGCGTGCTTTGAAGACCTTGACGAGCATTTCGTCCACGGCTTCCATTTCGTCGTCGTTCATGTCTGCGTCGGAGTCTTCGTCGTCATCACCAGGGTGGTGGGTGCCGAGGGCTTCGGCGAGTTTGGCGTCGAAGGCGGCGAGTTCTTCTTCGTCTTCTTCATCATCGTCCTCGTCATCATCGTCCTCATCATCGTCACTGTCGTCTTCGTCGGCATCATCAACGTCAATGACTTCTACGTCGGAATCAAGACTATCTGCGTCTTCCATCTCTTCGTCTCCGTCTTCATCGTCATCCTGTTGATCAAACATTTCCTGCTGACCAGCCAAGTTCTCCTTGACCTCGACCACCGAAATCAGGGATTGCAACCCATCAGCAGTAATCTGATCCGCAAAAACGCCAAAGACCTGCTCGCTCATACGACGGAACAGCTTCGAAGGCTTGGACGCAAAGCTCAACAAGATTTCCACCAAAGCGTTGGATGCGTCGGATCTATCCTCTTTCTTTGATTTCTTGTCGCTCCAGAACTTAGAGTAGCAGAATGCGAGTTCGTCAAGCATAGAGACGGCGTCTGCGTCACCGTTGTAGACTTGCAGGATAGTAAGGGAATAGACAAGGCGGAAAGCTTGGATGCTGGCGTCTTTGGCTTTGTCATCTTGCTTGACCTAAAGATCGTAAGTATCATATTGTAAAGAATGTGAGAAAATGAGGTGCTTACCTTGCTCGAAAGCTTCTTGAGAGACTTGAAAGCCGCATCAACAGACTCGGCAATGGTTCCATCGATCTCAATAATGAACTTGCCGTATTCTTCAGACTTTTGAAGGTCGCGAATCTGTCGAACAACAGTGTATGCGACTTCGGCCGGATCTTTGATGTTGCTGATCAGACTGTTCAGACAGCTGTTGATCCTGTTGCGGAACAATTCTTGAGAAGCTAAAGAGATTGCTGGATTGGCATCTCCTTGCTCGCCTCCAAAGTAGGCATAGCGGACCAGAATCGACAGAATGTACTGCAAGACAGGTGTGAACTCTTCGCCCGCGGAGCTCCGAGTTCGGACAACCGATACGAACAAATCTGCGAGATATTGACGACTTGACGCAGCCGCCTTAGCTTCCTCAACGCCCGGAGTGGCAATCAAACGCTCCAAACGTTCAATGATCATCTGTAGGGACTCTGCATCGGCTTCGAGAACAATCTTCTCGACAGTCTTCGTTTTTGTGATTTGATCAAATTGCAACGACCCAGAGAGAAGACCTTTCACTGCGATTGCAGCAAAAGGCGGTTCTTTTGATACGCGCTTCTGGATTGTCTTCGCGGCTTTGACTGCCATTCGATGAAGGTATCTATCTTCAACGGCGAGTTGGTTCATAAGACATCTAACCACGTTCTTGGTGAAGACAGCTTCTGCACGGTGGAGAGTGCCTTCGTCGATGATTTTCATCAAGAGCAAAAAGCCCCAGTATTTTCTTTCGTCGGAGGAAGCAGCAGCAAACAAACCGTCTGTAAAGAATTTGTTAGTAGGTGCTATGTTCATGTTCGTGAAGACATACCGTCAACAACCTCTGTCCAGAACTCCTCAAACGTAATACGAGACGATTCTTTGCCCTTCTTGTCCTTCTTCTCCTTCTTGCCCTCAGGCTTAGAGTCTGCAAGTTTACTCAGAACAGCATCCCAGGCAAAATTCAACCTCGAATTCCAAACACCCAACGCAGCTGACTGATCCTCCGCCTCGGACACCTGCTTCATGATCTTTGCAAGGGTGCGTCTATCACGGCGGTCGAGTGGATCATTGTTATATTTCCAAACATCTGACGGCAGCTTCGCATCAGGAAACGAGTCCTGAACCAAGAGCCACATGGCCACCCCCTCTGGCGATTTCACAAACCCGTTTGAGCTAATGATTTCAATCATTTTCTCACAGTATTTGACGTCAGCTTTTTGAGTTGCTAGTTCGTGAAGTGCTCGATAGAGAACCCAGCCGGACTCTTCTCGTAGCCAGGGCTTGGCGTTGCCGATGTCGATGATTATACCTACGACGGTGTTCCACTCTTCGATGGAAACACCAGGCTGGAACAGGATGTGAGATTTTATAATGGCTTCGGCTCCGAAAAGTCTACCAAGATAGTAATCCTTTCGTTCCTGAGCGACTAATTAGTGATCTTACACACACGCACGAACTATGAAGAAAAGAAACATACTTGACCAGGCTCACCGCCAGAGGGATCCGTCACAGACGAAAAAATCTTGATTGCCTCAGAAACGTTCACATCTACTAAATCAGCAGATTGCTTAGACGCAAACACCTGCGCAAGCACCTCTGTCAAGGCAATCGAGAACCCAATACGAGCCGCTTTGCGACCACTGCAAAGACCACGGAAAAGCCTCTGAAGCGCCTTTCGCACCTGATCCTCAGTGGGCTTGCTCTCTGGCGTGAAGCGCGAGACTAGCTCATGTGCAGCTTTTAATCGGACCTCATCTTTTTCATTGGCGAGGTCTTCGTAGATCTCGACTTGTTTCACGTCGATGTTGAAGGTTTCGCGACGGCGTTTTCTGGAATAATTTTCTGTCGACATATCCAGAACCTCTTTCAAGACGCCGAGAGATCGAATAGGACCTCTTGTGTCTACGTTGAAAAGTGATTCAATATGATTGATTGTTTTGTTGCGGAGACGAGAAGATGAGAAATTTTGAAATTTTTAAGCTCCGCGGCAACAGCTAGCGAATCGGGTTTAGCGCCTCTCCTTATCGACATTGATTAGGGTCAAATAGGGTTATTCAGAATTGCGTCTATTAATTGAACAATCTTACTGTCATCATCTCTATACAATCTATCTAGTCTATCTCATATAAGGTACATCTCGGTCAATCTGAACCTGCACATAAGTTGCTCTTCTGGGCAATCTTAACGGCTAGCGTCGCCATTGGCACGCTGGCTAGGATCTCTAATAGCGCCATATTTGTCCTGAGTTCTCTTGTGATCCAGTTCCTCACCTCGAGCGCCACAAGCGAGTCCACGCCATAACGGTGTAAAGGCCGGCTAGAATCGACCTCAGACACAGGAATTTGTAGCATGTCTGCAACTCTTTGTGTTAGAGCCTCTAGGACAATGACACCAGCTTCCTCCGGGGTGTGGACTTCCGCGAGGCGAGAAGCGAGCGAAGCTGCCGTGTCATGCTCGCCGGTAGACGTGTGGGCGGCAACGCTCGTCACAGCCAAAGGCCCCATGCGCGGATCGGCAAAGTAGGACGGCAAAGGCTTGCTGTGAGCATTAATGAGGTCGGCCGAGCCAAGGCCAGAGCACACCTGAGCCGGGTAGGTGTCGTCGCGTTGGCGAATAATGAGGCTCTTCATGAGGGCGTGAAAGGCTGACTCGCGAATACCAATAATTTCCTCCCACTGGGATAGGTTATTGTCTATGCCAGTAGCAGTAGCTTCAGCGAGGGAGCCGACGTCGCGCATAATGCCCAGGTTAATGGATGTAGCTTTGAGCCCTTGCATGCGCCGGTGGTACGCCAATGCATCCTGAAATGTGTTTCCAGCAGCATACTGCGCCTGACCGGCGTTACCACACACGCCAGACACAGACGAACAGGCAATGAAGAAGTCGAGGGGTCGCGACTGATCGAAGAATTTGTGCAGGTTCCATGTGCCTTGCACCTTGGGCTGCAGAGGCGCCTTCCAGTCGGCGTAGGACATGTTTTCTATGACTCCGTCCCGCAGCACCATGGCCATTTGGACGACTCCTCGGATAGGTGGCAGCTCGTTCGAGCATTGCTTCATGGCCGCGAGGAATGACGTCTCATCAGAAACGTCAGCACGATAGGCCTTGACTTGAGCACCGCATCCTGAAAGTTCTTCGATAACAAAACGAGCCTGAGTACTTGTAGCGCCTGATCGAGATAGGAACGCAATATTATGAGCACCACAAGCTACAAACTCGCGCGCAAGACTTCTCCCCAGTCCGCCTAACCCGCCAACAATCAAATAGGTAGCGTCGGGGTCGAGCTTGAGGGCATCCCTGGCGCGTCGATACACCTTGGTGGAGGCGCCTTCGGGATACGATAGAACTAGCTTGCCACGATGCTTGCCGCGCTGCATGGTACGGAAAGCCGTCTCGATCTGACTGACAGGGTACGCTGTCAATGGACTAGGCGCGTAGAGAACACCCTTCTGGACCAGAGCAAAAGTTTCTTGAAGAATTTGACCGGCAATGTCCTTGTCTTCGAAGAGTTTGGTCAAATTAATAAAGGCAAAGGTGGTGCATTTCATGAAAGGACGCATGTCAAGGCGCATATTCTGGGTGATATCACGGAGGCCAATCTCCACGAAGGTGCCGAACGGGGCGACGCACTCCCACGACATGCGTAGTAGTTCCCCTGACAACGAGTTCAGCACGCAATCAACGCCCCGACCGTTCGTCACGCGCTTGACAGCCTTGACGAAACTGGCGTCGCGAGAGTTGAAGATGGACTCTGATGGTACACCATACTTTTCCATGACTAGTGCGCGCTTGTCCTCGCTCCCAACCGTCACATAGGCTACGAGGCCGAGGTACTTGGCCAGTTGCAACGCCGCTTGACCTACTCCGCCAGCTGCTGCATGGATCAGGATTGTCTGGTTCGGGCGGAGTTTGGCAACGTTGACGAGAGCGTGGTACGCGGTTGCATGTACCGTTGGCATCACAGCTGCCTCCTCAAAGGATACAGAGTCAGGTATTTTCACAGCTAGGCGATGATCGCTCCGGAGTCTTGTTGCGTGCATTCCCTCTCCGGATACAACGACCCGGTCCCCAATTTGAAAACGTTCGACGGCCTTGCTGCCTGTGGCGACGACAATGCCGCTAGCTTCATGACCAATGAGTGACACCTCGACTAGGCCCATGGACGCCATGACATCTTTGAAACTAAATGCACTGTTAGCGCTCTTGTGAAGAAGAATATGTTGGAGACTTAAACGAACTTTATGCCTGTTGCCTTGACATCTACTTCAATTTCCATCTCTCCAAGCTCAGCATCAAAACGATCGTCATGGATGAAAGACAGTGAATCGAGCAAGCCAGGTTTTCCAATCGTGAGTCGGAGTGCCTCTGGTGTTACTTCATTTTTCAAGGGCCGTACTTGAATTGAATCTTCAAGGCAGTAGCGCATCGCCTCGTTGCCAGTGACGCTTTTGAAGAAGCGACTTGTCTGTAGCAGACCTCCGAGCTCACGGAACTCATCATCTGTGGTACTCGAGGTCGATAGTTTTGATACAAGAGACGGTCCATGTTGCAGTAACGTTTCCAGGCTGCTGAGATGTAGAACTTGAAACTTGAGGCTTGCGTACTCGTTCCTTGCCGTTCGTGAGAAGCCGTCCACAACAGCCATGGACGGATTGTGGCTACCATTGACCCAAAGCAGGTGTTCACAGTCGTGTAGTAGCTTTTTGATCTTTTCAAAGTCGGGCTCAGAGAGCTCGTTGAGTAGTGGTGTCTCTAATTCCACGAGAGAGATGTAAGTCTTTCCCTTGGCTTCGTCGGCGCATTGGATGGTTAGCTCCGTCCACGCAGTGGCTACTGACTTGTGACCTTCCTCTTCGAAAGCGTTTTTCAGAGCGTTAGAGAAAGATCTGACCAATATGGAAGGACAAAACGGCTCAATGATGACAAAGTCACGTTTCCTTAGCGACGTGCCATTCACACCGTTGACATGCTCGGGTCGCTGCTTGTACAGTACGGCCCTTTCAACACCAAAAACGCGATAGAATCCCTTTGATTCTAGTGCAAGTGAGGCTACACTGTCGTGCGTTGAGATAACATGTGCMCCCGGTTTGCAAAGTCCAGCTRGGSGAGCCATGATTTCTTCCAAGTCATCGTGGGTTCTCAGTGACTGGGGAATGACCAGTACATCTGCCATTGCGATATCGGTTGGCAACGGTCCATTAGTATTACCTAGTGAGAATGATTCCCCGGATACGGATAGATCATTCAAATTTGCCTCAATTCCTGGAGGTATCGCGTACCTTACCCTGCTTTGCAAAATGGTACCCGTAGGTAGTCGTGGAACAGTGGCATGCGAAAGATTCCCGTCACCATCATCCAAGATGAGCTCTATGACGGTTGCCGTAGGGTCATTGTGTATGATCAGATGAAGAAGCTGAGGCAATGGTTAGCAACCTATAATATAGATGATTCTACTCCATGCATTGTCCAACTTTTTATAGGATGAATTGTGAAGGAAGATATGGTTTAAACATACCTCGGCAGCTTGATCGTCTCGAGGCACTCTAGAGATGACATTGACAAGCTCTTCAGGCTTGATGAGATCGAGTGCATAGTTCCAACGCACCTCAGAGGTGATATCGGCAGGATCGGGCTCAGTGTTGTCATTGCCCTGCTTATCATCATTGTCTAATTCAGTAAGTCGAAGATCACCAATGTATAAGAAAGTCCTGGTGACCGCATCGTTGAACGAGACAATATTAGAAGAGATTGCGTTAAAGCCAAGTTTCTTGGATACGCAAGAGGTAGGCAGGACGTGTCCGGTGTCGCTAGGAATATCTAGCGCTATCTCAAGCTCGCCAATGTACGTAGGTAGCAGCGGTTTGTCTTGCTGAAGGCACCTGTCCCTGTAGGTGCCACCTAGTGCTCCGTGGATGATGGCGTCGAGCGCAGGTCCGTGAATCAGGAATGGGCGTTCTAATCCACGGCTGTATGTCTCACCAAGGTCGACAAGCTTGACGTCGTACACAGTCTGACCGTCACCAAGGTGGATCTTTTCGACGCCCTGGAAGAAGGGACCATAATTCCACGAAACCCTAGCACACTGGGCGTAAAAGTCCTCCTTGGATAGTGTGTCGGGACACTCTTTGAGTATGCGGTGGAAATCAAAAATTCGGGCGGCCTCGAGTTCAGCATTCTCCTGGACCATCTGTAGGCTTGTTGACTCCTTGTAGTCCAGAGTGATAAGGCCGCGGCAGTTATCGCGTAGCTGATCTACACCCACACTTGACGATATTGTGAACTCCCACCAAGTGGCCGACGTCGAGCCTGATGTCGCTACAAGATGAGGCCGCAGCGTTGTAATAACCTCCGTCCCTAACTCCTCAGGCAAAGCCATGCTAGCAACAAAAGAGACCTCGCGCAACCGTAGTGCGCGTAGTACCTTTCCAGACTCGGCCAGCTGCTGCGCCGCCTCAAAAGCCATGCTGATCATGCCTGCTGCCGGCAGCAGGACAGTGTTGCCGATCTGATGGTCACGGATCCAGGGTTCCTCACTAAGCTGAATGAAGTTGCGCCAGACATGCTGAGTCTCATCCATCATGGCATTCTGCGTGCCGAGAAGGCTCTTTCTGGGGAAATGCCGTGTCATGAGCTCCCGCTGGATGCGCGTCTCGTGGCGAAAGGCCTTCGAGTGATTCCATTGGTACGGCGGCAGATCATTCAGCAGATGGGCAACTAGATCGCCATTAACTTGATCGATCTTAAGCGGGACGCCGGCCACGAATAGCTTAGAGGCGAGCTGTAGGCTCGTCCTGAGCGCATCCTTGCCTCGCATGAGCACTGACTCGTAGCTGACTTCCTTAATGCCGTAGTGGTCCATTATCTGCTCAAGCGGTCCGCCAAGAGCACCGTGAGGACCGACCTCAATCAACAGGTCGACTGTATTACCGTCTTCCTCATCTGGCGAAATAAGCTCCTTGACAGCATCTAAGAAGAGCACGGGAGAAACGAGGTTGCGCACCCAATAATATGGCCCGACCTGCTCGGGACTGATTTCAAATCCTGTTACACTCGAGATCATCGTACCTTGGCCTTCGAATTCCGGCAGGGGCTCAATATAGGCAATGCTTGAATGGTAAAAGTCCATAGCCTTGTGCATGTGTGTGCTATGATAGGCTGTCTCAACTTTAAGTTGTCGTGCAAAGATTTTCCGCTCCTCTAGCACGGCCTGTAGCTGCTTCAGTGATTCGACTTGTCCGGAAAGCGTCACGCTCGATGGTGAGTTGACGCAGGCAACTGTAGCTTTGCCGTTACGGTTGAGCTTGGATTCAGCAATCAAGACATCAGCCTCCTCACGCGAGCAACCTGCAGCCATCATGCCGAGCTTGAGTTTTAGCTCGTCAGTGTGCTGCTTCATCACAGCTATACCTCTGAAGTAGGCGGCGGCGATAGCGTCCCGGTGACTTAAGGCGCCAATGCTATAAGCTGCAGCAATTTCGCCACTCGAATGGCCGACTACCCTGCTTGGCTTTATGCCCCATGCCCGTAGTTCGTCAACTAAGGCGATTTGTAGCACAGTGCATATGGGTTGACTGATATCGGGTTGACTAAGGCGGGAGCCATCTTTCTGGTTCCTGAGAAGCTCATCGATGGGGTCCCATGTGCAGCCCATGGACCTGAGGAACTGATTAGAATTGTTAATCGATGCCCTGAAAACAGGGCGGTCCAGCATCTCGACGCCCATTCGTGCCCACTGGGCGCCTTGGCCTGTGAACACAAAACCGATACGCTTTGTGATGGCACTCGAGCTATTGACCCGGGAAGCACCTTCATCTGAATGGCTTTCGAGGTATTCGAGAAGGTCCGGTGTGCTGTCTGCAATGTAATAAGTCCTCCACGAGAGCTTTGATCTTGCACCAGAGAGTGTGTATGCCAAGTTCGCTAGGAATTCGGGTCTCGATGCTCCCGGTCCAAGGCGTGTTAGGTGCTCGATCAGGGCGTTAGCATTGCGCTTGAACCCAGCCTGGTCGTGGCTGCTGAATGTGAATAGCCGGGGCCCATTATGAGGTTTGGCTACAGTAAGACTTCTGTCATGCTTCTGTGCAGTGCCGTTCGCTAAGGCTGCTGTATTAAAGGCTTCTAGCACTACGTGGCCATTCGTCCCGCCCATACCGAAGCCGTTGATGCTCACACGTCTTGTATGAGCCGTTGGCCACGGAGTAAGTTGAGTAGGCACGGCAATATTCCACTCGTCAAAGGGTATGGCTGGGTTCGGGTTGTGGAAATGAATATTTGGCGGAATCTGTCGGTTTTCTAGCGCTAGAATGCTCTTTATTATGGATGCTACGCCGGCGGCGGGTTCGAGATGGCCTATCTGTGTTGTATTTGGTCAGCGTTGTTTGTACTGAATCCATTACGAGAGGATGCTACATTTGGTTTCAAACTTCCCACCCACAACTTTCCTTTTCTGGTGCCATTCATCCCAATAGTGGAATAAATCGCCTCAGCCTCGATTGGATCCCCAGCCTTTGTTCCGGTACCGTGCGCTTCAACATATTGAGTGGAGCTGAAATCTAGCCCATTGGTCTCATAAACGCGCTTAATGAGGGCTGCCTGGGCCTCGAAAGACGGCATTGTCACTGCAAAAAGCATACTGTCATCAGATGGTGTCTGAATTAAATACATGGGACACGTACCGCCTTGCGTGTAGCCATCCGAGTTTGCGCCTGTGGCTCSTATGACGGCTCGTATATTGTCGCCGTCTGCCAGTGCCTTATCGAGCCGCTTTAGTATTATGATTCCACAGCCCTCGCCGCGACCGTAACCACCTGCACTCTCGTCAAAAGCTCTGGACTGTCCAGCCGGATTGAGAAATGACAGATTCGCCAGATGCTACATCGAGTCCATGTTAGAATTTCTCTGACATGATTTCCCGATCTGAACATAAGCAACGCTATTGGTGAAGGAACGAGATAGAGATTCACAAATAAGAGATTGGCATTGAAAAGAGGCTAGAAATTTGACTGGTAATTCCAAGAGTCGGAAGGCAATTAAGAAAATTGGAAGGATTGGATACTTACTGTGGTATAATCAGGAGTGAGCATGAGTCCAACGCCGCCAGTGATAGCCATGTCCGATTCACCCGATTTGATGCTTTGAACGGACATGTGAGTGGCTACAAGGCTCGACGAGCACGCAGTCGTCATCGTGGCGCTTGGACCGTGGATGTTGAGGAAGTGTGAGATTCGATTCGAAATCATCTCCTCACCAGTGCCGAGAAGGTGGTACTTAGGCGTCTGCATAAAATCACGAATCAGGGCATCTCTGTAATCGCTCACTGTGGACCCAATATAACAGGTCGTTTGGGTACCCCAGACGTCCTGGAGGCTAATATTGGCGTTTTCAAGTGCCTCATATGTAACCTCCATAGCGATCCGCTGTTTGGGGTCCAAGGCAATGGCCTCTGCAGCTGTAATATTAAAGAAAGCAGCATCATACAGGTACGGGTCTTCTGAAAGGAAATGCCCACCCTTAGTAGGGAGGACATTGATGCGAGATTTGTTGGGGTGGTAGAAAGCGTCCGAGTTCCATCTGCTTGACATTGGAGAGTAGGCATCTGATTTGAACAATTAGCGCGTTCTGGCCATGTATATCACTAGACCATGGATGATTTGTTGCTTACTTAGGCCTTCCTTCAACAAATCCCAGAACTTTGATGGGCTACTGGCGTCGCCAGGAAAACGGCACGCCAGCCCTATAACCGCGATGGGTATGTCATTAGCCATTTGTGCACAGGGCTGTTTGACAATGCGTCATGTTCAATGTGCTACAGATGACAGAGAGCCCAATATTATGTCCCTACATCGCGCGGGTGTAAGCAATGCCTTCTCATCTTCTGACATCTATGTAACAGCGTCAGGTCCATTCTCGCGAGGTTCCCGAGCAGCAATCGGGCAAACGGCCCAAGTCGGCATTGTTAGGATAAGCGGTGGGTATTGGGTACTCGGAGACATTTTGTGTCTATCCGTATCTAAAGCAATTTTGTCTGAGAATCGTTTACGATTTCCCGAAAAGCGTGCACCAAACCATGCACGGTAGGCCTAAGTAAGGTTGGCGTAATTACCTTACAATAACTCTGTTTAGAGTCCTGATAACGACCGCTAAATATTTCGACTTGTAATTTACATTCAGATTTATCCCTAGTCGAAAAGGACGAAGCAAACAACGAATCTAGAGCTTGGCTCGGTTACTCTACAAACTAATTTCGTTGATCGCCCATGCCAGCTATGAAGACAGTCGACCTTATCAGCGCACCTCTAGATGCCTAACCTCATCTCTTTTGTAGTGTACTTAGCGGCACGTGTAGGGTTTGAATGTTAGAAGCCCTGATAGCCCGTTCGGATCAGTTGCTCAGCCTAAAACAAGATATAAGATCATTTTTTGAACACTTAAAACAAGTCTCACGTTGTAGCCTAACTTGAAGCACACCGTAATGCCTAGGTATGCAATGGATGTCCTTGAGGGTGAGAGCAGGTCGTTGCTATGCATTAGAACCAGGACCAGGCAATGTTTTTTGAAGATTCAAAAACATGATGACGCTTTAAGCATCGGGGCATCTTTCCAGCATCATGCAGACTCGCTAGAAGTTGGTTCGCTAGCGGCAGTATATCATGTCATCTCCCCATCCACCCGCGATGTTATGCACATTGGGGGCCACTACTTAAATTCCGGCAGTATTTACTTTTCCTGTTTGCCAAATACGCAGCTGTAAGTCTGTGCAATGCGTGCTAGCTGAAATTCATTAACATCCTCACCGACTAAGGCGGTAGAATTACGAATTTTCATTTGCCGCAAAGATACGTATATGTATGTAGATACTGAAAAGTAAGGCCTCGTTGGAATTTATCTAAATACTAGTCAATTACAAGCCGCCAGGCCCCCTTCTTAGTAGTAATTGTCTACTTGGCAGCTGGACTCCATACCGCCCCCAGCTAAGTGAAAAGTTAGCCAATTGGATGCATGAAGATAGCTTCCATGTGGCATGCGCCCTATTTAAGGTCCGGGGGAAGACCAGGATGGGTTGGAATACGAGATTCAGAAAAATGACTGCCTGGTTAGTAACGTGGCCCGGACAAGGGGTTGGTAATTTATGCAATTGTTGCTGTGCGTTGTCGCGGCCGGCAAGTTGTCAGGGGATAGAGCTCGTACATGCATGGGGCTTTTCCTTAAGGAGTAATAGTAGGTCCCAAAATCATCTTTAGCGGCATGTAGAATTTCAATCCCCTGGACAGGATGTTGTTAAGCCTCAACTGATCCTAGTGGATTTCTATCGCTGCGCCAGTACGATACAATCAACATTAAGCACACTGTCGCAGTCCTTTGGAGGGGTAGACAGCTTTGAGACTCATAAGAGAGAAGTCCAAGATTTTGGCAATGTAAATTTGGAGTGATTCATACAGTCTATTTGCCGGAATATCTACATCTACTATGAAGATATCTCGTCGTCATAAAAAAAGATCAAGAGAGTGCCCCTGAAACAATGGACAACAAAACGCCGTCAATCTCGAACTCCCGTCACAAAGTAATGTGCTAAGTGAGCGCTGGGTCTATTATCTCGTCTCCTGGAGCGCTTGATAAAAGCCCCCCAACGACTTTAGCCTTCCTTTCCAGGCATAGTAGCGTGTAATCACAAGACATCGAGAATGCCATGTGCCGTGATTGACAATAAGGTCCGGTTCGCGTGTCATGTAGATCACGAAGACATAATGTCAGCTGCCGTAGCAGTTTCTTCACCTTGCGAAACGATAGCAGGTACAAGCGTCGGCGGAGATCAAGCTCATCGTCATCCTCTAGCTCGAGCACTCCCCATGAGAGCCGAGGTTCTAGCAAGCTCCGCAGGGACGTACCAGCGGCAGTGACGACACTTTTAGCAGATGTAAACTCGTCCGAGCATGAAGAATCATTACTTTCTCTCTCTGTGTGTCCAAAAACCGTTATTTCCCCCGCCAACGTTGTGCGTTGCGAGTTCTCGCGGGCGAGCATCTCAAACTCGTCAATGACATAGCCAATCAGTGTGGCGATAGTCATTACATGTACAGGCTCCGCAGCCTCACGACTATGCGTGCATCCCATCGAAGATTCGCATGCCACCATACATCGCTTCAACCTAGCGAGCTGCGCGTCGAGCGATAGTTGTCGGTGGTCCTCGTCGCCGCAGATTATTGACACTAGTATCTCTGTGATGCCCTCGTAGCAGTTGCATTCGCCGCCACTTGGTGACGATTTTTCTGTGTTTGAATTGGTCGGCATTATTTGCGGTGCCTCAAACATGGTCACGTCGGTGTTGTTGGTATTATTACCCCCAAAGAGGGAGTCCATAACCCAGGAATTAGCATACTGAGCGCTTGGTCTTAGGAAGCCCGTGGCGGAAGTAATGAGAGGATCGATTAGGCTGTTCAAGTCTGCTAGCTGTTCCGGATGTACAGACGCTGCTGGAGCCTGCGACGTCGTTGTGATAATATCATTCTGTTCTTGGGATGATATCATAAAGTGAAGTTCGGCAGAGGACATGTAATCGTCAAGCAGGGCTGCATCGTGCGTGCCAGCTGAACGGTTGCCAGACATCGCACGCCTCTTGGCTACGATATCACCAGCTGTCTTCGTTGACCACGATCCGTGCCTTTGAATATCACTCCTGGTATCGGAATTGGAATTGGACGAAGACCGCGAGGGTCGCTGCGACGGCGTCATTGAGATGCGCGGGGCATCCTTGTGTGTACGCCGCGAAAGACCATATATGCATTCGAATCCATTACGCTCACACCGAGCACAAGTCGGTTTGTCCTGACTACACCGTACTTTGGACTCGTTGCATGCGTTGCACGACGCTCGTAATCGGATTGTTTTTCCTGACATTGCCACTGATGAACTTGATTGTTGCGAAGACACTTCTCACCTAGCGTATAGAGTTTGGATAGATTACGGAGACCTGTGGCATGCTTTGAAGCTGCACTCGACATGTGCTAGTTGCGGTCAACCCCTCAGTGATCATTATCTCATTCTACCGGCGATCGCGCCGTACTAGAAGGTCGGTCATGACTCCATTCTCGACGGGAGGTATGTGTCAATCATACACCAAACATCTGTGAGATATGTAAATTATGATTTAATACAGCAGTATTAAAAGCGTATAATTGTTGCACTCTGATCGCCTAATGTACCCTTGCACCAGCGCTAGGCCAGCGCGATACGAGCACATACCCATATGTAGACCAATCGTGGCACGTTTCCAAGGTACTGTGGTTTGGAGAATAGGCATCGCCAACTCCACCTTTAGAACATAGAAAGTCTAGGGCATACGCTAATTACAGCTGAAGGCGTATTTGGTAGCGCTGCATATAACCTTAAAGAGACCTATAGTAGGTCCCTTTATAGAGAAGTATGCTGAGAACCACGCACTCTAGACTGTACAGGGAATTAGGCCCTTGGATAGAACGGTGCGTATATGCAAGCTTTAGCAGTACTTATCAACTCTAATATCGTTTATACGCCGGGGCTCGCCGTAAAATGTCGTATAAATCACACATTATCGTTTAAAAGGATAATAAAGGCATAGATAATACACTACAAGCTCATACCAGAGATCCGGAACAGCTAAGAGCAGAAGAAAAGCAAGAACTTCTTCATCTATAACTTCAAACCCATTAGAGAAAGTAGAAGCACGCTCCAGATGGCATTGAGATCTCTACAGTCTGGTAACACCTAAGTACCTAGATTCAGAAGGGCTCCGAATGCACTGCCAAATGAGGAAGGAAATATCAATCTTGTTAGATGCGCTAATTTCTCCCAGCGAACAACTAAGAGATTCTAACATGCTTAAAAATGCATACTAGTAAAGGCGTTAGCAAGACATTTTGGAGGGGTAGCAGTTCGATTAAAAGGGTCGACTAACGCCATCAACCTCAAATACTCTGTTTACTGGTGGAGCTATAACTGCCATGGTTATTGAAGAACTCTACGTATAAGGGAAAGCTCCCGGAGTTACTTTTAAAAGGGGAATCTTTACACCGGAAAATACGCTACCTAGTGGGTACGGACTGTCCAGCAGACTTAGATCCTGAGAGCTCTTAACCTTGTGTAGGGGAACAACCTTGATACTTATGTATATTCATTCGCCTCTAACCCCATCAAGGATATCTAAACGAGTTCTACTGCTCTAGAAGAAAGTCTCTAGAGATAATTATTGGTGACTCTCCATAGCTAATTAGTTATAGATTGAATACGTACCAGTACTAAAGAGAATGGGGGCGGTTATGTGCTGAAACAAATGAAATTCAAGAAATTATTTGGGCTAACGACCCAGGTTAATTTGAGTAACCAATGCGGTGAACAACGAAACATCGAAAACGGATACTTCGGGGGCAGCCACTGTATCTACTACGGAGTAGTCATCAAGATAAAGTAGTGAACTAGGCTAACAGCTGCGCTAACCATGTGTCAGATGGGATCTAGATCACCTGGTGGCCATAACAGAACAGTTAACACGGGAAGGGGTTCCTAGGCGCCAGCTGTACCGGCACGTCAAGGCAGCCAAATACGTGTCGATGTATATTCTGTATTTTAATACGGATACAGAATGTCTTAAATACTACGTACCATGTACCTTCGTATTAAGTCGCACTAGAGCTTCGTCCACGCCCTAGTTGGATGCCTTAAAGCCTCCGCTAACGATTCCCGGCGCAGGAACGATTAGGGCTAGCTAGGGGCCAAAACGCCTGGACCCGCGGGCCGCTTCGCCGAAAGCTGGAGCTAATGCAGTGCTCCTTCGATGCTGCCGCAGAGAAACGATGTTTAGTGTAGATTGATCCCGAAGAATCTTCAGTTCGACTTAGTTGCATGACAATGAGTGGGGAAATCAGAATCGCCGAAATTTCGATTCTTATCACGAAAACTGTATATATGAAAAGAAGTAGAGCGAGGGCGCGTTTTCAGCAGCAAGTTGTGATCACGATCTACTTTACTATTACTGGGAAACAGTTACGGTAGCATCTAGCCTAGTAGAGACATGGACATTATCATCGTCGGCGCCGGAATTGCTGGCCTCGGAGCAGGGATTAGTTTGCGTAGAGCAGGCCATAATATAACAGTTAGTATCCTTCTGACTTGGTCGAAAGTATCATCTGAATGGTACAGATACTCGAGCAATCATCTCTGCTACACGAAGTAGGCGCAGCTATCACGATAAAGCCGAATGCCACGCGGGTCCTTCAGTCGTGGGACTTTGTCCCTGAACGTTCCAGAATGGTTTCAATAACTAAAACGAGCCTTGTCAACGGCACCAACATGCAGGTGCTGGTTCCAAATTATTACAAGGATGTCAATGACTCTTTGTATGCTGTTCATCGAGAAGATCTTCACAGCCAGTTGAGGTTGCTTGCCACCCAAAAGGAGGGCCCTGGACGCCCCTGTGGGGTCCTGGTGCGGTCCAAGGTTATCAACTACGTACGCAAGCAGAAGTGAAAGAATTCGAATGAAATTTGTATGAGACGCTGCTAACACGCTTGTCACTCACACCAGGACGCCATACATGGTAAAGTCACAACAGCTACTGGGGAGATTTTACAGGCCGATCTCATCATCGCTGCAGATGGAGTGCATTCCGAAGCTGTCAAGCACGTCCTCGGTGACGAGGTCGTCACAGCTGGCGACACAGGTTGGGCCTGTATGCGGTGGTTGGTGCCGAAAGATGAGCTATTCTCAGATCCAGAGACTGCGAATATGATCCAAGACTCAACCACGAGGTACTTTACGGCAGCCGAGGGTGCCGCTGGCTTGGTTTGGTATCCTTGTCGAAGGTATGTTTGTGATTTCCTAAACAAGATTATCTGAAAGCTGCTGACTGAGCTTCGGTGTAGTAACGAGGTGCAGAATTTCTTGTATCTTTCGCGAGAATTCGATACTTCCCACGTAGGAGAAGGTATGGGAGTAGCACTGTTCAGCCGTTTTGACAATCGACGAGCACTCCATAATGATACTGAATATAGATTTCCGGACCATGGTGGAGCCAAACACGCCGCTAGAATATTCCAAAAATCATTTTGCTCCAACTCTGCAGACCGTCATCAAGTGAGTAGAATTAGAAATTTGCGCTTACCATGCGCTACCTGCTTACAAACGATGCAGAAAAGCGAGAGACGTTAAATTCTGGAAACTGATTGCTAGAGGACCGATAAACAAGTGGCACAAGGACAAACTTCTTCTGATTGGTGACGCAGCTCATCCCATGCTTACTTGTAAGTAATTATCTAAATCGTTCCGAGTTTTTAGGAGTAGTGTTTGCTAATTCCAGAAAAATAGTCCAGGGTCAAGGTGGTGGACAGGCAATCGAGGATGGAGGAGCGCTGGGTGTCTTGTTTGACCAGCTTCATGACAAAGGAGAAATTGAAAGTCGGCTGCAGATTTTTGAGCAAGTCAGACGAAACAGAGGTTCAGCATTGCAAGTTCTTTCTAACACCAACCCTCCTCCACCGCAAAGCGTCCGTGAAGCTGCTGCCAAGTATGTTCCTGGAGTCAAGTTTGATTCCACCGACGCTATTAATGACTACGTGCTGTCGTTCGACGTAATTGCAGAGTCAAAGGCAGCCCTTGCGGCTACTTTAGCTTGAACTGCGAGGACTTTTGGTAAATATAGGATCCCTGGGTGATTTAGCAATCTTGCATACACATGTAATTAGGAATCTTGCAGCTCAGTGAAGACATATCTACAATCTGCTGTTCTAGGATATTGTAAGTGCCAGCAGTATTTAGGTGTGCAATAGCGAATATGTTAGTATCTTAAGACAAGTGATGTTTGCCAGCAAATTGATCCTTGATTACTGCCCTTACATAATCCAAGTTAAAATAAACTGATGTTGCTGTCAAGATCATCTTAGGGCTATTCTCTGTCTAGCCCTAGGATTTCGAGTTACCCAGCGGGCAATACCTGTAGGGTATTTGGCGTAATTACTAGGCTAGGTTCAACGAACTAAATGCCCAGTCAGTCTTGTGACAGACTAGTAATTTACATAGAATATATAGCAGTGCTAAACTCGCTTAAGTAGCGGATCCGAAAGTGTTGCTCGAGAGGCCGCTTGGCCGACAGTACGCCACGCGCGGATCCTAGAGCCCGGGGGGAAGACCCCTGTATTCCCGGTCGGGAATCGAAGATATGCCTGACAGATATTGGTATAGCTCGAGTGCTACTAGGTAACATGACTATTGAGCAATCGGGAACCAGGCCAGATTGCAATTGCGGTGGGTGGGGACCTCTAAAAGGTTTGAGATAAGAGGGACAAGGGTGTCATAAGGCAAATACTATGGGGCGTCCTAGTCGAAGAAGCTTAACAAAAGGATATGCATGGCACACTTCATCAATGCTGTGCTAGGCATTTCTTGCGACTCATCGTTACTACTGAACAGCGATGGGCTCAACTCATCCCGTCGTCCTCCTTTGTGGGGATGTAACAGACTCATGGGTTGAGGGTATAGACTACATCTACGACTACGCCACCAAAACACCATGGCTCCAGTCATTCTTGGTACAGTTATTCGCTGCCCTCAAATCCGAGGTAGGAGCTATGGAAAATTTTCTGCGGGAGACTTTTGGAACTTGTTCCAATTTCCAAGAGCTTGCTCAGAAATATCGCCATTCAGGCGACCCGGTAGGCATGGTGCACGCCTTGCTCCTCTACACAGTGAGATCAGCACTCATGTTGGAGTGAGTTTCCCCGATAATCAAGATCTAACGTGGCTTGCTGACCGTTCGAAGCGTAGCATACCGAGAACCACTATTGCTCAACCCAGGTGAGGGTACGCCAGAGACGCACTTAGTCGGTATATCTGGAGGTCTTTGGAACGCCGTTGCAGCGCCAATTGCTTCCAACTTCTCCAATATGTATGATGCTTCTATCGAGGCCGGCCGGGCATACGCACGACTTTGTAGTCTTACGTTTACTCGATCGAGAGCTATGGAAGATCGCACTGGGGTCTGGGGTTGGGTTATCGTCGACGTGGCCGCTCATGAGCTCGAATCAATTCTAAAACGATTTCAAGATGCAATGGTAACACCATTTCCTTTAAGAAAGTGACTTTTATATAGCACACTGACCTCGTACGTATAACTAGGGCATACCTTGTTCAAAAAGAGTTAAAGTCGCCATCACGGGAGATCGCTGGAATACAATAATAGGACCGCCTTCTGTATTGCAGGTTACTATTAACCAGTGCTCGGAACTGAAAAGGTTTCCCAAAAACGAGCTATCAGGAATACGTGCCATGCAGCACACGCTCAACATCTCCGAGGCCGACATTGACTTCGTTGTTGGAAATTCCAGTCTCTTATCTACACCTCTTCGACCAGGGTACAAAATATGGGGGATGGCTGAAAATGATGCAAAGAAAACGTATTCAAACTGGGGACACCTGCTGAGGGTCGCGGCATTACAGACGCTGTCTCAACGGTTGGATGTAGTGCAAACGGTGGGCAAGCTCAGTACCTACTTAGACACGTCACAGGATATCGATGTCAAGTTGATTGGTCCCAGCGGTCACACAGCGTATCTCGCCAATGTTCTCAAAGCTGGTCTTGGTACATTAGAAAGACACGTGTCGATCGACGATATCATGGCTTGTCCGTCAAACAAGAGTATGCGTCAAGGTGGTATTGCCATTGTGGGAATGTCGGGAAAAGGACCTGGCAGCGAGGACTTGGATGAATTTTGGAATGTTGTTGTCACTGGCCAAGACTGCTACCAAGAAATTCCAGCAGATCGCTTTGATCTAGGCGAATACTACTGTTCCAAGCATGGGACAGTTGGAGCGGGGAATTGTACCATAACTTGTCGGCATGGGTGCTTCATGAATAATCCGGGCCATTTTGACGCCAAATTCTTCCATATCTCGCCGCGCGAGGCCTTGCTGATGGACCCGAATCACCGGCTTTTTTTGATGAATGCTTACGAGGCGCTGGAGACGGCAGGATATTCTGCAGGACAAACCAGGACGACTGATCCGAACAAAATTGGCGTCTTCTTCAGTCAAAGCGCCGAGGACTGGCATAAGGTCTGCCACCGTGCACTGAGCTGCGACGCCTATACGATGCAATGTATCCAGCGAGGCTTTGGCCCAGGTCGACTGGCTTATCAGATGAATTGGGAGGGGCCAACCTATGCGATTGATTCAGCTTGTGCTGGAGCCACTTCTGCTCTTCACCTTGCCTGTATGAGCCTACTCTCTCGTGATATAGACATGGCGGTCACTGGCGCTGCAAATATATTGTCTGATCCTCATTCTTTCTCCATTCTTAGCAAGGCTGGTGTCTTGTCCGACACTGGAAACTGTAAGACATATCGCGACGATGCAGATGGATACTGCCGTGCAGATTTTAGTGGTGCTGTTGTTCTAAAACGAATCGACGATGCCATCGCCCACAATGACCGCATATTGGCTGTAATCGCTTCGTCGGCCAGAAACCACTCTGGAAACTCAACATCCATCACGACATCGGACGCAAACGCACAAGAGCGTTTATTTCACAAAGTTCTACGAAACGCCCGTCTAGACCCCAGCGATGTCTCCTATATCGAGATGCATGGTACAGGAACCCAAGTCGGGGATAAGGCAGAAATGGCAGCAGTTGCCAAAGTCTTTTCTCCCAGGCCGAACGGGCAGTCTCTACCGGTAGGAGCCGTCAAGGCCAATATTGGCCACAGTGAATCAGTGAGTATTCCCTGTTGTGTAAGGTCCGGTAGATGCTTATCTATTTTAGGCTGCTGGAATGGCTTCGTTACTGAAGAGTATCATGATGCTTCAAAAAAGTATGATTCCCCCACAGGCTGGCATGCCACATGATTTGAACCCCAATGTGGGTGTCCATTTGCAAAATGGCAGCATTGTGATTCCGACAGAGGCAATCCAGTTCCAAGACATCACTGGAAAGCCGAGACGAATTCTCATCAACAATTTTGACGCGGCTGCAAGTCTCACTCCATACTGTACTGTTCGCGGCTATGCTAACCCACAGAATCTCCAGGGCGGCAATTCATGCGTACTTCTCGAAGAGTACAAGAAAAACCCGGCTAGACACAAAGACGCTGATCCCCGTTCGGCTCATGTGATTGCAACATCGGCCAGAACGCCGTCATCACACCTTGCTCACATGCGTCAACTTGTTAGTTGGCTGCGAGCAAATTCCGATGCTCGGATTCAGGATATCGCCTATTCAACCACAGCACGGAGAATGCATCATCCTATCAGGTTTGCGATTGTAGCACCTACGCGACAAGAGGCCATTTCCAAGCTCGAGACCGAGATCGAGCGGTCCAAATCTTTCAAGTCTTCACCTGCTGAGGTTATCTTTGCATTCACCGGTCAAGGCTCAAGCTACGCTGGTATGGGTGCTGAGCTGTACCGTACGAGTTCGGTTTTTCGCAAAACTGTTGACTTCTGCGTTGAAGTCTGCGACGCTAGCGGCTTTCCAGCCTTCCTAGACATCATCACTGATGGAACCATCGATTTGTTGACCAAGAACGCCGCGCAGACCCAGCTTGCTATTGTCACGCTGGAAATTGCCCTTACTGCCTTTTGGCGATCCGTCGGTATAGTACCCGTCATGGCCATCGGCCATAGTCTTGGAGAATACGCCGCCCTCCACGCAGCAGGTGTGCTGTCAATCACTGATACACTGTACCTTGTTGGCCACCGTGCGCGACTGCTTTTAGAGCGATGTGAACCAAGTTCCTGCGCTATGCTTTCAATATCAGCTCCAGTAGACATTGTGCGGACGCATCTTGCCCAGTTCGGCGACACATCCTGTGACGTTGCCTGCATCAATAGCCCTAATGCTACTGTAATCAGTGGAACGGCTGAGGATTTGGCGGATATCCAGGCCGATATGACGGCTTACGACGTCAAAACGCGCACTGCTATGTTATCCATCCCATTTGCATTTCACTCGTTCCAGGTTGATCCAATTCTACATGACTATAAGACTCTCGCAAGCGGTGTGACCTATCTGCCACCCAAGATTCCAGTAGTCTCAACATTATTGGCATCGCTAGTCGATAGACCAGGCGTGTTCAGCGAAGACTACCTTGTCATGCAAACACGCCAGGCAGTCGACTTTTGCGGCGGCCTCAATGTCGTCAAGTCTGTCCTCAAGGATCCGGTTTGGCTCGAGATCGGACCGGGTCCGGTTTGCACCTCGTTTGTCCGCAATACACTTGCACCGCCGCCTCATAAACTCAACTACAGCATGGATGCAAATAAGAGTAACTGGTCATGTATTTCTAGCAGCTTAGCGAATATGTATACGAGTGGTGTCGAAGTGGACTGGCTTGCACTACATGCACCTTACGAGGGCAACCTCGAGTTGTTGCCACTCCCAACATATACATGGGACGTCAAGAACTATTGGATCACCGACAGTGACAAGAATATTGCGATTGAATCTGCCAAAAGGAACCGAGCTGAATTCTCGTCGGAGCCTTTCTTATCAACGACCGCACAGTATCTCGTCGAAAAGACACTCTCCCCAAAGGTTCAAATTACCTTCCGAGCTGGTATCTCTGGACACGGATTTATGGGCCTTATTGAAGGTCACAAGATGCAAAATATTGGGCTTGCATCAGGAAGTGTCTTTAGTGATGCTGCTGCAACGGTAGCTAAGTATGCACTTGAACACAGCGGCAGGAAACATGTTACCGTGGCCCATCTGAGCTTCCACGACCCTGAGCTCCTCGCGCCCTTGACTCGAGACCTAGCCGGAACAGAGGCCACACTGATATCCACAGCCACGATGGAGACTGCATCTGCCGAGTTCGTTTTAGTTACGTTCAAGGTCACTTCAGAGCGAGGCGAAACACACAACCTCGGGTCAATGAGAGTCAAGTATCGAAACCCTGAAAAGGCACTGATCGACTTGGACCGCGTGTCGTTCTTCATTAGGGCTAAAATGGAAGAGCGAATCCGGCTTTCTAAGGAAGGCTCAGGTCATAGAATCCAGCCCGATATTTTCTTCGCGCTCTTTGCCAATGCTGTTGAGTTCTCTTCTGACTTTAGAGGCGTTCAGGAGGCTTATTTAGCTAGCGACTTTCAAGAGGCTGCAGCCACAGTCGTGCTGCAGCCTGACCCGGTGGGCACCCGATTCACATTCTCACCATACTGGGCCGAGGCCTTGCTGCATTTGGCGGGATTTATGGTCAACGGCAACCCGAGCAAGTCGCCCCAGTCGACCTTTGTTGTCATGGGCTACGATTCTGTTGAGCAGCTAGCTCCTGTCGTGCCTGGAAAGCAGTATTTGACATACACACGCATCTCGCGATGGGAAAATGGCACGGCTTTCTGCGCAGCTTATGTATTCGACCCCCAAACGTTCAAGATCGTTATGCGAGCCATTGATTTGCGCTACCAAGAGTTCAAGACGGCTGTTTGGCGTCATATCCTTGAAGGTGCACATTCTTCAGAATCCCAAGATGTCGATGCGACCTCCAGAGTCCAAAAGTCTGTTTCTGCCAAAAGTAAGATTCGAAATGACCTGTCTGCTACTTTAGCAGTAGCGTCTTTGGAACAGAAAATGGATAAGGCCCATATCGAAGATAAATATTCAGACAGAAGAGAAGTACAGGTTATTATGGACTGTCTTGCCGCAGCGACTGGGAGCGACATCTCTGAGTTTACAAACGATACTTTTGTAGCTGATATTGGAGTCGATTCCATCATGGCCATCGAGGTTGTCGCCGCTACTAAGGACTTGGGCGTCGAACTACCTGCTAATTTTATCTTTGACTATCCCACAATTGGCGATATCCGTCTCGCGTTTGACAGGCAAGTTGCCAAAGCCCCAGAAGATGTTATGGAGGCGATATATTCTAGTGAAGATGAGGATTCTTATTCCCCGACTCCTGATAGTGACTTTGTCCCTATTTCGGTACCAGAGTCGGTCTCTAACACTCAGTCAAGTGTGGTAAATATCGACAGACAACTAGAATCCCAAAATTCGGAAGCGATTGATACTTCACCACCTCCCAACGTTAGGATCACACTTTTGCATGGCCGCCCAAATACCAGCAAAACGCCTTTGTACTTGATAGCCGACGGTACAGGCACAGTTGCCTGTTTCATCCACTTGCGGCCATTCAAGTCCAAGCAAACTGTCTACGGCGTCGATTCTCCATACTTCCGCTGCCCATCCCGCATGACGAGCGACGTCGGTATTGAAGGTGTCGCTAGGCTAATTGTAGAGGCTTTGATCAAAGCGCACGATACAGGTCCATTCATGATCGGTGGCTATTCTGCTGGCTGTCTCGTCGCCTTTGAGGTCTCGCGGCAGCTTGCCGCAGCTGGGCGAACGGTCGAAGGTCTCCTTTTGATTGACATGTGCTGCCCGCGGTCGCGGTTATCGGATCAGCGCACACTCCTTGCCGAGGATGAGCTCAGCTATGAGGTCTTTCAGGAAGCCGTCAACAGGGACGGTCTATGGAATACACTCGGATCCAGCCGTGATCATTTTCGCGCCTTCTTTATTGCCATGAACCAATATACACCGCAACCAATGACCCCCGCGGAGAGACCTGCGAGAACGGCCGTCATCTGGGCTGAGCGAGGTTTGGTCAACCGTGTTTCAGATGACCCTGAGCTGATGAAGAAGCTAGAAGAACAGGGAGTTCCAACCAGGCCTTTTCCGGGCTTTATGGAAGACCCCAACCTAGGAACATTTGCTTGCCTTGTCCCAGATAAGGGCGGAGCCGAAAATTTGGGCCCAAATGGTTGGGAAAAGTTCACCAGCGGAGAGATTATGGCTCTATCTGTGTCGGGAGATCATTTTGAGCTGTCCTCGCCTGGACATGTCCATCTTCTCCAGGCGCAAATGGAAAAAGCTTTTACCTACTTTTCATCACATTAATATTATTGGACTTCGTGCATTCGAATTTTATTCCATAAGGGATTAAGTGAATTTGAATTGAGTGTTTTAATATAGATCAATTACAAATTGTACGTTATATATGATAGATTGAATTGAAACAATTGATAAACGGAAACATATAGCGAAGAAAACAGCCACATTCCGCCGTATAATGTCCATAGATCCTTGTTTTAGTCTTCCACATTGGGCTGAATAGAGACGATACGTGTTTGATAATCACTTTCAAAGCGTTCTCGCAACGTTCGCATGTCGGAGAAGGGTAGATAGGCTGGTAAAAACTCGTTCTTGTTCATGAAAGCATCATTGAATATGCCAGGTGGAGTTGCAACGCTAGCAAATGCTCTTTTGATTATCTAAAGGAGGTTTTGGTTCTCATCTCTTCTATCAATTTAGTCGTGCTATATCTACATAACTTACTGTCTTTCAGTCATTCTGGTTACTCATATTGTGGCTGTCGTGGTATGTTCTAGGCTAATATTCAGCTACCTGCTAATTTTTTTAAAGAGGACCATTATGATACTTTAGCTCTGACTGTGAACTGATCTAGTCGAGGATGAATTTATTGGCACGTGCTACATAGACTCGTTTTTAACGAAAAGCAAAGCAAAATTCAATCCTTCACACACAAAACGGACCCTAATCCCCTCCTTGTATCCTCAACCTAGTGATTTCCTTGAACATATCTCACGCCTTGAAAGGCAGGACAGTACTAGAGTATATGCTTGAGCAATATCTTCACAAATCCTTCTTCCTTCGCTGCGTCTCGGGGAAAAAACAGATCATTTTCTTTGGTATACTTTCGAAGCGCATTCAGAGATGAAAACAGGCGAGGTTTCTTCCCAGATCTCCGGCAGTCCATTAAATCGACAATGTTCACGTTGACTACCGACAGTGCCTACAGGGCCAGCCCCTTACTGTCAGTACCAAGCTCTACCATCTTCTAATGGAAACAATTTTTCTCACCTTTTTGCACTGTGTAATTGACGGAAGACGCTCGATCCCCAATTCGGTGCAGAGATTCTGCCATGACTCCAATCGAGTATAGTTTGTTCCGAACTCACTATCAAATTCCATTCTGACATACTTGTTCCAGTTGCGTTTGTAGTTCTTGGAACCATTCTTCCATTGTCTGTGAGCGGCTAGACGGGCGAAATTCTCACGAAGACCGGCGGGGGGCTCAGGTACGAAATCAGGAAAGTCATCGAAGAAGGATTTGATATGAGAAGAAGAGGTAGGCTTCGATTTCTTGGCCATGGTTGCTCTGGCCGATGAAACCTTGTATGAGAGTTCCAGGACAGCTGCAATATAGGCTTTTGCGGAACGAAGATGAGAGATGTTAGGCAGTCGGCTTGTCTACCTTCAAAGTAACCTGAACTTAGATGAGATACCAATTTATAATAATAGAGAGTCTACGAGCGACACGCTTTGGTTTTTTTTGGTCATTGTCATATGGCATAATGGACGGCAATTTGCGTGAAATTCTGCCTCTTTCTAGCCCTAATGACATAGTACAAAGAATTACGCCTTTCTTAAAGCAATCCGTTTGTCCTGAGTGCTTGTTTTATTTTTTTTTATGGCGCAGTCTCTACTAGAAATAAGCCAATCATAAAAGGTCCTCAGAGTGAATGCAGTTCTAGGTGCCTCGTCGTGGCACATCAAGTGGCTGAGAAGGTATTATCATGACATGGATTACTATAGGTAAAAAGTCCTTGGACAGACATAGAATTTAAAAAATATGCGCTATTGGCTACAATACCTGAGAAAGACTAAGCCACGTACAATGCTACAGCCTGACAGTCGTAAATTCATGCGATCTCTTTCCATCTTTTTCTCGGGCGGCACAGTGATTAAATTTGCCCTAGGCTGAACCCTACAGGACCGAATTACTCACACAAGTTCTGTCCGGATAGGAAGGTCGGCATAATTTTCCATTTAGGTAGCATATAGCATAAACTTGCAATTTCTTGATATGGTCTACGCCATCGGAGGCGGTGCAAGTGTTCAGCCACATTGGGATCCCCTGTCAAGCGCTGAGGTCATGTCCCGTTACAGCTAATTTGCATGTTTTTGGTATTCTGTATTTCATAATGGCTCGCAAGCATGATTTTCATGTATACTGAGTGAGGTAGATAGAATCGAATGTACTGTCGTGTGACCCTCTCGAATGTGGCGATTCATAGTGCACGATCTACCAAGGCTTATGGGAAGCATTGCATTGACGCTAATATAGTGAGATGACTGCATTTGACAGGCGAAGAACGGTAAACCATACACGGAGAAAGAGTGCTTAATCTAGACCATATTCTCAGTATGAATCTTGTCGTTGCTGCCACAGTGTCTATCCATAGGGTACTTTTTGTCGCTCCTGCTGTGCTAGCAACAGACCTGTCTAGGTATCCACTTCCGATGAGAGGGGGTGCTCAGCTAAGTATTTATGTTCTTCGATGCCTTGTCATCGCTTCCCTTTCCCGGACAGTCTAAGGAAGCCAGAAGTTGACAAACAAGTCTATGGACCCCGTGTAGTTGAGATGGAAAAAGGAAGCGGCTAAATCTCTGATGTCCACTCGGGAATGTAAGACTCATTTTTTTTTAACTATAGCTAGGTATCCTAAGGTATAGTCAGAAATTAGACAAATGCGCAACGAAATGTACCTGATTTACGTCAAATAAGATTTGGAGTGATAGACATATACAGTCGATTCATATACCACAGTCGAGCAACCTAGAGATAACCCTTCGATGAACTTTCGAAAGACCAAGAAATGTAACCCACACAGGTTTGTATTCATAATTGTGGAAACACTGTAAGAACCGAATTTTGGTATGGCTGACTACCAACGACTCAACCTGCCATGAAGAGAGTCGGATGACTCATGTTTTAGGTAGTAAAGACATAATCATCCATGCCTAGAATATGCACGTGGTATAACGTTTATCAGAGAGATGTCATTAAGAAGCCATTCGTCAATGTCTAGCTTATCATCCGACTGTGTATATATCCTTATCTGAGTAAGGTCGTCATATTATTAGATGATAATATAAAGGCATGTCATAAATCTCGTATAATCAACTCTGTTAAAAACTCCCTGTAGTCAAGTCAAATCTGTACATATACGGCCATCATCCACATACCCACATACTCGCCGAAACGCGCTGAATTGTTGTTGCCTACAGCTAAGCAGCATTGATTTGAAATCACTCGAGTCAGTTCACTCATATGAGCCAACAGTATCATCACGCTCAGTATAATTTCATTCGCTGAAATATGGAAAAGCTGCGGCTATAGGTCACTCCACGACATGGAATTATTGGGTTAGAGACGACAGGCTTCAACGTGACAACTCACCCACGTAATTTCTTATATTTAGAACTTACCCTACATATTAATCTATTTGGAATCGTCCAGATTGGACTCTGATGACCTCCCTGTGCCTCTGCGCCGCCTTTCTAGCCGTTGACTAGTCTTCGCACCCTTGTATACCGCAGCAAATGATGAGGGGGCTATGTATACTCGCTGAGGGGTAATTTGACGATGTCTTTGTTTGAACACTCTCATTGACAAATATTTTCCAACAGCTGAATCGCTTAGAAATCGGCTGAAAGTAAGCTGAAAACAATTCCCTAGATACCACTAGGTGTGGAATCATGATTGAACGTAGCGAGTTTAAATCCTCAGAGCAGCACTCTCCCTCAGTGTATGGAACCCAAAAATTTTTATAATTTGTCTTAGATTCGCAAAATATTCAAAATGGCGGAAATTGCTTCAACTTTGCATTCAATCTCAAAAGAGTCCTTCACCTCCGAGTCTGATCGTCAACAGGCTGTTAGGGAGGCGCGAGCCCTAATTGCCCGCCTTGAGTCGCCGTGGGAAACAGCTTTTCGTCAATCATGGATTGAGCCATCACGTATGGCTTGTTTAGAAATAGGCAATAAAATTGGTCTATGGGCTAAATGGGTCGCTGATGGCAGCGCTCCTAAGACTGTGGAAGAAATTTCCAACCTTGTCACTTGTGACATTCAGCTACTTTGTAAGTTTCGAAATATTCTGCGCAGTTGTACTCTCTCGAGAGGATAATACCATTTCTTATTTGAGACGGTGGAATTGAACCAGGACCATAATGCTTATTTTCATATGCGAAAATTGTAGCCCGAATTATCTGGCAGCTGGCTGGTACAAATCTGCTCAAAGTTGTCAAGCCCGGAGTCTTTGGTCTCACCCCATTCGCCGCAGCTCTCGGAAGTGGCCCTCAAATTGCAAGCACCGTCACCTTGTACTTTGACGTTCAGGGGCCTGCTCTACATACACTCCCGAGTTACGTGGAGGATCTTGGCTTCAAGAACCCGACTGATCAAGCCAATGGCTCTTTTGCCAAATGGGCCAAAGCTCCTCTCTGGGAGTGGCTGAAGGAGCATCCTGACGCCGAGAAAGTCATTGGCACTGTCATGCAGACTTATGCCGGAAACAGACCGACTCTTTCTCATATTTACCCTACTGATAAGTTACTAAGCGGCCTTACTGATCAAAGTAGCGTTGTTCTGGTTGATGTTGGTGGTAGTCTGGGTCATGATCTGCTCTCCTTCTCGAAAATCTCGGATTTCAAGCCGGAAACTCTCGTGCTTCAAGATCGAGCTCCTGTGCTTGAGAATGCAGGAGAGCTTACTCCAGCAATCAAGAAGATGGAGTATGATTTTTTCACACCTCAGCCAGTTGAAGGTGCTGCAGCCTATTACCTGTAAGTTGTGAGAAATTCTTAGACGAGTGTACACGCCATTTATTTTCAAGAATTTTCTGCTAATGCCTCTCTATAGACATTTCATTCTTCATGATTGGCCTGACGCAGATTGCAAGAAGATTCTCAGTAATCAGAAAGCAGGAATGAAGAAAGGCTACAGCAAATTACTTCTTCATGAAGTTGTCCTTGATGCGAATGAGCCCAAGGAGACCGGTACCTCTTCTGACATTGCAATGATGGCAATGGTCTCCGGTATGGAGAGTACGTTAATGACATTTCTTTATATTAATTTTCAAGGTTTGAAGGATTTATTTATGACCGACTAACCATGATACAGGAACTGAAGCACAGTGGACTGCTTTGCTGGAAGAGTCGGGCTTCAAGATTGTCCAAATCTATCACCATGGCCTCGGTGCCGAGTCTGTCATCGAGGCAGAAATTGCATAGTCGTATTCTGATATCATTTACACAAGTCAAAGCAATATGAGTCTAGCGGGTCATGAGTGAAAGATTGACAATGCCTTAGAGATTACATCTATTGGTAACAGCCGAATTAAACAAACCTATTAAGTCATTGGAGCTTGTTTTGCGTGCCCAATTTAAGACCGAGATGAAATATTACACATTATATAATTAGAAGCGAAGTTCAAAGTTATGACTAGAAGCCATATCCTGTCATCTGTCCTGAGGATGCAGGAATAGTCACTAATTCGTGTGCAACCATAAGCTACCAATTTTTACAAACTTACACTGTACTCTGTACCTAAGTAGACTTGAGTCCAGTATGCAACGATAATAGTTCCCTCTAAGTAATCTCCCACGCTGTACAGTAATTTTCCAATGAGCAAAGTGGTAATTATTATCATTGTTCCCCGATTGGTTCAAATGTTTCTTTCAATATATGTAGAGGCTTTTCTAGGGTCGTCACTCATGTACATCATTATCCTGCATGAACAAGTAATCAACCATACGGACATAGTTCAATTCGCTTAGAGGAAAATCTCTCAAACTACAACAGAATCTATTATAAGCAAGAATATCTGTGCCTAGTGGTTTTACCGCTTGTATCTGCGCCGTGCTATTCGGTTCGTAAGTATGACAAGCCACGGTAGCTCCATATATGCCCACATGATCTTCCAAATCCGCTCAAATAGATTAATTGCTAGAGATTGTTAGCCCGGAACGACTTGAAGAGTTGGCTCTTTCGAAGGCCAATCTGAAAAACTGGGCCGATGTTGGTTTCACGCTACAATCACAGGCCATTGACTATAATCCTAGTGGCAAGGTGACCGCGATGGACGTCTTTTATTGTAGACCTTTGACAATCCTAGGTATTACGAAGCAACAATGGTTAGATCAGCATCTTCGTGCTTGGGAAGAATTTGTCGTGGATGTGCAATATCATGAAGTCAATGGAGCTCATTATACGATGCTGCTACCTGAGAATATCGGCAGCTTTCAACGTAATCTTAACAAAGTTTTGAAGAAGAGGGGCGTATGAACGATCATTAGTGATATCAATGCTTAACTTTCTTTTCCAATAGAACATATGATTCATGAACTCTTTGACTCTTTCATATAAGACTTGAAAAATATCCATTCTCTTTTCCCATTTTATTCATTATGTTATTTACACCAAAATACATGCATCCAATTTGTTGCGTTATTCTTGGGGAATTACTACCATGCTTCTTAGTTCATTCTGAAATAAAAATTTCTTGCTATCATGAACAACTGTCTATAAGCAAGATTGAAATCCCGCAAAGACTGTAAAGACTAGGCCCATTTTGCCGGTCATGAATATGTCGATTAAATTGACTCTGGGGTATGGACTTTGTCTACATTTGTCTATATCTTGCTATATATGCATAAGCGCTGCTAGTCTGAGAAGATTTCTTGTCCGATAATCAATGCATACACAAGTCAAGAAGTCCTGTCATATAGCCCAACGAATGAGATTCTCTCTAAACTCTCTACGAGCGTTCTGAATCTTCTCTTCGTACTGTTTCGAGTTAAATTCTGAATTTGAATATAATCTAGGTAGAAACTGCACTCCACTCCACAGGTGTCATCTCAGATCGTTCATAGATGCTACTCGCTTTCTGTGTCAGTGAAATGAAGATACTTGTCAACTGTTTCTCAGTGCCGGAGCGTTTAAGAATCACCTTCTTCTCTACACCATGTGGCGTACAGGTTCCAGAGATTCTCTGTAGGATTACATCTATTGATGTAATTAATTACATTCACTAGATGTTGACACAAGGTGCAAGATATCGATGGATCGTCATATTTCCTATCCTTTCTGTATTAAGGCTCTATTCATAAGGCTCTACTCAGAAGTCCAAACTCGATTCGTTTTCAATTCGTGTCAGGCTCAATGTCTTACAGTAATTCGATGCACTCTATCTACAACTGTGTTTCTGTATCCCGCCCCCTAGTAGATATCCCAAGCGCATTACAACGAAATACATGCACACGATTGACTACTTTCAAGTATTGATACGACTCTAAATCTAAATCACATCAAACCCCAGCATTTGAATCGGTCTATTTCACGCAAGTCACATCTCTCCACGTTGACAATTACCCCCGCCGAGCCCCTTACTACGTGCCTATGCAACGTATGTATGCAACTACATCCCTACACAAGGCACGAACCACGTAAATCAAACCAGACTGCTTGAAGGGGTAAGGGAATATAAATATATAGTAGATCCAATAGACCCATTCTTTATAGACTTGGCATCTCGATTTCCAGGTTCATCAGGTTATTATGTGCAGATTCCCCGGGTTGAGTAGATTGACTCGTGGGTTATGTACTAGGGAGCAAGGAGGTACAATTCCTTAAATCTTGATTTTTGACTCGTGGGCTATGTACTAGGGAGCAAGGAGGTACAATTCCTTAAATCTTGATTTTTGACCCGTGGGTTATGTACTAGAGAGCAAGGAGGTACAATTCCTTAAATCTTGATTTTTGACACTGAAGAAGATTTTGCATTCAGACTTGCTCTTTCTAATCTAATATATAGTACACGGTATTTTTTGATCATCTGCTGAAAGAAAGAAACAACGGCATGCAGAAAGACGACATGCGAGGACAAAAGGAATGACAGAAAGAGACCTTGACACCGTCTTAACTGTCTATCAAAGAAAAAGAAAATTCTCCGAACATACCAGTTGACCAGATGAAGAATGAGACAATGCAAGATTCAAGGGCGATCTATTTCCCTCCCTCCCGCCCGCTCTGAAAGCCAAACCAGAAAAAGTAAAGATGCAAAAATTGCGGAGAGTTGGGGATATTTCATACATTTCCGACCACCTGCCAGGAGTTTACTATGCATGTATATACTAAGTAATACTAGGTAGAATGGATCTTTTGTCTCCTTGCTCGTGGTGCCCCCCTTGATTGAAGATTTAACCTGACTAGGAATTTTTCGCCAAGACAGGGATTCTTGTGTAACCCCTTCGTTTCCTTGATAAAGGCTCCAAACAGGAATCTGTATAGTTTGACTAATCGTTCGATGCTGTGTAGTTGTATGTGACTTTTAAGTTGCAGGTTTCAAGGATCTCGCTCAATGGTGTGAGGCTCTATATCAATCGTGGGGCTGCGGTGACTCTCCTTGCTCGTGGTCTAGTAGATTGCAAGGGGAATATTGCTTCATGATAGACTGCTAATAGTATTCTTGGATAGTTACGATCAGATAATCTATCTTTATCAAAGACTACAACCGGTAATCAAGTGTTGAATGATATTGAAGCTAAAGGCATTACCCATATCCAGCCTGGAGTACATTGAATTTTCTCCAGAACATACTATAATGGATCAACGTACATAATCATTCAATAAACAATTCCATATTGTGGACAACGTCCGGGTTGCTTGGATATGCAATAACCTCTCCCTGGCATATGAATCACAAGTCATTCGATTCCTTGCTCTAGGCACATGGTCACGCCGTATCCGTATTCACTTCAAAGCTAGAACTGCATTTCTGTTAACAAAGAATATGCTTCATTGTTCAATCACTCCTCTGTTTAATTCCGTGCCCCGACAGGCTAACTGGTTTCGTAAGTGGTACCTCGAAATTGACAGCTAAGGAGGCATGTCTACTTAGAAACATAGCTATATTTCTCTATCAGTTGGATAGTCTCGAGAGTGCTCGTTTCATGAAGTATACACCAGACATCAATTAATCTATCCTCCAACGGCATCGATGTTAGGAACCAGTATTGCTATACAAAGCGGGACGTGACATATATATTCATGGATCTCTATACAGCATCCATTGTCAATACTGACAAACGAGAAACAACGACCGTATTGATGATCGAGTGAATGTAACACCAGATCGCGATCTGCTAATTTACGATACATTTAAGTATTGGAAGTCATCTGATGTCTACACCTATACAATACGAAGTAGGCTTTGACGTGATCAGACAAACCCTAACTCACCGCGGCAAGGGTTAGGGTTCGATCTACACTTTTGATGTATACGCAAAACACCACATGTTTTTGTAACTTTGCATGATTCCTGACACTGAACAGACATGCGCCATCAATAAAGAATCAACACTCAATGCACCTCTCAACGTGGCGTCTGTTGATGAAGCATGGCGTGGATCATGGCATTTTCCACGACCGTCCCATGGATTTGGGCAACTACGTTAGCACGTATCCCATCAAACTACTACTCGCATCTAGAACTGCAAGTCATCTACCAATACTGCAGCAGCAATTTTTTTGTTTACATGCTATGCTGTAGAAAATCAGTACTAGAATGATACTACATATGATGTCAGACATTCGGTGTAGCTATCTAGTCCATCTCATGTTTTGCATTAGTCTCAACTTTCGACTGATCCAATCCCGATTCTCTTGCCAATAACAAACATCAAACGATCAAAAGTCAATTACGTAGTCTGTTCGTTAGTGACTTGTATACGTAGTAGAGTTGTTAGTTGTTTTGATTAGGGTTTGAGCGGTCCCGTGTTCATGATGTCTAATTACTGTTGTTAGTACGTACGACGCGTCGATTGAAAAGTGTATAGCGTCATAACCAACACTACGAACTCACCACACAGTCGACATGGAGGGCAGAACAAGATTTGAAGGAATCATCAGAATCAGATACGTCACAGATGGTCCAGCCATTGGAAACGGGTCTGATGGTCAAGACTAGAGTCGCTAGTGTTGACGGGCTCAGCGACAGGTCTGTGCTGAGGAACGCGTTTCACGGCTTGTCTTCGGCTTGAGTTCTTAATTCTTAGCATGACCAGTCTACCGCGCGTGGATTACTATTCGATTGTGAAGGAGAGAAAGATGAGGGGTAGTGTCTCATGTTGTCTTGGTCGTACACGTCTTGTATGCCGGTGTGTTTGTTTTGATAGTCGGAATCAGGATGTGAAGGATGTGCATAACCGCGGGCGATCTCGCGAGTCGAGACACAGAAGGACTCACGAAGAGGGGCAGATTGAGTCCATTGACGTCAATCGGCCCCCAATGATCAATCGTCTCTGTCTGGCCAAAGTAGAAAATGGAGAGATAAGAGAAAGAAAGACGGAGTGCATAAGGTGCCTCAAGGCTAAGGCACAAGGGTAGCATCCGGCTCGGCCAATCAGAGCGCGTAACGCAGGCCGACGGTCACGGGACTTGGCATCTTAGTCGCGTTTTCGGCGTTGTTTACTTCTTGGCAGACGCGGCTTCTTTTTGCTTGCTTTTGACTCAACGAACAAGTGCGCTCTCGCTCAGAGCAATTCGTGGCGACTACCGCGACAGCTTTTGAACTTTCGTTCTACCGGGATGACCCTTCAGCTGGCCATGGTCTATGTCATGCATGTACGGAACCCACGGATTACCTACTCGTAAATCCAGTGTTGGAAGGTCAATCTCGAAACACCGGACGAGGGACACCAACAGCCCAGTTAGTGGGTAAAACGCAATTTAATCTATCTGCTAGTCAAACATTACGAGTTATCCCATGATCAGATTCGTCGAATGCAATCCGATACGATAATCCTGTCTGTGTTCGGATGCTGATTCGCTCGTTGCATGGCTCGCGTGTGACGGCTTAAACGAAAATAGCACATTAGACCGAGGTCGCTGCATCAGTGCATCGCTTTAGAGTAAGCTAGCACAGCTAGCAGAACAAAACTCCAAACACATGGCGCAGGATCCCTGTCAGCGGCCAATCAGTTGGCATCGTACGAGTTCCATAAGGCTTAAGCGCCGTGAGTGAGATGCGTGATGGGTCAATCAGAGTTTGAGAAGGCTGAGCTGAATGAATGCGGCCGCTGGCCTCTGCCTTTTACGCTGCCGCTCGAATGACTATCGACGGATGACAGGGTATCCTATCCTACCTATGCTGGAAGTGCCTATTCTATACCGCAGTTTGCGATAGCGAACAAGGGCACTGTTGATCACACATAGTAAACTCATGAGTTATTCAACGCAGACTGTAACAAATTGACAATAATTGAAACGCGACCGAACCGACCGACTGAGTTATCATCTAATATATTTCTAACTAGTGCGGGGTTGATCAGGTCAAGCCACTCGGCGAGTCGGCGGAGTCAGCGATGCTCGCCATTCTCACCGTCGATGTCATTCACGCCTACTCCGTTCTTATGCGTGTGCCATGCTGATGGCTGACGGATCCGATCGTTCTACTTATTGCAGTCCTGCAGATAGATACGCCCTTTGAGCCTCTGACTCAACCAATCACAACATCCAAACATGTTTTCTTGAGCTGAACATGCAGGCCCATGACTCGATGCAATACAAACAAACACCGGACTCTAAAGATGAGATGGATACCACGTAGCATCCAGACATACACCCGCACATATCTTGAAGATCGCATTTTTTTCCCACCTATTTAGTACGTATACGTAGTAGTAATATATGATGCGTCTCATTCTTCTCGATCGAGGGGCTCCCAAGGCACGGGAACGCGTGTGGAGAACGGCACACGACGAGAAGCAGAACAGAAAAATTTTAAGCTCGATTTCGGATCGGAGAGGAGTTGCAAGTGGGTACGCTACGTATGCTGTATGTCTATGATCGAGATTTGGTCTGTCGAGATAGGAATCGAAATGAGAGACGGTGGTGTTGACTTTCTGGATATTAGTCTGAATCAATTGATGTCAAGTAGATGCCCTAATCAGCAGCTACCTACAACTACGTAGGTGCGTACTCACTGAGAATCGCACCGAACGGCGATCGCAAAACCCACATGTTTGAACTCTAACAGGAATTGCTGAATGTAGCATTGATCTACATGGCATTTTTCCTAGCACGCACTACACCAGAGTTACTCGTTTTGCAACTCATGGGCAGGAGCCGCCAGAAATTCAGAATATTCGTTCCTGAACATACAAACAAATGGATGCTTGTCAAGATAATTATATCTCAACCTCGTAGGTAATTTTAGCCCTCGGCAAAAAAAGAACAAAAGAACGAACAAAAGAAGAAAGAAAGAAAAATTTTCGAGACTAGATATAGTGAGCCAGAGTTTTGCTGGCTCTGTTGCCGGGTTGACCAAGCCGCCTCATTATGTATGGAGTACAATGTACGGAGTACACCGTATTCTGTATTTTTAGTAGAAGATTGGAGACTGAAAGACTGAAAGAACAGAGAGGAAGGAAGAAAGCGATTATTCTTTAATATCCAAAGTCCATTTTTATTCAAATCTATATATAGGAAATATGTATTGAATGGTGAATGTCGGATATTTCCTTGCTTGTATCGCTCCTTGATTCAAGAGCAAGGCCGACTCCATACCCCGTACATACAGTACTACTCGGTACGTGCTACGTAGCTAAAGCCTAAAACCAATAATCATCGCACTAAGCCGTCTAAATTGTTAGCCGTGCAAGCACCCTGTCAGAGGTAGGCGGTTGTTGCTGAGCAGCGCCTATCGGCTTTACTGACTTGGTTCTAGCCTTGTTCGCTCTGCCCTATGATACGGGCTGTGGCTCGGAATTTGGGGCGAGCTGGTTGGCTGGCTGGCGTTTGATTAGTTTAGATTAATTAATCAATCGCTAGATTCGTTACTACAGTGATCTGACTACTAAGTAAAGCCCCGTACAAGGCTGTACTCTGACTCTCGTCGTTCGTACGAGGTAGGAGAAAGGGTTAGAGCCAAGGGTTTGAGGGACGACCGCAAGGAGCATACTTCTACTTTATATTCGATAGAATCGTACTAGCAGATAGAAATAAATGTTAATTGAGGAACGGGGTAAATATTCAAGGAGAATACTCCGCAGAGAATACCTTACATGCTTGTTCCTTGCCTGAGATCACATCGTTGTCCCCTTGGCCCGCCCAAGCTATGTAGATGACGTGGGTTTGGCCCAATGGGCGCCGAGAAGGTCGCTAAGGTGCAGCTGGAACGTGTTACTCTTAGCTACGACTGCTAGGCGGTTTGTGACCTGTTGCCAGCCCGTGCGAGTATCCTCCGATGGATGTCTGTATGTGTATACAAGTTACAAGAATACTGAGAATAGAGGGTATAAGGATACGTGTGAATAGACCAAATGGTACATAAAGATACTAATGCTAAGAAAAGAAGAATAGACTCAATAGGGAAATACGTACGAAGTACGTATTGCTGCGTACGGCAGCCTCAGGCAGCGGATATCTCCCCACTTCCAGTACGGGTAAGTTACAAGAATTACCAGGAACTGCCCTTCTGCTGGTTGCCCATTGCAACAAGTCTCTTCCTCTTCTTCTTCAGCTTCACCTACCCTCTCTCTCTTTAACTCGCCTTTTCCTTTCAACATTCTTTCTTCCTTTCTTCTCTCTCTTTCTTCATCCACAACGGTGTCCATTGTTCGCTCCACCACGATCCTCTCTTTACCTCTCTACCTTCACCTCTCCCTCTACCTCTCTACCTCTATCTCTCTTCCTCTTCCTCTGTCGTACTCTTCACTCCGACTATTCTCACGACAGACAGACCGCGCCGTCGAATTACGAACAGTCCTGGCCAACTGTCGAATGATACCTACGATCGCTTACGAATTGGACTACTTACTCGCTGTTGGAAACAATGTCGATCTGAACCCGTTGCTCGCCTCTGCCGTACCACCACTTCGCTTCCTCACCTCTGTTGGACAACATTGTTGGAAGGTTTCAGGAGCATACAATTGGAAATACAGTTAGAAGTAACAAAAAGTCAAGACGGAAAGAAAAATTGCTGGGGCCGTCGTCCATTCGAAGCAAGACAAACAATCGTCTCACGTCATTTGGATGATCGTCTATGGGACAACAACAACCGGTTGAGCTGAATTGATTCCCGTCTAATCCACCTCAAGATGGAGCATTCCTCACCACTCGCTGCAATGCAGCCGCCCTCAATGATGTTTGGCCGTTGTTTTGGGAACGATGCTCCCAAATTTCGATCGCTGGGCGGAATTGGTGGTTTTGGGCCTGGTAGCTTCAATTTTAAGGACCTTTCTATGAAGAAGGCTCCTACTTCGGATTACTTCAATGTCAAACAATTCACAGGTCCTTCTCCGGCCGCGAGTTTGGCTGCCGATTTGTCCCAGAATTTTCACATCGACCAGAGGTGAGTCAAACAACAGTCTCGTTCTAATCAATTGCTAATTTAATAGCCCACAACTGGCTACGCCTCGTCGATCATTGTTCTCAGCAAACATCTTTCATGGACATGGTAAGAGAAATGCTATCCTGCTATGCGGCGTCAAGCTAACATCTCAGACGAAATGATGACCACACCTCCGTTGCCGGCCTCTTCGCCCATGACGGATATTATGGAGACATCTCCGCTTCCTCACAAACTCCCATACACTATTGCAACGACAGATGTGGTGCTCCAGTCACCGACACCGGAATCGGAAACGCCTTCGACCGCTAGCACTAGTACAGGGGGCTCTTTACAAGCATCACCCATGGAAGATGATTCGCCTGGTGTTCCGCAAGAGTGAGACGATCCTAACTTGTCGAGTAACCTTACTAATACTGATGGCAGACGTATACGCCCACCCCTTCTGCGCCCATCTTTGCTTCGCACCAAGGCCTACTCTACTCAGACCGGAGTCAACAGACTGGCACCCGAAAGCCAGTGCCCTCCTTTTCAATTCGGCAGTGGAACCAGCGGCTTGTCCAACTCTATGTCTCTAGCTGACATGTTCAATGAGTCGTCGCCGCCACAGGATCGAATGACTGTAAAGAATTCGTCTTCTAACTTGCTTGGTCCACGCCCAAGACAACCCTTTGGTCGTAACAGTGGTTCTGCATCTCCAGTGCCTAATGCTGTCCGTAAGAACGCTTGTGGGAACCCTTTCATGCGCCCGCGCAAGCAGTGCAGGAGGTCCCTCAGTATGTTTGAACATCCAGAGGACATTGTGCGCCAGAAGCAGCCGGATATGGTTCCTGAGCCTACTCTAGCATCGATCATGGACGAAGAGCCTACACATACTCTTCAACTGCCACACTTCGTACCTGCGGACCAACCTGATAGTCTCCCTCGTATTGAAAAGGGCGTATTGGTCGATATTCTGGATGGAAAGTTCAAGGATCGTTGCGAAAACGTGATGATCATCGACTGCCGATTTGAATATGAATACGAAGGCGGACACATCAACGGAGCTGTGAACTTCAATGACAAGGAGGTTTTGGCCACCCAGCTCTTTGCCGATCCCAAACCAGGCACAACTATTATTTTCCACTGCGAATACTCTGCCCACCGGGCTCCCATCATGGCGTCCTTTATCCGCCACAAGGACCGCGCGTTTAACATTGAACGATACCCTAACTTGACTTTTCCGGAAATGTACATTCTGGACGGAGGATACAGTGCATTCTTTGCGCAACATCGATCTCTCTGCTATCCCCAGAACTATGTGGAAATGACATCCAAGGAACACGAATTTGCTTGCGAACGAGGGCTTGGAAGAGTCAAACAGCGATCAAAGTTTATCCGCGCTCAGACATTTGCTTTTGGACAGCAGTCTCCTCAGATGGAAGACAGCCCGACAGGACGCTGCCGCAGCAGCAACAACGACCGTGTTCGAGGCCTGGATTCGCCTTTTGAAGCGCCTGAAGCTGGACGCATGCCTGGTCGTCGTATGCTTTCTTATTAAGCTGCAATTTGAGTCCCCTTGATGGGTGACGCTTACGGTTTATGCCTATTACTACACATCACACATGACGTATATCATGGTTGTCATGCCTATCCTTATCTCTTTCTATTTCTTTTTCTTTCGACTTTCGGATTTCTCTCCAAGACCGGATCTTCTTCTCCTCGCCTCACCCCGTCACTTGTATCGATACACACCACACTCCGAAGGAAGAATTTCACACATTGTATAAGACGACTATTCATACAATGTTCTCGATACCCAGGCGCATACGGTTCTGTCTTTTTATTTCTTGTGCCAAGGCACCCTTCTTATTTCAACTTTTATGACACGACTTATTGTCTTCGAGCCAGCCTTTTCTTTCTATCTACCTATGTCAATTTGACCCACGACGGACGCGACAGTCGACTACAACCACGGCTCGATCGCTACATACTCAACAACAACCTCTTTCCTATGTGACGACCTGCTCAGATGGCATCTGCTATCAACAATACAACATCACTCGATACATAACCCGGTACCGGCCGAGAATTGGACAGTCTCTGCATATGACTAATAGATTGTCCAACTTCCGCTTCTCTGCATCCTATTCCAGTCTACTCTTTTAATCGACAAAGCGAAATCACTTAAATTCTTTTGTACAGTTTTCGCGGTACTGTTTTCTGTCACAACACAACGACAATACTGCCCAAAATCATACGTCCGAGTCTGTTTGTGCCTTGTTAATACTGCATTTGTTGTGGAGGAATGTTGTGTCAAGTGTGCACTCCACGATATTTGCATTCTAATTTTGTTAATCACCATCACTTTGGACGTGTACGCACACAGAAAGAATTGTACATATGCATATTCAGAAAACAAGCGAGGAAGGAGCATGAGATGCGCCGTTAGATGTATGTAGCTGAGCTATGATATCCTTAATTCATCTTTTCCGTTCAGTGTAAATACTGTAGTTGTAGTAGTCACCTGCCTGGTAGGAGATAGGGCTAGCGATCTCCACCTTGAAAGGTACATTTCCCCACCAGTACAAACCTTGAATTACTCCGCATTTTTCTCGACACACCACTTCAATACAATGAACCACCACCGCCTCTCCAAAAACGCCTTCGAACACGCCCTCCGCCGGATTATAAAAAAGCAATCATGGACATAGACGACATCCTCGCCTCCGTCACACGCGCCACAACAAACCACTTCTCCCCCGAATCCGTGACCATCGACCATCAACACCTCACGCGGCTATGGGTCGCCGAACGCGCTGTGTCGGAGGTATTGCCTTGGCCGTCGGAATTGATGGATAGGATGATGGAGAGGGTGCAGAAGCAGGTATCCCAAACCATCCCTACAAAACATCACAAAAGAGGAGAAAATAATAGGGAGTACTGACGGGTTGGTTGGTCGGTGCAGGTCGAGAATATAGAAGACCTCACAGCTTCTTCGTACGAGAACTCGAATAACGATTACACGAATACTAGCGGTAATAACAATAATAAGAATAATACGCTCAATTTGAAGCTCTCGATATTGCAGACCGATCTGTCGCGGACCCAGTACCTGATTCGCTCGTATCTGCGCCAACGATTATCAAAAATTACGAGATATGCGATGCATTATCTCGTTCTTATATCACCGCCGGCGCCTTCGACGGCTTCCCAATCGCAGGATCCGGAAGGGGGAGGGGGCGTGAAGACGGAGGATACATTGCCAAACCCTACATCAGCGTCTGGTACAATATCGACAACGCCGCTATCGAAATCAGAAGCTCAGTTCTTATACTCGCACCAATATCTCCTCGCATCGCATTATAGGCTTAGCTTCCTAGCCTCCTTTCCACAGCAACTCAGACGTCTGGATGATAATGCTGGAGGGACGAGTATGATCCAGGGACCCGATATGCGTGAGGTTGTCGTTGTAAGGTGTTTGGTGCCTGAGGTTGCGGTCGTGGTGCCCGCGGATGAGATTTTGGAGCAGGAGAGGGAGGGGGAAGTGGTTATGAAGATGGGAGAGATTTGGGTGGGGAGGTGGGAAGGTGTGAAGAAGGCGTGGGAGAGGGGGGATGTTGAAATCCTGTGATCTTAGGTGGGAATGGCGTTTGGAGTATATATAGATGGATGGGATGCGCACAGCGTTTGGGCTTGGAACGTACGTGGTGCATTACAACATGGCACGAATTACGAGAACTGGATTGAGATATGTACAGTTATGGATACTGCAGAACGCTCCATTATAGATGAATATAAGCTATCACCACCMAAGCAAGCCATGCATGCGCCGGTATCATGCGTCTAAAAACACCCACCCTGCCATATAATAATTGACGTGCGCCACCTGGCTAAAAGAGGCCCGAAAAGAAAAAGAAAATTACGCTACATATCCATAAGCAGGTGGATCGGAATCCGGAATTCGTTCCAGATATTCACGATCAATCAGACTCTCGATTCGCTTCTTGATCATGTTCACGTCCGGCACGAAGCGGGCGGCAAGTTGACCCAGTACTTCGGTGAGGAGTTGTGAGTGAGCGAGTTTTTTCCGTTGTCTGTCACGATATTAGTTAAATGCGATAGAGAAAGTAAAAGGAGAGACAAACTTCATTATGCGAACAACAGCTGCTTCAATGCTCCCTCCTCGCTCTTCATTCATCTTCTTCTCCGTCTCGGTTCGCTCATTCTGATTCTCGACTTTATTGCCGCCGCTGCTCACCACGCCAATGCGCACCTTTGTGAACTGACTTTTGAAGGATGCATTATAAAAGAATCGATCCGTGGGTTTGACGTCTTTGCTCATGGGTTCCTTTTTCAGGACGCGGGTTTTGGGGGCCACGGCGAGGGATTGTAGGTTTCGGATAAGGTCGTGGTCTGGGATGCGGGTGCGAGCTTGAATTTCTTCATACGTTAATGAGTCGTCGAGTGGGAGGTCGTTGAATAGCAACAGAATAATCATGGCATAGGTCGACACATTCAGATCATGACGGGCATATTTCCCCTCTGCGCGGAGAAAAGTAGCCCGGATATCTGCCGTTCCCATCGATGCCTGCCATGACAATTTCCTGCCGCTGTGTTTATCAAGATAGAACTTTTCGAAGCTTTGTCGGACTGTGTCGACATCCTTGGGAAATATGCAAGGTAATTGCATATCGCCATCCTTGGAACTTGACATGATCTCCATCGGCCACATTGTACTCGTCAAGACGCTGATTTCTAGCTCAAACCTCTTCGAGTCAGCCGCTGTTCGCGACATGTGCGCTTTGTAATTGTTCGTCAAGTCTTCCGAAACGGCCATGTCCTTGAACATTGCCTCTAGTCGTTGTGTAAATTGATTGCCAACCTCCATCTTCATCTTGGAAATCATTTGTCGCTCAACATCCATGCTGACGGATCGCTTCATCAACAACCGTCGCGAAAGATGTTTCTTGTAATATGTTTCGAACAAGTCCTTGTCGCGAATATATCGTAACAGCGTAATTCCATTCTCCAAAAGACTGTCAACCTCGGCATCAGTTTTGCCCTTGATCCCTTTCTTCAGATTTTCATCGAAGAACAACGACAAATACTCCGAGCTTCGGTTATTCGAGTTGATAAAATCCGAGAAACTGTTAGTAAAGGATGTGTGCATGCCCTGATCCGACGCAAAAGCCCGTTCCCATATCGTGTCAAACTTTTTCTTGAGATTTAAAATATCATCCACCCATTTGATTGCTGCCGCTGTCTGTTGGTTCACAGGTGGCGCCGTCGGTTTCTCCTTTTCAGATTTCTTCTCGCCATCGGCTTCTGTGGATTTGGCCGGTGGAGGCGCTGTCGCAAATGCTTTGGCTGCGGCATTGACTTCATTACCCAGCTGAACAATGCGGGTTTGGATGGACTTTGTTAATGCGCCCTTCTTCGGGTCGATTCGAGCATTGAGCTCATATACGTTGGCAAGGTCTTGTGTCCTGTCGTGATCCAGCATATATCGGACTCCACTGCCTTCAAGGTTAATAACATCGGCAATATTTTTGCTGATCAATTGTTCGTCTATAACCGCTTTGATCTTTTGCTCCGAGTAGGGTGATAATGTAGCGTGGCAGCGCTCTTCCTCCTCTGATATCCTTTCGGAGCTGACGCGGCAAAATGTAGCTGCGTCTGCAGTTTCGAGTAATCGTTTTCCTTCGTTTTGGTAAAATATCGTACTAATCTGTAGATATGTGGGCTCAAAAACGGAAAGATATAGCTTCGCCGATTCTTCTTCCTCCAGCGTTTCGTAGAGTCCTTCTAACATGTAGATACAATGCCGGACTAACGGTCGATCGATCATTTCTCCTGTTCGCTCCAGCTGGACCATGAAAAGAACAGTAGACTCGAGAATTTTGTATATAGTCAGGTTACTGTCAGGAACCGTCGAACGTAGGACGTGATCCCGGAACAGACACATGGCTATCGTGTATATTGAAGGCCTCTGATCATTGTTCATGACTTTGTCCTATTACAGATAGAGTCAGCGTCGTCAGTCATAGTGAAGTTGACTGAACCTACCATGTACATCAGCACATCCGTGATCATGCCCATACAAAGCTGATGATCCTCCCAAGCCCCCCTCATCGCCGCCAAGAACCTCTCCCCAGCAGCCCTGCGCTCATTCGCTTGATCCGTAGTATCCGTAGGCTCAATATTGAGGAGCAACACCGGCGACACCGAAGACATAATGTTCTGACTGACAAGACTGCCCAGCCACTCTTGCTCTAGTTGCTTAACTCGCTCGTAGAGCTCGTCGCCTTTCCCCATTAACACTATTCGGTATGAGCTACGATAGAGCTCCTCGAAGGATAGCGAGGAGGCATTCTTGGTGTGAATTTCGCGTAGTGCAGAACCGAGGACAGACCATATGGCTTCAAAGTCGTCGTTTTTGCTGCCTAGTGCCTGTTGCCGGAGGTGTTAGTATACTTCTAAGACGACACCGCTTATATTGTGACTTGAAAAGTATGCTTACCCTTCTAGGAGCTCGGACCTTTTGCCTCGCTCTCATTGCCATCTTCTCGACGATCGAAAAAAGCAGACGTTGAGTAGATAAGAATGTGTTCGACGATGGTGCAGTAGAGCTCAATAGGCGGGGCCGGAAACCGTTGAGGGGTTGCGAACAGTCAAAGCCTGAGATTGATCGGTGTCAATCTCAGACTCAGCGTTCCATCTGAAGTAAATATAAAGCCCAGGGATCGGATGAATATGAATAAGAAATGAGAGCGAACTCGATTTTGCTAGATGTGATGTCTCGAGGCCTTAGAGCTTCTCCGCGATCTTCTCCGGAAGAGCATGAGTCGGAAAAAGTATTGATCCGTCGCAATCTTTTGAGCTTTAGACGTTGCCTCCGTCACGGGCAATAATGACATATTAAAAGTCTCAGTCCAGTCTTCGCATTATCCTCTTTTCCTAAGAAGCGAATATCTTTTCAACACTTCGGTAAAGCACGATAGAATATCAGAATGCGCTCACCAACTACTCTCCTCCGTCTTTTCCGCACCTCAAGCGGCCATCTCCCCCGAACTCGGATTTCAATCAAAGTTCCATCTCCTTTCAGCACCTACAACCCATTATCACTCTCCTCGAGAGCCAGCACTTTATACGCGTACAACACCCGAAGATACAACTCCAGCTCCTCCGACGCAGCAGACCCCAATCTACGACCACTAACCGACCGCGTACCCAGCGCATCTACCGACGCAGCCAACGCCGAACAAAACGCCGCACGGAGAGCAGAAGAACCAGCTTATCGTATTGTATTCACATGCAAGCCCTGCGGTGAACGGTCGGATCATCAAATGTCCAAGCATGGATATCACAAGGGCACAGTGTTGATTACGTGCCCGTCATGCAGCGCGCGCCACGTTATTAGTGATCATCTCGGGATATTTATGGATGAGAAGAGTTCGTTGGAGGATATCTTGGGTACGAAGGGTATGAGGATTACCAAGGGCGTTTTGAATGACGATTTGGAGATTTGGGAGGATGGGTCTGTGTATAAGGCTGGGTCGAATAAGGAGGGTGTTGATATCAGCTCGGATGTCAGTCCCAAGGAGACGCCTTGATTTCTCTCCAAGGAGCTTTGATCCGATGAGCATCGGGATGATGTCTCTTGTAATATATTATGTACATATATGAAAAAGTGTTTATCTTGCTGGATCGGTTTACGCAGCGTTACAGGCATGGGTTTGGGTTGATCTTTAACATGTATCATAGACAGTCATTCATACTTCTCAATTCACTTTTAATCTCTAAACTATTTACAAAGATATCGACAAAGATAACGCCGTATTATGCACATTTCAGAAGCCTCGTCTCCGCTCCCTGAATTCCTGACCCCTTTCTTTCCTCTTGACGTGCTTCCTGTCGTTCTTACGTTTCTTCTCGCGACCAAATTTCTCTGGATCGGCAACAGCTTCAATGCGACGTTTGGCCCGTCTTTGTTCCCGGCGTGCTCTAATATTCTCCTGAATACGAGCCATCTGGTCAACATATTCGGTCGTACCGAGCTTCTTCTGCAAAAGATCCAAGATTTCCTGGGCATTTGTAACTAACGACTTCCAACCTGTCTGAAATTCTGGATCGTTGGATCGAGGAGTCGGAATGTTTGGATCGATCAAATGCTGTAGAGGAAGAAGGATAATTGGCAAGAATCCTATAAGCTTTTCAGCGTCTAGGTGACGACAGACTGCTGCCAAAAGAACCATGGTTGCGGACTTGGGTACAAGTGCACTGGGTTTTCCGGAGATCGTTTCTCGGCGTAGTATGTTAGATAGCTGTTGGAAGATGTAGCGTAGCAGACTCTTGCGCGAGGCGATTTCCATATCAGCCTTCTCTTCTTCTGCATCGCTCTCATCGTCTGGTCCATCCTCTTTGGCTTCTTCGGCCTCTTTCGAAGAAAACTCAACGCCGTTGATTGCAAAGCATCGACTCAAGAAAACAATGTTACGGACGCTCTGCATGGCAAGCTCTTCGCTAACCCCTGGAATTTGCATGGAACGGATACTGCCGCGGGTGAGTTTGATCATTCCGTCTTTGTCAAGCTTAAGACCATGTTTACCGGCCAAAGGAACATTGGCATAGCCTTCGGTCGCGTTCGACTTGGCTATATCTGCAAGCCATAATCCAACCAAGTTTGCTGCACACGTTTTTACCCAAGCGTGTGGATAGAAGAGAGATTCTTGGACGCTAGACCACAAGCCCAAACACTTTTCACTGAAAGCAACCGAAGGTACGGCTTTGCATACCTTGAGGAATAATTGCCATGAGAAATAGACCGTCTCCCAATCCTCGCTTTCCGTGTCTTCGATAATTGGATTGATTAGCTCAGGCAAGGTTTCGACAACGAATCGGCTTTCCTTTTCCTTCTCGGTACCTTCCGCCTCAAAGAAAATTCTCATAGCCTGTAGACCGGTGTTTGCGAGTTGTTTGTTCTCCATCTGCTCGAGCCAAGAGTGCAGTGGCTTCAGCATGATCTGTAGACGCTCCCGATCAGCTCTTCCAAAGAATTCACTGAGAAGAAGACCGGCCATTTGACGGCATTCAGAAGTCTCATCGTTGGCCATGACGAGCACAACCGGTAAGAAGAAGGTGCTGATGATATCTTGGCCAAGGTCCCCGCCAGTTTTGTTCAACAATCGATGCACTGCTTCCATGACAGATTCTCGTCCTTCACGGTGCTGGTAGTCAAAGTTCTTTGCAAGGAAAGCTAGCTGTTTGGACCAGCGAGATTTGGCTTGAGGATATTCCAATAGAAAGTGGACGTACACACCCCGAGCCAGATCACGAGCAGCCTTGGTCTGATTGGTGACCATCATTCTTGCAATATTGTCGACCAACTCGTAAAGTTCGGGAACAAGAAATTTCCTATCCATCACAGCGCGAATGAAGTTGAAGGTTAAACCCTGGCGATCAGGTTCCTCAATGTCATTTGTGAGACGCTTCAAAAGATACGAGAGATGATTATCCCTCAATTCTACCGTCTTTCGTTCTCGCAACACAGAAGCGATGAATTTGAGTGCAGCTTGTGCGGCCTCCGTGTTAGTGCTTGGAGCTTCTTTGACGACTTTAACAGCTTCGGCAAGATAGGTTGGCGCATTTTGGTCGAGCTCAGGGAGAGGTAATTTGATAATGGTCGAGAGCAGACGCATAGCGGAAATCTTGACTTCTTCGTAGGACTGAATCACTGCGTCCCCAACAATGGGCAAGAAGCCAGCCAGATTGTTTGCAGTTAGTATGGAACTGTATTTGTTGAGGACTGATCGAAGGACATCAAGCGAGAACCGCGATAGCTTGTAGAGATATGACGAGGTAGTTCCGCGTTTCTCTCCTCTTTTCATACCTTTCATGTTGATGAGGAATCGCCTATTCCTTGCCGATTCTGTGTGAGACAGCGCCTGTGACTCATTTTGATCTTTGTACGATTCTTTAATCACTTCGTAGCAAAAGACAAGAATATCCCGGCTCTCAGCACCCGGGTTTCGCAGTAGACCGAGACTTATTCTCCTGAAGAGCTCATCAATCTTTCTCACCAAAATAGCTGTAAGTTTCTCCCGTAAAAGCATTTGCAAAGGCGCAATGAGCGCACCCAGGCGTGTAACAGAGCTGTTCTTAGCAAGCAACTCCATCGAATCGTAACTCTTGCTGCTCTTGACTTCTTTCATTTGACTAACGTAGTCTTCGGCATCTTTCTCCTGGCCAACAACTCCAAAAATATCATCCATGACAATTGCAACAGCTTGTTCAAGACAGTGATCCAAAGAGCCCTGTTCGAATTCATCTGTGGTCGATACAAGAATGGAATGCATGGTAAAAGAGAGAACGTGGAGCTGGTAACCACGAGCGAGAGCCGTCCTCAGCTCTTTCAAAATGTAGCCAAAGTAAGTCGGGCCGAGAATGATCGCAATGTCTGCAAGAGTCTTCCTGGCATTGTCTCGGGAATCTTGTGCCTTACTTCGCAGAACGTAACAGACATCCAACAGAACTGCTGGAAGGCGGATAGCCATATCTTCTTCGGGCAAAAGTTTGAGCAGCTTGATGCTGGTCACAGCAACCGGAAGACGGAGACTCATTTGAGCTTCATCTTTGTGATGCACGAACTGCGTTAAGAAAGGCAAGAAGTGAGTTGTCAGCTCCGTCGAAATCTTTTCTGGTGTGGGTAGCGTCAGGGCCAGGCGGCATTTAGCAGGCTGTTCTGAAGGAGAATCTCCATCTACCTCCATAGTATCCTCAGAGTTTGTTCTCGGATAGCGTTGTGTGAAAGCGGTTGACAGGGCGTCAGTCATGCGACCAAGCAACCGGATCATATTCCTTTCAACTTCGGGCTTGCTTGTCATATTTGCACGATACCTGCGGAAAATTGCTCGAAACTGACTCCACTCCAACCACTCACCTAAACAACCCAAAGTTGCTACAGACTCTGCAGCTAGATTATGGGCAGTCTCGTCTTCAGCGATATGGAAAATAAAATGCTCAATTAGAGGAAAGAAGATCGAGCTTATGTTCGCAGAGTTGATCTTTCCGCTTGACGCCTCACTTGCAAGTCTGCGTAGGGCACGCATGCGTCGATGTTGCTGGATGTGAAGAATGTTGTTGAAAAATGAAGCTTCCTCGTCTCCAGCAACTAAAAGCACATGCATATCTTGTACGCTTGGTAAGGTGGGATTGAGTTTTACCAAATGACCCAGGGCTACTATGAATTCTGATCGTACTTGCTCAGATCGTTGACGCACACCGTTCTGGAGAGCTGGCAGCAAAACGCTGTCTCTGAGGGTAGCAAAGTCGGACCTATTCGATTCACCATCTGCAGCTCTTTCAATAAAACGTTTGATACCATATGAAGCACTCGATCGGATGGAGAGTTCTTGTTCATCCTTGACATGATACAACATATTGAACAGGAGAGGGCGCCACTGCTTAGGACTGAGACTTGTCCACAAATTTTCGTTGATTTTTCTGAAAGCCGCAAGTCGCCGGTCGTAGTCAATGCTATCAAGCTTCGATGTGTCAATAGAATTGAGATCAGCACAGAGAGCGCCGACCTCCTCTAGCTCAGGATCATGTTTGGCAAATTCGTGTAAAACAGCAGACAAGACATTGCGGTTCTGTTCATCCTTGAAATAGTCGAATAGAGATGACACCGTGCAGAATACTTCCTCGGAGAATGAAGGGTCCTTATCAATTGAAGACAAGGGTATGAAATGCTGCAGAGAGTGCAACAAACCTGACTTGGTCTTGGGTGAAATCTTGTCATGTGGTTGTCGTAGAAGATAGGTGGATATACGCACAAGACTGGCAATTTCAGAAGATGTCTCCACGCAAGGCGCTATTAGGGATAATGTTTCCACAGCAGACACAAGAACAGGACGCGCAGGATTTGATTGCAAAAGCTTGCTGAGGTTTCCCAGAATGCGATCCACATATGGCGCAAGTATCTCTTCGCGTATAGCTTGAAAAGAGACCTCGCTCATTTCTCCAGATTCATCGACAGCCTTACCAGTAGACTGATTGATAATGGGCTGTACTATTTGCTCCAGAATAAATACCTTGACATCATCGCGCGCAGATGGAACAGTCAATGTATCGACAACAGCGGGAATCACGTCTTTGCTGAATCGCGTCAAGTAGAAAACGGACTTCGGAGCAGACACCCATTCGTGGAAAAGTCGATGAAAAGAAGAAATTCCTTGTGCGTTCTCGATGGCGAAGTTCTCCAGCCTGGAGTTGATTACTTCGGTGAATAGCAGACCCACGAACGGTGTCCAGTCAATATCTGGAGCGATAGAGAAAATCATACTAGCGCAGCGGATACCCACGCTGCGAATCTCTCGCAGCACTGCGGCTTTACTTTCTAGGTCCGGCGAGTCCAAGGCAAGCAAGCGAGAGGCTCGCACAAGACAGTAGAATACCGCATCCATTGACTTGGTAGCATATGTATGCATGCGGCTCTGAAGGGTCTCTAGCATCGTTTCAACCATTTTGAGGAAACCGACCTGCTTCCGCTCGCTGGCTAACTCCGATTCGAAAGATTGGTTATCAATCTGGCCATCCTTGAGCAGATCCACATCAAAGAAAACCCCAAAAGCGATCTGCACAAAGAGTTCGAAGTCTGGCCCCGACATTTGAGCAAGAATACGAAGAATGGCCTTCCTCCTTCCGGTTTGGCCACCAGAGCCGGAACTAGACGCAGCTCTAGATATCATACGCCCGTAGAGAAGACGTAGAAGAATTGGCAGGATATCTGCCTTGTGACCTTTCTCGATCTTACTATCTTCATCATCGATATGAACGAAAACAGAAAGTTCCTCGCGAAAGCGAGATTCGTCTAAAATGTTGAGCAAATTCTCTTCGTAGGGACGTATACCAGGTGATTTCCAGGTAAAGAGACCTTTCAGTGCGGACTTTTGAACCGCAGAATCTCCATGGGCGGTGAGACTCAATAAAGCATCATACACTTGTGAAGACTTGAAGAGAGATCGGGGGTTGATGAACTTCTCGAACAAGCCAAGCAGCGCTAGGCGATCCTTATAAGCCCAGATCGGAGTGACATCTACCACTCCAACAGCCTCGGAAAATTTCGCATCGCTTTCCACGATCTTCACGTTGTCAATTTCGGTCGAGGCCCATCGAAGGAAAAGAGGAACAATTTGACGAGCACGCTTTTCCGCGAGTTCAGGAATAACATGTAGAACTTGTAAAGATCGAGCTCTGGCGGTCACGGGAATCAGTTCAGACAGTTTATGGTCAGTAGTGAAGCTTTCTATCAATTCGTCTTTCGGGTCATTGGCTTTTTCAAATTTGGCCTCAATTATTTTTTCGATCTTCAGCGAATTATCACATTTGAACTCCGACCAGTTCTTCCCCGGCTCTTCGTCTGTAGATTCATCATTTGTGGCATCAACATTATGCTGTAACCACAGCATACACAATTCAGTGACGACAACTTCCCCAGCAGGGTTTTTGCTGACATTTTTCAAAGTCTCAGCGGAATCAATCCACAATTGTCCTAGCTGCTTGGAGAACAGGCCAAAGCAGAACTTAGGAACCAATCTGCAGAGCCAAGTATGATCGATGACCTGTGGGTATAACAAGCCAAGCTTGCGGACCTGCATAGATAGAAATCGAGAAGTCTGTAGGGATAATTCACTTTCTTCTATCTCGATTGCGATGCCGATGGTGTTTTGTAGATCACCAGTTGTTGCATTGGCCAGCTCGAGAAGTATTTTCAGTGAGAGCAATCTCAACGCCTGTGACGGCGATGTAAGATTGTCGATAAGACTAAATGCAAAATTATCCAGATCCTCCTTGGTCTCAGTGATAAGGCCGGGTAGGCGTGTCATATAATTTAACGTGGCCTCTAAAAATGGTTTTCGACGAATGAATCGAGGTCCGACTTTCAATATCGACTGCCAAAGGGATCTATCCAGGGAAGCACATTGATCGGCGAGAAAAACATAATTCTGAAACCCTTGACCACTGGAGAACATATGCAGTGGCTGGTCTTCGAGAGCTGATTCATCGAACGACTCCGTTACCAACTTATGGAGCGATTGCACTATCTGCGGAAGAAAAGCAGCGTCATTAGAAAGTGAGACTGCCGCGCGAAGTTTGGTATAAGCATTGAGCAAGGCGGTCTCAGTCAAAGACGAGCCAGGCTTTTTCAATTTCTGGAGAATATGCGATCTCCACTCTGCTGGACAAGCAATGAAGCCTGGCCGTGAAGGTATGGACGTGACACAACCGACTTCCTCTAGCTGAATGAGTGAAAAACACAAGTCTTCTTCCTTAGTCTTCCAAGAAGAAATCAAAAATCTGGACCACGAGAATTAGCCAATATAAGGGACCGAATGAAGATGGGTGCTCTTACCTCTGGAGATATGGCAAAACAACGATCTGAAATCTTTCAGGCCCGAATTCGGAGAAAGTTGAGCAAAAGGACAAAAAATAGGGCGCCAAACGCTCGTCGGATACAAGTTCCATGATGGGTCGCATAAAAGGCATCATTTCGTCCATTGGCGAGAGTTGCAAGGCGTAGGCGGCGGAAGTAAGAATTCGCGGAAGAGTATCGCGATGATATTCTAATCCCTGTAATGCTCTTTGTAGCAGCGTCAACAAACTTTGGTGGACGTCCTTCCAATCTTTGACTCGTGTTGCTTTTCGAGTAGTCACGCAGACAAATATTAAATGCGAAGAAAGCTTCATATGAGACGCTTTAAGTACTGCTTTGCCACCTTCAACGTATGCGCAGACCACTTTCAAAAGTTCAGGGAATGTTTCGGACGTTGTAACGTGAATGATATTCGTCAGGACACCGCAGACCACTTCTTCAGCCAAAGAAAAGTGCACTTCATCATCAACGGTGGCATTTTCTATCAGACACTTCAGAATATCTGAAGCATTGGAATATAGGCCTCCTTTGATTCCCTTAATGGATTCTGAAAACATGACCATTAAGCCTTCCTTGTAGGTCTCGAGGCTTCGCGACTCTGTAGAGTTTCGTAGATCTTCAAACAAGAAAGATATAGCACGATTCAATGGAGCTTTATTCTTATGGTAAACAAGTCCAGCTTTGCGAATCAGGAAGGACATGGACTCGGCGGCGAATCGTGCGACAAATGTTTTCTGTCGTTCTTTTCCCAGATATGGACTCATTATACCCAAAAGTTGTCTCAAGTCCGGTACAAGAAGTCGAGAGAGAAATTTGAAGATCCAGGCGAGGCATGTGAAACTCCATTCTATTACTTCAACATCTGGATGAAGTGCCGCGACGGATGCGACCAAAGTAACACTAGTCGCAAAGTGTTTTTCAAATCGTACACCCAAATCTCTTGCGAATTGTGATAAGAGACTCAAAAGCGGTTCGATCGACAATTTGTCCCTCTTATCAATAAACTCGACCAAAAGCGCCATAATCTTTTCTTCATGGTATAGCACTTGCGGAAGACTTTCTGAGAGCGAGTTGACACGGCGAACGAATTCGGTAAAAAACTCAGACAAATTCATTTCACTCCAATGGTCCAATGAGGACCGGAAGTGTGAAAATGTCTCATCATCCTCGCCATCCTCTTCGCCGAAGTCAGTTCGTCGCACGCGGTGAATCGGGTCGATCTTCAACTTCGAGACTCGTTGCGAAAAAGTCTCGAAGCGATGAGACTTTGTTGTTTCGGTGCCTTTCTTCAGAAACTTCGCAGGTTTCCCCCGCGAGCTTAATGAAGGTGCCACCATTGTCGGAGAATGGATAGGCGACTGGGGTGGGCAGCAGGCGGGTTATTTATGGCATGTTGATATGGATTGAGGCAGTCGAGGTAGGCGCTATCAATAAAAAAAATGTTGTCGGATCAGGAGAAACGTTGCGCCGCTTATCGGATCACGCTAGTCCTTTTCAGTCGAACAGCTCCGCGGAGAAGCACGTGATCCGTTCGCATTCTCCAATGACGGCATTCGCTCATTTCTCTCCGTCGAAAACATCAGAAGCACCCTGATATTGGCGAATCCGAGCTTACAAGCGCGTCAAATGAAGTTCCGGTCAATATTAAACATTGAATGGTGACAGATTCGCTATTTCATTGCCATTCGAGTTGTGAAGTTCATACACGTCAAATTCTGGACAAGTTCTTTGAATAATAATGGCATCAAAAATGTATTGCTTTTCCTTTCCCGTGCACAAAAAGATCATATGAGCTGACTATATCCACTAGCTTGGTCCTGGGCAATGTCAATTGCTCCTTTCAACAAGTATTCACCAAGGTCGCCAAACTTCAAATAAAGCAGAACTTCGCGTTTGCCATTATAGTTGGCGACCTATTTGGTGAGGGCGCAAGCGAGGAGGAACTGAATCAAATTTCAGCTCTACTCGCGGGCAATGTTGCCGTTCCTCTGCCAACATACTTCAGTGTCGGCAAACATCCGATTCCGACTAGGGTTGTTGAAAAAATTCAGGCAGACGATGAAGTATGCCCTAACCTGTATTTCATCGGAAGAAGGGGCACATTAAAGACATCAGAAGGCATCAGAATCGCTACTCTCGGAGGTGAGGTCGCTACAGACGGCCATTCCGACCCAAACATCAACAAGAGATTTCACTCGCTCTATACGGAATCTGACGCTCGTTCGCTTTACGGCGTTCATGATACTGACATCTTGATTACGTATGAGTGGCCTAAGGGTATCACAGCACGGTCTCAGGTTCTTCTATCAGACGGCAAAGTAGCACCTGAAGGCGTTCAGTGCGTAGCTGATGTTTGCTCGACATTGAAACCGCGGTATCATTTCTCCTCCAAGGCCGATTTTTTCTACGAACGAGAACCGTTCTTTCACGTGCCGACAGATGACAATCCGGACGTGAAATCTTTGACTCGTTTTATCAATATGGCTCCTTATGGAAATACAGCAGGGCAGAAATGGATGTATGCGTTTACATATGATCCGAAAGCCCCAATTCCCGATACTGTACCTACCGGTACCACAATATCCCCTCTTACCAGTGTTGCTAGAAAGAGACCTGCCTTGGAGAGTCAAAATGAAGGCTTTCATCGATTCTCAAGGGGCAGTAATGAGAGACCCCATAAACGCGCGCGACGGCCTCCACCAGGCCCGGGAGAGTGCTTTTTCTGTCTATCTAATCCGAACATTGCTACACACATCATTACCTCAATAGGCAATGACGCTTACCTGACCACAGCAAAAGGTCCGCTCACAAAGTCGGATACCTACCCGCTCTTAGGCTTTCCTGGCCATATGTTGATAATCCCTCTCATACACTCCCCTACGTTCACATCGATAGCGGATCCCGAGGCGCGAAAGAGCACATATGATGAGATGCAACGGTACCGTAATGCATTAAACGATATGGTTCGTGAGAAAAGCAAAAGCAGTCTGGGATCAGTCACCTGGGAAGTCAGTCGTGGCAATGGTATCCACGTACACTGGCAATACCTCCCTGTTGCGTCGGACTTAATTGCCAAAGGCTTGGTAGAAGCGGCGTTCAAAGTCGAAGCCGAAAACTTGCAATACCCAAAGATCACATCCTCTTCAAATGAAGATGGCGCAAACGAAGTCGGAGATTACTTTCGAGTCTGGATATCACGACCCGCAACCGACGCCGATGACTCGAAGGAAGAAGCGGGGTCGACGAACGGTGGCTGGGAAAAGATTTTGATTCTGCCGCTGAATCCGGACTTCAAATTCGATTTGCAATATGGTCGTCGGGTGATGGCGAAGCTGTTACGACTCGAAAAGAGAATAGATTGGAGGGAATGTGGGCAATCGATGGAGGACGAGGTTGCAGATGTCGAGGCTTTCAAGGACGCCTTCAAGAAACACGATTTCTCCCTGGAAGAAGAATGAAAATAGAAAATTGGCCAAGAATATGAAGAGATAGAACGAATCAACTGGCTTTGTCCGGAAGGAAGGAGCGATCCGTCAGAACTGCCTCAGCCGCCCATCGTCACGGTCTCCTTCCGTAAAAGACTTCTAAAATCTCTCCCGGAATAGGACATCTAATCCAGTCAATCTTCGTATCTTTTTTTCTTCTTCATCCAACCTGTCAACTAACCATATCATATTGTTGTATGCTTAGACTCCCATTAAGCGAGACTATTCGACTCCACCATTCATTACAAAGCTCGACATAGAATCGCCTTATTCGCTCATTGCATCAACATATGACAACGGTGATTGTTCAACAATATCAATAACCGCCACCAATCACTGGCATGAGACATATGGTCCTGACCAGTCTAGAGGAGTCTGGAGCAGTGCGTTTCTTTTCTTAGCTTACGAAGTATAAAAGCTGACGTGAGTCTGGATTTGGCAGAAAGTCGCGTGAATAATTCAATCCTCATTTTAATGCTCCACTGTACACTACAGAGTCCTAACATTTACGATCTGAGCCTCGTGCTTCAACTCAACATGTCGAGCTCACAACAAACGACTTCTACAGCTGTCACATCTTCCTCATATTTTTCCTTTACCACCCAGAATCGTTCACAAGTCACTCGTTATCCATCATCCAAGTCTGGACGAATTCCAATTTCTGAAACAGCAGCGTATTCCTGGCTACGAGTTCAGAAAATCATGGAACTCTCCGTACAGGTACGTCGGGCAATCTCTTCCCAAGGCGAGAAGCATGCTGCTCTTATGGCACGCATACATGCCGCTAGCTATGTGATGTGTCATATGAAACGAGAATTCTAACTGTAAGGCCCCCGCAGCAGCCTAAATCAGAATCGCTGGATGATCCGACATCCCCCGAATGTCATGTCAATGCTTTAACTCGGATCAATTTGTCTGCTTCGTCATCCGCCTCATCTGTTGCGACAAACGACAGCACCAGTTCCATGCAAGAAATGGATAAAAAGACAATTCTCATTAGCAGGACGGATCCTTTGGCCCGTAGACAGTCAACGCAGCCGATCACAATTCTCGTGGATCGAGTTGAGAAGTAGCGCGATGATGTCGATGAGATGCGAATGAAATAGGTGTGTCTGTTGCGGCCTGAGTATCAAATATCGCTCGTTCCCACCGATAGCGCTTGAGGATGCAGAGCTTTGACAGTGTAGGCTACGCAACGAACGAATCCATGTCAACCCACCTCCATCCTTTTCTTACTGCTTGTTTCTGGCTTTTTGCGTTCTGTTTATCTGTTCCTTCGTTCTACCACAATGTTCTCATACAGAAACCACTTGACCGATACGCCCTGCGAAGGGTAAAGGAGAATGTATAATTATCGATGTTTGCATCAATTATGATTTCGGGTCCAGTCAGGATTTCCAGGTACTATATACACATAGTACGAGTATGCAGCAGCTTTACTACTTTCATTGATATAATACACGTAGACTGCTTCGTTGTCAGCCCTAGGCCTAAGGGTTATGAAACCATGAAGAGTGGAGAGCGGCTGGAAGGAGCCATTTTTGTGCTGTCCTCCTCCCTTTTCTCCCGCCAACCTGTCGACTTGTCTTCTATCTTCATTCATTCCACCGCATCCTAGACAAACACAACCGCGATCGTTCGAAACCCGTGTCTCTTCAGATTATACTCGTCCAGTCACTTCTTATCGGTAGTTCATGGTTGGTCCGAGACAGTACCACCCTTCGCCGACATTGATTGTGTGAAATGGGCCCTTGACAGCAATTGAAATTGCTCCCCTGGCATCCTACTCTACTCTATTTTCCACAGGACCTTATATTACTTTTACCATTCTAGATCGTGACGGAGAAAGAAGTAGATCGGGACTCTTGTACCCCAGGGTAGTATGACATGTGTATTTCTCAAAAATGCTCGAGAAATGCCCGAGGTAATGAAGATCATATGCCGGATTTAATCACATACAAGCCATGTCCTGATGACGCAAATGAGGTTACAACACCTATACATACATTGATGGACCATATGACCTCGTGCAAGTTACTGAAAGATCACAGAATGATACAAGCACTCGACCTTGAGCTCTCCGCCTTGATGCTCTCTGCTGTATCTAGCATTTTCATAATGGATACTTTCCCGGCTTTTTCAGCCGCCCTGTAAGCACTTCCATACCGTCCTCCCTGCGCATGAACATTGGCTCCATGGCGTAGTAAAATTCCCACAATCTCCTTGTTACCTTGCCATGCTGCCGCTTGCAAAGCATTGCCGTATTTGCCAGCCTTTGCGTTGACATTGGCCCCCAGGCCCAAGAGCAAACTCACCATTTTTGGATGTCCGCCAGTGACAGCAGCCTGGAGCGCATTGCCATAGTATCCACTATCGTGTGCATTCACATCAAAGCCTGTACAACGGGAAAACACACGAACCAACTCAATATAGCCGTTCAGTGCTAGGATTTGCAGCACATTGCGACACCGAAAGTCATTGAACAGCCTATAGCACGCAGTCAGGATCCTGCCTTTGTGAGGTTGCGTCAAAAAGCTCTGCAAGAACGATCGCTGTGAGACACCAGATGCTTGTGCAGTTTCGGCATGGTAGAATATGTACTTGGACGTGTACGGCAGGAAAGGGTAGCTCCTCTGAGCAACAAAAGCGTCATACTCAATGGGCAGTTGCATGCTCATCAGGTACGCCAAACAACATCTTTTCAAATAGTCGTGGCTTGTGCCAACAGGGTTATTCCGTAATTTCGAGTCTAAAGTCCTCAATCTTCCATTACGAAGCAGGAAGTCATTAACGGACAGATGAATAAATTGCAAAGTGGTCTCCCCTTTCCGCCTCTCGATCAAACCTTTCGAGGAATGAATGATACGATTACTGACCTTGTTGCTCGTGATTTCCGAAGTATCCCAGGGACTGATTTGTTTTGGAGTAGTTCCAACTTGCACTGCGCAGAACAGCTCAACCGGCTGGATCGGCCGTTTACTGAAGAGAATCCATTGTATTGCAAGTATTGTCTCGTGCTTGTTATCCATATCTCGGTTCAGCAAAGTCTGGAAGACCTGCTCAATGTCAGGAGGAAGCTCATCAAGCAGAGTCTGCATCGCCTCTATCTTTCCATGGTTGAACGCGTGGTTGAGCATGGCCACGACTAGAACAACCCACATGAAGATGCCACATGCTTTGGCGAGAATCTGGCCTTCAAACTTTTCAGTTCGTTCTATCAGTCTATCCCGAATGTATACTTTGATGTCGTCGTCGTGCTCCTGTATCTCCTCGACAATCAATTCCAGACACTTTCTTATACTGACTGTAGGATAATGACGACTTGAAAGGCAGATACGTAATTCGACTCCAGCTTGCACAGCATCTGTGCTCAACAACTCGAGAAAAGTTACGACGTTTTGAACCTCTTGCTCACCACATTCATCTAAAGCGTCAATGAGAAAGATTATGGGCTTGGGGGGGGTCCGATTTGCTTCGACAGAAAGAAACTCCTCGAGCTCTCCTCTTCCCCAATCCCAATGTCCCTGAAAGTGCTTTTTGAGTTTATCTCGGAAAAGAACAAGAAGGCGCTCACATGCACCTCTGTCTTGATCGATCAATTGATATACCAGCGATCGAAGCATTCCAATTGGGGTTTTTTCGAGATCTGTCCCACGAGCGTTGAAGAAGTATGCGGCAATGACATGGTTTTTGAAAAGTGTCTCCTTTGTCTGCTTGAAGATGTACTTCATCAATGTTGATTTCCCTGCTCCAGGCTTGCCCTTGATCCAAAGAAGGCCGTTGTTGTTCTGGAGGTCATGGCGATTTTGCCATTGCCAGAATTCCGAGTTTTTCAAAATCCATGAGCAAGTGCTTCTGTGGGCCACAGAAATATCTTGATACCGAGCATCGATGTTACGAAAACTGAGGGTACGGCCACATTCTGATTGATGTTAGCGATCGAACGGATATTGACGGCTAAAACCTAATGCAGGAATCTAATAGGAAAGGATGCTTGGTGATCTGCTCACTACTTACCTTCTTTTTCTATATTGAAAGGGAGAGAAATAAAGGCGGGCCTAGTTCTTTCTATATTTATACTTTTCAGCTCACTATACCTTCTGGGACAAACAGCTTCACCTACTGTTTTTATCAACTGTGACCCAAAAGTCCAACAAGGCCTTCATACAGGCTGCAGCTGCCGCTGCAGCGTATGGCTGCCAGGTTTTGTTCTTGTGACTGTCTGCGTAATCACAAACACCTTTGATGACTAGACAGGGGAAAACGTCCCAGATTCCTGCACTTTCCATTTCGAAAGCTATTACATCTTCTTCTTCTGCTATCTTGTCCCGGTCCTCTCCAGACTTCATCACTGTGTCTCCGGAAGCAATTCGGCCGAAGTGAATCTTTGGCGATGCTGCCGAGGTGGCATTCTCCGCCATCGATAGCCTTTGACGAGATACCAAATACGTTTGATCACAGCCTAGCTGCTGACAAGACATCTTTTGGGCGATACCGCAAATGTTACCTCCCGTACAAACCTTGCAATCGCTCAGTTCGCGATGTCGATGTTGGTAGCTAGGGCGGAACAGCTGGTCTAACTTGGTGCCAGGATATCTGGTTCCTCGAAGGCCAAGCTTCCGACACAATACATCAATATTTTTCGCCAACTTGTCATGAAGGAGGTTCTTGTTTCTTTGAGTTCGCAACTTGGCCAGCATTGCTCGGATTTCAGCTCTGGGTGGGCTGAGGATGTCCATCGGTGTGTCTCGCCGGACGAATTGACTTCCAGGGAAACGCCTCCCGAAGTCGTATTCCACCACCCCGTCACTGATTATCACGTCGCCCAGAATGATCTCTTCACCATCTCCCCCGTTTGGAACTCCCCCGCAGACACCGACCAGTAAAGCAAGCTTGATGCCTGGGAAGCTTGACCGGAAATGAGCGGCGACACTGGCTGCATTTTTCTTGCCCATGCCTGGCATATAAGCTAACACAACATAGTGATTGCAAATTAACCCTATTGTATATGCGTTGCTATCGCTGGCCGATTTGCCATATTTGTTTCCTCCATCGTCCCAGATTTCGTCAAATGCCGCTTCGACGGCACTCGCCTCGGTAGGTAACGCACATATGATGGCAATTTCGAACTCACTACGTGACTCAGGCCGTGGTGAGTGCGCTGCAGAAGACGGCGACATTGGAGTCGAGATCTTCTTGTCGAATACATTCGGCAGCTGGTGCTGGGTTTGGTCTGCCTCTACTGATCATGAGGGGCAGATAAGAGGGGACCTCGGAGACCAAAAAGCTTGTTCGTACATGTCTGATCTGAATGCGCAAGTGTGAGGAGGCAGGCACCGGAGGCTTTTTAGGACAAGGCTGAGGGGCAAAGGCTGCACAAACCCCGCCGCTCTCATGATACGGTATCCTCGTCTCAGTCTAATTGGTGATGAACGAACAGCCTCATTCCGCCAAAAAAACAACGGTCCAATTCTAACAGGTCATTACATCACACGGCGTCCAGAAAGTTACTATCTTCTGCGCTTTTTGACTCGGTCCGTCTGTACCAATGCACACCAACCAACGGTTCGCATTGCAGGGAGCGCATCCCCTACGGATGGCGTGACAAGGTATTGGCCGAGCTGCTCAGTGCCCATACCGCAGCGCTGAACCGCCACACTAGGCTCTTGGGTACATATGTACCTAAAATATGTGTGAATTGCTTCTGAAATATGTATCTGTAGCATACAAGTATGTCGACCTCAGTGCGTGCAGTATATGGAAAAAATGGATCGAATAGTCCATGCATTTACAGATACCACCTACCAACCAGGTACTGCAGCTATGAAACGTATAAGCATGGTATATATGTATAAACAATCCACCCGACTTCAGTGCGTGGTCCTCATTTCCAATCCATTTTCCTAATCCAGGAATTAGTCCATTACACATAGTCAGAGCAAACAAGCCCCATTCATTCCTGGCAGCAATCGATATCAAAATCATCTAGACAAGTCTGTATACATTCATCCGTTGTACCCGAACCAGGAAAGCCTCAAGTTCAAAAAATAACACCAGAAACGCCGCGGAGTCAAACTCCTTCAAAACGCCAAATTCGGAAAAGAGAACAAGGAACAATCATTTTGCGGAAAGTTCTAATTTTACGCATCAACACCAGTGAAAACAAGATTATACAGCGCGATGAGTATTCGGCGCTGGTCGTCGACCAGCCATCAACAAACTAGGTGGTCGGTCCTCTCCGCTAGGTGACTGATGATCCGGATCTTCTAGGAAAGAGCCACCCTGATGATGCTGATTGAGCGGAGGCGGAGACGCTATTTGTGGCGAAAATGCTCTATACTGGCCTTGAGGAGCTTGATGACCCTGTTGTTGCTGCTGTAATGGTGGTGGGCTTTGGGTTGTTGGATGGTAATAATCGGACTGTTGATGGTCGTATGGAGAGTATCCGTTTGAGGCTGGTGGGGGACTGCGGGTTTGTGGGTAGCCTGGTGGTTGGCGTTGTTGTTGCTGGTCGTAGGGTGAGAAGCCGCCTCCCATGGCTGGTGGGGATCGGGGAGATGAGGCTTGGTTGTACGCGCGCGGTCCGCTGAAGTTGGGCACCTGTACCCTGGGGGGAGGCTGATTTTCGAACCCGCGATATGGTGCAGGCGATGCACGAGGGGCGTATCCCGCAGCGGCAGGCGGGCCATATCCAGGTGACTGGGCTCCAGGAGAATGAGGACTCTGGTTGAAGTAATGCGTGTCCGCTTGGTTACCTCCATAATGTCCTTGATCGCCGTGGTTAAAGTATGCGTCATGTTCGCTGAGGTTCCCACCCATAGCATTGCCGGGGTGTGCTCCATCATAACCACCTCCATGTCCGTTGGGAGTATTTCCGTTGGGAGAGTATCCTTCATCGTACATTGGCTGAGGACTCGGATGCGGACTGGGATATGTACCAGGGACCTGATCATATCCGCCTCGTGACATACCGCGTGACAACCCTCCAGCTACCGGTGCAGGCGAAACTCGTGGATTGTGATGTAGAGGACTCTTAGAATGATCTCTAATTCCCTGCAGATTGTCCATTTCCACCTCTTCATGCTCGACATGATGATCCTCAACCCGCCGGGTCTGTGCATCGGCCCACGTCGGCATCGGTGGAAGCTCATCTTCATTTACATGCACATGCGCCGCCTTGCTCGGCTGGTCAAACGAAGCAGTATTGGGCCCACGATATGCGGGTGGCGGTCCAGCGGACAGCGACGATGCTGCGGCGGTGGGTTGTCTGTACCCGAAATTCATAGGTTCTGGCGGTGGGGGTTGTTGATAGTATGGTTGTTGTTGAGGAGGTTCCGCATATTTGTTTCCTCCTCGATTGTGTCGAGAGCCGCCGCAGTCGCAACAACTGTAACAGCAGCCGCAACAGCCTTTGCAGCATTGGTAACCGCAGCAGAGACAGCTAACCAAGCAGCCTACTATACCCAGTATAATAATAGAGCCGACAATAATACCGGCAATAACAGGCCATCTATTAGACTAATCGTCAGTTTCCGTCTTGGGAGCTAATACATGTAAAAGATACGCACTTGCAATAAGTCTTGGCCATACAATTATCCCAACTAGAAAATGTCGATTTGACCGAACTGGCTTCATCAGCGACGCTTCGCTCCAGGAGCGACCTGATCATTCTGTCGCCGATTGTCGAACCCATGGTTGCTCTCGCAAATGTAGGACCGACTAATCTCAGGCGGAAAATTAGACGATCGCAGAAAATTTTCGACTCAAAACGAGAGGCAAAAAATTATATATATATATATATATATATATATATATATATAT